TTTTTTTTAATCGCCGTCGGCTAGTCTAGATGGATTTCTTTGTTAAGGTTCAAAAGGTACAGCCGAGTACGAGTATACATTTGAAACAAAGGAGTAGTAAATATATGCAGCGTAATAATACAGAAAAAAAACTTCGAAGAAAGTGATCACCCATGTATATACTTCTGTGTGTGTGTGTGTGTGTGCCAGACACAACTTTCAAGTAAAGGTTACAAAGTAAAATACGCAATTGTGTCTGCGTACGTCGCGATGTTGTCGCGGTAGGGTGCCAACGCACTCCCGTTGACGGTGACCATGTTCGTTGTCCCGACGGTGCTAAGCGTGTACACCCACAGATCGCTGGTGGTGCCTTCGACGCTAAAGATGTTGCTCTGGCAGTCCTCCGGGCCCGGGTCGTCGGAGCAGGTCGTGCTGTAGGAGTCGAAGAAGCTGTACAGCCCGGCTCCGTAAATGAAGACTGTGTCGCTGTCGAGAATCCGAAGGCCTAGAGCGTCGCAGTTGCCAGACGTAGAAGAACAGATGGTGCTGTAGTCGGGGTCGTTGAGCGTCGTGTTGGTCGGATAAGGACTGCTGGCAGCATCGGGATCTGGTTGATAGTATCTGCTCGTGTTAGTCTCCATCATTTTCAGAGTAAATGACTATGCTCTTTTTTTTCCTCCCCTTCACTTACGGTGTCTCGGTCTGGATAAATCCAGCCACCACGTTCTTAGCCCCAGAAAATTGGTACTGATACAGCGAGTGGTGCTCCACGGCTGTCCCATATCTAGATAGTTGGTTAGCCATTTGGAATTCTTCTTGGACATTGAGGGTTGGTTCTTACAGCCAGATGTTCTCGCCTTCGACTAACAGACCGCGGCCGGTGTAGATGGAGATCTGCGTACTGTCTGCATTGTCAAGATCGTGATCGGCAGTCCAGAACCACGTATTCTCCAGATACACGTTGCTCGCATCGCTGGTTATATGCATGCTCATATGTGCGGCTTCGCACGTGGCCGACACCGATGCAGTTGTCGGACATTCTGCAACCTGCAGGTCAGATCCATCGAAGCCGCCAATACGAGCGTGAACGTCCCACATGCCCGACCCTTCGGTGGCTGCGAGATTCCATTCGATCAGCACAGCTCCAGGAGTTGATCCTTGCGTGCTGACAATCATGTCCGACCATTCGATGGAGCCGGAGTCTCCGGCTGTTCCAATTCGCACGACAGGGATCGGCGTGTCGATGTCGGCGAATGTATCACCGCTCGCCATGATAACGGGATAGGATTCACCGACCATCCGAGAGCCTGCAGGGACATCGATGGTGGTCGTCACTTTGTATGTGCCTTGGTCGAAGAAAACGATCTGGCTCGACGACACTGCGGACTCCAATGCCGCCTGGATGGCCGCGGTATCGTCGGTCGTTCCATCGCCCTTCGCTCCGGCGTCTCGGACGCTGAGGAACGAAGACACGGGAGAAGCCGCGTACTGAGGCTTGGTCTTGGTATAGTAGTCTGAGGTTCCGCTGGCAAGCAGTGCGGTGGGCCGAGTCGGGGCCGCGATCGTCCCCTGGAAGTTGGTCGGTCCATCCGGGATATATTTGTGGCCTTGTCCCCAGCCGTCAATGGTTGTTTCACCAGAGGAGCCCGCCAGGATAGTGTCGCCGTTGTCCTGCACCGCGACGGGAACGTTGTCGAGGTAGATATTCTCCAAGATAAGACTACCATTGCTGTGGCTGGAGCTCTGCCATGCAGTGTCTATAAACACTGGGCAGTCCTCGATAACGCTGTCGATGATGGTGACTGATCCAACCGCTTGGTCGTCAGAGCCTCCAGTATTGACAGCGACGGCAGTGGTGCAGTTGGAAATAGTGAGTCCAATGTAGGTCCAGCCCCAGTCCCAGATTTGCGAGATTCCAGTGACCGCATCCGATATCTTCAGATTCCGCATGGTGAACTGTTGGTTCCCAACGTAGATACCATACAAGCCGCCAGATGTAGTGACATCTACAACGAATCCGCCGGAGCCTTGTTTACATTAGCAAAGGAGATCAATGGGTACTGTATTGGATATGATTTTCGTACCATTTTCAATGAAGAGACCCTCATGTTGAGTTCCAGACTCAGAGCTCATGAGAATCTCGACGTTCTGAATGCTTGTTGCCTGTCCGGTAGGCCAATGGATACCAACGGCACCGGTGGTAGCAGGGACATCCGTCATATCGAGAATCATGTTTCGGATCTGCCTGAAGAATACATTGGTGGCTGTCCAGCCTTCGTCTCCGTCGTCCTGGTACTGATCGCCGTCAATCATGTAAGTTGCCGGGAATGCAGCGGATGCCTTGATTATGGGGAGCGAGTTCGGGTCGCCAATCAACTGAGTGAAATAGTAATCAATGATCGATGATGAAATCAGGTAGGTTCCAGCCGGGAAATAAACAATCGCCGGCGTCGTGGTGGACGATTCGCCGCTGGATGGGCCATATCGGCCGCCATCACTGATGGCCGCGTTGATCGCAGCAGTATCGTCCGTGACACCGTCACCTAACCACTTCTCATCAGCGTCATAGCAGCCAAAGTTGATCAAAAACAATAGCACTCACCCGTGGCACCGTAGTCCATGACATTGCGAAAGACAACATAGGTAGATGGATCAGTATTGAAAGCAGCGATCCCTTGGTGAGTGATGTCCGCCAGCCAGTATGATGAACTGGTGGAAGTTGCCTCAGCTCCGTTTACTGAATGAGACTGGGCTGCCACTGATGTGCTTGAGGGCGACGCCGAGTCCAATACTTCATTGACAACCGGGACATGGACGAGCCCTGCATTGGCAACTGTTATCAGCACAGAGAAAACAGACACTAGAGAGCATCGCATTCTGTACTGCAGATTATCTGTTTAATTCCAAATAAATAAAAGAAAAGAAAAGAAAAATATAAAATAAGGAGTGGATGGATGAGAAGAAGAAACAGTCAGAGAGTGATTAATCGACCAGGCATTCCGCCCTTCTTATTCTCTCCATCTTGCTCCTAGCGCGCTACCACAGGCTCATTGTTTTCATGCATGTCATTGTCACCTAAAAAGGAGCAAACAAATTTAGAAAGCGCCGAGGTGTCTCTGTATGGACAAACCATGCGGTCGAACATAGAATGCCAGCAAATGACCCCATACCCACCCTGCACACACTGACACACCAGTTCAACTGACTAGCGAACTGTGAGAGGGGTGTGATTCCACTCCGAGATCCGTACTCCGTAATGTCATCTGCAATAGTCATGTTCGACGGGGAGGACGTATCATCTGCCAGAGGCGATCATAAGGCCTATGCAGTATGAGCTTGACACCACATGCTAGAAAGTCCCGACAGCCAATCAATGGAAGCGCCTCATGGAAGATGAAGAATGCTAGGATCAGCATGAGACTCACTAGTGTGTTCCAGTACCTTGCAGCTCGAAATAGATCAGTCGATGGATGCTTTCTTTTCTTTTGCCCGCTGGCGGATTCAACCGCGCTACAACTCAGGGGTTCTGGAGCTCCAGGGTAGCACAAAGAAAAAGAGCGATTGGGAGGGTAGAGAAATGGGGTAGTTCCCCTAATTTCTCATGAAACCCATCGGCTCCATTCATGCAGGGTTTATGACGACGCCTGCTCTTCATGGCGATACGTAGTACAGAGTGCTCCGTTGAAGGTCATCAGAAGCCTCACGCGCAGAGCTTTTATCCTGCAGCAGAGACTGAGTCTTCTGACATTTCATAGATAGAGATCACCAGATCATCTCGATGCCCTCCGCTTGATCGTTGAAGAGATCTCGAGCAGGGATGTTTGCAGAGCGGCTGTCGGGCGCTTCGTCAGGTCGAGACGGGGCTGTACAGCGGCTATTTGATGCGGAGCCACTGACCAATGAATAGACAACTGTAATCCAGATGGAATATCGACTCCTTGTGTAGTACATGAAAAGATCTTGCCAGTTACTCGAGTATTCGGGACGAAGTGTCTGGGTTAGGCGAGGCTTCAAGAGTCAATCACATGTAGAGGTCTCCCCCGATTGGGACTAGCGTAAAAACCCCCACTGTCAGCAAACTCGAGCGAGGATTATTTGCACCTCAAAGCATCAACTGATATCACAAATATCGCTCATATTCAAGAGAAAGTGGCCAAGACTGGTGTTCGAATGCAATGGGATCCAAGACTTTTGAGGGCCAGCCTCACTATGAGCAGGGTACGTCTCCAACTCCCGAGTAGGCTTGAAGTGGGCCGCTGACCAGCCCGCAGCCAACGCCTCGGGCTCCATCAAGTCGATGGCCGTGGGAGGAAAGCCACGGGGCTCCTCGTCTGGCGAAGATGGAGACAGTAATTACGGTGAAGGAGATGAGGACGGTGACGGCGGTGACGGCAGGATTGGTGTCGTGAATGAAGCGGAGAACACCAGCGGTATGTAGAGCGCTAAGAAGGTGACGTCAAGCATGGTTGCTGACCGTGCTTATGAACTTTGTAGAGAATCAGAAGCGCAAGAAACAGAAGAAGAAGAACAAGAAGAACAAGAAGAATAAGAAGGCTAGTACCTCCGGGTTGAAGCAGACTTCGCCTCCCCGAGTGCCGGTGGCCGATTTGTTCCCATCAGGTCAATATCCGGTTGGAGAATGGCTCGGCTACGATACTGAGGGGAAAGATGAAAACCTCCAGCGGACTACGGGTGAGGAACTGAGACATCTGGTCCGTCTCCGCACTGAAGATGAGGGTTTTCTGAATGACTATCGCAAAGGCGCCGAAGTCCATCGGCAGGTCCGGCAGTGGGTTCAGCAGACAGCAAAGCCAGGCAAGACTCTTCTGGAGATTGCAGAGGGCATTGAAGACGGGGTCCGTTCACTCCTCGGTCACCAGGGCCTAGAGCCAGGTGATGGTCTGAAAGGTGGGATGGGCTTTCCAACCGGACTGGCTCTCAACAACTGCGCCGCGCATTACACCCCCAATCCTGGACAGAAGGACATTGTCCTTCAACAGGAAGATGTGATGAAGGTCGACTTTGGAGTCCATATCAACGGCTGGATTGTGGACAGCGCGTTCACCATGACGTTTGATCCAGTCTACGATAATTTGCTTGCTGCTGTCAAGGATGCGACCAACACCGGTATCAAGGTAGGCTGCGGGCTCCAAAAGTACGCGGCGAGCCTTGACTGACACATCTATCGCAGGTTGCTGGTATCGATGCCCGCATGGGTGAGATTGGTGGAGCCATACAGGAAGCAATGGAAAGCTACGAGGTCGAGATCAAAGGCAAGACTTATGGTGTGAAGGCCATCCGCAGTCTTTCCGGCCACAACATCGAGCAGTACAAGATTCATGCGGGGAAGTCTGTTCCTTTTATAAAGACGTCGGACCAAACGAAGATGGAGGAAGGGGACGTCTTTGCCATCGAGACCTTTGGCACGACAGGAAGAGGACATCTTCAGGATGGGGTAAGTGATTCTCTAGATAAAGTCTTTCTATTCTAGCCTGACAAAATATGTTCTAGCCCGGTGTCTATGGTTACGGTCTGAATCACGACGTGACCCATACCCACCTCAACCTGAGCTCGGCTCGATCCCTCCTCAAGACTGTCAAGGAAAATTTCGGCGGCATTGTTTTCTGCCGACGGTACCTTGACCGGCTTGGCCTGGATCGATATCTACTGGGTGTAAGTACAACAAAGTCACTTCAATGAAGGAAAACCACCCAGCTGACAACAACCTATAGCTGAATAGTCTTGTGAACCATGGCGTTCTGGAGATGTACCCGCCTCTCAATGATATCAAGGGCTCGTACACAGCCCAGTTTGAGCATGTATGTCCTCCCCATAGCGATGGCCCGGGTCACAACCACTGATTATACTTCTTCCAGACCATTCTTATCCGATCTGCTGGAGTAGAAGTGCTCAGCCGTGGCGATGACTACTGATAGTACCACTATCTAGTGTCCTCTCGCCACTCCAATCCTTATTCGAATCACCCTTCTAACCATATATCCTGCTCATTCACGGGTGTTGCTTATTGATTATTTGAAAGGGAGGATTGCGCGAAAAAAAAAAAAAAAACCCCCCCTGTTTCATTTCGTTGACCTACTCTAGTTCACTCATTCAATTTCAGTCTAAACCAGTGTCTACACATTTAAATTAAATCAATATATTCTCTATATACCTGGTAGAATATAAGACTAGTAGGATAGATGCTGTATATCACTTCTAATAGTAGTTGAAGCTCCCGCTTGTTCAATAAGGAGATGATCTAATATTTTTTAGTGTTTTTATTTTTATTATACTTCTTTCTCTACACTCTGCGCATTATACTGTTTATATAATAGAGATGGTGGAGTGTATATAATATTATTTTATGAGGAATATATAAAAATCTAGCCTCTTCATTATATATATACACTACTTGGTATCTTTAGTGTAGATTTATATATTTCATCACTTTAAACCAGGTACCTACATCACTACACACTACATAATTTCTCTTGAATAGTAACACGATACAACTGCAGCTCTTGCATTCTACTCGTCTGTCTCATGATCTTCGTCTCCCACGTGTTGTCGTATGATCATGGCCTGGATTACTCTGCTGATGTTTCTACGCACGGAGTACATTCCACGCTTAATTGTACTGTCTGTACTCTGTATTTCCCAGCAGATCGAGTCCTCCATGTCCAGAGATGTCATCCGGCTGTAAGGAGTGCTGCATAGAGTGATTCCAGAGCTGCTCCCTTGCTTGCACGTACAGCTTTGTTTAAAGCAAACTTCCTGAACCTGGCATAGAACATCATCTTGTTTTTTTAATTCTGCATATCTGTCCAGCCTGCAATGAGCAGGGTCTAGTACTATTCACCTTCTTTCTATTCTGTTTCCTGGTTGATTCTGTTATGTCATCCTGCCAAGCGCCTGTGCAATCGTGACTGACATCACGTGACCCTCATTTTTCACCCGCCCGGAATTGCTGAAGGCGCGAAGGTCAGCAAGCAAAAAAAGAGCCCGCCCAGCAACGCAACGACGCCAGGCGCATCCACATCCACACCCACATCTTCCCTCCCTCCCCATTCCTCCATCTCTTTCCCGCCTGGCAGAGCATATCGAACCGGAGGCGCATCTGGCTGCTTCTGAGAGACCTGCGTCCTTGCGTAGCTCTGCCTGTTTTCGTTGCGCCTTCACTCTCTTCCGCCCCCGTTTGCCGCTCAGCGTCTTCGCGCTGCCGTCGTGGCTAGAACACGTCGTGACCGCTATTTGCGATCAAGAATACCCATCTGGTCGCTCCGTCTGCGAACTTCGCTCGGTTTAGCTGACGGGCGTTGATTGATTCGCCTCCCCCCCCCTTTGCTCCGTGGCGTTCGAACCTCCTCCGCGCTCCCTCTCGACGGTTGACCTGTCCAAGGCGACGTGATATCGTCGCGTGGTTCCTGGGGCGTGTCATTGCTGGGCAAGTGGGTTTTCCTGGCTTGATATCAGCACGCTTGCTCCTGTTTGCATGGTAAATAGTGGGCAGAAAAAAAAATAAAGCCACTTATCCGGGAAGAGGGTTTGAAGTCGACTGTCAGTCGGAGAACTGTTGGGGGTGTGTGTGTGTGTGCTTCTGGAGAAGACAGAGGCACAGATAAATGTCTAAACGCGCAGCTCAGGGTGGTCAAGGGGGAAAAGAATATATGCATGAGTTCAACATGTCGAGCACTCCAGACGAAAAGCCCCAGCGGGCCACCGCAGCCCAGTTGGCGAGCAGGAAGTAAGTGAATGATCTTCCCCCCATACCCTTCCCGACAAAAAGAGTCTGCAGCGCGTCATTCACTGCAGACAGGGTGGCTGGGGGGACTGGTGGCCCCTCCAGCACTGCTGGTTGGTGAATTGTTGCGGTGTATCACTCTGTCTTCTGTCGTCCCTCTTCTCTCACTTCTTCCTCCTCCCCTCATATATATATATATATTTTTTCGCCGTCAAGTCGTTCTTTCTGCTCTTTTACACCACCCAAAGATTTCCACCGACTTATCGCTAACTCATTTTGACAGAATCAAGGAAGTTCGAAAACGACGACCCGGGACAGCATCGGGTTCTGCTCCTCCATCCAGTCCTTTCTCGTCGATAGACCCCAATACCGTCTCTTCCACATCGGCTGCTCCTCAGTCGTCGATCTCCAACGGATTTTCCTTCGGTCAGTCACAGAGCTTCCCGGGAGCAAACTCAAGCTCGACCCCGGCGGCGCAGAACGGATCATCACCGTTTTCATTCGGTACTGGCAGCGGTGGTGGCAACACTTCCTCCTTCAACTTCACATCTTCATCTTTCGGCGGCAATAGCGCAGCCGTGAGCAATCCGTTCGCGAGCATCAACACAGGGGCTTCCGCCGCCAACAGCACCAACGGATTTACCGGGTTTCAGGGAAATATGTTCAATATTCCTTCCTCTGGCAGCCAGGCTCCGGCCCAGCAACCGTTGCCCACTGGAGGCTTATTCGGCGCCCAGCCTACCACAACCACGACCACACCTGCCATCCCAGCTGCGACGGGAAGTATTTTCGGTCAAGCTGCTACCTCGAGCGCGGCTCCGAGCACCAACATTTTTGGCCAATCGAGTACTACTGCTTCTACTTTTGGGTCCCCCAAGGCCCCGACTGGTTTCAGTGTGAGCCAGGACTCCATGCAGACTTCGCCTGATCCGAAGGCCAACAAAACATCATCCATGTTTGGCAACGGGACGGCGACGGCACCGAAGATCAATTTTGGCGGCTCTTCCTCGTTCACAGCCCCTTCGACCCCTTCCACTTCTACTACCGGTACCGGTCTCTTCGGAACCTCGTCCGAGTCCAAGCCAGCCTTCTCGGCGGCTTCTTCTACACCCTCCCAGCCGCTCTTCGGAGCAAAACCGGCAGCGACCACCACCGCTCCGGCCGCTCCGTCGCTCTTTGGTACGACCACTTCTGCTCCTCCTGCTACTGCTCCTGCAGTGGCCTCTGGCACCACTACCACCACCACACCAAGCCTATTCGGCAATCTGACACCGGCCAAGTCTGATGCGCCAGTCACCAACCCTTTTCAATCTACCAATCTGTTTGCCGGTGTCTCTACGCCACTCAGCCAGACCCCTCAGCAGAAACTAGACACAGAGAAACCGAGCGACTCTGCAGCGCCCAAATCTGGCTTTCAGCCTGCTGTATCCACCCCGGGAGGTACCTCTCTCTTTTCCAAGAGCGAGGCTACTGGGGCCGCCCCGGCCCCTACCGGACTATTTGGTGCTAAGCCAGCATTTGGTGCCTCGCAGCCCGCTCCCACAAACAACATGTTCGCTCCAAAGCCAGCTGCTGCCCCTGCGGCGCCGGCATCTACCCCCGCAGCTACCCCGTCAAACCCCTTCGGTAGCCTTTTTGTACCCAAGCCATCATCTCCGGCTCCATCTCCAGCTCCCTCAGCGGCCCCTACTCAGGAGAAACCGCAGGCGAGCCAGGGCCCCTTTGCGTCTCTCTTCTCCCCCAAGCCGGCAACACCGGCCCCGATGTTTTCCGCACCCACCCCTGCGGCTACTGCAGAGAAGCCGACCAATCTCTTTGCGCAGGCGCCTTCTTCGCCACTTGCAGCCCCCCCAAGTATGGCCAAAACCAAGGCAGTCTCAAGTACCGTTGACAGCACGCCTCTAGCTGCTCCTCCCACTGCTAAAGTGGACACCATTCCAGCTTATGCTTCCTCAATGCTACCCTCCGTGGTTCCAAATGAGCTTGATGAATTCTCGAAGAAGCAGTTTGAGCAGATGTGTCAAATTCGCAAGCTTAATGAAGGATTCCATCGCGAGATCACTCAACTGGATCCTTCAAAGGACAGCCTTGATAAAATCATTCTATTCTATCTGCGCGTTCGTGAGACGATTGGAATGCCTGTCGGCTCCCAGTTTAAGCGCAAGCCAGAACCTGACGAGCAGGGCACGGCAGACGAGGATGGTCACACCCAGAAACGAATCAAATCGACTGCAGGTATCACCGAGCCGTCGTCATCTACCTCAAGTTTGAACATCGCACCTAGCAGTATTACTAGCACCCCGTCCAAGCTCTTTGGTGCAAGCGAAACCACCCCCAGCAATAAGCGCAAGGCCCAGGAAGAAGAAGCCTCCGATGCCACACCGTCTGGTAAGCGCACGAAGGATGCCGATAATTCCACCACGGCAAATATTTTTGCCCAGTCGTTTTCAAAATCTCCTGCAGCTGAGACCACTCCCAAAACCGATGGGATATCTACCAAGACTGCTCTGTTTTCTTCGGCGCCAGCTGCATCACCAGCAAAGCCTCTCTTCTCCGCCTCACCTGTCGCTAAGCCCGCATTCGAGGCCGCCAAGCCTAGCAGTGCTCCAGTCGCCAACCCCTTCACTCTGAAGCCTACTGGTGCCTCGGCTGCAGCACCTGTGGCTGGTCTTCCCAAGTTTGGTGCCCCTATTGATTTTATGGCACAGTTCAAAAAGCAGGCGGACAAGGATGCTGAGAAGGAAAAGGAGAAACGCAAGGCGGAGGATTTCGATTCAGAAGAGGAAGACGAAGCAGAGTGGGAACGCCGGGATGCGGAAGAACAAAAGAAGAAGCGCGAACAAACCTCCGCCATGGCGACCAAGCGCGCGAAATTCATTCCCGGTAAGGGATTCTCATTTGAAGAGGACAATGAGGCGGATGAGGCGAAGAAAACCGATGTCCCGCCTTCGATCAATGGCACCGCATCTTCCACTGAGGCCGGAAAGTCTGTCTTTGAGATTAAGAGCAAGGCCCCCTCCGCTCAGTCAAGCAACATCTTCGGCCACCTGTCGGCTACCCCCTCGGATGCCGAGGCCGAAGATGACGATGCTGATGACAATGATACCGACGCTGCCTCTGAAGATACTGCCCCCAAGAACGGCTCCTTTTTCATTCCGAGCGCGGAGCACAGCGATGCTGAGTCCCGAGTGTTCTCGAGCAGTTTTGCTGGTGGATCAGCAAATGAGAGCAGTGACGATGGCGATATCACCAGGGCCATTAAAAAGAAATCCACCACCACTGCTGAAAAGACCACCGCCGATACGGATTCTGCGAATGGTTCAGCTACCCCTCTTGCTGCACTGACACCCTCGGGTGGTCGCAGTCTCTTCGACCGTATCCAATATGATGATGCTGGTAAGCCGAAGCGAGATGCGGCTGAAGATAAAAACATCGGTGGACTGTTTGGCAGTTCAAAATTCGCCTCATCCTTTAATACTCCGGGATCCACCACCCCCAACCCCTTCACACCGAACAGTAGACCTCCTTCCGCTCAGGGTGAAGCCTCGGGCTCGAGCAGTGTTTTCGGTGGTCTTTTCAATACCCCGGCCCCCGCTGCCGCGGAATCAGGCACCGCATCTGGCAGCGACCATACCTGGAAGATCAATAGCCCCATCAAGTTCGGTGGCCCTTCTGCTCCAACTTCTGCACCCAAAACGGAGGGCGAAGCATCCGCTGCAGCCCCCAGCGCGGTCAAACCCTTTTCTACACTCTTTGGCAGCCAGACGCCCAGTGACACCAAGTCATTTACACCGTCTCAGCAGCCCTCTCTGGGATTCTCCTTTGGTGGACCGTCGCAAGGTACGCCGTCTCTATTCGGAGCTCCCACTGGCACTGCTACGCCCAGCCGCTCCACCACACCAGGCATCGCATCCGACACGGGAGCGGAAGAGTCTGCGGATGGTGACGCGGCTGAAAACCTGCCCCAGGTCGATCTTTCTCGCGGTGGAGCTGGCGAAGAAGATGAGGACGTGGTCCATGAAACTAGGGCTCGAGCGCTCAAGTTCAAGGCTGGCGAGGGATGGGAGAGCCAGGGTGTTGGCTTCTTGAGAATCCTGAAGAACCGCAATACCTCTCGTGGCCGTATTCTTCTCAGAGCGGACCCAAGTGGCAACGTTGTCCTGAATACCCTTATTATGAAGGAAGTCTCCTACAAGGTGAACGGCAGCGGTGTTCATTTCATTGTGCCTCAAGCGGACGGCAAACCGGAGCAGTGGGCAGTGAGAGTTAAGAAGGAGGAGACCGCGAAGTTGGCCGCGGTAATTGAAGAGTGCAAGTCTTGAAGAATGCTTCTTCTCGATATTGTCTGACTAGCAAGCTTCTCTCCTACCTTGTCTATTCCCAATGGTAATGTATTCATGGTGGTCCTTTTTTTTTTTTGCCCCCTCTCCTTCGGTTTCATTTTTTCTCTTTTCTTCTCACACCTTCTCGAAGTCGAAAAGCAGTTGTTCTCTCCGCTTTTATTCCCACTGGGAGGAGAATCTTTTTTTCCCTTTTCTTTCTACTTCTGCTCCGAACTCATCTACAAAGGCGATTTTGATTTGCTTTCTGTTTAAACTGTATTTTGTGACCCATGAAATCTCAAACAGTCTATGACTTGACTCTATCAGCGTGCCATGCCACCCATCCATCCATCCCCGTCTCCTCTTCTGCCGGTCTGTCTTGTCATCGTTCTTTCGAAATATCCTTTAATTAGTTGTGGAGATGTGTGTGGTTCGGGACTTGAGATTGTTGCTCGTCATGAACTTGCGAGGAGTCCATAATTTTTCTTTTCTTATGGACTCTCTCTTTCCCACTAACTTGCATTCCATTCTGGGTTGAGCTCCTCCTGTATGTATTTTGCATTTTTTCTCTTCATCCATCCACCTCCCCCTTCTCTCCCTTCCTTCCAACTGGCAGTCGCCTGTGTGTTCAGGGCACTGCTTGTGAAGAGACATGACGGGATTTTCCAAGGCGCAATTTAGCATAGCGTGAACTCTGAAGCATACTCAATGGATTAGATCAGTTTTGATTCAGTACTTCAATATTTTTCCATCGGGTAGCTAGGTAGGGAGAGAATCGACGCTACATTCTACAAAACACAGGACAAGAGTTAAGAAACGATCCTCCAAAGGAAAGGGGGTATATTTGAGAAAAATAGAACTTTTTCGTTTTTTCCATGTTTTTAAAATTGTTCAGCATCTCATTCGACAGGATTCAAAGGCCCAAGTTACAAGCGGCGATTGAGATTTCTTTCTTGTCTCCATGTCCTAAAAAAAACGTCCATGCCCCCATCCGCGAACATTGAATTTTTTTTGTTTAATACCATCCACGTTAATTGAAATTAATGAATTTAAGCCTCCTCGGCGACGGAGGTGTGGAGACCCTTGGGGTTCTTGACGTTGATGGCCTCAACGATGGAGTAGAGCTTCTCCTGGGCGTTCTCGTCATCGTTACGCTTGCGGGAGATGCGGACGCGGAGACGGAAGGGAACACCCTTGATGCCGGCCTCCCAGACCTTCTTGTTCAGGGCAGGGTCGATGCGGACGTCCTTGGTGCCCTGTGAAGAAGAAAAAAAAAAGAAAATTAGATCCAATAACCTAGACAGACCTAGGGGTGCTTACCATGGCGGTGGTGGTGAAGGCCTTGATCTCCTTGATGGCGCGGGGAGCGCGCTTCTTGAAGGAAACACCGTGCAACTAAATTTCCCAAAGAGAAAAGAGAAAGAAGAAATCAGTCTTCCGCCCGAATGCCATTAAACAAAAATTTGCAGATTTTTGTGTCGATTTGCGGCCATGAGGTGGACTTCATCAAACTAATTCTTCTTGTTGAGAAAAAAAAATATCTTCTTTCCCCTTAACTGCCAGAGAGGCAGGAGTTTCAAGTTTCCCTCCCATCAACTTTCCGAAATTGTATTCCGGATTTTCTGCTGGGGTTTGGGTAGATCGATGTTCTCCGTCCTGCCTCACGAACGACAACGAAAAAAAAAAGGATAGGGGAATCGGATCTTGCTCTGATCGAGAAGATGGCCGGTTCGAAGGTCCTCAACGTACTCTCTTGTGAAGGTTGATGGTATACTCGCGGGCGACAACGTCGGCGATGGCCGAACGACCCTTTCCGGACTTGGGGGCGGACATTTCTGCAGTAAAAAAGAAGAAAACGAAATTAGTATTCTCTCAAGATTGCGCTGGTAGCAGTATATCAAGGCTCACTGAATTGATGGACGAGGTCGGCTGTCGTTAGCTGAAGTGGTCGATTGTCAGGAAGATCAAAGGTTCGGGAATTTCGAGGTGGAATTTCGAGTGCGCCTCGCTTACATTGTGGCCCGCAGATGATTGGCCACTGGCCCGGGTTTAGCCACGTGACAACACGCTAGTCCTGATCAAGAGTGAAACACCATCGCATTTCAAAATACTACACACAAGAGGATTGATATTATTATCGAGTACAGTGAAGAACAATTGGGTTGTCTAATACGCTGAATCTATTTATCACAGAGTGCTGGTATCTCAGTTATCTCTCCCGGCACTTACGTCTGGGTACAGGTCGAATCGTCGCTGGGTATAGATGGGAATGCCCTTCCTAGTGTTCTCGATCGACTCGCTGTTCAGCTCGGCATAGACGATCTCCTCGGACTCGCCAGCCTCAGTGAGTAGTTCGGCGCTGGGGTTGGCGACCAGGCTGTGGCCCCAGGCGTGGTAGGTGGCGCTCATGTCGCGCGCGGGACTGCACATCGCAACATAGACCTGGTTGTCGTTGGCGCGGGCGCGGCCCAGCAGGGACCAGTGCAGCGGGCCCGTCGTCAGGTTGAAGGCGCCCGGGTAGACCAGCAGGAAGGCACCCCTGCGTGCGGCAATCATGGCCGCCTCCGGGAAACGGATATCGTAGCAGATGGCCAGCCCGATCGTTCCGTACTCCGGCAGCTCGACCGTGGTCAGCTTCTCGCCGGGGGTCAGCACTTCGCTCTCCTTGAACCGGATCTTGCCGGGGATGTCGATGTCGAAAAGATGCGTCTTGCGATGCGTGCCGATCAAGGCCCCCGTCGGCGAGAATACCAGCGAGGTATTGTAGTATTTTTTGGTCGTAGGCTCCAGCTCCGGAATACTCCCTCCAACCAAATATGCCTTGGCCTCGGCCGCGAGGGCCGACAGTGCGTGGTACGAGGGGGATTGGTCCTGGGTCGGCGGCGAAGGCAGGAGCGTCTCGGCGTATTTGGGGAAGTACTGGGTCCCGTATGGCGAGTTGAAACACTCCGGTAGCACGATCAGCGAGGCACCCGCTCGAGCTGCTTCGAGGACTTTATTGCGAGCATTGGCAAGGTTGGCCATCTTATCCGCCCCTACCGCCACCAACAAACTAGATTAACTCTTGCAGTTGTATCCTGGAAGCGATGGTAGCGACATACCAGATGCAAGCTGCACCAAGGCAAGCTTGAGAGGTTTCTTCAACAATGCAGCCATGACGATAGATGATCGCTTGAAGATAGGTGTGTGGTAATTAAGATAGTAACTAACTACCTAGCTACTCCCTTAGTTGGTGGTGGTAGAGAACAAACAGGATCGCGGGGGAAGCATCCAAGGCGGGGGGGAGTCCAACCCATCTCCGAATTGCTTATCGCTCACTGCTCCTTACGGCTGATTGCAAAAATGGCACCACAACTGCAAAAACCCTTTAGCTTTAGCTGATAAATACGCGCTAACCACTTTTGTGGGATTTTTGGGGAATGCTGGTCACAAATTGCTATACTGAAGTGGTAACGAATAGACCTAGGGAACATGAAGAATCTTACGAACTCGTCGGATCAATAACATTAAACCTGAAGCCGCAGTCACTGATGGAGACAAGAATGCTTATGCTCTTTTATCATCTCGGAAGCTTGTCCTCTGTATGCTAAGCCGGATATCCCGTGTATCAATAGGCAGTCAAGGAATTTAACCAGCCACCGAGCCGGAGATTCATTATAAGTCCCAAATTTGTTGAGCCGTCTGCCCTTACACTCACTTCCTCGATATCACGAAGAACATCGTCCATATAATCCCCCGCACCGCTGAGTTTTATGATACACGCAATGGCACGATGGACTGCGAGGAGTCGATGAGATGGGGGGTCGATGGTGCGGTTGGGGCTGAGGGTCAGTGTGCGAACAACAGGAAACAATGGATCGCTCAAGAAGGAATCTTGGTCTGTTGACTTGATCTCATACTGATATGGGTTGCCTGTATGCTCGAAATATAATTTAAATGTACCAAATAATTGATGGTAGTCAAGTGTTAGCGTCAGAGCATTCAAAGGACTGTCGATCTTTGGGTATTCAATCAGATGGGTGATTCCATGATCAAACATGTCCAGAATGCGGAGGGCATTTTTCTTCGAATCACTCTGTAATGCTGTGTCAATAAAATGATTATATATCTCATGAACAGCCCTACCAATTCCATATTATCAGAGGACCCGCTTGTCAGAGAGTGAGGTAGAATATGAGCAACTTCCAGAAATTGAAATCGATCGCTTGACTCGTTTCGAAGAAGATTTCCATCATCATCCTTACAATCTTCCCCGTCTTTCTTAAGACGCTTTTCGGCTTCGCTTCGGTCGAACTTTCGAGATATAACACACCGATGATGATCTCGAACAAGGCAGTTTTGCCTTAGAGTGGATATTCGTTGTCTAGAACTGGCTGTTGCGGCCGTTTGTAATGAGGATAGGGACGCAGGCGTGGGTTGTGGTGTTTTGACCGCCGATGCTCTGACTGACAGCATCACCTTGGTCAGTACTCAATTTAGACAGTAATCTCACATTTGAACAATAGGAATAATACGTGGAAGGAGTAAATTCTCGATGATATACTCGGCGAAGTCTTCGATTGCATCCTTAGCGTTTTCCAACCTTTCTGGACTCCACGATACGATATCATCAAAGTATCGCAGATATGGACTGGTGTTCAAATTCTGCGCATCGACTGGTTGGAAGCATAATTTATTAAATAGGAATGAGAAAAAAAACATCAAGAATGCATCTTTGGACGAGACGTGATCAAATACAGCCTGTGCAAGCGCAGCGGGCTTGTACCTCTTCTGTGAAGTTTGTTCGAGGTTATAGCGGTCGATAAGCCGATGAAAATTAATGATTGCCGCCTGTCTTTGATCCGACGGTAAAAGAGCTGGCTGCGAAAAGTCCAGCATAGCCTCAAGAGATAAATGGCGGCAGCTGTGCCCTGACGGCATCTTCGACGAGGTCTCTTTGAGTTGGACTAGAAATGATATCGAAGTTTCAGATCAGAAAAGGTGACGGTCGACAGATGACATCTGTCAGACACATCCTCAGGTTTATTTAGTGTGCATAGGATCTCCTAGCTATTCCATTTCCTACAGGCCGGTACGTGGAACCTGTATGGTTCTTTTACTTCAACGTCATCTCAATGTTTTGATATGATGCCCGGATTATAGTTATTCCGGTATCCTACTAGATATGGTTTAGCTCAATAAGAGTACTCCGTATAGCTGTTTTGCAAATCTCCCTCCAACCACTGCTGCCTATCTTCCAGCAATCTGCAGGATTGATGTCTTCATTTCAGACGTGACATTCGAGATTGCACTGCATCTAGACAAATCTCAAGTTTTTCTGACTTCTCGTTATCCATAGACGACTGCAACGAGGCTACAGCTCCACAGGTCCATCACCCTCATAGAACGATCTCAGCGATTCAATCGCTTCGATGGGTCGATCCATCGTGAAGATCTTACGTCGTACGGTATTCTCTACACAAGGGGGAGGGTTAGAAGGATGGTATTATTATTATAGTCAGTTCCCCTGACCCAGAAAAGGAGGGGGCTGTACGGACTACGGAGAACTCTGGAGAGAGAACGGCACCCTTTCAGCCGCAGCCCAAGGCTTCTAGAAGCCTTCGAGAAGACGGATTGGAGCAGCTTGGCAAGGCTGATCGCAATGATTTTGTACGATTGCCTGGACCGGACTACTCCGTACGGAGGCGCCTCTGTCTAGTTGGGCACCGTCAACCAAGGATTGTTCGCGATCGAATCGGAGAGAGTCCCAGGAAAAACTCTGCGCGGCCAACGCCTGGCGGGTGGCGACTAGAGAATTTCCTGCCCTGGCGTTCTCTTTTTTAAAGTGGAATTGGAGCCCACAATATTATGGGGATTATGGATATCGACTATCACTTTGTATCCGGTCTCGCTCCATCCTGCCGCTAACTAAAGGAGGCGTCTACGTCTACAGTACGGAGTAGACAACTCCTAGGGACTCGTGAGTCTTGCCCTCGAATAATTTACTTATTGTCAATGCTGTTAGACCTTAGCTCCAACGGTCTGGCCTTCGCAGAGAACTCGCTAACTTCTCCAGTGCTTCTGAACAAGGGAAAAAAAGGAGAGCGCTTACTGCTTAGTTCCCCTTGGCTACCTGCCGGCAAGACCGCACCGTCAGCGCCCCTGATCGCATTTCTACTCCGTACTTTCAGGAGCAAGGGGTCATTCCAGATAAGAAGCACGCTCTAGCCTAGTCTCCAGAAGGGATTGGTCTGAGGCGTTTTTAAACTGGAAGGCGACCGTGACAAAGAGGATTGTTCGTGATCGATCCACCGTGTTTCCTACGGGCTGCCCCTCAGTACATCTCCAAGAAACACAACATTTATATACTACATACTCCGACAAACGCCGGGCGTTGAGAGTTCCACCTCGTTTGGCATCATGTTTGAAGATTTCTCTTTCTCGTCCGCATCGTCGGCACACCCTCCCACGCTCGAGTCGGACGACCGGGTCATGGTCGACAGTGACAGTGGTCTCATATCGCCGCTCTCCTCGCGGTGTCCGTCGCCAAAGGTCTCCGCGTACCGATTGCCTCGCAACCTATCCCGGTCTCGATCGTTGTTTCTGCGGTCGCCGCTGCCGCCGCCAACCTCCGTTCCATATCCCTACGAAGACAGACGAATCTCGATTGGGATACTGACCAAGAAACTGCATGAACATAGCCTGACCACTACCACCGATGAGCTGTCGGACGATGCCTCTGCCGCCGCGTCGCCGACCACCCCTCACTCCATCTCCGATGTGCCTGCCCTGGAGCCGTCCGCCAGGTTTCCGGGATACCTTCTGACCCCGCCTCAGACAGGCCAGGATGACGAATCTTACTACGAGGACTCCTCATCATCCCCCGTTACCTCCTCTCCTTCGGTGGCCAGTCTTGACTCGCCGTTCCTTTGCCCCAACTCTTCGCCTATAGACTTCATCTCCTTGGACAGCAGTATGGAACCCATCACCTGCTGTACCGACCAACGGAGTATCCGTCTGCAACGACAAGTTATCTCTCGACTGCAGTGCCATGCTCCCGCGGGGATCGACTCGGTCCGCAAAGCGTACATGTCCAGCAGCGATGAGCCGAGCGGTGCAGACATCCCCCCGCTAGCCTTCCCCGATGAAGACTGTCATCCCAGCTCGTTGCCCCCGCAGATTTCGCCGCGTCGACGCGCAGTCACCCTGCGAGCCAGCCGGTTCCGTCCCACCGGAGGAAGCAATATCGGAGGGCTGGGGGACGGCGCAGCACTGGAACCGCAGTTGCGCAGGAAGAGCAGCTCTCACGCCCTGATCTCCCACCGCATCGATAAGAACTACGGCTACCTGTCTGGCCGGGAGCTACGCAAGAAGAGTGAGCAAGAGTTACGGCGGAAAAGCATTGTCAGTGCTGCCTTGGCATCGATGGAATGAGTTTGAAAGAAAACAGAGAGAGAGAGAGAGAGAGAGAGAGAGAGTGTGTGTGTGTGATAGTCAAGTTGATAATAAATTGTACATAGCTATATAGATTAGACCCTACCTATTCAGTCCGAATTCAATATACCCGTCATCAGCAGTGACTCATCCCATAGCCTTCGCTCATTCCCAGAATCAAAGGCATGCTCGGCATACCCTGGATCCCCCTTCTGGTAACCGGGTTCCACCGGTTTTCCCTCCTGACAATCCTCAAGATACACGCCTCCCTTTCCCTCCCATTGTCTCCCTACGGCCGCCAACACCGTCGTCGCGGCCCCCTGCTCCACACTCTTGACAAACCGGATCATCTCGGGCTTGTGCCATTCGTCCAACAGCTCCTGGCTCACGAATTTCTGAAGTCCCGTAAAGATCTCCCCAGGGTGCACGCTTAGCCCGTGCAGGCCTCGCGGGCCGTATCGCCGCTCAATCTCGTTCATCATGTAGATGTTGGCCGTTTTGCTCTGCGCGTACGCCAGAGCCGCCAACTTGCCATCGCCACTGCTGTCTTTCCGTTCACCTTCAGTAGAGTCGGGTTTGGTGTTTGTGAAGTTAATATCCTCCCATCTGATACCGCTCATCCGGTGCGCACTAGAGGTCACACTAACCACGCGACACTGGAATCCCTCGCTGACAGAAGACAGCATCATATCCTTCAGCAGGACAAAGAGCAAGAAATGCCCTAAATGATTGGTCCCGAACTGCTTCTCGAACCCGTCCGCTGTCCGGTCCGTGATTGGGTCTGTCCCCATCACCCCGCCGTTGCAGATGAGAATGTGCAGTTTCTTCGACTGGGCCAGGAAATTGCTTGCCCCGGCGCGGATGCTCGCGAAACTGGACAGATCGAGCTTGAGCAGGCGGACGCGAGAACGCTTCGAATGTTGATTATCATCAGAGTCTACGTCTGGTGAGGGGAGGAGGAGATCCGCCAGCTCAGCTCGCGCCTTCTGCATGTTCCGCACCGCGAGAAAGAGCGTCGCGTCGGTGACGGCGAGGGCGCGCGCGGTCTCGGCCCCCAGCCCGGACGAGCAGCCGGTGATAAGAATGACCTTGTCGGCAAGTCTGTGGGCGAGGTCTTGGTCGTGGATGATCTGGAGAGCGGTTGGGCGGGTGTCGCCCGGGCCAGCGGGGGAAGTGTGCAGATGTGCGTATGCCATGGTGGAAACTAGTTGGATTTGGAAAATACGCAAAGAGGTTTGGGAAAGAAATGCATGTAATATATGTGAACTACGTCAGAGTGAACCCCGGGTGACCCGTGGTAGATTCGATCAGAGGAGATGGCTCGGAAGATAACAAAGGAAGAATAAAGATAGTATTATGTACTTTTAGCTGATCAAGAGGCTAGCCTCGGGCATACATTTGTGCTGCTCGGTAGTCATGGAGGGGAGGTAACGCTCGTCTGCGGAGCCGTCGTGGGTAAAGAAGAAAGGTTGGCTGATGACTGGCATCTTTTTTTTCTGCCGCCAATTCCTGATGGCGGAGTTGAGTCGGAGAAGACCACAGAGGGCACTTAACCGGCTCTGTTTCTTTGGTTGGGGGTGGGAGGCCGGCTCGATGTCTCTCAAAGTCAACCTGCTCGACAAGTTGTGGTCTGTATAGTGTTGTGGATTCCAGGCCCCCGCGCTGCTTCCACCCTTTAACCCATTTTCCAGGGTGAGAGGGGAAGACCGAGGACCGTGGTCCGAGGCAGCAATGTCCATGAATCTGATGTCGGGGATAACGGGTGTAGAATGCCCATCTAGTCGCTGAAATGGCGAGTCTATTAAACCGGGCCCGCCGTTAAAGGGAAGTGAAATGTTCGTGTGACTGGTTGCAACAGCTGTCATGGAGCATTCGGTGTCGTCGACTCTGTCGTCGTACACCGGCGATCCCGGCTCGCCAATATCGCCATCCTCTGCGGATTCGGCCTGCGAAAGGGAACGGTGATGAAAGTTCTCATAATAACTCAAAATTCGGTAGGAGTCGGGAAATGAATGACGCCAGGTCAAACGGGCCGGATCCTCCTGGTGCTTCAATCGCTCGGAAATCGACGGTAGCGGCCGGTATGGCGCATCTCCAACGATGTCAACACGGGCTCTTCGCTGTGCGTTGTCTGCGAGATGCTGACTTTGGTCTTGGGCTATGGAATCCTGTTCTTCAAGATAGCGCGCATCGGTCAACGAATGTGGCGTTTTGGGGGAGTATTGATGACAATAAATATCTGGCAGCGTGTGATGCCGTTCCAAAGGGGGAGACGGAAACTGCAGGTGTAAATCTAAGTCTTCATCTGAGTCTGGATACTGATCAGCAATAGGGTCTGTCGGCATCCGTAATGTAGCGAGCGAGCACGGGCGATCAATCTCTGGGGATTGTCGGCCAGAAGAGTAGTCTAGACACTGGCTAGGTGCGTCTGAGTCCCTTTGGTTCGAAAGGGATTCGTAAGAGGCCCGATCGACGTCTTCGATGTAGGACACGATACGGGCCACATTTAGCGATTCTCTCGGGTTGAGAATTTCAAACGAGGCGCCATGGTAAAAAACCGTTGCTTTCCGTGATCTAGGATGCAACAAAGATTCTGAACAGGTTCTGTTATGGCTGATGGTTGATGATCTTTCGAGGCGGCTACGGAATGTATTCTATTTCCCCATGGTCAGTTTTTATCACCCACAGCGATCTATATAGCGCAAACGACTTACGAGTTGCTTTGACTCTGGCCTCGGGCTCAACCAATCTAGAATGCCCAAGATTCTATCAGTATGACAGTAGAAATCCCAAGACTTGAGGTCGGCCAACTCACGCCGAGAGCTCCCTACACTTTCCAGCTCCAGCTCGCTATACTGCGAGACAACACTCTGGGAATAAGAGGGCCGCAGCGACGGCGGGCTCGACGCAGTTGATGACACTGACATCGTCCACAACGTTGGGATATGGAATGTCTGCGCTCGGTTGAGGTTCGCGGCACCCATCTTCCTTCTCAATGTGCGCCCCAGGGGCTCAGCAGCAGCCATGTAATCCGCCGACTGGACAAAGCGTTCACAGCCGTCGCAGACAGTTCAATTGCAACAGCACCAGATCTCGGAATTGCCGTTTTGCATGACATCTGCCCCGGACACGGCTCAGACTGTCTGGCTTCCGAAGAAACGGAATCAGTGGGCAATCCTACCATGGAAGAGTCAGCATTTTCTCCGATCGAGCGAGGTCTTTTCAATATGATTATTACTCACGGCGAATTACCCCTGAGACTCGCTCTGATGCGAGTTGTCAAAAGGCCAGAACCAGCGAGATCTCGCCTGTCGAAGAGGAGGTCGACCATGACAGACACACCACTCCCTTTCAGGCAAGAACAACAACACACCCACACACCCCAAAAGATAATAACAAAAACCTTCTCATCCACACATCTCCTGCAACAGGGACAGGTAAGCAACCTTCTGTTACTGGACTCTTTTCTTATGGGTCGATCAGCTGGAGCAAGCATGAGCCAATGATGGGCTGCAGCGCGTTGGCTTGCAGGGTTGGTGTCAAAACTCACTGGATCGGGCGTCCAGGACAAACCAGCCCCCCGACGCATTCCAACGTGGCAGCAGGTCCTGATCTCATCGTGGACTCGGGAGAGCCAATCGCTCGCCTATCTGCAAAGAACATGTCGCTGTGCCGAGCATCAAGGAGGGCGAATCCCGAGAACCGTGTGGATGGGTGGGTGGCAATTGTCTTTGGGGGGGAGGGGAAAGTGTGCCCAACCGGTCGCCCTATATTTCGTCTTTGTTCTGACTGAAATTACCGAATGAAAAAAAAAGAAAAAAGGAGGAAAAAGGATACAGAGTTTCAGATTTATATCGACGTCACGTTGTTTGCGCTCTACAATAATGCTGGTCATTGGTCATGGCTGGAATGAAGGGTGACGGGCGAGCATCGACCCTTGTCAAATAGATTCGACCATACGGCTGATACTCCGTACTCCGTATGATAAACAGGCTTGCTTTCTGCATCCTAAGGCTGAAAAAGAAAGAAAGAAAGGGGGGGGGGTTGTTGATCATGATCAGTCCTGCATGAAGGATGCCGAATCAGAGTCGCATCATTGTCTTCCTTGTTGATGAATGAGATGATTGACAACGAAAAACACTTGAGGTATGTATGTGTCTCAAATCAGGCAGATAATTTACTGAAAGCAATAATTATAGAATCCTATTGTCTGTCTCTTTCTATGTTCCAGACAAGATACCTACGTAAGGTACCAAGTACTACAATTCTGCTGACATCAAATTAACCATGAATACTACTACATACTACGGAGTACGGAGTACGGAGTACTGAAAACTAACTATATGAACTATACTAAACTCTATCTACATCAAGAATCCAGTCTAGTCGATGTGATCAGTCTGCTCCATCAGTACGTTACGTCTCGAATCTTAAACCGACACTCTCGAGGCTGGGGTGACTGCTCGGGTAACACAGCGTTTATGATAGGTCACAAGGTATAACTAACCTCTGCACACCATCACCGCTAGTTAACTGTCCGTCCGGGGTTTCTCTTGCTGTTCAAGATCTCGAAGAGTCTGATCTGCCTTGGTATACTGGAAGGTCCAGCACTTGCGGATGATGTCTCGGTACAGGGCATGGTCGAGGCTTGGAAACTCCCGGCGTTTGTACCGGCGCCCGATTTCTTCCCATTCAATATCCGCATATGGAGGTGAACCAGCTGCAAACTCATAGACAAGACAGCCGAGCGCGAAGAGGTCTGTTTCAACAGTGCGCCGCGGCCCAGGGGATTGATAACATTCTTCTGCCACAAGAGATTGCAGCTCTCCAATACCAGATCCGCCGAAATCACAGAGCTTGATTGTGAGATCATCAGCCACTAGGAAGTTGCGAGGGCTGATATCTGCATGTATAATTCCATGATGGTGTAGATGGGCAACTGCCATGATAGCATTCTGAACCCATCTACCCTTGATGCCATCATCCAGGGAATTGGCCTGTTTTTGAATGTATTTGCGAAGGTTCCCATACCGCATGAAAGGCAGTCGAATGCCCCTATCTGTAATCTCCAGGCATTCAAGAATATTCTCATTCCGAGAAAGTAGGTGGTAGATGGCCTTTTCCCGTTCAAGTAGTTCAGTCGCATCTTTCTCTAGATACTGTTTCTGTTTGATTTTTTCCCTCGCTGCAACCCTCGAAACTGCAATGAAGAACGGACTTCAGGACATCCTGCTCGTTGTCAGAACAGCGAAAGATCCCAGCTGCAGACCCCAGGTCCACCAGGGATCGGGTTGTCCCTTCAGGAAAGATAACACGAGGGTAATCAGCCATTGCAAAGATAGATGAGGGGATAATAAGTGTGGTACGGAGTACACGACAACAGGTCAACAAGTCAGTTGCTGCATCTGATGCAGAGGATCAATTTACCAGCTTGGTCATCTGTCAATCTATTCTTTCTCCCCCTGAGTAATCTGACTACCTGTTAACTAAGAGCCAAGACCACAGAAGTATAAATAATAGGAAAAATGGAGTGTAGTGGAGAAAGAAAAGAGGCCAACACCAATTTATGCTCATAGATCGTTATCATCATCATGAAAACCAAGAAGAAAAGAAAAGAAAAACAGCAAGTCCGTCCAATGGCTAGCCATTAGATAAGACCTTCGCACATGGCGACACATCAGTTTGTTCTTCCAGGGCTAAAGGGTATGTACGTAAGTATGGACTGGACGGAGGTGCGAGAACATTATGAAACAATTCAGGGGGGAAGGACATGCTTCCTCAGGCCTGCTCAAGAGAAGAAGGATCCTTCTCCTTTCTTTTGTCCTTAGGCCTTAAAAACAATCAGAATTGAATAGACAAATGGGTATCTTGCGTCGAAAACTTAGTGTCGCTTATATTTCTGGATAGAACCTTTATTAGCATGCCATCATGAAAAAAGAGAAAGAAAGAAAGAAAAAAAAGAAGACAGAAAGGGCAGAGGTGAATGTGAAAAAAAGAGAATAGAACATACATCCTCCATTTTCCTTCGGTTCGAAGGGTCCAGGGTATTGCCTGCTCCGAGGAGAGTCTGCCCAACAGCCTTGGAGACTCCAATCGCCGGCCGCAAGATGACGGTGGGAGTTCGTTTCCAGACGGCCTTCGCCGCTGCCTTGGCACTGCCACTCTCGACCACTTCGCCGGGGACAGCGACGATCGCGTCCCGCGCCATGAGGAGATCGCGCTCGAGGCTACTGAACGCCCCGCGAAGGCCTTGCACCACCCCAACCGGCTGGTCGGCGTAGAGTGAGATCCGCTTGGTCTCCTCCTCGTCCGTCAAGTCGTCATCCGGGGCGGCGCTACCGGGAGCATTGAAGAGGTCCTCGGCGCTCTGGAGAACCGTCTGCGTGCCGATGGCCAGTTTGGCGCCCAGTTTGACAAGTTCGCTCGTCGTCGTTTTCGCAAAGGCCATGGCGCCCTTTTGAATGCTGCGCACAATCCGGCCATCCTTCTGGTACTCACGCATCGGGATCACAACTAGGTCCTTCACCCCGCCGCCAACGTTCACTAGGGATCGGATCGGAGCCAGACCCGCCAGTACACCTGGAAGCTGGTTGCTTTTGACGTCGGGCATCCAGATATCATTGAGCGTCTGTCCGAGCTTGTCAAACCCAGAGACCCCGTAGATAATCACATGGCGGAGGACCATATCTGCACCATCAAGAACAAAGAAGTTCATAAACTCCGTCGTGCGGCCGGATCGCAGGCCTGCGTAGTCCACCCGCTTGGGCTTGAAGTCCAGCTTCACTCGCACAGCGTTAATCTCCACTCGTTGCAGAAACGGCACATCGCCTGGCGCACTTGGGGTCGGGGCGGACTCGTCACGAAACTCGAAGAACCGGCTCATGAAGTCCAAGGCATCTTGGTCCACATGTAATCGAACTGGAAGAACAGTAGCCTGCAAATTATATAAGGTTAGAATGGTAGACCATGCACAAGACGAGGTAAAGTTGCACGCACCTTAAGAATGATCTCCGAAGCAGCTAGCTCTGGGACCGGCTTGACCGTCAATACCTCGAGGTGAACCATGCTGGTTCCTGCTTCCTTCTCCCCAACCTCGTGCATGTATGTGGCAAATTTCTTCCATGTCGAGGTTGGGACATGATCAAAGATCTCCAGGTCTTTGATCCTTACATCGAGAGAGCTCTGCGTTTCATCCGCCCCGGGGGGGAAGATGACAAGATCAGCACAGACGCCCTTCAACTCAAAGGTCATCTTGTGTTGTTTGCTGCGGGACAAGCGCAGCTTCCGGCCTTTCAAGGACGGGCCGCGGCTAGGCCGTGCTGTCGCCCCGGTCACCGTCGTGCTGGTGGCATAGCTCCCCGTTTCACTGATCAGATCATCAATGTTGCGATTGATGTCCTGGTTCAGCTCCCGCGGATCCTTGTTTGCTGGTATGCCGATGTAGATGGAATTGAAGAGGAAGTCACCGATGACCGATTCTTCCTCGTCTTCGACGCCAGGAGACATGCGGCCTGCTCGGGCGCGACGTTCGGTGGCCTTCAGCTCCACATCCTTGACCGCTCGCGATATTGTATCGCGGGTACGTTGCCAGTCGTAGCCATCAAATAGGTTCCAAATCACATGGACATCCCGAAGTCGAACCCGCAAGGGGCTCTTCTGGAGCTTCGCCTCATTTGAAAGACCGTACGTGTTATGAGCCGAATCCCATCTGTGCGCCGTGCCGCCAACAGCGGACTGCTTGGCGAAATGATCGTCGCGGAATTCCAAATCCCCGATGCTTGAAGAAACGTGGTAGTGTGAATGGAAACTATCCAGTAGGTCCTGCGAATCTGGTGCAGCGATGATAGAAGCAGACATGCTAGAAGCGAGTGGGTCACCGCCGTCGGACTCTGGTCTCGGGGGATAGAAGTCGCTCACGTATTCGAGCTCATCTTCTGGATCAGCGGGGGTTGGATGGGCATTCCGCCCTGCATTACCTTCAGCAGTGCCCGACATATCTGAACCGGAGAACGGGTCAGTGGCATAGGCATCGCCGGAGAAGGAGGCGAGCATGTCTTGGAGAGGCATGACCTCGGTTCGATACTTCAGGACCGCGCTCGGCGGAGTGGGAGGCTGGAGCCCGTTGAGAATACTGATCAGCGTCTGTGTGGAATCCGCACAGGTCTCGAGAACCAGTAAGTCATCCCTTAGCTCGACGTCAATCGATTTTGTCCCATCTTCATCCACGCTCATTAGCTTCACCACGGCCATCGCAGATGATAAGTATGTGACGGTTACGTAGCCTAGATCAATCAAGCTTTGCACCTGGCTGCTCTGGCTGATGGACGAGCTGCGGCGATGAGACGGTTCTATACGGCCCACATTTTCAACGTCATCGATGATCATTATTGATGCCTTCTTGAGATCGAGAGTTGCCTCAGAGGAATCCGGGTCATGGATAGCACCCGAGAATTTGGCACTGGTAAGGACTAGTAGGGCTTTTGCGGGGATACTGCGAGGATTCAGCCCTAGGATGCAGTCCCGCATCACGAGCGATAATCTTGTTGGCGTTGTTGGTGACTTGGAGTTCTCTACAGATGCCGAGATCAACTCATCTCTTGAATTGGTCTTCACCCCTTGATCAGGGACGTGTAGATCTGCCAGGTTAACCAGAGAATTGGCCATGTTCGCGGCGAGGTCCCCAGTCGTTGTATTGTCACCCAAACCGAGAAAGGCGATCACTGATGGGATGGTGTACTCTACACGGAGATTGTAGAGCTTGATCTTGAAAGTTGGGTCCATCTCATCTGGTATGAAACGAGCCATCAGCATCGGAAGGGCCGCTTTGCTGACATCTTGCTCGGCAGTAAATGGTAAAGCTTCGCCTAGAAGCTCTTCTGACCCATTTCTCACAACTGCCATCGAATCAATTCGAGCAGCAGTCAGGGAAGGCATGGTGATATGCGCCGCTTCTGCATTGGTCATGTGTGTGTTGATTTCGCCGACTTGTCCTCCTAGATGAACCTTTATAACCAAATCCTTGATCAGGGTCAACAGCAGGATACCCGGGCGGTCATCCTCCGGCAGATACTTGGTCACAGTAGACAATTTGTTCAATTCGTTGCCGAGCTGTAAAAGAGCATCCAAATCGCCAGTGCGTGTCACCACTAGTTTCATGCCAGAGACGGTCGTTCGAAGTACGGCTCCTTGTCTGCGCTGCCGGAACAGAGTGTCAAGCATGATGTCGTCATCCTCATCGTATTTATCTTTGGACGGAGTAATCAATGAAAGCAACCGATCCAAGTCGGTTTCCTTTGGGACAAAGAGGTACTCCAATCTGATATTTTCTAGCGTCACCTTTCCGGGAGCATCTCGGCTTTCATCGAGTGGGACGGGTCCGGTCAATTTCGCCTTGTCAATCTGGACGCCGATGCCTTCGAATCGGCTCACAACCTTAATGGCAGTTGTCTTAAATTTGATGTAGTGTGTTTCGCCGACCACATCCAGAACAATACCACCAATCCGAGCATTCACTTTCCACGGTGTCAGGGCCGTCGTAGGGGCGTCCGCAGCGGGCGGCGAAGTTTCGAAGCGCACACCACGCGGCCGTGCTGCAGGCTCTGGTTTTGCCCCTCTCACGGTTGAGACCGATGAGATGGAACTCCCAAGCTCGAGAATTGTGCTCAAGCCTCCAATGCAGTTGATAACTTCTTCCAGTCGCTGTATGTTCAAATTCAAGTGCACCGGAAGAGTTGTCAGATGGACTCTCGCAGACTCTGCGGATTTGCTTATAGATAGAGAAATGTCTCCATGGGTTGGGGCCAAAATGTCTCTGGTTGACTCCCGCATCTTCAGGCCTTCATTAAACGACAGCAGATCTTCGGACGCGAAGCCAAAGACAAATTTCGACACATTGAGGTTCAATTTCATACTGGCGCCAGTCGCTAAAAGATGTGTCTTCAGTCCAGAGGCTGAGAGCTGTAGGATGACATCTTCGAGAGAAGGGAAGTATGACTGTGAGAGATGCAAGCGAGAGTCCTCAGGAGAACAGTAATGGCCTGGCATATGCTCTAGGAACTTGACCGCGAGGCTACCCAAAGAGAATCTTAGGCTGAATGGGTTCTGTTTTTCTTCTGGCGATTGCTTCGATGCAAGAGACTCCTCTTCCCCAGAGTTGTCAAAAGCAGCAATGATCCTTTGTCCCACTTTGACTACCAGCCATCCGGTAGCGATGTCAAACTGTATAGAAACGGATGAGACTTCGACTATAATATCATCAAACTCATCGTTGGCATCCAGAGGCCGTGATGTCTCATCTGGCTGACGAGACTTGAAACTTGGATGCTCGGAAGAAAAGTTTGACTCGGCAGAGTCGCTGCGGAATCTGGTCGAGGCATAAAGTCTTGTCGAAAGCATGCTGTCAGTCGCCACAGAGTCACCGAGGTTTCCAACAGACTCCTTCAGATCGCTGTTCGTTCTTTTACGGTAGGGCGATGTCAGGTCTTCCTGACATGTCCTTGGGGGCCGCTGATCGGTTGAAGGGAGCCAGATCTGTATTTTGTCAATCTCGAGGAGCCGCTTCGCCATTGACCGTGTCCTGTTAATCACGGGAGATGGAGGGTTGGATTGAGCAGGCGGTTCTGATAGACCTTTCAATTGACTATCAGATAGGGCAGGTAGGTCAGGGTGCAGCGTTGGCTGAGCCGTGAGCTTGGGCGTAGAGATAACCGTATCTTCTTGTTCTCCTTCTCCTCCTTCTCCATCCTCTTCTTCTGCCGGGATATCCAGCTGAAGAGGTGCCGATTCTGGGTCTGCGTAGCTATCGACCAGCCTCATGGAGGTCGGCGAGTCCCAAGCTCCTGGTATATTGGGCATAAAGCTCCCCGAAACTGACGCCTCGCTCACAGCACTCATGTACATGCTCTGTGCTTCCTCGTGAGAGAAAAGTTTAGACTCTGACAATTCATCAACAGAAGACTCTGATTTCGAGCTGGAGCTTCCTGCGACCGACGAGGGATAGCCATGGCTTGAACCAAGATCCTCCTGACCACGGCTCGACCCAGGAGGGAGAGTTTGCGATTCTTGACTACTCATTTCCCCATACCCCTCGGCATCGTGACCGAAGTCGCCGTGCAGAAGAGATCTCCGGGGATACGCATGAAGTCCACTGCTTCCAAGTATCCCAGATATATGAACAGGGCGATCTTGTGACAGGCTCCCAGAATCCTGCAACTGCGGCGACAAAAGTCGTGGAGTATCACCAGCACTCGGTGGAAGCGGTAGCAGTTCCGGCGGCAAGCTTGTGGAAGCCTCGGGTTCCTCGTCTTCATCAATCTGCAAATTTAAGACTGAGTCCAGATATTCCGGATTATCAAGTATAGCCTCATCTTCCAAGAAATTATGGCTACCATCTAGAGAGCCATCACTTCTGTACTCTGCATCGGTGTCTGCATCTGAGAATTGCCCATCGGAGGTGAAAGTGGAAGCCTCCATCTCCGTCTCACGGGCGACGGAGTTTGTCATGTAATCATGAGTCGACGGTGGCGGGTCCAGAATCGTTGAGTGTGTCATGGCTAGCATGGTGCTTTCGCTGGGCGATGGCATCGGCAGAGGGGAGGAGGCTCGACTCGACACTCGGTCCTCCTCCTTTGAATGCATGGTCGTAGACGGAGACGAGGCCGGCACCGCGAAACGAGAATAATTAGAAAACACTATCGGATCAGAGACCAACGTCGCGTGGATATTCGACAAAGATATGAGTCGTCTCCCCTCTCTTCCGGGCGCGTTGCCGTCTTCCTCGGCCGCCCCGGCCGGGGCGGAGGATACAGGGTGTATGTGTAGTTCCTGAACACTGAAGACAGCCGTCAGGAGGTCGAGCTGGTCTTCCGAGAGTCTCCTGCAATCCCCCTCCTTTTTGACTTCCATATCTACCCGCACAGCGATACCGGTCACTTTGGCTTGCAGCCGATCCGCCACGCCTTTCAAGAACCCCGCCACGAAACTTGGCAGCGACACAGTCTCGTTCCCCAGCCCCAGCTCATCCTCGTCGTCATCGCTGGACGAGACATATGGACGCTGCAACAGCTGAGACCTTGACGAAATGGCAGCCTGTAGTTCTTCCTTCTCCTTCGTCAGTTCAGTCTCGAGAAAGGACGCGGCGAGGTCGGTCGGGTTCGGGAGAATCTGGTCACCACCAGGATCATGCACCGCCGGGTGCTGCTGCGGCGGAGGAGCATTCTGCCTATCGTCCTTTTCCTCCGATACCAGTCTTAGATGTACGTCGATGCCTCTCGCCTCACAGATGATCCCGCTGCTGTAGATGTCGGCGGGGACCGTGATCTGCAGGTACTGGACGCGGGCATTCAGCAGCTCACAGGATTTCGGTAGACGAAGGAGCGAGGCGAGTTTCTAGGATTGGGTTTGTCAGAGAAAGCTCAAATGTTTTGGATATACCTATTGAAAAGAAAAAAGACACAAATATAGAGTCTCACATACCTCCAGCTTCAGCCCAACGTCCCGCAGCTCAACTGTACTCCGCTGACCCCATCGAATCCCCAAACTATCGAGATCCAACGCCTCCGTATCCACAAGCTCTAACCGAGACAAAGCATACCGGAGCAGCCGCTTCTGAAAAAACGAAGGCAAGAAATAAGCCATCCTGAGGGCACGGGGGGCGACGCCCAGGGTGCGGGCCGTCTAGTCGTATCCAGCGGTCATGGGGGAGATCAAACAAAGATCGAAAAGGGTAGAAGGGAAGTATAAGATCGATTAGAACCCTAGTAAGAAAAGTAAACACCAACTCCAGGCAGCTAGAACGAAGGAAATGATGCGAACAAAGGGTCCAGAGAAGGGCTCGCTGTCGCTGTTTTGGATGTGGGAGGGAAGAGGAAGCCCGATGCGGAGAGAGAGAGAGATAGGGAGGAATGACCTAATGACGTTGGGGCCTGATAAGTTAGGCGGAGATCTTCAACTCTCCACGCCTGCAATCAGGCACCACGTCTGTGTGAGTTGTCCACGAGCGAACGAGGGTGAAGTCGAAGATGCTTTGGATGCTTGAGATGCTTTGTACTAGGTAACTAGGTGGTTTTTTTGACGATCTGCCTATGATATGGTGTCTGGTGGAAACACGATTGCCTAGACAGGCGGCGTACGTTTGCAGGCAGGCTGCATTTATTGTACAATCTCACTATATTGAATTTTTTTTTGTATAGTTTTCTATAATATACTATGCTATAGGTGACTTTATATTTCGCAACAGGAGTACTCCGTATATATTGCATGTTGAGATGCGTCAAGATACTGCCAGACACGACTTCACCGCAAATAAGGATGGGTATATGCGTTGAGCTGATACGCTAGAAAGAGACAAAAAAAAATCGAAAATCGAAAGGGAAAGGGTTTCTTAATCATCTGCCGTGTCGCCGTATTCTGTAACAATCCACTGGCAGAACGCTTCGAAATCGGCATACCATTCCTGCAGGCGGACGGCCTTGACCCCCTCGCCCAGGATACCGTCGTGGATGTCGGCCTTCCATTCGGCGGCGGACTGGTCCTCATAGCAGCTCCAGCGGATGGAGTTCTCGACCATCATGGCCAGGCCTTCAAGGCCGAGGTTCTCGAGACCCTGGAGCGACTGCCAGAAGTCGTGGGTAAGGCCGTTCTTGCCGTGGCCGAGGATGGCGGGATCGTCGTTGCACAGAGAGACGGCGACCCCGCGGGCCAGCAAGGCAGGCAAGGGATGCGCTTTAATCGAGCTAGTGAGACGCAGGATCTCGTTGGAGATGGGACAGCACTCGACGAGGATCTTCTTCTCTTTGACAAGGTCCGTGAGCAACGGGTGCTTGTAGAGCGAGAACCCGTGGCCGATCCGCCGGGTGCCCAGCAGGATGGCGTCGAACAGGTTCTGGTCCGTTGCGTCGCCGTCACCTAGGCACTCGCCTGCGTGGAAGAAAAACGGGATCTCGACGCCTTCCTCGACGCACCGTTTGCGAAACCAGAACAGCACGGGCACCAGGTCGACTAGCGGGCGGCCCTGGTCCTCCTGTCCGACAAAATCGATCCCACAGATCACGTCGGGAAAGGCCTGCTTCGCCTGGATGCACTTCTTCATGAAGTCGACAATCTGGTCGTCCTTGAATCTGCGAAGGATGGAATAAATAATCCGCGCCCCGTAAAAATTGCGCCCCTCTTCGGTCGCCTGGAAGCGCTCCACCTCCTCCTGAAACACCTGGCAGGCGAAGAGATGATCCGGCTCGCTCTCCTCGTGGCCCTCGCGACGGAACCCGAGCCCAAAGCCGATCCGGAACTCGACGTACCGAACCCCGTCGGCGGCGAGCTGCACGAACAGCCGGCGCAGACACGCGCGGAAGATCGGCTCGTAGAACAGGATGCTGTCGATAACGGGGAACGCACGCTGGAAGATGGCCCAGATGGCATCAACCCCGTGATGATGGTAGAACGAGTGCTCCGGCGAGATGACGCACCGGCTGCGCAGCCAGTTGCGGAACCCATCTTCGCCTCCCTGCGGGAACGCAGCCGCCGCGACCTTGATATCGACCAGCGAAGCAGCTTCGTAGCCTTCCTCCCAGAGCGATGGTTTCCCCTTGGATTCCGTCTTGGGCTTCGCCGAAAACCGAAACGAGACGGGCTCTTCCTCGAGATCTTTGGATGTAAGCAGTGGGTTCGACGCCGAGATATGAATCCCCGAAGTCGCCAGAGCCTGCTCGACGAGAAAGTCAATGTCGAACATGGCGTCCATGTGCGCGTGCAACAACGACCCCTTGGGCATCCGATGCACAATCTTCCACAGATCCGTCCCTTCCATCCTCCCCTTGGCCAGATGGAACATCACCCCGGGATACAGGATCTCGTCGGCCTGGTGCGCGGCGTCTTCGTTGTCCACCTCCTTCGACCAGACGCGGGTCAACTCGCGGCTTCGGATGCGCGAGACAATCCCGCATGCCTGTCTAGCTAGAGGGGAAAGCGATTTTCGCAGATTGAAATCTAAACATTTAGTACCATACTAAATACCCGTTTCTGAAAGAAAAACGTGGTGGGTTACCATGTCGTTGCCTCTTTTCTTCCTGGATCAGTGCCTCCCGCCCCTTGAGATACTGTTGGATAAACGGCTCGTGCAGCTGGGGAAGCTCCTCAAGATCTGCCATTTCGAGAAAACTGCGTAGGTACTTTAATTGGTATAACTGGGAGAAATATGGAGAAGATCAAGGAGAGTGTTGGTGACGAACGTCGATGAGACAATTGTGGAGGGGTACCTCCGGTTAGCTTCGGTGGGATTCGATCTATCGTCATCACAACTACAAAATATGAAGTTTAAATCGATATTCTAAAATTTATTAATCATTTGGTGGTAGTCATGATTGCAGGATCAATTTATGAGGAAATCAAAGGTTCTGGCACTTTAACTTTGATTGTATTGAGCAATGGTATTATAAAGTCTTCAAGCATAACTGGGGTAGACGTAAGAAACATTTAAACTCCACGACATTAGAAAGATTCATCAGGTAGTGGACAATGGAGAGGAGAGAGGAGATCTTAGAGCAAAGACGAGCTAGCTCGGTTTGTAGATAGCCTCTTTGCAGAGGATGGCGACCTTTTTGAAAAAGCGCCTCCACTCCAACGGATCCCCCTTGGTCTTCAAGAACTCGATCTCGAAGAGACCCTCGGACACGCACTCGATGACCACCTTGCCATGCAGCGTACACAGGCGCCCGTCCTTGGTGAGCACGCGGATGGTGGACGAGGTGTCTCCCGCCAGCACGACAGGGACTGACGGTACAGGGACGCCTAGCCGGTGCAGGGCTTCGCAGACGAGAGGAACCAGCAGCTTGAGTTCCCAGATGGAAAAGAAGCGGGTCATCGGTCGAGAGGGCACAATGTCCTGGAATCGCTGTGCCTTTTGCGTGCGACTCAACGGTACGGATGGATGCGGGGAGAATTGGGACATGGACGGTTCGTCTTCGAGAGACTCTGCCAGCAGGGATTGATGGGCCACAAGGGGCTTTCCCATCGGCTGGGTGGAGGAATGATACTCGGACGACACATGATATGTGTCCCAATCGACCAGCATGTCGTTGCCTGCCATTTCAGGCTGAGTGGAGGACAGTCGCGACCCTGCGTCTTCGGCTGGGTCGAGGCTCATCGCATCCGAGCCCCAACTGCCGGTTCCGTGGCGTGACCGGGACAGGGGATCTTGGCTGAAGTCAATATGCAGCGATTCGAACATGGTGGTGGCGAGATTAATGGGGTCTCGCAGTCGGCCGTCGAGCGAGAGGTACTTGTTCTGTCGAGTGAACCAGGGGTGGCGGCGTACATCCTCGAGGGAGAAGCGTGTAGCGGGGTCGACTTTGAGCATCCCTCTCAGCAGCGACAACGTTGCCGTCGGCAGCTTCTGCCATAACTCGTCCGTCGTGCGTGCGTTGGTGGAAACATATTCATGATACTCGTAACTGTTGTTGGTGGGACTGTCCCAGGGGGTGTTGCCGGCTAGCAGGACAAAGAGCACGATACCGCAGGACCAGATGTCCACCAGATCAGGACGATAGCCCGTACCCTTGATCTGGCCTCGCGTACTGCACGAGATTACCTCTGGAGCGATGTAGGGGGGACTCCCGCAGAAGGTCGTCGAGAGCTTTGTCACCCCCTTGTACTCAAACAGGGCGGCGAGGCCAAAGTCGGCAATCTTGAGGTTACCGTCGGATGACAGCAGGATATTCTCCGGTTTGATATCGCGATGGCCAACGCCCTTTGAATGCATGTACCCCACGGCACTGACGAGCTGGGAAAAGTACACATGCGCAACGTCCTCGCCGACACCCTCGTCTGCTTCGATCTTATCGAAGAGATCCCCGCCCTCGGCTAGCTCCATTGCAATCCATCGCCAGGTAGAGTCCTCCCCGGTCTGGAAGAAGGAGATAATATTATTGTGCTGACCGATATGCTTGTGCACCGTCGCCTCCAGCTGCATCTGACGCGGGGTGATCTTGCTATGCCGCGAAGCATACTCTTTATGGATGAATTTGACGGCGAACACGGGGTTATCGGATTGGAGGGGGCACGCCTTTTTGATACTTTCGACAGTTAGCTCGCCAGCCTTGATCGGATTGACTGACAGCAAAGCCAGATCTTACCATGCGTAAGCGCCTTGACCGATCGTCTTCGACACGATCCGAAAGGGAAGATCGTTCGGCAGAGGCGCCAGCTGGGAATGGTGCATCGTGACTGGGTAGGATGCCAAAAAAGAAAAAAAAACAACCAAGGAAATCCACAATTCGGATCAGTCAGATCTCATATACATACACACAGGGCTCCCAAGCCATCCTGTGTCGTCGGTTGCTGCATCGCCAGAAGCAAGGGCTGCCGTCCAGTGTCCAGCCCGAGAAGCGAACGCGATCCCACGGGACGCGGGCCACTTTATCCTCTTTGGGAAGTGTGTTGTCAGGCGGGGCACGTGAGTTTGTTTCATTTGTCTGCTTGCTACGAGAGGAAACTACCGTAGTTACCTTAGGTATCTACTAGGTACTAGGTAGTTAGGTACCTAGTGTAAGTGTAACTATAGTGGTAACTGTAGTGGTAAATGTAGTGGTAACTGTAGTCCTGTCTGCTAATAAGTCTTAGGAGTCTTTGATAGGTATTTACTAGGTAGGCCTCATTAACTGGTTACTAGGTAGTAACTTAGATCTAGCATTGGGTAATTAGTACTCTATAGACTCTATTAGGCTTCCTGAATATTTACTTATTTGAAATAGATATAAACATGATATTTAATTGACAATAGCATTAATATTCTACCTAATATTAAGCCAGCGCGTAGGGGTACTTTGTAAGAGTCCAGGCTACTATGAGCGGGGTCGTTGCCCGGGGCCCGCAGTAAACAAAGACTCCCAGACTCCCAGACTCCCAAACTCCCAAACTCCCCAAACTCCCCAAACTCCCAGGACGAACCGACCTTCTCTCCTGCCAGCACAAACGAATTCTTGACTCGCTGCCCACCGCCGAATCACTGCCAGCGTTACCTTTCCTTCCCTCCCCCTCCCTCGTTTCTGAACTTCTGAATCCGATCGCCTTTGCCTGCTTTCCGGTGGGGTCGATCCCGGCATTCCAACCAAAAGACTGCCCTTTGTTCGGATTCGTCGCCATTCCAGAGCGTAACCTTATTGAGTTTCCTGGCATTCCAGCGAAAACCCACCCCGACGAAACCGATCGTGAACATAAAAGTGAATCTGCCCCTCTGAACAGACAATTCAGCATGGACTACAGTATGGAGGACACCCAGAACGCGGCGCCCGATGCCCATGAGACCTCCAAGCTGAGCTCGACCGCTCAGCGGGCCGACACGCAGAGCGTCACCAAACGGTTCGTCAGCATGCCTCTCTGCATTCATTGCCTGTCGTTCGTTACCTTGTAGCTAATAAAGATATTGTCTGAACAGTCTACAGCATGAGTTGATGGAACTGATGCTGTCGCCCTCCCCCGGCATTTCCGCCTTCCCCAACGCAGACGGCAACCTGCTTTCCTGGACCGCCACCATCACCGGTCCGACCGAGACCCCTTACGATGGCCTCTCGTTGAAGCTCTCCTTTACCTTCCCCAACAACTATCCGTACGCAGCCCCGACCGTGCTGTTCATCACCCCGATCTACCACCCGAACGTCGACTTTTCCGGTCGGATCTGCCTGGACATTCTCAGAGACAAGTGGAGTGCGGTGTACAACGTCCAGACAGTCTTGCTGAGTCTGCAGAGCTTGCTGGGCGAACCTAACAAGTGAGTTTTTTTTTGGGGGGGGGGGGGGGGGGTTAAAAGTATTCTTGCTGATTTCCACAGTGCGAGCCCTCTAAATGCTCAGGCTGCTGAGCTCTGGGACAACGACAAGGAGGAGTTCAAGCGGCACGTGCTGGCAAGACACCGTGACATCGATGAAGAGTAATTGCTTCTTCTTACTTCTCAGACCATTCGTCTTTCTCTCTCCCTCTCTCTCTCTCTCTCTCTCTCTCTCTCTCTGTGCATCAGCGAAAGGCAGTTCCCTTTGGCGTGATATTCTGCTACTTGGACAGCGATGATGTACATCGCATGGGATAGGAAAGGATTCTGGAGTTTTTGTTCTCTTTTATTTTTCGTCTTGGTCATTCTTAAGGGCTGTTTTCCTTTGTGTTTGGGACTCGGAGATTCAAGTGCAAAAAGGGGCGTGTGCCCATAGAAATACCCGGTGCTTGATTGCACTAGCCTCATCATCTCATTCAAGGTTTGAACTTGCAAGTATTATAAAAAATCAGCTGGCCCGCAAGATCCCAGTACTATATGCGATATTTGCGTTGTCAACAATAGTCCAACGCCCTGTGCCGCCACTGACGACACCAGGAGAGCAAAGACCGCAGAGTCCCGACAGCCGATGAGCAGCACAACTTGCAACCAGGTGCATACAACAAGAGATTTCCGACTCGTGAAGCGTGGCCAGATTAATTCTCCGTGTATTACCATCGCATCCATCCTACTCCTGGTCCTGTAGAGGACCGACCAGTCTTTTATTATGTCATGCCATTCATTCACCCCGGGCCAGAAAGCCCACTCCCTACCTCCACCCAGCTCAGACACCCACCAGAGTCCTCCAGAGTCCAGACACAGATACCCACGGACAAGGGGGAACAAGCTCATCTCTTCTTCCCACCAATCCATTTTCCCACTGGTGACATCTCTCGAGCCCTCTGCGTCCCCCCTGTTTGCTCCTCGACTGATATACCGACCCCTCCCTACGGAGTACGACCTTGTGTGCGCCCACACGTGACGGGCCTGGGGCCAACTCGCGCCGATCCCTGCGGGGGGACAGAAGAGGGAGACAGGTCTATATATTATTGATTACGGGGAGCTTTTCCGTTGAAGCGAGGGAGCAATCGGAAGGAGAAAGGAACAAGGAAAAGGAAAAAGAAAAAAGAAAGAAAGAAAGAAAGAAAGAAAGAAAGACAGCAGATGCTGGTGAACTGCCCAGGCCCTTCGTTTCGAACGCTTTCTTTCTTGTCCTACAAGTTTACCCCCCCTGCCCAGAAGGAAGGAAAAGGGAAAAAAGCAGACATTGCCCTCGATGCAGTCGATTGCTCTCGTCGCCTCCCCATGGATAAGCTGCCAGTAGAGCTTGTCTCTAAAATCATTGATTGTAAGATCCAGTCCCCCCCCCCCCGTGTTTGATGTTTGCTTCAGTGCTTCTGCCCCCCCCCACGCACATCCCACAAATACACAGTGACACACAGACCAGCAAGACTGACCCACTGCTTCTTTCTCGACAAAATAGACCTCTCTCCGCGGGAGCAGGTGCAGCTGCAATGTGTATCAAAACGGTTCTTCGCCCTTGCTCGCGATAATGGTCTGTGGAAGGTTCATTGCTACGAAGATGCGTGGCATCCCCCCGTCGGTAGAGCCGCCGCGGGCAGCGTGGAGACCCGGCCGTTGCAGGGCCATACGGTTCCCTTGAGCTCTTTAGGCTCGACTTCTCTCCGGTCGCTGATCCAGCAACCGTCATCATCATCGTCGTCGTCGTCGTCGTCGTCGTCGTCGTCGTCGTTGGAGCTGGGCTTAGACTCCCGTCTGTCGTCACAGGGGAAGAAGGCGAGGGCGGCGGCGGCGTGGGACCCGTCGTTTGAGCGCGAGGATGTCGACTGGTACTCGGAGTATATCGCGCGGCATGGACCCATCTCGCTGAGCTGGCTGCAGCAGCCATTTACGAAGCGGGCGCAGAGCAACCGCAAGCTGGACCTGGAGGTCAAGGGGATGGGGTTGCTCAAGGACTGGAGCTCCGCCCGGGAGAACAAGGTCGTGGCGCCGCTGGAGGACGGGAGTGTGTGTATCTGGGATCTGAATCACTCGCATTCCACGGGCTCGCACACGACCAAGGGCAAGATCTTGGGCGTGAGTGCGCCGGGCATGCTCATGGCAGACTGGTCTCGCCGGCGGGATGTCTCGGCAGCATCCAAGTCGGCGCTGGAGTTCATCAACATTGGCGAATGTGTGAGTGTGGACTCGCTCCGGCGGCGGGCGTACATTGCCGTCGGCAATATCTTGAACGAGATCGATCTGGAGACGCTGCGGGTCGTCTCGCAGCAGAGGTACCCCTGGTCGATCTTCTCCATGTCCCAGGAGACGGACTACTCGGTGCCACTAACCCTAGCAACGACCCTCAGTCTGCAGATCTACGACTCGCGACTGTCCGCGCCAGACGAGGAGGAGGCCATCAGTCTCCGCTGCGAGCGCGAGGTGGTCCCCTTTGTGCCGGAATCGCAGCTCTTCACCCTGCCGGACTCCCCGCTGCTGCAGCTTCGCCCGGATGGCCTCCCCCCGCAGCGCATCCGCAGTCCGGACCCTCTCGAAAAGGGCGCCAACTACGCCCCCCTCTTCCAGCCCGGCCCCCTCTCCGTCCTCCATCCACCGGCACCCCATGTCAACACCATCCTGCTCGCAGGCCGCTTCCCCAGCATCCTCTGCTACGACCGTCGCTCGTTCCCCAAACTACAGGCCACAGTGCACTCGGGTGGCCGGCTGTGTGGCCTGGCCTCCGTCCCTGCGCCCCGGTTCCCCGTCTTCTCCGACCCGGACTGGCTGCGCTCGCACACCGTCGTGGCGTGCGGCGAATACAACGGCCGCGGCTCGCTGGAACTCTACAACCTCACCTCCTCGCGAGACAACCCGCAACACGACCCGTCAGATCTCTCCTCCCAGCTCGCCGTCGCCTATCGGAACCGACAGAGTGCCGCACGCTCCAAACTGCTCTCCGTCGAGGCCCATGGGACCCGGATCGTCTTCTCCGACGCTGACGGCAACCTCAAGTGGGTCGAGCGGGACGGCCGCGTCGAAGTCCGCCGCTGGAATATCGGCTCCTACCAGCCACGATCCCGCAGATTGCCTTCCAATAGTAATAATATTAATAATCATAATACCCTCGACGGCCGGAATCCTCCTGGTGTTGCCTCTTCCGGCACTGCTGCTAGCAGTGATCCTACTACTACTACTACTACTCCTCCTCCTCCAGGATCCAACACTGGCCTCTGGTCCTCGGCGTACCGACACAGCGAGGTAGCCCGCAAGGTGCTTTCGACAGGGGGGAACCTATCGGGCGATGAGATTCTGATTTGGACGGGGGAGCGGATTGGGCGCGTGAAATTCTCCGTCCCTGCAGATGCGTTCGACGACCACGACCACGGCGACGAAGACGACGACGAGGACGTGTCATCTCCCGATGAGGAGCTGGATCGAGACACGCGCGACGAGATCCGTCGGCGGAAACAGCAAGAGCGACGGCAGGAGAGAGAGTACGCGGCGATGATGCGCAAGACGTTGGAGCGACAGGCGGATGAAGTGCGATGGATGGGGAGACTTGGAATGACCTAGTTAGGCACCACATGGATGTCTGTATGGCATGGCGTACGGAAAATTTCGGTATAGATTATATTTAGGTACTTAGCAAGGCGTCAGGTAGAGGAAACAGTTCTTACTATTATTCTTAGTATTTGGGAGCATTTTTTTATACTTTCCCGCTCGGCATTGGCGGGTTTCGGCAGACGATGAGACTTGAAGATGAAGACCCCGTCTGACAAAGGATTACCCAATCTCTCGTCACATTAGTAACTACTAAGACTCAAGAAGAAGAATTTAGTATTTAAAGAAAGGTGTTGGCAGACTTGCTCTATTCTATCACGTACGATCCTCGACCCCGCCACAGAATTGACTCAGCGGAATAATTGATAACCACGGCGCAGGAGTCAACTAGAGTAACTAACCATCTACACCTTACGATCACTTACAATCTACACCTATTAAGCGGATTGCCTATCTACAGATCTCACGCCATATTCATCTCGAGCAATTGAATTGCTCGTGTCAGGACTCTTGAATAAAAACCCATCCCCACTTGGAGGGGTAATCGAAACCATGCCGTCAGAGATCAGCGAACAGTTCGACTCGATCGAAGATACGATCCAAGCATTCAGTAAGACGAGAAACGAGGGTCTTTTTTTCATTTCTAAAGATTTACTGATCTGTATAGAGAACGGGGAATTCATCATCGTGCTCGACTCGCAGGATCGCGAGAATGAAGGAGATCTGATCATTGCCGCCGAAGCGATTACGGATGCGCAGATGGCCTTCCTAGTGCGCTACACGAGGTAATAACGGACCCAAAAGACAACGATAATAATGATATATATACTAATAAAGTAGTGGTCTTATTTGCGCCCCCCTCACCTCCACGATCGCAACCCGCCTCGCCCTCCCGCAGATGGTATCCGAGAACGCCGACCCAAAGGGTACGGCATACACTGTTTCCGTGGACGCGGCAGACGCCTCCGTGACGACGGGGATCTCAGCCCAGGACCGGGCGTTGACCTGTCGGACGCTCGCTGCGGGGGATGCCACCTCCGCCGACCTGCGGCGTCCGGGGCATATCCTCCCGCTGCAGGCTAAGGAGGGCGGCGTGCGTGAACGCAGGGGACACACGGAGGCGGCGGTGGATTTCTGTCGGCTGGCTGGTAAGTCGCCTGTGGGGGTCATTGCTGAGCTGGTCGAGGATGGCGAGCTGGTTGAGGGCGTCGCTGCGTTGGGCGGGGATAACGGTATGATGCGCCGGGATGGCTGTTTGCGCTTCGGTAGGAAATGGGGGCTCAAGGTCTGCACTATTGAGGATCTGGTTGCTTACCTTGAGAAAACGGAGGGACCGCTCCTTGCAAATGGGAAGCATTGATTTTTTTTTTTTTTTTTCTTCTTTTTTTTCCGTCTGTGTTTGTGACATCCCCTATGATGCTTTCTTTGGTATTTGGTAGAGATAGACAAAAATTCACTGTATATCATACTGAAAAAAAAAAGACGTTTCTTTCAACTGTGTCTTATTCTCAAGGAATTATCAATCGACTGTCATTCTATCATCATTGCTGGGTATAATCTATCGTACAACACCGGGGAATATCTTTTTCAATGGAGTAACCAAGTATACGGGCAACTACCGCTTGAGATGAGAGTAGTCCCGCAGCACACCCATCATATGCGTGTTAGTAGTCTTGCCGCTGCGGCGCGGCTTCTTGACCTTCTTGTGCTCGACCTTTGGGCGGGCCTTGACGACCTTGTTCTTGTTGGTCGGCGTGATACCGGCTTTCTCGAGTTCCTCCTTGACGGTCTGCGAGTCCGGGATCTTGATCTTCTCCCAGATCTGCTTGAACTCGTCGTCAAACCGCTGCTGCAGCGACGGGTCGTTCGCCCACACCATCTTCGCGTGGTCGTCCTTCTTGTTCCGCGTCACCAGCAGCTTCCCCTCCTTCTCCAGCTCGTTGATCGTTTCCTCCACCCCGGCCCACCCTTCGCGCAGGTCGCGCACGTTCATCCCCGCCGCTGTCGACTGCGACTGCAGATGCTTGAGAAGTTGCTCTGAATCATAGATATCGTAGGGCGGTCGGAACCGGAAGGTCCCCTCCCCATTGGCGCCGCTGGGGTCGTACCGCACCTTCTCGTGGGCCTGGAGGATCTTCCGCAGCGCCTGTACGTACGCCTGGTCGTGTGCCTTATCGCGCAGCGAGAGGTATGAGAGGATTTCGGAGAATTTCAGCGGCGTCGCCTTGCCCTTCATGTGCTCGACCGCAAAGAGCACCTGCGTCATGATGTCCTTGCCCGTGCCCGTATCCGCCGGCTGTGAATACACAATCTCCGCATTGTGCCGCCGTTGCCATGGATCTCCGCCAGGCGTCGGTGTCGATGAGGATGACGGTACTTGGGAGCTGCTCCCAGAGATGGTCGAACCCGCCACATTGCTATTGATGATCCGTCGTTGTTGCGGAAGGCGGGCGGCCGAGTCAATCACGCTGGCGTTGAAGCTCTTGAGCTGCTGCTGCAAGTAAGACATGATGGGCTATTTAGCAGATAGCTGTAGGTTGGACTGTTAATCAAAGAGAGTATCGGTACAAGGGAGGTGTGAGAGAGTGAGAGGTTTCCACTATCTCATCCAAGTCCCTGGAATCCTGCCTCATTCAATCAACAGCCACACTCTCATGTGGTTATTTAACAAAGAAGAGGTCTGTGAAAGAAACCCAACACGCTGTGTGATCTTGAGCCAGGCTGGCTGGGAGGCTGAGTTGAGTCTCTTTGACGGTGCACGGCTGAATCGGAGCCTGAGGCTACACGGACCATTCCAGTCATGTGACTAGGCACTAAACCATATCGGGAGCAGCCCGACAGCTCTCTCTCACCCTTGAGATCATCTTCCTGCCCAGCGGGTCTCTCTCTTTCTCTCGCTCGCTTGTTGCAACAGTGAATAGGTGATAGGCAGCTCTACATCTGTCCTATACTGTTCCTTTTTATTGTGCCTTTCTCTTTGGCTCAGTCATGTCATAGAATTGTTTATTGCATTGAGTGCACCTGTTTGGAAACAGTGCGTTTCGCGCGCCGCGAGCTCACAATTCACAACCACCTCGCGACTAGGAAGCTTGTAGAGACAGAGCGGCTGAGCAGCTCAACTGTCCATGATGGCGACGGTCACGGTTGAATTGCCGTTTCTCGCCTCTCACTATTCCATTGCGGAATCGACCCTTACGACTCTCACACAAGCGCCCACTGCTGAGCTGGTCAATCAGCTGCTGGAAAGCATCACCAAGAAGGCCCGGGATTTCGATGAACTGAAATCCGACAAACTTCGATTGGAGGTTGAGCTGGAGAATGCCGTGCGCAGTAATGAGGCTAAAGTCAAGGTGTTGAAGGGATCAGTCGAGAAGGGACATGCCGAAGTGGCGGACCTGAGGAAGAAGCTTCAGGAAACAGGTAACCTCTACCTGTCATTGAACAAAGAAAAATATAAGCAACAGCTTTAACAATTATTATTATCAGAAAATGCAAAGTCAGCTCTCGAATCCGAAATTTCCTCCCTCAAGTCTTCGTCCACCTCCAGTGAATCGGAGGTCAGCAGTTTGAAGTCTCGCATTTCGTCTTTGGAAGCCTCGAACCGGGATACCCTCGCACTTCTGGAGTCCAAATCCGGCGCCTACGACAAGCTTGCCGAGGAATTGTCGACGCAACACAAGAAAGCAATCGAATTGCGACGTGAGCTTTCTACAACCGAACAGAATCTTCAATCTGCCAACGCGGCATCCGCTAGCGCACGGTTCCGCGAACAGAGTTTGCAGCAAGAACTCGATCTCACGAAGAGAAACAACGAGTGGTTTGAGACGGAGCTGAAGACCAAGTCGGCTGAATATCTCAAGTTCCGCAAAGAAAAGAGCGCTCGGATCTCTGAACTCCAACGTGAAAATGAGGAGGCCAATTCGATGGTGGATTCCCTGAGGCGCAACGAGAACGCCCTGAAGAGTCGTTTGGATGAGGTTGAACAGCGGTACGAAGAATCGCTGACGAGCATCCAACAGCTTAAGGAGGAGGCCATCCAAACAGCCGAGTCCTTCAGGATCGAGCTGGACAGCGCAAACAGGCTCGCTGAGCTCCAGGGAGCGTCGGCCGAGACAGCTAAGCAACGCGTGCAGGAATTCCAATTGGCTTTGGAGAAGGCAAGGGACGACGCTGCGGAAGAGATCTCCAGGCTTCGTGTCGAAGTGGAAACCGAGCACTCCGACAAGGAGGCCGCTGAGCGCCGCATTGCAGAGCTCGAACTGGCGATCAGCCAGCTTGAGTCGGAAGTATCGGCCGGTAGGAACCGATTGATGAGCCCCGCTCGTGAATTGAACGGAGCGACACCGAGTACTCCCATGCGTCCTGGAACGCCTGTCGGTGCATTTTCTCCCAGAGCCTCCCGGGCAAAGGGAGGCCTCACCCTTACACAGATGTATACAGAATACGACAAGATGCGGACCCTACTTGCCGCTGAGCAGAAAACGAATCAGGAGCTCAAGACAACATTGGATGAGATGGTCCAGGATCTAGAATCGAGCAAACCGGAGATCGACGAACTTCGAGCTGATCATGCACGACTGGAAAATGCGGTTGTCGAAATGTCTGACATTCTCGAAACCGCCGGGAAGGAGAGAGATGATTCAACCAAGGAAGCTAGGAAATGGCAGGGCAAGGTGGAGGGTTTGGCGCAAGAAGGCGATATCTTGCGTCAGCAGCTCAGAGACCTGAGTGCCCAAGTGAAGGTTCTAGTCTTGGAGGTCACCCTCTTGAAGGAAGGGGAGAGCAGCTACGACAGGGAGGAGCTGGAGAAGATCGCACGTGATGAAATTGAGGAGTCCACTTCCGATCTGAATCCCACAGGACGCTTCATCAGCCGGAATCTTACGACATTCAAGGACCTTCACGAACTCCAGGAGCAGAACGTCACCCTTCGACGCATGTTGAGGGAGCTCGGTGACAAGATGGAGGGCGCGGAGGCTCGGGAAAAGGATGCCGCTCGCCAACAGGAACAGGAAGAGCTGAAGGAACTGAGGATTCGTGTGCAGACATACCGTGACGAGATTGCGAATCTGGTCGCCCAGACCAAGAGTTACGTCAAAGAGCGAGACACCTTCCGCAGTATGCTCACTCGCAGACGTCAAACTGTGGGTGGTGATTCGAGTGTCTTCTCGCAGTCTCTGCCGCTCGGCTCTGTCCCGCCCACTGCGGATGAGCAGGCGAAGGACGCCCCTGATTATGCTGACCTACTCCGCAAAGTGCAAGCTCATTTCGACAGTTTCCGGGAAGAGACCGCCACAGATCATTCTGCATTGAAACAACAAGTGCACGAGCTTTCGAGAAAGAACAGTGAACTGCTCAGCGAGATCAGCAGGTCGAGCAGCCAGCTTGCTGCCGCTGTTCAACGGGCCGAGCTTCTTCAGGGCAACTTCAACATGTTGAAGGGTGAGAATGCGGAGCTCCAGAAGCACTACGCCACTATCATGGAAAATGCCAACAAGCAAGACTTGAGAACCCAACAAGCCGCTGAAGATTTGGTGGAGGCTCGAGGTCTTGTTGATAGTCTCCAGAGAGAGAACGCCAACCTGAAAGCGGAGAAAGACCTTTGGAAGAATATCGAAAAACGTCTCATCGAAGACAACGAAACTCTGAGAAAGGAACGCAGCCGACTTGACTCTTTGAACGCGAACCTCCAGACCATTCTCAATGAACGTGAGCACACCGATGCCGAGAGCCGCCGCAGATTGCAGCTTAGCGTCGAGTCACTGGAGTCTGAGTTGCAGTCAACCAAACGGAAGCTTAACGACGAGGTGGAGGAATCGAAGAAGGCAACTTTGCGCAGGGAATACGAGCATGAGCAGAACCAGAAGAGAATCGATGACTTGGTCACAAGTTTGAGCTCTGTTCGTGAGGAACTCATCGCCACGAAGACGACAAAGGATCACCTGCAATCACGAGTGGACGAGCTTACTGTTGAGCTCAAGAGTGCCGAAGAACGCTTGCAGGTTCTGCAATCAAAGCCAACCGGCGCGGCTGCTTCGGTAGAGGCGACAGAGGCTGCAGAGGAAGGACCAGAAGGGAATGGGTTGACTCGGGAGCAGGAATTGGGCCTCCAGGTTTCTGAACTGAAACGTGACCTTGAGTTGGCTAAGACTGAGCTTCAACACGCAAAGGAGCAAGTAGAAGACTACCAAGCTATCAGTCAGTCCACGGAGGAGCGCTTGCAGTCTGCCACCGAAACGCACGAGGAATACCGTGAGGAAACAGAACGTGTTTTGGGAGAGAAGGATAAGCGGGTTCAAGACCTAGAGACTCGTATTGAGGAGATCTCGACCGAGCTATCTACAACAAACAATGAACTTTCGAAGCTGCGCGATGAGCAAGGTGAAGGGTCTCGGCGCTTGGAGGAACAGAAGGCTGCCTTTGAGACGGAAATTACGAGGTTGAAGGACGAAAACGATCGCCATGTTGCAACTGCTCAGTTCCACCAGGACGACTTGAAGGCGCAGGCGGAGATTGCTCAGCACGCCCAACAAAACTACGAAAGTGAACTGGTCAAGCATGCTGAAGCTGCCAAAAACCTCCAACTTGTCCGGGCAGAGGCCAATCAGTTGAAACTCCAGATGGCTGAAATGAAGACGCAAACCGAGATCAACAAGAAGGATCTCGCCCAAAAAGAAGAGAGCTGGCAAGAGCTCAAGCAAAGATACGAGAGCGAGATCACTGAGCTGCAGAAGCGTCGGGAGGAGGTTCTCCACCAGAATTCAGTTCTCCATACTCAGCTTGAGGGCATAACTAACCAGATCACCGCCCTACAACGTGAACGGGCCAATATCCCTGAGGTTGAGGAAGGTGAAGAAACTGCTCCGAACCTGGAAGGTCTGCAGGAAGTCATCAAGTTCCTGCGGAGAGAGAAGGAGATCGTGGACGTCCAGTACCATTTGTCCACCCAAGAAAGCAAGCGTCTCCGCCAACAGCTTGAGTACACTCAGTCTCAACTCGATGAGACTCGCCTCAAGTTGGAGCAGCAACGCCGTGCTGCTGCGGACAGTGATCACCAGGCTTTGAATCACAACAAGTTGATGGAAACTCTGAACGAGCTGAACCTGTTCCGGGAGAGCAGTGTCACCCTCCGCAACCAGGTCAAGCAGGCCGAGACTTCACTTGCCGAGAAATCCGCTCGTGTGGAAGAGCTCTTGCAGCAGATTGAGCCCTTGGAAACACGGGTGAGGGAATTGGAAAGCATAGTTGAGACTAGAGATGGAGAGATGAAATTGCTCCAAGAAGACCGGGATCATTGGCAGCAACGAACGCAGAACATTCTCCAGAAATATAACCGTGTCGATCCTGCCGAGATGGAGGCCCTGAAGGAAAAGCTTGCGTCGCTGGAGCAGGAGCGGGATGAAGCCATATCTGATCGCGATACCTTGCAGGCGCAAGCCGCGGCATTCCCGGAACAACTGAAGCATGCCGAGGATCGCCTGCAAGACTTGCGTGCCAAGCTTACCGAGCAGTTCAAGGGTCGGTCTAAGGAGCTTTCTGGCCGTCTCAACGCGAAGCAGCTCGAGTTGAATGCTGTCTTACAGGAGAAGGAAGTGATCCAGGAGGAACTTAGGACTACGCGAGCGGAATTGGAAGCTCTGAAGGCGAATGCCACCCAGAACCAGACTTTGCCTATCGCTCCGGAGGGAGGAAATATGGTGGTGGATTCGACGCCTGCGGCTCAATTCCCTGGCCCAGCTGTACAGCTGCCCTTTGGTGGCGGAGATGACGAGAAGATCAAGGCACTTGAAGAGAAGGTTCAGCGTCTTGAAGCTGCTCTTGCCGAGAAGGATGCTGCCTTGTCAGAAAAGGACGCCCTGCTGGCAACCAAGGATGCTGAGACTGAGACCAAGGTCAAGGAACGATCAGACAGACTGAAGGAGATCTTCAACAGCAAACTCGCCGAAGTCCGAGCATCTCACAAGCAGGAACTTGAGAAGCTATCAGCCGGTCAGCCTACGAGTCAACAACCACCTGCCACGCCCGCCACACCCGCCACGCCTGCTGCGCCTGCCGCGCCTGCCACGCCCTCGAAAGCGGGAGGCGAGCTTCCTGAGCTTACTGATGCCCAAGCGCGGGAGCTGGTGCTCAAGAACGAGACCATTCGACTGATTGTTCGGAACAACATCAAAGCCCAGGTCGCCAAGGAGAGAGAGCAACTGAAGAAGGAAGCTCAAGTTGCTCCTTCAGGGCCCAGCCCTGAAGAGCTTGCCGGTTTGGAGCAGAAGTTCAATGAGGAGAAGGAGGCCCTGAAGAAGGCTCACGAAGAGAATATGGAGGAAAAGATCAAGTCCGCTGTCGAGCTATCCGAGAAGAAATCCCTGGCAAGGATTAGCATGCTTGATAGTCGAAACAAGACTGCATCGGCGAAACTTGAGGTTGTCCAGAAGGCGGCAAGCGAAACCCCCCAACGGCCTGTCGTTGAGGTTTGGGAAATCGCCAAAACCGCAAAGCCGACTCCAATTGCGTCTCAGGCGCAAGCCGCAAAGCCTCCTCAAGCTACGCCTGCGTCTCCTGCGCCTCCGAGAGCAACACCCGTCGCGACACCCATAAAAGCGGGCACTCCAGCCCCTGGACCTACGCCAGCCGAAGCTCAAGGGACACCTGCTCAACCACAGACGCAACCAACACCGGAAGCTACAGCCGGCACTGCAGCGCCCGTAGCTGCACCACCAGCAGTGGTTAACCCATTTGGACAACAGCCACAACAGCCACAACAACCACTGCAACAGCAGCAACAGCAGCAACCGCAACCGCAACAGAATAGGCAACCTGCCTCATTGCCCGATAAGCCACCCGCTGGAACGGCGCCCGGTGTTCTCCGTGCGCTTCAATCTGGCCTCCCTATTGCTCGCGGCGGTCGAGGCGGCGGACGCGGGACCATGCCGCATGGCGCTCCTGGTACCGCACCCGCCGGCCAGCCACCGCAGGGCCAGTCGCAGAGTCAACGCGGATCCGGGCTCCCTCGCGGCGGCCGCGGCGGTCGCGGCGGAGGACGCGGTGGAGCTCAACAGCCGAACAACGCCCAGCAGACAGCCAATGTTGCTCAGGCACAGGGACCAGCCAGCCCGGGCGGTGGCAGGGGTGGACTGAATATTCAGGCGCGCCAATTCATTCCGCAGGGGAATAAGCGGGCGCGAGAAGATGGTGCCGATGCCGGGGGTGAAGCCGGAGGCGCCGGGGGAAAGAGAATGCGAGGCGGTGGTCATACCCGGGGGTCGTGAATGATTTCAGTTGGAAGAGAAAACACAGGCTGTCCGTTTTAAGATGATTTCCTTTGTCATGTCAGTATATTCATGCTTCTTCTCCTTTTTGATTATCGGGGGTGGATGGAGTTCATTCCATGTACATTACGTAGGAAGCTATTAGCATTTGAAAGATGCAGTGTTCTATTCTATTCCAATTCCGACTGCTATACAAGCTATGTTGGGTATCAATAAAGACAAAACAAGTAACTTCTAACTACCAGGTGGTTAGTAGTAGGTACTATACCTACCTTCTCCTCGCAGTAGCAGACCCCCCAATCATATGAACCAAAGTCTCCCTCTCCCTCTGAAGCACCACCAGTCTCGCATCCTCGATGAGGCGTCCCTCAACTCCCTGCTGCTGTGGTGTCACAGACCCCGCTGCAACAACCGCCGAGGGAACGATCTTCCCCGTCGTCCTCTTCCTGCGACGTTGTCCCGAATTCGACCCAACCCCCCACACGACCGTCCAGTCCGGGATGTTTCCATTCGGCGGGACGTGGCACCCCCCGCAGATTTTGGAATGGGAGCCAACTGACGCTCCGCGGTGGATGGTGGCGGACGACTCGACGATCGCAGCGGAGTGGATGTATGCGCCTGGGAAGACGATGGCAAGGGGTGCGATGGTGACAGCATTCGAGATGCGGGTTTTCACAATAGACGGAGCTTCAGAAGATCCGGATGTAGTAGTGGGTGTAGTGGGTGTTGTGGTTGTGCTTGTTGGTGTCGGCGAGGCGCCGATACTGCTCTTTTCCCCGATGATACACCCCTCCCCTATGCTCAGGGGCCCGTCGTACGAATATAATTTTGCGCGCGGATGAATGACGGTCCCTGCTCCGATGCTGATCGGGTGTGTTCCTTGGAAGACGACTGTGTCGGCGACTGTCGCAGACGCGTGGACGGTGAGGGGAGGTCGAGGTGTTGCGGACGAGGATGAGGAGACGCGTTGCTGGTGGTGATGGTGGTGGTGGTGGTGGTGAATGGCACTGGAAGGCGGTTTGAGGTGTTGACTTGATGGCTTGTCCATTTCCTAGCTCTTGATCAGTAGATAGCTCTGGAACTGGCTGTTTTGGTCGATGGGAGGCGGTTGTTGGAGAATGATAAGAGTTGGAAATTGGGGAGTTGTTGTCTCCGCATTTTACAGCAAATCCGCTCTGAGAGCACCGTCAGATCCTAGTGGTCTATCCAAACGAGCTGCGATAGATTTATTGGACTACTTATATATTCTAAGGGGTATCTAAACGAAATATCTCTCTCTATATATACAACTACTGGGTGCTGACTGTTTCAACCGGCTTGATGCCATTTCTCTTCCGCCACGCCCAAACCCCCCGGTCAACCTCCTCGCGCGTCATCCCATCTCGCACCAGACAGAAGGTGACATTGAGCTCCGTCTCGACGTTCCGGTTGCGCGCCTCGTCGTCGAAGAAGAGCATATCCTCGTACGCAATGCCGCTGGCGCTCTGGATCCGGGCGAAATGCTGTGTCTTGGTCGCGGGGAAGATCTGGATGTAGTCGAAGTATTCCAGCGCCCGGCTCGTCTTGCTGGTGGCCGCCGGGTTGTCCGAGAAGGTCGGTATGATATGCAGCGCCTTGAGAACATCGCGCGCGAGGTCGGGTGCGTGAGTGCGCGAGGCCAGCGCGAGGGGGATCGACTTGGCCTTGCACGCACAAACGATCGACGAGACGGCGGGATAAAAGGCAAACGACTCGCCCCATCTGTTTAGCAGAATGAATATGGTTGTCTAGCATTATTCTTTTTGGGAACCATTACCGGTCGACAACACGAGAGTTGTTGTCTTTGGGCTTCACCGGCGCGCTGACGTGCGTGTCCACCCAGAAGGGCCACAACGTGTAGTCGAGATCGAAGACGATCAGCTTGGGAAGAGGGAGACCATCGGAGAAGGTCGCAGGCGCGACGGAGAGGTCTTCTAAGGGTTGTGTGTTTTGCCGTTTTGCCCGCAGCATATTGAGAGTTGAGGGTGAGAGAGAAAGCAGGATTAAAAATAAGCAATCGTAAAGTCTTTCTTACCCCCGCAAGGAGATATCGACAAATCCATGGATCGTCAGAACCAGCCGCTCGGAACAGGTACCAAATCCAGGTCCATGGGTTTTATTTAGTTAGCTATTTAAGTATCTACTAGTTGATACGTTTTGCCTAAAACCTTCATCCAGAAACCTATGCCATCATGTTGATACAGCCATCGAAATGAAACATGTGTAACCCTGTCCACTCCAAACAGCCAGACAAGAAAACCAATATCACGAAGCCAATTCCTGTTAGCTGAAACGGATGGTGAGGACGACGGTCAATTCGGACGGTATGCGAAGCAGTTGACAGTGTCGAGAAATTTCCAGATCTGCTGGTGCTCTTCGAACCCCTTGATGGTCAGCTCGTACGCGATTGCATTCCAATCCGCCGCATACAACACGATATTCATCTGCTGCTCGTGGTCGAGAACCCCGTCTGCTCCGAGGGCGTCGGCGATGATCCTGCGCCAGAGCTCGACCGGCAGACCAGACCGCCAGTGCTTCTTCTGAGGAACTTGGATCTTGCCAGTGCGTGGGATGGGCGCGTGGCTCGGGCTCGGTTTCTCTACCTTCTCCGCTTTCTTTGGTTTCTCCTTGGAGGCTGCGGCCGGAGAGGGCGTCACGGAAGTCTCTCTGGTCTGAGGTGCCCCGAGAGCAGGGAAGTGGGTATCAAAGGCACTCCAGCCAGGTCGGAAGATGCTATTGAGAGAATAGTGGTTTGGAATCGTCATGAACGCATGGGGCATGGAGCCAGGCACATCGGCTACCTTCTTCTCCTTGACTTCTTGGCTAGCGTTAACACTTTCGTCCGGGACAGGCTGCAGTTGAACGTCCGTCTCCTGCTGGATCTGCTGGTCCTTCTGTGTATTGGACTCGAGTTTGGTACCATTCTCATCGTTTCCCGCTGGCTGAGCCTCCCCAGGACGATGACGGTCTTCCAGTAGCAGCGCGCGACTAACCACCATCATCTTCAAGGCGGTGTTCCAGATCTCGGCGCTGTGGACGCCGTCGGTCTTGAGGGCATCGATACGGATCCTCTTATTCAGCCGCAAATACTCCAGGTCCCGCTTCTTCTGCAGAGATCTCTGGGCCAGGGGGTCGTCGGCCTTGTGCGGAGTCGTCGCTGACGTGCTGTCGTACCCGCTTTCCTCGTCGGTTTCTTCTCCATCAGACTGAGGATCACGCAGTGTTTCTGTCACGCTGAGCAATTTTTGTGCGTGCTGACTCAAGTCCGGGTTTGGCCACCAGATGATGCCTCCACGGCACCGCTCGCTGCTTGTGTTGGGCAGGGAGACAGTCTTCCCACCAGGCAAGAACCCGAGCAGCTGTTCGGGCGCGCGGTGCATTCTCACCATACTGGTAAGATGGACCACGCCGCCGCTAGTCAGGGGAATACCCGAAAGAATGATATACGGAACGGATCGCAGGCCACGCATGCTCGCGTAGCGTTTCATTTCGTCCTGGGAGGCAGCGGCCTTTCCGATGGGAGCGACGGATTGGGTACGGCCTATATACAGTTATGTCAATGAATTGGCCATCTGAAAAGATCTGAAGGGAAAAACTGAAGCACTCACTTGCCTGGCGAGGGGTCTTCCGGCCGACAGAGCCCTTAGTACGACTCGGGGTCGCTTTCTCAGGAGGAATATTCTCCTTCCCAGCCGCTTTGAGGCTCAGAGTCGCCATCTTCCCAGCCAGATCGTCGACAGGCGATGCCTCGTAAGCTTGCTGCACCGCATTTTCACGCAAGACCACACTCTCCTCCACCACGTCGTCCTCGGTGACGAAGTCAAGGTCGCTCTGCATGTACACGCGGGCCAGGATCTCAACACCGGCCAAACCGAGCGGGTTGTGGCCCAGATCGATCTTCTTCAGCATGTAGCACTCCTTGAAAGACTCGAGAAACGCCTGCCAGACGCGCTTGTCCGTCTCGCTCGCTACCTCAATACGGTTATTGGAGAGATCCAGCTCGCGCAGGTCCCCCGCACATAGCACTATCACCTCCGCCAGCAGCGCCACAGACGCGATACTCAACCGGTTGAAAGGCAGGTGCAGCTCGGTCAGCTTAGCGGCTCCCTCCGGGTGTTCCTCGTCACGGTAGTATAGACACTCGAGTAGATCATTAATGAACTGCTGGAATCCTTCGTCCGTCAACTCTCTGCCCGTCATGTCGATCTCCAGTGATGGATCGCGAGCGGCCGCCCTCGAGGCCACACCGGGGGTGATGCGCTTCCTCTACTTCCGTTAGCAGTGTGTACTCTTTTTCTCGTTGACGCACTTCCAGAGACTCTCTTGCAGGGACTCGTTCTTCTTACCAGATCCTTGGACAAGACCTGACCGGCCTTGACACCCTCGATCTTCCTCTGCGCCCGTCAGTCATAGCATGCGACTCCTCGGTATGCTTCAACGTACAGCTGAATAATTCAATTTCCCCATGGTTACTGCTGGGATCCGACTCGGGTCTAGAATGGGTCAATATTAGCTGTCGGCTTGAGAGTATCAGATACAGCGTCATCAGAGAAACTGGGACAAAGATGGTCCTTAGAGATGAGCATCTTATATTATGAACAATGAAATATAATAATAAAGAAGAAGAGAAATCAATAAGGAAAGAAGACTTATTATAAACACACCTTCACCCTTCCTAGGTCTAAGTCACCACTAGACCCTTATATTGTCGATGGTGAGTAGAAGATATTAAAAAAAGTAGTAGTAGACTGGCCATGCAACGATCAAGAAAATATTAAAAAGAAGAAAAGAGAGGCTTAGAAAAGAAAATATATAGGAGAGAAAAAAGCTATATAATTAATCAGTGAATATTTCTTATATTAAAGTGACTTCTCTCACTTTTTATAAGCTATTACTCTAGAAAGTGATAGTCTCTCACTTAAGTTCAGTCTGATATAAAGAGAAATAGAAGAAAAGAAACAGCTAGTAAATCAAACAGACAAATCAATAGACAAACATTAGTCTCACTCTATATATAGCCATAGAGAAGGTGATCAGAAGAAGTTAACAATGCCTCGAAACTCGTCCAGTAAGGAAAGGTCGACACCATTCCAGGTCCCTCTACAGTCTGTTGCCTCGAGTGGCATACCTGCACCAGTTTGCTTCTGTGTGGATAACACAACTTCTCTCACTCGCTTTTGTTTCTGCTCTGCGTCATCTTTACTGGCTTCTGATATCCCACGATTCTGGTCAGATGTTGGGGTGGAGGGCAGCACATCCTCACCCTGTTCGCTATCACCTGCGTACAAGTCATGGTCAATCTCGAGGTCCCAAACATCAGGCCTTCGGAGCTGCACCCTCTTTCTGGATGCCATTTTATTGGCATCTCTCGATTTGACTGGCTTCATAACCATGGCAACGTTCGTTTCCTGTGTGCAAGGGCCCCCAGAACTGTTTGCTTTGGTCTTGCTTGTCCCCAAGGCTTGGGTTTCTGTTCGAATGCCTTGCAGCAAGACGGAAGGTGAAGGAAGGTCACTCAGACTGTCGTATTCATCATCACTGGACAGTGACTTCTGTGGCGAGTGACGATCCACCGGACTGCGAGGGAGACCTCTGACTAGCTGGCTGGCCAATAGGGTAGGCTTCGTGCTCATCTGTTTACCGTTGTCTGCAGTTCCCATGGCACTCTTTTTGGTAATGCTCGCCGGTAAAGTCAACTGGCCCGAGAGATGGCGTTTTTTGCTCTGTTTTGGAGGCTTGTCCAAGCCATCGCGACAGCAGAAGTGCTTACACCTGCGAACGCAGATTAGTACTCAGATCTGTCGCAGTGATACTATCTACCTCAAGCATCCTTACACTGTCTTGTCTTTGCACTTGTGGTTACAGGCCCATTTGCCGTTCTCGAGACGTGTTTGTTCGGACTCGTCGTCCCTATGGTCGACGTTATCATCTTGCCTTTTATTACTGTCTGTTCTTGGTGGATTCAAAGCCCGGGTTGGTGACGAGATGGACGTGCTACTATCATCGATCTGAATCCAGTTGCTGTCTCGAGCTGTAGAGTATGTTAGTGGAAAATTGAAGGCTGTATATCTGGAGAGGGTTGTCAAACCGGCGGTAGCAAAATCATCGAAGACGAGATCATCGCCATCAAATGCTTCTGCTTCCTTTAGGCTTCTCTTTCTATGAGTGGCCATATCACTGCTACGAGGTCGCGATGTGTTCATCTGGGGCCTGTCCTCTTTGTCGACAATCTGCCCTGTTCGAGAGAAGGGGAATGCCGAGGCTGGGAGGTCGTGATGAACCTCTGCATATCGAAGAGTGCCGGCTACCTGGCGATTAGATATGAAGAGAAAATTTACAAAAAGGGGAAGTCAACTAAGCCATACCGATATCGTCGCACATTGCATAGCAGCAGATATACTCTGATGCATTGTTCAATTCTGCATTAAGCAACACTTCGTGCCCGGCCTGAAGTTTGCTTGCACTGCCATATGTTAACATAGACTTGAGAAGACAACAGATGATTGACAACATACCTGATTCGCCTAAAATCTACCATGCGCCCATCAGAAGTCTCTGCTAAGAAGCACACATACACCGGACGCCTCTGGAAGAAGCTTGGGGGTTGCTCGTTCATGAAGGCAACCTCCGCCTTGAATTTGATCTGAACAGGGGAGCCAGCCTTCATGTTCTATTTATGATCAGTAGATAAAAAGGAAAAGGACTAATGCAGACTGTCGGAGCCCCAAACCTTTCCAATCATTTTAGTTGTGACTCTCAACTTTGGGAACTCGTTGAGTCGAGCGAGGAGCTTGATACCAAACGGTGGGTTCTTGCTAAGAATCATCTCAATTCGATGCGGTTCAGTTGATTCTAGCATCTCGATACTGGCAATGCCAGCAGCAGCTAGTTTTCTCACGGTAACTATCCCGATCTGATCGATCTGCTTCATTTGAAGAGGAGAGTTATCCCAGACTCTGGCCGCAAAGCTGCGAGCGAGCTCGAGCGAGTTCCTCACAGCCAACGAGTCCTGGGAGGAAATCTGGCAATCAACAACACAGCGAATGAGTCTATTGATGTGAGAAAAGACAAAAACTTTGTCTTGTTGGAAACTAAATTTGTGCTTCTGGAATTGCTCCGAGTCAGGAAAGTCCACTGCACCTAGTTCCGACTGTATCAAAAGGGAGATTTTGTGTGCTGGAAGGGCCACATCCACTTTGATTGGGAATCTAATCCCGTGGGCGCGGTTCAGTTCTTTGTATAGGGACTTCTCGCCTGCTTTGAGACGTATTTCCCTGAACTCTTCTGCTTCAGCAATGGCAGATAACTAGTATGCCGTGTCAGCTTTGATAACGAATTTCATATGATGGGACGCACCATTTCTGAGATTCGAGCATGTTCCCTGAGTGACAGCAGCGTCTTCATAGTCTCAAATCGTACATAGTATCTAGCCATGGCATCACCAAACGGTGTCGCTTTGACAAGTGTGTCACCCGAAGCGATCAGACCTGTATCCTCAAGAAGTTTGATATCCTTTTCACAGATCTGTCGCAGCATTTCATCTTCATGGTCCTGATTATTTGAGCCTTCTCGGAGATTGTAATGAGCAGGATTTCGTCTCAGCCGAACGAACAAGAAAGTACCCGCGAGCCATCTGATAGCCGAGTCGATGCTGGTCACATTCCCCAGGCCTATTTCTGCGTTGAGATGGTCGATCAGGTTCATGTGCAGACAGCTTTCTATGCTTTCGGTTCCCGACACCAGCCTTTCATAATGGTCGACTCGCTGCTTACGAGTCAATATAACAGCAGTAGCGCTGTCATCAAACTGCGGCCTACCGGCACGTCCTAGCATCTGCATCATCTCGAGATCGGAATACTCTTTGCAGCCGCCTTCCTGCCAGCCAACAGTATTCTTGATGATAACAAGGTGGCATGGGAGATTGACCCCTACTGCAAGCGTTGAAGTACAACATATAATGCTGATATCGCCTTGCAGGAAACCAGTCTCAACAGTGTGTCGGTCTGCCGGGTCAAGCCCAGCATGGTGAAACGCAACACCTGCATCAATCGTAGCTGTCCATGTCAGCTGGCTCGAAATAACCCACTTAAGTTTACAGAAGAAAGAGAGGGAAATACTTCTCAGATCCACATGGTGAACTTCTACATGTTTGCTGGGCCCTTTCCATAGCCTAGCTGGTGGGTTCGTAGACGTCCACAGTCGAGCGAGATCTTTTGCTGTAGCCACCGAAGAGTTCCGCGTGGAGCAGAAAATCATAACGGGCTTTTTACACGAATGGGCAGAAAGAACATCGGGCAATCTGATTGAAACTATCATCAGTATAGCTTATTCATGCCCAACAACGATCGAGAGGCAAATGGTTTGTTTTCATACCTTGTGCCACAAAGCTTGTCGAAAGCAAAGTCATTTCCAGCAGATTGATACCCATAGACAAATTTCTGCAACTGCACTGGACGGAATTCCTCACCAAAGTGCTCTCTTCTTGCGGGGAGCTGTTGGTTGGCTGCATCTCTGCCCAGCCAGATGGCCAAATCTTGAGAATTCGGTACTGTGGCACTCAGGGCAATAAAGCGTACACTCGACCCGATAGTCTTCATACGCGACACGACGGCCTCCAGGGTTGCACCGCGGGCTTCTTTGAGGATATGGACCTCGTCTATGAGGAACAGCTTGACGAGCTGCATCAATCGCGCATGATCCTTCCATTTCCGCGTCATACTGTCCCATTTCTCCGGGGTTGTGATGATGATATGGCTATGCTGGATACCTCTCAAGCTCGCATGGTCTGTATCGCCGGTCAACTCCGCACACTGCAGCCCTAGCTTGTCAAACTTGCGGTTCCAATCACGGAATCTTTCAGAGCAGAGAGACTTGGTCGGCGCCTGGTAGACAACCTTGAAGCGTTCATCCTTGAAGCAGTGGACGAGACGACAGATAGCGAGTTCTAGTACAACCGTCTTCCCACTGCCCGTAGGTGCTGCAAGGACGAGATTATCGTTTGTATTGAAGACTGATTGGAAACATTTCGACTGGACGGCATTGAACAGCGGGAAACCGAACATCGAACGGAACCGTTCCGGAAGTTCTTCCACAGAGACCAATATGACTCCCCGAACACTGACGGGGAAATCTTTGAAGACTGCCGATCTGTTATGTGGCAGATCTTCTATCTCCTTGTCCAACCCATTGTTTCTCATCTGATGTTGATTTTGGTAATTGTGTCTGGCCAGTGGGCTCGGAGAGCATAGTTCCGATGAACCGGCATCTAACTTGTGAGGTGTCGTCTGAGAACGAGCTTCACTGTGTTAGCATGTACAGGGTTCCTTGAATCCAGTTCTACACTCACAGGAAAAGAAGGGAGACACTTGGTGGAGGGTGGGAGCTCGAGAGGTCTGAACCTGGGACTGATCTGACTGGAGCAGTGCAAGGTCTGCAAAAAGAAAAAAAAAAGGTTTATGTCAGAGATTGTCCATGAGGAGTTCTTTTTTTTGAACAGTCTATTATTGCTTACCGAAAGCATCCAGCTGTAGCTCATCAGGACAACGAGACAGGGATTTCAACCCACCCATCTGTCGATTGAAAGCACCCGCCGTCTCCTCTCTTGATCCGAGTCCAGAGCTCTGGCTACTACTCTGTGTAGGACCAGACCTGAGGGTGGACTTGGTAGAATCCTCCTTGGGCAGACGAGGGACGTTTCTGTACGAGTCAAAGAAAAGGGAGCGGAATTCTCGTCCCATGTTGAATACCAAGGTCGAGGTAAAGGACTTGGCTGCTGTCTGTGTCCGCTGCTCGGATGGAATGATGATGATAAGTGAAGAGGAGGTGAAGTCTCGGTGAAGTCTCGACGGCACGGGGTGGTTGCCGATTTAGGAAACAGACATTTAAGTAAAAAACAACCACATGGAAAGATAGGTATCAAAATCATGTCCATCGTCTCGTATAACTATTTATACAATGTAGGAATCCAGGCCACGGTCTGCTCACATCAAAGCTGTCGAGGTATAGCCACATAAAAAAAGGTAAATTACAGGTCATCCCAAGAATTTCCCAACGTCTATCGATAGTAGGCCTAAATTGCACCTACTATCCAAAGCAAGAACCAGCCCAGTACATGCCGCTGTGCACTGTTCAAAATCTCCCTCCCTCTCTTTCTCTCTCTATCTCTGTCTCTTTTCGTTTTTCTCATGCGAGGTTCATGTCTAGTCATCAATCAAACCTTCTCAGTGTTTGGAGGAGAAGTAGCTTGCGCTCGCGCTCCGACCGGTGCTAGTTCGCGGCTGGCTAGGAGACGTGGGGCGAGAGGTTGAGAGACCAGCATCGGACAGGAATGGGCTAGAGGGGAGCTTGATCGAGAAGTCATTGGTGGGAGATTGGACGGGGGAGCCGGGTTCGCCCATAATGTCCTTCTCGTAGTTGTCGATACGGATTGGTGGCGGCCGCATGGGGTATCCCTTAAGCTGGGTGAGACCAGAGGCGGGATTTCCGTAGAAATAGGTTGCCACAAGGACGAGACCGGTGCCGAGAATGAACTGTAGACGTTTATGATGAGCCTCTTTTTTTTTTTTTTTTTTTTTTTGGAAGCCATTAATAAAGATGGGGGAACATACATTACCAGTAAGTTCAAACTCGAAAAACCATACGCTCCCCACCGTGCTGAGGATGATGCTGCTAACAATGGCCAAGTTCTTGGGCAGCTTAGAGGCATAGCAGATGGAGAAGGCAGTAGCCACTCCACCAAGCGCCTGCACGAGGATCATGGACCAGACGGCCCAGTTGTAGCCTTCGAAGAAGCCGTTCACGGCTACCGTCTCGCCATCCAGGAAGATCACGCCAATAAACAGAGCAGGAAAGATGGAGTAGAAGGCCAGTTGCACGTTGCGAACCCAAAGGGAGGTAGAGATGGCACTGTCCCTGAGCACCTTTTCAAAATACACGCCCGCCAGGCCCGACGCAGCACAGGCGCCGAGGGTGGCCAACAGACCAACGACGGAGTTCAGCCGCGGAAAGGCGGTGTTGATGTCGTCCTCGATGCCTTCATATGTGGCGGAGCGCTTGTGAAGTCCTGCTGCAGCACCGCCGCCCTTGACGGCCTTCCACTCGGCCAGGGAGCGCGGGAAATTGATATGCACGGCCTCCTCCTCCAGCTCGTCCGAGGGCCCGCCGGCCATCTGCACGAGGGCGACCCCGACGACCAAAAGCAGGAGAAGGCCCCATTTGCGCGGGGCGACGCTGCGGCGCAGCAAGACGAGGCCAAAGATGGCAGACACCAGCAACTTCAGCTGGTAGGTCACCTGGAAGGTGGCCGCCTGCATGTTAGACAGCGCGATGTACTGTAACGAGTTTGCCAGGGTGTAGAGACTGGCGGGGATGGCCAGCTTCCAGCTGTCGCCGGAGAAGACCGCGCTGGTCAGAGAGAAGAAGAGCGAGGTGGCCGGCATGGACGGCGGGGCGGCCTTGGAGACCTCGTATAGCGCCATGGTCAGGGAGATGGTCAACTTGACCACCTCGTTCAGGAAGACAGCCGTCGATGTCAGATACCGTTTTCCACCGGCGGGCGGCATCACTCGTGAATAATGCAATAACTAAGCACTTGTCAGGCCTCTCTCTCTCTCTCTCTCTCTCTTTCCCTTAACTCACCAGTGGAAATGTGGTATATTGTGCCGCAAGCTACATCGAACGGCAAATCAGCGAAACCACGCCTCGCAAGGTTTGTTATATGTCTCCCATACCATAACCCACGACATATGCTTCCACGCCATCCTCAACCCCGACGACTGCCGTTGTGTATGTTCCCCCATTGTGCGCGTGGGACTTCTTTCACCGAACAAGACAGATTCAAGCCTGTCTCTCGACTCCTAACCAACGCTTCGAGATAGCGTGTGTACTCCGTGATCGATCGAGAAGCGTTCGTATTCGTGTGCTGTTCGTGTGCGAGGGTAGTTCGAATTGCGCTTGACCCGAGTCCGCCTGCAAACCGGGTCACACAAAGACGATAAGAGATATTCCTTGATCAAATGGGAGGAAGAACGAGAACAAGATAAAACAGGATTATCTGCGAGAACTCTAACAGAGCGCGCTATTCCTTTTTCTTCTCGTAAAGTTGTTGTGGCCAAGATCAGGAGAAGTCGAGTCGAAACTAAACCTAAGGTCTGGGGTATTAAAGCGGTGTGGATCAAATGGCCCGAACTCAGGGGAGTGGCAAGAATCAGAGACAAAAGACAAGAGTGAAAGGGGGGGGGTGATTAGGAAAAAAAAAAAAAGAATAGTAATAATGATAATGATGATTAGACCTGGCTGAGATGGAACAAGCATCAAACTAGGAGACGCAATCTGTACGACAGCTCTGCAAGTGATGGTTGAGGTGGCTGGAAATCCCTCACTAGTACAGAGTAGTTGTTAGGCAGTTTTAGACACAGGTACAGTAGTGTGTATTATAGTTAGTTATAGTTAGTTAGTTATATAGTTAGTACCTAGGTAGATAGTAGTATGTTTAGATCAATACAATGACAAGTAAAATAGATAGTAATAATATTATTTATATCTTCTATTGGTAATAAATCTATAGTACACTAGAATCAGGTTTACATGGCCCAAGATCCAATAGCCAACACACACCGCTCACAATGACACAATCAAAGAATGTGAGAAAAAAAAAAAAAAAAAAAGGAAAAAAAGGATATCGAGGAGGAAAGAGTACGTCATCAATGCAGGTAGAAGAAGCGCCAAACCCGTGGCATATGAGAAGACAATGGAATGCAAGGTATGCGAGATCGACGCAAGGAAAAATGCAAAGAGTGTTGTGTTTGAGTCACAGGGATATAGACATATACAATAAGAGAGAGAGAGAGAAAGAGAGAGAGAGTTAGTGAACTGGCGTCGCCAGACTGGTGCTGCCACGATCGCTTGCCCACCCCAGCGCCCAGACAGGAAAGTCATCTGGACTGACCTCGTCGGGCTCGTCGAAGACTAGCGCCTCGCTGCTGTCCGTGCGGCGTCGCGAGTGTCGTCGCTGGTCCTGCGGCGGCACAACGGGAGGAGGGCGTCGGGGCGGCGGCTTCTGGGAGGGGAGCGGCGAGAAACGATGGATCGGGAGGGTGGGTGTCAGCGGTGAGGCGCCGCCAGTGGTGGTCGGAGACGGCGAGCTCTCCGAGTAGATCAGGCTAGTCCGGGGCGAGACGGCCGGCTTCGCGGTTTTCTGTTCACCTGAAGGAATGTAAGCGTCTTTGTCCGTAGTGCGGTGGTGATGGAGTGGTAGTGCACCTTGTTCTAACTGATTGGAGAAGGTCTTGAGACCGGGGCTGAGCCGGAGGAAGGACATGTCGGAGGAGCCGTAGAAGGATTCATGGTCCTGAACGGGCACCGAGAGCATCGAGCCCTGTTCCAGGTCGCCGCCGCCGCCCATCCCGCTCGCTCGCGCCTCGTGGAACAGGCTCGGTGTGATCCGGCCCTTGCGCTGCCGCATAGCTTCCAGGAAATCTTCTTCCTGCCGGGTGACCGCCATGATGCGGCTGCGCCGGTTGAGCTCCTTGCTGGGCACCGGCGCCACGGGATGCGGGGGGGGGCTCCGTGGCACGTCTGGCTCCGAGATGGTAGGGATCCCGCTGGACCGTCGGGATGAGCTCTTCTGTCCCCCGTAGGACGACTTGCCGCCCGAAGATACCGAGGGGGGACGTCCGGGAGACAGGCCTCGCGTCGCGCGTGATCCCCGGTCACTGACCGAGGGCCGTTTGTCGATTCGCCTGGGCGCCGGCCCCCGGGTGGCCTGGATGGCTTTGGCCGTGTAGATCTCCGCCTCGAGAAGGTCACTGTTGTAAGTTCCCACGCTGTCCCTCTTATAGTTGTTCCGGGTGCCGGACTGTCGTCTACTCTTCTTCGGCAGCACATGGTCCTCTTCCTCCCCTTCCTCTTCATCCTCGGAAGATGATAGGCAGAGGACGCTAGATTGGTGCAGATCCGAGTTCTTCAGAGCGTTCTTGCTGCTCTTCTTCACGAGGGGGTGTTTTACCTCGAGAGAAGCCAGGTCACGGCCGTCCGTCTGCCAGTTCTCTGCGGAACTTGATACACGGGTCGGGTAGGACGGTTTCGTTCGCGGGCTGAGGTGCGTGCTTTTGCTCCAAGCACCTGCGGAGCGCTCCGAAGGCGCTTGCGACGCAGCTCTCTCGTTGGATTTTGACCGGTTGGAGGGTGTAGCCTGCCTGCTCCCGCGCCGAGGACGAGGGTTCGGTTCGACCAGCTCCTCCTCCAAGCCCTCGGCCTCGTAAAGATCGTGGTACTGCTTGAGGGCCAAGTCGAATTCGCTGCATCGCACTGATCGTTCCCGAGTTACATCGAGAGAAGAGGCTACACTCTGCCGGTTGGAGGCATAAAGAACCTCCGGCGGAGCCAGCATCTGAGCATGGCTCTCTCTTTGAATACGGGTGTCCCTATGGATATCTCTCTGGGGATGATTGTCTCTCTGGATAATATGAGTGTCTCTCGCAGACGACAACCCTTGCGGGTGCGGAGGATCCTTGGTAAGCTTCCGTGTCGGAGGATGCTGGTTCTCGTGTTTATTATTGGGATTGTTCGCGGGTGATTCGGAAACCATAGAGATGGGAGAGGGAGAATGGGTCATCCGCTGCGGCGAGAGCAGCGGGGGAGTGGTGATCTTGGGCTTGGGGAACAGCAGGGAGAGGTCAATCCGAGACGGCCGCATCTTGCGCTTTGATTCCTTTTTGGCGGGCTGTCTGCTGTCCTCGGCAAAGGAGACGGATGGTTCCCCGCCGACCCGGGACGACTTCTTTTTCGGCGGGGTGGTGGGATGCTTTGGCAAAGCATCCCCGTTTCTCTCCCCACTGGCCTGGCTGGTTGATGATCCCGCACGCGATCGGTGGTTGGTAAAGTACGAGTATAACGTGGACGAAGACCCGGTCTGGTGGACTTTCTTCTGCTTGGACCCAGACGGCACGCCCAGTCCCTGGGAGTGGTAGTCATGGCCTAGCAGGGGCGACGAGGCTCGAACTCGCAGCGTCTGGGCAGAGGTAATCTGCTCGGCTGCTGCTGGGGCAGGGAAGAGGTCGAAGTTGCGATTGCTCTTCGGCGGGGGTTGGATCTCTGGGGTGACCATGAAACTCGGCCGTCTGCTCCACTTCCTCTCCTCGTCGCGCATGCCACCACGCTCCAACGGCTGATGGGGAATCTCCCCGAGGATCTTGGAGGCCTTGGAAGTCTTGTCGTAGTACCCCCCCATCTCCTCCCGACTCCTGGTTGCCTTCAGATGGCCGGTCGTTTGAGCGGCCATACTCGACGTCCTCGTCGGAATGGCCAGCGGTTGCGGATCCCTGCCCATCCTTCTTCTCTGTCTTCAACTGTCGTCTTCAACTACCTTCAACCCGTGTCTCGTGTGTAGTATATATATATGCTGTGACTCTAGAATAAAGCCTTTAACGAGTGTTGCGTTGCTTGCGGAGGGGCAGGTAGGAGTATTATAGTATTATTTTGTCACTTCCCGAATCCGCCGGGAGTCCAGAAGTGCTAATTGGACATTGGAATGCGAGTTGTCACTGTTGTGAGACGTCCAACTCCACCATGTTCCATGGAACTAATCGGAGAAAAAGCTGTCACAGCCCACTGGAGCCCTGGCAAGGCAGAGACGTTCCTGGCGGGGGGAAAAAACGGATGACGAAAGCTGTGTGTGCGTGCGTTGGAGATGGCTCAAACCGCCGTCGGCGTCAGGAAGCAGCGGAGGGGATTCAGAAAGAGTCTGGAATGTCTCGACGGTCTGGACGGCGTCCGAGCATTATAGATAATAGATATTATCCGACAGAGACAGAGGAACTAGTAGTTAGTAGTAATAACAATGGCTTTGGTCTGTGGAGAGCAGCTAAAGGGGCGAGGAGAAAATAACCGCGTGGGCCAACGGGCAAATGAGACGAGGTGGAGCGGAGTCGTTCTTTTTCCCTTCTTTTCTCCCCTGGCCAGTGATCGACAAGCAATTTATGAAGTAGCTTGATGTCAGTGGGAAATAGCTGCTAGTGTGAATAATAGTCAAGCTGTGGATGATGGTATTCGTGATGCTGCGCTGCAATGATCATCCTCAGTCTACGTTAGAGGTAATACCGCTGGCACATAATACTAATTAGTTACTTACTCTAGTAACTGACTATTATTATCTAGTATCTACTAATAGTCGATTCTATCGAGTCTATCGACGCGATCGTCTTGATTGGCAGTGGTTCCATCTGCACGTGTTGTGACCGCGCCAAGTTTTATAGAAACGGTTGGGGATGCCTGAGCGTCGACTCCTTCTAGCTTCTGTCTCTCCTACAGTACCTGGTAGTACCTACTACAAGGAGCACTCCAGTTATTTCGGTAAATACTATCTACTGCAACTACCTACAAATATCAGCCGTGTATCCAAGATGCAGCACTGCAGCAGCCACGAACCAGCTCTGAGCCGCCCAAGCCCACTCGCTTGCAGATCCAGATCCCGTCTGCCCATGTGCGATCTGCGCCATGCAGTGCAGTTCTCCGAGGAATCCCGGTAAGATTGATTTGGAATCCTTATTTTGATTATTTTTTTACTCTTACATACGGCTATGGGTGAAATACGGAGTAAGCTGTAGGTAAGTCGCTGCCGTGTCTGAGCAAGTCGATCCGATCCTACCGTCCAGGAGAGGAACGTGGGAGAAGGGTGACTATGCCTACTATTCATCTCAAACATCGCTGACAGGTGTTGGTGGACGAGCAGATCACCAAGCTAATGGACATTGCGTGATCTATTGAATCCTCTTCGGTTTCTACTCCGTACGAAAACGGAGAGAGGCAAGGGTCATTATCGCCACGATCGTGCTCCTCCGTACACACTGCATATGACGAACTAGTAACCACAGGATCCAGATAGACCGACCATCGATCGATGATTCCACTCGGTGATTCAACGCTTAACTCTGTGTGGTATAAGGACCCCCCCCGGCAATCCGCAGATCATCGCCGAGACCATGGTTTTCAGGCCAAAGACAGAATCACCAACAAAGAAACTATTGAGACGATTCTTCACATCGAATGATAATCCGGGGGATTAACACCTGTGAGGTCCCCTCGAGGACGTCCAGAGGACTCCGTGCGCGGACGACAGGATTGATTTTGCCTTTCTGGAAACCATCCAAATAAACTACTACTAGTCTAGTTCGGTTACAGCGACCTTCCTTCCCTTGTACGGAATACGGAATAAACTCACTTGCGCTTGACCCCCTGAATTGTTGCGGGGGTGACGTTCTGGCTTCTCTAGCTTTCAGGGGGGGCGTCGTGGTGGCTGACAACCAAAACGAAGAAGCTTGTCGGGGGCCTGTTGGAGTGATCGTCCGCCTGGTTTGTTTCAGACTGATGTGATCAATGCTATTTATCCATCATAATAATGCAGGGCCCTGTCAGTGTCGTGTTTCGTCCACATGGGAGATTAAGGTGCCAAACTACTCCGTACTCGTACGCGATCCTTGGTGACTGGCTTTGGCTGGCAGGAATCCACTATGAACACTAATTCTCCTAGACTGCTCCACACGCCCAACATTTCTAAGAATACCTCCTCGTTTGACATCAGTGACATGCGATCTCATGTTCGAGGTTTCTTCGCCGACGACCGGCTTCGGTTCGACTTGAGTGGCTGTGGATGGAAACCCTGTTCCGCAAGAAAACACAAGACAATCCGCATACAAATGGTAGGCTACGTGGTCACCTCACCGCTTTTGTCACCCTTCAGGGGTCATCCATGGATTTTACAGGATGGTTCCCAAGGCGCCAATTTCTCGATCAGCGTCTCGGCTCCACCAAAGCGGCAGCTCTTTGATCGAGATAGGAACTCAAGCCGCAACAGCATCGCGAACACTTGATGCTGTATCTCGACTGAGCCACCAATGCTTCTAGGCATTCAATCTGCCTGAACCATCCGCTGCGGGATTATCATTACGATTTGCTGGGACTACTAAACTAGCCTCTGACAAATTGTTAGATAGTTAGGGAGGTACTACAAGCTGAGATTTACAGGCTCACTAACTATCGTGTATCCTACTGTGGATAAGATCGACAAACCCTATACGCTTATCGTTCAGTACGAGCCACAGAGTAATCCGTACTTGGCAAGTGAAAAAATCTAAGCACGTACGGGCATTATACCATAATGAGATCTAGATCGCGATCGGGGTGGTCGTCTACCGTCGCACGGCACAGAAACAGAAAAGATCGATGGGCGGGGGACGTCTTGATACGGAGGTGAACTGGCATGTAAGCATTTGCAATTGTCATATGAAGGTAGGAGTGGAAGTGATAATTTTTGCTCCGAGGTTCATCCACTACATCATCATGATTTGAACAGTACAGTTATGTATGGAGTACACTGGGTAGTATCTCCTACCAAGGCATGATACCAGTTTCATCCGAGTTGGTCCCCGTCTCGCCGTCCTTACCCAGTGTCGCCAACCTGACGATATTCCTGGCCGACTCGGATGCCGGCCGTGCCCCGGGAACTGACAATCCCTTCATGAAGCCCGTGGCCGTCCGGTTCGGACACGTCGCGTTGACTTTACCCCCCTTGTCCTCGAAGAGCGCCGCATAATGCAGCGTCAGCATATTCAGCGCCGCCTTGCTGCTGCGGTAGATCGGGCTAAGCGGCCTGTGCAGACTCTCATACCATGCATTATCACGGTCGACACGCAGGCCCAACGAGCCCGTATGCGACGAAACAAACACGATGCGCGGGTTCGTCGATTTCTCCAGTAATGGCCGGAAGGCTTCGGTCGTCTGCGCCGCCCCAAACACATTCACCTCGTACGCCTCGCGGAACCGCTCTCGCATGCTCCGTTTGTCATCTGCTGGTATGGCAATCTCATTGTTTATCCCCGCGTTGTTGATCAGCACGTCCACAACCCCGTATCGGGTCCGCACCTGCTCTGCCGCACGTACTATCGATTCATCGTCCGTCACGTCGATGCTCACGCACTCGACCCGCTTGCTGTCGTCGACCAGCTGGGTAACTGCCTCCGCCCCGAGCTGCGCGTCCCGGCTGCCCAGTAGGACGTGGTATGTCGGCTGCGAGGTGAGGAGCTGTTGGGCGACCGCGAACCCGATGCCTTGGTTCGCACCGGTGATGAACACTATCGTTCGAGACATCGTATGAGGGTGGTTTGTTTCGATTTGATTCAATCTGATTAATTGGAGTCAGAGCTTACCAGAAGGACAGATCTATTTATATGCCTTATTTGACGGAGATAACCTACCACCGAGTCAAGGGTCTACTTAACCAATCCCCAAGTACTCTGATTGTCGTTCAAATGCGTAGGATCCTCCTCTTGGCCGTTCTGTACGGAGTTAATATCTTAACTCCGGTGCTCTATACTACGGAGCACAGTACTGACGATGAAGCGGCGTTATACTACTACGGATGGTATCTAATCCTCAACTACATATTGATATCTGATTGAATCCCTGCATTTCTTGTATACTCCGTATTGGCATACTTATACTGCCGGCGTAGCAACAAAATACACTACAGAAAACTCTGGTTCCCCCGTCTGACAGACTGTCACTTTTCATCTCCGCTAGGAGAAGCCCCAATATCAATTAGATGCCGGTAATTGCTCATTTTGCGTTTCTTGCGACTGCTCCGCCGCAGGCTCTGGTCACCGTCGGGGCTGTCCTTCGCCAGCGTCGCCTGGGCGGCTGCCTCCGAAGAACGGGTGACCCGTGTGCTGACGGCGCTCGTCGGTGTGGCAGGCGCCACTGCGGCCTCTGAAGAGCGGGTGACGCGTGTGCTGGCTGCGCTTTTCGGCGTCGCCTTCTCGTCAAGCTGTTTTCTCTTGCGCGTTTGCCGTAAGCTCATCCGCGGGGTCTCTTGCTTGTCCTCCCCGTCGTCGTTGCTGTCGGCGCTACTATCATCTTTTTCGGCCTGTTTGCGTCCTGTATGAGTGCCGGAGTGGACGTACTATGATTTTTTTATAGTCAGTTCGCTAAACTTAGAAGCCCATATTCAATTGGGGCATATACATACATGGTCATCGATCTTAGCCATCGGGTTTAAGATCTTCTCTTCCATCGTCTGGCGAGCTTCTTCTGTCTCGACGATGCGATATCTCGGCAGGCCCGTACGGGAAAACCCTCGGGCCTTCGAACCGGGGGTTGATTCGAGAATCCCCCGCTTCTTGAGCTCATCGGTGATCTGTTTCGCAGTGGGCCCGCTGCAGTCTGCGTATATCCAGTGAGTTTGAAAAGCGGCGTAGACTTGAAAATCAATTTACTTACGAATCTTCTCTCCGAGATCACCGATCTTTAAAGGATACCCATCATCGAGGATCACTAGTAAAGCTCTGCGCAGGGGAACAAGATCCTGGATGGAGCGCAAAACACGAGGTTCATTTGGCAGGAGCAGACATTTATAGCATGCGTGTATGTCGGGGAGTCTAGCATCTTGCTTGTTGCGATACCCGTAGCAGATCAAATGTTGGCGTGTACGACAGAAGGAACATTCCAGCTTTCAAAAAAAAAAAATCAGTGCTGGTCAAATTCAAATTTTCTTCTTTGACGACTTCTTACCATTTCGGGTTCCTCTCCATCCCAGTCGCACTGGCAATCGACCATACCTCTTTCACTTTCGTTGTGGTCCTGCAACAATCGATAGGCTTTAATCTCGGCAGCTTTGGCTGCAGAAAGGACAAACTTTTCTGTAGTGATCTGGGACAACTTCTCGCTTTCGATATCTTTGACGGGTTTGGCATGCAGTGGCTGGGTAGGAACAAGATCGCTTCCAGAGTAGAAAGACGAGGTCTGGTCAGCTTCGTTAGTATCGTTTCCGTGTATTACCTATCACCAGAGCCATTCTTACCGGAATCATCTGCTGTAGTCTTTGCTTTCCCATGATATCTTGGCGGGCTTGCGTTGATTCGAGCGAGCTTTCCGCAACCTGGGACATGTCACCGTGGATCGATGTGGATTGTGTGGTCCCTTCGTTTTTGTTTTTTGCCTTCTCGGCCTGAGAAGAGAGTTCCTCGTCTTCGGGGAACCCGATATCCGAACCACGCACTACTTCGTCATGATATTCAATATCTTCCGGGATCGCAGGGGCGGCATCAGAGCCCTCTAAGTCCGGGCCTGTCCACTTCATGGAGGTGACCCTGAGACCAACCCTAAGGACCATCCGATTAGCCAATGCCCATGTCCATGCCGGTACACATAGGGGTAGTGAAACTCACTTGTGGTCTGCAGTGGTCATTGAACCGCAAGATTGACTTTCTTTGCGCCAATTCTCCTCCAAAGGATACCGAATGATGTCGTCCTTGCTGGCTGTAAACCCCGGGGGGTCGTAATCCGGAGAGCAGTCCTTCGTGTAGAAAAGATGAATTCCCAAACTCCGCTTATCTAGGAATCAGTCAGTTTAGAGTACATTCCAGGGGTCATCCGAGAGCACGAACTAGGGAGAATTGGAAGAAAGGCGCTGAGCGTTATCAGGCGCCTAACTATCATCTCCAGGCCCGTTCTTGCGGCTTGGGTTGTCCTCATATCCGCCACACAGCCCACTGGGTCTAGAGAGAGGCTCTCCAAGCAGCTGTTTGGGTCGGTGGACTGCGAGGTATATTTGAAAGAAAAGGTGTAAGTCTCCAACACGTTTTCCGGTGCCTCCTTGTCCACAACGACAGTTAACTGAATCGCTTCCAAGACTCTCTTTTTGAGGGCATCGAAGATTCCATGTTCCTACATCTGTCAGGTTGACTAAAACAAAAAAGATGAGATCTTTATTGACACCTACCAGGAGATCTAGAATCATGTCTGTCTTAGGATTCGTATTTCGAAGCAAAATCTTCAAAGGTTGACCCCTTTTTCTCTGTCCGAATGTCTGTTCAGAAACACTTTCCGACAGACTAGAAGGAGCACCGCTGCTACTAACAAAATCCTCGTAGGAGAATTTTTGTTCTCGGTGAGCCTGTTTCAGATCGCGGTCATCGAAACATTCAAGCGGTAAAAACTCTCTATATGTTTTAATCAGCCGGGGTCAGCGTCACACATTGATGCGATGGGAGATGGCGAACCGGAGATAGAACAGCGTTCCCAGCTATAGCCCATTGGGTCAGTTTGCATGCAGCGATTCAGATTCGAGGTAATGACGAAGAAAAGGGGACGCACCGTAACGTGGAGCATGATCTGCACCATTTCCAAGCTCTGCTGGTGTTGAAGCTGAAGACCATCCCGTATTTCCGGTTCGGAGACTTGTCCATTCTGATCCCTTTCGGTGGTTGCGGGCATCGCCGCTTTGTTGACGACCTGCGTACGAGTGGGAGTCTGCTGCATCTGCGCGGCAAACTGAATGCGAGCCATGACGAGCAGCTACTACATTCAAGGCCTTCTCTACCCAATCAGTATGGACGAGAGAAAGCTACTTCCTGCAGTAGTGATAAGCAAAGCTCGTATTTTCGATGATTTCTCTAGGGAAGAGCGAGATTGTGAGAGACACCAGATGTCGTGGCTGTCGGGTGGGAGGGAACGTGCTGTTTGTTCCTCAGGCACTGTACTTAATACAGCGCTCTACTTCCCATCTTCCATCGAAATCAGATAGTAAACTCATAATATAGTAATTATGATCTGGCATAGAGTCAGTTGGGGTGTTTTTATTTAGTCATAAAGCTTCAATATCCATCTTAATAGAGATAGACAAGTTCTGTGAGAAATGTGCCAGAGGATGACGTTGAAGACAGCTCGTATATATTTTTATATCCCAGTTTCCACGTCAGACCTCGCCTTCCAGACTCAACTTACCAGTGATAATAATCTTCTCCGTCCGACGGTCTCTGTTCACTCCAGCAGTGACTGGATATGACTCCCTTGACCGAGACTCCAGGCCCCGTGGCTGCCACAGTCGGTGATTCGCAGATGGTTCCTTCCTCTGCTTAGTATCAGTACTGGGGCTTCGTGGCACTAGTATCTCCTCACCAGCCACATCTATCATGTGACCCTGTGGCTTTTTCCTCGCGCCTCCACCAAAACATCAAGAGAGCAAATTTGATATTTTCCTTCCCCTACAGTTAGGAATACCTGCGGAGGATCTTTCCAGAGGTAGTGATTCATATAGACGGGCTAGCAGCCCTAAAATACAGTAGTGTTTCCATTCTTTAGATACCTGTTATACGAGGTTACTGTAATGGTCGCCCTCCGTCCGTTGTCGGTCCATCTAATACCAGCTATGGATGGATTCGGTGGAGTTGAGATAACCGATAAGCGATAACTCGGCGATTCCATTACTTCACCTCACGAGAACACTTCACTAACTAACTAACTGGTTAGTTATCTACCTCCGTCGTTAACAAGTTAGCAGTTAACCCGGTAGGTCGCGGGTACGACGTAGTTTTCCCAAATAGAGCCCCCACCACATCACGTGGAGGCAAGTGGCAAGCAGAACTTGATACTGAGGTAGTCATGAGTAAAGAAGGGCAAGGAAGAAATAGAAAAACAGTAAAAAAGGAAAACCCCAAGCTAAGGCTATAGTGATGGTAAACAAGTAGAAAAACCATACCCATTCTCCTGCTATTGTGCCCTGTTTTGAAGATTTACCACCGCCACTACATCCCTGTTACTATACCTTCTTAACTATCCGCGGGAAGAAAAAGCCCTGTTTGTTCGTTTTGGCCGTCTCGCCTCCCTGCCGAGTTGATCCTCCCGTGGCTTGTCTTGTCGCCAGAACCTCCTCACATCTCCTCCCTCACCTCTTCGTCCAGCCCGCCCGTACCTGAATCCGTCGCGTTTCGAGCGTGTCCTTGCTGGCTATCTCCGGCGGAAGTCTTAGCCTGTTCAAAACCCACCCGGAAGGGCTCGACCCCAAACCCAACCCAACCACCCGACCCGAAGCTCCTCCTTCGAGCGCCCTCCGCCGCCTAACATTCTCGCTCCCGTCAGAACACGCCACACCCTGCCTCGTTTCTCGCCTTTGGCACATGGACCCTTTTTCCTACTCGTCCACACCCATCGCCATGTTCTAACCATTTCTCGACCCCCCCCCGTCGTTGGTGGTGGCAGTCTGTGGTGCTCTCTTGCAACCTTATCGCTCTGCTGCTCGTCCACCCTCGATCCCCCGGCCCACTTGCTCCCCCAGACTCGAGAACTCGCTGGGTCCCCGTGTATAGCAGAAGTCGGTGTTTTCCTCTTATCTGGGCCTTCCATTTTATCGTGGTCCTTTTTTTTTACATTCTTCTTCTTCCTTTCTCTTCTTCTCTATTCTCAAAATGGCCTCTGACGCTGTGATCAGAATCGAAGTTGCCTCGGCGGACTCGCAGTCACAGGACGCGTCGTCCTCGCCGCCTCCCTTTGATACGACCGACGTCAAGAATCTCTCTCTCGACTCGTGTGATCCCCAGTCTATACGACGTGATATGGACGAGCTCAACGCTTCTACCTTGGGTGGCCCTTCCCAAGATGTCTCCCTCGGCCAGTTCTCGTTCGCTCCGACCACGAGAACCACCGTCGTGACGACCACCACAACCACAACCACAAGTTTCCCCCCACTGGTCATGAAGGCTCCGCGTGCCACGCGGGATTGGGATCCTAAACAGTACCCCCTGGCGTTCTCGCCCACCCCGGCTTCGCTGAAGAATATCAAGTTCAACCTGGGAGGAAAGTCGGTGGTATTAAACGAGCCAGAAGACGCCGTGGGCACTCTCCACGAGGTAGGCCCTTTCTTTTCTTGGTTCTTCCTTGGGGATTGGTGACTAATGTGCTACCTCTAGCTGAATGAGAAAAATGAAGTTCTTCGCTCTTCCAACGGCGTGGTACGCTCGATAACCTCGTTTACATCCGACGAGACCAACTCCTCCAACCGTTTCGCACCCCCTCGACTGTCCTCGCAGCCTTCGACCCACCCCTTCAGTTGCAAACGTCGGCCCGTGTCGCCCGTTTCGATATCCGAACCAGTTCAAGCCCTGCAGCGTAATACAGGCTCTCCTGCCAGGGTCCCTTTGGAGCCCGTTTCACGTCACATTTCTTTCGGTACCGGCAATACGCAACTCTACCCCGTCCCGCCCGGCTTAGCCACTCCAGAGACCGAGCACAACCAGTCCAGCTCAGGCGAGACCATCATCTCCCGCAGAAGGATACAAAGCGCTAGTCTTCTTCGCCGAGAATCCGCTATGCGCTCGCCGTTGTCCTGTGAAGTGGAGAGCGCCGGAAACGTGCAAACTTCCAGGACTAGTTCACAAATCGGAAAGGCTCCCTCTCGGAGTCAGTCGTATGGTCCAGAGAGACTCCCTCTGTTAGACCGCCGCACGGAGCTCAACCACCCGAAGAAGAAAGAGCCCTCAAGCAAGGAACAAGATCCTCAACCACAAGACTCGAATCCTTCGGACCAGGTGATGGATGAGACCGTAGAGGAGATCTCCCGTCAAACATCTTCAATGACAGAAGACTCGAACACCGCGGATGAAGATATGTGCTTACCGAGTCCGAGTTTATCCCCCATTGCCGCCATGAACGCGATGAATGTCGATTCTTCGTTCGAGTCCGAGGAGCCAGATGTGGACACCGATTCAAGTTTTGATATTAATCTCCCGCATTTTGCCAAGCCTCTGCGCTCAAAGGAGAGCATGACCAGTGCGCCGTCCACCTTGCGGAATTGGCCCATCCCTTCGAATTCCAAAAACACCGGGTCCGCACCATCTCTGATGGACATCCCCTCGGTGATGGATTTCTTCGACTCGGTTCCGGACGAGTTGAAAACCTATCTTATGTATCAGTTCCTTCGACGCTGCCCGAAGCCCACCCTCCATTTCGTTGCCGATGTGGTCAATCCGGCTCTAAAATGTGACTTCTTGGCCCTCTTACCTCTGGAGCTCAGCCTGAACATTGTCAAGTACTTTGATGTTCAAACCATGTGCCGCGCCGCACAGGTCTCCAAGAGATGGCGACACATCATCAATTCGGACGAGAAGACCTGGAAGGAGCTTTTCGATCGGGATGGCTATCAGCTCCCAGAGGGAGAGTTGGACCGAGCGATCCAGGAAGGCTGGGGCTGGCAGTTCCCTAGTGGCGACGAGAACTGGGAGAGGGACATTAGCTCATCAGCTCGACCGACTTTCGAGCCTGAAGAATCCCGGCATCCCACCCTGACATCCTCCGCAGAGAAGGGCGAGAGAGAGACCTCGGCTCGTTCTCTCTCCACCCGACGCCCCAAGAGAAAGGCCCCCACACGCACATCGAGTAGAAAGCTCGCGAAGCGAAAGATTTCATCGAGCGGTACGGATTACTCTGATACCCCGGACTGGAGACGCGAAATCGCGGCCGCGGAAGGGCCATATGGTGCCGCCAATGCTGCTGCCGCAGCCGTGCCATATCCGGAGATTGGTTTACCGACCCTTCGTGGCCTTCATCTGTACAAGTCACTCTACCAGCGCCATCATTCGATTCGCAAGGGGTGGATGGAGTTGGATGTCAAACCAAAACATCTCGCCTTCCGCGCCCATGACCGCCATGTCGTCACTTGCCTACAATTCGATACCGACAAGATCCTCACCGGAAGCGATGATACCAACATCAACGTGTATGACACAAAGACCGGTGCCCTGCGGGCAACCCTCAAGGGCCACGAAGGTGGCGTCTGGGCCCTCGAGTACTACGGCAACACTCTAGTGTCTGGCTCCACGGATCGGTCCGTCCGGGTCTGGGACATTGAGAATGCCAAATGCACGCAGGTCTTTCAGGGCCACACGTCTACGGTCCGTTGTTTACAAATCGTTTTACCGATAGAAGTTGGCAAAAACTCCGACGGAACACCCGAGTTGATGCCGAAGGAACCGCTGATCATCACCGGCTCCCGTGATTCGAACCTCCGGATTTGGAAGCTTCCCAAGCCCGGCGATGCGCCCTATTTCCAAAGTGGTCCGCAGAACGATGATTCAGACTCGCCATACTTTGTGCGGACTCTCGCAGGCCATCAGCATTCGGTACGCGCTATTGCTGCACACGGAGATACTTTGGTCAGCGGCAGCTATGATTGCACCGTCCGAGTCTGGAAGATCTCCACCGGGGAGACCCTCCATCGGCTCCAGGGCCATACGTTGAAGGTTTATAGTGTGGTTCTTGATCATGCCAGAAACCGTTGCATCAGCGGCTCCATGGATAATATGGTCAAGATCTGGTCTTTGGAGACAGGTTCGCTTCTGTACAATCTCGAAGGCCATGCGTCCCTTGTCGGCCTGCTCGACCTTAAATGCGATCGCCTTGTCTCAGCCGCCGCAGATTCAACTCTTAGAATCTGGGATCCGGAGAGTGGTCAATGCAAGAGCCGCCTGAGTGCCCATACCGGTGCAATCACTTGTTTCCAGCATGACGGCCAGAAAGTCATCTCAGGCTCTGATCGGACTCTGAAAATGTGGGATGTTCGAAATGGAGAGTGCGTCCGAGACCTCCTGACCGATCTCAGCGGAGTATGGCAGGTGAAATTCAACGATCGAAGATGTGTTGCGGCGGTGCAACGGGATAGTCTGACCTATATCGAAGTGAGTCTCTCACACTTCCCCCCCCCCCAGCCCCCTCTTCAAGGTCCAGACGAACCCAATTGCAGAATAACTAACCCCTGCCTTAGGTTCTTGATTTTGGTGCTTCTCGTGACGGAGTACCCAGCACTCAACTCGGCAAGCGCATCGTCGTCAATGAACGTGGTCAGGAAACCAGTGACGATGCTGACGAAGATTATGACGTTTCTGATGCTTGAGGGGCCTGCAACTTCCACCATACAAGTTTTTGACTACTTGGACATGCTTACGCAAAAGGGGTAGTCAGAACCCCCCCTTATTGATAATAACACTAGAGATGTGGCGGCATTTATGGTTTTGCAGTCTACAACCCTTCAAAAAAGCATATGAACCATCCATGATACCCCTTATCTACTCACAGACCCTTATTTTCCCCTTTCAGGCATTTGCATAGCGTGCGGGTGGCATTTTCTTGTCATGCAGCATTCACCATTATTAAGAGATAGGCGTTGTGACGTTCCCCCCCCCCAAAAAAAAGACCCCAGCAATATTTGGTGTATACACATGCATTCTACACTTTTTTTTTTCTTCTTCTTTTCTTCCTCTCCCTCGCAGTGCATCCACCATATGTGTATTATGGCTGATTATTTCTTCCCCTCTTATGATTTTATTTGTTCCTTTCATCTACCTTGTCCCTATTAGTCGCGGCTCTGTATTGAGCGCCTGCTTTCTATTGAAATAGGAACTATTGTCCAATATTATGTATTAAGAACTGTACTGTAGTATATTGTAAGGCTCGGTTGGTTGGTATAATCCAATTCAATCCGGTTAGTTGGTACAATCGACCATGATGACCTTCTAGCTACTATATCTAGTTTACCTCATGAGACGGATTTGTACAGACGATAAGAGTTATGTGCAGGTCAGTAGGATGACAGTAGTATGTCTTGAATGATTCGACCGGGTAAGATTCCTGCGTCAATCATGATGGTATAACCAGAGTATCTTTCTTGGGAAAGCATTCCCACCATAGAGAACCAGGCTGGGACCCCTATAAATGGGGTTCTCTGGATTAGTGTCTCTGTCTGAACGGTGTTTCGTTCTATTTTATAATGCCATGAATCGTGGAGTTTAGGCTCGAGCAGAGAGCCATGAAAGGCAGGGCCCTGTCAGTCCATCTCTGATGCCTCGATGGCTTATCTGGAAGATTCAAGTTGAAAAAAAAAAGAGAAAGGATATTCCAAGCGCTGTTGCATCACGACGTGGCAGTGGGGAGCTCCGGCAAAGGAGCAGACGTCGTTGTCGTTTGAACATTGATGCTCCCGTCGAAGCCGGCGGCGGATAGAATCGCCCACCGGACAGCGTTCACGCCGAGAAAGGACCCGTCACCAACGGCTGTCTCAGAGCTGCAGGTGAGAATCTCGCCGAGGGCGCCGGGGCCTGCGATGCGGCCGTCGGGCTGGATGATGGGTTTGAGCTTGTGCAGCATTGTCTGCAGCCCGGCGACGCTGGTCGTCGATGCGCCGCTTTTGATCTGTTTCTTGTTCTTGTTCAAGACCTTGTCGACCTTGGAGAGGATGATTTGGTGTGGGATCGCGTAGCGGCGGAAGGAGGCTAGGATGTCTTGGTCGGTTTGTTTGATCCCGTGTTCGCTGTCGATGAGGATGAAGGCTCGTCGGAGTCTAACGGGTTAGAACCTTGTGGAAAGGATATAACTAAATTTGTGTGTATGAGAGGGAGAGAGCTTACTGTTTCCTTCCCTGCAGGTATTTCATGATTTCAACCCCCCATTCGGTTCGACTCGCCTTTCCGTAGCCGGGCATATCCAACAGGACGATCTTGGACTCCCCTCCTTTCGTGCCTCCAATGCCAAATGCGTTCATTTCTCGCGTGCGTCCTGGTTTGGATGACGTCCAACACATCTCTTGTCCCATGATCGCGTTCAATAAAGAGCTTTTCCCCACGTTCGACCGCCCCAGGAATGCAACCTCCGGCTCGACGGAAGAAAGAGGCGTGGTCCGGAACTTGCTGGCAGACCATAGCTTGATGGGCGAATGGCGCGAAGGGGTAAAGAATTTGGCAGCGTACTCCAGTTTAGACTCGTCCGGCGGAACGGTATCCCAGTATGCGCTGAGGTGTGAGGGAGTGAGATCACGGAGCTGGATCTTGGACGCGGCCGTAGACGAGGAACGATGCAACGTGAGGAGCCATCGTGACTGTGCAGCTGGCCGTACTGTACGAATCATGGTTCTGACAGAAAATGCCGTCAGAAATAAAATCCCTCCCAGAAAGCTGGTGCTGGCGACAAACAAAGCTCAGCGCAGCTTCTCCTGGTCTAGACGCCCCAGCGGCAACTTTTCCGAGTGGCGCTTCTCAGAGGAATGTTTCCCGAGCCTCATCCCCGCCATATCACGGCGATAAGGCTGACCTTGACTGCTGTTGACAAGCTGATTGTCAGATCGCAGATTGAAACTGCTGGCACTGCATCAAGTATTAATGTTCCTGCCTAGTTTTCTTTTTGTTCAACCTCAGTCTTCCAGATAGTTGCAATGATCAACGCCGTCCTTGTCTTCAATAACAATGGCCAACCGCGCCTGACCAAGTTCTACACAGATATCGTGAGCATACAAAGGACAACCAACGAGCAGTTTCAGCTTTCGGATCAAGTTACTGACTGCAATTCTGGGGCTAGGATACACAAACCCGACAAAAACTCATTGGTCAAATTTATGATCTGGTCGCTCAGCGGCCGGCAAGTGCCTGCAACTTCCTGCCTCTTCCCCCCCTGTTGTCGCAAGGCGCCAGCTCCAAGACACCCCATGGACCGTCCGATGCCCCTACGCAAATCACATACCGAACATATGCTACTCTTTCGTTTATCATGATCTCGACATCGACCGAGTCGCCGCTTGCCTTAATCGATCTGATCCAGGTTTTCGTCGAAGCGCTGGACCGCATCTTCGAGAACGTCTGCGAACTAGATTTGATCTTTGGATACGAGACGATGCACGCTGTTCTGGGTGAAATGATTGTGGGAGGTATCGTCATCGAAACAAACATCGACCGCATCGTCGCGGGAGTCAGGGCCCAAGAGGGTTCTCTCGGCAAGAAGAAAGCCATACAGGCAGCGAGTGCAAATATTGGACGTGGCGGCCTGCCCGGTCTTGGAGCATGGCGATAGCTGGGATACTTTGTTTTTTTTTTCTGTTTGTTCCATGATACCTGCTATCTATAGCGTATACAATTGTCTCTTGCGTATCTGGCTACAGGATGATTTTACCTGATTATATAATCATAGCTTTTGGTTCGTTCTTGAGAGATTATGGCGATTGGGGTTCTTTTGGACTCCTATTTTGCTATATGCCCCTGGTCTGAATATTGATCTCTGAACTTTCATGCCATGCCTTTTGTATGCAAGCAAAGAGCCCTGTCACTGGCGCAATGATGATAACCATAAGGCTAACGCTAACCTAAATGAATTAGGGTAAGCCCTATGTCACGTGGATGTTCCCATCGGGAAGGGGCTCGCTTGAATTTCCGCACTAGCGCGACCCACGAACGCGGACTAGCGACGTTTTTAATCCAACGAGGCGGCCACTTTTGGTTTTCTTTCTTTCTTGCTCTGTCAATCCCGTCAACCAGCACAGCGGAACACCAGTCGACAACATGGTAAGCACATGAATGTCCAGTTAACATTGCTCTTTGCAGCATCCATCTCTTCTTGAACGAAGATGTCGATAGACATTTTCCTTCCGCTTCAGATCCGTCTGTAAGCGATTCCGCCAACCGCATGGCTCACCCCCTAAAGGGTGAGCCCATTGCGTTGGTGATGATTAGGCTGGAGCCACAAGCGCAGTAGAAATACTCGCTTGTAGTTCCATAGAGTTCAGAGAAGATGCAGCGTGTGGTGGACAACGAGCTGATCTTCTTTTCTCAATGATAGCCTCCCAAGTCCGGAAAGAAGGCCGCCCCTCTCCCCTACCCCCAGGGCAAGGCTGGCTCTAGCAAGAAGGCCGCTAAGGTATGTGGAGATTATTTATCTATTTTTCTCGTCGGATGAAATTGGGTCACTGACAGTTCTTTAGAACCCTCTCTTCGAGAAGCGTGCCCGCAACTTCGGTATCGGCCAGGACGTCCAGCCCAAGCGCAACCTGTCCCGCTTCGTCAAGTGGCCCGAGTATGTCCGTCTTCAGCGCCAGAAGAAGGTCCTCAACCTTCGCCTGAAGGTCCCCCCTGCCATTGCGCAGTTCCAGAACACCCTGGACCGCAACACCGCTGCCCAGACCTTCAAGTTCCTCAACAAGTACCGCCCTGAGACCAAGGTCGAGAAGAAGGAGCGTCTCCACCAGGAGGCTACCGCCGTCGCTGAGGGCAAGAAGAAGGAGGACGTCAGCAAGAAGCCCTACAACGTCAAGTACGGTCTTAACCACGTCGTTGGTCTCGTTGAGAACAAGAAGGCCTCTCTTGTCCTCATTGCCCACGATGTTGACCCCATTGAGCTGGTTGTCTTCCTTCCCGCTCTCTGCCGCAAGATGGGTGTCCCCTACGCTATCGTGAAGGGCAAGGCTCGTCTTGGAACCGTTGTCCACAAGAAGGTGAGATTATTCGCGGCCTAATATTTTATACAATGTTACTAACTTTCAAAGACCGCTGCCGTTCTGGCCATCACCGAGGTTCGCTCTGAGGACAAGTCTGAGTTCGCCAAGCTCCTCTCTGCCATCAAGGAGGGTTACACCGACAAGACCGAGGAGTCCCGCCGCCACTGGGGTGGTGGTATCATGGGCGCCAAGGCCAACGCCCGCATGGAGAAGAAGCGCAAGGCTGTCGAGACTGCCATCAAGGTCTAAGCCATAAACCAGCTTAGAACTACCTTCTTGATGACGCATGATTACCCAAGGCTTCCCCCTTCTTTCCGCTGGTACCGTCTGATGCCAAAAAAAAGACAAAAGTTCTTTATTTCCATTTAATGTGGCTACAGGTGTTCATCGAGGCATTTAGCTTAGATGGGTTAAAAGAACCGAGCTTCTTGGCACCCACCCTATATCCCACAATCTACATGGATTCCATTTTGACGGCTACTTGATTTTTTTCACCTGTTTTATGTACCCTGCAGATACCCATGAATGCATTTCATAACCTCCTTCAACCACCGCTGACTTGTCTGGTGTGACTCCATTCTGCATTCATGTCTGCGATATCTGCCCCCTTCCCCCCCCCTCCCGTATCACTCGTAGCTCTCCTTCCTAGCACGGATGTCAAATTGCAATTCTGCCTTTTCATGGCTGTGGTTGTGCCGAAGAAGTGCTGATATCGATCCTAAACCCTCTGGGTTTTCTCCAGCGAAGTACTAGATTTGTGTCTTGGATCTGGCAACAGATTCTAAATGGCACACGTCCATTGATGACCTGGGACATTCAGTAATGATGATTAGTAAAATAATGAATCCATCAGCAGTTCAACTCATACCTTGTTTTTTTTTTACTCTTCGGTAACAATAAACTCATCTTTTCCTGATCTCTCACGCTCAGTGAAGAAATCTTACTGTCCTGGTGTGGTCTCGAGACTCATCATGTTGTTAGCCGCTGTCATCTACGGTTAGAGCGGTTTGTATAGTTCGAGAATCTGCCAAATAGGGAACCAGGCATCGCGACTATCTCTCTATGGATACTGAGAAGTGATCTATGATCGAAGCAAGTACGGGCAAAGAGATGCAGTCTTTTTGATTTGAGAAATCGCCCACCCTGTGAGATGAACCGAGCCATGACCCCGACATTGATTTCCTCCCGTTTTGCCATTACCCCCTTTCACACCGTATAAAATCACAAGAAAATGGTACAGAAGGAATCTATACATCCAAGGTGCCAGCAGAAAATGCACCATCCGTCCAAAGCAAGCCCAGGTGGTGGCTACAGATGAGACAAACAGCGAGTATTGACAGCCATGACGAATAAAATTCCAATAGCCAGCCAACGCTGGGTCGGGAGAACACTCGCCATCGAAAGCATTCATTCGACGTAAGAAAATAAAAAAGAAGAAAAGGGAAGAATAATTATTAATGCAGAGGTAGGAATAGAGACAGAACAAAACATAGTAGGTCATTAACGTTGGGCAGCTGGTCGGTTGAGTCCTTGTCTCGCCTATGCGTAGAAAAGATCTGTCAGTATAATCTGTCCTGTCATCATGATAAGGAAAAAGGAGGGCACTACCAAACGGACCTTCATCTGCTCGATTCTTGCTTTCAACTGGCTGGTCACCTCTGCGGCTCTCTTCCAGTTCTCCGCCGGTTCTGTAACCCGGCTAGGTTGATCTTCCCCAGACGCACTGCCTGAACCCAGCAACGATGATCGAGTCGGGCTGCCCATTCCGGAGTAGCCAGTGCCAAACGTTGGACTCAGCTTGCGTCGTCCGAGCGCACTTTCTCTGCTACTGAACCCGGGTGATTCCAGGCCGTTGTTCTCTTTCTCTTCGCTGGGGCTTGCCGACACATAACTCCGAGGTCGAGCACTCTCAAATCGAGATCCCATATGGAGTCCCATTCGAGGCTGAGAATAATTGTCGTGAGAAATAGGGTCCTGGTACATGGATCCCATCTCGGGAATCCCCATGCTGGCAGTATCAGCCATCGTATTGGGGGGACTGATCGCAGTAGCCCGCAGGGCCCTCGCAAGTTCACGTTTCAGTCGGTCAATCTCTCGTTGTTGCTTCTGCACGCTCTGTTCGGCAGATTCGGCATCGCTGCGTGCCCGGACCAACTGCGTCTCCTTGGCCTTGATGCCCAGCACATCTCGCGTATGATCCTCAATGAGTTGGGCGTTCTGGTTCTGGAGCTCAGTGATCTGCAAGTTCAACTTGCTTCTCTCTGCTCGTAACTCTTCGACCATCTTTGTAAACCGCTCATTTTCTGCTCGCAGTTCTTGAAGTTCTGCGCGTTCAATGGCAGCGAGACCGCCGACGTGAGGTGTCGCAGGGGGTGCGATAGGAGCTGGTTCTGGTACCGGTGTTGGTTTGGCGATAGGACGGCCGGCGAGCCCTCTTCCAGGACCGAACTTAGGCGCAGCGGGGGGCGGTGCTTCTTCTGATGGAGGTGAGACAACACGTCGCTGGGGGGATGCTAGTCCGCCAGGCCCGCCAAGTTTCTTCTTGAGAGCCGCCCCTGGTGCTGTCAGTCCACCACCAGGCTTCGGGAGTCCTCCAGCCTTAGAAGGAACTCCCTTAGCTGCTGGTTTGGACTGGGGCGCCGCAGCTGGTTCTTCAATCGGTGGTGCCGCAGTAGCAGTCGGCTTTTTCAGGCCAGATGCAGGTTTCTTTCCGCCTACAACTTTCTTTCCAGCTGCTGGAATGGCTGGCTTCGGGGGCGCGACAATGGGCTTCGGGCGATCTTTGGCCTTGACCTCTGCCGTATCAAAGTATTCCTTGATCTTGGCCTTCCGGATATCATCAAGCCCGTCAAGGTAAGGATTCATTGCCCGTTCACCCATGATTTTCATCAACGTACCCAGAATCTCAGCAGCGCCTGATCGGACGACTTCGCTGGATTCTGTGAGAAGCTTGGTAGCCGCATCGGCGATGGACTTGACTTCGGCTTTGGACGGAACATCTCTCGTCGTGCGGAGGCACCTAATCAAAAACTTGACAGTCTCTTGTTTGACCTGCGGGTTTTTGTGTTTCAGGAACTCCAGCGTCTCTTCCAAACATTCAGATAGATCCGTTGAAGAAAATACACCGTCAAGGGCCTGACCCAAGGCATCTGCAACTGATTGTTTCTTCTCCTTGAGACGCTCCAAGATGGGAGACATGATGAGAGACCGATATTTGCCGAACCCTTTGCGCAAGCCCTTGGCGAGCAGATCAACGCAATTTGCGGCAACGGTCACAACAGCAACGTTTGCATCCTTCATACTCTTTGCGAGTCCCTTCACAATCTCATCGAAGGGTCCCTCCTTGATTCTCGGGACATTAAACGCGTTGTACAGCGCATCTAGTGCCTCCTTTCGGTCTTTCCACTTTGACGAGGCCAGCTGTTCATGGAAATCTTTCGGGACCTTGGGCATGACATCTACAGGCTCGGCGAGGTCAAATGCGTCCATCTCGCCACCATCGTCTTCAACGTATTCCTCGCCGGCGAGCCCCTCCTCTTCCTCGCCGCCGGGTGCAGCACTGGCTTCAGCCATCGCCTCTTGCTGCGCTCTGGTGAATCGTTCTTGCTTTGGTGGGGGCTCCTGTTTCACGGCTTCGAAAAGCTTCTCGAGGTCCTGCTGCTGGACAGGCTTCAGATCCCCCCAGAAAACGGGTTTCATAGCGTCTTTCAACCACCGGTACAGCTCTACCGTCAGATTCTGTGCTTCTGCCCGTACATTCTTATCTGCATGCCCGAAGACTTTCGGCAGAGCCTTGAGGACTGGTTTCGGATCGACGAGTTTGGCTCCATAATTGTGAAAGATGCCCTTCAGCGCAGCGAGGGCGGGAGCAATAACCTTGGCAAGTTTGTGCGAAAGCGCCGGGAGCATTTCTTCAATGACGGGCTCCGATTTATCTAATTCTATGCAAAGTAAGAGGGCCTCTAGCGCACTAGCCTTTGCTGCCGGTCGTGTAGAAGGCAGGCCTTTTTCGACAATCGCGGCGATCGTGCTTCCCCGTGTCCTAGAGAAAAGAGTTGCTGATTAGAACAGCTGACCGTACGTATAGTTAACAAACTTTCCAAAGGCAGAGCTCGTACCTCACACATGCTTGGGCGCCGCCGTATTTCAGAAATGAACAATAGGACGCAAGCCCCTCTTGTTGTGCCGCCACGTTTGAATCCGCCACAGCACCCTTCCATAACGCCGGATCTTGTAAAAACGGACTGAATACGGGATCTGACTCGTCCGGTGTCTTTTCAAACTGCTTGTTTGCATCCTCGTAACCTTCTTTCCTGACCTTCCAGTTCTGCAGAGCACAACAATCGAAGTAAGCATTGTTCCGCGATCGGCGGCCTGCAATGAGGCATCGATGAGTACTCGCTCACCTTGTGTGTGAACCGGTCAGGCAATGGAAGCGAGGAAAAGTCTTCCTCTCCTTCCGCCATGGTAAAATGTGACGGGTTTAGATCGTTTTCAGACACTCGGTTGTCTACAGTTTCAGAGAGTCAGCACAGCAGCCAATTGCGATGCTCGTAAACATATGAGATACTCATGTTGATGTCTCTGGGGAAAATGAAAACATACCTCAATTTAATGGAATATAGATTTATTGACTCTGACCGCGTCGGCCGGGGGAATAAGGCGTTCGATGTCGAGCGGTCCGGCAGACAAGGAACGAAGGACAATCAGTTGCTTTGCCGCCAGTCAGCTCCTAAATAATCGCAGAGAAGGCCAGATCACAGACTTTGCAGCTGTTTGGATCTGGGCGCGATCGTTCGTCGGGTGGGGGTAACAGATTGGGCAGAGAGGAGGGGAGAGACAGGCAAACGGGATGTCAACAAACCGCCCATCGCTGTGGCAGCGGCAAAGCACATCCACAGACTTGGCGTCCTCGTCTGTGGCTGCGGGACAAGCCAAAACTCCCCGCTGCTGGTCAACAAGTTGTTTACCAGGGAATAACAACACAGACAGGCCTGTTGCTAATAAATTCGTTTACGAGATTTACGGCATATTCAGTGGGATCCCCTCCCCTGGTGTTCTAATCTAAAGAATCACATCAACGCGTCGACTGCGTGGTGAATCAGGAGGGGCAGCGGCCGAATTGACAGACATCAACGACGCTTTCTCTACGGGGTCCGGCCTGAGAGATTTGCTTCGAGAGGGCTCCTAAACGCTTCTTGTCTTATGATGGGGGACGGGGGACGCAGAGGGCTGACTGTTTGAACCATCGCGCACGAAATCACCGCGATCATGAGCCAGCTACTTACTGCGCGGCAGGCAGAGGAGCTGTACGTGTCTGGTGATATAGGAGAGGCATTCGCTCCATCGCTGACTGTGATTCTGGTTCTAGCCACAAATCCATCATCGCCTATCTGGCGTCTGCCAACCTGCCTCAGAGCTCGGGGACTCTGCGAGAAGAACTGGGCGATTCGGTGAACATCGACGATGCAACGGTTAAGAAGTATGAGGGGCTATTAGAGAAGAAATGGACCAGCGTGGTTCGCTTGCAGAAGAAAGTATGATCCCGGCTAATGAAGCGGTTCTACCTAGATTATGGATCTGGAATCCCGTTGCGCTTCGCTTCAAGCCGAGTTGGATTCTGCGACGCCCACATCGCTATCGCGACGAAATCAAGATCCGGCGTCGTGGCTGCCACGCGCACCTGCCCGCCATAACCTGCAATCGCACCGCGATCCTGTCAACTGTGTTGCTTTCCACCCTGTCTTCTCATCACTTGCGTCCGGCTCTGACGATACAACGATCAAGGTCTGGGACTGGGAGCTGGGGGAGTTAGAGCGGACAATCAAGGGTCATACCAAGGCAGTGCTAGATGTGGATTACGGCGGGCCTCGAGGAGGCACGTTACTGGCGTCGTGTTCATCCGACCTGACCATCAAATTGTGGGATCCGTCAGATGAGTACAAGAATATCCGAACACTCCCTGGCCATGACCATAGTGTCTCCGCGATACGATTCATCCCGTCTGGAGCGGCTGGCTCTCCCATGTCGGGAAATCTATTGGTCTCTGCGTCTCGAGACAAGACTCTGCGGATATGGGACGTGACTACCGGGTACTGCGTCAAGACATTACAGGGTCATGCGGGCTGGGTGCGCGATGTCACTCCCTCTCTTGATGGCCGCTTTCTTTTCTCGGCTGGAGATGACCAAATCCCTCGACTGTGGGATATCTCTTCGGGGGAGACGAAGGCGACCTTCCTTGGCCATGAGCACGTAGTAGAGTGCGTTGCTTTCGCACCAGCAGCCAGTTACCCACATCTGGCGGCTATTGCAGGGCTGAAAAAACCACCTTCGGCTTCGTCATCGGCCGAGTTTGTCGCTACCGGTTCTCGTGACAAGACTATCCGACTGTGGGATTCTCGAGGGACCCTAATCAAGACGCTGGTTGGCCATGATAACTGGGTTCGAGCTCTGGTCTTTCACCCAGGTGGGAAATACCTCCTATCCGTATCCGATGACAAGACCCTCCGTTGCTGGGATCTGACGCAGGAGTGTAAATGTGTCCGGACCCTGAACATCCACGAGCACTTTGTCAGCTGCCTGCGATGGGCGCCTCCTCTTATTAAAGATACCGGGCTCAATGGTGACGCCGGTGTGAACGGCAGTCCCACGCCTACCGCAACGACAAACGGCTCCAAAGAGGACGCCAATCCCGCGGCCAAGATGTCCATCAGGTGCGTCCTGGCGACTGGCAGCGTGGACCTTAACGTACGCGTTTTTGCATCATAAGCTCAGCTGCAAAAAGAAACGATGGATAAATCTTTTCCTTCACTATGAACTCGATTCACAAATTAGCAGTCTTCTTAATCAACCCTTCCCCCTTATTCGAGTCGGGATACCATATCGCATCTACACTTCGACAGGTGGATTTACAGTCAACGGTGCAAGCTCTTTGAAAGGCGAGGCTAGACAGGGGAAAGTGCCCAGGGCTGCCGGCCTACCTTTCTTTTCTTTTGTTCTTTGTATCTTTTTTTCCCCCTAAACTTTCTGGTCCATACGATACCTTTTGCCTATGCATATTGTCCCGTGTCTACTTAAGCTGATAGAGAACGACGCCGTTCTTCGTTCGTATCATTACTTCTAGTTACCTAATGTACCTTCTGTGTATCTGTTATTTTGATAGAGTATTACACTGCGAAAGAAGAAGAGAAAAACGTAGCTATAATACAAGACATGGAGGAAAAGACAGGCAGGAAAAAATTCACTGGGTGCGGCTCATCCTCTCTTGAACCAACCTCCTCACGCGACCAATATATTCGTCTCTCCGCTGGGTAGTTCTCTTCCCACCGTCGGCAGCCCTGGCCTCCCTACGATCCAACTTGGCCGCCCTCTTCTCCACCCGCACGGCGTCCCTCTCCTCTTTCGTCATGAGAGGCGGCCGCGACTCGAGGGATTCGCCAAAGGGCGCGATGATCCGCTCAACCACATGCCGCACATGTCGGCTCTTGGGGAACCCGGACGAAAACTCAATCACGTCGCCTTCGCGAAGCGAGTTGCGCGGGTCCGACACCATGTACTTCGTGACCTTCGGGTAGAGTTTGCGGATGTGCGAGTCCCAGGTTGTGTGGCGGTGGGCGACGCGCACGGTGCGATCCATTAAACCCGCGGAGATTACCGTCCCTGTTTTGAGTGTGGAGGGAAAGCTGCGGATAAAGGGAGGAGGAGGAGAGGAAGCATCTGTCGAACTCGGAGGAGCAGGGCTGGCGTGGGCTGTTGTGCTGGTCGTCGTCGTGGCTTCCGTGTTCTGCTGGGTGGTCGACGCCGCTCGTCGGATCACTGGGGCGACGGATCTGGCGGCATGCAGTGGTCTAAGGGGGAGCATCGTGCGAGAAAGACTGGCTGCCATTATGGGTGGGTGGTCGAATGGCGAGACAGTCAGAACAATTGAATGAGGAAGACTTGATCGGCTGGCAGGCCCTTTTTTCCCCCTTTCTTGGTTCAGGCTTTCGGAAGCCTAATGGATTCCTAAAACTTTTTGCGAAATCCTCGCTCAATTGGCTCCTCGTCAGGGTTGATAGGTATCTCAAGTTCCTTACCCAGTTGGATTGTCGTGTTGAGGTTCGCCCAAGAATTTCCTCTCGGAGATCGAACGAGTGTTTGCACTGTTTGCACTGTCTACCAAGGCTTCCAACACTACAAGGCATAACAACCGAATAGTCTCACTAAACAAGGATGTACGGAGTAGTCGTATTCGTCTTGTTAAACGCTAGTATGCAATACCAGAAAGCACTAAGTGCCTGACTATCCCAGGTCTATGAGAGGGGAGAGCCGTATAGTTGGTCTTCCGGTAGATAGTTAAGCCGTATAGTTATACACCAGCGCCGAAAGCAGGGAAACAGGAAAATGAGAAGCAGAAAAAAAAAATTGGCCAAGTAGTAGTTCATTATTTATTTCTAATCGATCATTTCGGGTCATACATAAGTTCCGACTTCTAGGTCACAGCGCGGCTTGCACATTACCCAGTATGTCGGTCTGGAGAGGTTGTTGAGGAAGACTAGGGCTCACGACCAAGGGCTTTTTTGTGTGGACTTTCTTCTCCGACTGTGCAGAGATGCGCGTGAGTTCTGTAACGAAGGAATTACCCCAGAAGGCACTGGAGGGCAGTCAGCTAGAGGGTTCCATGTGGGAAAAAAGAAATGTTCAAGGGGCCATGACATACCTAGTATACTTCGACACGTATTTGTCCAATTTGGAGAAGTTAAGAGCGCGCTGCTCATCACTCATGGTGACTGCTTCTTGGTAAGCGCCCGCCAGCTCCTCGGTATTCCAGGGATTGATGATGATGCTTCCGTTGAGCGACTGCGCCGCACCGGCGAATTCAGATAATACCAGGCTGCCGTGGCGCTTTTCTTGGGCCGCGATATACTCATAGGCCACGAGGTTCATGCCGTCGCGGGTGGAGGATACGATACACACGTCCGAGACCGCGTACAGCGCGATCAACTCATCAAAGTTGACCGATTTGTGCAGGAAGTGAATCGGCATAAATTCCACGGTGCCTGCAATTGCATTAGAAGAGCTTCCCCGCGTACATGCCAGCGAAAAGAAAAACCAATCATGAACTGACCGAATTTTCCGTTGATCCTGCCCACCAATTCATTCACCACTGCCCGTAGGTTCTGGTATTCCTCGACATCCTGTCTGCTCGGCACTGCAACTTGGACTAGGACGACTTTTCCGACCCATTCAGGATGATCACTCAGAAAAACTTCTAGTGCATGCAGCTTCTGGGGGACACCCTTGATATAATCCAGCCTATCGACGCCCACCATCAATTTCACACCTTGGAACTTCTGCTCCAGCATCGCGATGCGTTTCTGCACCTTCTCCTTTTTGAGGCCTTCCTTGAACTTTTCCGGGTCAATTCCGATCGGGAATGCGCCGCAGGCGATGATTTTGCCTTGGAATTCAATGCCGTTCGGGGTTGTAGCCAAGCCTCTGTTAAAAAATGCGTGAGTTGGCGAGTTGGTATTAATAAAAATAAAAGAGATCCAAGATTTGACCTACAGTAACCGGGAGCAGCTGCTCAGGAAGTGTCGGGTGTAGTCGTAGGTGTGGAATCCGATCAGGTCACAGTGCAGTACACCCAGAAGGAGCTCATTCCGAACAGGAAGAATCCGGTAGATCTCACTGCTAGGAAAGGGGGTGTGGAGGAAGAAGCCAATCTTCACATTCAGCTTGCTGTCTCCAATCTCTTCACGAAGCATCTCCGGGAGGAGCATGAGATGATAATCATGAACCCAGATCAAGTCACCGTCTTGGACCTCCTTCGCAACGGCCTGGGCAAACAGCCGATTCGCTTCTTTGTATGCCTCCCAGGCAGACTCATCAAAAGTGATTTCACCAGGGTGATAGTGGAAGAGAGGCCAGAGGATGGAATCTAGAATTGAGGGTGAGAAGGTCAGCAGTCCGGTATGACGAACATGGCCAAGATCTCAAAAGGCAAGTTGCCACCCACTTGAGAATCCATTATAATGCCGATCTGCCAGATCATCATCGATGAAGACCGGAACGGCACCGTATTCGTCTTTCAATCGGGCCTTCACCATTGGAATTTCCTCCTCGGGGACCTCCAGACCGGGCCAGCCGTACCATTGGAAAGTCGTCGATTTCGACAGACCGCTCAATCCACTGACCAGGCCACCGGACGACATGGAGAAGTCATACTTTCCATCCTCTGAGCGTTTTATGGTGATCGGGAGGCGATTCGAGACGAGGAGCAACCTCGCTTCGGTTTTTGGGGGCTCGTCAATGGACGGCATTGTGAAAGAAGAAGAAGAAAGGGAAAAAGGGGGTATTTATAAATATGTAAGGATCAATGAAAGATGAATAGAAAAGGGATTCGCAAGGGTCACCGATATTGGCAATTCGTCAAGGGTCCTGCGGTTTGGAGGGAATACTACCTTATCGACGCAGAAATACGTCAGAGTTCCATACGTCAAAGCTAGGACAAGCAGGGGTGAGCACATACCGAGTGAATTCCTCAGAAGCGAGCAATATGAGGCAGCTTGTAGGATTGCTGAGGAAAGCCCTGATAACTCCTTTTTATTTCTCCCAGCAGAACTATCGCATGAGGTCTCCCGGGGGGGGGGTCGGGTGTTCACGGTGCAATGGAGAAGGCGGCGAATGGGTAAATCTGCAAACGCGGGTAAGCGGCGGGGAATAAAGCAAGAGGGATCTCGAAGGGAACCAACCACACGTGTACGCCGGGGTTTCTGCTGTTCAAGAACACGTTGAACAGTTCAGAAGAGCTTCTAAGAAAGGGATAATAAACCCAGTTTTGCAAAGGCAACTGGGGAAGTGACGCCTGGCTAGGCGTAGCAGCAGGAATGCACGTGGCGGAGGGGGGCAAACAGATGGGATGAGATCCTCAATAGCAAGTTCATCCAGACTGAAGAAGGAATCCTAACAAAAGAAAAGAAAAGAAACAGCGGGCCCCGAAGTATAGAGCAGTCAAGGACGGGCAAGGATGATGAACAGGTTCTAGACAAGACGATCAGGCCAACAATCAGGTAATAGTATGGAACCGGGAAACTCTGCAGCCCGTCTGGTACCTACTCCAGTACCAGAGTCGATGATGTTGACACTTTGGGGGAGGGGGGAGGCGGCCAGATCGCGAGTTTAAATAGTTTCTATAATCGTGACGAAGCGTTTATTAATTACAAGATCCATACAGACTACATTGGCGGGCTGATGGTCCAAATTCTGATGTGCCCCTCCCTCCGTTTTTTCCCCTCAGTAGGACCTCTTCGTGGCTCCGTATCGTTATCGTGGGGGGACTGACGTCGTCTAGTTAGTTCAGGCAGTTAGTTGTTACCTTAGGTAAACTTAGGTACCGGGTAGGCAAGTAAGTTCCATTAGGTAGTAGTAAGTGGCAGGCTGAGGGCTCTCCAACAATCATCATCATTGCCAAGCGCAAGTGAACTAGGGGCCCGCCCCCCGCTAGTGCCCTAAGCCCTAACATATGCCCTGATTCGGCCATTTACCTCCCTTCTCCCCCCCGCAACACCCGGCCTTATCGGACAGAGGGCCAGGCTAAAGCAGGAGAGAGCAGTCCAGCCAAACAGGCACGAGGGCGCAGCTGCGGCCCTCTGTGGTTCCCTGCGAGTACCTAAACACCCATGGGATGGTATGCGGCGTGACGAGTCCGAAACAATGGGATACACGGCGGAGGAGGACGGAGGTCAATACCGGTGGTTACAGGTAGGTACCTAGTACGGAGTATAGTAAACTGCGGAAGTTGCTGCTGCTACTACCTTCGCGCGAGGCAAATCAGAACTGCTACCCAGGGATCTAATTAGTAAATGCAGTTCGATGTGGGGGGTGAGATGCAAATCAAATTTCCCAATCAGTCACGCCACTCTGTGGGGATTGGGGCTAGTTGCCTGGCAAGATGTCAAAGCATTCTCCTAGTAGCAAGGGGATGATAAATCTCTCATGTCGGATAAAATGCGGGTGGATGGATTGGGAGGCGTACCTAGCTACTACTAGATAGTACTAGATACCTACGGAGTAGATACCGGTAAAATACTTAGTAGTGGCAGTCATTATCATCAATTATACACATGAATCGAGTAGCTACTAGTAACTGATATCATAGCGTCTGCCTTCCATTCAAGCTCCAGCCTCCCGTCGTTAGCTCATGGGTGACCTTATCCTCATCCTCCAGCTTCAGCAGCACTTGCAAGATGCCGTGGGAGGCCGGGAGATGAAGGTTTTCCGGCACATCCCGGTAAATGACCTTGACCAAGTCGATGGGTGTCCACGACGCCTTGCGGGCAGGGGATACCGGGTCCGGATCGTGAGAGTTATTATTCGTGGGAACAAGTGTGCCATACCGGAGCACCCGAATGACCTCGTCTTCGCGCTGCTGACGATGCTGGATGTACTCGGAAATTCTCGCAGTGGCGTTCTCAATGACCGTACCATGGCCAGGGTAGCCACGGCCTGCTACCCGACCACGCATCTTCTGAAGGCTGGCCAGATAGGCCTTGAGATCTTCAAAGACACTCGTGCCGTGGCCAAGGACATCTACTGGCATTAGGGAAGGGTTCTATAAAGGGGAGGGGTTGATGATATTCTGGGGATATACTCACTGTCGCCAGTGAAAATCGCATCTTCCTCCTTGAGAACAAACACCATATGGTCCACTGTATGCCCCGGAGTATGAAAGGCTTGTAGAGTGGCCCCTTCTACGCTGAAGACTTGGCCATCCTCGATCGGCTGCTGTCCCTCACCGGGCTGGTTCTTGTAGATTGTCGCCTGAGGACAGATCCCGAGCAGGTCTGGGATGCCTCCTACATGGTCGTGGTGCCAATGTGTGATGAGAGCCTTGTTTATCGTCGCTTTTTCCTCCCGCAAAACTGATTGGAGCCGTGACGTCCAGCCGGGCTTACCCTCGCCCGTGTCGATCAAGATTCGCTGCGCTCCCCGTCCGATAAGGTAGGTGTTGGTTCCTAGGAAGAGGTTGCCCCGAGCGTATTAGAATACAGCTGCTATGTGTCCGTACCCAACTTGGCCCTACCTTGCAGCGTAAACTACACGGTCAGACATCAGCCACCACCCTCATAGGAGTCTCCCCTCCAGATTCGTATCGGGTTTCTGGTAGGCAGTCATGAGGGAGAGGGAGAGGGGGAGGGGGAGGGTGAGAAAGGGGGTGGGAGGGGAGGCACTACTACCTTCCCAGGATTGCCACCTAGGATCCTCACAACCGACGCGCTGACACGCTCAACCTCTGGCAACGGTACAAGTTGGGTCGCCATGTCTTTTCCTTTTCGCCTTCTGCGTCGTTGCTCCGGGGGGGGGGGGGGGGGGGTCAGGACGAGTCACAACAACTGCGCAAAAGTTCAACCGTTTCTCCGCAATTGGACTGATAAGGAATGATAAGTCATCATCAGCCCCTCCAAGAGACTCAACACTCGAGAGTGAGGGGTCACAACGACAGGTCTCGCCGCCAGGACCCTGGCTGGACAGTAGCCTGCAGAGACCTACCTTGGCTAGACTAGGCTGGGTAGGTGGTAGTGTTTTTCTGGTTTGTTTTGTTTTGTTTTGGATTCCTTGCTCAACTCACCTCACCTCCTGTGATTCGAAGACGGAAACGATCAGAATACTTTAGGAATCCTTGTTCAAGCCCGGGCGAAGGGGGGTTTTCGTCGAAAATACCACCTGCCTGGCTGACAGAACTAAATCAGGAAATGAAAAGGAACGAGGGAAATATACCGCATTCCTCGCCTCATTGCGTCATAAACCTGGATCCTTTTATAATAATCACAAGAGATACGGTCTCGCCGCGGGGCACACAAGCCTCGGCAAGTCGCAGGTCTACCCAGGTAGTTTATCTGCACCTCTTTTCTAGAGCATTTCCATATATCGATCCCTTCTTCTTGCAGATATTCATTCTGTGAAAGGAAAGATTTGAGGGCTTCCTCTAATAACTTGTATATAACTAACTATAACCCGATACCAAGATGAGATGATCGATCATAGAGTAGTAGGAAGTATCAAGCATCTAGACCGTATACGGACCTATTCAATTACTCTTCTCCATTCAATCAAAACTCGCTTAGGCTGGGCAATCATACCCAGTTCACCTGGGCAGACATGCTCACCCCAATAGCAGATGCAGACAGACAGACAACTTTGCACATGCGACTCTAGCTCTAACTGGAATAGGTAGTTGTTAAAATGGTCGGGATTCTGCTTATTATCCTCAGCTACAATACAGGGAAGGGTCGGGTCACAGGGAGTAACTATTGTATTGTGTTTTTGGTGTTAATATGACACACGCCCCCCCGATGGTCTTACTGTTTACAAATCATTCAAAGACAAGGTATAGAGCAATCGGGGGTAGTCAAAAGGCTGCTGCATGTCATATCAAAACAGGAAATAGGTGTCAGGTCGGGTCATAAGCTACGAGAACATGTGCTCGTCAACTATCAGGTTGATGTGTCCGCGTGGACAGAAGACATGATCTTGGGCGCCCCCTTGAGAGAGAACGGAGAGGTACGTACTAAGTAAGGACTGTCCCCCGATTTATGGAAAAAAAGATCTCATGTTAGGTCTCATTCTTCATTCTTTTCCTTCTACCAACTACTGGAAAATATGACACAAGGAAATGGTATGCATGCAGCCCTAACATACAAAGGATATAATAATTGAAGGCTATGTCCAGAAAAAAGGAAAGAGGAAAAAAAAAAAAGAAAGAAACAGTTCAGATGACAAAAAGATATCGTTAAGAAGCCGAGGAGTTAACACCGGTTTCCCTCATAAAAACAGAGATCAATTGCAGACAATGTCATAATTTTACACACCGAGATCACTTTCAGCCAAGGGCTAAGGGTAACCGGTGAAACTTGTTTGGGTATTGAATCTAGTTTTTGCCAGACTTGCGAGCCATGGTGTTCAGGGCGGAACCATCGTGGAACCACTCGATCTGGGACTCGTTGAAGGTGTGGTTGAGCTGGATATCGAAGGTCTTGCTGCCGTCATGGGGGTGAACACGGAGGGTCATGGGCTCGCCGACGGCGAGCTGGGTGCACAGCAGGTCGACGGTGTCCTCAGGCTGGATCTTCTCGTAGTCGGCGGGGTCGGCAAAGGTGAGAGGGAGCATACCCTGCTTCTTCAGGTTGGTCTCGTGGATACGAGCGAAGGAGCGGGTGATGATGGCAAGACCGCCAAGATGGCGGGGCTCGAGAGCGGCGTGCTCACGGGAGGAGCCCTCGCCGTAGTTCCAGTCACCAATGACAACCCACTTGATGCCACGGGCCTTGTAGTCACGGGCAGTGGCAGGGACGGCATCGTATTCACCGGTGTACTTGTTCTTGACCTTGTTGGCCTCGCCGTTCTCGGCGTTAATGGCACCGATCAGCATGTTGTTGGAGATGTTGTCCAGGTGGCCACGGTACTTCAACCATGGGCCAGCCATGGAGATGTGGTCGGTGGTGGTCTTGCCATGGCACTTGATGAGGATGGGGATGCCGTTGGCATCCTTGCCATCCCAGGCCTGGAAGCCCGCAAGGATCTGCAGGCGGTCGCTGGTGGGGGAGACAGCAACGTTGATGGAGGTGCGGTCGGCGGGAGGGGCCTGGTAGGTGTCACGGCCGGGGTCGTAACCATCGGCAGGGAGACCGTCACCGGTGGGGGGCTTGAGCATGAACTCGTTGCCATCCTTGTCCTTCAACTTGTCGGTAAGAGGGTTGAACTTGAGGGTACCGGCGATGGACAGGGCCACGACCAGATCGGGGGAGGTGACGAAGGCGTGGGTGGCCGGGTTGGCGTCGTTACGGCCGGTGAAGTTACGGTTGTACGACGAGATGATAGAGTTGGCGTCGCCCTTCTTGACGTCGCGACGATCCCACTGACCGATGCAAGGACCGCAGGCGTTGGCAAGGATGACACCACCAAACTCCTCGAGGGTCTGGAGCTGACCGTCACGGGCAATGGTGGCACGGATCTGCTCGGAACCGGGAGTGACGGTGAAGAGAGCCTTGGACTTGATTCCGTGGTCGAGAGCGTCACGGGCAATGGAGGCAGCACGGGACATGTCCTCATACGAGGAGTTGGTGCAGGAACCGATGAGGCCGACCTTGAGTTCCTCGGGCCACTTGTTGGTCTCAACAGCCTCCTTGAACTTGGAGATGGGGGTGGCAAGATCGGGGGTGAAGGGACCGTTGATGTGAGGCTCGAGCTCGGAGAGGTTGATCTCAAGGAGCTGGTCGTACTCGGCACCCTCGTCCTCACGGAGCTCCTTGGCGTACTCGCGGGAGAAGTCACCAATGTGCTGACGCTTGGTGGCCTTGAGGTAGTCGTACATGCGGTCGTTGAAGGGGAAGACGGAAGTGGTGGCACCGATCTCAGCACCCATGTTGCAAATGGTACCCATACCAGTGCAGGAAAGAGAGTCGACACCAGGTCCGTGGTACTCAATGATGGCACCAGTACCACCCTTGACGGTCAGGAGACCGGCGACCTTGAGAATGATATCCTTGGGGGAAGTCCATCCGGAGAGAGAGCCGGTGAGCTTGACACCGATGACCTTGGGGGCCTTCAGCTCCCAGGGGAGACCGGCCATGACATCGACGGCATCAGCACCACCGACACCGATGGCGGCCATGGCGAGACCACCACCGTTGGGGGTATGCGAGTCAGTACCGATCATCAGACCACCGGGGAAAGCGTAGTTCTCGAGGATAATCTGGTGGATGATACCAGAGCCGGGCTTCCAGAAACCAATGTTGTACTTGCCAGTGGAGGAGGCAAGGAAGTCATAGACCTCCTTGTTGATGTCGTTGGCACGGGCAAGATCCTTGTCACCACCAACCTGGGCCTCAATCAAGTGATCACAGTGGACGGTGGAAGGAGTAGCGACGGAAGGCATGCCGGCAGACATGAACTGCAGGATGGCCATCTGAGCAGTGGCATCCTGGCAAGCCACACGATCGGGGCGGAGCTTCAGGTAGGACGTTCCACGCTCAATCTCCTGGCCGTGAGGGTCGTCCAAGTGCGAGTACAGAATCTTCTCGGCGTAGGTGAGAGGACGCTGGAGACGCTGACGGACAATGTTCAGGTTCTCAGACATCTTCCTGAAAAATGCGATTTCATGTTAGCACATCTCACATTTAGAGACAATTGATTGGATATCAATTGCATTGTGTCATTTGTTTCAAGAATCATACTTGTAGTTGATGTAGTTGCCCTAAGAAGATTGGTCAGCAACATAATTCTTACACGTTTGACAGGCTCCGATCGTGCTACCCGAAGACAGCCGAAATAGGCCCACAAAAGGGTTTGATCACCACTCACCTTCTCCCAGTTGGTCATCTCGACCTTCTTGTCCAGAGGAGAATCGCTGACGGTGGCCAAGCCCCGAGTAGCCAGCACCTATTTGACGTGGGTTAGTACCGATTATTTTCCATCTGACAGAGAGCGATAGCCGGTGTGGTGCTAGCTTCATCGAAGCCGATCGTGGCAACTTACAAGGCGGGACTTGGGGGCCTATGGAGAGCAATCGAGTCAGTTTGGCTTCAACAAATTAAGGTGTAGGTGTCACCAAACGGCGGGCAGGAAACCAGGAAAGCAGGGGGGAGAACGTACCAGCGCACCCAGGCGCGCGAGCCGTGTGGAGATCATGGTGGCTCTTTAGTTAAGGAAGCTGCAGCACATTCAAGGAGAGCGAATCCTTCTAGCTGTAGGAAGCAGCACGGGGGGAGGAGCGGAGAGAGTGGGAAGATGGAACAAGGGAGAATTTAAAGGGAAGAGAAAAAAAGGAAGCTTGGTGCTTTTAGGTGGGCAGGCAAAACCCACGAGACAGCGATTTGTGTTTTGCAACTGGGGGAACCGGAGAAGAGGACCCGTCCCTACCGGAATTATGACGGTACCCGCTACGTACGCATGCGCGACCGGAGACAAGGAAGAGAGAGGCTGGACACAGCCCCTTGTCCCAGCGAATTCGATCGCTTCCATTCCTCTCGGATTCGAAAAAGCCGCCTCCTTAATGGTCTGTTGTCTCCCTCTTTCTGGCCTTCTCCGGAGTCGACGTCGAGACTCCTGGAGTAAGGCTCTTCTGCCACCTGGTGTTTTGTAATGGTCTGTTACCACAAATACGCGGTAATTTTGCTTTGGGCAGGTGCCACTGACGGCATGTGAGGCCAGCGCCAATCAGAGGCCTCTGATTACTTGCTCTCCCCAAGAAACCTCCAGCTACAACCCAAGCTCTATAAGCTTCCCAGGTCAGCTATCTCACTTCGAAAGCCTCAATTGCCATATGAAATAAATATTAGAGTAATTCCCAGCATTTCTTCCACAATCGGATACACTTTGTTCATGCCAATTCCTCTCCTGCTGGCAGCAGCTCCTCTTCTCCGGAGTGACATGCCGAAAACGTCATACATTACAGGGTGTGCTGTATTTTACTCCGTACCACCGCATACATACAGGCCGACCTCCAGCCGAGGCTTGCCGAATGGAAAGCCGCAACCCTCCGCCAAGGCCGCTCATCGCCTGCCCACCAATGGAATGCAAGGTGTTTCGAGCGTTGCCCGTGCGGGAATGGGAGAGCCTCTGTGCCCCCCACTGCATTTAGCGCTAGAGCTTGGCTGTCCTTCCGTTTTTCGGTGGTAGGAATTTTGCATCGGGGCAAAACATTCTACGTCGGGCGTTAGTCGACCTAGTTCGATCTGCTTGGGGATACCGACTCGGTCCAAAATGGGTGCAACGAGACGAATTAAGACCAAACGCAGGGTCAGGTATGATCGCATATCTTCTGACCTTTGTTTCTTTTTTTTGGTGTTTTACTGTATGCGTTGCTAATAATAAAAAAAAGAGACTACGATCAGGTCCGCTCTGATCTCGACTCTCCCCGCCACCTGGCTCAGTATCAGGCTACCAAGGACGCTGAAGACCTGCCGGGATTGGGCAAGCACTACTGTGTCGAGTGCGCAAAATGGTTTGAAAGCGAGTTCAATCTGACAGCCCATACCAAGGGGAAAAACCACAAACGGAGGTGAGATGCGCGCTACTGTTAATTTTTATTTTTTTTTTATTTTTTTTTTCTGCGATTGCATGCGACCAGAGACTAATCAAAGAAACCACGACGGCGATGCAGACTCCGTCTCCTACGCGAAGACCCCCATACTCAGAAGGTCGCAGAGGCAGCCGTTGGTCTGGGAACAGACAACGGCGTTCGTCCGCAGGCAGAAGTCGAGATGGAGGAATAGAAGAAGATCCACGACAATCCCTACCTAGCTATCATCCTGCTGGCCAGATTCTCTATAGGGGACGACCACCGGTGCAGGTCATACGGTCGAATCGAATAATCAAATAGGTTTTCCAGCAAAAATGTTGTTTCAACAATATATCGTCGAGGAGCATGAAAAAAACCCCGATCTTGAACAATCTCTGTCGTCGTCCACAAGTCCATCTGATTGGCTGCATATGGAGGCGCATCTCTTGAGAACTTCTTAGCTGTGGAGTGGATACGACTGTACTAAGTAAACACGTGAGAGGGAAAAAATCTTTACTCTTGCGTGTGTGTGTGTTTTTTTTCCTTTTCCCGTGGTTGCCGATATTCGCCCGACTCGCAGCTGTGGCCTTACTTCCGGTTTGCGGCAGATGTCGAAACCGCCGCTTCTCGGGCTTACTACAGTGTAAACGACCCGCTTAAGCCGGCGGCCGACCTTTGAAGAATAATACTACATGGTAACTAATACGGACTACTTCAAGTTCAATATTATTATTATGACTACTACTATTATTAGCGTTGCTTTTGTAGTATATTATTTGCTTTGAGCGGTGTACAATTATGGATCTTGAGTATGGAGTAGATTGACGACGGAGTAGCTACCTAGTAGTACTTAGTAGATTCAATTGTCCGTACTCCGTAGGTATATTATTAAATATGGGGGACCAGCGTCTAGGCTAGAAAATAATTACGCTGATATGCCTCTATTATAGACACTTGCACCACATAGTAGTGACAATAAATATATATAGTTAATACTACAGGATATGTCCTAAATGTAACACTAACTATATTAAAAGAGATATTTAGTAGTTTCCATCAAGACTATAATGAATTAGTCAGGGTCTGGCATGAGACATAATTTATATTATCGTAATCCGTTGGTATATAATCCCGAGGAGGACAATGTCCAAGCTCCAGCTAATAATCAAACCAACAAGCTAAAACTGTAGATTCTCGGCTGATTGTAGATATCGTCTCATTTTATATTTCTATGTCGCTAGGCTAAACACTAAGTTGTCCGACCTGTTGAGCGTTTTTATGAGCCATTCATATGTCGCCCACTATTAAATATAATTAGCCATCAAAGATCGCCAGGGTGTGAGAACATATATATATAAATCAAGACTTGCCTGTACGGCATTCACGATGAATGCTCTAACGCTGCAGATCCCTAGACCACGGTAGAACACCGTCCATCCCTCCCTTCGATAAGCCTGCTTTGCAATCTGGAAGGAGTTTAGGATCTGTCTATCGAGCATAGGTCGTGTTTCACCAAAGGGTCCTCTGGGCCTGGATTCGAGTATTGGTTGTGCTTGGAGTCTCGTTTTCACGACATCCAGTGGAAACACCGATGCCCATGTCACTATGCCCGCGATTCCTCCGCAGAGAAGCACTTTCAGCGCTGCTTGACGAGAGTCGTCTTTCTCCGAAGCGAAATACCGTTTGCAGTATTCATAAGACCAGAAACTGAGAACAAACACTCATCAGCCCATTAGATCCCCACCACTAAATCACATGAAAGGGTTGTCATCACTCCCAGCCGGGGTAGAGCAACATACTAGAATCCATATCCGACAGAGTCCCGAATGCTCGTAATCGCACCGCCGTAGTAAAGACCCCCGAAACCACGGGCGTGCAAAATCTCCTTGGCTATTTTCCATGAAGAGACCTCGGCTCGCGAGCTAAGCTGCGCCCGACATTTGATGAGCTCTGTTGGAGACGATACCCCCCAGCTGGCCAGGCCGCCTGCAGCCCCGGCAAGCCAGATCTTCCATAAAGGGATACTCTGCAGATCCGTTGGGTCGGTAATTGTCCGGTCCATCAACATCAAAGACCGATTGTAGGCGACGAACAGGAGAGCATTGAGTGCTCCATACCCAAGGATAGGAGCAGCGGCACCTGAGAATTGTAGGTTAGTACCTCCTGCTTTACTCTGACTAGAGAACCGTTCTATATATGATCTGTACCTCGTACAAGTGCATTGCCGCTTTCAAACCGCCTCAGCCCTGACTGCGGGGAAGGGGACTGTGTAGGTACACTCCCGTCTGCGCCATGGCCTGCTTGTAATCGGACTTTGAGGAGGTCCAGTGGGTTCCCAATAACTATACCAACAGCACCGCTGAGGTACCCGGCCCAGAAGTCCGCTGCCATGAAATCGATAAGAAAACAAGATGCGAAACTTCATGATGGTACCTTCCTCCTCCTTATCAACGAGTCAACGACGCTCCATGATCACGTGAAGCGGGGGAGAAACCCATTATCTACTAATCTCCATATGATAACAAACTACCTAACTACTTCAGGACTAGCTTGTTTAGCACTCTCATCCATCTTGAAGAGCAAGTTAGAGTCACATAGCAGTAGTTACCTGATATTACAATAACTTAACCACATCGTTCTCTCGGAAACCTCATAGATTCCAACATGTTTAAAGAAATTCTTATAGTTCTTACTCACGTGGTCACCAGCTGAGATGGAGGCATAGTGCTTCTCATCTAGCGTGTCGCGGCACGATTTGATGCAGCGGATGGTGAAGTTCAGGTTCCTATGATAATCAATTGAAAGCGATAGAATGCTGATCTGTTCCCGAGGAGTTCATCACGCGATGGGTGCTGGAGATGTAGATATCGTTCGGCCAGCACTGGAATAGATTGTCGAAAGTTGATCACGGATGCGCCTTCTGCGCGGGATTGACCGAGCAATTAATATAACAGGTACTGACCATTGCCAGAATTTAGGGTCCCAAAGTTGTGCGAGCGCTCGGCGAGGGGCACATCAGACCTGCTCCTAAGAAAACCGACAGGAATCTCGAGATTGTCGCGCTTTGGCCAAGTGGAGCATTAGTTACTAGGCATGCTATCTGTATCAAGAGGTTTGCAGCCATTGTGGTGAGACGTTTTACAGGCACCGAACGCCCTCAATCCTGGTAGATACCATGGCATTATAGGTTAAGAGGTAGATATCATAATTGCCTATAGCCATGGCACTTGTTCAAGGAGATAGCCTGGATACCGATAGCCGTTGCCATGTCATGTGACCTCGTGTTATCTGGCGTTGGGGGTGACGCGTCGGGCGAGAACGCGTCACCAACAGTAGTGGACAACTGGAGACGACGACATCAATCTTGGAGGTGCACCACCAGAGGGGCATCTAACTTTATTCCATCCGAAAAGAATCAAGACAATGTATGAGGTAATTCCGGAAAACGCGTGTCCAAGGCATCAGCATCTTACACAGCTCACAGGTACCGACCCCGGTCAGGGCCAGGTGGCGAGCACACACCACTATCGAAATCTCTGAAAGGCAGTCCGTCGCTGAACTCGATTGACCGACTGACGAAACCTTTTAAATGTCCTGGATCAGCTACGCCGACTCGTACCTCCGAAAAACCGGCTCGGAAGAGGCGAAAAGTGAACTATGCAGAAGCGGATGGGAATGCAGAGGATAAGAATGAGAAGACATGGATGACGGAGGACCGCATGGCGCTTGCGGCGCGGGACGCAAATCGGTTCCCTGTATTCAAGGTTAAGGACAAAGACCTTATGTTTAGGCAACGGTTTCGTGTGCCGCTGGTCAACAAAACACCTGGCGAGTACGACGCGGCACGACCTGCACCGACGCTGGGTATGAGACAGGGTGCTACGTTTGTGGTAAAGCCTTTACATGACCCCAGCGGGGAGTTTGCGATAGTGCTGTACGACCCGACTGTCGATGATGTGGAGGAGAAGCAGGAATCAACCAAGACCGTGGGTGATCAGCAGGAAGATAAACCAAAGCTCGACGAGCCACTCGTGCACAAAAGCTTAGCCGACATACTTGGTCTCAAAAAGAAGGTTGATGATCGTCCCAAGGTCCCAGTGGTAATCGATCCAAGGTTGGCAAAGGTGCTTCGACCCCATCAGGTCGAAGGTGTAAAGGTATGTCTGTCACATTTGGTAGAATAAGGCTAGAATACTGACCTTTTGGAAGTTTCTTTACCGCTGTACGACGGGGATGATTGATAGAAATGCCAACGGCTGCATCATGGCAGATGAGATGGGGTTGGGAAAGACTGTAAGGACGCTGCGCGGTAGAACGTGTGATCTGGATCTGACATTGCTAGCTACAATGTATCACATTGATGTGGACTTTGCTCAAACAGTCTCCCGAGGCTGGTAAGAGTGCGATCCAGAAATGTGTGATTGCTTGCCCCTCAAGCCTGGTTAAGAATTGGGCGAACGAATTGGGTAGGTGGCCGAAGCGAACCCCTTTTTCCTCCCTAAAATATGCTGATGGTTGTAGTGAAATGGCTTGGCAAAGATGCAATAAATCCCTTTGCAGTGGATGGTAAGGCCTCGAAGACAGAGCTTACTGCTCAGATGAAACAATGGGCTATCGCTTCGGGGCGTTCTGTTGTCAGGCCTGTTCTCATTGTTTCTTATGAGACACTTCGATTGAATGTCGAATCCCTGAAAGATACACCTATTGGACTACTTCTGTGTGATGAGGGACATCGCTTGAAAAACAAGGACAGCTTGACGTGGACTGCTCTAGACAGTCTCAATGTCAGTCGCCGCGTCATTCTTTCTGGAACGCCGATTCAGAACGACTTGTCCGAATATTTTGCGCTTCTTCATTTTGCCAACCCTAACTTGCTTGGAACGCAAAATGAGTTTCGCAAGCGCTTCGAGCTACCGATCCTCAAGGGCCGAGATGCCGCCGGTACAGAGGATGATCGCAAAAAGGGTGATGAACGTTTATTAGAGCTGTCTGGCATTGTCAACAAGTTCATTATCCGACGAACTAACGACATTCTGTCCAAGTATCTGCCGGTCAAGTATGAGCATGTCGTCTTTTGCAACATGTCGCAGTTTCAGATCGATCTCTACAACCACTTTCTCCAAAGTCCTGATATCAAAAGCTTGCTGAGAGGCAAAGGGAGTCAGCCTTTGAAAGCAATTGGAATGCTCAAGAAGCTTTGCAATCACCCAGACTTGTTGAATCTGTCGACGGATCTCCCAGGAAGCGAGCATACCTATCCCGAGGACTATGCTCCTCCTGACTCTCGCGGTCGCGACAGGGACATCAAGTCCTGGTATTCTGGAAAAATGATGGTTCTTGACCGCATGTTGGCACGGATACGTCAAGACACCAATGATAAGATAGTACTAATCAGCAATTATACGCAAACCCTCGATCTATTTGAGAAGCTTTGCCGGGCCCGTGGATACGGTAGCTTACGACTGGATGGAACGATGAATGTCAACAAGCGCCAGAAGCTTGTGGATAAATTCAATGATCCGGATGGACTGGAGTTTGTCTTTCTTCTTAGCAGTAAAGCTGGTGGCTGCGGATTAAACCTGATCGGGGCAAACAGACTCGTGCTCTTCGATCCGGACTGGAACCCTGCCGCTGACCAGCAGGCACTCGCCCGAGTGTGGCGAGATGGGCAGAAGAAGGACTGTTTCGTATATCGATTCATCGCGACTGGTTCGATTGAAGAAAAGATCTTCCAGCGTCAATCCCACAAACAGTCGCTCTCTTCATGCGTGGTGGACAGCGCGGAAGATGTCGAGCGCCATTTCTCGCTGGAGAGTCTGCGTGAACTGTTCCAATTCAAGCCAGAGACTCGCAGCGATACTCACGACACCTTCAAGTGCAAAAGGTGCAGGCCGGACGGCACACAGTATATCAAGGCTCCCGCCCTGTTGTACGGCGATACTAGTTCTTGGAACCATTTTGTCAATGATGGGGAGAAGGGTGCGCTCAGCAAGATTCAGGATCTCCTTTTGCGCCAGGAGACAGGAGAGAAAGACGTCTCTGCCGTTTTCCAATACATCAGTCACTAATTGTTTTGTCGTTGGTCTCTGTTAAAGCCTTGGAGACTTGCATTTTGATTATGCTTACGAAGACATGCAGAGCGCTATATCATGCTTGCTCTTATAGCCTTGTATAGATATTGAATAGAATCTTTAGCTCATACCTAATTTTTTTTTCCTTTTAATTTTTTGATGTTTCTTGGAGGCATTGATTGTATTGCCGGGCTAATCAACAGCGTGCTGCTGACACTACGTCACATACCAACGGCGGCTCCAGAACATTTTCGTCGGCTTGAACAACACACCTCTGGCGATCCCCACATATCAACTTTGTTGCCTCAACTAGAACGTGCAGCCGCGGACTGCCCAGCCTGTTATACTGTTTGGCTTTCATAAGAAGAAGAAGACAATCATTCCTGAGCCAGCCTAGGCTATCGCTAGCTTCAGTCTACGCTGCGATAACGCTTCAACAATCTCCACCAGTGCCTCTCCACCATGATCCCAGCTTAACCTTCAAGCTTTGGAGCGCGTGACTAGCTGCGAGCTCTGCCTTGCCTGAGCGATGGATCAATCCATCCAACGTCTACTTAATGATAAACTCTACGACCGGAGGAAGCAGGGGGCTTTAGAGTACAGTGAACTGGCAGCTCTGCGGGGAACGAACCCCGACTTCCGAGAACACAAAGCTAACTCCAGGGGCATTTCTGTCCATTTAGACTCGAGAAAATCGTCCGCGATGCCGTTTTCAAAGGAGAACACGATAAGATTCAAAAAATCGTCTACCAGCTCTGCCACGATTATGCCTACGCCGTTCACCAACCCCATGCGAGAAATGGCGGTCTGATAGGATTGGCCGCGGCGTCAATCGCGCTCGGTTCTGTGAGTCCAGAAAAAAAGAATACCAACCAGAAGGCTTCGGCACCTTAGTGAAGGGAATAATTGGATCGGTGCTGATACGGGATCATAATCGTTAGGAAGGTGTCGCTCCTTATCTCAAAGAGATTGTACCCCCGGTGCTAGCTTGCTTCTCGGATCAGGATGCTCGGGTCAGGTACTATGCATGCGAGAGCATGTACAACATCGCCAAAGTGGCAAAGGGAGAGATATTACTGTTTTTCAACGACATCTTCGACGCTCTCTGCAAGGTGGGGTGATCTGCTTCTTATCCTTTGGGACCGCTCTAATGTCAAGTCAGTTGGCCTCCGATTCCGAGCTTTCGGTGAAGAACGGTGCCGAACTTCTGGATCGCCTCGTGAAAGACATTGTATCTGAGTCCGCAGCGTTTTATGTGTCCGTGCTTCAGATATCGGAGAAAGGGTTACATGAAGCCGATACCCTGGAGGGAGCTGATCTCCCGACTGCGTTTTCTCTTGCAAAATTCATCCCACTGTTAAAGGAACGTATCCATGTGATCAGCCCGTTCACCCGGACGTTCCTAGTCTCATGGCTAACTCTATTGGATACAATCCCAGACCTGGAGCTTGTATGCTATCTGCCCGAGTTTCTCGGGGGATTAGTCAAGTTCCTTGGCGATCCGAATCGCGATGTTAATGTTGCAACCCAGGGACTATTGGAAAGATTTCTTACCGAGATCAAACGTATCGCTCGTATCAAGAAGGGGATTGAAGAGAGTCGCCAAGGGCATGGGAGCAGTAACAATCGCAAATCAGCCACGAGTGATACCGCAAGCATTAATACTGAGCAGGGAGCTGAAGTTGATAAGGCTGAGAATGCGATAGAAGACTCCGATACTGGGTCGATCAATGATGATGAGGAGGATGCCGGTATTGATGATGACACTCAGGTTGATGGGGACTGGATCCCGGGGCAAGATGTTCAGATTGATTATCCAAAGATTCTCGACATTCTTGTCGGCTTTGTCAATACGTCATTCGGTGAGACCTATTCTTGCACCAGTCGTTCAACTCCGAGCACTAATATATGTCTCAGATGAGGAGATGCAATTGACTGCGTTACGGTGGATCGATAGCTTTTTCGAAATCAGCCCAGGTGACATTTTGCCTTTTGTCCCTCGTCTTCTTACCCAGGTGCTCCCTGCAATGTCCAGCGGATCAGACCAGGTGCGACAAGCCGCAAACAGAGTCAACACTTCCCTGCTGGAGTATATCGTGACTCTTTCGGAGGACACGACAGAGGAAGCCCGCGCAGGACCACCGAAATTACCTGCATCTGCAACTGGCAAAGAACCAGTTGAAGAAAGAGCATCCAGTCCAAGTGATTCCCGGAAGCAAATCATCCTGCAAGAGTCTATGGACTTGACTCCCAGAAGTAGTCTTGTCTCAACGCCCATCCCGCCTGCAGATCTGGACTACGCTGCAGCCGTCAGTTCTCTCACACTTCAATTTCTGAATGAGAACGAGGCGACCCGGGTAGCCGCTCTCTCCTGGCTAATCATGCTGCATCGGAAGGCTCCCCGTAAGGTTGTCGCGTTCAACGATGGGACATTCCCTGCGCTACTGAAGACACTATCCGACCCTGCAGAAGCAGTGGTGACAAAGGATTTGCAGCTTCTCTCTCAAATCTCACGGAACAGTGATGACGGTTATTTTTCCGCTTTTATGGTGAACCTCCTTAAGCTGTTTTCGACAGACAGGAATCTTCTTGAAGTTCGTGGGAACCTTATCATCCGGCAGCTATGCATGAACCTCAGTCCTGAACGCATCTACCGCACTCTAGCCGACTGTTTAGAAAAGGAAGAGGTGAGTTGTCCACATAACGATGTGAGGTTTCCAAGCTGACAAGAGTAGGATATCGAATTCGCAAGTATCATGGTCCAAAACCTGAACAACAACCTCATCACAGCCCCCGAGCTCTCTGAATTGAGAAAGAGACTGAGGAATCTCGATACAAGAGCAAGTGATCCTGCTTGCTTCTTCGCTTTTGAGAAGGCTAGAATAGAAGGCTAACTCGAGTAACAGGAAGGCCAAATGTTCTTTGTGGCTCTGTTTCGATCATGGTGCCATAATGCCGTCTCAACCTTTTCGCTCTGTCTCCTTGCGCAAGCTTACGAACAAGCCTATAATCTTCTTCCGGTGTTGTATGGAATACCCCTAATTTTCGAGGAATGAAGACATACCAATACTGACCCATCAGCGCTGAGCTTGAAATGACAGTGAACATTTTGATTCAAATCGACAAATTGGTCCAACTGCTCGAATCCCCCGTTTTCACTTGTGAGTCTGATCTTTGGCTCTGCTGTCCTTCTCGCCCAAACTAAAATGGTACATCTAGATCTCCGTCTCCAGCTCCTTGAACCTGAAAGATACCCGTATCTTTACAAATGCCTCTACGGCGTCCTCATGTTGCTACCACAGAGCTCAGCCTTTGCAGCCTTGAAAAACCGCCTAAATAGCGTGAGCAATATCGCACTTCTCCATTCTGCACCTCGGGCGTAAGTATTCCTTTTTTGGTTCAAGACCTTTTCTTTGATCGATCGAGATTATTGACGCTGTGAAAAGGCCCACCGCTACCTCGAGTGTCACGTCTGCCATCAACTATGACCGTTCCAGCGGTAGTCGACTAAAAGGACGCGACGAAGGTTCCATCCGTTGGCACGAGCTTCTGGACAAATTCAAGTCGACGCAAGAAAAGGCCCGTCGGTCCCAATGGGCGGCGCAGCGCCAGATGGATCAGGATGGCACAGGACTAGGGCTACGCAACCCCTCGCTTGCAGCAGCTCTCTCTGCTGCCGCCACCTCTGACCAGGCTCGTAAGGACAAAGTCCTTCCCGAAACACCCCGGGCCGGCGGACTGGGTGGCGCAGGAGGTCGCGGGACCAACGCCAACAGTAACGCGCTGGATTCGGGCGCACAGAAGGGCAGCACGACGCCGCTGTCGAGCCATAAGCACAAATCCAGCCTGCCGAATCTTGGACGGCTTGGGATCGGAGGGAGGAAGTCTAAGCGATGATTTATTTCTATTTTCTTTACCCTCCAGCTTCCGGATCCTTTTTCTTCTTAACATGTTGAAGATATGACTGTCCGTACTCTTATAGTGGGACAGGTTTTCCACCCATATTGCATTTCCGTAAAGTATACAGCCTATGGAGCTCTTGCTTAAGTGTTTTCACCGACTCCCCAATCTGTTGTATTATACCTTCTGGGGAAGTGCAGTATAATCAATTCATATGCTTGGATTTTATGTCTGGGCAGACCGAAGAAGGTTTAAAATGTGCAAAATCTAGTCAGGAAGAGTGTTGAGTAATGGTATGTGCATGTTCTCAATGTATGTACAATGAAGGTAAGCATGACCAGCTTAACCAGCATGGATTGTGCCGTGGCTGCCAAAAAAACCCTCCATGAGTAGAATATAAAAAACGAATACGCTGAGTGGTGGCTAAGCAATGGATCGAGACGATTCAAAAGGCTATAGCAGAGTAAGAGAGAGAGAGAGAGGAATGGCGTAGTAAACTCAATGTCAGAGAGGAAACCTTCCCTATGAAACAAGAATAAAAGAGAAAAAAAACCAGCCAAAAAGCATATCACAAGGACAAGAGAACACATGTACAAGAACGTAGCATTGAAATCAAAAGGAATCAAGGTGGAATCGTGGTGACTGGCAGGTCATCAAGCCCTCCGCTTTGGACATGATGCGGTGGACACGGCGAAGAATAAAAAAAGGGCCAGAAGGACATGAGAATAGAATCATTTTTGCTTTTTTGAATTTTATTTCCTTTCAGGCGGGTTTATCGCCACCGCGATTCATGCGAGTTGTTCCAGCCCGAGGGCCGCCAGAGGGAGCCCGTGGAGTTCTTCGAGACGGTTCCTGTTGGCGAATTCGACCCGTTGGTATAGACGTATTCACCATCCACGTACTGGGCACCGGCATGGAACGTGCTGCGGTGCTTGCGGCGGGCGTAGCGCTGCTCCAGTCGATAGAGCTCGATCTCTATTAGACAGGTCAGTCCCGCGATCTGTAAGTGATGTGTGTCTTTCACGTACTGGCTTGTAACTTATCAAGGAGACCCATTATGTATATTTCGTCTGATATCTGATGTAATAGAATAGCTATGTAGAATAGAAGGTCTTGATCGAAAGTCCCAGTTGGAATGATCACCCGTTCGGTTCTGTTGCACGCGGCGCTTGCTTCTCGGCTCCCCGCGGAACAGAAAGACGGCTAGATATGTACAGCTAGGTCTAGAAAAGACGCACGTTAGCTTGAGAACAGTGAAGCAATTGTCATATTGCAGATATGCAGGGAGTGGCGGTTAAATCGACTAATCGGATTGGAATAGGGGTGACCACCAACAATAAATGACTGGGGAGAGAGTTTACCTCCACGACGTCAGACAACACCACAAAAGGACCTCAAGAAAACGACACTATGATCCGAAGGTAACGGCAGCAAGGGATTGGAGATTAAGTAGGTAAATACTACTTGAGTCGAGGCTAACGGCGATGATCAATATAATAAACAAAGGGAAAGTACTCTCCGTACTTGGTACGTAGAGTTAAGGAACGGCAGTCCGGTTAGGTTTCAAGGATAGTGGACTAGTTAACAGCTAACTAGGAAATTAGTGAATGATTATCACAGGACGACCATTGAGCGCTATTTCAAGCGGACTAATAATGACTGCGACCATTTGCGAATCGGCGAAAAAGAAGAAGAAGGATTGCGAGCTCTTGAGGGAGGGGGGGCTGGAGGAGCAACAGAAAGACAACCGAGAGCGTGCGCATGTGGGGGAAGCCAAAACCCACGCGACTGTTAGCTAGTCAGGGGTCACGAACCTTCGAATGTTCCACACACCACAACATCGTGGCTCTGGCCGTGTCCCTACCCTTGCTCGACGGACTGTTCGAGAGCCAATCTGCGGGTTGAATGCCCTGCTCATGCTAGGTTGGTCTTAAATATATTTTGATATCTATCTGCAGAAGCAACTCGCCTTTGTATATACTGATTTCTGGTGCTTGTCTGTTGACCCGCCCCGAAGCTACGCACAGCGCTTACGCCGGCAATAACTAATTAACCCCCGACACAAGTCTCTATCACAGCCACCAAAGGGCAAGCCAAGCCGGCGACGTCGTACCACTAGTCTCTAGATTCACCATCGATCGTATCCATTGTGAACACGGTTTCTGTCCACGAATCACAGTTGTCGCCTACTTTTGCTTGCGCTCGGACGTGGTATCCATCTCGGTCTCCGCATCCTCAACTTCCATGTTCTGTTCGAGTTCCACGTCGTGTGCTAGAGACAGTTCCTGGGCTATCGGAGAAAAAAAAACGTTAGCGTTCCCAATAATATACTTCGTACACCAGGTGTTCCGTGCCTGGATCAGAGCGCAGGGTCCTCATAGCAGCACGTACCTTTCCAGAGTTCCGAGTAGATACCTTGCTGGTCCAGAAGGGTCCGGTGGGAGCCCATTTCAGCCACATGGCCGTCTTTAAGGACAAGGATCTGGTCGCTATCATAGATCGTGCGCAGCCGGTGCGCGACGAAGACACTAGTGCGACTCTTCTCCTTTAGAATGCTGTTGATGTTCTGTAAAAGCGCATGTTCGGTGTACGTGTCCAATGCAGAGGTCTATACAATTAGCATGGCCTTAGAAGAAGGGTGGGAAGGGGTGGGAAATTTTTACAGCTTCATCGAAGAAAAGCAGCTGAGGATCTTTCAAGAGAAGACGCGAAACCGCCAGTCGTTGTTTTTCACCCCCGGAGATCATCATGCCCCTCTCTCCAACGGCCGTCTGGTAGCCGTCGGGAAGTCGCTCGATCAGTTCATGGATGTGCGCACGCTGAGCTGCCTTGCGAACTTCCTCGTTTGTGGCGTCCAACCGTCCGTATCGAATGTTGTGTTCGATGGTATCATTGAACAGCGGGGTATCCTGCGGCACGACTCCAATCGCCCGGCGAAGGCTATCGAGGTTCACATCTCGCAAATCTTGGCCGTCAACCAGGATCCGACCGCTTTGTACATCGTAATAACGGAAGAGCAACCTCAGGATCGTGGATTTGCCGCATCCGCTAGGCCCCACGATAGCAAACTTCTGACCGGCAGGTATCGTGAAAGTGACGTTTTTGAGAATTGGGCGGTCGGGGTGATATCCGAATGTGACATTTTCGAATCTGATCTCGCCGCCACGGCTGAGATCCAGCGGCTTTGCATCCGGCTTCTCAATAATGTTGACGTTGACCTTCTGCAGGTTGAACAGGGTCTCCATATCGAGCAGGGACTGGCGGAGTTCACGGTACACTGAGCCTAGGAAGTTAAGCGGTACAGACAGCTGAAATACAAGCTGATTGACCATGACTAGGTCCCCGACTGTTAACTGTCCCGTGGCGACGCCGTCGGCGGCAAGATACATCATCGCCGCCAGTGCACTGGAGAAAATCATGTTCTGGCCTGAGTTTAAGAAGGCCAGGGACGTGGTCACCTTGATCGAGGCATCTTCGTAGGCCTTGAGCGCCTTGTCGTAACGCGCAACCTCGAATTTCTCGTTGTTGAAGTACTTGACAGCTTCATAATTGATTAGGGAGTCGACCGCCACCGTTGCGCCGCGGTTGTCTGCCGCGTTAGCCTGCTTCCGGAACTTCGTTCTCCAGGCAGTCGTGGTTATAGTAAAGGCAGTATAAGCAACCATGGTCGTAGCTGTGATAGCAGCAAATTGTGCACCGTATTGATAGGTCTACCGATGGTGAGCTGTACTCTACAGAAGTCAGACGTCGGGAAACCAGCAACCATACCAGAATACCACACACAAGCGAGATTTCCAACGCAGTCGGGACAACGTGAAATACCATCGATGTGAGAAGAAAGCTGATACCCTTCGTTCCACGGTCAATGGCTCGGGTGAGACCACCGGTCTGACGACTCAGATGGAAGTTCAAGTCCAGTCGAAGCAAGTGCTCAAAGACATTCTTGGCCACTTTCCGAATTGCCTTTTGCGCAACACTAGCAAATACCGCGTTCCGGAGTTCCTGAAACAAAGTCGCTCCTATTCGAGTCGCGCCGTCTAGGGTCAAGTTAGGGAGGGAGGTAGATCACTGAATTCCGGGGGGGTCTCAACACCTACAAGCTATAATCATAGACCCAGCCACTGTGTATGCAGTGCCTCCAACCGCTGCAAAGTCGACGTTCATCGAATCTACAATGCTTTTGAAGTAGAAAGGCACTTCGACATTCAGGATCTATACGATGGGCGGTTAGTCATGCTCATCAGCCCACACAAACAAGCCACGCACCTTTCCTCCAACCAACAGCGACAGCGCTGTTGCCACACGAAGCTTTGTACCCCAATCGCCCTATATTTAAAGGAGAAACACTCCGGTCAGCACCCTTCGTCTGATCGACGACTGACGAGCCTGAGAGCTCACCTTGGGCCAAAGATACTTGGCCATTTCCCTCATAATCGCCCAGTCAGCCTTTCTCTGTTCTTTGCTCGCCAGCGTCGACTCGCTCAGTAAGTCTCCCTTCTTCGCAGCCACCGCCTTCTCCTGAGGACTGCCAGTCGGCTTCTGGATCACTTTGGCGCCGGCCAATTGCGACGTCGGCGTCGCAGTAGTCGACGTCGACCTTTGTTCCGACGCGGCCTGGTTACTGGACGCTGCATCTTTCCTTTGTGAAGAACCGTCTGACGTAAACACTCTGTGTTGGTGTGCTCTGTAGGTCGCGTGCAACCATGGCGGCGAACGCGGAATGGCAAGGCCGGGGTGGCCCAGTCGTCTTGATCTCTGCCAGCACGGCAACCGAGCTGCTCTAAGCAGCATGGCGGGGTTCACAGGGTGCTCTTGACCTCCAGCAACTGAATCGCGGGTTTTTCAGGTCCTCAGGATCATTCTGAAGGAGCGTGGCTGGTCGATGAGCAGGGTCCTCGGTCGTCACACCGGGTTCGGAGGTAAATCGGCGGCGGGATGTAACTATTGCGGTCAGCGGCGCCCTCTTCCGCAATCAGCGGGGGAAGAGGCAGAAAAGCCAAGTATTACCTGTCAGTATAAATTTTAGAATAAATGAGTCCTAGAAAACAAAAGAAAAAGAAAGGGTTAAACTCTCTATAAGTGGAAAAAAGGGTTTATGTAGCGCCAGCAATGACTGCTCTGTCGCAATCCGGCTCCCCCCACCGAAGTGCGTGTTTGTGTAGTTTGTCTCCGGCTATGTTCGAACACCAAAAGAAACACTCCAAACTGACGTAAAGGCCGGACCTTCGTCGCCCTTGTTTTTTTTTCCTCTTCTCTCCCCCCCCCAGCATTTCCTCCGTGGACAGTTCATCACAATGGCTCAATCCCTACGGAGAGGCATCTGGGCGCTGCCTCGATCTCAGATTCTGGCTCAGCGCACCCGACAAGGAGCGCTGCGTCGCGAATGGCAGGCCAGGTGCATTCAGATCCGCGCCGCACCGTCGACAGAGCCGGCTACAAGCAGTGGGAATAACCTGCCGGTTTCTAGCACGCCGAACTCGGTAGAATCGGCCGGTACGGAGTTTCGATAAAAGGGACTGGTATTAATCTTGCTGACTGGGAAAAAAAGATGCCCGGTTCGATATCATCGGCGCCCCATATTCCCTCCTCTCGGTGTCGTTATCCGCGTCGCAAAACCTTTATACCCGGCGGGGGACGTTGGTCGGACTCAGTGGGAAGGCAGACAATGTATGCGGGATTCAAGTGTTGGGTGTAAACGACGCATAGCGCTGACAGTATTCGGAATAAAGGTCGTCTCGACGCTGAGCGTGTTGGAACCCTTTCGACGAGCGGCTCTCGGCGTGCCGTTTCTGTATCAAAAGGTTGGAACCGAGCCGAAACTAAGGGGAAATCGGTCTGACACCAAAGAATAGATATCCTCTCCCAGCCCCGTGACGGCTCTAGTATCCGTCCGGTCTCCTGTCACATCATTTGCGGTCGTGCGTCTCGATGGGTCGGTGGATTGGATGGTTGCTCAACGGCGCGCTCTGTTGGCCTGGACAGGACGCTCACTATCGATAAACCCGACAATCAACACAAGCCTGGTATGGTCCATTGCCTTGTCTGTTCGAGCTGGACTAACTTGTCGAAGAGCTTGGCGCATTGGGGGAGCTCGGAGGTTACTGGCCGCGGACTACTGGCACTGGTTGGGAACGGCCAGTTGTACTCAATTGAGTTGAAGGCAGGAGAGCAGTATATTGCTCATCCGAGGTATGGTCTAGTCAGGTTGTTTTCTCGGAGACCAATGCTGAACCGTGTAGTAATGTCGTTGCATACACCATTTCTTCCAACCCGCCACGCCCCTACCGCTTCAAGTCTACCAGCCTCAAGTTCCAGGTTCCCGGCAGGCTACAGAACTTCCCACGTCTGCTGCAAAACTCCAAGTTTCTCCGTGACATGTCTGAGTCGGACACATGGAAGAGGACGATGAGGATCGTGCACAAGCTTCGGATCTGGTCGCGCATGACCATCTGGGGAGATAGGGTATCAAGCCCCCCTTCTTCTTTTTATTCTAACCTTGTTTTTTAAACCATATGCTGACCTAGATCCAGCTCTTCCTGCAATTCGACGGCCCTGCCACGCTCCTCGTGCAGTCCCGAAGCGCCCGGCTAAACGACGTCCTGTCCATCCGCGAGGTTAACGAGATTGCCGACACCCCTCGCGGACTGACTATTGGTCCAGCCAAGCCAGCAGACACCAACCCGCAGAGCGAGACTCCCGGCATCGAGGAGGCAAACGAGTCTCTGCAGCCTGCCAAGCGGTCCGGCGAGGAGGTGGCCCAAGAAACCCGCGGAACGGCACAGAGCTTCGCTCGCATCAAGGATGGGAAGGTGATTTTTGAAAAACCGGGCCAGAACTAACCTTCCAGTCTATTCTTTTTTTAAGAAAAAAAAACTCGAGCTTCTCTTTATTGGCAAGGCATAGATGGATTTTCGTTTCGCTTGTGTCTTATATATGTATCATAGTTGCATCTGCACCAATGGTGTCTTTTTTCTCTGACCTCTCCCAGGAAAATTATCTGTCATTCTTGACTTTATACTTCTATTGTTCTATATACAGTAGTCCTTCCATACTAAATCATTTAAAAAAAAACCATACTATGCCACCCATTCCACATAATCAGGACACTCTACTAGAGAACTAATCCTGATCCCTGGACAGATTAGCGATATATGACTGGACTTGGAAAAGGCCCAGTTTGTAAACATGAAGAGTAAGAAGGTAAAATTGAATAAGGAGATTGTATTTTGTGTCGATAATGAGCGAAGTGGCCATATACGGGAGGTAACATGTTTCATATTTGCGCAAAGAGATGAATTATACCCTGAAGCTCTATTAGACAGGTATCGTGTCCATATTAGAGGGAAATTATAGATTATTGCTTGCTTGGTAACTATTCATCGGCAGAACTCATCGTCGCCCATATCATCATCCACGTTCCAGAACACGATAAGACTGTCTACCACCGAACCACATCACGGCTGGATCAGATCATGAAACCGCATCTGCTAGACCGTGGGTTCGATTTCGAGTATCATGTCAGCGAGACGGATCGACGCCTCTGGAGGATCAATAGTCTGGTTCCGCCCCCGTATAAGAGTGTGGAGGAGCAGGTCTGGGTGAAGGAGAACCAGGCAGTTCCATATGAAGGGGCCGTCTAGGCAGATTTCGACCTCGTGTCTTGCTGTTAGAGACTGAGAGTAGCTGGTAGCCAAAAACTAAGGTAGCTTGGCGAGACTGCTAGCCAGTGGCCACTGTAGCTACTAGTTGGCTAATAAGTTGGCTAGTCGAGATTCGAGAATCGAGAATCTAGCTGGTCACATGCACAACTATTATGGACTATGGAGTAATCTCATCGTATTTCATAGGTGAACTTACTTCGCATGAGCTCTTGGCAGCGCGGAGTATTGCTCGAGGCTTTCTGGAAGAGTTCTCATTAGTAGATAGTTAGAGCGTGAGTACAGAGTATACTCCGTGTCTCATTCCGTCTCGTCCTCGACTCCATACTACTAGACCATCCTCCGTGGTGCGAGACTCGTTGTCAACTAACAAGTTAGCCGACTACAAAAAACGTGGTTACCTGGATATTCTCTCATGAGTCCGGTGCACCTTCCCTGTAGAAGAATGAATTCACGTAGTCAGGTGACGCGGAGCTCCGGTAACTTGTAAGGACCGAGTCCCGATGGATATTGCGAAAACCACGGGGTTCGCCTCCCCGACTCCCCGCAGACTTGACAGGAAAAGCATCTGGACTCCCTCAGTCTCGCTGGCACACACGCACGCCATGGGGCAAGGGCATAATAGTTCCATAGTCCCACTCTTTCCTGAGACCTATTAAAGTCTTGGTAAAAAGGTACCGCCCCCGGCCGCCGTCCGTGAAGCCGTGGTGGACTCGCTTGAGTCGCTTACTACTAGTTATCCCGTCGAGCGGGAGCCCGAACAGCAGATGAACAGGAGATGAACGGCAGCTCGCCAAGGACTCTTACGTCAAAAAATCTTCAGAAATCAACCAGAATGAAGGATTCTTCGATCAACCAGGGTGATTACCCGGGTTTAAGCCTCGGAGGATGGCCTGCGTTGGCCTATTCACCAGCCCGTTGCTGTGGAGGAGTGTTGATCCCCGAGCAATTACCCGCGACGGCAATTCCGCCCGTGCCAGCTCGCGCTCGGAGGTACCGAAAAATTCCAAACTGGGGGGGAAATACATAAGTCCAGGGATCGATCGAGGCCTACTTTGGGCGATTTTCTTTGATAGATAAAGAAATTCAACCATACGCCCGTCTGTGGGTTGATAGAGTGTGTGTATTGAAGTCTTTCTGATCTACAGAACGTGGTTTCGGAGAATTTGGTGGGTGAAGCTATTTATTACCCGTTTTAGTATTCTAGAGCTGACGTCCCGGGCAACAGGGAGTCTATACTCAACAACAAAGACCCAAGATGACTGCACAAAGCGACTCGGCATCGACTGCCAGCGTGAACGTTTCGAGAGATGTCGAAAAGGATATGCCCGCCGCAGAGAAAATAGAGTCTGTTGCAGCAGTGCGCGCAGTTGAGCCCGACGTGGAGAAGAAGCCGGGTCCCCCAGCCGGGGGACCGCCTGGGGGTGGCCCACCAGGCCGCACACCACCGCCCGACGGAGGTCGTGATGCCTGGCTGACCGTGCTGGGATCCTTCTGTGGCATGTTTGTCAGTTTTGGTTGGATTAATTGTAAGTGAATCGTCTTATCTCCTGGTTGAGATGCGTGGAGGCTAATCGATCCCTGGCAGGTATCGGTGTTTTCCAGGATTACTATGAGAGTCACCAATTGAAGAACCTGTCGCCGAGTACGGTGGCTTGGATTCCGTCCTTGGAGACGTTTATGATGTTCATTGGGGTGAGTTCCCACAAATCTTTAGCTGGCGGCAAGTATAAGGCAACATACTAACTAACGCTGACTACAGGGTCCTATCGGCGGCACGATCTTCGATTACTATGGCCCTCGCCACATGCTCATCATCGGCACTTTCTTCCAGGTCTTCGGCCTGATGATGGCCTCGATCTCGTCTGAATACTACCAGTTCATCCTCGCACAGGGTATCTGCAGCCCGCTGGGCGCCAGCTGCATCTTCTACGGTTGCGTGAATTCCGTGTCGACCTGGTTCCACCACCGCCGCGCCCTCGCCCTGGGTATCATGGCTAGCGGCTCGAGTTTGGGTGGTGTCGTGTACCCGATCATGGTCGATCACCTCATCCCCAAGCTGGGATTTGCCTGGGCCATGCGCATCTGCGCCTTCTTGATCCTCGGCCTTCTGATCGTCACCAACTTCACCGTCCGCTCGCGCCTCACACACACCCGCAAGAAGTTCGACGCTCTCGAGTTTGTTCGCCCGCTCAAGGAGGCCAAGTACTCCGTCACCGTCCTTGCCGCCTTCTGTTTCTTCTGGGGCATGTTCCTCCCCTTCACCTTCGTCATCACTCAGGCTGAGGAGTACGGCATGTCGGCAAGGTTGGCGTCCTACTTGATTCCGATCCTCAATGCTTCTAGGTAAGAAAAGGCTCTTGGCTCTCTATTTTATAATTCTCGCCTTTCAATGCTCTTTTCACAATGCTGACCTTTTGATTTTGAAAGTGTCTTCGGTCGAACCATCCCCGGCTGGCTCGCCGACCGTTTTGGCCGCTATAACGTGATGACCATCTTCACCGGCTTCTCCGCCATCATCGTTCTCGCGCTGTGGATGCCGTCGCGCTCCAACGCCCCCGTCATCGTCTTTACCGCTCTGTATGGCTTCAGCTCCGGTGCCTTCATCTCCCTCGGTCCCGCCCTCATCGCCCAGATCTCCGACATCCGCAAGATGGGCGTCCGCAACGGCACCTTCTTCGCCATCATCTCCATCGCCGCCCTGACGGGTTCCCCGATCGGTGGTGCTCTGGTCCCCGACGTCCTCACGGACTCATACGATAAGCTGCAGATCTTCTGCGGTGTTACCATGCTCGCGGGCACGGTATTTTTCGCCGTCGCCAGAGTCTTGGTTGGCGGCCCCCAGCTCCTGAAGAAGGTTTAAAAATATGAAAAAACTCGCCCGGGAAATAAGCCGAGGGGGAAAGAAAACATTTAGGAAAAGATGAAAAAAACCTTAAGAAAAAAAAAATAACGGAAAGGCAAATATGAATCTGGTTTCACCAAAGAGGATCGATCAACCTCAAGGAGTTATGGTACATGACTTAAGATATAGAAATTACTATTACTACCACCCACTAGTTAGATAACTACTAATTAAGGTTATTACCTTACTTTGTTGCTCTGGATATAGTATACACTATACAGTGTATGTAGACTTGAATATAGTTACTGGTCAAGCTAGAACTAGAGGTTCAAAACTGCTTGATGCGAAAAAGGTTGGATAGTTGGGATAATCTTGGAAATCATATATGCAATGCTAAATAGCAAAATAAACACAACTCCAAACACCATCGCTAATCATGCAGTCGTCCGACTCAAGGCCGACAGATATGATATGCAAGAGAAGAAGAGGAGACATGGTACGCAAAAAAAAGAAAGAAAGAAAAGAATAGAAAAAGAGCTATACCAGCACTCCGTTCCTCATGCTTTCGACCGTCCGTAACCCGACGCCCCTCAACCTGCTCAGTTCCAAGAGACTTCTGACGTGGGCGCGCTCGTCAGGCTGCTCACTGTCGTACACGTTACCAGAAGAGGAAATAGAATCCATCTCGCACAGGCAGTCAACAATTGCCTCGGCCTTTTTCGCGCCCACACCCTTCAGCAGCTTGATCTGGCTAATATCGCGCGAGTTGATAACGTGCAGGAGATGGGTGGTGCGTGGGGATGTAGCAGCAGCAGTAGCATGGTCGGTCACTCCAGGTACTTCGGTGTCGCCATCATCGCTTGCGCAAAATTTCGTCCGGGCTCGTTTCTTGAGTCTGAGCCGGGAATAGCTGTCTGAATCGCCGTCATCGTCGTCGCTTGAAGGGACAAAACTGCGGTCATTTTGCTCGGTATAATCATTGGACTCGTCGGCGGGGCGTTTATTGGAATGGCGTGGGACGGAGTTCTGCTCTTTCTTTAGAGACAGCATGCTACCCAATGGACGACGAATTGTAGGTGGTGAGGGAGGAGCAGCAGAGTCAGCAAGAGTAGTGACCGTCGCCATCAGCCCCGACTTCGAGGATGGCTTCTTTAATCGATCCTGTAGTTTGGAGATTTTTGCCGCCAGTTTCTCGTTGTTGGGGAAGAACGGCAGCGCCAGCTGGTACATTTTGAGAGCAGAATGGTCTTCTCCACGTCCCTGATGCTGTTTCGCCATAAGCAGATACGAGAGTCCTTCCGCCCGAGCGTCTTCGCTGCCTTCAATGCGTTGCTCGAGAAGCTCCAGGCGCCGTTGCATTTGTTCGTTGATCTCGTGAACCTGAGCCTGCCTCGATTGTTCACTGAGAGCCCTCGCCGCAAGGATTTCCTCAACTTTTTTCTCGACCATCTCCTCGATCTTCGCGGCAGATATATCGGGATTGGTTCTTGTGTGGTAGGAACTGGGATCTTGTGGGCGAACAAGTGTCTTGTGCGGACGACTACCCGGTGGGCCTGGTATCTCAGAAGATAAAGACGGCCGCTTGAATGATTCGACCTTCTTGCTTGGAACATTGTGTTTCGTCTGCGATCTATCCGAAAAGACATGGAACGCCTTGACAGGCTTTCCATCACCAGGTTTCCCCGGGTCTTTATCCTTGGCAACGGTAGGCGCAATGTTCACGTTGACAGATGCGGTCAGTGGCCGTAATGGTTGGCGTTGGGAAACTGCAGAAGGTCTCATGGCTGGCCTCGCTGGCCCCTTGAACATCGGCTCATTCTCAATTTCTCGAACCTCAATCTTCTTGGTCCGGTTGGCAAAGTTCAAGGAGCTTAGCGTGTCGAGATGATAGGAGCGTATAGGTGCCAGATTTAGGATCATTAGTGTCAGCCCATTGTTCTGCCCCAGGGACAGAATTCTAGTCATCTTGGACTCGCGGTACGGGATTCTTTGCTGTTTCTTGCTGATGGCTTCGACGCATTGGGCCAGAACAAACAGGCTCTTGTTGATACTGGCGGATTCCACCATCCGTTCTTTGTCATTATCCGTCCGACGATTGTCTTCTGAGCCGGCAAGATCGATGGCTGAGGCAGTACTGACGCGAATTTTCTCTTCGGTGGTAATCGTGACCTTCACACAGAGAATGGCATGAGACCGCGAGGAGTGGGCGTTGAGCTATTGCAGTCAGCATCTACCCAAATCATTCCTTCTCTTCCAAAACGGTTGCAATCACGAACCTTGGTAGCGGAGGTGGACCTGTTGGTGTTTGCCTGGTCATAGAGACTTTCGAACTCCTTCAAGCTGGTGCACGGTCTTTCAGTCAACCCGACAACGACTGTCTTTCCACCATTATCACGGAGAGGCAACCCCGCCAGAGTTCTCTTCTCTGGAGGTTCGAAGAGATCAAAGACCTTATCGTTATATATCTCGTAGTAGCTCAGCGAAACTTCGACCGTTGTGGCCCCCTCGCTGTCCTTTTCGATCTTGCGACTCCGTCTGTAAATACCGCTCAAAAGACGAGGAATAACACCTCTTTCCGCAAGGCTTTTACCGCCTCGCATCGTATGTGTCTTTCCCGTTCCCGTAACACCGTATGCAAACAACGTAACATCGAAGCCGTTGAAGAGATGCTTGATTGTCGGGGCGACTACGGACGCGTATTAGCCACCAGGCTGTGAGCCAGCAAAGACATACAACGACCAACCTTCTGCATCAAAGAGCTCCTGCTGTGCGATAGTCGCATCGTAGACGGCATTGAACTGGAACGAATACTCCTCGGTCTCGTTCTTGGGGTTCGGTATGCGCACCACCGTACTCCTATCACACAGCGCCGCCAGCGCACCCTTCTTGCCCGATGCAGCTCCGACGTCTGGTTTGCAGAGATTTTCCACTCGACTCGGCCCCGTCTGGACAATCACGTCTAACTCGCGCTCCGCCTTAAGGAGGGGCCTCACTCTTGCAACGACCCGGACACTCATATTTCCAGCTTTTGAATGACTTATGATGTAATGGCTATTACCGAAGCCAATGGCATAATAAGATGGCCAAAAAAAGACAAAGATCAAATTAATTGGCAATCCAAAGGCGAAGATGCGACACCTCACACTTTTAACCAAGAATCGCTATGCATGAAAAAATGCAAGGCAAAAGGAAATCCCTGAACTAAACAACGAAAACAACAATCAAGAAGGAAAAGGGCCTCGAGATAGGCCCCCTGTCGCAACGGTCAACGGAGCTGGAGATGGTTGTTTGAGGTTGATTCTTGAACAGAACGTGGAGTTGTCGACGACTGTTGAATTCCCACAGGGATATGTGGTGTGGATTCCGCTGTTGTCACAGCAACCATTTAAGAGCTCTTCATTATGCCTGAGGCATCTCGACTGACAGATTCGCTTACCTATTGGTAAAATTCAAGTAATAAAAGTAAGTATTTCCTGGGTATCTTTATTCCCCGTGTATACATGCCCTAAGAAGGCTTACTAGCAAGAGTTTTGAGAGCATAGGTAGTTCCAAGCTTAATCGTTACCATCTCGACAGGATGATATATCGAGGATCGAAGCCATCAGTTTACCAATCTACTAAGCCTACGAAAGCAGCTCAATGCCTGCCAGCGAGCGCTCGAGGCTGTCTATCCGAGAGATCAGTTCCCAGTGTTCACAGATACTTGGGGCTACGATCTCCTTGTCCCCGCACTGGTCGTCAACATGACCGAGGTCAGTTCTACTGAGATGATTCACCAGTATCAACAGACCACTATATCACATTGGTAGGGGGTAGAGAAGGAGGAGATGTCTTGTTAGTAGCTAGGGGATGGTGGTATATGAGCAGCTGTAGGTTCTAAGCCAGTGGGATGTCATTAAAGAAGCTGTTGTTTTTGATACAGTTACCATGCTATATATAAAGTTGAAGAATACCAATATTCCAATAGAATAAACCACTAACCATTATTTTTACGAGTTACAACACGGAACAAATGTTTAGATATCATAGGCACCTATCTTCGACTACTCATAAATATATATACTCTAGAATAACCAGAAGTAATTACCCTTCTCTACCTTCAATTGCTGCTATCAAGCGATATCTGGTCCATGCCTTAATCCTCAGGCATACAGGCGCTGATTGGCCCATCTCCACCACAGCCGCAGAGAGGCCACCGTACACCGTCAACTGCGAATCTCGAATTTCGACCAGCGTCCGCCCTCTGCCACTTCCTCCGGCCTCCAACTCCGTGAAGGATACACTCCAGTTGTCTTGTTCGCACGGTGCCTGCGTCTTGCTCTGTTTTGTCGGTTGACGTCTAGGTTGGTGGTTCCTCCAGATCTGTGATTTATGTATGCAAATCCCCCGTCACCCCAACCCAACCCCCCCCCTCGTCTTTTGTCTAAGTGGGTATATTGACTTGAGATCCAGCAGAACGTGTACCCAACTACCCACACCTCCAGATACCTACAGACACCGCAGAACACACCGAAGAGATCGCGCCAGAGCTTCAGAGCTTTATTCCGTGACCATTGCCACATAAAAACATCTCCATGGCATCACCGCAGGGGGGTTATCCTCCCCAGGAAGGGTACGGGCAGCCGGTTGGGTACGGAACTCCGCCGCCTCCCTCCGACCCTGCTGCTACTGCTCCTGCTCCTCACGCGGCCCATGGCGGGAAGAAGAAGCGGGTCTATGCCGGGCAGGCGTTCGAGCTTGGATCTGGTGCCAATGCCGCGTTGGGAGGTCAGCAGCAGGGTGGTGGAAGCTATGGCGCCTATCCTCCGGCGCCCGCTGCGGGCTACCAGCAACCGATGTACGGCGTCGATCCAAACCAGGGCCAACCTGCCGTTGCAGGCTACGCTCCGCCAGCCCCCTCGGGCGTCGCGCAGATGACCCAGCAGTTCGGCGCAATGGGGATGGCAGACCAGCAACAAGCAGCTCCGCAACCAGTGCAGGTGCCTCAGTCTGTTCCGCTCAACCAACTCTATCCCACGGACCTTTTGGCACAACCTTTCAACGTTGCTGAGCTCGACTACCCTCCGCCGCCCATCATTTTGCCTCCGAATGTAGGTTCTCACCCCCTCCCCCAATATCCCGATGCCGATGCAGGAGGCCGCTGGGAGAAGCGCTAACAGAAATGGTTGTCATAGACCAGTGTTTATCCCTCCCCACATGCGAACTGTCCTCCTAAGTATGTCCGGTCTACTCTCAACGCTGTTCCGACCACCTCTTCCCTTCTGAAGAAGTCGAAGCTCCCCTTTGCTCTGGTCATCCAGCCCTACGGCGCCCTTCATGATGCGGAAGACTCAGTTCCAGTCATTCCCGACCAGGTGATCTCGCGGTGTCGCCGCTGCCGCTCATACATCAACCCGTTCGTTACCTTCCTCGACCATGGACACCGCTGGCGTTGCAACATGTGTAACCTCACAAATGACGTCCCTCAGGCGTTTGACTGGGATACCACCGTCCAGAAACCGGCGGACCGCTCCCTCAGGGCGGACCTCAACCATGCCGTGGTGGAGTTTGTTGCCCCGCAGGAGTACATGGTCCGGCCTCCTCAGCCGCTGGTCTACCTGTTCTTGATCGACGTCAGCTACGCCTCAGTTGCCAATGGTCTCCTGGCAACCAGCGCACGCTGCATCAAGGAGAGTCTCGATCGGATCCCCAATGCGGACCGACGGACTCGCCTGGGGTTCATTGCCGTGGACTCCAGCCTTCATTACTTTTCCATCCCCAGAGATGGCTCTGAAAGCTCCGACCCTCAGATGCTGGTGGTGAGCGACCTGGATGAGCCTTTCCTGCCTATCCCGGGAGATCTCCTTGTGACCCTGAGCGAGTGCCGTGAGAACATCGAAGTCTTCCTGGACAAGCTGCAGGAGATGTTCCAGAACACACAGAACAATGGGTGTGCGATGGGCTCGGCTCTCCGCGCCGGTTACAAGCTGATCGCTCCAGTTGGAGGAAAGCTGTCTGTTCTTACTTCCTCTCTTCCTAATGTCGGACATGGTATCCTCGCGGTGAGAGAAGACAAAAAGGTTTTGGGTACGAGCAAGGAAGGCAGTCTGCTGCAAACTGCCAACAGTTTCTACAAGAGCTTTGCTGTGGAGTGCTCTAAGGCCCAGGTTTCCGTCGACATGTTCCTGTTCTCTTCTCAATACCAGGATGTGGCCTCCCTCAGCAACCTTCCCAGATACACCGGTGGTCAAACCTACTTCTACCCTGGCTGGAACGCTGCCCGCAGTGAGGATGCCATCAAATTCGCCCGCGAGTACTCCGAGTACCTTTCGTCCGAAATCGGCCTGGAGGCTGTCCTCCGCGTGCGAGCTACCACCGGCCTGCGGATGAACTCCTTCTACGGCAACTTCTTTAACCGTAGCTCGGATCTCTGTGCGTTCCCTGCGTTCCCCCGTGATCAGGCCTACGTGGTCGAGGTTGCCATCGATGAGACCGTCACGAAGCCTGTGGTGTGTCTGCAGTCCGCTGTTCTGCACACCACCTGCAATGGTGAGAGAAGAATCCGTGTTCTGACACTGGCCCTCCCGACCACTACGAATCTGGCGGACATCTACGCATCGGCGGATCAGCAAGCCATCACTACCTACTTCAGTCACAAAGCCGTTGAACGCGCACTAGGAAGTGGGTTGGAACCTGCCCGGGAAGCCCTCCAGGCCAAGGCTGTTGAACTGCTGTCGACATACCGCAAGGAACTGGCCGGCGGCAGTGTGAGCGGTGGCGGACTCCAGTTCCCAGCGAATCTCCGTGGATTACCCGTTCTCTTCCTTGCCCTAATGAAGAATGTAAGAGGATCCCTGTCAAGTTTTTTTTTTGTTTTTTTTTTTTCCCCCCCTTTTTCTACCCCAGATGCACTGACATATCTCAAAGATCGGTCTTCGGAAATCGGCCCAAATACCCACCGACCTGCGGTCGGCTGCTCTCTGCTTGCTCTCGACGCTCCCCCTTCCGCTCCTCATCCAGTACATCTACCCCAAGATGTTCTCTCTCCATGACATGCCCGACAACGCCGGTCTTCCTGACGAGCAGACGGGCGAAATAATTCTCCCACCTCCCACCAACCTGTCATCGGAGCGACTTGTCCCGTACGGCCTGTATCTGATTGATGACGGACAGGCCCAGTTCCTGTGGGTGGGACGCGACGCGGTGCCGCAGCTGCTGGGCGACGTCTTTGGCGTGAGCGACAAGGCGCAGCTTCGGGTAGGCAAGCAAAACCTGCCGGAGCTGGACAACGACTTCAACCAGCGTGTGCGCGCGGTGATCGAGAAGAGCCGGGATCACCGGGCCAAGGGCTGCGGCAGTATCGTCGTGCCACACCTGTACGTGGTCAAGGAAGACGGGGATCCTGCCCTGCGGCTGTGGGCCCAGTCAATGCTGGTGGAGGACCGGGCGGACCAGACTGTCAGCCTGACACAGTGGATGAGTTCGTTGCGGGAAAAGGTTTGATAACCCCCCCATTTCCTCCTGATTAGTTTCTCCCAATTATCAGTTGAGCATTGGGTCTTTTATGATTTTCTACGCAACGAGCCAAAATCTTAGGGACTGACGAGCCTTTCTTCTCCCCGTCCGTACAGGTTGTCCAGTAATGACACTAGCCTCTAGCTCATTGGGTAAATCCCCGAAACCAAACCGTACGAGGGTTTAGGTATATTCACCAATTCTACGAAATTCTCTGTTTTTTTAATTTTTTTTTCTCCCCCCCTCTCTCTCTCCGTCTATTGCGTCTCTTGATATATGTTCCTTTTTTTTTTGTCTCGTGGAAGAGAAGCCACCCCGTCCCTTGTATCAAAGCTATCGATATCGATGTCTTACTAGTCCGTCCTTGGTGTACTACATATGAGTCGGTTGCAGTGATCCAGTTCCTTGGGAGAGTCAACCGTTCAGCAACGGCCTAGATAGAAGGGAAACACCCCCCCCAACTGTTTCTGTCATCCAGTCATCCACATCTATAAATCTTCTGATATAACCTGGTGGGCCTGTGGACACACTTGACAGCCGTCAGCCCAGATTCCATGTAGTCCAGAGTATATGTAGTGCTACAGATATGCTGTCACTTGTATGGCCTGAGCTTGTGCATGAGACTGCATGATGCTGCAGGAAGCACCCTCCATACCACAGCTGAAGCCACGAATCAGTCTGCGACAGTGGTGATGAGCCAGATCATTGGATGGACGGTGCACCCTCTGGGCGGCTAATCGAGCCCTCAGATGGAGCAGCTGTTGTGACGATTGAAACACTGGTCAGGCAGTAGTCTGCTAGCCTAGTGAGGCTATGATCAGGAAATTTGGTCTCTCAGTACAGAGTATAGTACATACTACTCCGTACCTCATACTATAGTTATACTACTCTTGTAGTAGAATAACCAGGGAGTTTTAGAATAATAATTATAAGAATAATAATAATAATAATATTCTGTGGGGTTGCAGACCCAAGGTTCTGCTGAGAAGATCTGTAAAAATAGCCTCGCAGCGCTGTCAAGCAATCAAGGAGCCATGGTTTAACTACCGCGTTTGATCATCAGTCTGATTATTGCTAAGGCATGAACTCCACTAATTAACTACTACTACTACTACTAAGATGTAGTCAACTTCGTATTTGGGACTGCCTTCATTCACTCATTATTATTCTTATTATTATTATTTTGCTCTGCCCCACCACCGGCCAGGACGAGGTTAGAAGGTACAAGTTCACAGCCCCTCCGCAACCACTGATTGATGCTGCTCTCGCCCCCTCCCCCTCCATTGCGGGTTTCCTAGAATCCCTACTACTCCGTCATCCTCCTCCTCCTCCTCCTCTTCTTCTTTGCTACTTGCGTCGTGAGGGCCAGAAAAAGCGAAGGAGCTGAGCCCCGAACTCTTGTCTCTCGCTCGTTCGATCCATCATTAGAAGAAGAACCCAAACTTTTCGCCTGTCTCATCAGTTAGGCCCGCCCCTCACCCAATAAATAAAGCTCCGGTTGATCTAGGTACGAACCAGGTGTCTTTTCTCAACCTTCCCCTTCCCCTCCCCCCTGATCCAGACTTATCGGCAGAAAAACGCAGTGCATGGCATGCGTTGTCTCGGGTTTTCTAGCTGACCTGGCTGCAACTCAATAGAGCTTCTTCCTCGTGGTCTTTTTTTCTCTCATCGCCATCTTTGCAGATTCTCTCAAGCACTTACTTCGTGATACCCTCGATCATATCCTCTCTTGCGTCTTGCTGCTTTTCGTCAAGCTTCTATTTGTTTTTATTGTTTTTTTCTTCTTTTTTTTTGCGTCAACGAATTCTTCAAGCCATTATATCCATATCTGCAATTATTTCTAGGTGTGTCTAAACGAGATTCGGAGAAAACTAGCAGAAACAGACACTGAACTGTAGTTCCGGTCCTACCCAGATTACAGCAGAATCAGATTAGTGTAAGTGCTCTCCTCAGCTGCCGTGTCCCTCATCTTTGACTAGGGCATGACTATATATCCTGCATTTCTTTCTAGCCGGACTAACGGAAGTTCGCGATAGTGACCCATCCTGCCAAGATGGTTCAGCAAAATCCCTCTCAGGGGGGCTCGAGGAAGATCTCTTTCAACGTCTCCGATCAGTATGAGATTCAGGATGTCATTGGTGAGGGTGCTTACGGTGTTGTCTGGTATGGAAAGGTTGCCAGCACCGAACATTGGCTTCTCGTTCTGAACTCTCCCCTAGCTCTGCCATTCACAAGCCTTCCGGCCAGAAAGTCGCCATCAAGAAGATCACTCCGTTTGATCATTCCATGTTTTGCCTGCGGACTCTGCGCGAGATGAAGCTGTTACGCTATTTCAACCACGAGAACATTATCTCCATCCTCGATATCCAAAGACCCCGCACCTACGACAGTTTCAACGAGGTTTACCTTATTCAGGTACATCGTTCCAGTCCTACTGATGGTGTTCCCTTGCTGGATACTGATTGTTTCGTTGTGTTTAAAAGGAGTTGATGGAAACCGACATGCACCGAGTGATCCGCACACAAGACCTGTCTGATGACCATTGCCAGTATTTCATTTACCAGACTCTGCGCGCTTTGAAAGCTATGCATTCTGCCAACGTTCTGCATCGCGACCTGAAACCATCGAACCTGTTGCTCAACGCCAACTGTGACTTGAAAGTCTGCGACTTCGGCCTGGCCCGCTCTGCGGCATCCACGGACGACAACTCGGGATTCATGACGGAATACGTCGCCACTCGCTGGTACCGTGCGCCGGAAATTATGTTGACTTTCAAGGAGTACACCAAGGCCATCGACGTCTGGAGTGTTGGATGCATATTGGCTGAGATGCTGAGCGGGAAGCCTCTGTTTCCTGGCAAGGATTGTGTGTTTCTATGCCTCCCCTATATATCGTCAACTTGCGTTTTTTTACTGACTGCTCATTCTAGACCACCACCAGCTGACACTCATCCTGGACGTTCTGGGAACCCCCACGATGGAGGATTACTATGGCATCAAATCCCGCCGTGCTCGAGAGTACATTCGCTCTCTGCCTTTTAAGAAGAAGATTCCCTTCAAGGCACTTTTCCCTAAGAGCAATGACCTGGCTCTCGATTTGCTGGAGAAGCTTCTTGCCTTCAACCCCACCAAGCGCATCTCCGTCGAGGAGGCCCTTCGTCACCCGTATCTGGAGCCCTATCATGACCCTGACGATGAGCCTACTGCTCCTCCGATCCCGGAAGGGTTCTTCGACTTTGACAAGAACAAGGATACGCTAAGCAAGGAACAACTGAAGAGTAGGTGGAATCAGATCTATATACCATGAAAAAATAAAGTTTACTGACTTTTTTTTCTAGCTCTCATATATGAGGAAATCATGCGGTAGAGGCGAGCTGGAACCGGCTTTCAGTCATGCTCTCAGACCCAGAACCCTAATAGGCTACAAAATTGGGAGAAGCATTTGTTTTTTTTTTTTTTTTTGTTTTCTTCTTCTTTGAATCCGGCTGGGATATGGAAATTTCATAATACTGCCGTCAGACGCGGGCAGATGGCAGGCCGTGAACACCACCTGACGAAATCCCTTGTACAAAGTCCATCCATCCTTACGAACCCCCCAAGACCATGTCGGCCATTCTTCCAAGAAGGAGGTGGGGAGAGGCTCACCGCGAAAGCAGCAGCTGGTGTCACTGACGAACGATCAGGTGTTGTCTACATATCTGACTGGAGGGAAATGAAAATCATAACATGCACGAGCGTTTACCTATCGTATTTGGTATATGGTCCAGCTGTAGTCATCTAATTTGTAGTTTGTCATGTCTTCTCCAAATACGAACTAATATGTATAACTTCGTCTCATGATGTATTTGTATGTCTGTACCGATGCATAAACTCTTCAATCCCTTTCCCCAGCCCCTCCGGGCTCGGTTTCTCTGCACACACATCGACCTCAAACGCATAGCGATCCCTCAGATGGTCTCTGGTGGTCGGCCCGATCGTCGCAACGAAGATCCTTCGTCCAGAAGACACGGATTGAAAGGGTTCTCCTCCTTCCCTTTCTCTTCCCCCGTCTAAACCCAACACTCTTAGCATCGCATCGCATCCCGTAGGCGAAAAGACAACCACCCAAGCGGCTCTAGAGACATCTCCGCTCCGATCTAGATCTCTCTTCGCCTCCGTGACGGCCGAAGCAAAGTCTGTTTCAAAAGATTGCATCACCCCCGTCTCGTAGATGGGCAGTTCATCCACGACAATCCGTTGCGAGGGTGGTAACGTTTCGCTCATGAGTGTTCTAGGGATGATGTCGCGGCGCTGCTCGCCGACGAGGAAGAGAAGGGGCGGTTTTTCCTTCGTGCCAGGACTCTCCAGGTGCATCTTGATATAGTGTTCTAGGATCATCTTGGCGAGGGTCTCGCCGTTCCCGGCATCAGACCCGTAGATCTCGGCATGGGGGAGGTGTGTGTCGCGGAGGGTGTGGAGGGAGCGAGACGTAGCGGGGCCGACGGTGTAGAGGGGGAAATTCAATGATGCCGGACGTGTAATTGATTCTATAGAAAATCAACCAGCGTACACTTGACAGCTCGATTGAACTCAGCAATCAAATTGAATGGTCATACCATCTATCGTATTGAGTAATCGTGCAAACCCCTCGACGGCTCGCTGACTCGTGAAGATCAGCCCGCCGTACTTTCTGTTCGGTCCCTCGATCAGACTCCCAGATGTGAAGAGCTCCCTGACGCGTTCGAGGTTCGTCTCGTTGAACTTGTGCTCGAGCACAGGGATGAAGGCGGGGTGGTAGCCGTGCGTGGAGAAGAACTCATCATAGCCGTCGTGCGGGGTTGATCTCGTTTTGAGAAGAAAAATGGGTGTCCGTGGACAAAGTGCCATCCCTGGCCGTCTAATCTTGCTTTTTATGAGAATTACCGTCGAATAACACAATCGAATTCGTGAAGGCAAGTTTTGAGGTCCATGTGGGGTTTTGTTCCCCGCAGTCTATCGATTAAAGATTGGAGTTGATCCGATCTTCCCAGTCTACTTCTCGCGCAATTCTATGTTTTAAAGATGGTTGATGGCTAGATATAGTACAGAGAAACACACAATCCACGAACAAAAGGAATTGATTGGGTCTAGGTAAAGCTTATGTACATTAATAAAACAGACAACTACTGGTCATCGAGGACATGCAGATACTTCTTCTCCTCCTGTCTCTCGCGCTCCGTTGCAGGAGGGAGATCATAGTAAGAAGCGCTCCGGTAACCTTTCTATAAAACAGTTAGTAGATGCAACAGGGAAAAAGGGCTACGCCACTGACCAAGTAGTGGAAAGTAAGGTTGCTCAGCTCGGCAGGCTCGATTCCAAGATCCTTGAAGGTCTTGGCAGAAGCGTCGATCTTCTGGTCAATGAATTCACGCTCAACCTCATCCGCGGAGATGGTAGGCCACCAGATGTACTTGTTGAGGTAGTAGGCGGCGGGCTTGAGCACAGCCTTGGGGATGTTAATGTGGCGGCGGCGCTTGATGATTTCGCGGTCTACAAGCTCGGCGATCTCAGCGGTAGAGTAATTCTTGGGGCCGTAAAGCTCGAAGGTCTCGCCGGCAGTGGTATCATCGTGAAGCATGCGCTCGAGAGCCGTACCGACATCGATGGCCTGCAAATAGTCAGTAGGATGAACGGGTCGAAAAAAAACACTCTTCACATACATGAACAGGCCAGTAGCGCTCCGACATGTGGTTTGAAGTCAAAAGGTTGGTCACGCTAGCCAGCTTGTGGAGAAGGTTGTCTTCGAAACCAAACATGGGGGCAGGGCGAACGATGGTAGTCTCAGGGTAGATGGAGCGTGCGACCTCTTCTCCCCAGCCCTATCCAATGATTAGCGAACGGTTTAGTATTAGTCAAGCAGAGACAAACCTTCGTAGAAAAGTACTCAGAGGGAGAGTCCTTGCTAGCATTGTAAGAAGAAACGTGAACGAAACGATCCACGTCGTACTTGGCAACGGCCTCCGCAATACGCTCGGTACCATCCACGTGAACATCAGTGTATGAAAAGTTCCTGGTCGATGGTCAGTAGTAGGCCCCTCGCCTTCAAGTTCACTCGGACTCACTTGGTAGGGTATTGACGGCCGACAAGGTTGTAGACAATGTCGGAGTGACGAACCGACTCTTCGATCGACTGGGTGTTGCGCAGATCATATTCCTAGGCCCAGAACGTCAGTATCGGCGTATCCAGATGAACATTGGATGGGTTCGTACAATGAAAACGACTTTTCCCAAATCACCAGAAACCTTCAAGTGACGTTTGGTCATTTCCTCCCGGTAGGGAACGACCACAGTGCACCCTTGAGAGGCTAGACGATATCAGCCTCTGCTCACACAATGTTTCCGACAGCCGATCAGCGACCTACCCAGCTTATTGACAATGTAGCGGCCCAAGAATCCAGTCGCTCCAAATACAGTGGCGGTGTGGCCTAGAAAATCCGTTTAGAAAAATCAATTTCTTTCAACCGAGCGACGAGGATACAGTACCTCCAAGGGACGACCTGTAATGAGACCAAATCTGTCAGCCACCATTGCAAGACCAACAAGCACAAAAATCTCAATAGCCAGTCTTACCGTCCACCCTGGACCTTCAAGATCGGCTTTCCTGTCCTAGTAATGCGCACATCCTGGAGGTTGCGGCGCTGCACCTGGAATTGAACCTTGGGGGTGGGGATGAAGGCCCTCGACCCTAGGGCGGAATTGGCAACCCGGCACTTCTGCATGGTCTCTCTTGAGCTCAGAATTTGAATGAGGAAGACGAGACCACCCGATTGCGTCCGGAACAATAGCAAGAAGTGCAGTAGAGCAGATGGGGTAGATCTGACAAAGCTCGGCAGCTCGCGCGCTGGACATCTGCTCGAAGTCGGAAGAAGTGAACAGGCACGGGACTTGTCGCGCTAGTCCCGATTCAGTCGACACTCGACAGCATCACTTCGTCTAATACTTGTTGATAGCACACCCACAAGGCAGCAAAAGCTGTTTTGTATTTGCTTTTAGGAATTCCCCCGTCAATTATTATTCAGTGGACAGATAGTATATTGTCAAATTTACATATTTATGTATCCTAGACACTGAAACACCGCAGATACCTTGATTGACAGCGCAAAGCAACTCCTAGTGCCCAACCAGGCTCTGATTTTTGTCAATGAACACATATGCTGTTAGTCGAAGGAAATGGCTCATAGATACGAATGTCTTAGATGTAAGTTTTTACGAATATTTTCCCCGGAAGAGCAGTTGGACTTCAAGAGCTTATTATACACAGCATCTGATTGGCTGTCAGCTATATTCACCGCTTATGTCTATTTTATGTACAGGAAAGCAGTCCATCAGATAGGACGTATTCATAAATGGATGGAAGGTCATGCCGAAGAAATTATTGACCATCACTCACGCTGAGCCCTGGCAATAAACATGGTCTTTTTGAATGTCTTCCCGTCCTTGCTCAACTCCAGAGGTTCCGGTATGATACGGTAATCGAAGTTTGCAGTAAAACCGGCATCATCATACAGCCTTTTCATGTCTTCTTTGTTGAAACCATGGACACGGATTGTAGCGGAAGCCTCATCAAACTCATCCATTATGCCGTGGCGATGGTGTTGGTGACCCTCGGGAACCAAATCAATGAAGAAAAGGACGCCACCTTTCTTCAGTCTTGCTCCTAGACGTTCGATTGCAAGACCAGGGTTTTCAAAATGATGGAGAGCCAGGCTGACAGCAATGATATTGAAATCGAAGAATCCGGGACCATCGAATTCAGCTGAAACGGTCTCTGTGAGGAGGTCGCCCTTGAAGCCAGTCATCTTGCCCACGAGATTGGCTTCCTGGGCATTCTTGTTGTATTCGTTGATCATGTTTTCTGAGAGATCAACGCCAGTAACCTTGGTCAAGAAGGGAGCAAGGGCCTACCACAAAGAGCCATTAGTTTTGAGGGCCCAGTAGGTAACTTGGGCAGAGCATACATACAATAGAGACAGCGCCAGGTCCGCAGGCATACTCAAGCATATGCAGCTTCTGGTCTCTTCCTTCCTCGGTATCCGTCCATTTATCACTGATCCAGAGACGATCCTCAGAAACCACCTTAGCAATCAGCATCCAAGTTTTCCCAAACTGTTCCTTATAGGTGGAAGCCAGTTTGCTGGGCTGACAGTTAGCGTTTATCCCGAACATATTCAACTATGAAGCATGTAGATCAGATGACATACTCAAAGTATTTTCTATTGGATTCAGTAATATCACTCATGGTTTCAAGATCAGCAACACAGATTTCTGAGAAAAAAGTATCAACTCTACAGAATTCTAGGAGAGAGTATTGGGAACGAATATTATGGGACAATGACAGTCCTGAATTTATGTTGAGCAACAAGAAGATGGATAGAAATGAAAAGAAGCTCAGTATCAGAACGGGAAACATAATGGATTTAAATATTTCACCTAAGCACAGCGAGTTTAGATTGTTCAAATAGGAACCTGGGTACGTCAAAGGTAAGTATCCACTAACTGACCACCCTCGGAGAGATATTCGGATACTTACCAAGACCAGTGGTTACTCTTGGCTTACTGAGATCAAAACCCGGGAAAGGGCTGGCCATGTCCTATTGACTAATACAGTAGATCTTATTTTAAGCCAGTATGGATCTCGATCAAGGAAAACTGGTTCATTAGAAGTATACCAACGAGCTCTAGATGGTGGGTGGTACAAGCTCTTGAGATGAACATGCTTGGGCTTATTGAACTAAGTCGGTCACTCTGTTTAGTCTATACTGAGATGTGATTAAACACGCAGATAGTTGAATAAAATGTTGAAGTACACGGAGAATTAAAGAATCGTGTGTAACCTGTAGCACAGGAAGAGAGGTACGGAGTACCTGATACGGAGTACTATATAATTTAATGCCTGGAAATCCAGGCCGCAAGTCCGCTACGGTGCTGCAGAGCCACCACTTGAGCTCCGCATCGGCCAAACCATCTCCAAGCAAGCAGCCATCACGACCGTCATCAGCTTGTTGTCCTGCTTCACACTGAATTTTCCAACTAACGGCTTCAATCATCCACGATTCAATACCTCTGTTATTTTCACCAAACCTTGGCGGTTTGTCTCTGCGACCAAATTTCTCCTTCCCTGGACCAAACAGCTTGAACAACCTCCTGCTTCCGCCATGGAGGCTCAGAAGATCCCCGATTTCCTCGCAGAGCAGCTGCAACAAGCCCCGGCTGAGAGCCAGGCCTTCTTCCTCAGCTTTGAAGACTTCTGGGAACGCAAATTATGGCATCAGCTCACAAATGCCCTGGTTGAATTCTTCCGCCTACCGGAGAGTGCTCCGCAGCGGTTAGCCATTTTCAAGTCATTTATCCTCAGCTTCTCCGACAAGATCAATCAGCTCAAGTTCGTCGCTTTGGGACTGATGACATCGACAGAGTGTGCAGGTGCGTTGGTATTCTATCCCTCTCTTTTAGGCTTATTTCAACCGATCGATAGGATCGCGGGGAATTGGGTCAATGAACTACCAAATGATACCAGGAAGAAAACTAACCTCTATGAAACGGCAGATGATCAAGAGCGTCTTTCCTTCCTTACGTCGCTTGCGGACAAAGTCAACAAGACCGATACACAAGATGCTTATGTCTATGCGCTTGCGGATGTCGCCAACGTGAAACTACGACTTAAGGACCTGGAAGGGGCCCAGAAGGATCTCGAGACTTGTCAGAAGGCACTTGACTCGTTCGACTCTGTCGAGACAGTTGTCCATGCAGCCTTCTACAAGGTCAATGCGGACTTTTATCATGTATGATTCTTTCTCTTCCCTGCCCGCAACATGCTGTGACCGCTAACACTGCTTCACCCAGGCTAAGGAGGAGTTTGCCGCCTTTTACCGAAACGCTCTCCTTTACCTTGCATGCATAGACCTCGAAGACCTGCCCGAAACGGAACGCGTTTCACGAGCCTATAACCTGAGCGTTGCAGCGCTCGTATCGGACTCCATCTACAACTTCGGCGAGCTCCTCCTGCACCCTGTGCTGGATTCTCTGACGGAGACTCCACACGCGTGGCTACGTGAACTGCTGTTTGCGTTCAACCGGGGAGATCTCACAGCATACAACGTGCTTTCCAGCAACATCAACAAGAACAACCTACTCGAGCAACATCGCATCTTCCTGTACCAGAAGATCTCTCTGTCTGCGCTCACGGAGATGGTCTTCCGCCGGCCCCCACATGACCGCAACCTGACGTTTGCGTCGATCTCCTCGGAGACGAATGTCAAGACCGCCGAGATCGAACACCTGGTCATGAAGGCATTGTCGCTAGGCCTTCTGAAGGGCACAATCGATCAGGTCGCACAGGTAGCCCAGATCAGCTGGGTGCAGCCCAAGGTGCTCGACATGAAGCAGATCGAGGGCATGCGCAACAGGCTGCGCGAGTGGGATGCTGGCGTCAACCAGTTGGGCCACTGGATCGAGGGTGTTGGCAAGGACGTGTGGGCTGCATAGTCTCGTAAAACACAACAATACGAACTATCTGTGGTATTTATTATATCCAATATTTTAGAATGAAAAGGCTCTATCTAGCCGTTCTATTATTATCCCATGCAAAGGTATAAAAAGGGGGGGTTTTTAAAACAAAAATGGAATAAAATTAAAAAAGAGAAACCCCTAAAAGCACACAGCCAACCAACCAAGCCGGCCACCAGACACACCAGACAACGACGGGCGTCCACGAGCCCCAGACGTCCCACCCGAACGCGGCGTGGGTCAGGACAGACTCGACACTAACGCCGGCGTAGTGACAGCCCGCGACAAGGACGGCGGGCGGGGACAGCGCGTTGAGGACGAGCAGACCAGAAAGCGTGGCGGCGATCCGGACGGGAGCTTTGCTGCAGGAGATCCGGTCGACGAAAGTGAGCGGCACGCACAGCAGACCGACCATGAAGGAGAGGGAGAAGTTAAGGGTTGCAAGGGCGGACAGTGCGAGACCGAGGAGGAGGAGGGAGAAGGATTTAATGAGCAGGTATTGTTGGCGGATCGGGGGGTGAGCGGAGCCGCGGGCGAGCAGGGCCGCGACTGAGAGAGGGAGGACGGCATCGACAAGAGCAATAAAGGACGCGGCGATTGTGAAGTGCTAATCATATCCCCTGTTAGTGATATTGCAGAAAGTAAAGTATAGAATGCCGGATTTTTAACTCACCCCGTGATGGAGGTTATTGAAGAGATAGAGAGGCGCCAAGCCCAGCAGATTGAATCCGACGACGAGGGTGAGTGGGAGAGCTAGCTGGCGCTCAACGACGGCCTTGTTGTTGGCCGCATCGTCGGGTTTGTCTTTTGGGGTCGCTTCATCTTTCTTGTTGTCTTCCAGCTTTACGGCGGCGGCGGCGGCGGAGGATTCCATGTCGTAGCCGGTCCGCAACCACAAGGCAATCGCCATGATGGTAAAGTTGGCAGCGATCAGCATCGCGCTCGGGAGGTACGTCCCGATACTCACGAACCGATTGGCTTGCATGAGCAAGTAGAAGAAGAAGCTCTGATGAAGATGCTCCAAAAGATTATTCAGACTGCGACAGAGACTCTCCACGGTCCGGCCCAGGGCCATCTCATCCTGCCAGCCGTCCCCCTTGGCCTGCAGGGTGATCGCATCGATATGGTACGGCATAAAGCTGCTATGGGCGCCGCTCGCAGAGCCGAACCCCTGCTTAAGCATGCCTCGCAGAATAGTTTGGAGCCGCATCTCATAGCTGTCGTCGTGGTTCCACATCTCTTGCATGTTGGCGCCAATCCCCATCTGCCCGCCTGCGATCGCGACAGCGGTATTGAACAGATCTAGGTTCGGCAGCTGTCCATTGACTCCGTCGTAGATTATGTGCAGGGTTTCGAAGCGGTGGTCGAATGCGTATTCGAACACTATGCCGCCCTGCAGCGCTCCGCTTTTCAGCGGAAGAGACTGCACCGACGGTGAGTGCATATCATGATACGCATCGATCCAAGCCTGTGTTCCAGACTTGCTGTCGGGAGTGATTAGGAAAATGATGTCCTTGGACCACAACGACCATCCTAAAAGTTATTTAGCATGAGATAAAGCCAAAAAAAAAGATAAAAGGATATAGAATAGAGGACATACTCTTAAAATATCTAGCCAGCGTCAATGCAAGACTGACTCCGTTGAGATTCAACTCCTCCTCCACCGTCTTCCAGGTAGCAACCAACACAATTGCCTCGGTGGCATCTCCGCGCGGTGCCTGCACAATGGCATACACGTTCTGGCCCTGGTGCGTAATCCCCGCCGAGGTGTATTCGTAGTTCTGCGTCGCGACCTTCAGCCCCGCGGCTCGAAGGGCAGATTGGATTTTCTCGGAGATCCTAAGCGTAGAGCCCGTCAGCTTGCATCCCAATTTTATTTATTTATTCTCTTTTTTTCAAAAGACTGGTTCGAAACCTGCATGGTCCGAAAACCATGTAACGCTGTATCGGACTTTGCCGAGCAGCTTAGACGACAACATACACAGGGCTCAAGTCTGCTTGGTTTCTCGCTTCGCCCTCGGGTAACAGCCCTTCGAGCTCCTTCTTATACCCGCGGAAAACATTCTGCTCGCTCCCCGCAAAGTATGTATGCACTTGTCCGGGCAAGAGGGCGTTCTCGGAAATGTAGGTCTGGCGCGAGTACTCGTCAAGCGGGAGGAGGAGCAGCCAGACCACGCCGACGACGATGCACAGCAGGGAGAGAAGGTAGGGGAGCCGGATGAAGAGGAACTGCGGGTTGTTTCGCAGATTGCGGAGTGTAGCTAGGAGAAAGATCTGTTAATTCCAGGTCCTAACACTCATGTAGCAGAGATGACAGGTAGCTTCAATATTTGGCTAGGCATCGCGCAGGATGGAAGTTCGAAATATGCTTTGTTTATTGATTTCTTCTTTTTGGCTTCTTGGGAATCAAGTACTCACATTTTATCGCCATTGAACAGGGGCATTCGGGCAGTTGCCCTGTAACTTGAGGTGTTGGCTTCGGGTTGTATGCGGAGTTGTTTTCTGGTTAACTATGCGGAAGCTAAAGACCCCTTCGGTAGAACGTCAACTACGCAATGATTCGTGAGTAAGAGTTGATATTACATTTATTAATCTTCCAGTATCATGATTATATAGTCATATTTAAGTATACACAAGAAGGTGTGAAGCTTGCAGAATCGACCCCCTGCAAAATTACAGCTGTCATGCGCCCAGGCGTTGGGTCGAGCCCAGATAACTCATCGGCGACCCTCGCTCACCCGTTGCATTGTTGGCACTGGGCAGGACGCCGTATCTGCCATACGTCTTCTGGTCCACAGAAACGTAATGCGGTAGACGACCCAGCAAGTTGAGCTTACCCTCCACCCACCGGAGAACCTTTTCGGGGGGGTTGAAGAACTTGAGGTATCCGAGACCAACTGGGGGATGTTAACAAACCTTCTACGCAATCCAAAAAAGCTACTCCCAACTGAGGAAGACTTACGAAGATATCCAACCAGAATCGCGCACAGATGGCCCAAGAAACTAGTATTCGGGACCAGAATCCAAACAATGACACACGCGAAGAGCGGGGAAGTCCAGGTAGGGATCTTGAGAGTGCCGAGACTAGACAAATCAGACACTGTTTTTGTGTGTATCTTCCACACAGAAGAAAGAAAAATACCTGAAGCTTGGGTGCGATTTATATGTTCTGATCGCCTCGGATCCTAAGAGTAGAAATACCCAAACGCTGGAATGCACGTCAGACACGTTTAAAGAAAAAGGCTAGGTGGATAGATGTCGTTTGGTACTCACCTTGCCCCGACGACCGAAGTGTTCCGGTGTAAAATCAATTTCTCGACTAAAAGGTACAGACCCCCCGGCAGCGTCGAGAGAGCTAAACACAGTCAGCCATACGAAAACAAAACCCCCGTGTGCTATATATACTTACGCCCCATGAACAGTGCCACAGAGGTAAGGGTTCCATGCTCTGCCTCGAACCTTTCCAACAGCGGAACAAGCGCGACGGTATTCAGGAGAGCATGGAAGAAACCGACGTGGATAAAGGGGTAGGTGTTCAGGCGGTGCACTGTTACAATAACTGTCAGAGAAATGGCGAAGAAAGGAAAGATAGTCAGACCTCCCCCTCCCCTTTCAGGGCCACATACTTGATTGGATCCCAATCTCGTCGGGTGTCAACGCCCCCCATTCGATCACAGCCCATACCGTTTGCAGTTCGAGCAGCCAAAAGACCACAATGGCGAGCAGGACGAGCCGGGTGAACAACGGTAACCGGAGGATGTATGACCGTACTCTGGCCGGGTTGAACGGCAGCGGCGGCAAAGCGGCGGGGGTGGCCATTATTCGCGTAGTTTAACCCGGAGGCTCAAAAAAAAGAGTATGAGGAATATTGATATGTCCAACGACGTAATCTATTTTTTGGGGAGGGAGGGATGTGGGTGTTGTCGTAGCTGAGTGTGGATGGTGGTCTCGTGATTCGGAACGAAGCAGATTATCACGCGTATCAGACGGGGAAAAAGGCTCGAGACAGATGGAGAACGTTGAGAAGAGTGAAGTCAAGAAGCCATGAAACGATTCGTAACGTCGTGAATGAGATGAGATGCTGGACAGTGGACAGTGGACAGTGGACACGCTAACAGGAGGGAGAGTCGAGGCAAGGAAAACGTGCTCTCGCGCTTCGATACCGGTCAGAGTGTATGCAAAGTACAGACAGGGGATCTATAGAACAGCTGACGAGACTCCGCAAGTAAGACAGGGAGTAAATGGAGATAGCGAAGAAGAGAGAATATTATTATTAGACTTGTTAGTGGCTCGAGTGTCAATAGTGTCTTCCAGCTCGGAACGTCGCGCATTTTTCGATTGACGGAACGGGTCACGTGGAGATGATCTTATCAAGTTATCAACAACCAGAAGCTTTTCACTACTACGTACTGTTACAAAATTGTTTTGAATCTACATTCAGGTAGATTATTCATAAGGGTTTTCATCGCTTCATCATCAACTTCACTGTACACGATTTCCAGAAGAACCAGTGATATACAGTTAGGCAGTTTCACTAGTACTCTGCAGTACTCCGTACCTTACAGGTACTGGTTGAACCACGCAACGGCCTGGTAGAAGGCCTGCTCCTTGGCAAACTTGTTGTGCTTGATGCTCAGGTCCGTGCGGATGGCGAAGCCGTGCGAAACACCGCCGTACAGGTTGATCTGCCAGGACTGGCCGTTCTTGATCAGGATGTCTTCCGACTTGTGGCGGAGCTCGGTGGTGAAGATGTGGTCGGTTTCTGAAGAGGTGGTCAGCAAAATAAGGTCTATAAAGTGTGATTTTGGTGATACTCACGCGCAGCAGAAATAGAAAGAGGCCCGCCAATGGCTGCGAGCTCCTCTTCGGTCACGAAGGAGGGGGTGGCCATGTAACCGACGTCGAGCTGGCCTTCCTTGAGGAAACGAGCAGTGTACTGAAAGATTCTTTGTAAGTAAAGGGTGGGGATTTTAAGGGTAAAGCATCCAGAATAGAATTGCTTGAGAAAGACCAACCTTAGCACCGAAGCAGTATCCCGCACCGGCGATGCGCTTGATACCCTGTTCCTCACGCAGGTACTTGATGGTCGAGGCAATAACCGGGTCGACATGGGAGGGCTGATGGTCCTTCAGCCAGACAGGGAGGTTGACCTTGCCGGCAGCTTGGTCTTCGAGTTTGATCTGGTCGCCCTGGAACAGATCAGGTAGGACAGCCAGGTATCCGGCTTTGGCGAACTCGTCGGCGACCAGCTGGCCGTTGATGAAGATGCCGAAGATATCGCTGACGACGAACACCGCCTTGTCGGTTTTCTCCTTGGGATAGGAGATGTAGGTTTTGACTAGAGCAGTCAATATATCTGAAGACTGCGCTCCCTATACGACCAAGTGGATTCAAGCTTACCACCATCGATATCCTTGATTTCACCGGCCGGCGTGCCCTCGTGCCGGAAGCCAGTAGCGCAGCAGTCACCAGGGGGATTGGAAGCCATTTTAAATGTTATATTATATATATCTATATATATATATATTTAATAAAAGCCAGATCAAGAAAAAAAGTAGTACAACCCGCTTAAATACTTTTCTGTCAGAGTAAACGTAATAACCTGCCCCTCTATTATCTCCGAGCCCGAACAACTTCGACCCACCTCGCACCTTTTGCCCCTCCCTGCCATCTACTCCGTAGGTAGGTAGCTAATACTCATTAATTATCCAGCCAGAGACCTGTGTGTATTTAGTCACCGGGGAGGACCAGTAGCTAGCTAGCTACTGGGTTGAGTCGACTGCTGATTCGAAGCCACGCAAGCTGTCCTACATCTAGCAAGCATTTTCTGGTCTGGTTCATCAGGGATTTGATCCTGTCATCGGCAATTCGGCATCGATAACAGATAACAAGATAAGTACAGATAGCTAACTACGGAACTACAGTCGACAGTGCTCATATAAGGGACATAAGTGCATTCCATATCTCCATTAATCCATCCACATGACTCATGGCAGACCTGTTAGACCTGCCTGCTGTACATAAAACATCGTTCGAAGACTCTGTCAAACCGGAGATGACAAAGAGTACAAAAAAACACCAAGTGTAAGGGGGTATATAACTGAAGTCATCAATCGAAAGACAAGACAAGATCCTTCCCGTCTTCTCTTCTTTCTTTTTTTCTTCTTCCTTTTTTCTTCTTCCTTTTTTCTTCTTCCTTTTTTCTTCTTCCTTTTTTCTTCTTTCCACACCGACACTGAACTGTACAGATAGCTAAGCGGGAAATCGAAAGGTTGTAAGCCGGGGCGGCATCTCCTTTTTAACCGCCCAGGCCTTGATGGCGATGGCGAGAATCGCGCACGCCATGATGAAGGCGGTGAAGCCCATGCTGACGGTGAAGGTAAACATGGCGTCAAGGTCGTAGCTGATCATGGCCTGGATGATGGTGCTTGTCTATGAAAATCAGCATAAATCAAAGAAGAGAAGAAAAGAAGAGAAGAGGAAGTGCTTACACTCATCATAAAGACCAAACCACCCCCGATCAGACAGAACGAGGCGACAATCTCCGTCGGGGGACGAGCAGGCAGGTACGAGGTGGGCGGCTTGAGGAAAAGCAGCACATAGGTAGCCGCCCGGGCGAGACCGAATCCAACCAGCATGTTCCCCCACTGCTTGTGCACCATTGTCGACACCGCCGTGGTCTGGTGGTGGGAGCCCATCATCATGCCCAGAAGGAGGATGACGAGGGCAGGCATCGGGTTGAGGGAGACGGTCTGGGTGTTTGGCGCCTGCCATAGAACGGCCGAATCGTCGTGGTCGTGGTCGTGGTCGTGGTGAGCCGGGGCTTGGAGGACGGTACTGTTAAGCCATTCTCGCACGCGTTTCGATTCGAAAAGCATGCCACACTATTTAATTTAGAACATTGTTCAAGGCAAAAAAAAAAAAAAGACGAAGGGACGACTTACCAGACCAGCGCCGAAAAACATGACGGAAATCGAGACATGCTCCAAATCGCTTGCATTCCAGGCACCGCCCCATCCCCCGAGATGTTCAAGGAACATGTTGCTCGCGCCGTAGAGGAAGATGACAAAGGACTCGGTGAACTCGCCGGTCGGGACAGACGCCTTCCACTTGCCGACTACCGTGCTCGGGGGCTTCACGTTCCAGGCCCAGCCGAAATCCGCCCAGCAGCCCATCCAGCGGCCGAGAGTCAGCAAGCCGTACCAGAAGAAGATTCCGCCCTTGATGAAATGAGCCAGTCCGTTGAAGATGTCATGACCTCTCTGGAAAAGAACATTAGATCAAGCTATCGGTTAGAGAGGGAAGGAAAGTAGAAAAAAAAAGAAAAAAGAATAAAAGAATAAAAGAATAAAAGAATAAACGCACCATGATACCACCGTATGTGACGCCACCACTGGCAACGGCGATGAAGCTGAACGGCAGGATGATCCGGTCGATTATCATGTGGATGATATCCAGGGCCCCAAGCACCCGACTAGAGACCACGCCGGGAACGCGACTGGCGAGGAAGCGGTCGACGACAGTGTTGCGCAGCCAGCGGCGTGAGTCGGCCGGTCTGGTAGGAAGCTGCTGCTGCTCCTCCTCTGGTTTTTCGAAATGGTCGTAGTCTTCCGCGTGGGACTCGCTCGTCGGAGAGGCCGGACAGCTCCTAGAAGGCTCGGTACCCTGGCCGCTATCCCCCGACCAGCGGTACTGGTGAAAGGCCCCCGTAGGATAGCGGTGCAGGGGGGAATCGGAGTCGTCCGTAGTGGAGACGGGCAAGAAGGCGCCGCGCTCGTGGGAGGCGATCTCGTTGGTCTCTCCCTTGCGAGCGTAGGGAATTATCAACGCCAGAACGAGCTGGACGGTCATGATCCAGGTTCCAATCCAGCCGATCTTGTGGTGCGCATTGTTGGGGTACAGATCCGGGGTTTGGCTGTTGTAGACAATCCCCACGAGCAAGCCGACCACGTTGACGACCATGAAACCGAACTGGGAAAGCAGCGCATAGCGAGAGCGAGCCACGCTAAGCATAACAGCTGAGAAATTAGCACAGCGACTATTTTAAATTACAGTGCTATGATTTGTTTACCTGTCGGCAGGATAAAGCACCACCCGATCACCATGAGCGCAATGTGCGCAACAATGGCACTCGAGTGTTTGCTGTAGAGAAAGTAGCTCATGGGCGAGTCGTCATGCTCCGGCTTGGGATCAGCAGCAGGCGCGTGCGCATGCCCGTGCGAGTCGCCTTCCATGTCCATATCCATATCCATATCCATATCCATGTCCATATCACGAACATTATGGGAGAGAGCGGTCACCAGCGAGGCGAACAGCAACGCCGTGACAAGCACAGCTACGATCGACCGCATCAGCTGTAGATTTTCTCCAAACTCTTAAGAAAACGATTCAATGACGTGTGCTCGGCAAGCTAGAAGAGCTAAGCTAGCGACAGGGCTGAAGATGGGGGGACCACCACGGAGGAGTGAGGAGACTCGAGTGAGGGGAGAGGGAAGGGTATAGGAGGAACATGACGGCGAAGGGAATGCGACGGCGCGGCGACTTTTTAAGCGGATAGCTTCACGTTTGCGCCTGGTGCTGATTCATTATTCACTCGTTCGGAAACACGCTCTTTCGGACTGGGACGGGGATAAGGGCGTGGAAACAATGGGATGTGCTCCGAGAGTATACCTAGTAGACGATCCGACTGCCGCTCCGATAGTTTACTTGTATTATAATTATAATAATTATTTTATTTTTATTATTATTATTATTCTTCTTCTTCTTCTTCTTCTTCTTCTTCTCTTCTCTTCTCTTCTCTTCTTCTACTATTATTATCCTTCTATCCTTCTATTATTATTGTTATCCATCTTCTATTTCAATTCTCATAGTATATGAAACACTGTATACTTCTACTTCTAATCAAGCCACCTGTGGGTCTTTCTAATGGATCCGGATGAGCCGGGGAGGAACTGGAATTCGGCACTGGCAGCTGCATGGTTTATGAAATGACTTCATCATTTCTGGCTTCGTAATTACGTACTACACTACTTATTATATAGCTATAAGGATATTTCCGAGTCTTTTACATATTAATATCTCGTTTTTGCGGAGTACTTATCAAGTCTTACTTCGTATGAGGGTTGGTCGAACTAGACGGAAAGAATTGTCGATCATCTGGCCCAAGTACTACATCTGTAGTACACCTACTTGGGTATCTACTAAGGCCGTAGTTTCACCACATAACCAAGTCACCAACAACCAACACTTCCGATCAGGCCATCAGCCCTTGCGTATTGACAGATACACAAAGTATGAGGGGTATTTTAGTAAATTAAATTTTAAAAATTAAAATAATCAGGCATCAAGTGTCTAGATCTGCTCTGATCATACCACCATCCAAATATCAGCAAAACTTTGTTCTCACCGCTATGCAAGTTATGAACTGCTACAGGTACTACCTAGTAACCTAGTTACTCCCTATCTAGGTATGTAGGTATTTAGTAGGTAACTTATAAGTAATCGGCCATCCTTGTCATCTTGAAGATCGCCAGCTAGCTATACTACATAAGTGAGACTACCCCTCACCAGTGCCTGGACATAATTTTGAGTACATGTCTATCAATCTATCAACTTAAGATTCTACTGAACCCTATCTCTATATTCATCTACTACTACAGTGTTGGTACCTACTGTCAACTACTACTTAACTAACCTTGTAACTACCTACCTACTCAGTAGCATAGTACTGTACCAAGGTATCTAATAGGGATCCAGTAGTACCTAGTATTAATAATTCGGACAATTCTTCCCTTCATCTGACAGCCCGTTCAATCGACGCATCTGTTGATTGGCCCAAGCTCCATAACCTTGCATCCGCGCCCTTCCGCAAAAGCTACCCACTATGCACACGCACCGGCGTCACTAAATCACGGCCCTATAGATCAGGGCAGCTCCGGAAGAGCAATTCCGTAAACGTAGATTACCAGATGCCCTCAACTATCATCACGGTTACAACTTACCTCTAGGCAGGATCATATGACTCATAGAGGCGGCAAGACTGTGCCAATCGGAAGTTACTGATACTTGAAGCTGGAGCATCCTCGACGCTCCCGTATATCCGCAATAGTCTACCCAAGCATTATTAATAATGCTGACAGATCCTACATACTGCCAACTTCTATTAGTAAATCACATAGTTAGTATACTCCATACAAGGCTGTCTTTCCCCTTTGGGTTCTTCAGGGTCCGAACAGATATTTTCACCAGTGGAGCTCGTTCAGGATCAGGCACCTCGCTTGTCTCTTCTGTACCTTGCTCTAGCTGTTAAACTAACACGAGTACCTGCTACCTCCCTTGGCTTAGTTATAACTATGATTTAACAGGCAGTCAACTGACCTGCACTGTAATAGTTACTAGTACTAGGTAAAGTAGGTACTCTTTGGCATATCGGTATTCGGCACATAGTCAGGTACCTTACCTAGCGGAGCATACGGACCGTAGTACGGAATACGGACTACGGAATACGGACTACGGAATACGGATTAGACGGATACCAGCCTCTTCTCAAGTCCATCAACCACTCATAACCACATGATGGTTCCATCTGTGCCTGGACCGAATCCATCCCATTCCGATCGCTGCTAGAACAGCTGGACCTCAGGAACCAGGTACTAACTACCTAGGAATTACCGAGTCAGATGTGGCTGCAGCTGTCATTCCTATCCCTAGGTCTGGCTTGCATGGATGACGACCGGAAGTACTTGTCTACATAATTGCGAAATGACCCTCCACAAGTTCTAGCCAAACTATCACAACCGGCCAGTCATGGAAACGTCAACTTTGATATCCCAGAACGACCAGTTTGTCCGTCATAATCCGAGACGCTGGGGAATTGTCTATCGAATTAGCTAGCCGGATAAGAGGATGTTCTTTGCGGGGATTTCATGTTTTCGCTCATCTCATTATAATATTTGCCTCGAATATGGATCAAACCTCGCTTTCCCAGTGACTGTTACAGTGGAAGCATCACCGGTCTACTAGCGGTAGTTCCAGTAGGGCAGAACACGGTTGAATCTTTCATAAGAGTTGAGAGGAGGGAGCCATGTTCTCGATAGACTTGAGGGCTGTGTCTTCCAACAGTGAATCTCTGGAAGTTGGAATCTGATTGTCTAGTACCAGATGTAGAACGACACAGCGCGGACGAGCCGACCTGGATCAACTAGAGATACCCGTATGACAATAAACGTATTGCTAACTTGCTAACGCCCAGGTCTGTCAGACTCTCCATGTCGCCTTGCACTTACTATCATTATAAACCATTAGAAAGCAATTTGATCACACTTGCAAAGACAAATAAATGGCGAGAATGTTAAAGAAAAGGGTGGTTTTTGCTGGGGTTGATCTCCATGCATTACTCTGTAGTACTCCGTAGTTGAAGTGCTGGTCTGGGACGAGGGCCCAGGGCCGGGCGGAAACCACGTGACTAACCACATCCAGAAACGGACTAGCCTCGCTAAAAGCGAGCTCCCGCATTATCGGGATGGGGCAGAGCACACAACGCATTTTCAACCCTAACCTTCCGTTCAACCTCAACGCCCAGCGACACCGACCGTCAACACCGTCAACCCCAGGTTCCTCGCCTTCAATTCAAGATGACTCACGAGTCCGTGTGGTACAGCCGGCCCCGCAAGTAAGGATTCCCTCCCCGAGGAGATTTTCGTTTTATCGTGGTGGTTTTGTCGCAAGAGACGATATGAGGAAGAGCGAGAGAAGAAGGAAAAAAATAAACTAACTTTGTTTCTCTGTGCAGGTTCGGAAAGGGATCCCGTGGATGGTGCGTTTTTCTCTCCTCGAACGACGAAAGAGAATAGATCAAGGAATACACACTTGGGGAAGGAAACTCAGTCAAGAAACTAATATGGATTTACGAGTACAGCCGCGTTTGCACCCACCGCGCTGGTCTCATCCGCAAGTACGGGGTATGAAAATAAATGACAATTTCGAATTGGCGAAAAGGATTCGAGCTGACTCGGGGGGATTTAGATGAACATCTGCCGTCAGTGCTTCCGTGAGAAGTCCCAGGACATCGGTTTCGTCAAGGTCGGTCTACACATTGCACGGGAAAAGAAAGAAGTTTATCATTGGGAACAAAAAAAAAAGCAAAACTAACCTCGTGTGCTCTTTAGTACCGGTAAATTTCTTTTTTACTACGACTCCTTTGTGTTGACGACTTCGTTACGTGCTCGGCGCCTGGCATTATCCATGGGAGGAAAAATGGACCGAAAAGAATTTCGCTTAGGGGTTCCCCGGAGACAGCAAAGTTGATAAGGTTGTGGGCGATATTTTCCAGGGTGTCGGCTTCCTTCAGATGATTCTAGGGAAATAGAAAAACTCCTGGTTCTTCCTTTTTGTTCTTCCCAAGTTTTCCGATCAGTTTCCGAGATACAATCCGATTCCCGACTTTCGAACCGGTTCAAATCCAACCTGGAGAAAAGAAAAATTGGCAGAGCGATCCCCGTTCGTCGCATTGCTTAACTGTAATGTAAGACCGGCCGTTGGAAAACTATGGAACCATCCACTGGACATGTGTAGTTCACCTGAAATGCATCTCATTGGGAAGTGCCCCGTAGAGAACACACACTGCCTTGGTAATGCGGCTATACCTCACAAGATCACGGCAACCATGGTATCCTCCTAGTTCACGCTACTAGACAAGTCACCATTAAGATACAATTCCAATTGTCGGGAATAACCAGCACGTCCACACAGTCTAGACTTGAACAACACAACCACAATGGAAAAGCAAGTAGATTACTAAACTTCTGACGCCCAACAACGCCTTCCCAAAAGGTAAAAACTCCTGGTCGCTGAAATGAAATGCTCGATGGACTTGCTTCTCAGAGGCGCTAGAATACACCCGGAGGATGGTTGGACTCATTTGGACCCAGCGAACAGTGACCGGAGGTTATAGAACAACAGGTATGCGTCTGCCTTGAGGACTTCGGCTTCTGTCACCGCGGTCACTTGGTCGTCGTTGAACAGCATCCACTGTGAAAGAAAAAGAATATTAGGTCGGTAATCTAAACAGGGAACGGATTCAATACAAACCTGGTCGCCTTGGCGGCAGTACACGTAATAGTGTCCTGCATCCAGTTTGCCTTTATGCACAACAGCAGATGATAGATCGTACATGTATCTTGACTTGTCGACCTTTTGGCAGTTGGGATTGGTGGTGAATGGCAGCATGTTGATTGACATGGGGAAGTCGATTCTTCCCTCGACCTTCTCGGAGACCGAAAAGGTGTGTTCAAAGCGCTAGGAGCAAAATCGTTAGAAAAGCGAAGGGTACTAGAGAGAAGATGCGTACCTTCAGCTGCATGCATAGGATAGCGGGCAGCTTTTTGATCCGCAACTGCTTGGTAGCCTTCTGAGGCGTCCCACCGCATCCACTGCAATTATACACGTCTGCCATGAGCTTCTCTGGGGACGTAAAACTTTCCAGACAGCCGTTGAGCGTGGGGACTGTTGATGGGCCTGTTCCACCCATGGCACGTTTCTTTGCCTGGATCTGAACATCGAGACTCAGATCTATCATCGGGTCCTCGGTCCGAGTCACATTGCCACACTTGTCGCAGGTAACGCTACTCCGCAACTTGCCATAGAAAGCTTTGTGGAAAAAGCAGGGACAACCCATCTCGTGACCTTCCAAGTGGCCATCGGTACTGGCATGCAGCTTATCCACAAGGAATTGATAGTATTCGTGGGCGTCTTGCTGCTGATAGCCAGCCAAAGCCTGAAAGTAAATGGTTGTGAGAAATATTTCCTAAAAAGAGGTTGGGCTTCCGACTCCTTACTGAGCTTGATTTCCATGAAGCCATAAGCAGATTAAGTGCCCCGAACCCCTCGGCCTTCTCACCACTGTTAAACTCGGCAAACGTCTCAGCCACAGCACACCCAACGCAATCCGGCAGGGAACAGTCGTGGGGTTGGTGACTGTTGCCAAGAAAATAAGTGTTTAGTATCGGGTCATGAAGCATGCTCTGCAAGATCACATTCAGATAACAGGTCTGTCCCATGTTGTACAATCCTCTCGCTCCCTGTTTGGAACAAGGTCGCTTGTTGGCGTTGTTCCGAACATAGACCTCGTCATATGACGCTTCAGTCAAGTCTCTCTTACTGGAAACTATCATTTTATTAGAGAGAAAGGGAGGAGTTGGAGGATTAGGAAATAATAAATAAGAGATACCTTGAGAGACAACACTGGCTGTGGGTGAGCGTAGACGTTCTAAACCATAGTCATACACGAAATCACCACACATTTGGCAAAATATTGAACGAGTTCTCCCTTCAATGTCTAGAGAGAATGGATTAGTTTCTACTACGTGTGGCCAAGGGCAGAGAAGGGCAACGGGCTCGAGTATACGTACAGAACTGATGTCCAGTTTTCTCGGTATGGATCTTTCGATCGCCATTGACGCATGGCTCAGAGCAAGCCAAGCAAGTATATTTTGGCTTGAGAACAAATGCAGTCTTGGGAGCAGAAGCCGTAACGTTTTTCAGTTGCGGTTCCAGGGACTTGTGTATCTTCATGAAACGGTCCTTGAACTGGCCAGCAGTTGTTTCATCCCCCTTCAGCACAGCTGCCAAATGTTCTGGATTTATGTCAGTCTTTTCAAACCCCAAAAGGAGCAGTGGATCTGCCTACCACAGCCGTATTCGGCCTCGGAGAGGGCGGAAATGTAGGTAACGCTTGCCATATTTAACGATCGTCTGATATGGCGATTAAGGCATAGATGGGCAGAAATAAGAGAGAAGGGCAGATAGATAGAACGAGTACACGAAATGGCCTGGAACGCAACGGGAAATGAAGGGAAATTTGACGTTCAGACAGGATTTGGCGACGATATCTTTCCACGTAGACTCAGGGACAGCACTCAGTGATGGAGCCAGGGACCAAAGGAATCGATCGGAGTGGATCACCTCAGCATCGTATGTCGACAGCCTACTGCAAGTACAATGTCAAGACGGGGGATGCCCGCTCTGCAGAGACATAAAATTGCAACCTAGACAGAAACTAGATCTGCAGAATTGAATTGCAGTAATACCGACGTGCCAATCGGGGTTTGCTGGAAGGGCCGTCCGTATAAAAAGTAGGACTGGGGTCGGACTGTGGCGTCGGGCCAGAGCCGACGAATAATAGATGGCCTAGACTTGTCCTTAGTTGTGAGAAGGGGAACTGAATGAGTCCATCAACAATAGTGGACAATAACCAACGTCTGTAAGAATAACAATTCACAAACAAAATCAATTATATTGACGTTTCGGTCATTGCTTTCTGGCCGGTGTCGGAGGGTGGTAACTACCTGGCGGAGCGGCTCTTTTCGCTGGGGCGCCGGTGGCTGGGTTGCCGCCGCCAACTGGCCAGCTTCGGGCTATTCTATTGGGTTCTTATCTATCACAATGAAATTGTGTAAAGCAATGAATTGTAGTCACTCAAAAGACTCCAGTAGAGTGTGAATCCCTGGTATATTATTCTAGGGATGATATAGTGCATCTATCAAACCGCATGACTACTGTTCTCGAACGCTTTTTTAGCCTGAGAGCGTTTCTGAATGGCGGGCGATGACAGGCCAATATTGATCCTGATATCATGCGTCGTGTAGAGCGAGAAACGATGGTCAAATGGACAAAGATCAGTCATGCAGCATCTCAGTTTGGCAGGACGGTCCACTGCTCTTGTGCCGACAAATCTCACCGATTACCTCAGAACAACTGGAGATTTCCCTCCGCTGTGACACTTCGAGAATATCTGCTCATCGAACCCCCCTTCCTCGAGGCAGCCCGCTGGCACGGCCTCTTGGTGCACCTCTGGTCGAATACCGGCCACCGGTAGTGCCACGAGTAGAGGTCCCCCGCGATGCGCCTCTAGAGGGAGCGGAGGTCCTGGGAGTAGGCTTCGACGAGACGGTGCTGGGTGGGTGCTCAACGAACGATGTGTCGGTCGTGCTGCGTCGTGTGACTAGTCAGTCGTGTCCCTGGAATCTCCATTGTTGCAGTTTGAGCCGTCACTCACAGGAAAGTGGCTTCCGCCTCGTTCTGTAGTCGGCTCTGCTCTGCCTCGGCTTCTAATTGTCAATTCAGTTTTAATGCACAATAGCAATATTCAGGGTGTGGGGAAGAATTCGCAGACCTTTTTGAGCCTCCACCTGTTTTGCTCTCTTGAAGGACTCGGAAATAGGTGCCTGCTATGATTTAGCCACTTTCTTCCCCGAACGAAAAAAAACCCCCCACACGCATTCAGACCTCAGGAAAGTCCACACAGAAGGCATTCATATTTAATCCGTATAGAAAGCTGGCGAAGCTCTCGCTGAAACGCGTCAAGCTTTCGTGCATGAGCTGAAGATGCATAAAGTTCGCTTCGAGATCCGCCATCGAGTCCGCCAACTCAGCGAACTGCGGCTCCAGGGCATTGATCGCGGGCTGGTTATGCCCGGACCGACTGATCCTTGCTCCATAGCCGTGTGCTTCTCTAACGGACGATCTCGAACTGGGACGTAGGGGTGTTGTCGGCCTCGAAGAGGGCCGCGGGCGCGATGACGATCGGGGAGCACCACTCTCCATTCTATCGGCTTCTCTGTCTGTCAGCTATCTGTTTCGCTGTATCCAGGTGAATCCTGCCTTGCATTAAGAAATGAAAAAGTTAATCAGATCAAGTTGTTCGATTGTGCACAAAGCATTCTGGTCGGCCGACTCAACCCGCTGGTTTGTTGATGGTTCTGTTGATCCCCCGCTTGGCGGAACCAGTGGCGGAGATTACTACTATGATTTCGGCGCAGTCTTACTCTTGACCACACATTTCTATCTTGCTAAGCCCCCCTTCGGTTGGGGTCAGGTTAGGTACTAAGACCAAGTGACAAAGGGAAGGTGATAGGTTCTTCCCGTGCAGCCAGAAGCGCCATTGCTTCGTTTCCATTCTGTGGCACATGCCTGCCTGCCATTCCCTCCAACGCCGTCTTCTGCTGTCCTCGGTCAAGCCAGTCCCTTTTTTCCCCTGCACGGTTCAACCAAGGACTCAGACCTTGTCCCTGCCATACCGTGCTCGATTCTGTTTGTCGCAAACCCCTAATAGTTTTCGAACGTACTATACGCACCCGCCGTTCTTGAAGGAGCCTAGGAGGGCCTCATCTACTTGGTCGCTCGTATTCGCTTTCTTTGCGATCGGTACCGGGGCCTGGCTTCAGAACCGATACTTTGGCGCCGTACAGCAACAAGTCCCGGATGCGCCCCTGCAGCCTCCTCAGGCCAGTCAACAAGATCTTTTCCTTGGAGTGATCGATACGCTCAAAACCATGCCTTCCGAACTGCCCCCCGGCACTGTCGGCAACCTGACCGCGGAGCAGGAGGCTAAGCTCCAGGAATTATGGGTGTTGACATTGAGATTATTTGGTGTTGAGCTTGAAGAAAGCGATGAGGCTACCGAGTCATCACGCGCACCCAGCCCATCTCGGGAAAAGAAGAAGTCCAAGCGGAGATTTGGACTGTTCGGAAAGAAAGAAGAGGAAACCCAAGCGACGCAAGATGTACTGTCGTCGAGGTTGGCTCAGGTAATCATCACGGACGGCGATGACAAGTATGGGCAATCTAAGGAGTTCCAACAAGCTCTCGCCGACATTCCTCCCGAAGAACTGCGGAAGACATTCTGGGATATGGTGAAACACGATAATCCGGACTCCCTCCTCTTGCGATTTCTCCGAGCCCGGAAATGGGATGTTAAGAAAGCTCTGATCATGTTTGTTTCGACGATACGTTGGAGATTACAGGATGTGAAAGTTGATGATGATGTGATGAAGAACGGTGAAGCCCTCGCGTTCAAGCAATCGCAGAGCTCCAACGCCGACGAGAAGCAGGTGGGTGAGGAGTTCCTGGCGCAGATCAGAATGGGGAAGAGTTTCCTCCACGGGGTTGACAAGTTGGGTCGACCCATCTGTGTGGTTCGAGTACGATTGCACAAGGCTGGAGAGCAGAGCGAGCAAACACTGGAGCGGTACACAGTCTATACAATTGAGTCTGCTCGTATGATGCTTGCCCCTCCGGTCGAGACGGCGGTAAGTTCTTCAATCTCTCTCTGGAACTTAGTGAAGTGTGAAGCTGACCCTGTCAGACTATCGTCTTCGATATGAGCAACTTCACTTTGGCAAATATGGTATGTAACCCTACCACTGGCTTGGCTCAATCAATTCTCACTGTTGTAGGACTACACGCCCGTCAAGTTCATGATTAAATGCTTCGAGGCCAACTATCCCGAGTCCTTGGGCAGTGTACTTGTTCACAAGGCCCCCTGGATCTTCTCTAGTTTGTCTCTCTTTCCCCACTATCTGCCAGCGACAATCGTCTCATCAATAATTCATAGGTATCTGGAACATCATCAAGGGCTGGCTTGACCCTGTTGTGGCGGCCAAGGTCCACTTCACTAAGACCGTTGAGGATCTAGAAGAGTTTATCCCGCGCAGCCAGATTATCAAGGAACTAGGCGGCGACGAAGATTTCGAGTACAAATATATCGAAGTCAACCCCGATGAGAATAAGAAGATGGAAGATACGGCGACCCGCGATGCCTTGGTTGCCAAGAGGCACGAATTGGACCAGGAAATCCAGGATGCCACTCTCGCATGGGTCTTGGCTAGCGCTAGGAAGGACACAGCAGCTGCCGCTGCAGCCCAGAAGAAGAGAAACGAGCTGATCGAAAAACTGCGCGTCCAATACTGGGAACTTGACCCTTATATTCGTGCGAGGTCCTACTACGATCGTATCGGTGTTCTCCAGGGTGGCGGGAAGCTCAACTTCTACCCGCAGTCGAATAAGACATCTGCGGAGAGCGAAAAGGAGGCTGAAAACATTGCCATCGAGACGACTCCCGACGACGTCGACTGAATGGCTGTTCTTTACTCCTTTCAGAAAGGGAGCCGATAAGATGATAACTATATGGGCTCCCGATCTCTATGTTTTCATGTGGTAAATAGATGATCCACGAGAGTGTACGTTGCATGAATATTCATCTCATTCATTGATTTTCAACCATCGCTGCTGTCAGGAGGCTACTGGGTTTTTCTTCATCCTACTTGATGGGACAGTGTTGTCACTCGAATAATCCTAAGAGTAGGCGATATATTTAAGCTTCACTCCATCTTTCAGCCAGATTTACATCTTAGCCTTCAGCTCCTCGTAGAGAGCCTTGAGCTTGTCCATGTCCGTAGACTGGGTGGGCCATCCGACACCAAGGCCTTCGGTCTCGTTGGGTTTGGGGATCTGTCTGCCGTTAGCCCTGAATAGACAGCACAATAACCCCCAAGAGAAACTGGCGGAGGGGGAAATTATTTGATTATCTCGCACTTACCATGTGGAAGTGAACCTGAAATGATACCATATCAGCAATCTTCTTCTTTCTAATTGGAAGGTTCATGACAACTTACATGATCAACAACCTGGTGAGCTATGCGGCCATTGTTCTGCAGGATGTTGAAGTTCTCGGCACCACTCACTTGAGCGAGCTTCTTAGCGACGGGCTGTCAAGTATGGGAAATCATACGTATTAGCATGAGTTGGGGGGCAGGAGCTGGGAAGCAATTGGTGGAGTCGCAGTCCCTGTCTTCAAGGTCCTCGCAAGTCGCACCCGGGGTATATGTAGGTAGTGATTGCCCTCAATCTCGTAGAATGGTTTCGACATAAATACATACCAGAATTTCACGAAGATCCTCATCAGGGATATCGGTAAGCTTTGCGCCATGGAACTTGGGGATCACGAGCTATCCGAAAATTATCGTTGTCAGTCAAGCTATTTGCAACATGAATGGACAATATCCCCGATTAGTCACGTTTTGCATGAAAATTCGGTGATATATTGATGGAAGTTCGGATTTTTTAATGCTCGAGTTAGGGTAGACTTGATGTCGTCCTGCGCCGGAAGAAACGGGACAGGAGTATGATTACCGCATGGCCACGGCTCAGTGGCTGAATGTCAAGGAAAGCAAAGACCTTGTCGTTTTCAAAAAGCTTGAAAGAAGGGATCTCGCCTGTGGTTGATTATTAGGGAAGATCAGTAAGAGAGATTGTTGGAGAGTAGCTGGATGAGGTGTAGCATATTGTCTCCTAAAAAGCAGACACTCCACATACATACCCTTAACGATCTTACAGAAAATGCAAGCAGTGGAAGCCATTTCGAATGGATCTGGATTTGCCTCAATCCAACTAGTGCTTGTCTGGATGATCGTAGATGACCAAGTAAACAATGTCGCTGATGCGGGGTGGAAAGCAGCGTGGCGGCAGAATAATCGGACGATGACGAAAAAAAGGCGTTGGGGAAATGAGGGGGATTCGAACCCAGAGCAGCGGGAAACTAAGGGTGGTGGTTATAACTCATTTAAAAGAGTCGGCTCCGAGGAGTGGGACAGGCTATCCCAGAACCCATTTCTTGCCTTTTACCAGAGATGGCCGTGGCCTGCCCAAAATCTCCAATTAGCAATCTTTGGAATTATCCCATCGACACAGCTGTCGATTTTTTTGGACTTTTTTTTTGGTGTTATAATATTACACTCCATGTAGCGAACATTCTTGCTTTTTTTCAAATTTTATCTACTTTAATACGCCTTGTAATAAAAGAATTCGTGTCGAGGGGTGCGTGTGTCGTCCACAGAAAACGTCCGTGGCCATAAGAGGTCTTCTGTCGGTGGACTTGCCTTGCCAGACATACCCTTACCTAAGATCTTTTTCACTGGGAACAATTCAGTTTTATAACCCCTTGAACCGTATAATGACCCTTCTTCTTCACAGAGAACTTCCTTTGATTGTCCCAGCCCATGTTCATTTAATCAATTCCCCGCCGCTGCTACTGGTTTGTAGTCGTCATCAGTGCCATAATATCATTCGACTTCTTCTGCCTCCACGTCTCACTGCAGCGAGACTAGAAGGGAAGACAGACAGAGAATGAGCGAGTAGCAGCATGCTGGATCTCGATGCTTCACTGCTGCTGAGGTGGCATCTTTGAATTCTTTTTTAAAGGTGCCATGTTGAGCTTGTTTAGAAAGAACTTGAAGTTAATGATTAGTTATGACAGTTGCCTACGAGGAACTGCTGCCTGCGAAATAAATTACCCGTTACATCGGCTATAAAATAGAAGCTATCGAGCATAGAAGAAGATTGGGTCCTGTTCTGCTCAGCGGTAATGAGGCGTTGCCTTGAAGTCGCGTTGCTGTGCAGTCACCATGTCAGTTCCCATCCGGCTCTCTATCAGTCAGTATTTAATTGACACATGAATGCAATCACCGCCTCCTAGCTACCCAAGGTAAGGTAAAGCGATTGAAATATCTATTACACACTAGGATGTTGCCCTATCAGTTCGGCACAGGTACCTATCTGCATACGCCTTCCTAAACAGTCTTGTCTCCTACCCCGCTTGGGACTTATCTTATCACCCCCTCAAGGTCTCCTCACAGGCTTATAAACAACCTCAAAGACGCATTCTCCTGTAAATTTGGCATGGAATTCGCTTTCAGTCATCGATCAAAGCTATCATTGCCTGCCACTTTACGGATACTCTCTTAAGAGCATCTCCTTGAAACAACGTCGTACCTTTTCCGCCTCGTGGAAACCTGCCATGTATACAACCGACCTCTCGGAGGAGCAGGTTTCGGCCTTGAGGGTCAATAAAGATCGATTGGCCAAAGACCTCCACTATAGCTGTCAATGGGGTGCTGGTATACGATGGGGGGAGTAAGTGAGACTTCAATAACTTGCTATGGTGTTTCTTCCTCAGATATCCCTTACTTGAATATGATGTCCATATTTCTTCTCATAACCCATGTCACTATTTCAGTTCATCAGGCCATTGGTATGGCTGATGACAGTCAAGTACTTGACCCATGAAGACTGAAACAAGGATACACTAACCATGGCCTGATGTAGTGGATCAACCGACACTGGTATGCAACGTCTCGCCCTTTCCGACGAGGACAAGAAAGTCCGGGATTGGTTCATAGAAACGACAACGAATTTGAAGTGCAGGGTCACCGTGGATGAAATGGGCAATATCTTTGCGGTTAGGCCTGGCAGAAGAAAAGATGTGCCCGCAACGTTTATCGGAAGCCACTTGGATACACAGCCAACAGGTGGTCGATATGATGGCATCCTAGGTGTTCTATCTGGAATTGAAACCTTGAAGGTCATGGAGGAGATGGGCCTGGAAACGGAGGGTGGCGTAGGCGTGGTCAACTGGACTAAGTAAGGACCCCCGTTGAGATATTATCATTTGTTCGCATGCCTCACGAACCAAACTGATGATTTCTTAAGCGAAGAAGGGGCTCGATTCCCAGTCAGTATGGTTTCTTCCGGAGTATGGGCCGAGTGCATCCCTCTAGAGCGAGCACATGGACTCAAAGAAGTACCCACTGTCGCCTCCCTATCCACGGCAGCCTCTGCTCCGGAAACAATGAAATCGGCCCTTGAGAAAATCAAGTATCTAGGGCCCGTTCCGTGTTCCTACAAAGAGACCCCAATGGCAGCCCACTTTGAGCTTCATATTGAGCAAGGGCCCCATCTCGTCTCTGCAGGCCAGCGCGTCGGTGTGGTGACAGCTGTACAAGCATACCGTTGGTATCACATCGATGTTATCGGCAGAGACACGCATACAGGTACCACTGCCTTTCAGCACCGGGCTGACGCTTTGTTCGCCTCAGCTCGCATGATGGTTCGCGCGCGGGAAGTGGCCGATTCGCACGGGTGTCTCGCGAGTGTAGGTATCATCGAAGCGAAACCTGGCAGCATAAACACTGTTCCAGGGCTGGTTAGCTTCAGTTTCGATATAAGAGCCCCAGAAACCGAGTTAGTCACCATCGTTGAGGCAGACTTGCGAAAAGAATTCGATCTTATTGCAGCAGAAGAAGGCAAGGGCATTGGCAAGCCTTGTCGAGTTGAATGGCGACTTGACTTTGATTCCCCGGCCGTGAAGTTCCACCAAGACTGCATCGAGTGTGTGCAACAATCGGCCGAGGCCGTTGTCGCCGACGCCAATGTCCCGGATTCGAAAAGCCTGGTGCGGACCATTATGAGCGGTGCTGGTCATGACAGCGTCTTCACGTCTAAGAGAGTGCCAACCAGCATGATTTTCATCCCATGTAAAGATGGACTTAGTCACCATCCGGAGGAATTCAGTACTGCAGAAGACTGTGCTACGGGAGCGTCGGTAGTATTGCAAGCTGTGGTGCGATACGACAGGAAGAGATTTGCCTAGAAAGCCAGCCAACCCAGTCGACAATGTTTGAAACAGCGAGTCTTTTTATAGCATAAATGCCTACGTGAGCCAAAAATATTGACTATTGAATAGTGCTGAGTCATTATGATTTTGCCATTAATCCTAGGTACTTTCATGACACATAGATACCGGCAGCCCATCACGCCTCAGTTGCCCATAAGAGGGCTTTTCTTTTCTTTTTAGATGTGCAGAGGTGTAGCCAATTTCTGACCTATCTTTTAAAGCCTACTCAAGACCACACATGCATCATCGGGAAGACCCGTAAGAAGACCAAGCAATGGCACCTCTTAAGAAGAGGGAGCACCACGGCCACGGCCGAATCCACCACGGAAGCTAGGGGCGAACTCGCCGGGGGCACCACCCTCCTTGCCCTCCTGCTCACGGCGACGGTAGCCACCCTCACGGGGAGGGCGGGGGCCAGAGCGACGCTCACGCTCCTCACCGCCCATCATGCCACGAGGGGGAGCGTGGGAACGCTGCTGCTTGATGTGGGTGGCGGGGACAACCTCGGCGGGGAGGTGGAGCCACTCGCGGAGGTAGTCAAGACCCTGAAGGAGCATTTGTTAATCTTGCATTCTTTTGATTGTTTTCTCGCCTCAAAATAAGAAAAAGTATCCAACGTACCTCGGGGGTGAGGGTGTAGTAGTAGTACTGCCACGAGAAGCGGGTCTTGACGTAGCCGCGGGAGTTAAGGGACTGGCAAGCCTTGATCACCTATAAATTGTGAAAGAGTATTAGATTCAGGTCATTTATTTTTTTTTTGTCTTTCCCCCATGGTGGCGGCAGAGTACGGTGCAGCATCAGGTAAAACTTACAAAGAGGTTCTTGGTGTCAATATCGCCATGCTTGGGAAGGTTGAAGTCCTTCTTGGCCACGAGCACACCCTCTAAAAGACCATGTTAGCGAAAAGTGTCTCTGGGCTGGCAATCGCAGACTGTCGTGATTGTCAAGAAGTTGCGACAAGAGTCGGTCACATACCGCGGAAGAGGTACTCGTGGATCTTCTTGCGGTCTTCCTTGGGGATAAGCCTGGTGAGGCATTAGCACATATTATCAGAGTATCCAGGCCGAGTTGGGGTCATCAACGTACATTGTTGCGAGTTCCTGGCGTTATTCGGGGAATCGCTCTAACAACGCGCAAAAGAGAGCTGGTTTAATTGAATCCTATGCGAGTGGAGCAAAGTGCGGTTAACAATTTGGGAATCTCTGCTAGGGTCTGGCCCTAAGACATTATACTAGTCTTTATCTGGATAGCGCCCTCGCCTTCCTCGTGATATCACATGACCTGAACTTTCCTTTCCCATCTGGTACTAGTTCCAAGTTGCCAAGACTTTCTAGCCATTTCAGATCTCTTATCAACTCCACGTCTTGGCTCTCAACACATCAACCAGCCTTACGATAGCCTAGCATAGGCACGAAAACACACTTTACGCTTGGATCCGACGGTATTAAACCTTTATATCGATTGCTCTAGTCTTATTTGAGTCAGAATTTTGATCATTCGCCAAAATGACATCACAAAACATCAACGTTCTTCTCTCTTCGTTCCCTGGACTGTCGCTTCCCTCGACACTGTCATTTTCGCTTCCGGCTTCGTCAAGTATCGCAGATCTTACGGAGAGGATTGCCGAGTATTTGCCTGAATCTTTATCCTTCAACTCGTTGATCCTTACGACTACTCGCAATAAACAACTTATCCCTTCGTCAGCCTCCATTTTGCCTCTACTGGATGCCCCCAATGAGTCGAATTCCGCGCCCTCCAACCTGTTGCCCCTGCGACTTACAGTCCCCTTGTGCGGAGGAAAAGGTGGTTTCGGGTCCCAGCTGCGTGCTGCTGGTGGTCGCATGTCTAGCAAGCGCAAGCGCAATCAAGGCGAAAACAATGGCTCGAGCCGTAATCTTGACGGCCGGCGTCTGCGTACCGTCAACGAAGCTAAAGCGCTAGCTGAGTATCTGGCTGTCAAGCCAGAAATGGACAGAAAGGAGAAAGAGGAGCGCCGGCGCCGGTGGGAAGCCATCGTCGACGCTGCGGAGAAACGTCAGGACGAGCTGAAGAATGGAGGTAGCAAGTCCAAGATCGATGGGCAGTGGATGGAAGACAAGGATGAAATGAACGAGAAAGCAAGGGAGGCTGTCCTTCTTGCGATGAAGGAAGGTGTCTGGACGGACAATCTCCGTGATGCAATCCTCGGGGGATCTAGTACCAGTGCTAGTGAAGGCAGTGCGGATGCGACCCCTTCAGGTTCAGAAGAAGAGAGCGAAGATGAGGAAGAAGATGACGCCATGCAGGATGATTCCGGCACCTCGTCCGCCACGCAGAAGCCAGCTGTAACCCGGAGATTCATCGGTTTCGACGATGATGATGAGTTCATGAGTGATTCCGAGGCAGGGGATGGCGACGATGCTGATGAAAGCCAGTCTAAAGGGAAGGCGAGGGCTTAATGATTTTGAATCAGTATTCCTACTTGATACTTTTTGTACTTTCAGCGCTCTGTATCTTCTCTTTTTGATTTCATCCATAATGTATAGTTAAGTACTCCACTATGAGAAATTGGAGACAATTTATTTACAACAGAGTGCCTATAATACGCCTTCTATGTTTAGACTATATATCGGCATTATAAGCAGCATAAAGATAGCCAATCCAATTTCCAGGCCCCCATCATATCCCTGTTGACTTGACTTTATTATCTGCCTTAGGCATGTGAAGTTGCCACCGCCTTTTTCGGCGCGCTGCTAAGACCATGAGTGCTATCTAGATTTCTTTCGCCGGCCGTCCAGAACTTTGCAGCTTTCGAGAAAGCCATTAGAATGATGTTAAATGGCGGTCGCACGGTCTTCAGAGGTCCGAGGCCTTGGATTCCACTCACAAAGCAGTTTTGCCCGTCGCCACGCCATGGAAGGACATTTTCGTCCTTGACATACCTTGCACAGTCTCAGTTATCATCGAAGCGCATTCCAGGCTACTCACAGTCGATACGAACACAACAACGATGTCTTTCAACGAAGATCGAGGCATCTGAGCTACCACCGGAGGTGATCCACGAGTTGCTGCCGCTATGTTGCCCTGGGTGTGGTGCATATTCGCAGACCGTAGAACCGAATGAACCGGGATACTACAATCTCAACACAAGGCAGTCCCGCAAGCTCATCCATGAGAGAAAAAAGGACCTAAAATCGATCCAACATCAAGTTGCGGAGCAGACGGTCGAGAATAATACAGAGATTGCCAATGAGGAAGTTGGAGAGACTACGGATACGGACACGACGCCGCGCGTTCCTCGGCCCTCGCGTGCGTGAACTACTTGCTCGTTGTTACTGCCGATCCACTGACTTTTTGTTTTAGACGGAGTCTCGCTCGCCGAGACCAATGCAGAAGGTGGCACTTCAGACGTGAAGAAGGCATCGCTACAGATCTGTGAGCGATGCCACGACCTAATCCATCATAACAAGGGAGTTCCCGCCCCCTCCCCTTCTATCGATTCCATCGGAGCTCTTCTGGACGAGTCGCCGCATCGAGACAACCGTATCTTCCACATTGTAGATGCTGCCGACTTTCCGATGTCTATGATTCCGAATATCTACGACGCACTGTCTATTCAAAAGCAGCGCTCTCACAATCGAAGGTCTGAACCAACGAAATACAGAGGAGGGAAGAAGCTACCCACCATTTCCTTCATCATCACACGGTCAGATCTTTTAGCAGCGACAAAGGAACTCGTTGATGGGAAGATGGAATACATGAGAACGGTTCTCCGTGAAGCGCTTAGCAAACGGGAAGATTTTCGTCTGGGGAACATTCACATGGTCAGCGCCCAGCGGGGGTGGTGGACAAAGACTGTCAAGGAAGAGATCCGAGAGCACGGCGGGGGGGTTTGGGTGGTCGGTAAGGCGAATGTCGGCAAGAGCAGCTTCATCGAAACCTGTTTCCCCAAAGACTCCAAGAACTTGGGAAACCTGGAAAAAGCGGTGCAACCTCACCGGGACGAAACCCACATCAAAGAGCAGCATGCTTCCGCCCTTCTTGATACTGGGGGTCTCTTGCCACCGGCACCTCGGGAAGACCGATATCCCATGCTTCCCACTGTATCATCGTTACCAGGCACTACGGTCTCACCGATCCGAATTCCGTTTGGGCGTGGAAAGGGGGAGGTGATCGATCTGCCGGGCCTCGACCGCGGGAGTCTGGTGAACTTTGTTCGTGAGGAGCACCAGCGCAAGTTGATCATGACGAAGCGGAAGAAGCCCGAGCAGCTGACGATCAAGCCGGGACAATCCCTGATCCTGGGAGGCGGACTTATCCGGATCACACCCGTCGACCCGGTCGGTGTCACGCTGGCGGCGTGCTTCCTGGACCTCGAATCACACGTGACGAAGACGGAGAAGGCTCTCGAGATGGTCGCCGGACAGCGGGAGTACCCTGGTGAGGTGATCATGGCAGAAGGCGCTGGAAGCGAGATGGCTTCTGCCGGAAAATTTGAGCTACAATGGGATGTGACCAAATCGTATATCCCGCGACCAATACAGCAACGCATGAAGAAGAGTGACTACGAGCCGCGTCCGCTCCCTTACAAAGTGATGTCGGCTGACATCCTTGTCGAGGGCTGCGGGTGGATCGAGCTGACCGCGCAGGTGCGGACCAAGACACAGACCGACGCCGAACCTAGCTTCCCGCGAGTGGAAGTGTTCAGTCCGCAGGGCAAGTCGATCGGGTACCGGCGACCGATTGAGTGCTTCACGCACATTGCCGAGAAGAGGGCGATGGACCGCCGCAAGGCCGGCCCTCGAGGACGACAGAGCATCAGTCGGAAGAAACGGATCCTTGGGTCTCAGATGGCTGCTGTCCGCAGTGTTTTGAATGTTTTTTGATGGCCTATGCCAAACCTCGACTTCATCTGTACTATATCAGTGTATCATACTTTGTATCATAACTGTAGAAATCCAACTAGTTCATATACCTAGATATGAATTATTGACTACCTCATCTACTTGGGTGTACAGTGTAAAGTGTACACTGTACACTGTACACTGTACACTCATTGCTCAAGCTAATCTGTCACGTGACTGCGGCCAAAAATCGACTCGGTGCATGGACAGGAACAAAGTCAAGTATATCACCCGATTCCCTCCCACCACCTCCTTTACATTATTCTTTTTGATTTATTTTTGATTCATTTCTGTTAGAAGCCCATCGCCATGGTGAACATATTTAAGCGGATCCATAAGCTCCGAGCAGTGAGTCACATCTAAACATCTTACATCTTACCAGACACTGAACTAACGGTTGAGCAGAAAGTATGCCATGAACAATTGAAGAGAATATGAATAGGAGATCTCAATGCTAACCATGTAGCTGCTGAACGTCCGCATCGGCCCCGGAGCAGCAACCCTCCCGAGCAGCTCGACGGCAACGAAAGATTTCCCGCCCATCACACGGCTGCACCTCACATACGCGCGCAAGATCTACGGCGGCCACCAAGGCGCACGACACTTCTGGCGCGAATGCCTCCCCCGATTGAAATATTATAACCCTGGCGTTTCGATGAGCGTCAAGCAGACGACCGAGCAAGACGGACCAGCCACGTTAACCATTTACTTTGACGGAGAGGTCAGCAAGACATCTTCATCAGGAGGAGGAGCAGGAGGAGCAGGGGCAGAAACAGACGGATACGCTCCCGCTGCGACATCCACCGAGAAGACGGCAAGCATCAATCTCAAGGATCTGGATTATCAGGAGATCTGGCGGCGGGTGCAGGCCGTCACGGGCGCGAGTGCCGTCCCGTCTAAACCGGAGGAAGAGGCGGAGATGGCGCGCTACAAGGCTTTGCGTGGCAAGGCGCAGGAAGATAGAGCGCGGGTAGCCTCCATCCGGCAGACGAAGAGGGATCAAGAGCGTATGTTGCTTGAGGCGAGGGGGGAGGTCGAAAGACTCCGACAGGCATGATCTCTTTATTTACCATGTAAAATATTTTCTTTAGCATGTAAAACATTTTTAGCATGTATAACTCACTGAACTGTATACTCACTGAACTATATAATCAATAAACTGTATACTCAACTGAGCTGTTAATACTTAATTCCTATCGGGTATATACAAGTGTACAAAAACTGCGCCATCTATACAATCATGCTAGAAGATAAGAAAAAAGAAAGAAAAAAAGAAAAACGCTATTATTCCTCCGGGATGTAGCTGGTTTCCCCCAGCATGGCCTGCCCCGAAGACACGGTGGGCGTGGTAGGACGCGGCTGCGGGGATGTGGTGGTAGATAAATGAGGCGCTGGTTGCACTCTGCTGGCCGCAGCAGAGGAGGCGGCCTGAAGGCGTTGGTCGAGGGCGCGAAGGGCGAGGGCGCGGCGTCGCTCGGCTTCTTCACGTTTGCCGGACCCGCGGACACCAGCACCAACACCAGCACCGCTGCTGCCGCCGCCGGGGCGACCAATGCTCAGGAGGTTGGGAAGGCCGGCCTCGCCCCTGGCCAGAGCCTGCTGGTTGCCCGAGGCGATGTCTTCTTCGGAAAACGGGGTGCAGAGTTTGATGGCGACTAGCAGGGCGTAGATCTGGTCGGCGACAAAGGCAATGGGCGGCTGGATCACATCCGGAAAGAGACATGCAAAGGTAAAGGTCTCGCTGGGGTCGCCCTTGATGCCCAGGCCGCCGGTGGCGGTGCCTGTGAGGTCCGGCTGGCGCTTGTAGAAGCGCAGGTATGTCCAGCTGGTCAACAGGCCGAGCCAGGCGAGCACGGCGGCCGTGTCGGTGCCGATCAGAAGGCCGCTTAGGGTGTTGAGGAGGAGGAAGAGGGCGGGGAAGTGCTTGACGCGCATCTTTATGAAGCCCTTGTAAACGGCGACGGTATGTTCGGGAACAAGCTGCTTAAAGGCGACGAGGAAGGACGCCTGGATGGAAACCCCGCCGCAGATTTGGGTGAGACTACCGTTGCGTTAGCGATACGAAAGATCTATCTATGTAAAGGGGAACAATTGTAGATATACACACCCTCTGGCCGTGTCTGCCGTGATCCCACCCCAGAGAAGATACAGCGGGAGGATGCACAGGCTCGGGATGAGCGCGACGAGCAAGATGAATTTGCCAAACTCGCGTGACCCCCAGGCGCGCTCAAGATACTTGCCCCCGTAGAACAGAGTGGCGCCGTTGAGCAAGACGGTGAAGATGTTCTGTTCGACAAAGGTCGCCGTGAGCAGGGTCCAGGGGAAATAGATGACGAGCGAGGGAACGAGAGTCAGGTAGGGGATGATGGGCGTCTCGAGGGGCTCGCCGGCCTTGGGAGGTTCCAGCTGGCGCCAGCGGGCGATGTTGTACAGCAAGGACAGCGCCAGCAGGGCGAAGAGAAAGGCCCTGGTGGCCGGTGGCAGGTTGACTCGGAGCGGCATGGTGTGGACAAGAGAATGGCAGACGATGCCGGGTCGCTGGCAGGAGCGTCGCCCGTTGAGAATGGGCGAGAAGGAAGCCTGGACTGTGTTGAGGTGATGATGGATGGGCGGTGTTTTGCTGGGCAGCCGCCAAGACAGGAGTTCAGCCTCAGGTATCAATTTACTGAAGTACTTGAAAGTCTTGACAGCTTAGAATACTCGAGGCTGTTCCACGATGATTTGATGGTTTGATGGTTTGATGTTTTACATTATACTATAGCTCTAAATAAGCTACACAGTGGTATCACCAAGACCTATAGAATTCAGGCATAAGTTGATGTGGACCAGGTTCTAGAAGTAGTGAAAAGATATGTATATGTACTAGAAAATATCACTTAAGATAATTAAGTTTCTTTACAGTAGAGTATGTCTTATGTAGACTCTTATAGTATAGTAATAAGTATTCTATATCATATTTATTATCAACTAATAATTGGCATTAGATACCATTAATAATTTTAGTTCTTTATGAATAATGTCATTAGTGAAGTAATACTATATTATAAAAATTCTAGTAAGATCCTCTGTATTGTACTAACAGTAACCAAGATTATCACTCTAACAAGGTTACAGTACCTCCTACCTTAGGTACTTACCTGGTAGTTATCAGGTAGTTACCTACTTAGAGGTACTCCGTACCCGAAGATGAGATCGTTAAATCTGCTTTTACTTCCTAACTCTGACTTCATCTCAGATAAATCAGCAGACTTAGGCACCTAGTATCGAGTATTGTATCTATATACTCCGTACTACAAATAATAAAAAAGGTAATAAGCAGTAATACGAGACGCCGATCACCCAATCCGGCGGTTGGCTGTGGTGCTCCCCGCGAAGAAGAAGCGTTCCTCTTGGACTGCAGCAAACCTTCCGCCTGTCGCTAGCGGGTCTGCCATCTCAAGCCACACGTTGGCGTCGATTTTCTGTCTTGACTCTTTGAGCCTTGAGCTTTCAACTTTCTAGCCTCTCTCTCTCTCTCTCTCTCTCTCTCTCTCTCGCCCTCAGCTGGACTAGTCCTGTTCCTACTAGTCTCGACCCTGCCGTTGCTGCACCCACTTCCACTCCCCCAGTCCCAAATCCTTGGCCGGCCGTCGGCAAATCTTCAACTGTTCCAATCTTCAAACACCCTGCGCTCTCTCCCTCCCTTTCTCTCTCTTTCTCTCTTTCTTTCTCTTACTCCATTTGACTCTTTTTGATCCTCTTCGATCTTCCGCTTTTGCATTTGTATCCTTCTGCCTCCCCTCTACTACCCCTTCTGAATACCGACTCCCCTTTTGACACCCTTTTGACACCTTCTCTCACAACCCTCGCGCGCACGCTTCCTCCGTGGATCAAACCGCCGCGCCAACCTTCTCTCTCCCTCTCCCTCCCTCCATCTTCCCATCTCTCCATCTCTCCATCGCTCTCTATCTTCTTCCCTCTCCCTTTTCTATCGCCTCTGGCATGATTGCGGCGCCTGACCTTGACTACTGGTGACACATGTAACGATGGCGTCTCCCGACCTGACATCCCACCATGTCAACTATCTAATATGGAGGTGTGTCGCAATCTCGTTCCGCGTCGAATCCCTACCCGTTGAGGCCTTGCTGACCGAATCTCCCAGGTACCTTCAAGAATCAGGTTGGTCACGTCTTTTTCTTCTGAAACCCATTTCTTCTCTTCTAATTTCCTTATTTTCCTTCTTCTTCTTCTTCTTCTTCTTTTTCTTCTCGTCTGTGTCGGTTGCCTTGCTAACCGGAGCAGGACATGGTGAGGCTGCAGTCTTGCTGCAGCGCGCATGGTATCACGATCCCCAGAGCTTGCCCTTTGCGCCCTACATTAAGACGCACGCCCTGGTCTCCCTTGTCCAGAAGGGCCTACAATACCACGAGCTCGAGCACTCTCTTGACAAGGTATTTCTTTCTTCTTTCTTTCTTACTTGTTAATTGTCTTTTTTTTTTAAAAAAAAAAAAATTCTTTTTCTTTTTCATTTCATTTTTTTTTTCATTATATTTTTTCATTATTTTTTTTTTCATTATTTGGTTTTTAAATTATTGGTTTTATTTATTCATTGTCATGTTGATTTTATTAGGATGGTAACCCGACTCTCTTTTCCCCCTCTGACTATTTCTTCGGCCCTGCACAGCTGCAGCCTGAAGTGCTGAAAAGTCACGGCGGCGGCGCTGGCCAGCCGGCGCTCTCGCCTCAGGCCGCCACAAAATCTACCCGGGACGGCGGCGTGATCAACGGCCATTCGACTTCCGAGGCGGGTCCCCTGCTTCCGACCGCGAAGAAACCCCGTAAGGTCCAGGGCGATGACGGCGCGAGCATGGATGTCGATTCCAACGGCGTTACTCACCAAGTCGCAGCTGCCGCCGAGGGTTTACCACCGGCCACCGCGACCACCACGACCACCGCATCCCCTCCACCCGCAGCGGTGCTGGTGGACGGCGACGGGGATGTGAGCATGGACGCCGCCCAGGATCAGGAACCACTGCAAGCGCAAGCGCAACCGCCGCCGGCGCCGGCGGTCACGCTGGTCACGGGCCAGAGCGTCGGTGTCCAGGCCACCCCCGCCAAGGCTGCTGACCTCAGCCCCGACACCGCCATATTCGATGTGGCGCCTCAAACAGCGCACGTGACCCGCACCCTGTGGCGCCCGCGCGATGCCACCGCGGTCGTGGCCGCCGGCGAGGCCTTCTGCGACCTGTGGCACCTCCCCTCCTCCTCTGCCCCGTCGCGAGAGACCTTGGGGGACCCGTCCAAGGATGTCTCCGCGGTCGCCTGGCACCCCTCGGGCCACAAGCTGGCTGTCGCGACCTACCAAGACATGCGCGGCTCCATCACCATGTACGACGTCCAGGGCGCCGCGGTGGACCTGCTGCCCGAAGTGCCCCGTATGATCACCGGCCTCCACTGGGATGACCATGGTGCCAATCTCGTCGTCGTCGCCTCGGACGGCCGCATCTCGGAACTGGCCTTGTGGGATGATTCCTTGCGGCCCGACGAGTTCCCTCCGCCGCAGACCATCGACGGCTCCATCTATGACTTCACCTGGTCCGATCACCCCAACCAGGCGTTTGCCTGCGGTGACGGCGTGGTCTACCAGTTCGATGTCGACTCCCGCGTCCATACCGCTCGGACCTTTACCTCATCCGATCGTCCTGAGACCTCCTGGACATTCATCCGCTGTGCCAAGCGAGGAGGAGGAGGAGGAGGAGGAGGAGGAGGGCCCTCCACACCCTCTTCGCACGCCGTGGTGGCCACCGCAGCGTCGGCCACAGCCGACATCTGGATCCCGACCCATGACATGCGCATGCCGGACGCTCATCAAGGCGAAATCACGGCCATTGAATTCCAGCCCCAGACGACGCACGTGGTCTCCGTGTCCTCGTATCTCCTGGCCTCCGCGTCGACTGACGATTCGGTCAAGATCTGGATCGTCGACCTTGACGCCAAGCGCTTTGAGTGTATCCACCGTTTGTTCCTCGGCCCCTCGTTGCCCGCTCTGGCACTCGGCTTCTCGCCCGATGGATATGCACTCGCTTCGGCCAGTACCGATCGTCTTTTCATCTGGAACGTTGAGCGAGGGGGCACCCCGATGGCCACCTGGACGATTCCCAACATCAAAAAGGACGACAAGGGGCCCGACCGTGCGGTGAACGGCCATAACGGCACCGCAGATCTGATGCCAGATCGTTCTCTGTCATGGGATTCGGACGGCAAAAAGCTGGCTTTTGGATTTAATAACCAGGTTTGTGTCTTGGTCCCTCTGATTACATTTCGATTGCCACTTTTTCTAACGGGTGTTTTTCTATTTTCAGATGGCGGTCATCAATTTACAACGCTGAGTGTAGATGCGCGCGGCCTTGAGAGAGTGGAAACCCCATTTCGACAGCCTCACAGTTCCTGTCGATCTTTTTGTTTTGAGTATACTGACGATACCACTGCGAAAGACCTACTTTCCTCCCTGCGGGTAATGGAGGCATGATTTTACGTTTGCATAAAAGAAAGCGATCGAAGTTGCAATATGGTGTGTCGGCCGGCACTCGAGCACAAAAAATCACCAACACTTCGGTTTCGTTCATCAATTCAGGTCACCCCCCCCCCCCCCCTCTCTCCCAAAATTCTTAAATCGACCATCATTCCAAGATACATGGAAAAGCTACGAATGGCCCATTGTTTTTTTTTTCTCTTTCGCAGAATCTTCGATGTTAGGTTCTATATGAGGGCCTCAACCGACAAGGGGGGAGCAAACGAAATCGATGGCTCTCCAGAGCGATACTTTGAAAAAAAGTAAAGTAAAAGAGCAGGGAAGAAGAAGAAGAAGAGGAGGAGGAGGAAGAAAAAGGAAAACCTCCCTCCTATTCGGATTTCAATTTGGCAGCATTTCCTCATTTCTTGTGCAGTGAGACCAAGTCTTCTATCCCTGTGATCAACACTATGGAAAAATTACGCTCCAGTGATACATATTTACATTTATGCCCAGTCGCCAATTCGCCAATTCGCCGGCTTCGAATGAAACTGCACGAGCGAGGGGAACGCGAGTCCATCCCCATCCCGCCTTGCATCAACCTCAATCAACCCCTTTTTTCCCTTGTCGATATTGTATTTGCATAATTTATATTGGATTTCGCCATCATCATCACCAGCCGTCACCGATCAGCATGTCTCAATCGCTCGTCTCTTCTTAATCTGCGGCCTTGCTCTCTCAATCGAGAGCCTTCTTCTACATCCTTCCACCCTCGCATCCAAGCATTGATTCCTTCGACCAACACATCGCTCTCAGCATCCCTGGCATCCTCTGTTTTTCGTTTCCCCCATCGTCCGCGTTTGGCTGATGGCCGGGATGTACGCTTCGCCTCGGTCCAGCCATGTTGCATCTGCCACCCTTCGACCCACGATTCTAGTCCACGCACTGTGCCACGCAGTCCTTCCAGCTCGACTGAGTTTTCCTGCATACCCGTTTGTCTGTTCCGCGCAACATACCGGGTTAGGAGGAGGGGGACAAAAATAAAAGAGGGAAACCCCACGGAACAAACTCTACCGGATTGACTTACAGTTCATCCACTTCCTCTTCCAGCTCCACAATTCTTTCCTCTAAGCCTCGACATTTGCGACGGAAGGTTTTATAGATCTGGTTGGCCTCTTTACGTCGTTGCTGCAGACCTGTATGGAGCATGGTGACATCCTTGAGAAGGACTGTCAACTGTTGATGATCTGTCTTGGGTTCCATGACGGAGGGCGAACAATGGATGTCCGGAGCGAGCAAACCGACTGATTTCGTTATTGGTGGCGGTGTTGTTGTTGTTGTTGTTGTTATTGTTGTCCAAGACCGAGGACGTTGGGGTCGATATTTGATGACCTCGTTTGTGAGCTGGGCGCGCGGGTCCAAGACTGATTCGATGGCATCCAGGCAACGGTGGATGGTGACGGAGTCTTCTTGCGAAAAACCCGAGTGGGCGGCAACCTGTTGCATAATGACCGCGAGACGATCCGATACGGTTTCCGGGTTCAGGCCGAAGGTAATACCGGTGGTGGTAGTGGTAGTGGTAGTGGTGGCCTTTGATGTTGCGGAGTTGATCTCACTGGCGGAGTCGGTGGATGATGAACGGGAAAGCTGATCCTGACGCTCGAGGGTCTCCATATTGTGTAATATTTAGTCAAAAGTGATGGTAAAATAATGGATCGTGAGATGGTAAAATAATAATGAATAGACAGGTTACTGTACACCTCCTAGGAGAGTCATCCGATGGTCTAGTAGTAGTGGTAACTACCTAGGGTCTTCAGCTACTACTCTGGATCCAGCTTCGAGTGCAGATAAAAGGTAAATCCCAGGTATAGTCGGACACTTGGGTGGAATAAAGATTAGAAGATGGAGACCAGAGGATGAGTAACTGAACAACTTGGTCTGTCTGCAGTTGTTGACAACCTTGGAAGAAGAAGAATAAGAGCTGTTGAGCTGGTCTTGTTTTTCCGGCTATCGATAATGAATTCCAGCGCTAATCCCCTTGGGGAATATTCTGGTCGTCCAATGGCGGGTGCAGCACTCTTCACTCATTCTCCCTTCCCCTCCTTCTCATCTGCTTCTCCTCCTCCTCTCTGCTCTTCTTACTGCTTTTTCTTTCTTAATAATTAGATAGGATTGTGTCACAGGCTGTTGGCTTGTTCCTTTCAAGATGCCACCTCCAGTAAGAGAGAGAACAAAACCCCCTCATCTCCATTTTCTGGAAGGAAGTTGGAAGTTGGAAACTAAGATAACCAACCCTTCCTTAGATTGTGACTCCCTCCTTCGAGGTTGCGCGCGAGGTGGTCGCGAAGTCTAGAGCAGCCCAGTTCCCTCCTAACGTCCTGCCTATCACTGCTTCGGTGCCTGCCGATCTCTTGACCCCGACCCTGGCATATTTGAAGATTGCGGCGAAGTGAGTCACTCACACACCCTCTCAGGAAGTTCCTGTTACGGATTGCTCTCATTTATGGAGTACTAACTCTGTATCGTCGGATAGATCGGACTTGTCTTTTCTTTACGAGAGCGCGGCTACGACGGAGACGATCGGAAGATATAGTTTTGTGGGAGCAGGTATGCACATGAGCACTTCCCAGTTCTGCGAATAGTGGGGTTTATGTCGGTTGACTGAGTTTGGGCAGACCCGAGGAAGATTCTCAAGACCGGTCCTGGCCATGGGCCCGAATGTGATCCATTGCCCATCCTCGAGGCGGAACTGGGACAGTATCGCGTTGCGACGGTGCCCGGTCTGAAACTGCCCCCTCTGACGGGCGGGGCGATTGGTTACGTCGGATATGACTGCGTGCGCTACTTCGAGCCCAAGACGGCGCTGCCGGTGGAGGATGTGTTGGGTGTTCCCGAGTCGCTCTTCATGTTCTTCGATACCATCGTCGCCTTTGACCATTTCTTCCAGGTCGTGAAGATCATCACCTATGTGCCCATCCCGAGCGATGATGCCGAGCTTGAAGCGGCCTACCGCAAGGGTGAGGCGACGATCCAAACCACCATCACCACCCTCCTGAGTCCGGAGACTCCGTTGCCGCCCCAGGGCCCCATTATCCCCAACCAGGAATACACATCCAACATCGGCCGCGAAGGCTACGAGGCCCACGTGACCCGGCTGAAGCAGCACATCGCCAAGGGCGACATCTTCCAGACCGTCCCCTCCCAGCGCCTCTCGCGGCCCACCTCCCTCCACCCGTTCAACCTCTTCCGTCACCTGCGCAGCGTCAATCCTTCCCCTTACCTTTTCTACATCGACTGCAAGGACTTCCAGCTTGTTGGCGCCAGTCCGGAGCTGCTGGTCAAGGAGGAGAATGGGCGTATCATCACCCACCCCATTGCCGGAACGGTCAAGCGTGGAAAGACCCCCGAGGAGGACTTGTTACTGGCGGAGGAGCTGCGCAGTAGCCTCAAGGACCGCGCGGAACACGTCATGCTGGTCGATCTAGCTCGCAACGACGTCAACCGCGTGTGCGACCCTATGTCCACGCAGGTCGACCGGCTCATGGTTGTGGAGAAGTTTTCGCACGTGCAGCATCTCGTGTCGCAGGTCTCGGGCGTCCTTCGTCCCGACAAGACCCGCTTCGATGCCTTCCGCTCGATTTTCCCCGCGGGCACCGTCTCAGGGGCCCCCAAGGTCCGCGCCATGCAGCTGATCGCCGAGCTCGAGAAAGAGAAGCGCGGGGTTTATGCCGGTGCGGTTGGCTACTTTGGTTACAACATCTCCAGTGCGGACGGTACGACCGAGCTGCCCGGTGCGATGGACACGTGCATCGCCTTGCGCACGATGATGGTCAAGGACGGCGTCGCCTACCTCCAGGCGGGCGGCGGTATCGTCTTCGACTCGGACGAGTACGACGAATATATTGAGACGCTGAATAAGCTCGGCGCCAACATCGCTTGCATCAAGGGTGCCGAGGAAAAGTACCTGACTTTGGAGCGCGAGGCCCACCACCAGCTTTAAATGAAGGGATGACTTACAAAAAAAAAATGAAAAATTGTGGATAGATATATAACATGCAGGGTCATATAAAATTATGCTTCTATACCTATAGTCCTTAAACTGTGTAGATACTCCATAGTAACTAATAGTAGGTATGTATATTGTAGAGCCAAGACCGACACGAGGGCATCCACGATGACGTAATGAGATGCGTTGAATCTGCAACATGCGGAGAGGACAACGCACAGAGAAAAAGAAATACTTGAATATGCAGTATATTGTGTTACTGGTTTCTTCTATCTATATTGGGTACTTCTCTATTAGATGTGGTGTAGTTATGATTGTCGTCAAGAATGCTATAACCTAGAATACCTAGGTAACTAATTCACTGCCTAGTACTACTCTTACTACCACCTATTAAGTACAATAGCAATGAAAGAATGAGGTTTCTATAAGATATTAAAATATAGTATATAGTATATAAAATTTGTCTTTAATTGATAACTTTATTTCTCTGGTTACGCGCCATTGCCACCATGGCCACTCACTGCCACTGCCCAGCCCAGCCAGGCTTCAGTGTTCCACCGCCTCTCACGCCAGACCACAACCTGCGCTTCCCTCCGGCCATTGCCCCCCTCTCTGATCGACTTACCTCTGCCATCGCCGGATAGTCGGAACCCTCGATACCTGACGACAGAGAAGCCCGACGCCATAGAAAGAAGAGTCAAAGGACAAGGCGATCAAAGAAAGAAAGAAAAAATAAACCCCTTTCCCGAGAGAATTTCTCTTTGAACCTCATCACCTCGTCGAGCTGCACCTGCGCCGATAAGGAGAGGTGGGCTGCTGAACGACAAGACACCCTTGCAGCATCTCCTCATTGCCAAGTGCCATTCGATTATTCGATAGATAGAGAGAGAAGATCGATTTTCCCTCGAAAGGAAAAAAAAAAAAGAAAGAAAACCGATTCGCTTTTCTAGAAGTCCGTCTCCTATTTGTTCCTTCAGGATGTCCAAGGTCGTGCGGAGCGTCAAGAACGTCACCAAGGGGTACTCGTCGGTACAGGTTAAAGTGCGAAATGGTATGTCATATTCATCATTCTTTCCCAGTGGTGTTCTTCCATGGCTAACACGTTCAATAGCGACGAGTAATGATCCATGGGGGCCCACGGGCACCGACATGGCGGAGATTGCGTCCATGACATTCGGCAGGTGCGTTCCTTCGCTTGCTCTGGGGGAATATCTTTCTTATGTTAATTGTTTGGTTCTTCTCTGATTTCTCGATAGCCCTACCGATTTCTACGAGATCATGGATATGCTGGATAAGCGGTTGAATGATAAGGGCAAGAACTGGCGACACGTGCTCAAATCGTTAAAGGTCCTGGATTACTGTCTGCACGAGGGTTCCGAGTTGGTCGTCACATGGGCCCGGAAGAATGTCTATATTATCAAAACCTTGCGCGAGTTCCAGTACGTCGACGAGGACAGCCGTGATGTCGGCCAGAATGGTAAGTCTCTCTTGCTGATGAGGTTTCTGTCGGTCGCTAATAATGGTAATAGTTCGCGTCGCCGCGAGGGAACTTACTACCCTCATTCTGGACGAAGACAGACTGCGCAGCGAACGATCCGACCGTAAACTATGGAAGACGCGTGTGAGCGGACTGGACGAAGGCCACGGTGGCTTCGGCAACGATCCCCCCCATCGTTCGGACCGGCGCGACCGCCGACGCCACAACAACGACGAAGAGGATGTTGAGTATCGCTTGGCGATAGAAGCCAGCAAACACGAAGCCGAAGAGGAGCGTAAGCGACGGGACAAGGCCGCCATGTCGCAGGATGACGAAGATCTGGCCAAGGCGATCAGGCTGAGCAGGGAGGAAGAAGAACTGCGCAAGCGCGAGCTGGAGGAGAGCAACGCCAAGTCGCTCTTCGATGAAGCGCCCGCCCAGCCCGCCCAGCCCACGGGATACAATCAGGGCTACCAGCAGCAAAGCGCCGTCGACTGGTTCGGCAACCCGATTAACCCGCAGCAGCCACTGACCACCGGCTACCTGAACAACCAGTATGCGCAGGCGACCGGTTTCCAGCAACAGGCAACCGGCATGCCCAACAGCTACGCGAACGGCTTCCAGCAGCAGCCGCAGCAGCAGCAGCAGACCGCGTTCGATCAGTCTCAGTACGGCCAGTACCAGACCAATAACTTCTTGCAACCTCAGGCGACTCTGCAGCCCCAACAGACCGCTTTCATTGCCAACAACCCGTATGGAACGGACGCCTACTCGCAGCAGCAGCAACAGCAGCACCAGCTACAGCTACCTCAGGAGAATTTTCAATCGGCAGGTAGCAACAATCCATGGGCTGCCAACCATCAACAAGATCCTCTCAGGCCCATGCCCACCGGATCTAACAACCCCTTTGCGGCTCGTGGCTCAGGTCAACAACAGCAGCAACAGCAACAGCACTCGATCGGTCTGCAGAGTAACCCGTACCAGACGACCATTCCAACCCTCAACAGTCTGGCCGAGGAGCGCGCAACCAACCAGTTCACCTCGCCGAACCCGATCGCCAACTTCCAGGCTCCGGCGCCGCCGAAGAGCACCCCCCCACAAATGCAGGACCCGCACCACGCCCGTCTCAACGCCCTCCTGGCAAGCGGAGAGGGTCAAGACACCTTTGGCAACGTCGGAGACCTGCGCATCCCCGCGCAACACACTGCCCCGGGGACATTCGTCAACTCTGCCGGCCAAGGTCTGGACCGCCTCCACTCCACGCAGACTGGCAATCCTTTCTTCCGCCAACAGTATACTGGCGTGCCGCAACAGACCGCAAACCCGTGGAACTCGCAGCAGTCCTATCAACAACCGCAGCATGGTGGCAGCCTGATTGACTTGTAAATAGCCCCTCCTGTCATGTTTCTGTCTTGTCTGGAATCAATCCTTTTCTTGGACAAAAATCCCGAGCATAGCAGTACAATACCCCTTCCCCCCCCCATGACATTACCCTGTCATTTATTTATTGAGATTCCATTGGAGCAACGTGATCGGATCTGATACCATGGTGCCTTTTTTTTTTTTCTGTTTGTTTGTTTTTGCTTGCTTGCTTGTCTTTGTTGCTGTCCCATTCTCCAAGCTGACTTTCTCTCACCCTTTTCTCTATTTTCATTTGTCTACAATTTCCTATCCTTCTCTTAAGTCTATCTCGATACTGCTGTGGTTTTTATACTTGACTTTCTACTCCCAATCATCGTCACCTCCAATAAGTCAATCTGGGATTCCCTTTTCTTTTCTTCTTTTTTCTCTTCTTCTTCTTCTTCTTGCACATCCTAGATATCATGTCCAAGCATGAAAAATGGTATCTGGTATCTACTCGTAGAAAGATGTATATAGCAATGGTTAGATAGATGATGTTCTGTTAGCCTATGGAATATTGAACATATCAGTCCAGTAAGCAAAATTCTAACATTGATGTCAAGTACCTAATATTCAAGACCATCGCCGACTGAATATAATCTTACCTATATTGAATTCTTTTTAAAGGAAATGGGATAACTACATATCTACCAACTACTAGTTATAGATGTATTAGAGTTGAATAAATTATTTCTTTACAACTAAACCGCCAATGATACACGCAATGATACAATGCAAGAGAAGTGGATTACAGTATAATAGTATACCCACTACCAGAAAAAAAATAATACCTTGAACAAGCCTCTGCAAGTTTCAACCCCCCCGTTCACCATACTGGCGCGCCCACTCCTCATACTCCTTAAGTCCGTCCTTGCTGACGCTCGGCCGGATGGAATACAGACTCGCCTCAAAGTCCTGGAAGCGGATCGGCCGGATCTGGTCCATGGGCGTGTGCAGTAGTGCTTCACCTAGGTTGCGGAGCGGGCCCATGGCGGCATCCTTTGCGAGGGCTGTGATGTCTGATCCGGAGAAGCCTGACAATTAGCACACACACACACACACAAACACATATGTGTATATATATGAACAAAGGGGAAAGGGAAATGTAGGTACCATCTATGACATGAACTAGGACCTCGATATCTTCATCTGTAAGCTCGTGTTTCTGGTGACTGAGTAATCGGCGCAGTTGTTCCTCGCGGACTTTATGTTCCGGTAAGGGGATATATTGCCGACGGACAAACCGGCGGCGGGCGGCCTCGTCAATATCCCAGGGCAAGTTTGTGGCGGCGAGGACGAGCACGCGGGTAGCGTCGCCTTCTTTCTTCTCGCGGCCGGCGGCGGCGCGCTGGAGATCGGACCACTGGATGAGGAACTCTGTCTTAGAGCGGCGCGAGGCTTCGTGTTCGGAGCCGGAGGATCGCGAAGAGAGCAGCGAGTCGATCTCGTCGACGAAGATGATCGACGGCGCGAGGGCCTTGGCGAGGCTAAAAAGTGCGCGGACCAGCTTCTCGCTTTCGCCGTGCCATTTGGACGTCAGTGTCGACGCAGACACGGAGAAGAAGGTCGACTTGGACTCCGTGGCGACGGCGCGCGCCAGCATCGTCTTGCCCGTGCCGGGCGGGCCGAAGAGCAGCATCCCGCGCGCCGGTTCCCGTAGGCCCGAGAACAGGTCCGGGCGCAGGAACGGGTAGACGACCGCTTCCTTGAGGGCCTTCTTTGCGGCGTCGAGTCCCGCAATATCGTCCCAGTGCACCTCGTCGCCGCGCACGACAATATCGTTGAGGATCTGCCGCGCAGCAGCTATATCCACCCCCTTGGGCAGTTTCTGCATGATCTTGAAGATGTCGCCATCCCCTTCATCCGACGATTCCCCCCGGTCAGATGACTCCTGGTCACTGGACGGCGGCGTGATCTTGGGTTTGGCCTGCGGACTGCGCCGAGGCGTCCCAGTGCTGCTGCTACTCTGCTTCGGATTCGCAAGAGACAAGTTCCGGACCGCAGGAGTTAGCTCATCTGGCTTCCTGCTGTCGCCCGGTGCACTGCGTTGTGTGGTTGTGTGGTTCGTCTGGCTCTTGCTAGATGAACGCACACGGTAGCCGGCATCAACACTATTCTCTGCCGGCAAGGTTGGTGATCTTCGGCTGGATGGTTGCTTCGGAGATCTCAGGGCAACTGGCTTCGGCTTGATCGTCGGTCTGGGGGAAGGGCTAGGGATAGAACGATGCTCCTTGGGAGTGGTATCGATCGCGTACGGGAACGATGCGGATCCACGACGGCCCTCCGACCGGGGGGTTGATGGCTGCGGGATTGGCGTCATAGTGGAGGATGTCCGACGAGCGGAGCGGTGCAGCGCACTACTGGGCTCCCGCCAGTTCCAGCTGGGGATGCTGTCGTCCGGGTCTTCCGCTCGACCGGCAACCTTCTTCCTCGGTTTCTCATCACTTGACCGGGCTTTTTGGTCTTGATCTCTGCTGCGGGTTGGACCAGAATCGCTGGAAACGCTATGGTGGGAAGACGCCAGCGCTGCCTCACTGGCGGACTTCTCCATCGGCGGGGACGGATACAGACTACCCCAGGCCAGGCCGGCCGCCTTGGATGCGGCCGGCCGCAGGTCCTTTCGTTTCGGGCTGTCCTTCTTTTTGATATGCTTCTTCGCATCCGCGCTGCGCAACGTGGTCAACATCGGCTTGCGTCTATCAGGGCTGGAGCCACGGGATTTGCCCGACGAGTTATTCGACTGCACACGCAGGGCGGGGGCATTCGACGACTCCAAGAACGCACCCCTTCCTTCATCAGCGGCATTAGTGGTATTCTGAATCGATTCGGAGCTCCTCTTGGATACCACGGGCGGTGGTCGTCCCGGCAGGGTCTGCGGCTTGGAGAGGTCATCGTAGTCGACGGCCGGGATCGTGCCATCACCAATCCATCCCGGGGAAGCACCGGCACCAGCACCAGCACCAGTAGGACCAGCCCCAGCAGCACTGACAGCAGCAGCGGCAGAAGCAGCAACAACAACAGCTTTCTGGATTGTATTCTTCCCCTTCAAGACGCCCTCCCTCTTGCCCCCGGCCGCCTCACCGCCTTCTTTCTCTTGTGCCTCCCTTCGACTCTCCCGTAGTGCTTCAAGCAGGTCGACTCGTTCTCGACACTGCACCTCCAGGGCTCGGATGGAATCCTGCAGGGCCTTCTCCGTCTCCGTTTTGGCAACATACGTCGCCGGGACCCGGTAAGCATTGTGGTAGTATATCGTCTCGAGGGCGTTCCGCCATGACCTCAAAGCCTCTTCTTCATTATTCTAAAGACACCGAACCATGAAAAAAAAACATCAGCATCAAATATGATATGGTAGCGATCAAAGGAAATCTGTATACCTGCCCCTCAAAGTAAACGGCAGTAGAGCACATGAGATAGCACTCATCGTACGTCTTCTGCAGAGAGGACGCCGCGGGCCTGGAGCGCATCATTGATGCAACCACGTGCAGGCCGGCCTGCACAATCCATACGAAAACCCGACCAGTCGAAGAGAGGAGAAGGAGAGAGACAAAACTATGTAGTCAAATGTGTATCTGATTGCTGCGGTGTCGTTTTTCTAGGTGCAACTCGGTGAGATCATTCTGGTGGTCCGGTTATCTTCCCACGAGAGAGGGGGCCCGTTTTTTCGCAGGGATCTCGCGTGACGTCGTTGGTTAATGGGTCGAGAGTCGACACCGCTTTCTGCAACCGGGCATCATATATTACTATACTCCGAAGGATTTATGTATATATATATATATATATAGACTGTTGAAGACATTTAAACATCAAACTATTGGTAGAATATATTTTGTGTATGCATTGATACTATACAGAGTTGAGAGTAGTGAAATGCCACCGGGTGCCTTGCCATGTGCGAAATCAATGTCTATCAGTACATGGTCGGAATGGAAAAAAAAAAGAGAAACCTCAAAAAACAACAGAGACACAGAACAAATATTACTAAGGCATCGATATCGTTTAACCCCCAGAATATAAACCCGCAGTCGAGTTTCCTTCCGTTTCAACGCCAGGACGAAAAGCTAGATTCATTGGCAACATGATGATCAAATGTCACGCTTCCGAATGGTCATCATTCCGTCCAGATGTCTAAGCTCAAAACCACAACAGTACGTTTCAAACATGCATTTCCAGAATCGAGAAAATGAGACCCGGGGAAGAGGCACATGTCGCGTGCTCCTCTGGGTTCAAAAAAGGAGGTCCTGTTCCTGGGACGGACCTCCACGATCATTGGAAGAGGGTGCTCCCGCCTGGAGAGAGAGAAAGAGTGAGGTGAAGGAGAAGGAAAAAAGAAAAAAAGAAAAAGACAAAATCATGGAGCATAGGCGAGAGTGCAGAGAGCGAAAAGCCAGCCCGGGCGGTGATGAGTAGCCGTCATGGAGTGGCCCGTCGCGCGGGCAAATCCAGCCGGTGCAAGGTCTCGATTCGCTCTTCCGTACTCAAAAACGTTCAGTTATCGCCCATTTGGCCCTTGAAATATGCCTTTGCCATTTCATAGGATGTCCTGTGAAAGACAGAGTTTAGCAATCTTGATCTAAGAGGAGTTCACTGCCTGGGAGAAGATAAAACTTACCAGCAAATCGCAGTGCTGGGCATGGTCGAGATGATGCGAGGGCGCAATCCACGCAGGAAGCCGCCCCAGCCGAACTGGCGCTTGATAATGGCGGCAGCGTTGAACAAACCCTTGGCGGAGCGGATCTCCTGGTCCTGAGCCAGGCCACGGGTCTGCAGAAGGGTCTTGATCACATCGAGCGGTGTGGTGATACCGGCCGCAACGGCACCGGCAAGACCACCGGCAATGCAGTGGGTAAAGGGGTCATAGTCTCCTCGCGGGTTCATAACCTTGGAGATTGACTCATAGGCCATGAACTGGGTCGCAGTGAAGGGGATTGTCATGCATAGTGTTGTGGGGTAGGAGACGTAAAAAGCGTGGAGACCTTCAGTCCGGTAGACCGTTCTCGCGCATTGGAAGATCGTCTTGTGTATGGAGCCGTGAACCTGCATCCGCTGCTTGATGACTAGTCTGAATTAGCAGACGACAACTGTGAAACGGCGATTCAAAGAAGAAGGCTAGTCATACCATCGAAAGGGTTCATCAGGGCATCGCTGGCAATCGTGGCCGAGGCTCCACTTAAAGCTTTTGAGAGAAAAGAAAGTCAGTCGTTTTCTTCCGTGTAGAATATATATCTAGAAAAAAAACATACCGGCAGCAAACGGGTGGTGGCCATCGTCGACATTCCCGCCTGCCAGGTCCTTAACAATCTCATATGTACCAAAGTAGACTGCATGAGCGGGGCCCGCGCCGACAATGACACTCGAGACACCCTTCCACAGTGTTCGCCAGCCCTCGATACGATAGATTGTGGAAACAGCGTTGGTCAAACCGGTGTATAAGCCTCCGTTGGCAGGGTGTAAGATTTGCATGCGGGTCTAGCGCAGGGAAAATCACCGTTAGTTGGGAGAAAGGGCTCGATAAGTATCAGCCATGCAACGTACCTTTAATAAATCTACAGGATACATGACAGAGTGTTCCTTTTATCGACTGTCAGTATATCTGTTCACGCTTTTCCCGGTCCCTTTTTTTTTCTCTGTCTTCAAGACCGGTGACCGGCTGCCATCAACATACCGCAATCCCTGCAAATGCACCTGCTAACATATTGGCGCCTAGGCCATAGTTGGAAGGGAGGGCCTCATATCTATAAGAAACGGTATCAGCGGGTGATCTTGATCGTATTATCTCCATGTATTTTTATATATCTCTTGTGCCGGACCGCGGCCCGAAGCCAATATGGAGGGATGGGATGGACAACATACTCAAACTCCTGCCCCGGGATCTGTTCTGGAGCCGCCATCGAGCACTATATAGCTCAGAGCGCAGCCGAAGCCGCGTACGTGCACCTGGGATAGTTTTGGGTTGGGTTCCTGGTGGTTTTTTGGTCCTTCTCGTGCAGGCGCAGAGACCGAGCGACGGGCGGCGAAAGGAGAGCAGGACTGGGACAAGAAGAGGGTCGGGAGTTCGGAGCGGTGGAATTTTCAGAGGGCGAGAGGAGAGGAGAGGAGAGGAGAGGGTAGACGGCCGCTATCAATGGGTCGGAGGAGGAAGAAAAGTTGGAAGAATACGCCCAAGAGTTCGGGGAAAAATCCTGACGCTCTTGTCTTTTTGGAGCTGTCCCTTAGTAGCCACGAGCGCTAGTTACGGTGGAAATTTATGACGGGGTTTCGCGCGGAGCCCGCTCGGTATCAGTCAGACAAAAGGGAAAAACGACTGAAAGTTATGAAACATTTATTCCAGATGTACAGGTACCTGTGTAGTAGGTATGGAGTATACCTAGGTAGGCTGTTACCTAATATCTCAATACTGGGTATTTTCATCTGATAATTTTATTTAATCTGATGATCTAGAGACCTGGTCATGACTCCCAAGACCCATATCTGACTGACTACGTGTTAGATTTGCTATCTTGCTATCAGCACTGTAGTAGTAACTACTAACTATCTAGTCTAGGCTCTTCATCTCTCTTTGAGTAGTAATCTGGAGCCTGTATTCCTCATAACTCTATCCTTCTGCAGGACTAGACAAGAGTCTGTTTAGTGTTTACTGTAGTATGCAAAGTCCGATGACGGAGCGGCGTATTGTACGCGGCATACACGTATTATTCACCCCGGCAGGTCCGCGGATCTCCTCTAGGTTTACGGAGTACATAGTAGTTAGTTAACTACTTACCAGGCTATGTTGACTAGTTCATTAAGTTTTTACTAGTGATTTACTATAGAGTAGAAACTAGCCTGCTTCTAGACTCTAGTGCTCACTAAGCCAAGGTAGGACTGAAGGTATCCGCAGATTTTGTAGAGACTCCTACGGAGTAGTTACTACCTACGATCGGAGGACAGATACAGCCTCATATATACAAGTAACTGCTTTTCAAATATTCTAGCTACTCCGTACCTAGTTGTGTTCTTCGCAAATTAAGCCATACCTATACCATTATTGTTCTGTACCGAGACAACCATTAGAACATGCTGGCTACATCCGCCGTCAGTCCGCTCCCCTATCTCCGAACTGCGGAGGAAAACTCCTATATAGGCGACTTGTTTTCTCCGAAGACTACTCAAGTAGGTATTCCCGAGCAAATCCACACAAACTACCAAGGATTGCAGAGGCGTATGAGAGATTCTCCAGAATTCTAACCCCATACTAATTTTTTTTTTTAAAAAAAAAAAAAAAACCAACGAATAACTAGCTATCAGTAAATAATCCTCACAGTCTGCCCAGGTAGGTAAGGACCCGGAGTTCGACTCTCTCCTCCGGTTTCCATCTGTTCTACGCTAACCATCAGATTCTTGGCCGCGGGCAAGGACACGATTGGATGGTTCTTATCTGATCTATTCAAATGGTGAGGAAGAAACATCAAAAGGAGGTACTAGTAGTACTATCAGAATAGACAGGGTTCTTATTGTAGTAGTACTAACTAATTAGTCTAGTTTTATTCCGTACCTCCAGGCCAGACACTGCATCAACTAATCAATTATCAAGTAAGATATATTAAATGATTGGTAAAAAAAAAACCCCCCCAAGTGACGATCCCTTGGTCTATGGAGCTACTCTAGCAATGACTGAGGTAGGATCCCGTGTCTAACTAAGTAATTAGGAGGTGGCACTTAGTCTGGTGGGTACACTTTTCTGCATCTTACGGAGTACTTCTTTCTGCACATTTGGCATGAAGAGTGAGGAGAATCAAATAATAAGACGATGATGCTAAATACTACTAATGCAACACTATCACGAAGCTGCATACTCCTCCCATATGAGAACGAAGATTCAGTCTCGCATGAACAGAAAGATATAGAAATAAGAAGGCCTGTATTCATTCACGTCATAAGAAAAAAAAATATCATCATCACCAGGTAAACGCCTGGAAATCTTCCGAAAGATACTACCATTCGACATTGAACTTCCATTCCCCTGTGATGGTCAGCAATATTCAAAGTGAATCAACACGAGAGGGGGGAGCAGAAAAAAAAAACCTACCATTCTTCAGATTCTCTGCGGTATCAGACAAGAGGATCACGCGGCGCTTATTACAATACGCCGTCTTGTCCAGGATGTCCACCTTGAGCTTAGCCAGCTCGGGCACCGGTTTTTCGAACATCTCGCTAAGACTTTCGACAGCAAGCTCTAGGTCCTTCTGATTGTCCTCGAAAATCTCGGTGAGGTTGTTGCGTGCAAGGTAATAGGCAAAGGCATAGGTCCACTTCAATGTCTGCCGGCACTGCTGTAGCGCCTGTGATGCCGTGTCCAAGAACTGCACCTCGATCCAGGACAGGCCGGATTGCGACTGAAGACTGGTCATCTTCTTTTCCGTTTTCAGGTACAGGTCCTTGTCCAGCTTCGCCGACTGCTCGTGGTTTGCATATCGATTGTAGTAGTGCAGGTATCTCTCCAGGGATGCGCGCGAGCGTGCCTGCGCGGTGCGCGCCTCGGACCCGGATTTCTCCTCGTAGCGGTTGCAGTTGTACCAGCTGGTGCCGTGCTCGGACCATAGCCCCATGCACATCCAACAGAACTCGTGCTTGCATTTTCGGCAGGTCATATGGTTGCAACCCCCGTTCTTCTCGATAGTCGAGTGGCAGCGAGGACACTCCTTGGTATTGGCAGAGATCCAGTTGGCCGTCTCCGAATCGTCCTCGCACTTCTTAAGCCACATGTTGACTAGCGTGCACGGGGCGGGTTGATGGTCGTTGAGCGTGCAGCCAAAACAGAAATGGTGTTTGCAGAGACATTCCACGGTGGGCACAATACGCTGGAGGTCGCGCTGCTTGACGTGACAGTCAATCGCGTATTCGCAATTGGGCGCAGGACACCACTTGAGGTTCTCTTTATCATCGACATAGGTCCGAGTAAGGAGCGTTTGATATCTAAACAAATCCCAGTTAGCCAAGGTTCTAATAATTGTTCATGGAGTGATGAAAAGACCCAGAAAAGAAAGAGAAGAAAAAAAAAACTCACCTATCCTTCAGATCGTCCGTGACGAGCAAACCCAACGATTTCGAGTCGACAATACGGTGGCACCCCTCCGCCGGGCACTCGATCCTAGCCGCCTCACCTTCTTCTTTGATCTTCTGCGACAGATAATGTCGATAGCATTCGACGCAGAAGCGATGCCCGCATCGCATCGCGTACGTCTCTATGTCGTCCCCATCCTCACAGCAGATGTCACACATGAAACCCGAGATGACCTGGGTATGCGGCGTGAACTCGACGGTCGTCCCCAGTCCGGCCTCCTCCAGTATCCTTTCGGAATGGTCCATATATGATTCTATCAGCTTCTCCCGGTTCCATCGGCCGAACCGCAGGAGGATTGCCGCCGACTCCGGCGGCAGCCCCAGGATTGCCGAGACTTCCACCACCTGCTGGTTTTGTTCGCGGACAATATCATCCGGGCCCAGCACTTTGAAGTCGACCTCGTAGGGCTTTTTGGAGTGTGCTATAATGTCTTTATCTTGGGAGAATCCGCCGTCAAGCTCTTCGCCAAAGTCTAGAACCATACCGGGCTTCGTCAGTGACCATGTTACACAGAACCGATGAAAAAAAAAACACCCAGGAAGGCGCTGCGTACCTTCGAGACTCTCGTCATCGCTCCCTTGGGTATCAAGGAAGTCCTGACTCGAAGCATCACTCATAAAGTCATCGTCCGAATCCATGCTGGCAGTGGTGGTGGCAGGAGGAGTGGCGAGATCAGACCCTTTCTTCCTCAACGACGCTGGAAACTCGCACGGGACCTGACCGTGGCTGTGTTTCTGCTTCTTGTTGTCCAGGACCGTGAGGCCGGGATCACTGGAGGCCTCGGTGGCGGCGTTGGAGCACCTGGAGTCGTCGTCAATCGCCGCCTCAGCCGCTTTCCTCTTCCTCGTAAGCGGCGGCGTGGTGAAGGATTTCCCCGGCGGCAAGCCTAATAGGCGTGAAGCAGGGGTGGGGGGGGATAGAATAAAAAAAAAAAAAAAAACCAAAATCTGATATCGTTCAACTTTTTTTTTTCTATATCTCTCCCCCAGCAACACACGTCACAGCCTGACCCAAGGTGGTTTTCACCCGAGGGGTTGGTTAAGTATTGTTCCCGGTCCCTTGTCGACCAAAGAGAAACTTCACAACAGCGCCGGTCCCAAAGGGTCCCTATCGAAGAAACACCCTCGATGGAGAGATCCCGAGCGGTCGAATATCTGCGGCGGTCGGGGAGGACTTGATAAACCGTCAAAAGACAGTCGGGGTCGGTCCACGGTGGTTCGAGGCAGGTCCCGTCGAGGTTTGGGGTTCGGTCGGTACCCGATTTTCCCACCCTAGGGGGGGCAAAAAGGTTAGTAATCGGAGATCAGATTTTTTGTCATTCTTTTCTTTCTTTCTTTGTCGGTAAACAGAAAAACCCTTACCTCGTTGATATGTATGAGAGTCGGCCTGTAGACCTCCTAGGGAGATGTCGTCACGAGCAAATGGCCCTGGTCTCACCGTAGGGGGAAAAGACTGGCTGTGACTCTCCGCAGGGGGAGGCCGATGTGGGGTTTACTAAAGGGACTGGGTATGAGCCCACCGCGACATTTGATGACTTTGCAGCGACGTGGAGCCAGGAACAATAATGATGATGATAGCTGGCTGTTGTTGAGGTTAGACTGCTGGTGTGCTTGAACTAAGAGGGCTCATCGAGTCGTCTGGAGTCGGTTGGAAGATCTCCCAGTGAATAATAATGTGTAGCTCGCGGTACCTCGCCCTGGTTTCTGATTGCCTGTGTTGGTCCACTCCTGAGTTATTATATATATGATAAGTGTAAGGAAGTGTAGGGAAGTGATCTCTCATATGACCAGGTACTTCTTGCCACACGATGACTCCGAATGGTGGTGGTTAAAGTCGTCGCAGCGAATGACTAGCAGATTGAGACGAACAACGCCTTTTAAAGGGGTGTCTGTTTCCGGACAACAATGGAGCCTACCTAGGCACCTGTATCTTTAGGCACGATTTTGCTCTAGTAGAGGCAGCGAACATTGTCTTTTATTTAGATAGTCATAGCTCAGGCTATAGATGACTACTCCTCATCGCTTTCCTCCTCTTCCTCCTCCTCCTCCTCCTCCTCCTCCTCTTCATCGCTGCTCTCCTCTTCTTCTGCGCTGGCGAGCCAGTCGACAAACTGCTGCGTCTGGCTGCGGACCTTGCGCATCTCTTCGTTACTGCTGGAGCGCTCGTCCGCCCACCATTGCTCAAAGGCCTCTTCCTCTGCGATCTCCAAATCGTAGAGTTCCTTGGCGGTGAACAACAGGACGGTGTCGCCCTTGGGGCGGTGGATCAGGTCCTGCTGAATGAGCAACAACAGGTCCACCTGGTCGGTCTTGTCGTCGGCCTCTTTGTCAAAGATACTGCGTTCGACCACCTCGCGGTACTTGGTGAAGACCTCCTTGACCGCGTCGCTGGCTCCCTTGCCGCCTTCGACGAGCTGCTGGATGCGTTTCATAAAGGCGGAAACCACCGCCCGGCGCACTTGGTGTTCCGATGCATTCGCACTCATCCGCAAACTCACCAGCTCAAGCTGCACCACGTCCGACGACACGTTGTCCCGTAGGCTGTCGAAGACACTCACCGAAGCATCGTGGTGGAAGTGATCCTGGTCCTCGTCTTCAGAGTACGACGTGCCGAAGCTTCCGGACCGTGACCCAGCATAGTATCCATCGGAGATGTCGGATGATAGCGTTGAAATCGAGTCTGTGGATAGAGAGAGGTTTGCCATGTTGTAAACTAAATTAGGGGCAATTGTCAGTATGTAATCAGTCGAAAGAAGAAGAAGAAGAAGAAGAATAAGAAGAAGAAGAAGAAGAAAAAAACCAAAGCAACGTACTCAACCCTGACGAAGCAACACTTGCGGTGTCATCCTCATCCTCGTCCTCATCACGGACATACTCGTGACCCTCTCCGCCTTCGCCCACCACCTCCGAATCTGTGCGGGCGTCGCCACCGTCATGTTCCGACGTGGTGATGCGCTTCCCTTCCTCAATGATCATCTGGTCAGCGATTTTAACCCCGTAAGAGAGAAGGACGCCGTTTTCGATCGTGCAGCTCTTGCCAACCACCGCACTATCAGCAAGTATGGCGCGTTTGACGACGGTGCCGTCGCCGACCACAACGCCGTCCCAAAGGTAGGCCCCGTCCAGAGTGACATTCTTGCCGATCTTGCAGTTGCGGCCGAGAACAGTGTTGCTGACTGTCGTCCGGTCACCGATGCTCGTGCCCTGGCCGATGACGGTCCGCCGGCCGATCACACAGGACCGGGCCAGCGTGACGCCTTGCTCCTGGTATAGATTGCCCTTGCGGAGATCGTAGGTATGACCCGGGAGCAGATTGGTGTCCGGACACAGAGGATACGTCCATCTCGAGATGATATCCCTGCTGACCGCATCGTAGGCCTTCAGGTTCCTCACGCGGGCGGCATAATGGTCTTTGATGATGTGGGTGTGGATCGTCTTGCCGTTGAGCTCGTAATCCTTCAGCACACCGTACAGGTAATGTTTCCGGGGAGCTTGGTAGTCGAAGCTGTCGGACCACAGACTCAGCACGTCTGGCGTACAGATATCGATGCTGCAGTCGATGAGGTCCTGTCGGATGTCGATCTCCGCATGAGACGTGATGATGTCGGCTTCGATGTTGAGATGAGAGGACGAGCGGTCGGTGTGGTCAATCTCTTCGTAATGCAAACAGCGATCTTTTGTCGGGTCGATGACAAACACGGGCGAGACCGACGACGCCTTGGTCCGGTGGTTGCATCCCGCCTCGCGTAGGATCATGGTCATGATGGCATTCTTGTCCGATTGCCGCCGAGCACGGTGTCTTGCCAAGGCCCCCTCAATTGGTAGGTTGCTGATCACATCGCCACTCACGACGATAAAGTCGCCGGTTATCAAGTGCTTTCCATCAAGATCGCGCATTACGTCTCCGACGGAAGTAGACGTGGACTTGAGAAACGTCAACTGCTTGAACGGCGAAGAAGGAGCTCTCCATTTCGATGCACTAGAACCTCCCCGTCAGCCCGTTGTCCCTTTTTTTTTAACACCATGACTTTCTTCGCCTACTTGATGTATTTCTCCAGCTGATCCGAATGCGCTCCTCCGTATAAGAACACCTCCTCAACACCTGCATTGGCAAGGAACTCGAGTGTATACTCGATCAACGGTGTATTGGCGAGCGGCAAAAGACACTAGCACCCAAAATTAACATCGCAAACGTGAAGAAGAGTATCCGTATCCGTATACGTACCCTCGGTCGGTCGAGCGTGAAGGGCTCAAACTTGGTCTCGAAGGTATCCGCGAGGACCTACAAGAATTCACCAATTGTCAGATCATTCTTGTTTAAATGCAAAACATATGAAAGAAAAAAAAAGGACAAAACTCACCACTGCCTGCAACGACTCCTCCACCTCCTCCGCAGCATTATTGCTCCCCTTCTGCTTCCCCGAACCGCCTCCTTTCTGCTTCGGGCCCATTCTAAAATCAGGGAGGGGTATCACGTATACAGTATACAAGTACGCTCTGATCTTCAGGTAGACCTCGCTGCAAAACAAACCCAGGCCCCGGTCCAAGTAGAGAAATACTAGGCGCCGAAGAAATTGAACAGGTTGGTATTCAAAAGACGCGGATCCAGCCCACTTCGAGCCCTGACGTCTTGGTGGAAAAAGCACAAAAACTCCGCCAAGCTTGGAGTCATCCCACTGATACCCACGCTTATCAGTCACGTGTTCATTATCTAATTCACTATTCTAGTATCTACCATAGGGAACTATAACGTTACTTAGTGACCAACCAGGTAGGTACCGTTAACTACCTCACTACCTCAGGCATGGATCTACTATAGTAGAACCAGTATACCATATAGATTTCTCAGATGCACTTGATCCCAAAGTCAGCAATTAGTACTTTACATGTTCAGACCTGTCTAGAAGAAACAGACTACTTATTTTTAGAACATTCAGTTCTTGTCTAAAGTATCTAGGTACCTAAGTACCTCCAGGGCTAGATAGGTTAGGGAGGTATCAAACATTAGGATCGGGTCCAGCCAGGCTCCATACTCGGAAATACCAGCCGACATAAATAAAAGAAAGGGGGGTTGACGCCAAAGACATTCCATATAAAGAGGGAAAGAAGAAGAAAAAAAAAGAAAAGTAGTAGACAGGAAGGTAACCGGCAATTTCGATGCAAAAAAAAACAAGGAGTTAAAAAAGAGTCAGTCATCATCAGCAAAGGAAGATAAGGTCACACAAGTACATCCGATCCTACATGCCGCCAATTGAGCCCCAACCAGGCATCTCACAGGAAAAAAAGAAAAGCCATCCCATATACTCTTGTGCCAGAACAGACAAGAGAGAGAGAGAGAAAAAAAAAACCCCCCCAGACAAACCCCATTATGACACTGTATATATATGGCGATGCCTCCGAGTTTCTCATTTTGTATTTCGAAAAAAAAAAGGACCCAGAAAAACTCCCCCTGAGAACTCCAAAAAGGCGCCGTGGTATGGTGCGTGAGAGTAGAGAAAAGATCAATGGCGAAGGCGAATAGAATGTTCGAATCAGGTCATGTGTGCATGGATCGGAGACATTGGCGGGCAGGGGAAGGTAATATCGATGAGAGATAAGAAGTAACACAGGGAGAATGTAATAAGACACCGGGCTGACGGTCTCCTGCTTCATCCATTTCGGGCTTGGACCGAGCTCACCATCTGCTGTGGCTGGTGCGGGTATATGCGCTGCCGTTTGATCATGGTGTTCCCGTCTGCCGCACTTGACATCTCTGAGACCTGTCGCCGATGATGCGGTCGAGCTGCCGCCGCAGCTGCCGCCGCAGCATTCAAAGCCGCCTGGTTTGCCGGGTATTGGATTCCATTCTGGTCAATGGCGTACAAGGGCTGGTTCTGAGCAGCCGGGACATACTGGCCTTGCACCGATGGTACATTCGGATGGATCGTAGAGATGCCCTGAAACTGACCGGGGGATTGCCAATTGCTCATGGAACCCGCAGGCGACTGGCCTGGTGAGCTATCCTCCTTGACGGAATGGCCAGCCGAGTTTTGCGCAGCCATCGTCACGGCGCTTGCCGACGAAGTAGCCTCGAGACCCGCGGAGTTGGTTTTCAGGTGGGCCAGGTGTTTTTCGAGCATCTCAAGCAGACTCTTTCGGGTGAAAGGCTTCGGGAGAACATCATCCATTCCTGAAGGGGATAATGAGTATACGATGATATAATTGGGATAGGGATTTGGATTTAAGGAATTTGTCATACCGTGTTGGAAATAAAGTTGAATATCGTCACTTCGAATGTTTGATGTCATTGCAATGATCGGGGTTCGGTCAAATTGGCGGATCAAGTGACAGGCAGAGACACCATCGAGGTTTGGCATGATAATATCCATGAGAATCATATCGTACTTGGAGCCATCTTGGATTTTATTGACAGCCTCGAGTCCATCGAACTGAAATACTGTCAGCGGTTTCTTTCTTTCTTACTTTCTTTGCCGAGGGCAGGCACTTACTGCTGTATCAATGACACAAGAAAACGAGTAGAGAAACTTCCCGCCAATCTGACGGCACGTTGCATCATCCTCAACCAAGAGAATGTGGGGACTTCGCACCCATCCAGGGTCGACATTCGTACTCTTTTTCCGGTTCTCGGGGAACTGCCTGCGGGACTCGGATGGTTCCGCCGCCTCCTTGGGGGGCATAGGGTAGGGAACGTTGCTAACATGCTCGCTATACATGGGGTCGATGCCGTTGGTGGCACCAACAGGGTAGACCACGGGTTCGAGTTCGCCATTGACCTTGGGGTATACAAGCGCCGAGGCACTGGCCGCGGACGCTGGTGGACGCCCGGCAGCGATCCGGGCGCCGTTTTCCAGGGTAGGCGTGGAGACGGCAGCAGTCGCTTTTTGCGGGTCGGTGATGGTGTCGAGGCTAGTGAGGTTGAACTGAATCTCCGCGTTCATGTCGCTCAGGAGTTTCGAGGCATGCTGCAGCGGCGTGGCAGGCGTGTCGTCGCCCGGGCCGACCTGCGACGGGCTCACGGTCGAGCCACCCGGTCCGGATGCCTGGAAGGTGGCGGGGAGAGCTTTGCTATCGCGCCGTTGGCGGGCATCAACGGAGAGTAAGTAGGTCATGACCTGGTGGATGACATTCTCGTGGTTCAGCACCGTCTTCTGCACCCGCAGAACCTCCTGCAACATCAGCTGGTGATCGACCGTAAGTTGTGCGTAGCGATCGGAGAGATGTTGGATCTGCTGCTGCTGGGCCACAATCTGCTGGTTCAGCAGATCTATTTGTTGAGTCGGGACAGCGTCGTCGAGAACCTGGGGTTGTTTCCGTGGAGCAGGCGCCTTTCGTCGAATGTTGTCAAGCGAATCCTTGCTGTTGGCCCGGAACTCTGGATGCTTGAACTCCCATGCCTGTTTTCCCACATCATCAGTCTCCGCCATCGCGACCAAGCTTGTACTTTCCTTCGAGGGAAGGAGGAGAGGGAAATAAAGCAGGCGCGTACATTCTGTCCGTACGGCGAATTGCCGTTCTCCTCGTTGTTTTGCCTGACTTTGTGGAAGTCGTACTTGTTGAGTTGACGGACAAAACTAGCGAAGTTGCTGTGTTTAAAATGCTTAGGCAGGATAGTCTTGGTAAACTTTTCACACTGTAACGCCGCGACGATACGAGTCAATCACGGCTCCTGTTGGACAAGGGGACAAACAGACAGGGGACTTGGTAGGCGTGTAGCACGAACCTCAAGCACAACAAAACTATCGCCCTCATCGCCCCAACGAACGATTTCGGCATATGACGGATCCTCCAACATCCTTTACAGATCGGTCAGCAATGAGTCGCGATTCCATGTTAACGAAATCTGGTCGACGACAATATTTGGGTTCGTAGTTGGTCGGGGCAAGCAAAAGAGTGATCTGATCGGTCGGTCGGTCGGTCGGTCGGTCAGGGGAAGAAAAGGAAAAGGAAAATAAAAAAGACTGCTACTCACTTGTATAATTTCCGCACCTGGAGGGTAAGATTAGCATCCTGATAGAAACTAGACGATCGCAGGCCGGTCGTCACTCACAAAATCGCTGGAGTTGCCAGCGGGGGCGGCAGTCGAGGTCTGGCCCTCCATCCTGGGCTAGATGGGTCGCGACCGAAGCACGAGCAGCAGTTCAACCACGACCCGTGTCTTGGTAGGTGAAAGGAGCAATGGGCCAGGCGGCGATCGAACCTTCAGCCCGGGCGATGGCAGGAGGATTCCGGCAGCTTCTAAATGCTCGGAGCGATCCTAGTAGCAGGACTCGTGGTGGTGGAGTGGGAGGTGTTTGTTGGAATCTGACGCGGACCGAGCCAAATCCCATTTGATAGCAAAAGCAGAGCAGCAGGACACAACGGGAGCAACGCAAGGAGGGGAGGGGAGGGGAGGGGTGGAAAAAGGCCAACAATTAAGGGCCCAAAAATCCAAGGGGAAAAAATGCAAACTTGACGTCTGTCAAGCAGCAGAGCGTCAATGCGGCGATAGCGACAGGAGGGAGGGGAAGGGAGATCTAAAGGGCTCGCAAAAAGTTGCAGTGTTTTTTTGAAGGAGGGGGGGAAAGGCGAGGAGGAGGACAGGGTTGGGCCATGAGGATATGGGATCGCCCGACTAGTCCCAGTAGTTACTAGGTGGTGGTCTCCAGGCACGGGAATAAATAATACTACTAGCTGTTTCTATCTTTCTTTTTTCTTTTTTTTTTTACCATGTCCATTGGATGACTTGGTGTTTTTTTTTAATCAGAATAGTCAAATAAGAGCCAAATAATCTGAAACCAGAGCGAAATGTGGGCTCGGCAGTTACGAAGCTAGGAACGAGGTTCTTGGTTCTCTGATGGAGACGCAGTCGAAAGAACCCATCAAGAGCGAAAATACGAACCCCGAAACCCAACAGACTACTAATAGGAGGGAGAAGGGATCGGTGGATTCGGGATCATATGAGTGCCGCCTACCTAGGGAGCCTAATCCAGATGAATAACTGTCTTTTTGTCTTCTTGTCTTTTTGTTTTATACTGTTGAAGCACAGATGACATAGCTTGGCATGCTTCGACAGGTGTTCGGCTACCAGCTTCCCACCTTAACAAGGGGGGCAAAAGCTTCCGGGCGCATCTTCTTTTCGTGACTGTTTCTGGGCGGGCCTTTTTTGTGCGCCACAGCCTGGGATACCCACGTTGGATCTTGGTAGGTGGTGATTCCCTGGTTATTCCCCGATGCATGAATATTCCCGTTGATCGAATTATAATCTCTTATAATCTCGAGAATATCACCCTCAGTGTGATCCGCCAATGGACACAGTACAAGTCATCCAGTAGGTACTAGGTAAGTAGCATGACGTCGAGGAACAGGTCAGATGACAACTGTTTGTCAAATTCTGTGTTTGGGCTTCGCTCACCGCTTCGTGATCCTGAGGCCACAAGGCAGAAATTATTATCAGTAGTACAAGTAGGTACCTAGGTATCTAGGTACCGATCTAGTTAGCTATCAAGTTAGATGTCTACCAAGGTAGTACCTAGTAGTTTAGTATTACCAGCCTAGGTATTTATCCCGTTGTACTCCTTCAACAAGTAGTACAGACTAGAGTCGTTAACCGCGTTACAGCCGCACCGTTGCAAGCGCTGCGGGTGAGTGACGAAATACGAATAGCTCCGAAAGCTCGTGCCGCATCCCGTCACCACCGCAACCTAAACATCTTCAGTGCGACAGAGTAAACAACAGTCAATTTGCAGTCACTCACCCATCAATAATCAGGATCCTGTTCAATTGAATCCAATTTGATTAAAAAAAAAACCATCGCCATGTTCGCCGCTCGCCGCATCACTGCTGCCCTCCCTCGCACCGCCGCGCAGCGGGCCCTTTTCCACAGGACAGCCCCTGCGCTGGTCCGTCAGGGAGACGCGGTGCCGGATCTGAATGTCCTGGTGGAGGACTCGCCTGGGAATAAGGTCAACTTGGCCAAGGAGATCACTGGGAAGGCTGTCATTATTGGCACCCCAGCTGCCTTTAGTAAGTTTATTTGACTTGGGTAGAGAAATATTCTCTGACTGAAAATCCAGGCCCGGCTTGTTCTAGCACCCACGTCCCCGGATACATCAACCATCCCAAACTCAAGGAAGCCGGTCAGGTCTTTGTTATCTCGGTCAATGACCCATTCGTGTAAGATTTATATACGAGAGCCGGGTTAAGTGCCAAGACAAAAAAATAACGTTGGATAGAACCAAGGCGTGGGGAGCTACTCTCGACCCCTCCGGCAAGAGCGGCGTACGTCATACAAAGAAGCAAATAACTATGGTTCAGGCTAAATATTTTGATATAGGTCCGCTTCCTGGGCGATCCGACCGGTCAGTTCACCGAGGCTCTTGATCTCTCGTTCGATAGCACCGCCATCTTCGGAAACCGGAGGAGCAAGCGCTACGCGCTCGTCATCGAGGACGGGAAGGTCAAGGAGGCCCACGTCGAGCCGGACAACACTGGTGTCGATGGTATGTCTTTTTTTTTTGAGATCAATTCCTATGGACCACCGCGCTGACTGTCGACAGTTTCCGCCGCCGAAAAGGTTCTCGGCTGAAAGAATACCTTAATCCCAATTTATTCCTCTTCCTATTCACAGCCAAATTCTGGCTGATTCCATCAATGTACAGATAACCTTGAACGCCTGAAGCAGAACAAAACAGTACATGTTCTTCAGTATAGATAGCCTTTGATAACAACTGTAATCCCCAGTATCCCAAATCAATCAGGCACTCCCCTGCGCTTTCTGCCACTGCTCTGGCGTATAACACTTTGGCGTCCAGGCGTGGATGGCCGCAATCTCGGTCTTCAAAACTGAGTTGACGAGTCGGTGACGGGCAAGCATCGTCTTGCTCTCGAACTGCGGCGAGACGATAACCGCCTGGAATGCCTGACCACAGCCGCCTAAAGAGTAGATCACAATGTCAGAATACAGACATATTTTAAAGCATAGAATAGGCATATAGAGGATAATAGGAATAAAAGGGTGCAGATTCCTACCAGACAAATCTTCAATCTCGACATATTGCGCCTGCAACTGCTCGATGAGCTTCATCCGCAACAAGTCCGCCGTGACGCCCGAGGTCGCGTCGGCCATGGCTGCGTGAACTGCCGCAAACGACCGAGCAGAGGGGGAAGAGAACAATCGGTGGGGAGGAGGAAGAGGGGCGCGCAGGAGATAACGGCAGGTTCTGCTCAGCGAGGTGATGCGAGAGTACATCAGCAGGAGAAGCCTGAGACAGGAGGAGAAGGAGAGAGGTATGAGAAAGAAGATAGACAAAGAAAAAAAAAGAGAATGGGGTAAATTATTGCTAAGCCGGCTAATCGAAAAGTCCAGAGAAAATATTCAAAAGTAACGGTCGTTCTTGAACCTAGTAGCAAGCAGGGTACCTCGAACAGATTTCGCTGATTGGTAACGCAAAAAAGATGACGGAATAAATCATCCGCGCCGAACTCGTCGTTCTAAACTCCCTCCCTGCAGCTTCGTCACAACTTGCTGCAACAACATTCAAGTAGTTTACTTTATTCATTTATGCTTCCCTTTCGCTCGCTGCGCCAGTTTGCAACCATGTCGTCGTTGACCTCCTCCGCGCCGTTTACTCAGGCAGTGGTGAGCTCCATGCGGAAGCTGTATGCAGTGATATCCTAGGATCTTCCAGTATGGGGAATTCCGCTCTAATCTTATAGATATCCAGAGTCTCTGGCTGATAAGAGCTTCGACAACACCGGATGTAAGTTCCAGGCCTCCTTTTAATGGAAGAGACTGGTGCTGACTGGACCAGTGTTGCTTGAAGCGCCATTCAACCCCTCGAGAAGACAGCGCAATTCCGTTCTCCTGACCATCGACCTCACCAAGGCGGTTGCAGACGAGGCCATCAAGCGCAAAGATTCCGTCGTGGTGGCTTATCGTATGCAAATTGCATCTCCTTCAAAAGCCCCCCCCCAAAAAAACTGACCGCTGGCAGATCCTATCATCTTCCGCGGCCTCAAATCCCTGACCCTGAACGACCCCCAACAGCAGTCTCTACTCCGGTTAGCACAAGAGGGCATCAGCGTCTATTCCCCGCATACGGCAGTGGACTCTGTTCCCGGTGGAATGGCCGATTGGCTTTGCGACGTCGTGACCGGAGCCATCACTCCTACGTCTTCATCTTCTTCACCTTCACTTTCTTCTAAGCTGCAATCATCGTCCAGCGAGGTATACACCAAAGCCGCCTTCCCGCAGCCGCCTCGGTCAACCACTCAGTCCTCTCCCACCCCGCACACCAGAAGCACCATCCACCCCTCCCCGCCCCCGATCCCCGAGGGATTCGAGTCCGCCGGTGCTGGCCGTCTCGTCACCTTCTCCACTCCGCAACGTCTCACCTCCATCATCGACCGCATCGCCTCTGGAACAGGCTACCCGGCGGGAATCCCCATCGCCGTCCCGCAGAACACCTCCGTCGACGACGCCTACATCACCACCATCGGGATCTGCCCTGGGTCCGGATCCAGCGTGCTCCTCAAGGCGGGCGTCCCGCTCCCCGATCTGCTCTTCACGGGAGAGCTAAGCCACCACGAAGCCCTGGCGGCAATCGAGCGCGGCTCCTTCGTCGTGGCGCTCTCCCATTCCAACACGGAACGCGGCTACTTGCACTCCGCCATGCGCGAGAAGTTGCTCACCACCTTAAAGACAGAGTGGGAGGCGGTGCGTTCCCAGGCGTTGGGCGCCCTGACCGACGCTGCGAAACAGGGCGCGCAGGGAGAAGCAAAGAGCGATGCCTATGCCGACGTCGAGGTCATTGTGGATGTAAGTGAACGGGATCGGGACCCTTACGGATTTATGGTTCTTTCCCTGAAGTAGAAAATATACTTTTTAAACTATATACCTAGTCATAAGAGTGCTTAGAATATATATTCCTAATTGTAGGAGTCCTAAACTATATACTTACTGATATGTACTAACTCAGCAAAACCCTGATCTCACCCGTAGTCCGCGGGAACAACGCGCGAAGACTCCAGTCTTGATCCTCCTCGGTCTCTTCTCCTTCTGGCTGTTGTTTCAAAGCACTACTCGCTTCATCTGCTCCGATAATCATCCCCTCGACAAACTCAAAGTCGCGGCAGAAGGCTTCGACCGCCTCCTCCGTCACACTCTTCACAAAGGCCGCACTTTGCACGCGCTTCAGGTGGTCCGTGGCATCCATCAAGGCGGAGGGCAGGAAATCGTCAAGCTGCTGGCTGCGCAAAACAAGGTTCTCCGGCTGGAAGGCCGGGAGGCTTGCGATCTCCACCAGGTTCTTCTTGTTCGGTGGTTCCTCCTCCTCCCCCTGCTGTTGCTGCTGTTGTTTGTCACTTGTTTCTGCGGCGAAAGGTGCTAGTGCGGTGAGTAGCTCCTGCAGACCGGACATGTCGAGCAGGTAGCGGTGCTGGATCGCGAGCAGGTCCATACGCAAGGTGGATATCGCGGTTGAAAGAGGTTGCAGGTGTGTGGCGGCAGCGAAGGAGAACGGCGTGATCGTCGACCGGACGGTGAGGAGGACGTTCGTCTCGAAAATTGTACGACTGGCGGGGTCGCGCAGCTCCTGCGCAGATGACTTGGCCAGATCCACGAACGGATCGAGTGCGGCGTGCAGAGCTGGAGTGAAATCGTTTTCTGGTTGGGTACCGTCTTCGGCATGGCTGGAGGCCCCAAAGGATGCGTCGAACGCTTTCATGAGGGAGATAAGCACTTCCAGCGCGTCCAGGAGAAACTGTGGAGCAGAGAGGTCTTCCGGCGGAACGAGGGCAGCATGCTCGGCAGAGAGGGCCTTGACTTCTTCGCCCATGAGAACCTCGAAGTGGTTGAACGTATATTTCTTCAGCGACTCAGTGAGATCCACTAGCTGCGACTGGGCCCCCAGGAGTCGGGAAAATGTCTCCCGGTAGAAGGTTAACAGGTTGACAACCTTGTAGCAGGTGGCCGGGTCATCGTGGCCCTGGATCACCAATTCAACCCTCTGACGCAGAGACCGAGACACTCCCGTCAGATTCCGGTTCACAAGTTCACTCAAGGCTTTGTGTCCATCGAAAACGGCGTCGTCTTCGCTCTCCTCGTTGATTCGAGACCAGGGTTCGCTGCTCAGGCCCGCTTTCATCCCCTTGGCAATTTCCTCCCCCTCGGCAATAAACAAAGCTTCCAGAGCCTCTCGCTCAGAGACCGCGGCCGAATGTACCCATGCAAGCATATCTCCCACGTAACGCAGCGGGTCGTGTGCCGAGAATTCAATGGGTTTCACAGTCCGATCCGCACCGGCACCCGATACAGCATCTGTGAGGGCATAGTGAAACGCATCTGAGAGAGCATAATCCCGCGCCTCTGCAAAAAAGTCGAGGCAGCTGTGAAACAGACTCGGCCGTTCGGCCAGAACACGCAGCGCTCGCCGGATTGAACTGCTGATCTGAGGGTCCTCAAGGTTCAGCGACTTGAATTCCTTCTGAATCCATTTGTAGAGCTTCTGGTAGGCCAAGTTCAGGTTCCGCGAGCTCTGCTCCATCACTTCTAAACCCAACCGCTGGTTTTCCCCTCCAAGCAACACTTCACAGTCATGATGGACCTGTTTCACTCGGGCAAGCACGTCGAAAAAGTGGTCATCCACAGGCGTCTCTGACGAGGTCAGAACCGAGAAGTCGTCATCCAGAACGATAAAATGCTTCGTAAAGGCGTCTAGTAGTTTTTGTTTCGTCTCCGATTCTTCTTTCTGGGTCATCAGAACGGCTGCTTCCTCGAGGACGGGGGTGGTGTCTTGTTTCGCGAGGGTGATGTGTCTTCGCATTTCATTGCATGTTTGATTCAGCGTCTTAATAACCGTTCCTATGCGTTTCAATTGCTAGATGAACACAGATCAGCAAACTATTACTCCAAACCTGTCATGGTAGGCATTTAGGTTACCTCTGCCACCTTGCCGAAATCCCGCACGATTTCGGCATTGCAGTCAATAACCTCTTGCTGCACATCCAGCCGCAACTGCCTGCGTGTCTCTGCAGTGTTATGGATTCCTCGCAGGCTGAGGGTCTCGAGCGCATCTCGGATATCGGAGTCTGCATACGACGCTGACAGTACACTTGTCAACCGGTTCGTCAATGCTGTGGACCGCTGGACGTTGCTTGGAGGAGGCGACAGTGGCGAAGAAGCTGGAACCGGCATCGTCGGTGTTCCATTGCTGCTGCGAGCAGCATTCACGGGTGGGAAGTAGCTTGTCATCTGCGTTGGCTACGACAAGAGTGTCTAGACATCTGGTCTCTCGTAACTGTGGGACAGACAATCATTGTTGATTAGATTAGCTTCAGCTCCTCCTTCCGCACGTCGGAGAAACACCAGCGGCCGATTTCTTTGGCAAGTTGCAACATCCAAAACTTGACTTACGGTTTGACATTAGCATTCTATTCTTGATTTCCTGGGCTGTATATGCTTTCAGTTCGAATTCTTCCCCAACTTTTAAATGGAGTCGCCCTCGTCCTTCGACAGCCCACTTCTGTCTCCTGCCAAAGCGCGGCGAGCCGCTATTCAGGCCAAGGACTGGGCCTACGTGACCTCGTGGCTTAGTCGACAGTACGCTCCAAATCTGCCTCCTGACTTTGAGCGCAACGAGGATACCTTACGGACGCTGCTAGCTTTGGCTGCTGCCAACGATGCAGCAGATGAAGAGGCAATGATACTTCACCGCGCGCGCGAAGAAGCCGTACAGGCATATAAGATGCGGGAGGCAAATGAAGACTCTCAGAAGAAAGAGATTCTAGACGAGGTACAGATGTGTCTCGGTGAAAAGGGGAGAGAATGTCTTGACGATCTGGCGGAAACAACGGCAATACTAGGCGCATTGCGTCCGCAACGTAACGAAATCGGACAGGCCATTTTAGAGCTTACGAGAGAGGAATTTGAGGTCCAGAGCCAGGTCACAAAAATTGAAGCATTACGAGGATATCTAGAGAGAGAGCTGGCGGACCTCAGGCAGCAGCTCAAGGGTCTCAAGTCCAACAAGGCTTATGATGTGCCGTCAGAACTACCGGCGTTAACTGCAGAATGGTCTCGGAGCACGAAGCTGTTGACAGCTAAACTGGGTGAATACCAGGATAAATCGGCCATGTTGGAGAGAAACAGCACCAAGGGGCCGACGATTGAGGAGCTAGTGTTGGAAGAAGAAGATTTTATCCGTCTCAAGGACACAGTGGAGAAACTGGAGAAAAGAGTCAGACTATTCCATTGTTTACCGAAGAACTTAACGGACGCCCGATCAGAGTATCAGAAATTAGAGCGCGAGTACCGCCAGCTAGTTCAGAAGCGCGATACAATGTTCGAAAATCTACGAGCGGGAAAAACGAAATGAGACAACTATATCAGGATAACTGTATGTTCCGATTCAGTATACACTTTCTCGGTACTAATAATACACAAAATCAATGGTATCGTGGACTCGTCGAGTTGCAGTCATAGCATCATTCCTTCAACTCTTCCCGGGATCATTGAGCTTCTTTTAGGCGAAGCATCTAGTTGTCGCCCAGACCGACAGCGTTCTTAATCTTCTCTCCACTGTTCCAAAGTCAGCTAACTTATGTCTCGCTCTCCAATTCGGAAGCGTGATAATGGCTTACATGGTTTCGGATGAACCGCCGTGGGCATGGTTATCATGAGAACGCTGGGTCTTGTCGAAAGCCTGCTGGGCAGTACCCTTATCGCTATCAGGCTGGACACCCCGGCTGATGCGGTCGGTAGTATCGGTGAAGCTCTCCTTGATCTTCTCCTGGGTAGACTTGGAGGAATCAGGAGTCATCTCCTCCTTAGCCTCTGCCGATGGGTTAGCAACCACGTCTCCACGTATCGGAACCCATCTGTATCGGACTTACTGGTGGTGAAATCCTTGCGGCCGGCGTCAGACATGGTTGTGGTTTAGAAGATGGGTTGAAAGTGCTTTAAAAGATTTGGTTTGGTTGTACTAGAAGTAGAGGCTTTGAGATTGTTGCAGTTGATGATCAACCAAATCCACTGTAGAGCAAGTCCTTTATATATCCCATCCAGCTACACTAAACTACCCTCATGACGTCGACCTTGAGATATGCTCGTCGAATTACTTGGTTTGACATGCCCCGTCACCATCCTGGGATGAATCCCAGCAGGTTGTAGGGACTGGCTCGTGTTTCCGGTATCTGGGACCACCAAATAAGCACCGCTGAAGTGATCTCATAAATCTTGGATCTTCAAGCTTGGCTGACGTTCTGGACCAAGGTCTGCGAGCCTTCTTGTTGTGGAAACAAAAACAGACCAGGGGTTGATGACGTCGCGATGACCTCCGAATCCCGTGACTAGGAGCCTCCATGGCACATGCAAACCGTGCAAACACCATTATGCAAACTGTGCAAACAATACTTATCGTCGGATTGTTATTTTTAGCGGTTCTTGAGGTGTACGGCAGGCGGTCTAGCGCGGCAGATCCGTTTCGTTTACCGCCACCTCGACGTCGAGTCATGCTTGGGTCTCAAGGAGCAGCAAGACTCACCCAATCTCTCACACAATCTCCTACAGACCACCAAACATGGTATCCAGCCTTGCAGGCAGGCACTGCTATTGCTCTTCGTCGTCAAGTCTTCTGTTTTAGCATTTATTTGATTTCTGGAGTCCTCTATTTCTCATAAATCTCTCTCTGCGACGTTCGAGCTTTCTTCCCTTCTAACTCATAATATCCTCATTTTTGCGCTATTAACCCTTCTTCACGACCATCAATGCCCTCCATTGAGACAGCCTCCAGCTGGGACTTCACTTCGGTGATTGATCTGATCCGGTCGCCGACGTATGGCGGCAGTCAGGCAGCCGTTGCTCCTAGCAATAACAATGCCGCAGAGCGGCTCAAAAACACCAACGATGCAGAAACTAAGGCCTCGGGGCAACAGGATACCAGGAGCCATACACCGCTTGGTGACTTTGGCTCTCTATGGGATTTTCTAGGAAGCTGCTCCAAAGAGTCTATTGTGAAAGCCCCTGAGGCCCATGCCCCCCGCGGTGACCCCGCAAATGACGCCTCGGAGCCCCCAATCTCACCACCAACTTCGTTCAAGATTCTCCAGCGACCAACAAATAATAAGAAACTGCCTAGCAACAGTCTTATTGATGCTCCGCCACGCACTCCAGCCAGGGGAATATCTTTTTCCAGTAGACGTCAACCACAAAAGCCCCGCATCACGACCAAGATTTGCAACACCGGTATCCAAGACCCTGGCAGCCTGACGGAAAGCGGTGCAGAAGCGGAATCGGATGGTAACGTCAGTATTTTTGATGCTCCGCAATCCACCAAACGAGGCATCACAATCTTAAAACCATCTCGAGTGGATGTGCAAGGCGCTTTATCGGACAATAGCTACACCCCGCCATCGTCGTACGATGAATCAGAGAATCGCCTTGTTCATGCGACAGCCATCAAGCTGCCAGCTACCTATGGACACAGTGACGGCTGTATCCACGTCCAGTCTGTGTTATACAGATCCTATGCCGAGCGAAGGATCGGCTTGTTGACGAAGCTCCTGAAAAAATTCCCTGAGTATTCAGAGGTCGTATCGCAGGTCGGGCAATCCCAATCTCAACTCATCAAGATCGACCGTCCAGTCTTGTTATCGCCTATTCATATCTTTATTGATATGTCCAATGTGAGTCTACATAAAATCTATTCAGCTTGCCCTTTAATGAAAGTAATCACTAATTCAACTTTTTTTCTTAGATCATGGTTGGCTTCCACGATTGTGTGAAAGTCTCGCGGAACATCCCTGTGAAAACTCGGATCCGCCGCCTCCCACTCTCATTCCAAAATCTGTCGCTCATTCTGGAACGTGGCCGACCGACCGCCAAGAGGGTCTTGGTTGGCTCAGACCGACTGCCGACCATTGACGACGCTGAAACGCTCGGATATGAGGCGAACATCTTGGACCGTGTGCATAAGGTGAAGCACATGACACCTCGCCAGCAAAGGTTTAGGAACGTCCCTCCTTCCCGCGCTTCTGAGATGAACGCGGGCACTGAGGAACGATGGGTCGAGCAAGGTGTTGACGAAATTCTACACCTGAAGATCCTTGAAAGCCTGGTAGACACTGCCGAGCCTGCCACTATTGTCTTGGCCACAGGCGACGCGGCTGAGGCTGAGTACTCGGGCGGGTTCATGAAGATGGTCGAACGTGCGCTCCAGCGAGGGTGGCGGGTGGAACTGGTCAGCTTTTCCCAGGTCATGAGCAAAGCATATCGCCGGAAGGAATTCCGCGCGAAATGGGGTTCCAAGTTCAAGGTCATCAAGCTGGACGACTACATTGAGGAGCTTTTCCATCTTTAAGTTGGGCTTTCTGATATTCATATTCATCTATGGCTTCCTGTTCGATTTATTGCAGATCAGTTAGGCATATACTCTCGGTTTGTATCTTTGGCTAGCAGTGAATAGGAGTCTCGATAGTCGGTATTTAAGAAAGACATGATAAACCTTTTGCTGCAAATCATTGGGGAGAAGAGTAACACTGGACGTAACAGCACCAAGACAACAACCTCTGGCTGCATACCATTGAGTCTTTTACAGCTGACTATTATATCAAGCTACGTCAACTCTTCCTCAACGACATCATCGATTAGACTAATGGTAAAACAAGAAATACATGGTAGATGGTTGGATCTTGACTCTTTTATATCCCTTGTCTGCCTTAGGGGGGATCAGAGACCAGAACGCCGCTGTAGGTTCTCTGTACTCACATAGAACGATAATCACGATCAAGCCTACTATATTTCCTGTTGAAACACTCAACTGCATCCTATTACCCAGTCAAACACGAATTCACTGGTTTCTAGGAGAAGGGGTCAGTCATCCACAGACAAGGCGCTCTGTAGTCCGAAAGACCTGCCTATGGAGCGTGGCAGGCTCCACGGAAGACACCCATCCGACGGCCAGCTGGACGGCCAGCATGGTAGAAATACAATACTATATAAACAGTGTACATTGCATTGATGAAACTGTGTTGTACCAACAACTTCTTCTGTTCGATCCGTTTTTTTCCCACTCTTGGAGAATTATTAGTGGGGCAAGTTCATCCCGCAAAATCTATACTACATCCAACCTTCATTCGCAAACTTATTTTTTTCTACCAGAACGTCCAGGAGAGAAGAATATACAAAAAAGAAAACATGACCTCATTCACTGAAAGGGGATTCTTCGGGGATGCCATCTTTGGCGCTATTCCTCAAGGATGGATTGACGCAAGGTAAGTCGTACATATCACATCCAACATGCACATGAAACTAATACTGTATGGATAAAGCGACCTCCGCGAGATCCCAGACCACCAAGAAGTCTTTCTCTCGCCATCGACTCTCTCCAGTCTGATCATCGAGATTAACCAGCGGGTATCGGATGAGGATGCGCGCAGCATGGCACAGCGAATTAGCTCTGCCTCCTCTGCTGCAGAAGAAGACCCCGAGGCCGTCGTCGACAAGGCGGCCGCGCTGTACCATCTCAACGATATCTGCGAAGAAGGTGACTTGATGCATATCCTCACCCCGCCGCAGCGTGTGAGATTACCCAAGTTCCCATCTTCTTCCGGGACTGCCTACCGGGGTGTTGTCTGCTTTGAAACAACCAACAGGCGACAACGGGGGAACGTCCACAACACTAGTAGTAGTACTAACAATACCACCCCTCATCCTCTCCCTTCTCCTCCTTTCACCACGAATGGTGCGGTGGCAGGGTCCAGTACGGCCAGGTCATCGAGAGCCGGGTGCCATTTCCTGCTTGTGCGGTTGGCGGAGCAGGAGACCGATCTGTTGGTCGTCGTGAATGTCCCGCATGATGAGTTCGATTCGCGAGGGGATGAGCGTGGACTCAACGCCGAAGAGGCCCTGGGGGCTGCCATGGTGGCGAAGATTGTCGAGACCTTGGATGTTAGGAACTGGGGGCTGTTTGTTTGAACAGACGGATTATTCAATAAGGGAGAGACAGAAAGAGATATCCGATTTTTAACAGATTCCGGGTGATTAAATAATCCATTAAAAGATAAAGCCTATCTTTTCTATCTTACTATCGAATTAGTTACCTGGATTCATTGAAGTCACATTATATTCTCGTAGATAGCGGCATTTGCCTATCCTGGTCTATACAATTTCATAGTTACACAGAAAACTCAACATGTTCATCATCATCGAAGGCATGCCATGGACGTAATAGCGAGTGTGTATGACTAAGAAAGGAGGGTCGTCACCGAAAAAGAAAAGAAATACACCTATTCAAAGAAGTAGTGCAGATGGAAAGCCCGCCAAAATCGCTTGATGGGAAAACTGGACAATCTGAATGTCATGTGTGAAGGTATTATTCCACGCTCTGCGCTGCAACCGCTGTAAATGAAGGACTCGCTTATTGGCAAAGAAAGGCGCAGATTGAATCGCTGGCTTGTGGGAAGAGAGAGAGAGAGAGGGAGAGGGAGAGAAATGAACTGAGCTGTCAAGTCACTGTTGAATGACAATCTCTCTAAGAGAGTTAGTCACGGCGTCCATCTCCAAAGGAGACACAGATAAAGGTTGCTTCTTCTTGGGAGACATGTTGCGTGGTTTCGGTTTGATTTGCTGGAGGAGACCCTTGCAACAGCCGCAACGCATTCGGGAGGTATCGATGCTCTTCGAGTGACGGCCGTAGTTCTGGCCACAGTCAACGCAGCACCACACATACTTGTAGTCGATCTTGTAGTTGTGCTTTGTGGTCACCTCAATGCGCCCGCCGTAGACCGGGTGGTCCTTCATGGCTTGTGTGCACTTCAACCCCCACTGCTTGAAGCTGGTCCCGTGCGGGTTGGTATGGACGTTGGAGATCATGAAATTCGCCAAATGACAATATTCGTGGGCCAGGGTGTTGAGCAGCCGATCCTCACTGTCGATAATGCGTTCCGCGAGTTCGATGGACGCATGATGTCTGGATGCCGGCTTCGTCGACTCTGAGCTGCCGCTTGGCTCGGTCTGCGCTCGTTCACGTTTCCAGTTGGCCCTCCCCGCAGTGGTTTTGAGCGTCTTGCTCCAAATGATGCGCACGCCTCCGGTGTCCCTCGCGAGCTTCTGGACTTCGCCTCCCGTGACGGCGTCATCCAAGGCCTGGAGGAAATCTTCCGCAAAGGACGCTTTTCTGCTGTCAAAGGACTTCTTGCGCGCTACCAAAGCCTTCTTCTTCTCAACCTCTGCTCTCTTCAGGGCCGTCTTGCTGGGGGTCTTTGGCGCCTTGGATCCCTTCTTGCTACTCGGTACAATCATCGCACCGCCGTCGTCCTCCTCCTCCTCGTCGCCGTCTTCTTCGAGAAACTCTTTCAGCTGCCGTTCCAGCGTGCAGCCATGGGGGTTTTCCTTCCGCGGCGAGTGCTTGTCAACCCAGTCGTTGGTATACTCCTGGCTCCAGAACCCGTCGCTGCTCTCACGATAAGGGGTTGGCGGAATCATGCACCTTTCTTTGGCCGGCGACTGTAGTCTGTTCTTAGATGGGCTGGACGGCGGTGTCAGGAAGACAGAATTTTCATTCTGTTTCGACTCGGCGATGGGAGATTCAAACTTGGAAACCGTTCTAGGCAACGGTCAGCAATGGAAACATGTAACAAAAAAAAAGGGGGAGGGGGGATGGTTTTCCCTTACTTAAATAGGTCATCTTCCAGTTGAGAAGAGGCATCATTCTTGTTGTTGTTGTTAAGACCCAAGAGGCTGAGTCTTTTAGTTATGTTGAGCTCATTCTGAAACAGGCGTTTAGGCGCTGGGTCAACCTTCAAAGAGGACAATGTAATAGGAAGCTGTGGTTCCAGACATAAATCAGCAGCCTCATTATCTGAGGTGCTTCCTATCTCTTTCTTCAGTTTAGCCTCTGACTCTGGCCGTTTCCCTCTCATGAGTCTCCTTTTCGGCTTGGATTGAGGCACGGCGGGTGGAGGAGATGGTTGAAAAACAACGGACTCCCGATCACCCACCTCAGCCTCGGATGTCTCGTAATAGCTGACGTCGCTATCATCGCTCACAATAAAATCTTTCAGCGAAGAGCCATCGTCGTCAGAGGGCCCATCCCTCATGTTTCGTTCGCCGAATTGTATCTCAGTTGCTGCTGCTGCTGCTGCTCTGCCTCTCTGACGGACGACCACTCTCCTGGCAGTTGACGGCGTTATTGCGGTGTACTCTTCAATCGCTTCTTCGGACAAGTCGTTTTCCTTGTCGTAGTCATCTGTTCCATGCTTCCTAGTGGTGGGCCTGTTGCGTGGCTGCGGCGGCAAGGGGAGCAGCAAGGAGTTCACCGCTGCAGTCTTGAAAACCATCCTTGGCTTCACCTCTTTCTTTTTGAACTCGGCAGAGTCATGTCTTTCGTCGTTGTTATCACCGCCACTTAAGAAATCCTCGTCGGAAAATATATCAAAGCTGCCTCCTCCTCCTCCTCCTCCTCGTGCCAACGACCTTCCCTGCGCTATCCAAGCCTTTGTCCGTGATGTTCCCGGCTCTGCAGACCTCGCCATGTAATTTCCAAGAACAGAAGTGGTGTCTCCCACGTTCTCCTGGAACGGCTGTTTGCTTCTGGCGTTGGCGTTGTTCTGGGGCCAGATCCTCGGCTTCACTGGGCTGAGCCGAGCCATAGTGCGCGCTGGACTCGCAATGGATTGGATTTGTACTCCGTGCAAGGGGGAGGGGGCGTCGGTCGATCGTGAGCCAGCAAGGGGAGCACCGGTATATAGATAGGTATGCGAGACTAAGAATAAGAATTAGATGGCTGAGTGCTTGTTGTCCTGTCACCAGGGCGAATATAGTTGGGGGGGGTAGCTAAAATATAGTTGCCACGGCAACAGTCGGTGCCGTGGCTTTCTTTGATCGAGTTAGTCCAATGGTCTGAACAGTGAAGAGTCCTAGTTATATAGTATGTATATACTATATAGTTATGACTTAGACGTCCATTTTAATTGTTGCTAGGGTTTAGTATGGAGTAATACCAGGCTATAAATTGCGTTGATGAGCGCCATTATAAATAAAGCACTACATATATGATTATATCGCCCGCCATACACGGGTTCAACAGTCATCCTAGACAGATAGGTATAACTCTACGGAGTACTTGGTTCCACATGTGTGTTAGTTAGATGGAGAGGGGAAAAATCTTCACCGTTTATTGTCTGTCATGTTGTAGTGCCATGATGATTAATATTTGACAAAAAAAAAGAAAAAAGAAATGGCCCGAGCCGCGGATCGAACGCGGGACCTCTCGCATGCTATGCTGTAGGGTGGACCCTAAGCGAGAATCATACCACTAGACCACCCGGGCGTTGCAGTTGTTACTGCGGTGAAGGGAGCCACAGAATAGTGATATATATTCCAAGTTTTTTCTATCATAATAGCTGTCTCTAGGACCCTGCCTACGTTACCTAGGTAGTTTACCTAACTCGCCGAGCTGGGCTATCTGAAAGGACATGGTCTGTCGGTGCTGTGGGAAATATGTTCGTATATATCTTCATTTCTCGGGATATGAAAAGTCAAGACTATTTTCGATATTTGGGATTTTTCTGGTTAATTTGCAGGGCGAAGCTCTACAGCCATGACATATATATTCTACTGGTTAGATATATTAGTGTCATCTAGGTGACCAGTCAACACGGTGTAACATTTGTACATCAGACACACAGAATAATAAATAGATATAAAAGACACAACAAAATAAAGCACCCCAGTAAGTAAGGTGATTATATCTGCCTGCCTACCCGCCGACATAGTCATCTACCATAGCCAGACAACCCATGGACATGACTACACAACATGGCCCAGATAAATCGAGACTACCAAGTAGGATACGTGATTCACAAATATGTCCATTGAAGTAGCTAAAATCCTACCCAAGCCGTACACGACGACCACCGAATACCAACCAAAGAGCAGCACCGGATCGAATTAGCATACACAAACAAACACAAGAAAAAGACGCTGGTCGCCAGTGTATAACCATGTCGAGTAGCGTCTAATCTTCTACCGTAGAACAGTGAATTTGAAGCTTGGATTTGAAACTCCAGGCCAAGAAAACAGCCGGAAAGAAAACCTAAAGAAGGACCATGCCGAAGCCGGCAACAAGTGCAGTAAGAAGGTAAATGCCGAGTTGCCAAGCACCCAGGTAGATAGTAGCAGGCATCGCACTGGGATGGGCAGCACCCTTGGAGCTCGAAGCGGTTGCACTGCTGCTGCTGACTGCGCCGGTGCCCGTGGGAGACGAGGTGACAGTTCCAGTGCCCGATGTGCCGGCCTCTTTCAACAGCGTGGAGCAAGCAGACGCAGCCTTGCCAGAGGCGGTGACCGAGGCAGCGCCTCCAAAATCACACGCGGAGGCGGCGTTGTTCTCAGCCTTCTGCTGCTGATAGTACAGGTTGAAGACGTAGGACAGCTGTTGCTGCGCGTTGCAGACGCTGTAGGCACCGTATTTACCCGAAGTGGCGTTTGCATCGATTCCAGCGCAGACCCCATAGCCGCACACGGTGTCAAATAGATCGCCGTACTGGTCCGAGGAGATGGAATCCTTCACAACGCATTCCAGGCTAGATTCCATGCAGGTGCACAGGTCATCGTTCGGAGAAGGAGGCAACGGGCTGGCAACAGCCTCCCAGTCGCTGTCGACGGTGGGGCATGCCTCGAGGGCAGTGTTAGACGGGTCGTAGGATCCCTTCTGGACACCGGTAGGGTTGACGCTGGCAATCTCCTGCGAATAGTACGAAAAGTCCACCATTGTCGAAGCGGAAGTGCCATCAACAGACACAAGGCCTGACGGCGGCGTTAGCCCGAACTTCAAAGGAGAAAGATAAACCCGGAGGGACCAGCTCATACCATAGTTATTAGCTTCCTGAAAATACATGTAAACAATACCACCTGACCAGACCTCGGTCATGGCGTCGCCAAAGAGAGCCTGGACCTCAGTAAACTTTCGAGGCTGTACGGTATTGCACCCATACTCGGCGAAGAAGACCGGGACCGAGTAGCTACTGAACTCCTCGGTGCGATCTTTGTACCCAGACTCCTGATAGCTCGAGTCACCGCACCAGGAATAAACATTATACCCCCAGAAGTCAATACTATCGTCAACCGACTCGCAGTTGAAATAGTCGGCCATGTTGACACGGATATCCGAGTCATCGTTGGTGGCATAGCCCACACCCATAGATCTGTAGTCCTTGGCCTTGATGTAGCGCTTCATGTCACGTACAGCAGCCTTGACAAAGGCACTGGCAGCAGTGGTGTTTTTTGTGTTAGAGACCTCGTTTCCTGCGAAGAACCCGATGGTGTTGGTGTACTGCGACAGTTCATCGACCACGCTGACATAACGATCGTACAAGGCGTTGTTCCAGGCCGGTTGGCTTCGGTCGATCGACTGACCAGGGTCTGACAGATCCGCAATCACATATATTCCCGCGTCGGTGAGTAGCTGCATGCACTCGCTATGGTCCAAGGTCGGGTCAATGGCGTAGACACGGATTGTATTGGTACGGAGCTCCTGCAACAGAGGCACGTCTCGCCCACAGGCATCGGCATCGGCCAGAGGATCCTTATAGGTTGTCGTATTTCCGCTAGTCGAGTCGTCGCTCGAGTATTCCTCTATTGGGATCGTCAGTAAAAGAAACTAAAGTAAATCAAGTGAACCCACGTTGATAGGCAACGCCACGGATGAAGCTAGATTCCTAGTATCAGCCATAACCGAGCATAAACAAGTTCGACGAGGGACAAAAGCCATACAATTGAGTGTCATTGCTGTTAAAGAAGAACTTGGAACCCTATAGCAAGATACGTCAGCAACCAACAACAACAACACATGTCGTGGAATGGCTGAACGGTACTTTGATGACAATAGGGTCCAGATCCGCCCACGCAGTGCTGGCAAAGAGGGTCGACCCCGCGAGAATGCTCGACCACTTCATGGTTGTCCGACGAACCACCCACGCACTGTTATTGTCTCAGTTGAGCGGTGCTCTTCCTACCGTTGTCCTGCCCAGCCTCTTCTCGAGAAACACCTTTCGACAATGGTCGCGTTCGGTTGCCTAGACGCAGAGAGATAAACAAACGGGTCGTCCGACCAACGAGCGACGGGAGGAAATAAAACGAGTCCTGCCTAGATTACCAGGAAGCAGGAAAGTGAAGGAAAACCACGAACGATGGACTTGCGGTCAGAACGAAGCGAGAAACAACTGGCTAGATAGCAGATAACACAATAAACGAAGGGAGCAGGTGAATCGAGGGAGGTGACACAGGGTGGGTAGCCTTTAAGTTTTGGTTTTGGGGGGGAAAACCTGATCCCTGGGCTGATCCCTTCAGGGTCCAGGGCCAGGGACTGCCCAGCCTGCCCAGAGTGCCCAGAATGCCCAGCCTGCCCAGACCGACGGAGGAAGGAAATAGGAAGGGAGTATCTACCTTAGTAGGCACCTACAGAGTTCACGTACTTCCATGACGGCTCCATTATTTTCTTGGGAGTTGACAGGCGGTCTGAGACTCGTGTTTGTTGATTGATGTTGTCTGATGGTAGAAATTGAAGTATAAGTATAGTAAACACTGAACAGGTATGGTCTTGTCTCTGTCTACTGTCTACTTTTCTACCAATATAGTCAAGATTCATTAATGTCCTCCTAGGGGTCCCAATCACTATTTGTTCCAGTATATTTTCATCTTGTATACAGTAATTAAGTCTCCCTCGGTCCAAAATTATATAGTTGAGAGTCAGACTCCTGCCATTTCGGGCTAGCGTCTGCACTACTTGAATAGCCCATCAAACTATATTGATAACTATTGACTACACTGGAACTTAATACTGTAGTTAGTTCATTGAAAATTACCTTACGACAGGATTTAGATCGACAAGCTATAGCTAAGAATTATCAGGATGAGAGGATCCATCTTGACAGATATAAACAGACATTATGGAGCGGAAGAAAGCGACTCTATAGGTTCGTGCACCATACAATAGACTCGTATCAGTTCTTTTTTCTGTCTACCAGTAATACCAAGCAACTACTGAGTCTATCAAGTTGGCAAATCAATTGAAACAAGCTTCATGGACTTGTTGATCGGTCACAGGATTCTTATTTCTGATTCTTTCGGACTCTATTTCAATATCCACACCAAGATCCAACGACAATTCCTCACTCGACGGTGGAGGCAGTACTCGAAGATCGACGATAAAGCTCTGACAAAGTCTCTGGCTGTACGGAGTAACTATCTGATGGAATCCTCATGCTTTAATCGGCAGTGAGTAGTCACTGTAGGGTCCAAGTAATACCTATGCAAAATACGGAGGAGACAGTTTCAGATAATACACAGTTAATCGCTCCAGGCTGGACCAATGAAGATCTCGAGAGGAAGAGACGAGAAACAATGTCTTGCTCGTGTCGGTTGCCTAGAAGCGGAGAGATAAAACAAATGTCCAGCCTCAAGACGATCGCACCAAGTCATCTGAAATCTAGAATCGTGTTTTATCTGGTTCACACGTTGGTTTGACTTTCTTTCCACAATAATGATACCTATCTTGTGGAGAGACATTCGCAATAATCCACCTAAGTACTGATCCATAGTCTATAAAAAATTTCCATCGAACCTGCAGATCACCCGCCTTTCGACTGAAAATGTAACTACCTAGTAATGATAAATTTTATCTTGCCACCAGGTATTATTTCTCGACACATGCATAACTTGGCTAAGAGTCTTGGCAGTGCGTGGAGGGTGCATCACTATACACTGCATAGTGCACTGCACTGCGTCCTGCAAAGCATGTACAGCACTGAGCACAGGACATACTTTTTATGTAGTATGTACCTAGTACCTAGGTACTCCGTAGTGCATAGTGCATACCTAGTAGTTAAGTATGGCACTTCGAGGTACTCAGTACTTAGTGATAGAGGGGTCGACTGATTCGCCATGTACGACAGTCTTTGTGTCTCATTATCAGATGTTCAGCTGTCTCTGTTATAAGACAATCCTTTTCATGAGGGACAGGCTTTAAATGGTGGACTAGGGATATCTATTTAATTATTTAATTTGATAGTGACCAATCTTCTGTTTCTCGTAGTGGTTGTCACTAGCGATCTATGGTTCGATGATTTGGTGGCTGTAGTCGGTGGACTAAAAATATACATTTCTTCTTTATCCATTGTAGTATTCTGTATATTATTTAATATTTATTTTCTAGTACTACATTTTCTTATTAGTTAATGTAATACAATTGAGTGTTGTTCATCAGCCAAGTCCTTGAAACCTGGTTCTGATACAAGCATTGCGCGGCCACCAGCCTGTGAGAAGAGCAGCGTGAGACAAGTTTCCAAGTGACTGGCTTGCCACTTCTAAACGACCAGTCGAGTCAATTCGCAGCCATGAATACCTGGCTGGATCTCTGTGGGGGGCCAAGAGTCGATGAAGGAAGGCTTCGCACGGGTCCGGTGTCTGAGACATCCGCTCGGATGGCGCCCACACGCGCGTTCATTTGGGGCGGGCCAGCGCGAAATTGCGTATTCCAGGCTACATTATGTACTCTTACAGCTGAGTACTGAGTAGTATTGTTATTAATGCAAGATTACTGGTTCTCTACCTAGTAGGTACCTAGGTAGTACTTAGGTAGTACTACCAGGTAGGTACCTATTTGACCATTTATATGGTACTCCGTATCTTGCTATCGAGTGCACTCTGTACGGAATCCTCCTACCGAGTGATCTGGTCTATTTTAATCATAGTCTACTGTTTAGTAGTATATAGTAGTTATGTACTGTATGTACTTAAGTCCTAGGTAGTATTTCTAGAATCTAGAATTAGAATCACCCTATAATTTTAATTACTATATCAGGAGTAAGCCAATATCTCACCATCTCCAGTGGCAATCACTACTCCTAAAAATTTTCAGTATTACTCTGAATTCATACTCTGTAGAAACAACCTGAAGTTCATTATCATAGTAGTCAGTCATAGTCATAGTCATACATACTCCCATCTTCTGCAATGGTGGCTGGTAAACAATTTATCCCTACATACCAGGCGCTGGCGGGTGGTACCAGACCGGTATACATTACCAGGTACGTACCAAAATGATAGGAAAACAAATAATTTAACCAATTTGTATTGTCCACTTGTTCACAGTGGGTCTCAGGGGTTATTTTCCAGTTACCCGTGGAATCCGAAAGGTATCAGGAGTGGCTATTGGTTATGTAGGTCCACTGCCGCGTCTTCCATCTACCAGGTCTGGCTGAGGTGCTTGTTGGGATCATTTCGATAAGAAAAATAGAATAAGAATGGTACTCCGTAGACTCTGAATTGATATTATTATTGTATGTAGCAAATAATATCTTTTATTTATTGATGGGTGAACTCGATCTCTAATAATTCTATAATACAGTATACTGTATACAGTATTTATGAATTCTTCATAAACACCCTTATGAATGTTATAGGCACCGCCACTCTGGACAAGGCTGTGACAGCCAATGGTGAAGTGTTTATCCTCTGCTGGCATCCTCTGACTGGCTGTGGCTGCCCCGTCGACAGGGGCCCGGCCATCCACCACTACTGAAATGTGGCCGGTGGCGGGCGTATGGTATCTGGAAATACCGCTGTACCGGAGGTATTTCACTACCACCTCCTCATACTAACATGGTGCCTACCTAGGTGGGTAGGTACTAGGTAGGTACTCTGTAGTACGATCTAGATACGCCGTACGCCGTACGTGGCTGCTTCCGCTAAAGACCCAGCCCAGTAAAAGGCCCAAAATAACCACAGCCCCGTTGCAGGTGCAGGCCAACCGGTATTCCCCTGTTTCCGTCTGGCGATCAGTGCCTCCCTTGTCCTTGTCCGTTGTTTCCTTCCCACTCCAAGCTACCTGACCTAACCTTACTCTGCCTGGCTCCTTCCCTCTCTTTCTTCCTCGTCTCGTCCCATCCGTTCCTTGTTTCCCTACACTCTTTATTCTATTCCTCTTTTTTCCCCCCCCTCCAACTCTCTCCCTCTCTCTCTCATCTCCAGCGTTGCTGTCTTGCAAACCCTGCTCCCCTCCCCCCTTCCCTTCTTTCGACTCTCTCTCGTTTGAGAAAGAAGGCTCACGGGAGGAAGGCCTTCCCTTTCTGCGTCCACCGCGGCACGGCAGTTTCGATCGATCGCACTCGTCGTCACTTTTTGCCCGTCCGCCCTGGGCCGAAGAGAAGGCGTCGTCGGTTTCTCGCACCGGTTCTTCGTTTCGACCCTTCCATTCGTTTCTTACGACCGCTCGAGCGCCATACTCGTCGATTTATTTTATTCTAGTTTTCTTTTTTTATTCGGTTCCCTTCACTACTATTCTTCCAAAGGGGACCCAAGGGGCACATTTTACAGTCTGGAGCTGGCGAAATAGATCAAAGAAAAAAAAAAAAAACTAAACCAAGAGGAAAAAAAAGGAAAAGTTCATTTTCTTTGACAACATAAAACGTGGATGGTCATCACTGAGGTACGAATAATGGGTCTGGAAAAAGAAACTTCTCGCAAACTAACCATGGTTCCCAGTGTCAATTCATCTGTTCGTGATGTCGGGCTATCAGCACGGCTACGAGGAGGGCTACGGCCAACAAGGCCATGGCGACCCCTACTACCAGGAGGAACACGCTCAAGGTTACTATGACAACCAGGAATATCAACAAGGAGATGGCTATTATGACAGATCGTAAGCTCCGGTTTGATCCACAGTGCAAGGGTCGAATACTAATATCTTTTCCCTCCCTACAGCGGCTATGAGCAGGGAGAACAAAACCAAGCGTATCATCAGGATGGCGGATACTACGAGGGTGGCCAGCAAGATGAATATTACAACGATCAGTACTACGACCAGGGCAATGGCGGCCAAGGTGGCTACGGAGGACAGGGTCGGCGTCGTGGCGGGGACTCGGAAGAGGACTCGGAGACTTTCAGTGATTTCACAATGAGATCGGAAACCGCACGAGCAGCCGACATGGATTACTACGGCCGTGGCGACGAGCGATACAACAGCTACAACGACGGTCAGGCCGGGGGACGCGGGTATGGATACCGCCCTCCCTCGTCCCAGGTCTCCTACGGAGGCAACCGCTCCTCCGGTGCCTCGACTCCCGTGTATGGTATGGATTACGGCAACGCTCTGCCGGCTGGCCAACGGTCTCGGGAGCCCTACCCGGCCTGGACCTCGGACGCTCAGATCCCCATCTCCAAGGAGGAGATCGAGGATATCTTCCTGGACCTGGTCAACAAGTTTGGTTTCCAGCGCGACAGCATGCGCAACATGTATGACCATCTCATGACCCTGCTGGACTCCCGGGCGTCTCGCATGACCCCGAACCAGGCGCTGCTCTCCCTGCACGCGGACTACATTGGCGGTGAGAACGCCAACTACCGCCGCTGGTATTTCGCCGCCCATCTCGACCTGGACGATGCCGTCGGGTTCGCCAACATGAACCTGGGCAAGGCGGATCGCAAGACCCGCAAGGCTCGTAAGGCTGCCAAGGCCAAGGCCGCCCAGAACCCAGAGAACGTCGACGAGACCCTCCAGGCGCTGGAGGGCGATAACAGTCTGGAGGCCGCCGAGTACAGATGGAAGACCCGCATGAACCGCATGTCCCAGCACGATCGGGCGCGCCAGCTGGCTCTCTTCCTCATGTGCTGGGGTGAAGCCAATCAGGTCCGATTCCTGCCGGAATGCCTGTGCTTCATCTTCAAGTGCGCCGACGACTACTACAGCTCGCCCGAGTGTCAGAACCGGGTCGAACCCGTCGAGGAATTCACCTACCTGAACGAGATCATCACCCCGCTCTACCAGTACTGCCGTGACCAGGGATACGAGATCCTCGACGGCAAGTACGTCCGTCGCGAGCGTGATCACGCTCAGATCATCGGTTACGACGACATGAACCAGCTCTTCTGGTACCCCGAGGGTATCGAGCGTATCTCCCTCGAAGACAAGACTCGTCTCGTCGACATCCCCCCGGCCGAGCGGTGGACCAAGCTCAAGGAGGTCAACTGGAAGAAGGCCTTCTTCAAGACGTACAAGGAGACTCGTTCCTGGTTCCATCTGATCACCAACTTCAACCGTATCTGGGTCATTCACTTGGGTGCCTTCTGGTTCTTCACCGCATACAACGCTCCGACACTCTACACCAAGAACTACCAACAACAAGAAAACAACAAACCTCACCCGGCCAAGATCTGGTCTGCTGTCGGCTTCGGTGGTGCCTTGGTCAGTTTCATTCAGATTCTCGCTACCATCTGTGAGTGGCTCTATGTACCTCGGCGATGGGCTGGCGCGCAGCATTTGACCAAGCGCTTGCTCTTCCTGCTCTTCATGTTTGTTATCAACCTGGCGCCCGGTGTCTACATCTTCGGAATCGCCACCGATGATGCCAAGGGTACCATTCCGTTGATCCTCGGTATTGTGCACTTCTTCATCGCTCTGGGGTCGTTCTTCTTCTTTTCGGTGATGCCTCTTGGCGGCCTGTTTGGCAGCTATCTGAAGAAGTCCGGACGCCAATACGTGGCTAGCCAGACTTTTACGGCCAGCTTCCCTCGTTTGCACGGTAACGACATGTGGATGTCTTACGGCCTCTGGGTCTGTGTCTTTGGTGCCAAACTGGCTGAGTCGTACTTTTTCTTGACGCTCTCCTTCAAGGACCCGATCCGTATCCTGAGTCCCATGAAGATCCACAGATGTGTCGGTGTCACTTACATGCCCTCTGCACTCTGCCACTACCAGCCCCAGATCTTGCTCGGCCTCATGTTCGTCATGGACGTGACCCTCTTCTTCTTGGACAGTTATCTCTGGTACATTATCTGCAACACCGTCTTCTCCGTCGCCCGCTCCTTCTACCTCGGTGTGTCCATCTGGTCCCCGTGGCGCAACATCTTCTCTCGTCTGCCCAAGCGTATTTACTCCAAGGTGCTTGCCACCACCGACATGGAGATCAAGTACAAGCCCAAGGTTCTCATCTCTCAGGTGTGGAACGCGATCATCATTTCCATGTACCGCGAGCATCTCCTGGCCATCGACCACGTGCAGAAGCTCTTGTACCACCAGGTCCCCTCTGAGCAGGAAGGTAAACGCACCCTCCGTGCCCCGACGTTCTTCGTCTCCCAAGAGGATCAGTCCTTCAAGACCGAGTTCTTCCCGTCTGGCAGTGAAGCCGAGCGCCGTATCTCCTTCTTCGCTCAGTCCTTGTCCACTCCGATCCCCGAGCCTCTCCCCGTCGACAACATGCCCACCTTCACTGTCCTGATCCCCCACTATGGCGAGAAGATTCTCTTGTCCCTGCGTGAAATCATTCGCGAGGATGAGCCGTACTCCCGTGTCACGCTCTTGGAATACACCAAACAGCTCCACCCTCACGAATGGGACTGCTTCGTCAAGGATACCAAGATTCTGGCTGATGAGACCTCGCAATTCAATGGCGAGTTTGAGAAGAGCGAATCGGATGCTCAGAAGAGCAAGATCGATGATCTTCCCTTCTACTGCATTGGTTTCAAGTCCGCCGCTCCCGAGTACACTCTCCGTACCCGTATCTGGGCCTCGCTCCGTTCTCAGACCCTGTACCGTACCATCTCCGGTTTCATGAACTACAGCCGAGCCATCAAGCTGTTGTACCGTGTTGAAAACCCCGAGGTTGTCCAGATGTTCGGTGGCAACTCCGAGAAGCTCGAACGGGAGTTGGAGCGCATGGCCCGCCGCAAATTCAAGATCTGTGTCTCTATGCAGCGTTATGCCAAGTTCAACAAGGAAGAGCGCGAGAACACCGAGTTCCTTCTGCGTGCCTACCCGGATCTGCAGATCGCTTACCTGGACGAGGAGCCTCCTACCAACGAGGGCGAAGAACCCCGCCTCTACTCTGCCTTGATTGACGGTCACTCTGAAATTTTGGAGAATGGCATGCGTAAGCCCAAGTTCCGCATTCAACTCTCCGGCAACCCTATCCTTGGCGACGGCAAATCCGACAACCAGAACCACTCTGTGATCTTCTACCGCGGTGAATACATCCAGCTGGTCGATGCCAACCAGGACAACTACCTTGAAGAGTGTCTCAAGATTCGCAGCGTCCTCGCCGAGTTCGAAGAGCTGACCACCGATAATGTCTCCCCCTACACCCCTGGCCTGCCCTCCCCCAAGTTTGACCCCGTGGCCATTCTCGGTGCCCGTGAATACATTTTCTCGGAGAACATTGGTGTTCTGGGTGATGTTGCCGCTGGAAAGGAACAGACGTTCGGTACCCTCTTTGCGAGAACCCTGGCTCAAATTGGCGGCAAACTGCACTACGGACACCCGGATTTCCTCAACGGTATTTTCATGACCACTCGTGGTGGTGTCTCCAAAGCTCAGAAGGGTCTCCATCTGAACGAGGATATCTACGCTGGTATGAATGCAATGATCCGTGGTGGCCGTATTAAGCACTGCGAGTACTACCAGTGCGGTAAGGGTCGTGATCTTGGCTTCGGTTCCGTCCTCAACTTCACCACCAAGATCGGAACCGGTATGGGTGAGCAGATGCTTTCGCGCGAGTACTACTACCTTGGTACCCAACTTCCCTTGGATCGTTTCCTGTCCTTCTACTATGCCCACGGTGGTTTCCACGTCAACAACATGTTCATCATGTTGTCGGTCAAGATGTTCATGATTGTCCTGATCAACCTGGGTGCCTTGAAGCATGAGACTATCACCTGCAAGTACAACTCGAACCTGCCCATCACGGATCCTCTGCGCCCCACGTACTGTGCCGACCTGATCCCGATCACCAACTGGGTCAACCGATGCGTTCTTTCGATCTTCATTGTCTTTTTCATCTCCTTTGTGCCCCTCGCCGTTCAAGAGTTGACCGAGCGTGGACTCTGGCGCATGGCAACTCGTCTGGCCAAGCAGTTCGGCTCGGTTTCCTTCATGTTCGAGGTGTTTGTCTGTCAGATCTACGCGAACTCGGTCCATCAGAACCTTTCCTTTGGCGGTGCCCGTTACATTGGTACTGGTCGTGGCTTCGCCACTGCCCGTATTCCCTTTGGAATTCTGTACTCGCGATTTGCCGGTCCCTCGATCTACAATGGTTCCCGTCTGCTGCTCATGCTCCTGTTCGCTACGTCTACCGTCTGGACTGCGGCTTTCATCTGGTTCTGGGTGTCCCTGCTAGCTCTGGTGATCTCGCCGTTCATCTTCAACCCGCACCAGTTCTCCTGGGAGGACTTCTTCATCGATTACCGTGATTACCTCCGCTGGCTGTCCCGTGGTAACTCCCGCTCGCATGCCTCCTCGTGGATCGCCTTCTGCCGTTTGTCCCGAACTCGTATCACTGGTTACAAGCGCAAGCTGATCGGCGTTCCGTCGGAGAAGAACTCAGCTGATGTTCCTCGCGCTCGTATTTCCAACATCTTCTTCAGTGAAATCGTTGCCCCGTTGCTCTCGGTTGCCGTCACTCTCGTCCCCTACCTGTACATTAACTCGAGAACTGGTGTGAAAGCAGACGAAACCCAGAAATACAATGCCCTGCTCCGTGTTGGCATCGTCGCTTTCGCTCCGATCGCGGTCAATGCTGGTGTTTCCATCGCTTTCTTCGGCATGGCATGCTGCATGGGCCCCCTTCTCAGCATGTGCTGCAAGAAGTTTGGTGCCGTCCTCGCGGCTATTGCTCATGCCATCGCCGTCATCATGCTGCTCCTTGTCTTCGAGGTCATGTTTATCCTTGAATCCTGGTCTTGGCCTCGATGCCTCTTGGGCATGATCGCTACGGTTGCCATCCAACGTTTCGTTTACAAGCTCATCATCGCCCTGGCTCTGACTCGTGAGTTCAAGCATGATCAGTCCAACGTTGCCTGGTGGACCGGTAAATGGTACAACATGGGATGGCACTCGTTCTCCCAACCCGGACGTGAATTCCTTTGCAAGATTACCGAGCTCGGCTACTTCGCGACCGATTTTATTCTGGGCCATACCCTCCTGTTCTTCATGCTTCCCGCTCTCTGCGTCCCGTACATTGACAAGTTCCATTCGGTCGTTCTCTTCTGGCTGCGCCCTAGGTAAGTTCTCCACAGAGAAACCCCCCTCCTTCATCCCCTTCACCCCTTCACCCCTTCACCGCCTTGGTGCACTGGTAGCTTACTTTGTGGTTTCTTTCCAGTCGGCAAATCCGTCCTCCGATCTACTCCCTCAAGCAGTCTAAACTGCGCAAGCGCAGGGTCGTTCGCTACGCCATTCTCTACTTTGGACTCCTTATCCTGTTCATCTTACTGATTGCCGGTCCTCTCATTGTTCGCCGTCTCAACATCATCACCCCGTCGAAGACGCTGAGCTCTCTGAGCAGTTTTTACCTTGTCCAACCGCTCGATACCAACAACAACGACACTGTTTCATGCTACACTGGAAGCTACCTCCCTGCGGGATATTCGGCTTCACTTTGCTCCACCAGCAGTGGTGCCGCTGCCAGTGCCACTTCATGAGGCGTGGTTGAGTTCTTTCTTTGCCATGTTTTCTAGACCGCACGCTCTCCTGGAGGTGACTGTATAAAGTGTTTTCATTTCCCCCGTACGGCGGCCGTCTGGCGCTGGTTCCTGTGCTCTCATCCTTCGGCGTTTTCTCCGTTTTATCTGCCGCGTTCCTTCCTGTGGGGCCTAGTAATGAATGACCATTTCCTTTTTTCTCTGCGGGCTGCGATGTACTCCAGAGGTGTTACTCTTCCTGTCCCTCATGTGTTATTCATTCCCAGGAACTTCTTATTATCTCTCCTATTTGTTTTTGTTACAACTTGTCTCGCCGGTCGCTTTCTTTTAAATAGTAATAGATTGATGCTGCCCGTTGTGCGGCGGGTGCTGGAGACTCCTTTTTCCCTTGTATACCAATAGCCAGTAGGCATTCATTCTCTCGTAGATTGCCGCTTGTCTTCCCCTGGTGACAGAGAATCGATCTTGCAGGGAACCTGTAGTCTTAGTTTAGCACTCGTCAAGGTCTGCAGAACGACCAAATATCCAGTCACCATGGGGTGCCAGGAGCAATGCCATGCCTGCAACGCCGTGGTGGTCTGACGGTGCCGGGTGGACGAGGGAGTCGGAGTCGGGAGTCCATTACAAAGTCACGTGCTGACCGGTTCAGGCTTCAGCCTTCCCGTTCCTGAAAGCCTCCGGACGGACTTCTCAAACCCGGTCTTCCCATCTTGCCCGTTCTCTCATTTTCAAATTTCTTTCTTTTCGTCGTGTGTTAGGAACACGAATCTAGAGAGCCAAGTTTTGTTCCGGGCATAGCCGGCGTAACAGAGGCGCCTTCTCGAGGGCCACAAAATCGCCATGGATCTCCAGGAAACGCAGCGCCTCCTTTCCGAACACCTCCACTCGCTGGCTGACCTGTTCCATCGGATCCCCGGGTCTGCTATCCTCCTCCGCTATGTGAAATCGAGTTACCAGAATGATCCGGTCCGGTCGGCCGTCGAACTGTTTCTCTTCCTCTTCGCGGTGCGGTATCTCCTCGCGCCCAAGTACTCGACCAAGCCTGGAGTGGTCAAACTTTCGGAGGATGAGATCGATGACCTGGTGGATGAATGGACGCCTGAACCCTTGGTTGGACGGCCCTCGCCTCTGGAGGAAATGGAGGTGGAAAAACGGACGGTGATTGTTGGGTAAATTTTGTCCCTTCCGGCGGAGAGAAAGGGGGGGGGGGACTGTTAGCTTGTAATATCTGTTTCTTTGGCTAATCTTCTCAAGACCGGTAGGACCCAAGTCGAAACTGGCCAACGGCCGCACGGTGGTCAATCTGGGATCGTACAACTTCTACAACTTCAACGCCAACGAGTCGCTTAAGGAGAAGGCGATCCAGACGCTGCGCAACTACGGCGTGGGGCCCTGCGGTCCTCGCGGGTTCTACGGGACGCAGGATGTCCATATGAAGACCGAGGCGGACGTGGCGGCGTACCTGGGCACGGATGCTTGCATTGTCTACTCGCAGGCGTTCTCGACCATCTCGAGCGTGATTCCGGCCTTCTCGAAGCGCGGCGACATCATCGTTGCGGACAAGGGTGTCAGCTATGCCATTCGCAAAGGTATTCAGATCTCCCGTAGTATCGTCCGGTGGTACGAGCACAATGATCTGGAAGATCTGGAGCGCGTGTTGGCCAAGGTCACCAAAGAACAAGCCCGAAAGCCGCTCACGAGGCGGTTCATTATCACGGAGGGCCTGTTCGAGTCCTACGGGGATATGGTCGACTTGCCGAAGATTGTGAGCTTCTCTTTCATATGAGCTTAATTTTCTCCCCCATCTAATACTTTACAGATCGAACTCAAACTCAAGTACAAGTTTCGATTGATCCTGGACGAGACATGGTCGTTTGGTGTTCTGGGTAGAACTGGTCGAGGCGTGACGGAACACCAGAACGTGGATGCTGCCGAGGTTGATATGATTGTGGGATCGCTGGCCGGACCACTCATTGCCGGAGGAGGGTTCTGCGCTGGCTCGGAGGAGATCATTCACCACCAACGCATCTCTGCGGCAGCTTACACGTTCTCGGCCGCCCTGCCGGCCCTTCTGTCCACCACTGCCAGTGATACTATCAATATCCTCCAGAACAGCCCGGACCTCGTCTCGCAGCTGAGAGATCTGACCAAGGCGATGTGGGCTCAACTTGATCCCCGCAGCGACTGGGTCCGTTGTACCAGTGCCCCCGAGAACCCGATCATGATTCTGGTCATCAAGCCCGAGGTGGTGGCTGCGAAGCGGCTCACCGCCGACGACCAGCAATATCTGCTGCAAGATGTTGTCGATGAGGTACGTATCACCTAGAACGCCAAGTCTATCGCATGGCGTGTTCAGAGCTGACGATTGTTCTTAGTGCCTTGCAAACGGTGTGCTCATCAGTCGCTTGAAGACGCTGCACGACAATTTCGAACCCAAGCAGGACATCCCGCCGGCCCTGAAGGTTTGTGTGACGATGGGCCTGACGAAGAAAGAGATTGAGAAGTCGGGCACGACCATTCGACATGCCATTACAAAAGTCCTAAGTCGACGCAAGTGAGCCGCCGACGATTCATTCATGTCCTATGATCTTTACGAGTCTGTAGCATAATTCTGTCTTGTGCAAGTTGTCCGTCCACTTGACTCTGGTCGTGCATAGAAAGCCCCCATTCTTCGTGTGTTATTAATTCCTTTCTTTTACCCTTCCTGACACCGTTGTTTTTTTTCCCTTCAAGAACATTTTTAATAATAAGATTTGCATTCAAGCTCACTCTCTAATATCAATTGTTGAGGCCAATAACTGTGGCATTCCATGGTGAATCATCATGCCAATCTCCGAGGCATTCACCCCCCTTGAGTGTACTCTGTAGCTGTGGCGCATTCTCGACAGGATGCCGGTGAAGAAATCGATCGAGGGACTGTCGTACTCTGGGGGCGATTGAAGGTAACATTGGATGGACACCGTTTCAGCTGGGATTTTTAGACCACCCTGACCATTAATTATCGGCTTCAACTGGACTGGCCAGCGTCCACAGTTCCTGCTGTCGGGGCCAACACCAACATATTTGATCCAGCCCCCGATCGACCATCACCATCGACAAGATGAAAGGGCTCCTGCTAATTATCGCTTTGACGCGATATGTTTTCGCCCAGCAAGCACCGATCGTGCAGGTGGATGTCTGGGTAGACGATGCAGGGAATACCGTCAGCGTCGAGACTCGGCTAGGGCCTACAGTATGTACATCCTCTTATTTTTGAGCCTGCTGGGGTGATAAAACTGACAGACCAGGGGATTCCATTAGCAAGCGATATTCCTCCGATTCCCGTCGAGACAGGTCTCCCTGCGCCAGGCCTGTCTATTCCATCCATCTCCAACGTCAACCCAGATGTCAACGTCGACGTCGACGTGAACTCCCATTCCAACCGACAATTCGGCATCTCGTACTCGCCCTACAATGCCGACTCGACCTGCAAGACTCTCGACGGCGTCGAGCGCGACATCGCCCAGCTCGCAGGGAAAGGGTACGCTCTAGTCCGCATCTACGGGGTAGACTGCGACCAGGTGCACACGGTCACGACGGCAGCCCAACGACACAAGATGCGAGTGTTTGCAGGGGTGTACGATCTGGAGAATTTCCCGAACAGCCTCCAACCTTTCATCGAGGCTGCATCCGTCTCGTCGTGGGGGGTCTTCGACACCATCGCGATCGGCAACGAACTCATGAACCGCGGGCAGAATAGTGCCGCGGAGATCGTCGCCGCGTTGAACACGGCGCGTGCCCGTCTCCGAGACGCAGGCTTTACGGGCCCCGTGGTGACCGTCGACACGGTGAACTCGCTCGTTACCCATCCCGAACTGTGCCAGGCGTCCGACTACTGCGCGGCAAACTGCCATGCCTTCTTTGATGGGAATGAGGTCCCCCCCGACGCGGGCCGCTACGTTCGTGCCCAGATGGATCATCTCGCCGGGAGCGCTGGAAAACAGGTGCGCATCACCGAGTCCGGCTGGCCGCATGCCGGCCAGGCGAATGGGGTCGCTGTGCCTTCGGTACAGAACCAGCGCGTCGCCATTGATAGTCTGCGGCAGGCGTTTCCTGACGGCGACCTCGTGCTGTTCTCTGCGTTTGACGATGGCTGGAAGAGCGATACGCAGTGGACGTTTGGCGCGGAGAAGTTCTGGGGCATTCAATAGTTCTGTTTTCAATGTACTTAACACTCCGATCTTACTTTACGTACTTATTGACCAAAGAGTCTTATTACTTATTGAAAAGTCTTATTAAGAGATACGTAAATTCTGCATTGCCTCCTCAAACCCCACCGCTCCAGTGTTGCCTGCATGCGTCGGGCTGGAGTCGCTCGGCGCGTGTACAGTTCGTCCCCGCCGGCGCGCCTTGGGGGGCTCCGGCTTCATCGCATACTTGGAGGATGATGACCCGTTGGTGCCGGGCAAACTGGGGACGGGGACAGGGGATATCGGCAGACCTGTCGGGCTTGGGGTACATGTCTTGGGCAGGGGTGGAGGATTGGGCAGGTATGACCTGCGGGGCGGGGGCAGAGCCGGGGGTGGGTTTGACACTGATCTGCGTTTCGGGCTCGTCATGGTAGAAGAAGGAGACGATGACGACGCTGGTGATATGATAAGGGGAGGAGGAGGAGGAGGAGCAGGAACAGAAGCAGGCGACGGACCGAGAGAGCTGGCCTTGTCGCTGCTTTCATCTTCAGCGTTACGTCGCCCCCGCCAGCGCCGTTTGGGTGGTTCAGGCTTGACGCGGAGGCTTGGAGTCATGACACCTGGTTTGGCGTGCATCGAGGCGACTTCATGGACACTCAGCACCGAGGCGGACGCGGGGTCGGGGGACGCAGGACCGGGGGAATCACTGATTGTCGAAGCCAAGGAGATCGTCCGGGTGACGGCTAGGGGGTCTCCAATCTCATCTATACTTGACGTGATGGTTGTGGTTGTGGTTGTGGTCGTCTTCTCGGGGACAGGGACCAGCCAATCCACCGTGGCGCACCGGTCAACAAGCCGTCGGGTAGTCTCATCGACTTCGTCAAAGTGCATGATCTTCCCCTCCTGGTCGGGGTCCGTGGAGAACTGGCCATGCACCAGGATGCTTAGTACGCGGGTCAACTCCTCACGCTTGTAGTAGGGAGGGTATTTCAACTGTGTGTGGGCGAGCAGCGGGTAAAGAACGCGTAGGTAGGTGTGTCGAAGGGCGGAGGCCTCCTCTGGTAGATCGAGGAGATTGCGGATGAGAATGTCAACCAGGACGTGCAAGTCATTAGTATAAAAGTATTCGTAGGTGCTCGGGGTTGTGAAGATCAGATAGAGTAGTTTGAGGGTGAGGAGCTGTAGAGAAGTTTCACCTGGGGGGGGTTAGCATGCATACATGTAGGGGGAAAACAGAAAAAAAAAAAAAAAAACAGAACATACCCTCTCGATTAATCAAAAGAATGATGTTCTCGCCAAAAGTCTTGTAGGCGTTGCCGTGCATCGACAGGATTTTGATCACTTTGTTGGTGAGAGGATGGCCACTCTCGACCGGGTCATGGGCCGAGATCATGAATTGTTCATTCAACACCAACTATCCCTTAGCATAGACTCATTTTACGAAGAGTCAAGTAGTCGAAAACTCACCAACACGCGAATAACAGGGTAATGGTACGGGTCATTGGCGTCGAATGAGATGTGCTCGATGATCTCGAACAGACACTTGATGAACTCGTCGTCCACGAGAACTATTCTCATTAGATGGTTTACTTTTTTTTTTTTTTTTTTTTTTTTTTGTTTCCGTTTCTTAAAAAGCCGGGGCTCACCAAGATCCTCAATCCTGACCCGCTGGATGCGCGACATCTCATACAGTAGACCCAAGAGCAAGCGACGCAGACCCGCGCCCTCACCCTCATCCCCATCGTCGACGCCCTGGATGAGCTCCAGCAGACGGGCAAAGACGCCGATCTCATTCATCTGCCGCAGGGTGACCTCATGCTGCTGCCCGTCGAAAAGCAGCACCGACACAATCAGCTGCAACATCGTCCAGTCGTCCTCCTGCAGCAGGCTGTAGATGATCTGTTGACGGATATACGGGGCATGTGCGGCGAAGAGCGGCGACGAGAGAAGTATATACGAGCAACGGGAGATGTCGTAGTCGGTGGTAAGGAAGTCATCTAGACACATTAATCAGCCTTTGGCGATTCCCCTCGTGGTTTTCTCTTCTACCCTTGTAGCTGGTCGCAAGGCCGAGATGGGCACGCAGGACGTCATCGATGCGATCCTCCGACTCGCACGCCGTAGAGACAATACTCTGCAATTCTACCAAATAAAAACATTAGACAAGAAACAAGAAGAGAGAAGAAAAAAGAAAAAAGAAAAAGAAAAAGAAAAAGAAAAAGCATACCGTCCCAGAATTGGTGCTCCTCCAACCGTCCAGCATCCCCCTCACACGCCATTTCCTACAGCGCAATTCGCGTTGACGGCAGTCGTGCCGCTGCACTCATCCCGTCCTTTTTTTTTTTGTTTTCCTGGTCGGGGATATCCGAGGCGAGTCTGCAAAGGGGAGCAGCTGCAGGGCAGCTCTGCTGAAGGTGGGTGAGTGGACGAGAGAGTTAGACGCGGACGATCTGTTCTGGTGTGAAACAGGAGTGTGTTTGTGGCTGGCAGAAGCGGGCGGGGAGAGAGCGAGTTTGGCAGATCCACAAATATACGTAGATAAAGGTTAGGAAACAATAATTATCTAGGGATCGGATCTTTGATGACTTCTAAATAGTGGTGAAAATGATAGAGAATAGTGTATGTTTTGTACAAAGTTGATCTCGTGTACACTCAAGGCCTGCATACCAGGGCCATTGGAATGTCTGTTACAAAGACATTAAGACAATGCATTATAGCTATAGATAAATAGATACAAGAGAACCGAAATCACGATGGACGTTTGAATGGATGGGCTTCCGTATTACTAGAACAGTTAGGACACTCCAAAATTAAAAGGAAAAAAAAAAAAAAAAACTTACAGGACAAATTCATCCAGACTGAGCACGTCTGGCTCGCTGTAGAGGAGATAGAAGTACTTGAGTGTCTCGGCCAGCCAGAAGGACTCCATCTCGTCGATAAAGCGCGGGGTCTCGACGGTGACGTCGCTGATGGCAGAGTGGGCAAGGTCGGTGCGACAGTGCTTGGAGATGGCTTCGAACATGGCCCATCCTTTCTCCCGCCACACGCTGTCCCCCGTCAGCCGGTACATGATGAACACGGACTCGATCGCCTCCGGCCGCAGCAGGTACTTGGACGAGATAACGTCCACCATGCCTGTTGGGAGGTGTTCGTTGCGGATGCGAGCCGCGACAAACTCCTCGTGCGAGAGCACGGGCAGTCCCGGGGGCGGGCCGGCGGCGCCGTCCTTGGGTTGAATTGAACGAGGCGGTGTCTCCGTGGGCTGGGGAGCCTCATCGTCATCATAGCCATCATCATGATAATAATCATGATGCCTGGTATCTCGTTTCACTTTGCTGGGATCGTGCGGCGGAGCAGGGATAACGGGGGCCTCCGACGGAACCGCGATGCCGGCCGTCTCCAGCTCGTGTTGCGCCTGTTCGTCGAATTTCAGACGCTGCTCTTGGATGTGGTTGGCGCGCCGCAGGCGGCCCTCTTCGGACGGATCGAGGGCGCGGTGATAGCGCGTCTGGTTCCAGGCGCACGAGTGCGGGTCGGCGCAGGGGAGCAGTTGAAAGGTCTCGGGCATGATGCCTGTCCGTGTTGACTCGTAGGCCCACAGACAGCCCTCCGTCAGCTGGGTGGCCGTTTTCAGATCGTCGTCCAGGCCAAACGTTTTGGCCCCGAGGGCGAACATCGCGCCGGCAAAGCAGCCGAGGTGGGTGCCTTCATAGCGGTACTCCACATCAGGCATCCCGGGCTTTGCGGTTCGATGGATGATAGCCGTCGCGAGGAAGCGGAGGTCCCGGTCATCAGGGACCATGGGTCGGAACAGGAGGTGCTCGCGGGTCACGTCCATGGCCGTCTGGTACATGGTGCGATACTGGTCATTGAGACCCCCCAGCAGCAGGTACTCCTTTGGGAGGTACTCGTACGTCGAGTCGGCCCGGCCGGCCAGTCCGAAGCGATCGACCGACCCGGGTGAGCTGATGAGGCCTTCCTGGCAGTCTTTCTCGGAGGGTGAACGACTCCGAATTTGGTTGTTCCCGTCCGGAGTAGTGGCGGTAGGTCCATCCGTGTGCTGATCGGCAGAGGCACCATCATCACGCTCCCCAAGCCTCATGTAGCTCTCGATATCAGTCGGGGGTCCGGTGTTGGGGAAGGGAACAGGCGCGGGCGACGGGGCCGGGACTCCTTCTTCTTCTTCATCCAGGTCGAACTCGGAGGTGGCCTTGGAGCTTGCCTTTTTACAGCCCGAGGCATCGATCTGCAGCGGCCACAGACCGGGGATCTTGGTGGTGGGCTGCATCTTCTCGAGCTCGTTGGTGATACGGGCGATAGCATCGTAGTACTTGTGCTGTTTAGTCAGCTGGGCCAGGCGGGTGAACTCGAGGGAGAGGGAGCCGAGTTCGGCGAGGACGACATGGACGCCGGCGCGATGAGGCTGAGAGACGTAGTCCGGAGCCCAGTAGTAGAAGGTCAGCGGCATGCGGTTCGGGGTGTCAAATGCACCGATGAGGATCTCGGCGAGTTCGACGGCTTTATCGAGCAGTACCGCGTACTGCTGACCGGAGACATCGTAGGCGCCCAGCAGACCGCCGAGGTAGCGGATGGTGGTCTCGAACAGCGGGATGTCCTTGCGGTCGCTGGTGGTGAAGTCGATGTGGGCGACTTGCTCGACGGCGGCGGCGAATTCGTCCTGCATGCCCATGATCCACAGCGAGTCGAGGGCGTCGACCAGCGTCGCCCCCCAGCCGTTGAACGGATCGCGGGCGCCGCCCTTGACGGGCTGCAGCTCGTCGTGACCCATGGCCGAGCTCTTGTATCCGGACCAGGCATGCTCGAAGGCCTCCTTGACGGCCGCCAGCCGCTGCAGCCGCTGTAGCTTCTCCGGGGGGGACTCCTCGTGAAAGCTCGCCTGCAGCTTGGGCAGCTTCTCGGCCGTCCCCGTCGGCAGCTGGATGGTTTCCCCCTCCGCGACAGGGAAGTGCTCCGCGTGCTTCTTCCAGTGCGGCTCCGGTCGCTTGCTCTCCGGTAGGGTCACCTCAAACCGGCCTTGCCCCTGCGGCCCAAACCCGATCTCGTTCCATGTGTTCACGTCTTCTCCTTCTGGCGGTGTCCCTTTCTGCTCCGGATTCGTCTTGCCAACATCTCCTCCCCTCCCTCCCCTCCCCTGAGCCGGCTCAGGAACAAACCCATGGGGCGGCGTGGCAGCTACCTCCTGGCCAGACAGATCGGGCGGGACGTATTCATGGTCGACGGGGGACGGGGGGCTGTTGAAGACTTCGGGAGCCCAGTCGGGGGTGCGACCAAAGTAAAAGAAGGAGAAGACAAACACGGCCGTGCAGACGAGGAACGCCCGGTATCGACGTGCTCGAAACATGCTGTCAGACAGCAGCCTCAGCACTGAAGTTGTTTGTCAGTTGGAGTGCTCGAGTCGAGATCCTGTCACGCGACTCGACCCAGGAATAAAAAAAAAAAGCCGATTCTGATCAGAAAAACATTCGAAACGAGCGATTAGGTCAGAAAGATCAAGCCGATCTCTGTAAACATCGCAACCCTGGCAGACCGACACCCTCGGCTCATGGTGAGTTGGGAAGACGAAGGGAAAGCAGGAGGAGGCGAGAGTGTGAGAGCGTCCGAGACCAGCCCAAGAGATGTTTGGGATTGGTAATTACCGGGATTACATGACCCTGGTAATCTTGGTAATCTTGGCAATGACCCTGTAAGTTGTAACACCCCACATTCATATATAGTAGTATACTATCTACTAGGTAGTTACTAGGTAGTATACTATTATTAATACTTATACTTATTAGCTTGTTTATCTTAAATTGTTAGGCTCTCCTATATGCTTGTTAATACTATATCTGTTCTATAGGTTGATAATATAAGTTCTGTACAACATGTCTTTACCTAGGTAGTACATAAAGTTAATACAGTACCATACAGCCCCTGATACATACCAGATTACAATAATAAGTATCCCACCTATGAGATAGTATAGGTAGATAGAGTATAAGAGAGTATATCTAGGTATTCTACTAGAATAGATACTCTAAATCTACCGAAAGCAATATCCAATGTCTCAACTAAATCCCTACCGCACGTCTCCCCCCCTCCGTGTTGGCCTTTTGAAACTGCTGGATCAACCCCAGCACCCCGGCGCCTCGGACCAATGCGTCGACGGTATCCGGTTCACGAGCCTCGTCGCTGTCGTCCTCCACATCGCCCGACAGGTTCACCCGCCACGATTCCCCTAGGTTGCTGTCGCTGGTCTCGGCGCCGCCTTCTGTCCGTCGGGGGCTGCGCATATCGCTGGCGGGAGGCGGCGGAGACTCGGAATCATCTGCAATCGGGTCGGCAAAAAGCGGACGGGGTGCTCGGAAGGACCGATGGAAGCGACCGCCGGTAGCAGCAGCAGCAGCCGGAGGAGGAGGTCGCGTCACGGACCGGAATCCTGACCCTGAGGGTTGGTGGTGCGGGTCCAGGAGTATCGACGGAATGGGTGAGTGGGTATGAGCATCAGCCATGCCGGCGGCACCGAAGCGAGAGAGGCCTGTCATGAATGGGCGTACCGGTTGTGAGTTCTGCTGCTGCTGCTGCTGCTGCTGCTGCTGCTGTTGATGATGATCAGTGAAAAGACCCATGTCACCACCAGTGGGTAATCCCAGCGTGGGAAACGCCGGGGGTGAATGGAACGGGCGGCGGGCAAAGGAAGGATGCGGGGCTCCAGGCCGGGGATTGGCGCCGTAATGGTCTAAAAACCCGTAGTAGGAGGCGAGCATCTTGCCGTCCTTGGTGGAAAAGTAATCGGCGCGCAGATCCTGCGGTCGATCTGGTGGTGGCGGCCGGTGCGCACCCGCCTGGGAGAGCACGTTGGCGCCCTTTTTAAAGTCAAAGACGGCAAAGGAACAGAGATATCCCACGCCATCGACATGCACGGTGAACTCTCGGAAAAAGTCGATGAGCCGGTCGCTGCACTTGGGCAGACTGAACCACAGGATGAATGGGGTGAAGATCATGCTGAGGATCTCTTCCAGGAAGATGACGATCTTCATCTGGTACATCATCGCGAACTCCCGTCGGACATCGTCGCTGTGCAGCCGGCCCTTCCAGTGCGTGGGGACGTAGTGCGTGAAATTGATCACCTCCAGCAGCGCATACTCCGGATCAAACACGTCGGTCTCCTCGGGGACCATCCCCCGGGCGAGAGCCCAGGCGGAACCGAATACGCCGAGATAGAAGAGCACGGTGCGGTCCGGGGTGATCTCGAACCCCAGGAATAGCTCGGGATCCACGACCGAGACGAGAGCCAAAACCGACGCCAGAGCGCCAGTGACAAAGGCGACGAAGCGAGCCACCTGGACAGTTTTGTCCTTGGGGAATTGGTCGACATAGCGACTGGAAAATGGGTAGGAGAGGTTGATGCGACGCTCAAATAGGTGCCAGAGCTCGTTGAACTCGCGGAACTTCCATTCCGCCAGCGGAGTGTACTGCCGAGAGGAAATCTGGGAAGGGTTCTTCTTGAACTCGTTGAAGTTGCGGAAGAAATAGAGCATCATAAAGTAGACTACGATGAACGGTGCGATGAAGATATTCATGATTCCGGCCACGACGAATCGGCGACGCAAGCCGTCGCTCAGGGCACGCCGGTGTGTATCCTTGAGAAACAACGATCGGACCTGGCCCTGTTCGTTGAAGATGTAGTCCATGATGCAAAGATTGATGTTCCACTCGAGCGTCCGGGAAAAGAGCTGTCTCTTCCTTAGAAAGGGGATGGGCAGCGTGAGGTCTAAAATGTCCTTGTTGACCAAGGCAATCGCATAGTTCTCCTTGCGCATGATCCGGTTCGCAATGTCATGGGCGTCCATCCGCTGCTTGGACTGGCTGCCTATGTATTTGCGGTGCTTGGCAGAGACCGCCCCTGCGGTGGCAGGATTCGCATCGCGCAGCGCCATCAGGCGACTGACCACCTCCTGCCATGAAATTGTTTGGATCTCGGCATCGGAGATGCTCAGTAGATAGAGATAAAAGTCGTGCATGTGCCGGAGCCGGCGGATGTCAAGTAAGTACTGGAACAGTTTACCGATCCAGAAGAACGTGAGCAGCCAAAGCAGCAGTGTAGAGGAGGTGGACATGTTGGCCACGCATTTCTGGATCAGGATATCGTCCAATTTTCGACTGCCACGGAATTTCGAGTAATCGATGCAGCTGGTGAGGAAGGTCGTGAACCCCACGACAAAGGCAAACGTCCTACCAAAAAGTTTTAGCCTCAGGCTGTAACAGGTACAATATATATATCCCGACTCACAAGAGATTCAAGACCCGGCTCAATATAATTGACCACATCCCGTTGCCCAAGAAATACTCATAGACCTCCTTCAAAAAGTTATCCAGGTTCTCGACGTTTGCCCACCGCCACATCGCCTTCTGCTTCGGGTCGACCGATCCCAAGCTCGGATGCTGACCGAGCGACCATCCTGTGATCGGTCTGTTGCGACGACTGGCGGGAAAGAGCGGCTGCTGGGATCGGGCAGAGGCCCAACGTGCCGCCGACTCGTCTGTCACGGACGGTCCGGGCACAGGAGGGTCTGGATCGGGGATGTGGTGGGGTGGCGGTGGCAGCCGGGCTTTGAGGTCTTCATCGTCTTCCCCCCCCTCCTCCTCATGGCCTTCGACCAGAAGCGAGGCGGGGACGTCATCGTCCCCGTCTTCTGGCTCCAAGCCTCGCGGTGAGGGTTGCAGCCAGCGGGCATGGGGAGGCCTCCGCCGGAGAGGCTCCCGTTTCCCGAACCGATCTGCCGGTGCAGTCTGGCGTCGACGACCCGGGGAGGCAAACGTTGTTGTACTCGGACTCCCCAGCTGACTCTCGGTCGCATGGGCGAGGACGTCCTCCAGCTCGTGGTCGTCAAAATGGTCCCGCAAGTCGTCGTCCATCGCCATCCCCGCGCGCTCCTCCACATCGTCATCAAAGCCATCCGACTCGGCATCGTGCTGGCCGATCGCTTCGTACACCGAGTGCGAGCCTTCTGCCGGAGGCAAAAACCTCGACAAAATATTCGAGGTCATCATCTTCTTCTAGTAGTAGTAGTAGTAGTAGTAGTAGTAGTCATCACTATCCGTTCCAAAGAGCTTATCGCAGCGGCCCGCAAGCCAGGTCGGTCTGGAGGCAGACGGGGGCCATCCGACGAGACAAAACTAACTGCAAGGCAAAAATATCAAAGGCCGATATCTCAAGCAGAGGCTCTCTCTTGATCTGACGGAAAAGTCCCGAGGACGAGCGAGTCTCTGGAGCTGGTGCTCTCGATAGAAGAGGCTCAACGAAGGCAAGGAGAGGTCCGCGTGATCGATCAATCACAGGCAGCTGTCGTCACAGGCAACTTCTGCCTCAGGCCGAAAGATACCCGATCGGGAGCAATTATCACATGACACATCATTTTCCCAAACAGGTCTAGTGCAACATGCACATGACGTCTGACTCAGCAGCTGAGCAGATCCTCCTCCTCCTCCTTGAGGCTTGAGATCGACTCTGTTTTCCATGGTTCGTTCGGCGGCGCGCGGGGAGGCTTCAACAACTGGCGGAGCCTTGCGAAAGCCAATCCGGCTTCCTGCAGGGCAATGGGACACGAAATCCTCCGTCCTCCCGCCATGTGGTCTTGCGGAGGTCGTGAGCGTTTGCTTCTCGTGTCGCAGATCAGATCCTTTGGGGGCCCGACTAGCAAGGATGATTAAGCACTATCGCCAGGGCGACAGGGCCATTTCTGCTCACTGCTCAGTCAGTGGGTGCCTTTTGACGACAGAGCCCGCCACTGACGCTTCCAGCTGCTGCTAGCTGGCGAACTAACCATTACAACTACCACATAAGCATCCTAGCAGCTGCTCCAAGTCTGTATGGAGTACTCTGTACATACTCCGTACACCCTGGGCCTGGCTGGCTTGCCCTGGATCAGGGCGGTCAGCGAACCCCGTCCATGCAGTGTGCACTGGTTGCTTGACTCGTTGAAGCTGGTTGTCTGGTGAGATTACCCCGTATATACGGAGTACGGAGTAGACAGCTGATCGTTCTTATTATTGCCAGGGGCGCCGTCTACTGTTCACCTCCCATAGTCTGTCTGTCTTACTACTCCGTATGTAGTATTCCGTGCCCCGAAAGTCCTCCCATACCGTCTCGACGCCACAATAACACGAACAGCCAATACTGGGCGACTCCACGGTTTCGGTCAATCATATTATTAGACAATAATCACGTCCTGGAAGGCGTAATAATATTATTAGATTCACCGTTCCAGTATCTACCTACAATAGCGTGGCCATGGACGAGAACCGCCAACACCATCTTGCTATTTCCCGTACCAAGAAAATCCCCCCAAGCCTATTAAACCGTAGAATAATCATGAATCTGTACAATAATAATAATTACATACAGAGTACTCTCTCTCACTCTCTCTCTCTCTCTCTCTCTCTCTCTCTCTCTCTCTCATAATCTTCTGCCCTCTGCCGAGCCCAACCCGAGCCCCATCCGAGAGCCTCCACGGCCTGCAGAAACAGCACCAGCAGCTCAAACCACCAATATTCGTCATCCACGGGCGCTCTGAATCCGCTGTCCGATCGTCAAGCATCAGACATCACCACCCTCCTCTATACTGTCGCCCTCCTCTTCGTGGTTCTCGCACTGTGCTGGCCCTTCGTGCTGGCTGGTGTTGGGGTCCTGCTTGTCCACCTCCCCACTCGCTTCCCCCTAGTTTTCCCCTTCTCCCACCCGCCGAACACCAAACCAACTTGTGTGTGCTCTTTATCCACACTCACCTCAGCCTAACTCCCTGTCCACTTTACTTACCCCCCCCCCCCTCCTCCCCAGCACCGTCTACTGGTAATAAGACGAGCTTCCTTCCGCTGGTATGCTCTGCAGAAGGTGCCCGAGTTCTCTCTCGCCTTGATGAAGGTGCGCTTGGCCTAGTCTGCCCTTCTTTTCCCTCCCTCCCCCCCCCCGCCCGTCGCCCGTTCCAACTTCCCAGTCAATGATATCACGCCGCGCGGTGCAATCCGCCTCTTTTTTCTCTGTCCGGGAGACGACTGACAATGGTCTTCTAGCTGTAGCATTCGACGATCGGGTAACGTCTCGGAGCATCTCTCGCCGGCCAGGTGCCGCGTCGTGTGGACATTCATCGTCGCTGCTCCCTCCCCTCTTTCTGTACGCCCGACGGACGCGACCTCGACCGATGTGCCACTCTACCCATCAATTTCCGATCAGACTCCATGCGTTCAGCTAGCGGCCCATCGTTTGAGAGAGAGGCCGCCAATTGTTCCAGGATAGCAGTGTTTTTGCGTGTGTGAGAGAAAAGCAAGCTCGGCGCCTGCGTGTCCAACACCCGCCATGGAATCGGAAAATCCTAATGGGTTCAAGCGGAACTCAATGCATCAGGGGTTATACAGTCGGCCCGTGGAGCGCCGGCCCAGCAAGAAATCGTCCTCCAAGGATCGCCACGGCATGGTCTACCCGGACAGTTTTCGGGACACGGGGATCAGGACCGTGACGCCGGATTCCATGTCAGAAACAGGACAGCCCTCGCCCGCGTCCGACGCGGCGGATTATCGGACGGGGAGTTGTGCGGCATCTCCTCGCTCGGCAACAGCCCGGACGCGGGCCCATGAGGCCGAGCTGCGCCGCGAGATCAACCCGTCCAATCCTCTGGCAAAGGACGAGGACGGAAGACCACCACCGCCACCACCACCACCTCAAGAGTCGACGAGGGGTCAGCGCACCCGCTCGCGAACCACAACGCTGGAGGACCAGCGGACCGATCCGGCCACCAAGGGCAGCAGAACTCGTCTGGGTTCCGTCACCGCCACAGTCCCCCCCCAATCCAAGACCACCGACGATGCCGTAGGGTCGATCGGCTTCCCGTCCATCCAGTCGCCCACCTTCTACGGCCAAACACGACAGCGATTGAGCAAACCTTTACCGGGCAACCCGGCCATCCTGGCCGGGATCGCCCAGAACCCCGGTGCGTTGACCGCGCCGCTGTCCAATGCAGACGCCTCCAAGATCCTCCACCTGATGAAAACCACCTGTGGACGAATGCACGGCATCCTCTTCTTCCGCACCTCTTCTTCCGCCGCGTGGACATCCGGCTACTGCGCCATCAACGTTGCCACGGGCAGCCTTATTTATCAGGCCAAGGGCGAGCCTGCCCTGGCCAAGACCCTGGTTCCAGACCTACGGGGCTGCAGAGTGCGGACCCTGTTTGATCCGGAGCTGCAGGCCTCGTATCTAAGCGTCTCGACCTTCACTTCAGGCCTGGGAATCCAGCTGAGGCCGCACGTCAACGAAACCTTTGACTCGTGGCTCGCAGCGCTGCTTTGCTGGCAGCCCATTCGGCCCAAGGGAGTCCAGAACAAAATGACCAAGCCCCAGGTCGTCGCCATCGGAGACCACCGTCTCACGACGGACAAACGGCGAAATTCCGAGAGCACGGCCCAGAAAGAAGCCGCAATCATCAAAGTCGGCAAGATGCTTCTCTGGGACAAGCCCAGTGCCGCTGGAGCCCGACCAGCCTCCGGTCGGCGGGTCTCGACCTACCGGCAACAGAGGGCTTTGTCTTCCTCGTGGCAAAGGGTGAGCTGTACGCTGCAGGAGAATGGCCACTTCAGGCTTTTCACCGAGTCGGATATCAGTCCAGTCGCGTGCCTGGAGCTCTCCCATCTATCCCGATGTGCGGTACAACAGCTGGAATCATCGGTGCTAGAAGACGAATTCTGTATCGCCATCTACCCGCAGTATGCAGCTCATTCAGGGTCGGATTCGGTCTCACGTCCGATATATCTTGCCCTCGAGAGCCGGGTGCTCTTCGAGGTATGGTTCGTCCTGCTACGAGCCTTTACGATTCCAGAACTCTATGGACCAGAGGTTCCCACCACCACCACTTCTAACAAAACAACGACGTCCACGACCACCACCACGACCACGACGACAGAGGATTCGGGTAAAAAGGAGGCTGCTGCATCTCCTTCCCCTTCCCCCCCTACAAAGGACATGTTCCGGATCGAGCGACTACTCTCCATTCGCATCACAGAAGCAAAGATGCTTCGCTCAAAGGAAGATACTCCACGGAGTAGAAAACAATCCCGATCCCATGGCCAACCCCTTACGTCATCTGCGGCCAGCGACTATTACACAGAAGTATTGCTGGATGGCGAAATCAGAGCGAAAACCACCGTCAAATATCGAACTGCGAACCCGTTTTGGCGCGAAGACTTCATCTTCAATGATCTGCCACCGGTTCTCTCCCAGGCATCCATCCTGGTAAAGACACCCAACCCGACCCAGAGAGATTGGTCCTTGATCTCTCACGGAACCTATGCCTTTAGCAAAGAGGCCAACGCCCTGAGGATGTTGGAAGATCTGGAGATCTCCTCGCACGATGCCACGGTTGGACGAGTGGATGTTCGGCTCGATGATTTGGAACCGGGCGTCGATATGGAAAAGTGGTGGCCGATTCTTGATGAGAGGGACCAGTCGATGGGTGAATTGTTCATGAGGGCCCGGATGGAAGAGACGGTGGTCCTGATGTCACAAGAGTATCAGCCCATGTCTGAGTTACTCCACTCCTTTAACAACAACCTCACCATCCACATGGCCCATATCCTGTCCTCCGAACTCAACCAGCTGGCCGAAACCCTCTTGAACATCTACCAGGTATCGGGACAAGCGGTCGAGTGGATCTCCTCCTTGGTGGAAGATGAGATTGATGGCGTTCATAAAGAATCGACTGCCAACCGACTGCGGTACACCACGCGGATCCATTCCAACGATTCCAAGGAGTCGGCCAACCAAGACCGAGAGGTCCTTGTCCGGGATATGGGGCGAACCGCCACACTCGAAGCCAACCTGCTCTTTCGAGGCAATTCTGTTCTGACCAAAGCCCTCGATCTCCATATGCGGAGGCTGGGCAAGGAATATCTCGAGGAAACCATTGGCGAGCGACTGCGCGATATCGATGAAAGTGATCCGGACTGCGAGGTAGACCCGGCTCGTGTCCATCGCCAAGATGACCTGGACCGGAACTGGAGGAATCTCATCGCCCTGACTACCAATGTCTGGAAAGCGATCGCGGGCTCTGCGTCTCGGTGCCCACCTGAGCTCAGGCTTATCTTCCGACACATTAGAGCCTGCGCTGAAGATCGCTATGGCGACTTCCTGCGTACCGTCACCTACAGCAGTGTGTCTGGCTTCTTGTTCCTGCGATTCTTCTGCCCTGCTATTCTCAATCCGAAACTGTTCGGGCTGCTCAAAGGTATGCATAAAAAAAGAGAAAAAAAACCAACATTATTCTACAGTAAGAGGTCGTGTCAAAGCTTACATACTTCCAGATCATCCTCGTCTTCGCGCGCAACGTACTCTTACCCTCATCGCCAAAGCGTTGCAAGGATTGGCAAACATGACGAACTTTGGCAACAAAGAGCCGTGGATGGAGCCGATGAACAAGTTCTTGCAGACCAATCGGTCAGAGTTCAAGCAGTTCGTGGATCATATCTGCGCGATTCCTGCCGATCGACCGACCCCGATTGTGTCCCCGTCGTACGCGACACCGATCCAGATCCTTGGAAGGTTACCCGCGACCTCGCGGGAAGGGTTTCCCAGTCTCCCGTTTCTGATCGACCACGCCCGAAGCTTTGCAAACCTCACGGCCATCTGGCTAGAGGCTGCTCCAGAGCGATTAGACGAGCTCGACGAGATTTACCCGGCAGTCAAGAATTTCCACGAGCTGGCGCTCAGTCTGCGCCAACGCACTCGGGAATGCATGAGTGGCGCAGAACCGGCCGAGCGGCCGAGCGGCAGCCTGGAACTCAAGTGGGAGGAACTGGTGGACTCGATGGAAAAATCGGCGGCGACCGAGGCGACCGCTCACGAAGACGGGTCCTCCAGCAGCAAGCCGACGACACCCGGTACCGAGACGAGAGCGACGATGCCACCCGCCTCGGTGACGACCTCAGCTTCGGTGACGACCAGCCACCGCAACTCGATAGGCTACTTTTCACACCGGCCGTCGCTCCCTCGTCGATCCACGGACTACGCTCCAGAAGGCGATGACGACACCCCGCCGAGCTCCTCCTCTGCGACCTGGGACCAGAGCCGTGTCCCCTTCACGATCCCGCGCTGGTCAGACCCCCGAGACAGCACGAGCAGCTCGAAGAACTCGTCAACCTACTCGCTCGATTACTCCGAGACTTCCAAGGCTGCTCGCCGGTCTAGTGTCTCCCGTGAGTCTTCTAGCAAATACCGCTTCTTCGACTTTGTCCCGGCGCCCTCGAGACGCAAAGCCAAGGACCGCGAACAGGCCCAACACCAGTCGCGTGAAGAGCTGCGTAACGAATTCTAGCAACTACCGAAATAGGGGGGCGATGCATATTCTCTTCGGAAATACTCTATTTCTTGCCCCCTTGTTTTTTCTTTCTTTCTTGGTTTTCATCATTTTGCCTAGCTGCAGAACTCCTTCACTTTATTCTATCCAAAATCTGCGGTGGAACAAGCAAGACTGGTTTTGTCCTTGGTTTTACTCTCTTTTTTGTATAGAACTCTTAGGGTCTCCTGCTGTATATTTCTCTCTCTCTCTCTCTCTCTCTCTCTATTTCTATTTCTCATGAATGACGCTCGTTTCTCTTCACCGCTTCTCTCCCACTTTCTCTCCCTTTCTTGGTTTTCTTCAAGTCTTGGAAAGCTTACTTTTTTGGAAAGCATTCATCATGGTGTTGATACCCTGTCGCTGCTGTTGTTCCGCCGTTTTTTTTTTGTTGTTGTCTTTTTTTTTTTTTTTTTTTTTTTTTTTTAATTCCGGCCTTGGAAGCGAGTTGGGTAGCTGTTGGTCAGCACGGCTGATCAGTGTCTCGATATAGATATCGGTTTTGATAGAACCCGGTTGACTTATTGTAGACATGTTTCCGGCTATTATCCTTTCCTTTGTATACAGGAGGGGTTCCCCTGCTTGTCGGATACGCATTGATTGTGTAAATACATGAGATTAAAACAATAAGTGTTTGCTGGATATTTAAACCCTGTCCTTACTTTAGATGTAAATTTATTGAGTTTGAATAAAAAGGATGATATGATACCATCCTCAAAGATTCCCTCAAAACTATGTACTAGAATTACATTCAAGGAACCATCAAAGAACAAAACATGATTACTGCCACAAGCAGATCTTCCCACTCGCCGTCCCCCCCGCCACCCAGTTCTTGCTACGGTGGAAGACCGCCACGGCAGGGACGGCGCTGATGCCCTCGCCGCCCAGCTGGGCGAGCTGGTCGCCCGCGCTGCTGTAGATGTCGACGAAGCGGTTCATGTTGCCGATGCAGAAGCGCTGGATGTGGGATTGCGGGTTGAGTTGCCATTGTGGGCGGAGGCTGTCAATTAGCATCAAACATGGCTAGAAGAGAACCAAAGAAAGAAAGGAAGGAAGGAAGAAGAAAAACTTACATGGTTACCCAGCGGCCTGTTTGGCAGTTATGCCTGACCATAACGTCGGGCTTCATCTCGTCTTCTGGAAGAGTGTGGCCGGGTTTCCAGGAGGAGAGGCCCTTGGCGGCAAAGTCGTAGATCTTGAGCGTATCGTCGTACGAGGAAGTGACGATCTGCCCGGCACTGTTGAACGCAGCGTGCGAGACCGACAGGCGGCTCTCGTGCTCGCCGACAGGGACTGGGTCGTCGTGCGACAGCTTGCGAAGATCCCACAGGCGCATGGTCCGGTCCAGACTGGCCGTGGCAAAGTAGTGTGGTTGTGTCGGGTGCAGGGAGAAGCCGCCGATTTTTTTCTCTGAAAGCTGCCAGCTCTTGACGGCGGATCGGTTCGCGGTACGGAGATCGAAACGTCCAAAGGCCCCGTCAAGGGTGGTCCAAAAAAGGCTGTTGGGGTTATCGGCTGCCATGTCGATGCTGGAGATTGGCTCGTCGATCGACGTCGACTCCGGGGCATATCTCTCTACAGACGTGGTCTTCTCCAGATCCATCTCCCGGATGGAACTGTCGTAGCTTGAAGTATACAGGTGAGTTGGTTTCGACGGGTTGATTAACATGCTGCTGATGGTTCGAGTGTGAGGCTTCAGCGTCGTCATCACTGGGTCTGGATCGTCATCTTCTTCGTCTTCGTCTTCTGTCTTTATACTCGATGAGGGTTTCTCTTGCGATGCATCGAGTATGCCCAGATGGCCCATCTTGTCTCCAGCAAAGATCAGCGGCTTTGACTCTGTCGGATGAAAAGTCATGGTGTAGACTCTCTCGGGTGTAAGTTTGATTCCTATCGAAGCATTTAGCGGTCCGTATCGTGAAGATAATATAATAGATACAGGCATACTGCTGGGTTCCCACGCCTCCCAAAGCTGCAAGTTGCTCATCTCCTCCCTAAGAGCTCTCAATTCCTTATCCGTTGTCTGTTGAATATCTTCATCTCCAAACGTCCGCTCGTAGGGTTTGGCGACTCCCTTCGTGACCATATCGATGCCAATCAAGCTGTCACCACTAAGCTTCTGGCCTGAGATCAGGATATCGCTGAATGTGAAACTGTCTGATTTCCGAATGCGTTTCGCTCGTTCCGCTTGCTGCAGCGCTTCATGTTCTTCGTCCGCTTTGCGTTTGGCGACCTCACTATCTGCTGCGATTCCGAGCAACCGGGACGATTTGCGACGGGGAACAGGCGCCTCTTCTTCCTTCTTGACCTTTCTCACCGACGGTTTCTTCTTCAGTCGTGGGCTGTCTGCCGCGGCCGAAGCCTTCGGTGATGGTTTGGCGAACAAGCCGGACGACTGGGCTTCCTGAGTAAGCTTCTTCAGCAGCGCGTCACGCTCTGCAATATTCGCCAGACGCTGCTTCTCAAACTCAGAGAGCCCATTTGCCATGTTGCCGATATTAATGCCTGCTTAGTAGTAGAATTGGCGAGCTCGTGGACTGAAAGAGCTGTTTTCCTACGCGGTCCAAACTCCGGAGAAAGAAACGCGTTCACGGACATCGCGCTATCACATGACCCAAAGCCATCATTTCCATTTTAGTCTATCCAAGCCGGACCATGGAAAAAAAAAACTTCAACTTCAAGTATTGCTTCTCTGATAATCGTCTGACATACTTTCATTGCTACCAGCCTGTTTTTGGTCAGATTTGTTTTGTCTCTGGTCATACGCTTACTGCCTGAATAATTTGCAGATTTTAGTTGCTTCATGCTACGCACTCAGGCTTTGCTCTGGTCGGTCTGAGGCAATATGAGTGGACGGATATCAAGATTGACGCCCGAATGGGCGGCTCGAAACTCCCTCGTCCCATTTCTGTATCAAACACGGACTCTCGCTTCGCCCCAAGGCTTCTTCGCCAGCAAACCGAGACCTTTCCGGCCGCAACAACACCTTTACTTTACGTCGAGCCGGCTCTCGCAGCAGTACGCATCGAAACCCCACGATCCTCAATCCTCAAAACACGATGTCGATGAAGACGAGTCTGCTACAGAGCCGAGTCAGTCACCGGAAGCTGTCAGCCGTACATCCCGGGTACGACGGAAGACCTATTTGCAGAGACGCGCCGCTTCCCTCGCACAGCCTGAAACACCGACCTGGATCTCGCCCAAGGCCCGGACAATGACGCGGGCAGAGAAAAGGATCTTCGGCGAGCTCTTAGACCAACTAGATACCGGTCTACCCACCAAGGATGCGGCGTCGATTTCCCCCAATGGTTCTGCGCTGAGCGACAGGGACCGAGCGGAGATGACGGAAATCTCTTCCATATTCGACGAGGTGCTGAAGGAGAACCGGGCACATAACTATATGGAATCTCATAATGAGAACGATGACCTATCTGACCCTACGAGTAAGCGGGCGCTCGAAGATATAGCCCCGGAGCAGCAGCCCAAAAAATGGAGCGATGGGCCGGCGGAAGTATCGCGGCTGGACCAGGTGCCCACGAGCGAGGCGGCGCGGTCTGTTGTTCGACGGGAGTTCAGCAAGATTGAGGCCGCTCTGAATGAGGCAGTGCGCGACGGGAAAGGCGACATTGGTATCATGGAGGTATGCAAGGAACGGGTTTTCTCCATGCTACAGGATATCGACCATGAGACCACCACGGCCGCCGCCGCACCGACCGCCAGCCTTCCGGAGCCGTCAGCGCAAGAAGAAGGAGAAGAAGAAGGAGAAGAAGTAATCGACAGCATAACCGAGCCGAAGGAAACAGGAATGGAGGCGAAAGTGCGGACCACCACCAGCGGACTCGAGGTGCCCTGGAACGTGCCCGTGGAGATGGTGGTGACGGCACTGTACCCCGAGATCCTGCTGGCGGTGCTGCGGAGCCTAACGAGCAATTTCCCCTCGTCGCCGCTGATCAGCGAGTTCCTGACGACCATCAAGTCGTACGGACGGACGTCGGCGGTGATGGGCGCTTCGACGGGGCTGTACAACGAACTGATCCAGTTCTACTGGCGCAGCTGCGCGGACGTGCCTGCCGTGACGTCGCTGTTGCGCGACATGGAGGTGATGGGCGTGGAGCCGGACGAAGCGACGTGTGGCCTGTTGCACTCGATTGTTGCGCGGCGGCGGCGCGACCTGCACGCTCTGCGCCGCTGGAAGTTCTCGTGGGGGTCACACCCGAACACGGATGCGTGGTGGGAGATTGGGCCGACCAAGACGGCCATGGAGGAGATTATGGGCGCAGATGGCTGGCTGCGACGCTTGCAGGCGCGGGTCCAGGATCTGGAAGACAATGCAGAAATAGACGGATAGCGGAAGAGTTCCTTATAATTTGCAGGGCGAAGGAAGCTCTGCAAGACTAATCATATTTATTTAATGTACATACAAATACAAAATACAATCTTGAAAGATCTAGGCTCAAATCTTCAACCCCCAACTCCTTCCCAACCCGATGGCCGTCGACCCCACGAACCCAAGATACTGTTTGAACCCGGTGATCTTTTCAGCGAGGGCGGTACGGTCCTCGAACCGGCGCTGCACAAAGGCCTCGATGGCGGCAAAGTCAGCATGCGGCTTCTGCGAGGTCATGACGAGCTCCGCGCTTGCATAGACAGCCGCAACGCCTAGCCGATTGGTGTACCATGCTGTATCGACGGCAGAGTCGCCTGCCAGAGTGAGGATGTCGGAGGAGAGGGCATGAAGTTCGGAGAGGGACAGGGGGATATTTGACGGCAGGGACATGAGAGCGAGGGCCTAATCATTAGAAAAAGAAAGAAACGAAAAACACATAAAATAGATAAAATAGAATGAAATAAAATTCTAGAACGTACATCCTGCCATTTATGGGCGATATCCTGGTTCATTTTCAAGCGTTCGAGAATGAGAAGCTTTGTTTTCGCCTCGACAGAGGAGACGGACCGTAAGCTTTCGAACTGGTTTTCCTCGACCTTTGCTCGGAGGAGGCCGCGTCTGCTGGCCAGCCAGAAGAGGATGAGATCGAATTCGCCGCGGGGCAGGAGCTGGACGGAGACATCGAGAAAGCCTGCGTCGCGGGCGCCGAGGGTCAGGGCCTCGAGGGTGAAGCCATGGGAGGGGATGTGTTCGAGAGCGGCGGAGAGGATGGTGGTCTGCGAGTTGGTGTATTCGTGCGTGGGGGCGCGAGGGTGGAACTGTGAATGATAGAGTCGGCAGCTTCTTGTCGGTGCTGCTCGGAAAGGAAGCTCTTGCTTTCTATACTGAACGGGAGGATGGAAGTGGTTCTGACGGCATTGCGTCCTCGATGAAGCAGTCGCTGCCTTTTGCAAGCTGGATAAAACTCCAGAACGTCCTGGACGGGCAAGAATCACAGCTCCCATGATGGATGACTATGAGGTATGGAGCCTGACGTCTGATCGATTCTCTCTCTCTCTCTGTGTCTCTCTCTTTGTCTCTCTCTTCTTCTCTCTCTTCTTCTCTCTTCTGTCTTTCTCTCTTTCTCCGGTGGTGAGATCTGCTTGATCGGGTTAGTTCGGAGCTAACCAAAAGAGGACCAGTGTAGTTACAGAGTACAAAAATACGTACGCTCATTACGGCCTCCATAGAATTTGATACCTAAATTACCTGTAATAAATGATATACAGTACCTTATAATTGTTGCTATTCATTTGCATTCTATTGCTATTGAACATCAATTCTATTATATGAGCTATAGCTAATAGCCAGTATCTACTTAGAGCTACCTTGATAACTACCTATTGATAGGTACCTATCTACCTCACTAGTTAACTAATTGCCAATTGGTACTCCTCCTCACTTATTGTTACCCACCAATAGAGATTCTTCTTTGTTTATTATTCCTGTCTGTCTGTCACATCCTCCTTGACTCGGTCAAGTTTACCACTGGCAGCTGAAGCTGAAGTCGTCACTATCCCTGCACCACCACCACCATCTCTCTCCTACTACATCCACAGTATTCTGTATCTCTCTGCCGTTCCACCGAGTCGCCGAGCACTACTGACTGTTTTCCCTACGCGCAACTCGTCCAGCTTACTTCCTCGACTGCCCACCTCTTCCCCCCCCCTCATTTGTTCTCTGCAGGCACCTTCCGTCGTCCCCTTCACACCCATACGTTTTTCCTTGTCTCCCCCTGAGGATCCAGACCAGACCAGCGCGTCCCGACACGACCATGGGTACGTCTCTCTCTCTCGCTCTCTCTCTCGCTCTCTATCTCTCTATCTCTCTTTCCATCTCTCTACCTCTCTCACTCTGTCGTCCTCCTTTTCCCTCCAACAATATCATCGCGTGGTTCTGTCTGCTGCACTACCCTTGTCTTGGCCACTCCCGCGTACCTTGAACGCACCCAATCGCTCCGATTCCGCGTGTCGCTCACATACCGGCACCAAACCCCTCCCTCCCTCCTCTCACTCTCTCATGGTCCTGCGGCCTGGACAATAATAGCCTTTTGCTCTGTTTCCCTCATCCCTGCCCGGGTCCTCATCTTCCCCTCTCCTCCCCTCCCTCGTCCTGCTTCTTCCCTTGTCTTTCCTACCTAACCTACTTACCTTTTCCCTTCTCTTCGCGCTGTCTTCAAGGCTTACACCTAGGCTCCTCGTCTAGCTGACGTTTATCGTCCATCTCAAGTAAGTTCACTTCGTCTGATCGTCGTATACCTGGTTGCTTCGTTTCGTTTCGTTCGGTTTTGTTTCGTTTTTTTTTCATTCCAATCTCCTACCCTATTCCCATTGATTTATTCTCCCTCGTTCCCTTTGTTCTCGATTCCTACAGGGGGGGGGAGGGGGTAGTGTCTTGCGCGCGCAGGCTTGAGCCGGATACTCCACCGGCTTCAAGTACCCCATGAGACAGACGCCTTGAAGAGGAGCCCCGAATGTTGTGAAGGAAACTCCTGGAACTCACAGCGATGAGTCGTCTCCTATCGTCTCTAGCACTCGAACTGCCCCATTCTCTATATCTCCAACACACCGTTGTGCTGAGGTGACGCGGTATACTGGCTCTCTCTGCCGTACTCCCGCGCGTCACCTGACCGCCTTCTCCAGAAAAAGAGTTCGTCTCCATTCAACGACTCTGGCTCTTCCGACCATCATCTGTACTCCTCCTCTAACCGGATTCCCCCCTCTTCTTCCTTTGTCTTGTTCTTCTTTTCTCGTTCATTTCTTTGATTTCTTCCTTCCTTCCTTCCGATGCATCCCGACTCCCCCATCACTGACCGCGACCAGCGTGAAAGGTCGCGTTCGCCTCGTCGCCGTTCTCGCAGCCCACGACGCAGCCGCCGGTCGTATTCGCGCAGTCGCTCCCGCAGCCGTGACGACTACCGTCGCAGTGAACGCAGATCCAGATCTCCTATGAGTGGTGCAACAGGCGCAGCGGGAGGACATTCGGGTTCTGGTTACAGTGGACGCGGTGGTTACGCGCCCGCGAGACCATTCGAGGATCGCGTCGTCGCCAAAGAACAAATGATGCAATCCGTGCGCGAATCATCCCAGCAGGACCGTCGCGTCTATGTTGGGAACCTTTCCTACGATGTCAAATGGCATCACCTCAAGGATTTCATGAGACAGGGTGAGCAGGGCCATCGTCATCATCGTCATCTCGCGCTCGCGGGCTTTGCTGGATGGGCTATCGTTTGACTGACTCGGGGGGATTCGTCTTCGTTCATACTACAGCTGGAGAGGTCATTTTCGCCGATGTGTTATTACTTCCAAACGGAATGTCGAAGGTGGGCGCCAATGCGTAGTTGTGGCTGGTTTCTTTTCTTTGCCTTTTCTCTCTCTCTCTCTCTCTCTCTCTCTCTCTCTCCTTTTGCCATTCGGCTCCTTTTTTTCTCTCTTTTCCTTTTGGTTCCCCTTTGCTGCATGGAATATTGGGTTGACGGGCTGGGCCTGGCTGTCCGGATCATGTAGGGATGCGGGTGAGTCTTGTTTTTTTTTTTTTCTCCCTTCCCATTCTCATGCGATCAATCGGCTGATGTGTTTCTAGGATTGTGGAATACGCGACCAGGGAGCAAGCACAAAACGCAGTCACCACGCTTAGCAACCAAACTCTGATGGGTCGATTGGTCTACGTCCGCGAGGTACCAAACAACAATAACAACAAACAACCCTTCCCATATTTCCCCCCTAGACTAAATGCATCTAGGACCGTGAACCGGAACCACGCTTCACTGGTGGTGCCCCGCGGGGAGACTTTGGCGGTGGCCGTGGTGGTGGTTTCGCAGGCGGCCACGGCGGTGCTGGAGGCGGTCGACAGCTCTATATTTCCAACGTTTGTGGTCCCCCTTGCCTAGCAGCGAACATATATTACGGAGAACCGATATTGACCATGGTATTACCGTATAGCTGCCGTTCAATGTTGGATGGCAAGACCTGAAGGATCTTTTCCGCCAAGCCGGTAAGTCAGATGCTCAGACGGTTTAATTCCCGAATCTGTGTCACAGAAGAAAAAAAAAAAACAGCAAAAGAAAGAAAGAATTCAAGAATTGATGATTCTAGCTCAACAAGGCGCCGTCATCCGCGCGGACGTCCACACGGATCCCACCGGCCGCCCTAAGGGCTCCGGTATCGTTGCCTTTGAGTCTCCCGACGATGCCCGCAACGCAATCCAGCAGTTCAACGGCTACGACTGGCACGGCCGGGCGCTTGAGGTGCGGGAAGATCGCTATGCCGGCTCCGGACCGGGCTTCGGCGGCCGCGGCGGCTTCGGCGGCGGTGGCTTTGGAGGCCGTGGTGGTGGCTTTGCCGGCGGTCGTGGTGGGTTTGGCGGAGGTCGTGGTGGTGGCTTCGGCGGTGGCTTTGCCGGCGGTCGTGGCGGCTATGGCGGCGCCCCTGCTGGAGGCCCCGGGTTTGGCGGCGGCGGCTTTGAAGCTGCGCCGTCGGTGCCTCCCAACCCTTTCACCGACTTTGCAACCTCTGGTGGTGATAAGACTGCCGTGATCTACGTGCGCAATGTAAGTCTTACAAAGTTCTCTTAACAGCCATGTTGCTGTGGAGAGGTTACTTCGGAGAGGTTACCTCGGAGAGAGGCGTACGGATAGAAAGCTAACTCTTTTAGCTCCCCTGGTCTACCTGCAACGAGGACCTGGTTGATCTCTTCACCACCATCGGCAAGGTGGAGCGCGCCGAGATCCAGTACGAACCCAACGGCCGCTCCCGGGGCACGGGCGTCGTGCAGTTTGACAATGCCGAAACTGCCGAGACGGCAATTGGTATGTATTTCCTGGATTTATATATATATAAACATGTTGATACTGATCCCAACTCCTACAGCCAAATTCACCGGGTATCAATACGGTGGGCGTCCCCTGGGTATCACCTTTGTCAAGTACCTAACCCAAGGGGCCGGCCCGGATGCCATGGAGGGCACCGAGCCCACGGGGGGGATCACCCAGGACCAGATCATGTAAGGAAAGGGCTGTACGATTGAAAGGAAACAAACATGGACTTCCCTCTCTCTCTCTCTCTCTCTGCGTTGGTCTCGCTTCGATGGCCTGCGATGTCTTTATCTTTTTTCTCTCTTTCTTTTCTACTTCTCTCCAAGTTTCTCTTCGTGGCTCTAGTTCTTCGTTGGTTTTAACCGGTGTTACCCTCACATGTTAGAATTATCAAATTGATTCATCCGGATGATTACTAGTTTTGTTTCTCTTTCCGGTTACTTCAAGGGTATATAATAGGGTGCATATATATATATGCTATATGCCCTACGTAGCAAGTATGTCCAGCTAACAAACATTGTTATTGTCGAGAAAAAAAAAATAACAACTACTGTCTGTACACCACCCTAAGCAAGATGATATCCCCCCATAAAAACCAATGTGCAAAACCAAGGTATAAGGATAGATAGAAGAAGAAAAAAAATGTAAGTGTGACCAGATAGATAACCTAGTAACCAGTCATGCAGAGTGCGATTCCGGATCGGCGATAGATATGTAGACCAGTCATATCGAATCAAAGAGATATCAGATCAGATCAGATAGATAAGAAAAAGAAAAAAAGAATAAAGAAAAAAGAAAGAGAGAAAAAAGAAAGAGAGAAAAAAAAAGTCAAGCAGCGATGTTTGGTGGTGGGTAACGACCTGGAATGCGCAGTCCGAGAGTTGTTGCGCTCAACTTGGATGTTGCGGGGGGCCGTTTTGGTTCACCGTCAACGTCACCGTTGGGTGATGGCATTGACAGGGCGGTAGGTTGGTATATAACCTCATCTTCTCTATCGGTTTGTTGTTGTTGTTGTTGTTGTTGTTGTTGTTGTTGTTGTTGTTGTTGCTGCTGAGAGGCAAAATATCCGCCCGCAGCGACGGGGATGTAGGAGGTATGGTTTTCTTCTACCGAGGTCGGGACAGTAGTGTTGTTGGTGGTCGTGGGGACTGTAGATCCGCTGCCTTTCCGCTGGGAACTATAGGGAGCCAGGACGGCTTGCTTCTCGTCGTATGACCCTGGGGAAGAAGCCTGGCGTTGAAACTGTTGTGGAGGAGCAACACCCACCCACTCACCATAGTAGTTATGGTCCTGCTCCAGAGGGATTCTGTTGACTGGTTCCGTACTACTGGTTACAGACCTTGTCGTCGGGGCGGTCTCTCTGCCCTGGCCGGAGACAGAGTTATGACTGGGGGGAAGATAGGCGATGCCTCCTTCTGACATCATCGCCGCCCCGGCCGGTAGGTCCTTGTCGCCTGAGCTCTCACCGCTGGACGGCGACATGGGGGTTTGCAAGTGTCGGTCGATATGTACGTCGCTGGGAAACCGCCCGCCAGGCTGAGGACGCATTCCAGGCGCCATGGCCGGGTCTTGATTCAGCACCACGGAATCGGCAGAGTACGGGGTTCGGTCAGCCTCGTCCTCGTCCATAACCCCGTCACTGCTCCCAGACGTTGTCCGGAAGCTGGCCCCGCTCACCGTTCGGACGTGGCGGCGCACAAAGGCATTGCGGGCTTCACCGGTCTTGCCGATCAGATTCTCAATGTCCTCGTACCAGGCCATCATTGTCTCGTAGGACTCGGCCCGGAATACCCACGAGTGACCGCGGTGGATGGTCCCCGTCTGGCGACCCTTGAGCATAAACTTATGCGAGGTCGAGTCTGGCTGCGAATGAGAACCAAGTTTCTGCTCGGGCAGATAGAGCGACATCACGGGTGTTTGCCATGCCACACGATCTGCCGACTTGAACTCATGTAGATGAGTGGGCGATAACACATACCTAGAGCGTCTGTTAGGGCCAAACAGATGGAAGCAAAGAAGAGGATGAGCTTACCAGCCGGGCGTGTAGCTTTTCAGGTACTTGCTCTTGCGTTCCAGCATCCCCGACCGAACATCGACGGCCGCAGGGTGGTCCTTGCCCGGATAAGTAATGTTCTCGACATGGCGCAAAGGAATCCTGGGATCCACCAGTTCATCTGTGTTGGCGATAAAGGCATTCCATTCATGGTCCTTGGGCATAGATAATGGACCGGCCCGCAGTTTCTCAAACGTGTCGTAGGCCTCATCAGCTTCGCGCTTGAGGATGTTCGCGTAAGCGTTATAAGCCTTTTGAATCTCACCGACTACAATGGATTCAAGCTCTCGCCCGGAGCTCTCGAGATTTAGAAACGCCTAGTCGGATCGCCAATCTGTCAGCAGTCTGGGGATGTTGAAACAAACAAAAAAAAAAAAGAAAGGCAAGAGTTCCCGGCTAACCCTGTGCAGATAATTTTCCTCCTCGACTTGCTTCTCGATCTGCCTGTCAACCTGCAGGCGAACGATGAAGGGGTCACCCTTGCCCGAGGTTGCCGAGGGATCGGTGTCGACTAGTCCCAGCGATTCCTGCAGATTCCGGACAGTTTTACGAGTCCCTTCCACCTCCTTGTCGACGGAGTTCTTAAAGTCGCTCGACAGATTTTTAATTTCTTTGGTCTTCTGTTGTAGATCGCTTCGCAAACCCGTCAACTGGAGGATGACTTCATTTTCCACATCTTTGGCCTTGTTCGCTTCAAGAATACCTTGTCGGTGGTAGTCGCGCAAGATATCCGTGGCGTCTGCCAGTCCTCCGGATTGAAGAAAGAGTGGGGGGATCTGTGTGTTATTGATGACGTTCGATGCGGACAAAAGGAGCTTCGATCGCGACTCGTAGGACTTTTGAAGGTCCTTGAAGAACACAATGAGGTCCTTCAATACCTTTCGCCAGGCTAGTATCTTGTCAGAATGTGATCTTTTTTCTTTCATATTTCTTGGGGGGGGGATCTCAAAAGTCTACCTTGAAACCTGTTTGCGAGTACCTCTGTAGGGTTGCTATCGGTTGGGATGGGAACGTAAAAGGCACTGTTGTAATCATCCTGGCCGTCGGCACTGTATTTCTCCTTGTCGCCTAGATTGAGGCTCCTCACGCTGCCTGCGCGGAGGCTCCGCCTGCTCCCACTGCGGCGCAGACTCCCCTTTTTGGTAAGCGACGACTTCTTTCGCAGGGTGCCCGACCGTGACGGCGTGGCAGAATGTGGTGGGTGCATCGCCGTCGAGGGCCCGTCGACCACGGAGCCGCGCTGACTAGCGAGATCCAGCTCCTCGTGGAAGCGCGTGTTGTGAGAGATCGGTGACGCCTCGATAAGACTCCCGTGGCCGAAACTATACCCCGGATTACTGACCACAACGGAATTAGGCCGCGAACTCGACCGAACACTGTATCCTCTGTTCAATGGCATGGTGGGATCGTTGGCGTGTGGAATCGCGCCGTATGCATCCTGTATAGGAGGTGTCTGCGGCCTGACGGCCGTCGCCATAGTGGTGGTGAAGGTGGTAAAGGGGAGGGGGTTTTTTTTTTAAAAAAAAAAAAAAAAAGTCGGGAAATTATCGACAATAGAGTTGATAAAAAAAAGAAAAAAAGGGTATTGCAGAAAGAAACCGGGAAAAGAAAGGGGAATCAATAAAAAAGGGTGATGAAGATCAGCGATGATCCGAGCAAGAGGGGGGGGGATACCGAAGGACGAAAAGGCGAATAAATCCTAATCGTAGTCGTGAGAATCGGCGCTGGTTACCTGGCGAACCGATGGGGGGGCAACTTCTGTTTGCGGAGAGGAGAGAGAGCCTTGCCAGGGAGCCGTATGATGATCCAGACCAGTCAGCGTCAGGGTCCACCGAACAGCTAAGCCAGCTGGATGAAACAACGATGACTTAACAGGGAGGATGGGGGAGATGGGGGCAAAGGAGGATAGGATTGTTAAATCGAATTGAGCCCGGAGCCACGATGTGAGGGGACCAAGATTAAAAGAAAGCGAACGGACAAGGAGGAGTTCGTGGCAGGAGATCAAGCTTCAACGGATGGATGACGTCTACGCCAGCCGCAGCGACCCTCTGCGACGTGATGACGGCTGCTACGGAGAGATCGGAAGGAAAGACTTTTGGGAAGATAATGAGGGAATGGTCTGGTGTGGAGTACTGAGTAATGATTTGTTCTATTGATTAAATACTAATTGATATTCTAGAATCCATCTATATCTTCTTTGGTGTGATCTTCTCCCCTTAACTAACGCCGCTGCCTGACTCCTTATAATAATAATAATATGGGACTTGTTAGCCCCTCGATGATGAAGCTGGTGTGGCTGAGGCCTCGGCTGGGATACGGTACGATTACAGGGTCAGTACTAGCTCGGTTATGCGCCCTGCATAAGTCTGAGTCGTACAGTACAATCTATACTCCGTACTAGGTACCTATATCTTAGGTTAGGTAAGTACTAGGTAGGTACCTAGTTTGTACTTAAATACGGGTATTTACTAACTACCTAGGTACCTTAAATGGTGCCAGGTAGTAGGAACTTCGCCCCTGTTACCTATACCAAGAGGTAATGTTGTAGCCACCTTGAACCAAACTACATAATACATACTGTAGTGTGCGGCAACGTCATTCACTTGCATTATTCAACCAGATAAGCTGAGGACGCACGTTCTTGGCCTCGATCTCCCCACAGGATCATCGGCTGCTGCAGATGCCGATTCAGCCACATGCCGATGTTAAGGCATTGTCCTTGACTGGAGGTTACTTACTAGTAGGTACCTACTAGGTAAGCCATGTGTATTGCATGTACGGTGTGTGTGTACTGTGTGTATTGTGTACGTATAGGATAATTCCGATATACTTGATAGTGCAGTTAGAATAGGAATATAAATATAGTTACTTTACAGAAATATCCAGAAATCAGCTGGAGTGTTCATCATGGCTGTGCAACTCTTCAGCTTCGACCTAACAAACCTAATTCCTACATTGAACAACACACCACAAGCCTCAAGGCCTTTCCTATACCGTACTGATTTGCTTATTAAAAGGTATTTATAACTGGTTGTCGGCAAGAGTTGCCTCGGTCATTCCAACGCTGGACAAACTTGGGAGGGGCGTTTTTTTGATTATATAGACCCGACTCTATATACCGGGCAGGCGAAAGCAACAATTGATTATGAGTATAATCTAAGGGTTCTGGGTGAACCTCTCCTCTATTGCCAGAGTAAGCCCGGCAGCGACAGACGAGCAAGATGACTGTGTAGTTAAATCAGAAGCATGCCGAGTCCCAGGCGTTTGAAAGCTCGATATTTGTGAGAAAAATCGATATAACCACAAAAAAGACATGATATAAATATAAGGCGTGGGGAGTTGACTGAATCCACTGCTTTAATTTGTGTCAATAGAAATGGCTTAAAGTCAAATGGGAAGGCAGGGAAATCGCTCCGATTGTTAGGGGTGCTAGCTGAGTGCATTTGGTATGTCAACGTAATCTACAATAAGAGACGAAACTGCGAAGTTGATAAAAAACATCGAAATAAATTGAGCATCTCATGAGGCGGAAGGTTGGGTTGTGGGAACATCGATGCCATAGGCCTCCTTGATCCTGTCCCGGCGTCTCTCCGCGTATCCGGGAGCAAAGATACCTAGATATTGGTCAGTATAGGGTACCGAGACGTAGGCAAAAAAGAAAAGCTATTTCCGCCAGCATACCTCGTCCCTCGCCTAACTCCTCAAAGGTCTGTTCTGCAGGCGTTCTGTACGCCTTCCTCAATTGCTCCCGGCGGTCGAATTCATCCACTTCAAGGTCCTTCTTGTATCCCCACAGGCTGCCACCGGTATACTCGAAGGCGCCCATGGCAGTCGCCAGAGCAGCGCCGTAACCCAAAACGGCAGGGAAGGAGCGGGCTATTGAGCAATTAGTAAGGCTGATGGCTCATTGGTGTATTTTCAAACATCGAAATAAGTAAAAAACCGGAACATACCACGGAGACCCAGGATAGCGCCCGAGAAGAAGCCGCCGAGAGCGACGTTGTAATGGTCGTCCTTCTCGCGCAGATTGGCGGATGCGGTCTTCACAAACTCGTAGGTACAACCCATTGCGGCTAGAAATCCCCCCCGAGTCAGTAGAGTCACCTCCCAAGAACCCAGCTCTGCTTGAAGGAGAATACTATACCGAAAACTCCGATAGTGCTACCGCTCTTCACGAAGACACCCCATGGCCCAACGTTCCTCTTGGTAAGGGTGTTCTGAACGGCGGCGGCGAAAAGACCCACGCTCCCAGTGAGTGCAGTCGCCTTCAATGACGCCGAAATGGTGTCCTTCGGGTGGTAGGCATGCTCTTCAGCGTGGGTGGCCATGATCGCTGCTCAAACACCAAAACGTGCTGCTTGCTGGGAAAGAAAGGCCCGTCGTCGTCGCTGTGAAGGCGAATTTGGCAGCGTCCGCTTTCTGCCAGCTCTGACCGCCTTGATGGGTGCTCGAGCATGGGGCCGTGACGAGAACAAAGCACGGGAAGAGAGCTGTTTGCGCTGTTGAACTAGCATTTTCAAGGTGGAAATTGCTGCAGGTATTGGATTATTGTTATTTCTTATTGTCTCCGAAGGGAAAAGAAATAATATCCGCTGGCTGTCACACCTGCGGCCCCAAACCACCCGCCGCCGCCCGCTGGGTGGATAGATTCCCCCGCTGTTTCGCCTGCGCTGTTCTGCCTTCTACAGTTCGCCATACCCGTGCCTCTTCGTCAAGCGTTCGTCTCGCTCGATGCGTCTTGAAATCGCCCCAGAAGGTCGCTCTATGGGAGAATACTGACAAATATTCACCGTGGCTTAGTCCTCCGGCAAACCTGAAGCCCACCATAGCGCCTCTCATGTCTTCCGCTCAGCGGCCAGGTGTGTGAACCATTCGCTGGAAGCTCCAAATACGCTCGTATGGTGTCTCCCTACTGACTCGCCTGATAGGCAAGACGTCTCCACGGCTTGCGCAGGATATTTGCCTCTACGATCCTCTCCATATCCCGGGAACACGCCGCAATCTCCTTTCGGAAGTACCGCCAGTATACCCTGAAGGCTACGATGGGCCGCCTGATTACATTTCCCCAACGGCCTGTCGGCATGAATATGTCACTAAGACGAGCCAAAGTTTTTTCCCCGAGCCGGAGCACAGATGGAGGACCGGCGTTTCCACCAGGCTGTCGGCAATGTGCGTCAGGTGCCGGTATCACCTCCAGGTGGTGACAAGCCATACCAATGGAGGCGGGCAATACGGCCAGACTTCCCAGGACCATGTGCACCATTGGATGTATAGCTCTGGTAGGCAGCGGGACAGCGTGTCGGCAGGAAACCTCTCTCTGAAGGAACAAACGGCCGAGTCATTCCACTACCGATGCTCATATATCACCTGTTCCACCGTTGTGTCCGTGCGGATCGTGTCTCCCGTGCTCAGTCAAGACTGGGTGAGGCTTCTGACTGATCCGGAGCTCCTGAGTCAGCGTGCAGAGGAAGCGATCGCCGCGCATCCCGAGCGGCTGGAAGGCTTTACTGGGCCGCAGCCGATCACTGTTCTTGAAGATCTGCGCTCGTATCTCAGCAACGCGCTTCACGATCCAAAGAGAAGTAAGTCGATATCCGCCATCAACAAGCGATTTATGGTCTGTTTTGGCATGGAAGGGCAACCGTGTAAGGATCTTCTAGAGTTCCTGGGGTTCAGCGTCAAGGTGAGCATGCCTCCTCAACCATGGTGCTAAAAGCTGTGTCTAAATCATTGTACAGAAGGAAGGCTTTTGGGAGCCACCGCGACCAGATCCCTCCGAGGAAGTGCCGTATCAGGACACCCTCAGAATATTCCTCGATGACGTTGTGCACGAATTGTCCGCACTTATAGATCAGCGTCCGTTGTCGGAGAAGAGAGGCCATCAGCTAGACCATTTTTCCCGATCTTTTCTGGACGATCTCTACTACACGCTGGAGGCTTTGGACTGTAAGGATAGCCCTGAATCCCAACTAGGCCCTCATTGTTTTATTAACGGCGCCACCATAGACCCAAAAGCGACAAGAGCGAATGACTTCTCAATGCCGGGAGCACCGTTAGTTTATACCTTTCGTCCTCCAAGGACTGGCCAAGATAAAATGTACCCTAACTTTGCTTCAAGATTTTACGAGGACCTGGGAGTCGTGGAGGACATGCCTTCTGCTGCCATCGTCGAAGCGTTTAACAGACAGGTTTCGGTTGATCCAGCAAGAACGCCGCTCTACTTTGGGTGCCTGAAAGAAATCGGTGCGCTTCGAGGCGGTGATGATGCCGCTATTATTGAGCGTGCCGTGGAAGCAGCATATGCCGAGGGAAAATACACCAACGAGGATGTTGCCAACGCGTATAAGTATTTCAGCCTCAACTCTGATGATTCAAGCCTCACCGACGAAAATATCATTGGGAGGTTCCATGCCTTTTTGAACTCTACTACGCAAGAGAATGAGAGTCGCAAGCAGCTATGGAGAATCGGGGATAGTAGACGAAGTGAACGCATCAAGTCTGCAGCGGAGGATCGTGAGTTGATGATGCCTAAGCCTTGTCATTCAGTTAAGTACTAATTATGGCCCCCAAATAGGCGTGTCAACAGTTGAGCAGGCCCATATGTATCTGGGCGTCGATGAACGAACCTCTGATGATTTTATTATCACTATGTATACCACGAAGGTAGTGCTTTAAGGTTCTCTCCCCTGACTGGGCCGTTTGTGCTAACCCATGTGACCTGGATATTTAGATCAATGACAGCCCCTCTAGCAAAGATTTTGCACGACGTGCCGTCGAACTCATAGCCGAAGCTCGGAAGTCAGATGTCTTAAAACACTATTTGAAAACCGGCGAGATGGGCGTCGGAGAGATGGACGTCGGGGACGCCTATCGTCTTCTTCAGATACCCGACCGGACCGTCGATGACGCAGCGATTGTTGCGGCCTACACGATATGTATCGATGAAGCCCCGAGTCAGGCTGAGACATACAATCGAGCGCTGAGCATCATCGCGAAAGAGAAGAATAGCCCACTGTTGAGCACCATGGTGTTTGGCTCTACGCCGCAGTCTGATCGTGTCTTGTCCGAATGGCCCGTTGGGTTGCAGAACATCGGAAACACCTGCTACCTCAACAGTCTGCTGCAATTTTACTTTTCCATCCGTCCATTTCGCGAGATGGTGCTGGATTTTGACAGTTACAAAATGAGCTTGGACGAAGAGAGCCTGAGTAAGAAGCAGGTGGGATCTCGCAAGGTATCGAAAAAGGAAATCGAACGCTCGCAAAGATGTGAGTCCAAACCCTGGTGTCCAGTATTCCCTTTCTTACTTCTAACCCGACCAGTTCTGCGGGAATTACAGGTTCTATTCCAGAACATGATATCATCCTCGCAACCCTCGGTCACCCCCGGGCAAGAACTGGCCCGGTTGACTTTAATCAGTCCATCCAACGAAGCAGCTATCCGACGAATGTCGACGCGGTCCAGAAGCCGATCTGTAGGTCTCGGCGAATTGAACGGCATGCCCATTATTGGTCCCTTGGGGCCTCCACAACAGGAGCCTGAAACCAAGGAACCTGTTGATCTGGGAGGCGCCGCGACATTAATTGAAGCTCCTGAGAAGTTACATGTCACAGGTTCGGGGACAAGTGATGCAGACAGCGAGGCGACCCTTGTATCTGAGGGCGCGAGGCCGGAATCGCAGACCCTTCCGGCCGATGATAAAGAGAATACGCCTCCGTCAAGTGATGAAGATATGAAAGATGCACCCGAAAGCATAGCCCCGGAAACCAAAACAACCGATGGTCATCCTGCACCACAGTCCTCTCCTGTCGAGCCTCCAGATCGCCCCCCACCAGTACCCCCACGACCCGTTCCGCAGACCGACCGGCAGAAGCAGCTCATTGACGAGGTCGAGATTGGAGCCCAGCAAGACGTTACAGAGGTGATCAATAATGTTCTTTTCCAGAGCCAGTGTGCTGTCAGGCCCAGTGGGTTTGACGCCAACGGTGAACAACTGGATCGGGTTAAAGAGTAAGTGACTCCAGAGGTTTCCCTTCCTCCCTGTGCAATAAGAAGAGCACTAAGATCCTGTGTAGTCTGTTTTACGGGCGAACCAAGTCGTATATCTCGGCAGCAGCAGGTGTGAGATCGAAGGAGGAATTGTGGTGCGATATCAAAGTTGACGTTGCGAGCGGCCCCCGCGATATCTATTCTGCTATAGATGGCGCCTTTGACGTTCAAAAGGTGGATGTAGAGGGCGCAGTGGCAGAACAGTATGGTGCCATCAGCAAGCTCCCTCCCGTCCTCCAGATCCAAGTACAAAGAGTCCAATTTGATCCCGTCAAGAAGAGCTCTTTCAAATCTACACACCACCTTGAGCTCCTGGACACGATCTACATGGATCGATACATGGACACACAGAATCTTGAGATCCTCAACCGCCGGCGGGAGTGTTGGCAATGGAAGAATAAATTAAAGACTCTCGAAGCTCGCAGAGATGAGTTGCTTCGTAAAGATGTATGTGAATTACCCTAGCCCTCTGAAAATCTCCCCTCGAGGCTGACAGGTATGCCCCAGGAATCCGACAAGTTTGACATGCCGACCCTTTTTGACAGCGCCAAGATCGTGCTCGAGGATCTCTTGTCCATGAAAGACAACCCCGAGACCTCAGATGAGGCGATTGACATCGATCCTCAACTTGTCACCGAATTAGAGCAGCTTTCTCAAATGACCCAGACGGAACTGACAAGTGAGATTCCCCAAGAAGTTCTTCTTTTTCTTCCTCTTCTTCTTGCTGCCGCGCAAGTTTCAACAGACTAATATAGATTGCAGATGTGGAGCAAGAAATGAAAAACACGCAGACCATGATTGCCACCCAGTTTGCCGATTCCAAACATCTCGCATACCGGCTATACGCAGTCTTCGTCCACCACGGATCTGTTACGTTCGGTCACTACTACATCTACATCTTCGACTTCAGAAAAGAAGTCTGGCGCAAGTACAACGACAACGACGTAACCGAAGTCCACAACGCGGAGGAGATCTTCAAGAATTCCGACCGCCAGAACCCACCCACGCCGTACTTCCTGGTTTACGTCCACGATGCACTGAAGGACCGTCTTGCCGACCCGGTCTGCAGGGAGATCTTGGATGCCGCGTCGTCGTCGTTATCGCCACCACCGCCTCTTCCGCCGTCAAGCCAGGCTCCTCCTCCTCCCCTTTCCCCTGCAGAAGTGGCGGTCGTCACCGATGGCCCTGAAGATATCGAAATGCGTTTACCCTCGTATGAAGAAGTGCAGATCGACACACCGTCAGGTACGAGAACCACCGGCCCAGACAAAAACCACACGGCCTCCGCCACGGGTCAGGGATGGCCGTCGAGTACCCAAGCTGACCTGCGTGATGTGAAATGGTAGAGTCGCCGCCCGTGAATCCTCTGAAACGCAAAGGCGCCGAAGACGCGGTGGATACATTAGCGGGATGACACAAATAAAATGCAATAGAAACGACTTGCCCCCTCTTCGCATACACTCTTCCCTAATATGCCCTCCCCTTCCCCCTTCCCCTTTGCCTTGCCTTGCCTTGCCATTTTATTCTTGTCTACTAGCGACATCGTTTTGAACTGGATTCCAGATGTACATATGCAGGACCGGACTTCAGGAACATGCATTTCTAGACGCATGACGCCGAGTAACGAAGACATGACATGATCTAACTAGTTATGCATTCTATGGATTAGTTAATAGTACTTTGGCAACCGCTGTGCTTTTAATAACCAACAAATAAATAATACATAGTCAAGCAAATCCGCGGGCCGCATATCGGATAAGAAGCCCCAAGTTCCGCGGGTGGGGAGAGATACTCCGCATGGGGGGAGCCGAATATAACTACAAGAACCCTGGGACTGCCTCAGAGCTTGCTTTGACGACTATCTGCAACGGTTCTGAAGAATCTATCATCACTTCACTGATACAGGTATTAATTATATACAGCTGTCAATATGCCCTCGCAGGTAGCGAAGTATTTGCGTCTGGCACGGCGGTTCTCCTCCGACCCTAGCAAGGTGAGCAGCTCGCTCCTTGATTAAGATCCTGGCAAGTTCTCGACTGACGGTGTAACAATACTTCTTCTTTTCATTTTAGAATCTCCCGTTACTTGCACGTGCGTTTTCGAGCAGTCTGCGCCGGTCGGCAATCAACAAGATCGTCCCTTCGGCGGAGGAGGCGGTTAAGGACATGAAGTCCAACACCACGCTGCTGGCAGGTGGGTTTGGGCTGTCCGGGGTTCCGGACTCGCTGATCAATGCGGTGCGGGCGAACCCATCGATCTCGGGGCTGACGGTGGTGAGCAACAATGCGGGCGTTGACGGGTCCGGGCTCGGCCTGCTGCTGCAGTCGAAGCAGATCAAAAAGATGGTTGCCAGCTACGTGGGCGAGAATAAGACCTTTGAGCGCATGTACCTGACTGGGGAGATCGAGCTGGAGCTCACACCGCAGGGGACGCTCGCGGAGCGCTGTCGAGCCGGGGGCGCGGGGATCCCTGCCTTCTACACGCCTGCTGCGTTTGGGACGGTCGTGCAGACGGGCGACCTACCGCTGAAGCATAACAGCGACGGCACCGTTGCGCTATACAGCCAGCCGCGCGACGTCAAGGTGTTTGACGGGAAAAGCTATATCATGGAGGAGGCAATCAAGGGGGACTATGCGTTTGTCAAGGCGTGGAAGGCCGACAAGCTGGGCAACTGTCAGTTTCGGTATGCGGCCGCCAACTTCAACGGTGCGATGGGCCGCAACGCCAAGATGACCATCGTCGAGGCGGAGCATATCGTCGAAGTCGGGGAGATCGAGCCCTCGGCGGTACATCTGCCGGGGATCTACGTCAAGCGGGTCGTACAGAGCACCGCAGACAAGAAGATCGAAAAATACACCTTTGCTAAGCCTGAAGGCGAAGCAGCCGAAACTTCGGCACTGGGCAAGGGGGATACGGCTAGCAAGCGCGAGCGCATCGTGCGGCGGGCGGCCAAGGAGTTCCAGAACGGGATGTACGCCAATCTGGGAATTGGCATGCCCATGTTGGCGCCCAATTTCGTCGACGATTCCGTGGAGGTCACGCTGCAATCGGAGAATGGCATCTTGGGCCTAGGGCCCTACCCAAAGCAGGGCCAGGAGGACCCCGACCTCATCAACGCGGGCAAGGAGACCGTCACACTGCTGCCGGGAGCCTCCTGCTTCGGCAGTGATGAGTCCTTCGGCATGATTCGTTCTGGACGTATCGATCTGACTATCCTGGGTGCTATGCAGGTCAGCGCCAAGGGTGACCTGGCCAACTGTAAGTTCTTCCTTTCTCAGCCCCCCTCCTCTCTACTGGTAAAGATTGCTTTGCATGTTGCCACTGACTAACATGTTCAGGGATGCTGCCTGGAAAGATCAAAGGATTTGGCGGTGCCATGGATCTCGTCTCAAACCCGGCCGCTACCAAGGTCGTCGTGACGATGGAACACACTGACAAGAAGGGCAATCCCAAGATTGTCAAGCAGTGCGAGTTCCCCTTGACGGGGAGAGCCTGTGTCAGCCGGATCATCACTGATCTCTGTGTTTTTGATGTTGATTTCACCGATGGTCTCACTCTGGTTGAGCTTGCTGACGGTGTCACGGTCGATGAGGTCCGGGCCAAGACGGAAGCTCCTTTCAATGTTGCCAACAACATCAAGCCCATGCTCTAGAAGCTGTCTTTCAATCTTTTTCTTTAGCATGTAGTTTATATTGTACTGCCATGTTAGGGATTTGATCAAAATTACATAAAATGCCAGATTCGAGCAGGATATGTCGGATTATACATCAGAATCATCACTGTTTCATATCGTACACGCTTCTCATAGTACACTTTTTGTATGCAGAAGAAATATTAACTGGTATAGTACATAGCGAAAGAGAACAGCAACATCTTTATCGAAGACGAATCAGACCTGAGACGGCCTTGCCTAATCGCTTCCAGAAGTCACGATTCGGAGCCTCCTCGAACTCGCGAACGAGGTCGTCGTAATGGCTCGGGTTGCTCGCCGGGTATCGCAGCTTCTGCGGCAATGGGTACCGTCGCGTGTAGCGGTCTTCGAGTAACGAGGAGAGCGCATTCAACGAGGCAGGCGAGATGGCTTTCTTTGTGCTAGACGTCGACGGGTCTTGCGGAATCTGCGCGAGGCGTTGTTGCAGGTACGTCTGGACTGAAACTGCTTCCGGACGAACAGTATCCCGGGGCCAGTGTTTAAGAAGATGGGTGAGGCGAGCCTGGACAGAGGTCTGGATGATTCGTTAGCAACGGCAAATCAGACCCCAAATACAAATCGCAGTGGCTGCAGTGGTAGGAAGTGCGGCGATTCATACGGATGGTTTGGCCATGACGAGAAGGTTCGATTGACGCGATGGTGGCGCAGTGCAAGGAGAGGATTGGTTCTTTTTTCTTTGTTTAATAGACAATTGGTATGTCTGCTTCTTTAAAGGATTTCAGAAAAAAGATACCGAGAAGACTGTTGACGAGTCCTTGTACCCCCCAAAATCTTTATTGTCTTCTGACGTGACGAGAGGATCGTCAAGAGGTCGGACTTAATCTGGTGCCTCAGGCTGCAAGGCATCCACCCACCTGAATCGATCGTCGCCGCTGCCACCAGTGACTAGCCGTCATCTCATCTCGCCCTTTCTCCCTTTCCATCGACCATCTCACAAATCCAGCTCTTATCCTCTTGAGACGTGCTCTCTTGCCGGGTGCCCTCGCTCGCTATTAGTTTCTTTTTTCTCTCTCTCGATACGTGAACAAGCGCGGTAGACCCTGTTCTTCCTCATATCTACGGCTGTAGAAGTTAATCTCACCGCATCCGTCTCCTTCCTCCGCTCGCCATGAGCACGCAGCGGTATCAACGGGTAAAGACTGCCGCTATTTTGGGTTATGGACTCTTTATGCTAATGTGGTGCTGAAATAGCTGAATAATGCCGAAGAGGACGACCATGAGACGGAGCCGTTCCCTGCGATTCCGTTGCAACCAAACGCAACCCCATCTTCCCCTCCCCCCTCCTTTCACTCTCGCTCGCCATCACCTTCGTCGAGACGGCTCTTACAATATGATGATCCGTACCGAAATGAGACCGAGCAGACCCTTGCCGATGCCTTTGGGGAGGAGGATGATTCCGACGCCGACGACGAGCCAGATGACAGGCAACGGCTGATGCGAGCCAGCCCGGAAGCGACAGAGCAGGGTAATAATACATCAGCATCCTCTGCCACCATGGCCGCTGGAAGCCATAATGAGCAGCATAGCGGCTCTGGTATTCAGCGAAGACAGACGATTTTACCTTCCTTCGGCGGTACATCGAGTCGATTGATCACGCCGGCGAATGATGGTGTGTTCGCCAATCTCGCGGCCAAACCGGAACGAGGAGAAAAGAACGAAGACCTTCCACCGGTGCGTTGCTCTCTAGCCCCTCTATCCCCCTCCCTTGTTGCTAATTAACAAATCACAGTCCTATGAAGAAGCTGCAGCAGATGCCACACCCCCGTATTGGGAGACCACCATTATCGCTCCGGGAATCTCGTCTGATGAGGTCTACATCGATGGATTGCCAGTTGGGTCAATCTTCTCTTTTGTCTGGAACGCCATGATCTCCATGTCTTTCCAGTTGGTCGGCTTCCTTCTCACCTATCTCCTGCATACAACCCACGCGGCGAAGAATGGGAGCAGAGCTGGTCTCGGCCTCACCCTCGTTCAGTACGGCTTTTACATGAAAGGAGGTGCTGAGTCTCGGGGCTCAGGGGATGGCAGTTCAGAGCAGTACGCCACTCCGCCAGACCCCAATAGCCATAGCTTCGACCCGAATTCCGTCAACGATAGTTCAGCCGGCGACGATGCAAGCAGCGGGGGTACGCTGTCCAGCATCTCCACCAGCGAATGGATATCCTATGTCCTGATGATCGTCGGCTGGTTTATTCTGATCCGAGCAGTCAGCGATTTCCTCCGCGCTCGGCGACACGAGCAGCTCGTCCTGCAGAGTCCCGAGCGTGGCCTCCCCGTCCCGATCATTGCGGAAGGGGAGCGATCGGAGACGGTCGTATGAATATGGGCATTACGACCTTGCTGGTCTTGTCTCTGTAGCCTGGAGTTCGGAGTATACAGTTTTTCCCTAGCTCACCTGCGAGTTCGAATCACTCGCGGGTTATACTTTCATTTTCATTTTCTCTCCTTTCGGTCCTCCCCCTATAACTAGTATCCTGCACCTCATGTACGTATTCAATCAAAGATACCAGCGGTTTGTGGCTTTTCAACCGGAGCTGGACCGAGTTATTTTTATTTCCATCGTACTACTACAGCCATTGTACGAACTACGGAGTCAGCCTACATGCGTGCGTAAGCCTCGTTGCCTCCACTATCTACAGAGTAACTGTGGCTAGGCAGCTCTTTTCTTTCCTCCCGACAATAGCAGTACTACTGCCTACGGTAGAAAAAATGACCCGAGTCACTTGCAGCCTGGATGGAACAGTGGTATTGATGGTTTCTTTCTTAAATTCAAACCAGTCTCCTAGACATGAAGGTGGGATTCGATCTGCCAGGCGATTGTCCACGTCCTGTCACTCATCGTGGCTGTGATCTCCAAGTGCTGTTGCTGCGCAGCCCCGCGTGGATCCGCGAGACCCTCTGTCTAGAGAAAGCTTTTTGTTTACTCTTTCCCTCCTATCTTTGCGATTAGCATCTCTTTTTAATTCTTCTGCCTATTTTTCTTTATCGAGACGATGAGCGCTCTCTAGATCGACTCCTGACATCCTACGCGTGGCGCTCTCTCTCTCTCTCTCTCTTTAATGACGTCCTCCGCGGCCACCTCCGACCAACGTCCCACACGCGGCCCAGTCGAGGCCCGGTCGTTGTCTGCCATCACCTCCGTCGCTTCAGACCCGCCGGCGTATCCTCGCAATCCGACACAAGCGAAGCTTGGTCCGCTGGTGTTGTATATTGTGAGAGTTCCCGGGAGTAAAGGTAAGGGGAAAGTTGCCGGTTCAACGGAGAGAGTTCCCTCCAAGCTGATAGTTACTGCTCGCATAGATGTGTTCTTGACTCCTCTGAAACCAGCCGTGAAATCCAGTATTTCAGCGGAGGCAATTAATGCATCGTTATACTACTTACATGTGGCGACACCCAACGATGAGGCTCTGCTGCAGGAGCTCGAGCAAGAGCAGGCAGAGGAACGCCAGTTGCGGGAGGTGAAGGACAGACTCGATCTGATGACGGGAGGGCCGGAGTTTGCTCGATTGAACCATATCAAGCGCAAGCCAGTCCCTGGTAGCAGTGCAGTTGCACCGGCACCACAATCTCATACAGACGCAGTGACAGAACAGCCGGATTTTGCACCGCCGTTACCACGCCGACCAGTTCCTACGCCCCTATCTTCGGCCCAGATTAATCAAAATAGAGATATCTCTCCTGCAGTTCCTTCAGTCAAGACAGACCTGCCACGACGACCGCTGCCACCTGTGCCTACGGATGCGTCTCCGTTGGAGCCCTGCAACAGTAATCTGCCAGAGAAAAGGTTGAATCGATGGAGCGCTCTGACGGGGTACCTCAATAATAAAGGTCTGGACAGCTGGAAAGAAAAGTATGGGAGCAATCTGGCTTCGAAACTCCCGTTGCAGAGACCTCATTCATCACATGGAGCCCCCTCCGCGGGCGCCCAGGGGCTGTCCGTCAGGCTAGCTTCTGAATCTTCTTTTTCTTCCTCCCCGGGGTTCCAGATCACGCTCATTCGGCGTGATCTCTCGTCCGGCAGCCAATGGAATGTGGCAATTATAAAAACCTCTGAGACAGATCCTGGCGCCGTGGATATCGAAATCACCACACCCGGGTATAGTAAATTTGCGGCGAACAATGAGCCGTTCTCACTTGCGAACCTAGGCATCAACCTGCCCTCAGAAATCCGGCAAAATGCTATATCCATGTCTACCCAGCAGTACCCCGGTCACAATCACAATAGCAACCCCGGGAGCCCGCGAGAACCCCCTAGACGCAAGCATTTCTACCGGAAGCTACACGTCTCGAGACACCTTGACGACTCGCGAAATCCGCACGACGTACATTACCGTGCATCCCTAGATGGAGGGAGCAGTGGGATGGCTGGGATATACGGCCCGGGGTCTTCCAAACTCAAGAGCGGCTACTACACCTTTCTGTCACCATGGAACGGGATTTGCACGTTTTCGACAAGCGTCAATGGCCACAGTTTGAAATGCAAGCATCTGATACCTACGCCTGGCTTTTCGAACTCGGCCGTCTCGCCATCTGCTAGCTTCTCATCATCTTCCTATTCCTCCAACCCCGCCGCCACGGCCGCAGAGATCCGATTCAACGGTCCCTTCCAAGCAAGCCATCTTCACCAACGCCCCCCTCACCTTTCACCGCCGAACAACACCAATACCACCACCGGTCTGAATTCATCATCAACTACAGACCCAACGTCAAGTCCAACCGCTAGATCGTCCAAACGCGGATCTCTTGCCACCTTCCTCAACACGAAGAACCGCCTTTCTCGCCCCCGGTCCCGCTCCGCCGTCAGCACCATCTCAACCAGTAGCGGGTCCGAATCGGATGAAACCTCCCACAGAGACCGGGACCGAGACCGGGACCAAGACCAAGACCGACTGGACTTGTCGCTAGCCAAGGAGCTGGCGGGCGGCGGGATGCGTGGGAAATCAGCCAAGTTGGGCAAACTCATCATAGACGATGAAGGGATCAAGATGTTGGATCTGATGGTTGCGGCTTGTATGGCGGTTTGGTGGAAAGGATTTTACGGATAATTTTCTTGGGGATAAATTTAGGGATAATTCTACATAGATATATGATCTTTTTGTAATACAAATTCACGGAGAACCCTTTGTCTGATAATACTACTGGCTAGAAGTCACTTGCTCAAAATAAGAGTCTATCATTGCTGGCTAGAAAGAGATATTTGTGCGTCCAGGTCGACTGGCTACAGGATAACATACATGAAAATGTACGGGGGGGGAGGGGGGGTTCAGTCAGAGTGAGCCTGCCCTCTCTTAATGCAGGACGGTTCTGCAGGCAAACAATTATATAAACTGAGCAGACGACATGCCAAACAAGACAGGGAGGGGAAAATAACAAGGCAAATGAGATGAAGGAAAGAAAAGAAACCGTTAGCTGTGTAGTTTTTTTTCTAGTGAGCATCCATGCCTCGCTGCAGCGATGCTTCCAGATCACTGGCATGGCCGCCTGCGGCAAACGCTTCCTGGGGCTTGGGTTCTTCATGCTTCCAGGTGCCCTGGTTCTGCTGGTCGGGGATAGGGACGTTGTTCCCCAGCTGTTGCTGTTGGGCGGCGACGGCGGCGGCTGCCTGCGCTTGGGACTGCTGGCGGACAAGAGCGCGGAAGCGGATCACCTCGTCGAGGATCATCCGGCGCATCTCCTGCACGTCGTCGACGACCTCAAAGTGGAAGTCGAACGTCGTGGGGCAGGTGGGCTCGTCGGACGCATCATGCCAGATCTGCAGGTAAGGGTGCTCCAGGGCCTCCTCGACGGAAATCCGTGACGAGGGATCGAATGCAAGCATGCGGTCCAGCAGGTCGAGAGCGTCGGGGTTAGCGCTGGGGAAGAGGCGCTGGAAGGGGATCTTGGGCATGAACGGCAGGTTGCGGACGTATTCCTGGGCGCGCGGAGAACCGATGCGGCACAGGGTCTCTTCGTTGGGCGTGCCCAGATAGTGCAGGATCTGGTTGAGCTGGTCGACATAGTCGCGGCCCTTGAAGAAGGGCCGGCCCCCGAGTAGCTCGGCCAGAATGCATCCTACAGACCATACATCGACTGTCGAGTTGGTGAGTACAGAATTACAAACTTTGTCTTGGTAAGAGACTAGGGGGAGGGGAAATTGGGAGAACGTACTAGCTTTCGTATAGCTCTGGAAACTCAGCATGATCTCCGGCGCACGGTACCATCTGGTCGCGACGTACTCGGTCATGTATCCCGCATTCTCCTCCGGATCAATCGAGAAGCCACGGGCCAGACCAAAGTCGCAGATCTTGAGCTCACAGTCGGCATTCACGAGGAGGTTGCCAGGCTTCAAATCTCTATGCAGGACATTTGCGGAATGGATATACTTCAACCCACACAGGATCTGGTAGATAAAGGACTGGAAATGCGCGTCCGTCAGGGGCTGCCCGGAGCGAATGATAGCCGCCAGGTCACACTCCATCACCTCTAAACCAAGCTTGTCAGCAGCCGCGACTTGTCTTCTCATCGATGAACTACAAGCATACCTTCGTAGATGTATGTCTCGTTAAAGTTATCTGGCCGTGGGATATCCATGTCGTACAGACAGGTGATCTACCCCGCGATGTCAGCGCTTATCATGTCTCCGTGTATTGACGCAGATCGCCAAATAGAAACGTACATTACGGTGGCCCCGGAAATGCTGCAAGAGTTTGATCTCTCTCAACGCCCGTTTCGCCAAGATTTTCTTGCTGAAGACATTGGTGACTTTCTTGATAGCGACACCTTCCCCGGTATGGATGTTGGTAGCGGCACTAAATCACGGTTCAGCAGGAACCTGTCAGCCACAGGCTTCAAAGCAAAGAATAGCCTGGATCATCTATATCCCCTTTCCACTCTTCTTTCAGGAAGTAGACCTACCAGACGATGCCATATGCACCCTGGCCCAGTTCTTTCGTCACATTGTATCGCTCATCCACAACAAATTCCTGGTTGAAGACCTTGAAGACCTTGCGTCCTTGTAACTCAGACATTATGACGGTAAGGCGCTCAGAGGAGCTCGCTCAGGAGCGTGGTGAAAAGGATGGAAGGTGATTGCGTCAGAAACGAGAATGCACCGCGAGGATGCGAGGCACAATGCAGCCGGATTACTTGCGGTTGGGGGTATTTGATCACGACGGGAAAGGAGCAGGAATAGACGCAGGAGGAGCGAGAAGAGAGAAGAAGAAGAAGAAGGAGAAAGAAAAGAACGAAAAAAAGGCAAAACACAGCGTGGCAGGTAAGAGGGGGGAAGAGTGCAGTCTAGAGATGGCCTTGAAAGATCACAGCCCCGCAATTTCCAGTGATGACAGCAAGTCGGAATCAACAGACGACGATCCACCCGTATCACGGCGAGAAAACAACACTGTGGCTGGCTACGGGTGTCTTTCTACCCCCGTGGATTGAAAGAAGGAGAAGAAATTCGAAAGCGAAGACGCAGATTAGTCTGCCAAGAGAGCAGATTCTAGGACGAGCGCGCTTCGGCAGAGAGAGGGGTCAAGCGACAAAGCAACAAGGCTACTGAGGGGGCTGTTCTGCAGGGCGCCAAATGATCGCCCAAGGATCGCCAGAATCAAAAGACGGCTTTGAAACTAGGTCGGAGGCATACTACACTATTATACTACACTATAGAGGGGGAAAAAAGGATATGAGAGCAGGTTCAGTGGCTCCTGTTAAGGACGAAGAGGAGGTCTACATTGTACAAAGGGATCACCACTTGAGGCTAGCTTACCTCTAGAAGCAGGGGTTCCTTTGTCTTTATGGGCCTGCAATAGATCGAGGAGAAATTAAAAAGAAACGAAAAGAAAAGCCATAAAGAAGATAAAAATACATCAAATTCATGAATCTATAGTTGGGTGTGTATCAGACAGAAAAAAAGCAAGTCTTTTTATACCGTACGACTGGGCTCATACAACGCAAGGCATATTCGAGCGACTCGTTTAGAAGATGTAAATGAAATAGACAATCTCCGCTGTGTAACTTTATGACCATGCTTGAAGACATCATATTTTTTCTTAACTCGAGTTTTTCAAGTTTCTTCATCCACCCCCCGAAAACATTCAGAGTCTCAGACGGGATTGGTTGGCCTAGAGAGCGTTGACAAGCCTGCGCTCCTTTCTCAGAGCCCTGAGTTTGACACGCGCCTCCTCCAGAGGAACCATGACTCCCTTATTTTGGGTAGCAGGGTCATCGCGGTTACGGATGTTGACGGTGCGGGCCTCCTTTTCTTGAGCACCAACGACTGATAGAAAGACAAGGGGTCAGAAAAACAGAAAAAGTAATAGCCCAGAAGGATGCGAACTCACCAAAGATGAAGTTATACTGGGCAAGCTGACCCGTACGAATCTTCTTTTGCAGGGTGTTACCGCTCACGTCGATATCGACATTGAGCTTGTCGCCACGCAAGATCTGCTGCAGCTCCTCCACATAGTCATTCGCGGAAGGCATGACGGGGACAATCAGGATCTGGCGAGGGCTGATCCAGAAAGGCCATTTACCGCCGAAATGCTCAATCAAGATACCCAAAAAGCGTTCGAAGCTGCCGATGATGGCACGGTGAATGACAACAGGACGGGCACGGCCAGGACCAACCTCATCCGATTTGCCTTCTTTCTTGCTCTCTTCCAGAACAGCCTGGCCCTTCTCATTGGTCATGTACTCGAGCTTGAAGTTGATGGGGGCCTGGTAATCCAGCTGAATAGTAGCACATTGGAACTCTCTCTTAAGTGCATCGGCGATGGTGATGTCGATCTTGGGCCCGTAGAAGGCACCGTCACCCTCGTCGATCGTCCAGTCGTCGCCCTTGAATTTGGTCATAGCCGCCTTCAGTTGCGATTCGGCGTAGTCCCAGGTGGAGAGTTCTCCCAGATACTTCTCAGGACGGGTAGAAAGCTTCAACTTGAAAGTGAAGCCGAAGAGACCGTATATCGACTTCAAAAAGTCGAATAATCCCTCGATCTCAGACGTGATCTTCATAGCACATAATGTCAGTTCTGGGAACAATCGACGTTATTCAGTGATGATGATAAGACAGCATACCTGATCTTGTGTACAGAAGATGTGGGTGTCATCTTGCTGGAATTTACGAACACGAGTCAGGCCGCTCAAGGCCCCGGACGCTTCATTTCGATGCAAGACACCAAAATCAGCAATTCTCAGGGGAAGCTCTCTGTAGCTTCTCTCCCGATGACCGAAGAGCACAAAGTGGCCGGGGCAGTTCATGGGCTTGAGAGCCCATTCTCTCTTCTCGATATCCAGCTTGAACATGTCATCTTTGTAGTGGGCCCAGTGGCCAGAGGTCTTCCAAATTCCCACATCATACATGTTAGGGGTCTGCACTTCCTGGTAGCCACGCTTGCGGTACTCGGTGCGCAGAAGCTTCTGGAGAGCATTGAAAATTGTGGTTCCTTTAGGAAGAAGGAAGGGGCAACCAGGGGATACTTCATCGAAAAAGAAGAGCTCCTGCTCTTTGCCGATCTTCAAGTGGTTTCGCTTCTCGGCCTCCTCAAGGAATTTCAAGTGTTCCTGCATCAGTTTCTTGTCCGGAAAAGCGACACCACGGATACGCTGAAGGGAGTCGTTCGACTGGTCACCAAGGAAGTATGCGGAGGAATTCTTCACAATAACTCAGTAAGCCTGTGGTCATATCATCTATAGAAAAGTATATATCTGCCCATACCTGCATGATCTTGAAAGTCTTGATCTTACCCGTGTTCTGGATGTGAGGGCCTCTGCACAGATCAACCAGGGTACCGCAGCGGTAGACGGTACTCTTTTCGCCGGTCACAAGCTTGTCGATATAATGGAGCTTGTATTTGCTGTAGGAGAACATAGTCCTGAGGTTCTCCTTGGTAACTTCCAGGCGATCGAAGCTCTGTTTCTCTTTGAAGATGCGCGCAGCGCCTTTGTCGAGGGATGGCCAATCGGTTTCCTTAACAACGCGTCTAATTTCGGGCTTAGTATCTCCAAACAATAAATCGAGTAAGACTGGAAAGCAGAAATTACCCTTCAGGCATGGCCATATCGTAGAAGAAACCCTGAGGCGTAGGTGGTCCGTGGGAAAGTAGACAGCCATATTCGCACTCGCAAGCCTCACCCAGACAGTGCGCACTGGAGTGCCAGAAAACTTCTCTACCCTCCAGGCTGTCGAATTGCACGAATGAAACCTTGCAGTCACGCTCCAAGGCCCGGTTAAGATCCCAGAGTTCACCATCAACCTTTGCTACCACAACATTGGCACTGAATTCCTTGGGCGCATCACGCAAAAATTGGGACGGAGTAGTCTCCCAGGACTTGGCGATGACGGTGGATGGGCTTCCATTACCCAGGTCAACCGTAACATTGATATCCGCATGATCCCTAGTCTTCTGCTCCTCAAGATGCTGCTGCCACAATTTCTCGAAGAATTCATTGCGCTCGATGATGAATTGAGGGAGAGCATCACCGCCGGAGGCAGCTGCTTTCGGCGCAGCCCGGACGGGCAGCTCACTGGGGTTCTCAGATGCCATCGTCGTTGCCCGCGGGGTCTGGGAATTTCGCAACGAAATGCTGTTGTCTCAGATGGAGGGGTAGCCATATTCAATAATAGTGACTCACTAGTGAGGGACAAAGGCGGTAAGTCACGTGGTGAAAAACTGCCCTGAGCGGTCGACACTTTACCGCTTCTAGCTTCCCACCGTCGAAAACTTCTCCGGCCTCGTCCAACCCCTGTTACGCCAACGACAACTCTATCAACATGTCTTTTCGCGGTCGTGGAAGCCGTGGCGGCTTTGCCACTGGTGCCAATCGAGGAGGAAGCTTTGGTGGACGTGGTGGTGAGTTTTGGAATATGGTCCAGTGGAGAGGAATAGCTTCAGGACAAGCTGACAATTTTTTTCTTCGGATAGGTCGTGGCGGTTTCCAGCAGTCCTTCGGCCCCCCCGATCAAGTCTTCGGTACTTCAATCATTCTTTTCTTTCGATCTATAAATGAATTGACTAATAATGTTTTTAAGAGATGGGCTCTGTCATGCACGCCTGCGAGGGTGAGATGGTCTGCGAATCCGTGAACCCCAAGATTCCCTACTTCAACGCCCCGATCTACCTCGAAAACAAGGTGAGAGAATATAATCGATATGTCTGTTGGTATTTTCTTGATGCTGATGCATCCAAACAGACTCCCATTGGAAAGGTCGATGAGGTTTTGGGTCCCATCAACCAGGTGTACTTCACCGTTAAGCCCCAGGAGGGAATTGTCGCAACCTCGTTCAAGCCCGGCGACAAAGTGTACATCGGAGGCGACAAGCTCCTTCCCTTGGAGAAGTATGCAGTTCCCATCTTCTCGACAAACCCAATTAAAATGTCTTTGCTAACGCACCGATCAGGTTCCTTCCCAAGCCCAAGCCCCCGCCGGGTGCGAAACCGAAGAGAGCCGGCGGTGCAGCCCGCGGTGGCAGAGGAGCCCCCCGAGGCCGTGGAGCTCCTCGTGGAGGCAGCCGCGGTGGCTTCTCCCGGGGAGGTGCCCGCGGCGGTAGCAGTTTCTCCAGAGGCGGCCGTGGCGGCAGCGGTGGATTCTCCCGTGGTAGCAGCAGAGGAGGTCCTCGCGGAGGTTTCCGTGGACGCAACTAAACGATTGAGATTCTGCCTTACTGTGTTATTACGGCGTTTGGGGAAATGGGAGCTTATTCCTGTTGGAATTTTCTGTTGATTCTCAATTCTCTTGTGCTCTTTCTCGCTCTAAAAAAAGACTGTTTGAAAAAACATCTTACCACTGAGTTCCATGTTTAATAAATATATGCGCATATGTCTGTAGTATAACCATCTTGTTTTCTGAAACGTAACTGTGGCTAGTGCATATGGCTGTGTCTGCACCGCCTCTTCATAAGCGCCTCTTCTGCAATGACGTCTGACCGCTTCCGCCCGCCTAAACCAAGAGAATCTGTCCTTGAATTCACAAAATCCCCGTTCCCAGACTCGTCCCCTCGACAACATCCTGGACATACGCACGGCTTTCCCTTTTCTTTTTCATCAATTCTGAAGCATGTCCCGCAGAGCATCAGCTATGCCACCGAATAACCAGCCGAACAATCCTGCTTCCTCGTCTTCCGGTGACGGAGGTTTGTTGACTTGCCGACATTACCTATTCTTGTTGTTTCATGGCTGAGAAGCTGCAGGTCAAGAAAAACAGAAGATGCTTCTCTCATCTGAGGTTGGACATTTTAGTATGATCAGGTTGGATCTCTCCCCACCTTTCGTTGGCGACTCAATGGTCCGATTGTTGACGGTGTTTCGCATGTTTTAGAGCATTGCATCTTGCGGATCTAGTAACCGAACTTAATGGTGAGCCTTTTCTTGGTTTTTCGGCCTTGTAACCGATCTCAAGCTGACTTGGTTTGAATTTTACAGGGTTTTGCGGAGGTACATTCCCAAATCGTCCCTAGTGCATCTAGCGAACTGTTGCAACTAACATAACTGCGGCGAAACAGTCATGTCTGTTTTCTCCTCGATGCGCTACTGCCTTGGCGATCCGCATGATCTGGGTAATATCTGGGCTGCGTTAGCATTCATGCCTTTTGGTCTCTTCTTTGATTTTATGGATGGAAAGATTGCGCGATGGAGAAAGAAGTCCTCTCTGATGGGACAAGAGCTCGACTCGCTTGCAGACTTGGTATGCTCTACACGCTTTAGTTTGGATCTTTCTACTGGTCTTCTTTTATTCTTATCAATTGCCAATACATCGCTAACGGTGGAATACTAGGTTTCGTTCGGCGTATCTCCCGCAGCTGTCGCATTTGCCATCGGCGTCCGCACGACGATGGATCACCTATTCCTCGCCTTCTTTGTGCTTTGCGGGCTGACTCGGCTAGCTCGCTTCAACGTGACTGTTGCTGTGTTGCCGAAGGATAAGAGTGGCAAGTCCAAGTATTTCGAAGGCACGCCGATTCCGACGACACTCTCGATCGCAATGCTCATGGCATACTGGGTCTCTCAGGGCTGGATTCTTGACGAACTGCCGTGGGGGGTTGTTGCTCAAGGCACGATCTTCGAATTCCACCCCGTGGTGCTTTTGTTTGTTCTGCATGGCTGCCTGATGGTCAGCAAAACGATACACATCCCGAAGCCGTGAATGAGGCTCGGCCCGGAGCGCTAAGAGCAATCAATCTAGCATGAGGACGGCCGGCCTTGTTTTTTTTTCTTTTCTTCGGATTGAATAGAGATTACGTCGGACAAGTGTTGTCTACCACTGGGGCTAGGTATAGTCAAAAATGTTTTGAATGGATCCATTAAAGCTATATAATATTCATACATGAAGGGGATCCCATCCATTCCATCCTTTCGAACATGGACTCAAAAGGTATTGATTCTTTGCACCTACTTGCGGTCTGATAGGATACGATCAGACCCTATTCTGCTGTACTATGCTTGATGTATCGGTTCCACGAATGAAGTGTAGAGTATTACTTTGCTCGCCACTCAAGGCTACCGAATCAATGAACAGCGCAGTTGGGTCTTAGTTCAATAATTAGTCCGTTACTCCGTGCTTTCTTAGGCATCGTCCTGGCCAATTCCAGTCTTGTGGATAGACAGTACCTCCTCGCCTGGTTACCGGGGAAGTTGGCTTTGGTTGCTATCAACAATGGTTAACTAACTGTCAGAGAGGAACGCACACTACATCTGTACTCCGAGTGCGCTGACGATCCAACCGGGTAACTAGATGTCAATTTCAAGTCTTGATAAACAAAGTACGGGTACTTGATGGATTTCCCTACTATATCTGTCCAGCAAAGTACACTGCTGTTTTGCAATGAGCACATGCCACACCACAGAAGATTCTCAGCGCATGGTCTCTGGTCTACTACATTACTCTAGTTAAGTACCTAAAGTAGGTACCAACTAGTAGAGTCTGGACTCTGTAATCAGTCAACGATTCGAACAGTAGTGGGTCGATGAGAGTTGTTCTAGACCGCGTATGTAAAGTGCAAGCTCATTCTCCTAACTACAAAGTAGTTATTATTACCAAGTAATTATTGAGTAGCCCCTGGCTAGAACTTACGTCGTATATTCCATAATTGTACTTCGTAGTATGGCGAACTGGAAATAAATAATAGCCAAATCCATTATCATTTGTGACCACTTGGTCGCGTGACTCCTATTAATAGTGACAACAGCCTTACTTTGCTCTTTCCAGGTATTTACTACATAGATAGGCAGTTAGTTACCTGTTAACAGGTACGGAGTACTAGTTACCTAGTGACTACCTAGTAGTACCTAGTACCTAGTAAGTAGTAAGTAGTAAGAGAATCGTGAGGCCAAGTCTTGGTAGTCTTGAACTCTGTACTCTGTAGGAAAAAAGGATACAGTTTAATGCAATAGTTGGAACAAGTGGCGGACGCCCAGCCATCACGCAGAAAATAGTGTAGAAAAGAATTGAAAAAAATGGCTTGTTTGGCATCATGCTGCATGTGCATGGTGTTATTGGCTTGGGCTCATGGTCTGGAGCCAGTTCACCGGCTTCTCGAAGGAACGAAATGAGCCTTGCAGGCTGCAGGTGAATGGTAAGAATAAGAGTCCTCTCAGGCAGAACACAGCATACCAGCATAGTGAGTATGTGACTTGATGGCCGTCAGGACGACACGGCCAAAGTCTGAAGAAGATAGGATCGTGAGACGTCGAGTAGAGTCTTTCTTTCTCCCTGCATACCCAGATTAATCTTGACTGCTGAAGAATGGCTGTGTATCAATACTGTCCCGATGGAATGGCCTGTATGTAATTATTGTAACCGGTACTGTATCTTACAGCCCACGAGATCTTACCTTACTACCTGAGGTACCTTAGTAATATTTGTCTTGAAGACCTCACTCAATCTGTCATCTCATTAGCTCTACCTCCTCAGCTATGCCAAGATTAACGGTGATTTGGAGTCGAATTCTCAACAACTACTACTGGATAGCTTTAATTAAGATGAAGCCTCGTCCCCGGTATTCGAGCCTGGCCTTTGTTTACTGGAAACAAGTACGGAGTATCAATCATGCTCTGACAGGGCAGTGCGCACTATGGAGTAACTGACTAGCTCACAGGGACCTATGTAGTATATCTGCCATGGAATAATTAGCTAATTAATCCTCTCTCGTATTGACTCTGCCACCTAGTTTCCAGCTCTCTGGAAACATTATCTGATAGAAGCCTTTCTGGTAGATGTCTCTACACCAACAGTTACGGAGTACAGAGTACGGAGTACTCTCAGGAAGCTCCTCGGTATGCATAGAGTAGATCACATACCGAATAAAATGCTCGACAGAAAATTTCATCGCAAGTCGCCCGTCACTCCAACCACAACGCCTCGCCCGGTCGCACCATCGCCCGTCTTTGCTAGACGGCGCCATTCCAACAGCCCGTGTTTGCCCAGTCGGGAATGGATCGCTTGCCCCTGGACGCCACAGGCGCGGGTACCTGATTATGTAATGCGCTCTCTGCCCAGTGACCGCCCGGCATGCGCCCTGTAACTTACTGCGTCCCCGCCGTACAGGGTTCAGGGTCGACTCCGCTGGGCATGGTACGTGTCCGGCGTACCGGCTGGTAACTTACCCTGTGTGTTACACAAACAGCAGTATAGACAGACTTATGTAGTAGGCAGGGTACTGGGTACCTGGTACCTACCCAGGTACTGGTATTACCTAAGGTTACCAGGTACCTAGTACCCAGTCCTAGGCATCTGTACTCCGTTGGTTACCCCAAACAAATCTCAGGTCGGCTCGTTCCCCCTCTCCCTGCAGCTCCCAGCACAATCCCCAAAGTCCCTCGCAGACAACCCATCTGCACTGACACTCTTTCTTTCCATTTTTTCTTTACTCCCTTTCGCTCGCTAGGAGTTTCGACTCGTCCTTTCTCTTATCTTTTTTTTATCTACGCGGCCGCGAAAGCCCTCTGTTTACTCTCTTCGACTCCTCGCGGTAAAGAGCCCCATTTTATACTCACGAGTCATCAAAGATAGGGGTCATCTATCAATCGTTCCCTCCAGGCTCCTCCGAAAGAGAGGGGAAGAAAAAATCAATAATACATAAATTATCGATCACGTCTACAGCAAGGATATCCTCCATCTTGTCTTTGGATTCGCCCTTGCAAACAATCGTTTCCTTTCGTTGGCTCCGCCCCGGGGTGGATGGTCGCGACCTGAACGTTTCGACACATCCGCTTACTAGGTCGATGCTGGAGGTGAAAGAGGAAAGGAAATCAAAACAAGGAAAATAAAGATACAAATTCAGCGAAAAAGGTGTACAGGGTTACGCGGGCCGTCCCTTACCTTTCTTTTTCGAATTCGCTATTCGAACGTTCCGCGGTTAGAGCAGGTGCTCATACAAACACGTCACGCTCCGACAACGAAAACTACCTACCTGTTTTCTTTTTTTCCCCAACCTTAATATCAAGATGAAGCTCTGCACAGTGCAACCGGCTCTACTCGTCTCGGGCCTGTTTCTCGCCGCCGGTTTGGCCGTGGCGGACCCCGTGGCGGCCGCCGCTCCGGCAGCGACAACAACAGACCTGGTGCTGAAAACGATGACCTACAAGGGCTGCTACAATAACTCGACACCTTTAGTAGATCAGGGTTCATACACGTGGCAGAGCTCGGGATACTGTCAGAAGGAATGCGTGAAGGCAGGATATGCTGTTCTTGGGTTGTGGAAAGGGTCCAACTGTCTCTGTGGAAACGAGTTGCCTGCAGAGTCAGCTTTGACGTCAGATAGCGAGTGTGATACAGAGTGTGATGGCTGGCCTCAGGAAGACTGTGAGAAACCCTGTTTCGCGACGGAGAAGGCATACTTTGGGGGGTGAGGCTAACATTGCTATCCAGGTGGTGGGAGTAGCGCCTACTCTGTTTGGCTGACAGGCACCGAGGATAACGATGCCGTTTCAACATATTCCGCCTCCTCTACTACTAGTACTGCGACCTCTGATGCGGACAAGGCAGCTTCAACGACTGCAGATACCGTGACCGTCATCACCGAGGCGGGACAGACGATTGTCGTCACCGCAGCAAGCGATGAAGAAAACGTGACCACCAAGAAGAGCTCTAGTGGTGGAACCAATACCGCCGCTATTGCTATTGGCGTTGTGGTAGGCGTCGTTGGGCTATGCTCGCTTGCAGGCGCTGGGTTTTTCCTCTGGCGCTACAAGAAGAGAAAGGCCATTGAGGCCGAGTATCGCCGCAATGCCGCCATGGAAGGCTACGGCAAACCCATGTCCACCAGCTCCATGTCGGACGCCCGGTTCGACAGTGACTATATGGCTCAGCGCCGCCTAAGTAACGGCAGTATTCCGGATGATCAAGACTTTTCAAGAAGGATCCTGAAGGTAAATTTATACACTATACAAATATATACTCCGGATCGAATCGAACCCTTAACTGACCCACTACAGGTGACAAATCCTGACGACTAAGCGAGAGATGCAATTGCTTTTTGCGTCTATATTTCTTGAACCATCTCTTCTGGTCATGACTGGACCGGCGGTGATGTATTCCACTGCCGGATAATTCATACGATCGACCCATGTGACATATTTTGAAGTTCACCCTCACTTTCTCAGTCATCTATCTCATTGATTTACGAGGATTTCCCTAGCTTCTCTGTTGGGTTTTTTTTAGCGGCGTTGTCACTGTCTCTGTGGTTCATTGATTTATTTATTTATTCATTCAACTTGGACGGCTTTCTTTCCTTCAACGAAAGGAACAGATGATGCAGCCTTCTTTCCAATGGTCTCTGTACTTGTATACGGGGGGAGTAGGTTTTGGATCTCATCGTGTCACCGTCATAGTACCTCCTATCTATCCATGTCCACTCTGAGTGTCTAAGTACTGGTACAATGCCACCACTGGTTGGAGTGGCTGTCTACTAATTAGTTGTTACCCTCCTGAAACCTTGATACTGGCTGCGTTCGAGAGATGTCATATCTTAGGATTCTTCTAGTCCTGGTCCTGTTTATTCGGTCTTCTGTCTAGACTTGGGGTGTTTCCTCTCAAGCGAATAGATCATTCAATAATGTATTTCTAGCATCAATTTGCTAGTTATATCGAGGCATTATTCGGTATATAGTTCAGATTAGCTGCCAGCATCTGCTTGCCTTCTCTCAAATCAATAATATATGAATAAAGTGATGATGGAACTCTACTTCTAGGACACTTTACTGGTGAGGATGCAAACAGGTTTAGATCCTTTTCCTTGGATATAAAAAGGGACAGTCAGATCCCACGGCCTGCTCTCTGCCATGGCAGCGAGCAACTGGCGGGACATGGAGCCGTCTTCAGAAGTATATGATTATAACCTAGTACCTGAGCATACCACTGTAAGTAGTAGGTTAAAATCGACAGCCGGGACGAGTACAAATTCCACTGCCATCAACAGTAGCAAACCCACGGTGGTATCATTAGACCAGTGAGTGAGACGCTGTTCGTCTTTTCTACAATAATGCCTTGACCCCGTAGTACTCGAGATGACTGCTCTTTCTGAATGTCAATCAGGAATGAGTCTCTCACCTCTACACGAAGGATGGGTGTAGAAGATAGCCACAGCATTTCTTTCGTAACGTTGTTTGCTGGTGGGTTTCCAAAATAGAAAGGACAATCAGATGGCAATACCCTCAACAACTTGTCAAGGGTGCTGGAGAAGTCCACGTATTTCGATGTCGCCACATGCATAGCCAGGGAAGATGGAGCTGAGCCTATCCATCAGAGCATACAGCTAGTCCGTCGTAAATCCGAAGAACGGCATTATCTTTTCCTTGTGTGGACTGAATCGGTAAGCTGATTGAGTCTTCTCATGCCCACGAGCTGGGGTCTAAGAGACTATTGACGGGCATGGCCTATCAAAGCAAAGGACCTGCCCTCTTTCTCTCTCTCTGGGTATGAAATTGCCGAAGAAAAGACTGCAGTTGATGTTGATAGTCACGGCACTCTCTGGACGATTCTTTCTCTTGAGACGTGAGATTGATACGAGCTGGTGGTTAGGATGGAGGTAGAGTCGACGGCGAGGATCTAGATCTGCATCAACAGGGTACTCCGCAGAGGGTGCTCCGTAGACTGTACTCTGCACTGTACAGTATGCTGTGTGCTGTAGGTCTCGCCTCAGTCTGCAAGATGATCAGCTGGAGGTTTGCCTTCGCGTCCCGATCGGAGGAAGCGGGTGGAGCCAGCAGGGATCATCTACAAGGCAGGTAATAGCGAGCCCTATTCAAGTAAAGCCTGAGTATAACCACTACCTAGTATCTGGGATGGACGAGATAGATACTATGTAGTAGTTATAGAGACTCGGAGTATAGACAGTAAATCAACCACCAAGATCTTCAATAATAGTTACTACATATTCATGTAAGTATGTAGTACTATACTCATGTAACTAGTTACTTAGTTATACTACAATCTACCTAGTACTAATACCTCATGACGACATCTGTTGATCTTCCTAGCGTCTAGAACATTAAACAGAACGGGGCTTCCAAGGTTCCTACCTATGCAGTAGTTAGTCCATAATGATTGGGGTCTCTATCCACCACTACAGAGAGTGACTACAACATGTAATAATTTAACCACCACTATTTAGTAGCCAGTGAACTAGTTAGTTACCTATTTAGTTAACCAGTTAGTTAACTAGTTAGTATGTAGTAACATAAGTCGCTAGTAGAGTAGTATTCAAGTACCACCCAACTAGTGATGACTTATTTATGGTACTACATCGTAACTAACTATATATCTAACTAACCAGCAACTAGTAAGTAGTAGGTACATCCAACTAAGTTACTCCATACTACGGATTACTCCGTACTCCGTAAACATGCACGTGGCTTAGAAAGACGTATCACATCATGCATCATCTCAAGACAGGGAATCGAATCCTGCTCCTACACTCCACGACTAGATTGTCACAGACACGGAGATGATCGCAATATTAAGACTGCAGGAGCTGGCTCAGGGCTGCAGGGTATTATCCAATGACAATCATGAGGTATTTACTGCTCCTAATAATAATAATAATCATAATAAATTGGATAAACTTATCAGTACTCTGTAGATTAAGTGACTCAACGTTTACTCTGTATTATTATTGTAGGTCTAGATTGAACTAATATTAGTTTAATTAGCCGAGTTCATGGCAACCCGGTACTAACTATACATACTACATAGTTATACTCCGTAGTAAGAGTGGATCTGCTGTCACTACTACATACTACTATACACGTGGAGGTTCAATGTTATCTGTTAACTAGGGGGTAGTTCTTTAATTACATCAACTAATTATGTTGTATAGTAATTCAATACTATTGACTACTAACTGATTACTAGGCACTGTACTTTGTCTACTACATCACTGTAGAACTGAGTAAAGACTAGTGTACAGCTGTCAATTACGGAGTACCGAAGGATGATCATCCAGCCGTTGGTAACTACTGCGAGCAACAGGTGAGTAACGAGTAACTAGTGGCAGATGAAACCGTCACGGCGCCGATCAATCGTGAAGGAAAAGCGACAGGAAATTCCCAAGGCGCAGCAATAATAATATTAATGCTCCGTAAGACCGTAAGATTAATAAAAATAAATAAATAAATAAATAAATAATAATAATAATAATAATAATAATAAAACACTGTATGATTTGTCATGGCACGAAATGGGTCCTCTTAGTGGCTGACGCTAGCACTACTGCAGTCTAGTGCAGGTGACCGGGATAGGGACAATCCAATCTTTTTTAGGTTGCCGGAGGTACGGAGTACGGAGGTCCCTTATGGAGAGTATCGGCTTTGTACGGAGTTAGATACAAGTTATACTCAAGTTGGTTCTTACTGATCCACTGTTCATTATTCTCGGATCCGATAATCCTGTCTGCCACGTTGTGGTACAGACTAAACTGTAAATCCATGACAGTACTACTAGTTACTACTGTACCTACAACAGTACTAGGGTACATACTACATATGTAGTACTCCGTACATACCTAAATTATCGATCCGACCCATGTCGAATCTAGGTTGACCTCTAGTGTCTTGGCCATGTGTTTGCCGATTTTGGACCACCATTTCTATATGCTTCAGAGCACTCGGCACTTCTCCCGGCACCTCCTTAGGTTTAACTAGGTGAATCTTGATGAACATCGAACGAATTAACTAGGTAAACTAGGTGTTGGTTGCCTTGAAAATACAAGAGTATGATTCATGTCAAGTCCTACTCTTCTACTACAATGACTATACTTCTTTACTAACCTGTTTAAGAATTGGATCTGAACGGCTGTCGGCTACTGAGCCAGAGACCCACCTGCCCCAGGGAACATGGATGATTATGTAGTACGTAGTACTTATATAGTAGTTAGTTAGTTACTACTCCGGAGTACATATGTACCTACTTAGTTACATAACTAAGTAGTATGTCTCGGGGACGGAGACGGAGACGGATTGTCAAGTCTATTAAACTCTTCTTCAAATTCCACAGATGACGTTCGGCGACGATCAAGTAAGAAGACTTACTTTGGGCTGTAGAGTGCGGAATATAGAGACACAGTGCGGAATACTCCGTAGAGAGAATTCAACGAATACCCACGTGACCCCACTCTGCTGCATATAAAACAATGATATGGAGAACTCGTGGAGATGATTGACAAATCTCTAAAAAAAAAAAGTCTATAGGAATATACGCCGTACACCTCTACGGAGTACTCCGTGGTATCCAGTAATTAAAAAAGTGAACTCAACGATAGCGGGCACGGAGCAACATGATCCTCCGGATACTCCGTTATCCGTACTTCGTACTAAGTACTATACTCCGTACTCCGAATTCTTCAGTCTGCTAAGCCTTGTAAGGCACGGAGTACTCCGTACCTACATACTGCGGAGTCCAGACTGCAGCTATGTAGTACAGAACGAGTCTTCCGGTATAGGTTAGTACAGGTACATCGAGTTTCTCCACGGAGCGTCAAAGTAACTAGGAAAATTAACTAGTTCGTAGTTTACTAGTTAGTTATTTGCTATTAACTTACCTACTCTGTAACCACTCTGTACCTTAAGAGTTGGACACTGGACAATCTCGGTCATATGAGGTCGTTGTAGATCAGTGGATGTCAGTTCGAGGCCTAAGTGACTAGTTGGCTAATAGAGTTTGTCAGGTAACCAACTAGTTCACCTCTATTAGATGCTCCGAGAGGGAATTCATGGTGGTGACTATAAATGGTATGAGATAGCGAGCATGACGAATCAAATCGCCGCTGTATAGGTTAGTGTTGGGTCTGCCTTAGCTAATTATCTACCTATGCTATGGATAGTATTAAGTTTCCGGGAGATGGAAACTCCGACTCTTTCCGGTGTTTTCCGTCCGGGTCGGGAATCCAAGGAGACGGTCGGCTGCCTCAGGCCTAGACTCTCGATCATTCATAAAGTCTTATCGGTAGAACATAGTAGCGGTAGTCTACCCAAGTAGTAGCTCTTTACTAATAGGTTTATACCTTGAACAGAGATACTCCGAACTCCGTACTGAATCGGTCTAGAGAACGGAATCTATCTCTTCCCGACGGGTCAATTGACATGGAACGAGCTCGATTCGACTCCACAGTCAAATCTACTCCTTAGGACTTGCCCCTAGTTAGCTTTCAGGTCAGGATACGAGATACAGAGAGGAGCAGCGCAGCAGCGGGGCACAGAACGAGAATCGGGAAAAAGGGCGCTGATCCGAACTTGTGCCGCAGGAGCCGAAGGAAGTCGAAAGAGTCATGTTGCGTGGGCCTGAGTCTATTATTTATTATTACTATGACATACTAACACAACTACCTAATGTGTGTTTTGGAAAAAAAAAAAAAAAAATCGAAACTGCTGCTTTTTGAGTTTGATGGTTCGTTATTGGCTCCATACCAGCTCCTACCAGCTCCAGCCCATGGAGTCGGGTCTATTAGTTGCAGAATAACACTACATAATAATCTACAATCTACAGTATCTACTACTACATTATCTCTAGTTCCATGGTTACTATAGCTGTGATTTGAGTACTAGGTAGATATGTTAAGCAGTTGAATACCACATATCTATCTATTTATGCGTCATAATGGACTTCTCCTAGTTTCTACCAGATACTTAGCTCTACTATGGAGTAATGAACTAGTTAATTAACTAGGAGTAGTACCTACCTATAGTTAACTATCACCGACTAGTAGGTAGAGGTACCTGCTACAGGTACGGAGTCGGATTCCGGAATACCTGTGCTCTGTACGGCTAACCTTATCGGGTACTCCGAGAGCTTCCAGATCCAATAGGTTCCTTCGTCTAGTCTTCCATTCCAAGATTGGCACTATTGCCTTGTGGTAGAGATAGCATTCTATTGCTCTATTAGTATACTATGTATGTACTAGGTAGTAAAATAAATACTAACTATCCTTTAATTATCTACTACATAGCTACTTAGGTACCTAGTACCAGGTAGTAGGTACTCTAGGTACTCGTACTTCAGGGCCTACCTGGTAGGTACAGGACAGCAGGTCTCCTCCAGTTACCTAGGTACTCGCCAATCATAACCCTTGACAGCCAACTGGACAGCAGCTTGTGGTGCTGCCAAAGCCGTTGAAGCATGGATAATGCACCCCACTGCCCAACGGAGTAACCAAGTCGTAGAACCAACCAAGCCACTACTCCTACTTGTACGGACTACGGAGTGCCTTACCCGCCTTAGTACCCTACCTAACTAAGTACGGAGTACCTAGTACCTACCTAGTACCTAACTACCAGTAACTAAGTCCTAAGCTAGGTACCTACCTAACTACCAACTAAATTAGGGTACCTACCAACTACTGTATCTTACTCTGTAATTACTGGTAATATGAACCCTGATAGGAACGCGCCTCAGCCGCACTGGACCATGCTTGCTTTTACGGAGTAGACCTATGCCTAATCGATTTCACCAACTAAAAAATAAAAATAAAATAAAACAAAAAATAAAATAAAAAACTAACTAATTCGTAAATTACGTCTAGAGCAACCAGAAATCACCATTCCAAATTACTTCCCTCGTGTCCACTTAGACTTTGCTTCTCTCCATGGTTGATCCATGCCGGCGCCGCCCGTGGTACGGAAGCAACTACATACGTTCGACGCCCACCGTCCCTGGAAGTCCAAAGACCAACATAGCGGGCCCGTTGAATCATGTACGGAGAGAGGATGCTTGCATGATCAGCCTGCAGATTGATCATCATGAATATTGAAGTGTCCCCCCTCCCTCCTCTCCTTCGGTTTTCATTCGCTTACAAGCATGTCACCGGCGGTTAGTAACCAACTGCCTAACCAGTTGGTTTAGTCAGTCAATTACCTACGGTCCTCCATACCCCAATTCCCCTCCATTACCTGTCCAGTGTCTTCTGCTCTTCTGCTCGAATCTCTCTCCAGGGACAACCCACCCCTACCCTGCAGAGTGAGAATCCTTCCGGCGGTTTCAGATCATCATCCTCCTGCCTGGCACTCGGTACTGGTTCCAGCTGGGTTCCTTATTTGATAAACCCACCCCCCCTCAGTATATAATAGATCCGGAGTACATTGACTCACTATAATCTTATTGATCCCTCTGGATGTGATTATTTCTTTCCCGTCATCCTTATCTTCTCTCTCTCTCTCTCTTCTTCCTCTTCCTCTTCTTCTTCTTCTTCTTCCCTGTTTTATCTTACTGCTGCATACCATTAACTTCTGCATACTATTATTATACCTCCTACTGAGTGCATCACAGCCACAAAACACACCCACTTCACAGCCCCCCCCGTCTCCCGTCCCCTCCTTCAAGGTGATAGCCAAGAAAAGACGGCGTCGGGATCTAGGAAACGACAGCGGCAGCCATTATAATCATAATATTTATAATAATCGTCAAGAACTATAATAACGCGGAGAAGACGGGTACATCTCGTCGACCGTCTCCGTTGCCGATTGTGTCGACTGTCTTGCGTGCTTTGCCGCCCTTCATTCAGTCTTACCTTGCACCTACCTACCCTTCTTCCATCACCATGCACCAAACCGCCAATACCACCGCAGAGATCCCTCTGCCCATCACCTATACGCCCACCACCCATCGGATCAGCAAGGCCAAAAAGGGGAAACGGGTTCATGCCTGTGAATACCCTGGCTGCAACAAGGTACGTCAGGTCTCTCTGAAGTTGAAAAAAAAAACAACGCCTGGAATCAAACGGAGCTGACTCCGCAGGTGTTTACTCGAGCAGAGCACAAGAGGTGAGAAGAAAGCCCAGACAGCGAGCAGACAAGCATTGGGCTTCCAGACTTATACAAAACAGGCGCCACGAGCTGAATCACAACCCTGAAGCAGTCTTTCGGTGCACCTATCCCGGCTGCCGCAAGGCGTTCCATCGTCCAGACCTGCTCAGCCGGCACATGGAGAGACAGTACGTTCCGCATTAACCAAATTGCTGCTATACACCTAGGTGTTCAAGTCGTTTTTTTTTTTTCTTTTTCCATGCAGGATGCTGATGATCATGCCAGTGAACTGGACTCGCAGGCCGAAAGCCTCTCCCAGCAGCAGCAGCAGTGGTCCCGTCACCAGAAACCAGGCTCGCTAGATTCAACCTCGTCTACTTCTTCCTGCATCTCCATCGAGCACACTACTGGGCCTTATCTTGCGCCCGCGCCTGTGCCGGTGTCTGTACCGGTGTCCATGTCCATCCAGGCATCTGTATCTGCAGTACAGGCATCGGCCTCACCGCAACAGCATCAGCAACAGCAGCAACAGCAGCAACACCAACAACAAACATCCATGTCTATCAACTCGATTGTTGCGCCGGGAATCCACCCGGACCTAGCAAGCGACTGTCAACTGCTGTGGGCAGCGGCGGCGGCGGCGGCGGCGGTGGCACCGCCGCCTCCCTCGTCATTCCACAGCCACTCTCAGAGCCAGACCATTGAATCCGGCGAGGGAAGCCCATTCTACTCCTCGCCAGAGACCTGTGCCTCCCCGTCATCAGAGAGTGCGTTCCACTCGGCCTCACTACCGCAACCACACCCGCTCCCGTCACAACAATCCTTGCGATACCCCCCCAAGCCCCTCATCAAATCCGAACTCACCTCTTCCCCGCTCCAAATCTCGGCCTCCCTCCCCTGGGATCCAGTGTCACATCTCATCCCGGTATCACTGGACGACACAATAATCCAGCCGGTAAGAATCCATCGCCCCATTATGATACTCTTTTTTTTTTTTTTGAAGTACCTGCTAACAAAGTCAGTTGTTATGCCAATACCCCAGCCCGACATGGACGGGGACAGGACTCCCCTATGAGCACGGGGTGCCTCTTGCGCCTTCGTTCCCGACAGCCGTAGAGTGGAAGGCCTGGTCGTTATAGAGTCTTGTTTCTGGGGCTCTCTTTTCTTCTTTTCTTTCTTTTTCTTTCTCTTTTTCATGACCATTATGCATGCATATATATACACGGTTATTTTCTTTTAGATGATGTATGATGATAACTTAGACGGCTGTATATGATAAATAGTTGGAATAATACCAAGTACTGTATTTAATAGATAGTATGTAGTAAGTATACTTAGTAGTCAAACAGTTTATCCTGAAGTACTCTGTAACTTTTGTCATGCTACACACCTCCAACACCATCCACACCAGCTTCGATCGAGGCCGCCCTCCTCCCGAACCAGATATCTCCCTGTCTCGCGCTCTTCCTCGTGCTCCACCACGCACGCCCCCACCGTCACCCGTTTCTTCACTTTATGCTTGACCACGCCGCCGATCCCCACCATCTCCTGTCGGAAGTAGCCCGGTTCCTCTTCGTCATGGCGATCCGGCGATCCGGCGACTCCAATGGTCCCAGTAGTAGTGGTGGTAGTAGTAGTAGTAGTAGTAGTAGTAGTAGTAGTATTAGAAGTATTAGTATTGTTGTTGGTATGTTTGGAATGAGGGCTACGACCACGCCCATGACTGTATCCACGACTGTATCCGTTCAGGGTAGAGCTAGTTGACCCCGGAGTCGAGGATTCCGAAGATAGCCAGCAGGTATCCTCGCCGTCGACTTCTAGCTCGATCTCCTTGGCTGCCAGGCAGTCCTCGCCGCGCCCGCATTTCACCCCTTGGCAGCCTTCGCCGATCCCCGTCCCGAGCCCGCCGCCGAGGTAAGTGCTGTACCGGGTCCGCCAGGCCCATACCCGCCGGTACGTCGTGTCGCGGCTGCGCAGCGTCTGCCCGCATTCCTGGCACAGCCAGGCGGCCGAATCCTCGCAGCCGCACACGCTCGGCTGGTCTGCTGCTGACCCTGCGTGGCGGGCTAACGGGGCAGCAGTCTGGCACGTTGTGCATAGTCGGCGGAGACGATTCTTGAGCATCGTCTTGCTTGGGGCTTTGATGGTGCAGTTCTGTTTTTTTTTTTTTTTTTTTTTTTTAGCCAAAAACCCTCACACAATCACACAATATCTCAAGTGAGGGAAAAGGACATACCCTGCACACTGTTTTGGAGCATCTGCAACACTCCGAGACCATGTCTCGGGCGCATTTGTTGAGTTTGCCGCTACTGAGCCGGCTAGACTCGAAGGCGTTCCGACTCAGCAGGTGGAAGACGGATCTCATGTTCTGCGGAATCGCCGGGTCCTCGTTCAGCATGCCGGAAAGGGTCTCAATATATTCATTCTCGCAGCGGAGAGTCTCTTTGCACAGCTGATTGCGAAAGGGCATTAGGTTGGCATGGAACTGCCGGCAGGTTCCAGAGAGGGCGTAGAGAGTGTTCAGATCTACGGACCGCGCAATCTCCTTCACAATTCTGTTTGCCCATGTCAGTTAATCATCCCAAGGCCATCTTGAAAGACTAAATCCCCGAAATAAAAAAAAAAAGGGAGCAATACGGATAGCAGCTCAGAGCAGCAGAGAACGCATTGCGGTTTGGGTTATCGGGTATCTCAGCTGCGACATCTGTGTCAGGCTCCCGAAGCACAGTCGTATTACTGATAGTAGTAGTGGTGGTAGTGGTAGTACTACTACAATCACTACTATCGTCGCTTGGAGTGTAAGAGGATGCGTCCGAGCCGAGACTCCTCAGCTTCGAAAGGAGGAGAGGTGAAGTGGGCTCGCCATAGTTGCAGAGCAATCCTCGAGGTTCCCCTGGTAAGCGGCGGTGCTCATAATTGAAGGCACCGCGCTCGTAGTCGACAAACACCACCATTCTGCCATTAGAGGAAGGAAGAAACGCTGGAAAAGCGACTGAGGCGAGCGACAACGACAACGACAACGACAACAAACTTCACGAGGAATTCCAACACATCTGGAACCCTCGGTATGCCGGCGAACAAGACGCCACTTCTATAAAGTCCAGAGTATGCGGTGTGGGACGACGCGGTTCGGTCGGTCCAGCTCCGTCTTCGGCGCGGGGCTGCGATGGAGAACAAGTCGCAGAAAAGGGGACCTGTTCGGTGTATTCAATGCATTCCAGAACGCCTAAAAGCCTTGGATCATGGGGTTGGGGAATAAAGATCACGTAACAGATTGACTCGGTGCGCTGCGTTGGGAGGTTTTTGGGCTGGGTTGGGTCCAGGGCTCACGTCATAGCGGGCGAGACACGCAAGAGATTCGATCTGATAAGGACTCGCCCCTCAACAAGACGCACCGAAACCCGGAGTTGTGGGCCCTTGGGAGACCAGGTACCAGGCACAGACCGACAGCTGTTGTTCTTGTTCACTGCCGAAGATCGCCTTGAAGCCACCAGGGGATTTTTCTTCCCTGCCGGTTCTTCTTTCTTGGGGGGAGAAAGAAAAGAAAGGGGCACAACAGGCTGAGTCATCTTTGAGATTTCATGTCACGTGATTAAGGTCACGGGTTCAAAAGGCTGGATCACTGGATCAGTGAATTCTAACCAAGGTTGCGCTTTCCCAAAAGAGGCAGCACGTGATGCTACCTGCTTCAGTCTTCCGAACCTCGTCCTCCGTCGTTCCTCCCCGACACTCATCGGGCTGCCATCTTCGGTAACTTGTTGGGCCTCATGCGTGGCTGCGTCGGCAGGAAGACCGAGCAGAATGTCTCTTGCTGCCATCCCGAGGCCCGGTAGTGTCCATGCGGGGTACTACCACTTAGTGGAAGTTCTTATCGGGCTGGCCACGACAAAATGATGTGATACGAATCATATCTTCACACACTATCTCTCTGCTGAGTGTTTCTCTCTCCTGCTTATATCGAACCTCAATATTCGAACACACACTCTCACAATGCCACTCAACTCGAAAGCTGTCTACTCCGCATTGAACCCGGACCTGGTTCCGTTCGCCAGCCGGAGAAGTCCTGTCCACAGCACCAAGGGCATTGTTGCCTGCACCCAACCTCTGGCTGCCGCGGCGGGACAGAAAATCCTCGCAGCGGGTGGAAATGCCGCCGTACGTTATTCTCCTGCAGCATGGTATCTAGAGGATGCTCGGACAAATGATTACGATTAGTAGTAGTTGGAACGTACTGACGATGCTTTCTTAATAGGATGCTGCAGTTGCTGTAGGTACGTTTTTACACCACAGCGCCTCGACTTTGGATAACAGGCTCACTCGCATCATTCGATGCTCGGGGTTGCAGCCGCTGCTTTGAACATCACAGAACCGTCCTCCACGGGTATTGGAGGTGACATGTTTTGCCTCTTCTATGATGCGAAAACAAAGAAAATCCATGCTATGAACGGTTCCGGACGCTACCCGGCGGAAGCAACCCTTGGTCAGATCAGGAAAGACCTGAATCTGAGCCCCGACAAAGCGGGGCGTATTCCGATGACCAGTGTTCTGGCGGTGTCAACCCCAGGCGCGGCCGCCGGATGGGTCGACACGGTTGAGAAATTCGGTAGTGGAAAGTTGACAATGCAGCAGATCTTGGCACCGGCCATTGAAATGGGAGAGGAGGGCTTTCCTGTCTCCGAGCTAGCATCGTACTTTGTAAGCGGTCTCCACTTGCAGATGCCCTGATTTTCTGATAGAACAACGTACTGACCCAAGTTCTGAAAGTGGCGTGAAAGCGAGCAATTGATTCGTGATGCGTGTCCCAATTTCCGAGAGATGCTCAAGGTTGACCCCAAGGCCAAGGATGGCGTGAGGAGTCCATTGCCAGGCGAGATCATGAAGAATCCTACGCTAGCTCAGACGTTTAGAACCCTGGCTGCGGAAGGCAAGAAAGGATTCTACGAGGGCCGCGTTGCAGAAGAGCTTGTCAGAGTGGTCCGAGATCTAGGAGGCTATATAACCCTAGACGATTTGAAGCATCATGCACAAGCCGGCAGTCAAGATGTTGACGCCATTTCACTCAAGTTCACCGGCCAGAACGTCATAGAAAACCAAACTCCTGGCACCGACGGTGAACTCAACCAGGGAGTCGAGATTTGGGAGCACCCTCCGAACGGCCAGGGGATTGTTGCTCTGATGGCGCTGGGAATTCTTGAGGAGCTGGAACGAACAGGCAAGATACCTCGGTTTACTGAAGAGCAACATAATTCTACCGAGTATCTCCACGCGGTCATCGAGGCGCTTCGGATTGCATTCGCTGATGCGTCCTGGTGGGTCACTGATCCGGACGTGGAGAATGTCCCGTCTCAAGACCTGATCTCAAGGCCATATCTAGCCCAGCGAGCGCAGCTATTTAGCCCAGACCGGGCTGCGGATCTGCTGGACCACGGCAGCCCTGCACACAATCACTGCGACACAGTGTACTTTGCGGTGACTGACCAAGACGGCAACGGTATCTCCTTCATCAATAGCAACTATGGTGGGTTCGGGACCGGCATCATCCCTCGAGGCTGCGGCTTCACTCTTCAAAACCGTGGCGCGAATTTCTCGCTCCAGGCGGGCCATCCGAATGTCCTGGCTCCTCGGAAGCGGCCTTACCATACCATCATCCCCGCCATGATCACCAACATCGCCGATGGCTCGCTTCACTCCGTGTACGGTGTCATGGGGGGGTTCATGCAGCCCCAGGGTCATGTCCAGGTGTTGCTCAACATGTTGACCTTCAACCAACACCCGCAGGCGGCGCTGGATGCCCCGCGGATCTGCATCGCCGCCGACTCCCAGGACAAGCGCAAGCCGGTGGTCTATGTGGAGGAAGGCGTCAAGGATGAAACCATTCAAGGGCTCAAGCGGTTAGGCCACCACGTAAAACTCCTCACGGGCTGGGAGAGGGGCATGTTCGGGCGAGGCCAGATCATCCGCTGTCATTACGATGATGGCAAACTTGTCTATAGTGCGGGAAGTGACCCGCGTGGTGATGGAATGGCCATACCTCTTCTTTAAGCTTGACACAGAATAGAGAGATACATATATATTTATATATGTCATAAGAAGAATTTGATTCTCTTGAGAAAAATACAATAATGGCTAACCATGTCCAAAAATGAAGCCCTATAACAATACATTAAGACTCCTTCAATGCAGTGCAGTATGTGTGGTACGCTAGAACACAAATTGATAATGACAAGGTTGAAGAGACAAAAAGTAAAGGGATGTTGAAGAAAATTTCCAAAGTAAAGGACAAGGTGAGAATGGAAAAAGGAAAAAAAAGAAAAAAAAATAGGATATTAAACCGTTGATACCAAGCCTTTCTCCCTCAATGGGCTGCAATTGTGGACTTGAAAAAGCTCTTCAGCCTCGACTCTCGCGGAGGCGACTCTTCGCGTTTCCGCCGGTGACGACGATGGCTCTCTCCGACATGGCGGCTGGATGATGGCTGGTCTTCTTCCCTTGACCCATGCTCCTCCCTTGACTTACGCTCCTCCCTTGATCTATGCTCCTCCTTTGGCTTCTGCTCCTCTCTTGACTTCAATTCCGCCTCCTGCTCGGCCTTCCGGCGCGCTCTTCTCGCCTCACGTCGGGCGTTGTCCTCATCCTCGTGTGAGCCACTGGAACGCCCGGATGACCTCTTTTCATCGTGAGAACGGTGGTCGCTCCGATGTTGGCTGGAGTGACCGTTTGTTGTTGAAGCCCGTCGTTTCGGGTCTTGCACCGGCGCTGCGGCCTTGGTGGCGTTGATTGTCAGCAGTGGACGATTGTCTGACTCGGCCGTCTTCATGTATCTCAAGAAAGTTCGTTGGGTGCCATTTCCCGATGACCCGGGCTTCGAGGACGGCTCCTCTCGCCGTTCACGATCATGACTTCTAGGTTGCTCTTCGCTCCGACGCTTGTGTTTGCTGGATGATGATTCCCTCTCCTTCTCGGTCCGCTCGGTTCGTCTAGGCTTGTCAGACGCCGTTCGCTCCTTTTCTCGCACAACCTCCTTGTCCTTGTCCCTTCGCTGGCGGTGGGCATCCTTCTTGAGCTTTTCATCGTGTTGTCGTCGCGCCTCTTCCAAAGCCTTTGCCCATCGATTCGTGAAGATCCCCCGATCGCTCTTCTGGCGTTCAAGCTGAGCCTTTTGGCCGTCATTGGAACCCCTCGAATGCCGTTGCTCTCGGTCCATAGTAGATGTTCGTCTCTTTCTTCTTTTTGAGCTACCGGACACATGATTATCTGAGTTATTTGCTGCGGAGCCTTCTCGCGAAGAGCTTTCTTCTCGGTCATCAATTACTGCGCCGGTTTCCTGAGGCGCAAACTCGTCGGCCAGTTCCTCTTCTTCTAGTTCCCTTTCAGCCATTTCTTCTTCAAGAGGCTCTTCAAAAGGTTCTTCAAAAGGTGCTTCGAGAGGCTCTTCAACAGGTGCTTCAAAAGGTTCTTCAGCAATGATTTCTTCTCCCGGGGCTTCCTCGACTGAATCTTCTGTTACCGGAGGTTCTTCAGAAGGGACCTCCTGAGCCTGCTCCTGGGCTGGTGTCTCCTCTACCGATGCCTCAGCGGGCACTTCAGCAGGAATCGCTTCAGTTGGTGCTTCCTCAGCGTGTTCTTCAGCAGGAGCTTCTTCGGTGACTTCCTCGACAGCTTTTTCGATGGGCGGTTCGGCAGGATCTTCTTCGACGGGGGCTTCTTCAGCAGCAGGTTCTACAGCAACAGGCTCTTCTGCCACAGATTCTTCAGCGACAGGCTCCTCAGCGACAGGCTCTTCTGCCACAGGCTCTTCTGCCACAGGCTCTTCTGCCACAGGCTCTTCTGCCACAGGCTCTTCTGCCACAGGCTCTTCTGCCACAGGCTCCTCAGCCACAGGTTCTTCTGCCACTGGCTCCTCAGCAACAGGTTCTTCAGCAGGAGCTTCTTCGGCAATAGCTTCTTCAGCAGCAGGCTCCTCAGCAACAGGCTCCTCAGCGACAGGCTCCTCAGCAATAGGCTCTTCAGCGGCAGGCTCCTCAGTGGCGGGCTCTTCGACATGAGCCTCTTCAGCAGCAGGTTCTTCAGGAGCAGGCTCTTCAGCAGGAGGATCATCGGCAGGAGCTTCAGCCACTGGCTCCTCAGCAGCAGGCTCTTCGACAGGAGCTTCTACAGCAGCAGGTTCTTCAACAGCAGGTTCTTCTGCCGCTGGCTCTTCAGCTGAAGGTTCTTCGGCGGCAGGCTCCTCGGTGACGGGCTCTTCAGCAGCAGGCTCTTCAACGACTTCCTCAGCTGCAGGCTCTTCGGCGGCGGGTTCTTCAGCAAATTCCTCTGTAGTTGGCTCTTCAGTTGATTCCGCTTGGGTCTCTTCAGCAGGCTCAGGATCCGGTGTCGGTTCATGGTCTACCTCGTTTTCCTGCCCGGCGGAGACCCAGTCTTCGACTCCATCAGCCTCAAGCTCCTTTACTTTAGCGGCTTCCTCTGCCTCTATCCGGGCATCTTCAGCGGCCTGTTTGGCAGTCTCTGCTTTCTCTGCCTCCACTTTATCTGACTCGGCTTCTGGATCGATGTCAGGAAACTCATCGTCTTCTTTTGTTAGAACATATCATTTAAAGATATGTAGGGACAACACATACCATTACTGGCCGCTTCGTCAGACTGAGCGGAGGTCTCTTCCTCGGGAGAATTGTTCTCTTCAGCGGCGGGCTCTTCGGCGGCAGGCTCTTCTACCACTGGCTCTGGAGCAGCAGGCTCCTCAGCGGTAGGCTCCTCGGCAGGGGGTGCTTCAGCTACTGGCTCTTCAGCAGCGGGCTCTTCAGTTGTGGTTTCTGCAGCGGGAGCCTCTTCAGCAGGAATTTCTTCAGCAGGAACTTCATCCACTGGCTCTTCAGCAGGAGCTTCTTCGACGTTAGGCTCTTCGGCAGCAGGTTCATCGGCAGGAGCTTCTCCAGTGGCAGGTTCTTCGACAGGTTCTTCAGCAGCAGGTACTTCAGCAGCAGGTTCTTCTGCCACGGGTTCCTCTGCCACGGGCTCCTCTGCCACGGGCTCCTCTGCCACGGGCTCCTCTGCCACGGGCTCCTCTGCCACGGGCTCCTCTGCCACGGGCTCCTCTGCCACGGGTTCCTCTGCCACAGGTTCTTCTACCGCAGGCTCTTCAACAGGCGATTCTTCGACAGGCGGTTCTTCGGTAGGTTCTTCAGCAGGCGATTCTTCAACAGGCGATTCTTCAACAGGCGATTCTTCAACAGGCGGGTCTTCAGCAGGTTCTTCAGCAGCAGGGGCCTCTTCAGCAGCAGGTTCTTCAACAGGCGGTTCTTCGGCAGCAGGCTCCTCAGCAGGCAGTTCTTCAGTACTAGGAGCTTCTTCGGCAGCAGGCTCTTCTACTGCAGGCTCTTCTACTGCAGGCTCTTCAGCAGCAGGCTCTTCAGCAGGAGATTCTTCGGCAGCATGCTCTTCAACTGCAGGCTCTTCGGCAGGAGATTCTTCAGCAGGAGATTCTTCGACAGGCTCTTCTACCGCAGGCTCTTCGGCAGGCTTTTCAACTGCAGGCTCTTCGGCAGGAGCTTCAGCTACTGGCTCTTCGGCAGGAACCTCCTCGGCAGCAGGTTCTTCGGGAACAGGCTCTTCTACTGTAGGCTCTTCAGCAGGAGCTTCAGCAGGAGCTTCTTCTACTGCAGGCTCTTCAGCAGTAGGCTCTGCAGGCTCTGCACCCTCTTGGGCTGCCTCAGGCGGAGGATCTGTACTGGCCTGGGCGTCATCTGGATTCGGAGCGGAGTTGTCCTCTACAGGGGCCTCCTTGGCTTCTGCCGGAGAATCTGCGGTGGCCTCAGAGGCAGGGTCAGCCTCTACAGGAGGCTCCTGCGAGTCTGCCGGACTATCTGTGGTGGCATCGGCATCATCGGGGCTTGGGGTGGCATCGTCGCCTTCGGGGGCGCTTGTGGGTTCGACTGGGGGGGTATCATCTGATGAACCCGTCGGCTCTTCTAATGGTCTCATTAACAATAGACCGTCTATCTAAAACGAAGAGAAAAGAAAAGAAAAGAAAAGAGAAAAGAAAAGAACATCTACAGGAATACGTATTGCTGACACGGACTTACCTGCAGTTGATGCGGGGGAGTCGTCTGAGGGCTGGGGATCCGATTCCTCTACTGCAGGACTATCCGGCGTGGGGGTTGACTCCTGCTCCTTATCCGATGTCAGAGTCTCCGAATCCGGGGGAACGATAGCATATTTAGAAAGAGTAAGGGTTTGACGGTCCAAGGTCTGGTATTGACACTCGAAAGTCTGATGATACTTAAACGCGGGAGGCTGGGCATACTGGCACGACATTTTGGTCTAGAGCAGGGGCCTTGTCGGCGTCGTTGTCTGGGTTTGGGGCGCCAGCCGGTGCTCGTTTGTTGTTGTTGTTGTTGTTGTTGTTGTTGTTGTTGTTGTTTTTCTTCTTCTTATTATTCTTGTTGCCCTTGCCCATAGCTCCAGCGGTTTAATGTATCACCGATGAACTATAGGGAAGATCGAAGGGGGAGGGTGGAGGAAGATCGGACAAGGGGAAAATGAGATATATAGTGTTTAAGACAGATCAGAATGACGACAATCAAGACAGATCGAAACGGCCTTGATGTGTCTAGCCAGGGGGTTTCCTTTTTGGAAGATACAAGTGAGACGTGTAAAGGGAAACGAAGGAGGAATAAAAAAAAAAGGAAGGCCCCAGAAGAAACCGAGAGAGACAACCCAAGACGAGGAAAAAGAAAGAAAAAAAAGAGGAGAGAAAAAAAAAAGAAGATCATAAACCCAGGGCAGCGAGATGGAAGCCAGCAGTGCGCGCCGATCTGTGGGCGATAGGACACATCCCCCCCGTCTTGTCTGTTGCAGGCAAGCCTGATGAGGCGAGAAAGAGATTCCCACGAGGGCATCGCCGTCCTGTCGTTCGTTCCCGCCGGTCCGCCGACGAGAAGCAAGTTTGGTAGCTACCTGACTACTACCATAGGGACGTAGGTAGCTAAGGTAGCTAGCCCGATGGATTCCGGAGCGAGGCCTTGACGGACCCTGGGGCCTGTGGGCATTATTGGACCACGTCTCCCCTTCCACCCCGCGTGGTGGTCGAGAGTGGACATGCCGATGGAGCAATGGAGCAAATGGAGGTTCTGGGCAGCGGTGCCGTTTGGGTCTTGTTGCACCACCACCATGCGGCATCAGACTGCTAGCATTCTGTAATGCATGTATGTATATCATTCCGGCAGGGAGTTATTTGCTCTGTACCTAGTTAGAATCGACTTGACAGCCAGTAGTTAGTTAGTTACTAGAGTATACTTCGTAACCATCGTAGATAGATAGTAATCCGTAGTATTCCGTAGTATGATCAACGGAGTGTTCTGTTCCACAAAAACGGGAGCTTGGGAACCACTACACTGCATCTTGTTTCCATCCGAATGGTTGGAATGGGCTCTTCTTGTTTTTTTGGTTTTTTTTTTTGTTTTTTGTTTTTTTTTTTTCCTGCCCAACGTCGACAGGGCGGCAAATCAATCTGCAGGTCGGGTGGAGTGATTGATGCTAGCCAGACCCGTTTTTTAGGAGTTTCGGTTGTCAGTCAGTCAAAAAGACTCCTCCCAGCTGAATCTGAATCATCACGTCGAGACGAGCGCTCATCTCGGCCATCTTGATCGAGGGACATGCTGGCAGTAGAATCGAAGGCAATCGAAGGGCTAGAACGATGACGAGATGCCCTGTCGAGTGATGCAGTCGACGCAGTTGACGCAGTCTTGACGGCTTCTCTTGCAGTGGTGCAGGAGGGAAAAAGTGAGGCGGGCGGAGTCGGGCTGTTGTTGGCATGCGGTGAGTGGTGAGTGGTGCAAACAGAACATACACATACACATACACATAGTTAGTTACACAGAGGTAAGGTACACAGTACACAGTACTACATAGTTAGTAGAGTAGAGTATCTATAGTTACATATTACATAGATGATCATTCTATTATTATTCTATGTAGATCTAGAGGATCATTCTAATTGATGTAAGGCACTTGACATTTCAGAGCCCAATAGCCCGATAGCCCAATTTGTATACCCAGAGAACAGTCAAGTACAGGTAATAATTACAAGGACCTACTAGATATAATCTGAATTAATCCTACTCCATACCTAAGTAATCTACAACGGAGAATTCCGCGCTGAAGCAGAAACTAATGCAGGTTACCGGAATGGAATTAATAGGTGGTTGGTAGACTGATTTCTAATTCCATACTCCGTAGACCCAAGTATTACATAGGTACCATTTGGATGCATAGACTGCTAAAAGATACCTAGGTAGATGCCTAGATACGGAGTACCTAGGTCCGTACCTCCTAGTGATAGTTATGGTTATCAGACCACTCTACCCCAATGTCTCAGACAAAAACAAAAAGAATGTACCGCGTCTCAGAAATGAACGCTCGAAAAAAAAACAACTTTTGGCGTTGGCTAGAAGCTCCGTCCGTCATGCCACATAAAAACTAGGTCATTCGCGCATCCATCTTCTCTCGCCATCGTGAGCCGTAGAGCTTCAGCGCGAGAATCGCCGAACTGCTCAAAAAGGCGACCAACCCTAGGATTGTAAACAACCAGCCATTCCCGATGGCCTGGATGATCGGGGCCGTCACAAATGACCCCACGCAGGAGAAGATGTTGCGCAGGAAGTTGTTGACCGCGACCCCGGACGACGACTTCTTCGGCATGAATTCCGTCAGCATCGTAGTCACCGTGCTGAAGATGAGCATCGATCCGACGCCAAAAAAGAAATTCGCAATCATCTGAAAGGGAGAGTTAGATCCCATCTTCCAAAAAATGAGGAAATGAAAAGAAGCATATACCGGAACCAACCAAAATACCCCATTCTGAACAGTCCATCCATACCAGATCAACGCTGCGGGATAGATCATGGCACCGAACCAGGTGTTTTCGCGCATGCGATCCTCCGGCCGGTAGATCAGCTTGCCTGATTCGTCGTATCGGTTGGCCTTGCGAGCTTCACGTTCCATGATCTTATCCATCCATCGGCCACCAAAGACACTCGCCACGATATAGCCGACAGAGTTGGGGATGTAGAGCAGACCAATGATGATGGTCGAAAAGTTGTACGGCTCCTTGCCGAAGCTGTCCTCGATGCTGACGTTCAACACGTATAGAGATCCAAAGGTGATGCTGGCATAGTACACGGTCAGCAGCACCGGAAGGAACCGTAGGTAGAGCACGATCTTCAACGGATCGATGAAAATGATCTTCAGCAGCTTCAGCCACCGGGCTGTGAATTGCACCACCTGGCGCGATGACACCCGACTCAACCTACGCCCGCCATCGGAAGCGTCCGGCTCGTCGTCGCTTGCCGAAGAATTGACCGCGGCGGTATCCGCGGTCTTGTGCTTGATCAAGGTCTCGGGCAGAGCGAAGACGATGAAGATCAGGGCCAAGCCTCCGAACACGGCGAGAAACCACAGGGTGCTCCGCCAGCGCCATCGCTGGGCCAACACGCCGCCGACGATGGGCGCAAACAGTGGACCGCACAGGGGACCCAAGTAGAAGATACCCATCGCCCGGCCACGCTCCCGCGGCTCCCACATGTCGGCGATCGTGCCTGCTCCCACGGCCTGGACGGAGGCAGCGGCGCCGCCACTCAGCATGCGCATGACGATCAACATGGCGATGGAAGTCGACCGCGCGGAAAGACAATTGAAGAAGACGAACAGGCAGAAAGAGGTGATATAGATCGTACGCCGGCCGAGTCGTTCGCTAAAGGATGACCACCACAACGGGAATATCGACATGCTCAACATGTACAGGGAGATGGACAGATTAGTGATGGTGCTGGACGAATCCATATCCTCGGCTACCTGCGAGAGAGAAGCTTCCACAGAATTAGCCAGACAATCATCCCAAAAATGACAGTTGCCAGTTTTTTTTTTCACTTACGGAATACAATAGAGCTTCCCATCGGGGCGATGGCCCCCGCCAATGCGACGATGAACGTGATGAACCACTTGGTCTTCCGTGGATAGGTTCTTGCATCCTCGACCTCAGCAAGCAGAGTGAACTGGCCCAGCAACCCTCTGCGCTTCAATCTCGGCACCACAACCGGGCCATCGTCTCGTTCGTCTGCCGGAGGGTGGCGGGGGGGAACTGCTTCATCGACGGTCTTGTTCTCATCTTCCTCGGCGCTTGCAACACTGCTTTCCCGCGAGAGGGAATGAAATTCATTGTCCAGATCGGTCTCCTCCTTCGACAACACGGGGGAGACGGTCTCGCGCTTGTCCAGCGAGGGGTCTATGGTCATTGTCGGCGGGGTAGTCGAGAAGGCAATGCCTTTCTCGGGATCAGACGTCGCCATTCTCTCGACCTTGTGTCTGTACGTTACGTATAGATATAGGTGTATACATATACATATATAACCATAAACGTTTCAAGAGTGATCATTGATCAAACCTAGATAACCACGTCAGGTTCAATTTCGAAACAACGAAAAAAAAAACACACAATGAAGCGTACAAAAAGGAAAGAAGAGCCATCGTTGCCTCCAGCACCACTGAACAGGCAAGAACAGAGCGCAGCGGTCAAGACGACTCTCAAGGAACTCACGCTCAACGCATCCCCTCGCCGCAATAACTAGGTCAAGCAGAACAGCCATGCCCGACCGAAGTGAGTCGGGAAGCAGAGATAGGGCCCAACCTCGAGATAGAAGATACTACCTCGTCAGCGGTGGACTCTGAACTCAAGGATGGCGGGAATGGCTGGCGATCAACAGCCGGCCCTCCGATAGCGACATAGCTAGAAGCTGCCATGGTAATTGGTAAATCCAATTAACCCACAGGGTTTTTCTCATCGGAACCGATACTGGACGCTGGTAGTGGACCATGAGGGGGAAAAGGGCCAGGATGTGAAGGAAGCGAAGACCCATCGCAATCCAGTCAGCGGGCGAGGATTTTGTGCCGTTCTTCCGGTTCTGAACCGGACTTAAATCCGGCGTCGACAGGAATAATCAATGAAGGAATATGTACGATGTGTTGAATGGTGAATATATTGTAGAAATGATGAGAAGAGATTGAGATCTAGCAGTCTAGATTGAAGGGATTGGATAGATAGTTGTACAGAGTAACTACGGAGTACAGATTAACTACAAGTTGTACTATAACACAACGTTGTAACTACCATAATAGTTACTCATATCTTATCGATAAGATAATAAATATCACTGACGTGATTCCTGAATCTTTGAATCTTGATGTTGACCGGCTAGTGCTTAAACGCGAGTGGATTCATGCCGAGGATGAAAGTATAGCCTTCACAATATGCCAAGTCTATTATGTTTTTGAGAATGTCATCGCTGCTCAGAAAAAGGCAAGGCTGGTTGTTCTGGAGATATGATGTAAGGTTACTTCTTGACAAGAGCGTTGTAATGCTCGCCCAGCCCGTAGGAGTGGCGGTAATACGCCAACCAAATGACTCGCCGGCGCTTTTCCTCCTCGTCGAAACTGTCGCCGTCGCCAGACTCGATCTTCTCGATCCGTCCGTCGCCCTGGATGACATTGATATCGACCCCGTAGGCCCTCGCGATCGCCTGGAGTTCGAGCTGCCCCCCCCACTCGGCCGTCAGCCGGATCTTCTGCGTGTATTCGTCCAGTGGCTCCTCCATGAACGGCACAAAATCATCCTTGTTCCCCACAATGAAGTCTGCGGTGACCGCACGAACAGCCCGGTAGCCATCGTGCGTCGGAGACGTCACCGTGTCGATCCGAGACTGCGTTGTCGGTTGCAGGAGGATCCGGTCGGGGTCGGGCCGCAATCCCAGTCCTGATGCATCCAGTTGCTTGGCCACCGCGGAATACAGACAGTGTCCGTCTGGGTTGATCTCGATCTCGGTCAGATGTAGCCGGGTAAACACCTCGCTCATCACCTCCCGTTCGTTTCCCCGGTGGTCGGTCTGCTTCGATGCCTCCTCGGCCGCTATCTCTGCCAGCGCTACTTGCTCGGCGGCCCGTCGAGCTAGACGGGCTTTCTGTCGATTCGGTTTCTTGGTACGAGCTGCATTCTCTGTTGTTTCTTGCGGCGTTTCATTACTCGTCGTCGTCGTCGTCGTCGTCGTCGGAGGGGGGTTCGATTCTGTGTTGTCGTTGGTTTCGGTGGCCGTTACCGAGTCATCTTGCAGACTGAGATCGTCCAGCTCTGGTACAGGCGGCTCATCGCCATTGAGCTGGAGGATCTCCGTTTGTTGTTTCTCTGACAATTCCTTCAAAAGGCGTTCGCATTCATCGTTGATACCCTTTCGTGTCTTCTTGGTGGCCGCCTTCTTCTTCTGCGTGATGCGGCCCTGGAGGTCTCTCTGCTCCTTGCGGTGCCTTGCCAGTAGATCGTCCATGATAAAAAAGAAATTCAACAGGTGTACCGAAATATATGATGACTAAGTATAGAAAAAACAGCGAGAGAAGTAATTGGTGATGCCTGTCCAGATGTCTTGTACAGACAGCGCGGAAATCATCGCCTTCATCCCCGCAAAACCCTGATGGCAGTGCCCTAACAGTCCCAATCGGGAATAAACACTGCTTTGTCAGCTGGCTCTCGGAACCAGTATAACCCGCTCCGATATTTCTGCCTGAGGCCAGCAATAAATGAGCCTAGGCAATTACCTTTTCCAGTAAGTACCTCGGGCCGTGACGGGAGTTTCAGCTTGGCCCCCTCACAAGGCACAGGGAGCGCCTACGGATATCTCTACCTCCAATTCGACGCGGGAGATCCCCGGATTCCTCAGATGTTTGGTTTTCAACCTCCGTGACTGCCGTCTTTCTTCTAGTCTAATTCAAAACGAGTATCCAAAGAGTCCAGAAACGAGGGGTAACTACCATGGACGCCAACCAGCTTTTCAACGTCAAGGTGAGCAGCGACTACTCTCTCATCGCCCATACTCACTGTTGTACGACCTTGACTAACCGTTTGTCTCGCAGGACAAAGTCGTCCTCGTCACCGGTGGAGCCAAGGGGGTTGGTCGTATGATATCCGAGGGTTATGTTGCCAACGGGGCCACGGTCTACATCTCGTCTCGTGATGCACAGGCGTGTGAGAAAGCGGCGGCCGAACTGAATGCCCTAGGTAAGGGCAAGGCATATGCGATCCCCGCCGATTTCTACAAGGAGGAGGACTGCCAGAAGTTAGCGCAGGAGTTTGCCAAACGGGAAAGCAGTAAGTCAGAGCAGTGCTGTTTAGAAAGTGCCGATGTAGGGGTTATCTTCTTTCTCTTACAGACCTGCAGAACTTCATGTGCTGGTGAACAACTCTGGCTCCAACTGGGGAGCATCCTACGACGAGTATCCCTCCTCCGCGTGGACGCGAGTCCTGACCCTCAACCTACATCGAGTCTTCACCATCACCCAGCTGTTCACGCCGTTTCTGGAGAAGGCCGCGGCGCCAGAGGATCCAGCACGCATCATCAACATCGGCAGCATCGACGGCCTCCGAGTCCCCGCGCTCGAAACCTTTGCCTACAGTGCGAGCAAGGCGGGATTACACCACCTCAGCCGGGTGCTCGCCAGTCACCTTGGTCGGCGGAACATTACGTGAGATCTCCCCCATTCATATATACCCGTTACTCCGTCCTTCCGGCTGGAACGAACGCTGACAGACATCCTGTGTGACAGATCCAACTCTCTCGCCTGCGGTCCCTTTGAGAGCAAGATGATGGCCGCCACCTTGAAGCAATACAAGAAAGAGATCGAGGAGAGCGTCCCCCTGGGTCGTATCGGCACCCCGCAAGACGTGGCAGGCTCCTGTCTCTTCCTGAGCAGTCGGGCCGGTGCGTTCATCAACGGGGCCACGATCGCGGTGGACGGCGGGGCTCACATCGCTGCCAGGTTGTAGTTGGGAGTAAACGTAAACCGCTGTCACAATATAATTTCTACTTAATCTTCACCATAAATTCCAATTTCAAACCCCCTTCTTATTATTGCCCCCCACGATTTCAAGGGATCAGTCCAGAACCCCCCGAGTGGAGTCTTGGTGGGGAGGCGACATCATACCTGGCACCAACATGCCGTCACACACCCCCGACCGACGATTGCTCGACTTGGGCTCACCGCATCAACAACATTTGTTGAGGAAACAATCTCTGCTTCGGTGCTCTCGAAGCTGTCTCTTTTTACTATTTTCTGCCTTGTGATTTCCGCCAAGCCAGTTACACCAGCAGTCAATTCTCGGCGGCCGTGGTAAGTTTTTTTTGTTTCCTTCTCGTGTTCTGTGGCCAAAAAAAAACCCTCCCAGTCCCCTCCCCCTTGGTTGAGACCCTTTTGTGTGGACAGAAGGAAGAAAAAGAAAGGAAACGACATACAAATCGGATTATTCATTGCTTATCTATTGAAACAAGAACCTGCAGAATATATTCCTCCCACTTCCCAGTCAAGGGCTCCGGTCCAACGCCACAAACGAGACCTGTTCTTCCCCCCTCTTTCTGGTCTGACAGCCATCCCTGCCGTGGGCGTGAGAATCCAATCAGCCCCCCCGGTGCCTTGTGCCTCGTCACTCCCCTGTTTGCTGTTTGCTGCGTGGTTCGTACTTGTTTTAGATAAGACCAGGCTGTTTCCCAGACGATGAGTCCGTCGGAAGCCAGACACCAGCGCACTGGCTCTGGGGATCCTTTCCTTGACGCAGACCTCTACTATGGTGATGAGGATGCCATGTCACGGATTAAGGATCGTCGGAGAGCGTTCTCACAGGTGGGTTTATCGTTATTTTTCTTTCCATACTATCTATCTATTCTTTTCTGTCGAGGTAAAAGCTAATGTATCGCTGTTAGACATTGAAGGTCTTTAACAGGGAGGATATCCATGATCTCATCGGCAAGCTCCCGGTGAGAAGAGGGAGTCATGGTAATTACTTCTTCTGAGAGTATTTATCCATATCTAATTATTTTTAGATGAAATCTCCGCTCAACCACGAAAGTTCCTGATCGATGTCGATGCCACGTTGGAAAGCCTGTTGGAGAGAGAAGACACGGACAAGAACCACCAGATCACAATCGAGGACGCGGGGCCGAAGGTGAGCAATAGAGCAATAGAGAGCAATAGACTTCGTCGGCTTGGAGGATAGAAATCATAATAATGATGGCAGGTGCTTTCCGTTGGAACGGCCGCATCGTCCGGGTACAACAAATTCGATGTCCGCGGGACGTATATGCTGTCGAACCTGCTGCAGGAGCTCACCATCGCCAAGGACCACGGACGCAAACATATCATTCTGGATGAGGCGAGGCTGAGCGAGAACCCCGTCGCTCGTCTGTCGCGGCTGATCAAGACCTCCTTTTGGAACGCCCTGACCCGCCGCATCGATGCGTCCAACATCGAGGTCGCCGGCCGAGACCCCAAGGACTGGACCTCTGATCCGCGACCGAGAATCTATGTCCCGCCGACCGAGACCAAACAGCTGGAGTACTACCGGTCGGTCGCTGCGGCGCACCCGGAGCTCCGGCTCGACGTGCAGGTGCTGGCTGCGGAGATCACCCCGGAGTACGTGCAGAAGCTGAATGAGAAGCCTGGTCTGCTCGCGCTGGCCATGGAAGAGAAGCTGAACGAAGCGACGATGAAGACCGAGTTCATGGGTGTGCCCTTTGTGGTGCCCGGCGGCCGGTTCAACGAGCTGTACGGGTGGGACAGCTACATGGAGTCGTTGGGCCTGCTGGTCAGTGACCGGGTCGATCTCGCCAAGGCGATGGTCGTCAACTTCTGCTTCTGCATCAAGCACTACGGCAAGATCCTCAACGCCAACCGCAGCTACTACCTGACGCGGTCGCAGCCACCGTTCCTGACCGACATGGCGCTGCGGGTCTACGACCGGATCAAGGGGGAGCCTGGGGCGCGAGAATTTCTGCAAAACGCCACTCTGGCCGCCATTAAGGAGTACTACAGCGTGTGGACGGCCGAGCCCCGGCTCGACCCCGTGACGGGTCTGTCGCGGTACCGACCGGAGGGGATGGGCGTGCCGCCGGAGACGGAGCCCACGCACTTTGTGCACCTGCTGGAGCCCTACGCGGCCAAGCACGGGATGACGTTCGAGGAGTTTGTGCAGGCGTACAACGATGGGAAGGTCAAGGAACCGGAGCTGGACGACTACTTCCTGCACGATCGGGCGGTGCGCGAGTCGGGCCACGACACCAGCTACCGACTGGAGCGGGTGTGCGCGGACCTGGCGACGGTGGACCTCAATGCCCTGCTGTACAAGTACGAGGTGGACATTGCGCGGATCATCCGCACCGTCTTCAAGGACCGGCTGGAGATCCCCGTGGAGTTCCGCACCGCGGCGAGCCGGGACACGGCCTTTGAGACGTCGGCGGTCTGGGACCGGCGGGCGCGCAAGCGCAAGCTCCGCATGGAGACGCATCTGTGGGATGCGGAACGGGGCATGTTCTTCGACTACGACACGGTGAAGCGCGAGCGCACCACGTACGAGAGCGCGACCACCTTCTGGGCGATGTGGGCGGGGCTGGCTACACCGCAGCAGGCGGCGGACCTGGTCACCAAGGCGCTGCCCCGGTTCGAGGCCTACGGCGGGCTCGTCTCCGGCACGGAGGAGAGTCGTGGGCCGGTCTCTCTCGACCGACCCAACCGGCAGTGGGACTACCCGTACGGCTGGGCGCCGCAGCAGATGCTCGCCTGGACGGGTCTGCTGCGGTACGGCTACCAGGCGGAGGCGGAGCGTCTCGCCTACCGCTGGCTGTACATGATCACCAAGGCGTTTGTCGATTTCAACGGCGTCGTGGTGGAAAAGTACGACGTGACGCGGCCGATCGATCCGCACCGTGTCGATGCCGAGTATGGCAACCAAGGGATCGATTTTAAGGGTGCACCCAAGGAGGGGTACGTTTTTTTTTCTTCCTCTTCTTCTTCTTCTTCTTCTTCTTTGCTAACTATGTAGATTCGGCTGGGTCAATGCGAGCTACGTCTATGGCCTGGAGATCCTCAACGCCCACATGCGCCGTGCTTTAGGGGCGATTACCCCATACGAGACATACAGCAAGGCGGTTGCTGCTCAAGAGGAAGCGTTTTAGATGGGTTAGGGAGGACATTTGGCATTATTATAGTAAGGATAGTACGGATAGTACAGGGTATTACTATCATCATAGCATAGGTAGACTGAACTTAATAGTATCTTACGAGTATGGGATTATCGGTTGACTCAATAGTAAAACTAATGCCGAGGTCCAATGGAAGAACATGAGTGTCTATTGACTCATGGCCTGCATATGATATTTGGTTTCAGATCTAGACGGTAGCTATGATGATATTATCCTATACAACAATAACAGTCGTAGTATAAGGATAACTACCACCATCTACACTACTCTAGTTTTTATAGCTATCTATCCATAGCTCTTCTCTTCTATCTAGCTCTTCTCTTCTATCTAGCTATTCTGTCATCACATCTGATCCACATGCAGTGGCAAACAAGACTACCTCGGCCACATCCTCTGCCCCGAAACTCTCCTTGCTCCGTCTTTCGGCTGGAACATCGGTAGCAAACGAAGGCGTAGCAAATAAGATGCTTCTATCTGGTTCAGGTATACTTTGACTCCAGATGTGAATCACCGCGGCCCTGCATTTCCCGCTGGGCCGAGCTATGACTGTATTGTATACTCTATACTCTATAATCTATATATATCGTACTAGCATCAGATAGTCATAACCAGATAATCATATCAAATATCATCGTTACAGACTTCAAGATGGACGAAGATACTAAATACCAGAGCGAAGTGCAGGCTGTCAAGACCTGGTGGCAGGACTCGCGCTGGCGATACACTCGTCGGCCTTATACAGCCGAACAGATTGTGGCCAAGCGAGGCAATCTGGCCATCGAGTATCCTTCCAACACGCAGAGCAAGAAGCTGTGGACGATTCTGGAGCAAAACTTTACAGTATTGCCTTCTCCCTCATTCTCCCTTCCCCAGCTAATTGTTAGACTCAAAAAGCAAGCTTCACATATGGCTGTCTCGAACCGACCATGCTCACCCAGATGGCCAAATACCTCGACACGGTGTACGTCTCTGGCTGGCAGAGTTCGTCGACGGCGTCGTCGACGGATGAGCCTTCGCCAGACCTCGCGGATTACCCGATGGTACGGCACCCTTCCGATCCATCAAGACTGGCTATCAAGAGCATCTACTAATCGTCTTGATTCGTAGAACACCGTCCCCAACAAGGTGAACCAGCTGTTCATGGCCCAGCTGTTCCACGACCGCAAACAGCGCGAAGAGCGTCTCTCCACCCCGCGAGACCAGCGACACAAAGTCGCCAACGTCGACTACCTGCGGCCGATCATCGCCGACGCAGACACAGGCCACGGCGGTCTCACGGCCGTCATGAAACTGACCAAGCTGTTTGTTGAGAGGGGAGCTGCGGGCATCCATATCGAGGACCAGGCGCCGGGGACGAAGAAATGTGGCCATATGGCGGGCAAGGTGTTGGTGCCTATCAGCGAGCACATCAACCGTCTTGTTGCCATTCGTGCGCAGGCAGACATAATGGGTACACTCTTTTTAATACATTCAAGTGTAATGTTTTTCATAGCTAATGGGATCAGGAACCGATCTTCTGGCTATTGCGCGAACAGACTCCGAAGCCGCAACGCTGCTCACCTCGACCATCGACCACCGCGACCACGCGTTCATCATCGGGAGCACGAACCCATCGATCCAGCCGTTGAACGAGCTGATGGTTGCCGCAGAACAGGCCGGCAAGCACGGGGCCGAGCTCCAGGCCATCGAAGACGAGTGGACCCGCCGCGCCGGTCTGAAGCTGTTCAGCGAGGCAGTCGTCGACACCATCATGCAGCAGCACGCCGCCGGCGCCGCCGGCGCCAGACACCAACAAGCCGAAGCCGACAAGGCGGCTGCTCTGGCCGCCCGCTTCCAGCGTGATATCCGGGGCAAGAGTAACGGCGAGGCACGCGCGCTGGCGAAACAGCTCACGGGCCTCGACATCTACTGGGACTGGGACTCCCCACGCACACGAGAGGGATACTATCGGTACCAGGGCGGGACGCAATGTGCCGTCAACCGCGCGGTGGCGTATGCCCCCTTTGCAGACCTGATCTGGATGGAAAGCAAGCTGCCGGACTACGCGCAGGCCCGCGAGTTCGCTCAGGGCGTCCACGCCGTCTGGCCCCAGCAGAAGCTGGCGTATAACCTTTCCCCCTCGTTCAACTGGAAGAAAGCCATGCCGCGCGACGAGCAGGAAACATATATCCACCGGTTAGGTCAGTTGGGTTACTGCTGGCAGTTCATCACCCTCGCCGGTCTACACACCACCGCGCTCATCTCCGACACCTTTGCGAGGGCGTATGCGTCGCACGGCATGCGCGCGTACGGCGAACTCGTCCAGGAACCGGAGATGGACCAGGGCGTCGACGTCGTCACCCACCAGAAATGGAGCGGTGCCAATTACGTCGACGGTCTGTTGAAGATGGTTACGGGGGGGGTCAGCAGTACCGCTGCCATGGGCAATGGTGTTACCGAAGAGCAGTTTAAATAGTTTCTCATTCTCATATTCATATTCTCATTCTCCCATTTCTTAATTATACATAGCGTATCTGACTGGCCAGACTGTAGGGAGTACAAGTAGACCAGTACGGTAAGACCTTAATGGCTATATCTCAGCTTCATCACTTCACCTTTCTTCACCTCTCTTCAGATTAATTTCCAGTGTTACCTGTCAGGTTGCACAATGTCGAACCGAGGAGCATTGCATGTGCTCAAAGACGATCCGTGGTCTGGCGCAATTTCCCCTCAACCCCGGCAGTTCAGGAGAGCCGAAACAACGCCCCCTCCTTGTCCAGAGGGAGTCTCTTCTTTTCATCCAAAAGGTAAGTTACTTTCTACTCTCTGTTTATTTTGGATCTCGATCGCTCTGTATCCTATCTGTCTGTCTCTTGCTGATCTTCGAACGCTCGAAGCTGGAATGACGTCGCTGCCTACGACGGATCCTTGAACGAACGCAAACCGAGAGAGGCAGCTCCAAACGTATCACTTATCAGCTGGTGGAAGATTACCGTGATAATTATAATGGCCAGCAATCCCTTCCAGCTACAGTATACCCCCGTGGAGGAGATTTCGGCGCGTGTGGCCACGGTGCGCGAGACTTTTGCCCAGCACAAAACGCGTGAGGTGGAGTTCCGGCTGGTCCAGCTTCGCAAGCTGTATTGGGCGTGAGTGATTATAATCTATTATTGCTATTATTAATGGAGGGATGCCTGACTTTTCAGAGTCAAAGATCATGAGAAAGAGATCGCCGAAGCAGAGAACCGCGACCTAGGCCGGCCCGCGTTCGAGATATACAGTGGCGAGATCGGCTGGGTCGAAAACGACATTGTCTTCGTCACGAAGAACCTGGAGAAATGGATGAAGGACGAGAAGGCGCCGGATATCAGTCTGACGTTCAAGTTTATGAACCCGAAGATCCGCAAGGATCCGTTTGGTTGTGTGTTGATCATTGGGTGGGTTACTCTTAGAGTCTACACGCCCCTAGGTATTCTTGTATACGGACGAACTGATAGCTTAGACCGTTCAACTACCCCTTCCAGCTGACTCTCGGCCCGTTGATCGGTGCCATTGCGGCGGGCAACACGGTCGTGCTCAAGCCCAGTGAAAGTGCGCCTCATTGCGCGGCGGTCATGCAGAAGATCATCGAGGCGGCGCTCGACCCGTCGTGCTACACCGTCGTGCAGGGCGGCATCCCCGAAACCCAAGCCCTGCTGGCCGAGAAGTGGGACAAGATCTTCTTCACGGGGAGTGTCAACGTCGGCCGGATCGTCGCAAAGGCGGCCGCACCACACCTGACGCCCGTCGTCCTGGAGCTGGGAGGCATCAACCCGGCCATCGTGACCAAGAACGCTGACCCGCGACTAGTCGCGCGCCGCATGCTATGGGCCAAGATGATCAACGCAGGCCAGGTGTGCACGTCGCAGAACTACCTGCTGGTCGACCGTCAGATCCTCCCGCTCGTGGTCGACGAGTTCAAAAGGGCCTACGCCGAGTACTTCCCCCTCGGCGCCAAGGCGTCTCCGGACTACGGCCGCATCATCAACCAGGCTTCCTTCCGCCGCATCAAGGCCCAGATCGATTGTACCAGAGGCAAGATCCTCATGGGCGGCTCCATGGACGAGTCCGACCGCTTCATCGAGCCAACCCTCGTCCTGGTCGATTCCCCCGATGACCCGCTCATCGTCGACGAAACCTTTGGCCCCATTCTGACCATCCTCCCCGTCGACGATCTCGAGCAAGCCATCCACACCGCAAATACCATCCAGAGCACGCCCCTGGGTATCTATCCTTTCGGCACCAAAGCCGAAATAGCAAGAAGTACCCCTTCCCCCCTTCCCTAGCCTGTGCTTTATAGTGAAGTTGGGAGTGCTGACTGTATAGTTCTAAATACCACCCGCTCCGGCGGCGTCGCCGTCAACGACGCCGCCCTGCACATCCCAACCCTGCCCTTTGGTGGCGTCGGCGAGAGTGGCACAGGCGCCTACCGCGGCCGCGCCAGCTTCGACGCCTTCGTCCACCGCCGCCCCGTCACCACCAGTCCCGGCTGGGTCGAGTCGCTGCTTGCCATCCGCTACCCACCCTACGCGGGCAAGCTGGAAAAGTTTCGTCTGATGAGTACCCTGCGCCCGGACTTTGATCGCCACGGTAACAGGTTGCGTCTTGGCTGGTTGCGTTCTCTGCTTACCCTTGGCGGCGGGACTGTCGCGTCGGGCGCAGGCCGTGCCTCTATTCTCCTTGGTGAGTGATTCTTCCGTTCTGTCTTTTTATTCCTTTTTTTTTTTTTCAGTTCCCTCCGTTTGGTTGTTTAGCCCTCTCGCCTGGTCATATTCACTGTAGTTTTTGAGATGTGGGTGCGGAGTGATTCTAGTTGGATAGCAATGTAGCAGATTCCATCTGACTTTTACCTTCGTAAACGGTCTCATAATGCCTGTCGCTTACGTGCTTTAGTTCTATACGTCGTGCTACGGTACTTTCAACGGTCGAAGCTGTGATAGGGATACCTTGTCTTGGGTTTAATTGGTTATTTATCAGTATAGTCTAGGATCTAGTCTAGGATCTAGGTTGATTGATTTTGCTAGAACTTGGCATTGTCTACTCTGTAGAGCTGTCATTATCATGGCTATCCTTTACTACTAACACCGCCGTTCGACCCCCCTCCGACTCACACACAGATATTTGACTCCCTTGTACGGCTTGACACCCTCGCCTAGCCCGCGACTCCGCCGTGGATCTAGATTTAGACTGTCCACGCGGATGCCGGAGGGGAGCCACCCGCGCACGGAGAACGAGACTGCCGCAGAGTTGGGCATTAGGCTGGCGTATAGCTGGGCCTTGGTCTTGCGTGCGGGCGGGTGGAAGATGCTCGAGGAAGCAGGATGTTGTTGTTGTTGTTGCAGCGGTGGCGTCGGGACAGGGCTTTGCGGTTTCGAGGGATCCGACGGTTCGTCAGGCGTATCGGGAATGGTGGAAGTAGTAGCAGCGGTGGAGCGAGACTTTTTGGTTTTCTTCTTCTTGGTCTTGCGTTTGCGACTTGACGAATCCTTCGCTGACCCGCTGGTCTGGTACGAGGTCGGGGCTTCGTAGTAGCCCTGGAGTAGGTTGGCGTTGGCTTCGACGTCTTCCGTCTCCGCCGGGTCGTCGAATCCCTCGTCTACAGACTGGTATCCGGCGACGGTGCAGCGGAGGGTTGCGGTGCCGGAAATCGTGCCGGCATCCTTGGTGGGGACGCGCCATTCGAGAACATCGCTGCCGGGGGAGAACTGCGGTTCGCCCCGACTCGCCTGCATGGCGGTGATGCTGCGGACAGACTTGGAGATGGGGATCGTGACAACGACCTCCTCCAAGACGGGAGAGGAGGAGTTTCCGCCGCCGCCGCCGCCACCGCCGCCGCTTCCTCCTGCGAGGAAGGACGGGGTCGAGGTCCCCGACCCGTTCCGTCCGGCGCTGGGTCGCGAAGCGGCGGGCGGGAAGCCCGGAAAGTTGGTGTTGAGGGTGAGTCGCACTTCAAACTCGGAATGATTCGGGCCTAGTGATTTTCGAATATCGACGATTGCGGGGAGGAAGATCTTTTCCATATGGCTCGGCGGGCGGTCCAGGCTGGGGTCCATGGGGAGAAGGTCAACTTCATATCCCGCTAGGATGAAGCGTCCATCCGGCGGCACAAAGCTCAGCTCTCCCGGCTGCTCCCGCCACCGTGCAAGTCTCACGCACGGGTGGAAGACCGGCAGGTCGATCTTGCGAGCAATTGCTTGTTGGCCGCCCGGCGCAGTCAGCGAGAGCAGCAGATCCGGGATGCCGGATATCTTGGCCGTGAAGGCTATCGTCCCAGATACGAGGGCCGACAGCACTCGCCCGGAGGGGGCCATGACGACCGAGAGGGATTCGACAATGTCCACGTAGAGCTCGTTCGACGTGTGCCGCACGTTCGGCCGTCTCCAGGGGATGGCGGGCCCTTGCGCGAGGCTGGCCGCCGCCAATTGTTGCTTGAGGGGGTTATTCGATCCTAAATTAGGCGTGGTGGCACTACACTATTAGTTTCCATCGGTTCTTGATCACTTTCTGCCCAAGTGTACTTCACATGGTGTTTGTTGACTGTTTACTCACCCCGGCAGTGTCACCCCGCCAAGCAGCTTCCCCATCCATCCCTCGACCTCGACAACCTCCTGTAACGCATTCAGCTCCGTGTTGCATACGATGCCCGCATCGCACATCTCGTTGAGCAGCTGCGCAACCACATCGTAGCTCGACTGCAGCTTGGAGGCGAGCAGGGGCGCCCCGACAAACTCCTCCAGCACGTCAATCACGCGATGTAGGAACTCGAGCACGAGCAGCGGCTCGGCCTCCACCTCGGACACGGCGAGAAACAGTAGATTCGAGTGCGTGATCGAGAACACCGTCACCGGTGGCGCCGCGTTGGGAAGATATACCAGGGACGGTCTCGGGGCCGGATGGGCCTTATAGAGGGGTAATATCGAGGCCGCGGAGGGCGGCCGTGAGCGGTACACATGCTCTACAATGGGGGCACTGGTTTTGTCAGCTGTCAGCTTGAACGGAAACAAAAATAAACAGAGAAAAAAAAAGCAAAAAAAGGCAAAAGAACCATACCTATACTCATCATAGATGTAGAGAGCATCAACCTCGCTGCTCATGATGCTGGCTTCCAGGGTCCGGTGTGATGACGATGAAGCCTGGCCTCGCCCATATCGGAGGAAGCCCATAATAATTTCTGCCGCCGGTCTCCGCCTCGGAACAATCAGGTGCTTTCTTTGCTCACGATTCAACACTGACGAGGTTGATTCTCTCGGAACGAGCTGGGGTTTGCTACAAGGCCCATGGTTAAGATTCGAAATGGCTCCTTCGAAAGATGACAGAGATGGAACCTGGAACATCCAGGCCCAGGATGCCAAGCGTGCGCTGGCGGAAGACAAGTTCGAGGACTGCCTCTCGTGTAGGGTGACTGGTAAGTAAACCATTATTGAGAACGATATATAGGTATCTATATCTAGTGGGTTAACACGAAGAATAGGCTCTGCCGCGTTTATTGGGTTGGGGGTCTACAGCTATTATACAGGCATGCGCAATCTCCGCGCGCAAGAGAAGACGATCATGCAAAGCGCGACCAAGTACAAGATGGGGTCACGACAGTTGGGGATCGCCACGATATCGGCTACCTTGGTGGGAATGGGGATCTGGCGGGCTTTCAACTGATACCCTGGCTGCCTACGCCAGTAGCTTGGGGGGAGACGGAGAGGGAACGGCTGAAAGATGGAGTAGTGGTATATTTATACGGTAACAGCAATCCTGGGTATCGCCATCTCCGATATCCTCGAATTCAAAATATTGTAAAATAGAAAGGGACAAGAAGAGAAGATAACATGATATGAAGAAAAGGGAAAAAAACAAAAACAAAAAAAAAAATGAGCATAAGAGTAAGAATATGTCTATCTATAAAATGCCAGGCTGAAAGCAAGACTCCCATCGATGCACCGGAACCAGTAAGACAAGGAAGTTCCGCAGCCGTCCGTCTAAGCGCTGCGAAACAAGAAGGATAATGGGTTCATCAGATCATCATCAAAAGAAAAGTCCTTGGCTAGGTGAACCGGCCGCGTTTGGGGCCGCCGAACATATCCCGCCCGTTCCCTAACCCGGACAGGTCGAAGAAATCTGGGAAGGGCATCTTTCGCTTGGAGCCAAGCCCGACCGAGGGGGGCTCACGAGTCGCAGCCCGCGGGCTTGACCGAGAGAGGTTGCCATGGCGATGTTGTGCCCGGGCGTTGCGAGGTAGAAGCGAGACGCTGACGGTATCGTCCTGAGAGAGGTTGGCCGAGGTATCTGACGGCTGCATGTCGGTATCTTGCTCTGGATATTGGGGCATCGTCGGTCCGGCGGAAAAGGTAAAGATGGCGGTGCTCGAAAACGGGTTCGCGGTCTCGTTGGTGATGGTGGTGGTGGTGGTGGTGGTGGTGGTGGTCTGCGGCGGAGGGGGGGACGATTGGGTACCGGTCGACTCGTGGCGAACAGGCGACCTCGATCGAGACGGCTGGCGAACGGTCTCGGGCTCCGGCTTTACCTTGCGTGTGGCAGCCGGCGAGGTGCTCCTAGCCCGCTTGTCCATCTCTCCTCGCTGTTGTTCGTCGTCATCGCTGGCCGGAGCCGTGCCATCGCTTCGCTCCGTCGCCCACTGTCGGACTCGCCACCCCTCCCCATCACCGAGCCCCAGATTCTCCCGATCCAGGAAGGTCAATAGGTCCTCAATGGCCTCCTGATATCCTGCCTGTCGAGCCTGAGCCTGTTCACACACCGCATTCTTGTACAGGTTGGTGACGGACAGCGCCGCCGTCTTGAACGCCTGCAGCAGCTGCTCCGGAGGCTGCGGCCGGGGAGTCGAGCTGGGAAGCGACGTATTCAGCGAGCGCATGGAATCCATGGTATAGATAAGAAAACGGTGCTTCGTTCGTGTGCTGCAAAAAAAGCCTGTATGCTGCCGCTGCTGGTCGAGGTGGGAAGGTGGGCCGTGCTCGGATATGGCTCTCACCACAAATAAAAGAAAGGAGACTGGGTTGCTGCGAAGTAGGACACAGCCAGGGACTCTCTCGCTGCCAGGCTAGTGAATAAGCTGCCTCTTCAACCGCCAAAGACACTCGATCATGCAACAGCCACTGTACACAAAGACCAGGGAGGGGCACTAATTCCGTAGTGACTCGTTGCTAGTCAAGATTTCTGCCGCCAAAAATCGCCCAAAATCGCCCAAAATCGCCCAAACAGGCTCCACCCGCGGAGAAACTGCTCTTCCGTCCCGTGCTGACTCAGCTCACCTGACTCGCGCCCCCCGCCCAATCAGCGCGCGCCGCCGCCTGCGCGCCTGGGCTTCCACTTGCGACGAAATTCCATTTGCCATCCCGGGGCGCGCCTGTCGGTCCTGCTCCTCCTCAGGACACTCGGTTGGCCACGCAGCACCCATCGATTTCACCCCCCCCCATCTTCCAGTCCATCGGAAAAAGGAAGGCTACGCGTCTGGTGTTTCCGTGCTGGAGCTTGTGAGCGTTGTAGCTTGAGTTTTCGAGTGGTTTGACCTGCTGTACACCGGTATCAACATACGGCGGTGCGCAGCACACGCGGATGGCGCCCATGCAGTCGTTTGTGCCTCACTCCGACACGCCCTCGCAGGCCGACACGCCGATGACAGATGCCAATGAAGAGCCCGTCACGTCTGTGCCGGTAGACGCACCCATGTCGGTAGGTCTTGCAGGTTTGGCGTGGTATATGAATTACACCAACCACTGACTGATTTACTTGGATCCAGGGATATCATGACACTCCTGATTACACTGTAAGACGGCTCATTGAGAGGTGCCAAAGTTGTGTGACCGACCGCATAGCTAATGACTGGACTTGGTAGGACTCCGACACGAATCCCAATACGACCGCAAGCAGTGTTGCAGGCGACATAGCTCCCGTCGATGGACGCAGGCGGAGATCTGAAGCTTTTCAGCTGAGGAAAAGTATTCTGGGCAAAAAACATGGCCGTCTCGACGAATCCAAGGTATGTCGGGTGGTCCCTCCTTTTTGGCGAGGATGCAAGCTCTTCCAAGCTTTTTGCTAACCACGTGTTACTCGTAGGAGGATGACTCCATCCGCCGGTTCCGCTACCTGCTTGGGTTGACTGATCTCTTCCGTCATTTCATTGAAACGAACCCGAATCCCAGGATCAAGGAGATCATGGCCGAGATCGATCGGCAAAACGCCGAGGAGGCCAAGGTGAAGAAAGGCACCTCACGTACTGGCGGCGCCAGCGGCGATCGGCGGCGCAGGACGGAACAGGAAGAGGATGCTGAGTTGCTTCGAGACGAGCGTCACGGCGGCGAAACAAACACGGTCTTCAGAGAATCGCCTTCGTACATCCAAGGAGAGATGCGTGACTACCAGGTTGCAGGCTTAAACTGGCTGGTCTCGCTCCACGAAAATGGTATCTCTGGTATTCTTGCAGATGAAATGGGCCTGGGCAAGACTCTACAGACCATTTCGTTTCTCGGGTACCTACGCCACCTATGTGATATCACTGGACCCCACCTTGTCGCGGTTCCCAAGTCTACGCTCGACAATTGGAAGCGCGAATTCCAGAAATGGACACCCGAAGTGAACGTGCTCGTCCTCCAGGGCGACAAAGAGGAGCGCAATCGGTTGATCAATGAGAGACTACTCTCGGAAGATTTCGATGTCTGCATCACCAGCTACGAAATGATCCTGCGTGAAAAGTCCCATCTGAAGAAGTTCGCCTGGGAATATATCGTCATCGACGAAGCCCATCGGATCAAGAACGAGGAGTCGTCTCTGGCCCAGATCATCCGCTTGTTCCACTCTCGTAACCGCTTGCTCATCACTGGCACCCCCCTCCAGAACAACCTGCATGAGCTCTGGGCACTCTTGAACTTCCTGCTCCCCGACGTCTTTGGTGATTCAGAGGCCTTCGACCAATGGTTCTCCGGCCAGGATGCCGATCAGGATACGGTCGTCCAACAGCTGCATCGCGTCCTGCGGCCGTTCCTCCTCCGTCGTGTGAAGAGCGATGTGGAGAAGAGTCTGCTGCCAAAGAAGGAAATCAACCTGTATGTTCCCCTGTCCGAGATGCAGGTCAAGTGGTACCAGAGGATTCTCGAGAAAGATATCGATGCCGTCAACGGAGCTGCCGGAAAGCGCGAGTCCAAGACCCGTCTTCTCAACATTGTCATGCAGCTTCGAAAGTGCTGCAACCACCCTTATCTTTTCGAAGGAGCCGAACCGGGCCCTCCATATACCACCGATGAACATCTTATCTTCAACGCCGGCAAGATGGCCATCCTGGACAAGCTCCTGACCCGTATGAAGAGACAGGGCAGCCGGGTGTTGATTTTCTCCCAAATGAGCCGTGTGCTTGACATCCTTGAGGATTACTGTGTCTTCCGTGAATACAAGTATTGCCGCATTGACGGTACCACGGCTCACGAAGACCGTATCGCTTCTATCGATGAATACAACAAGCCAGGCTCAGAAAAGTTCATCTTCCTGCTTACCACCCGAGCAGGAGGTCTGGGTATCAACTTGACCTCCGCCGATATCGTTGTCCTATACGACAGCGATTGGAATCCTCAGGCCGATCTTCAGGCGATGGACCGCGCGCATCGGATTGGCCAGACCAAACAGGTTGTGGTGTTCCGGTTTGTGACGGAGAATGCAATCGAGGAGAAGGTGCTGGAACGTGCCGCGCAGAAACTTCGATTGGACCAGCTTGTCATTCAGCAGGGACGCGCTCAGCAGCAGAATAAGAACGCCGCATCCAAGGATGAATTGCTCGGCATGATTCAACACGGTGCCGCCAACGTCTTCAATACCAAAGCCACGCCTAGCGGCCTGGCAGCTGGGAGCGAATTCACCGAGGACGACTTTGATGCGATCATGCGTAAGGGCGAGGAGCGTACTTCGGAACTCAACAAGAAGTATGAGAGCTTAGGCATTGACGATCTCCAAAAGTTCAGCTCTGAAAATGCCTACGAGTGGAACGGTCAGGATTTCACCGACCGCAAGAAGGATATCGGGATGACCTGGATCAACCCGGCCAAACGTGAGCGCAAGGAACAGTTCTACTCCATCGACAAATATTACCGCCAAGCGCTGGCTACCGGTGGTAGGACCGCAGAGGCGAAGCCCAAAGTTCCCCGGGCACCGAAGCAGATCGCCATTCATGACTGGCAGTTCTTCCCGCCTGGTCTCCAGGAACTACAGGAGAAGGAAACCGCCTATTTCCACAAGGAGATCGGCTACAAGGCACAGCTTCCCGATGGGCCCGAGGAAGAGCTCAGCGAGCGTGAGGCGGAAAGGGACCTGGAGCAGCAAGAGATTGACAATGCTGTTCCCCTCACTGAACAAGAGCAGGCAGAGAAGGCCAAGATGTCGGAGGAAGGTTTCTCAACTTGGAACCGCCGAGATTTCCAGCAGTTCATCAACGGCTCGGCCAAGTTCGGACGCACCGACTACGCCGGTATCGCCACCGAGGTCGACAGCAAGGACCCCGAGGAGGTTGAAGAATATGCCGAGGTCTTCTGGAAACGCTACACGGAGATCCAGGACTACCCCAAGTACATTCGCGTGGTCGAACAGGGAGAGGAGAAGGTCCGCAAGATGAGCCACCAGCGCAAGATGCTTCGCAAGAAGATGGGAATGTACCGTGTCCCTCTGCAGCAGCTCAAGATCAACTACACCGTCTCCACAACGAACAAGAAAGTGTACACGGAGGAAGAGGACCGGTTTCTGCTTGTGATGCTTGACAAGTATGGCGTCGATGGGGAGGGCCTCTATGAGAAGATCCGCGACGAGATCCGAGAATCGCCGCTTTTCCGCTTCGACTGGTTCTTCCTCAGCCGGACGCCCGTGGAGATTGGACGTCGCTGCACCACCCTGCTCAACACTGTGGCGAAGGAATTCGAGACCGATGGGAAGCCAAACGGTGAAGCTGGCAAGGGACGTGGTCGGGACCGTGACGAGGAAGACGCCGAGAACGAAGAAGTCGGCGCTCCCGCAAAGAAGAAGAGCAAGAATGGGACCGTGGCAAGTGTTAGTTGTTCAATTATCCCGTCCAAAAGAGAAGGAAGAAAGAAAAAGGCCCACTAACTACTTGCAGAACAAGCCGTTAAAAGCCGTCAAGGGAGGCAAAGTGTCCTCGTCGGCCTCGAGAGCAGCCAGCGTGTCATCCAATGCACCGTCGAAATCGAAGAGTCGAAAGAAGTAAAAAAAAAACAGTCTGCCAGCAAGAAAAACTGTGTCAAATTGAATCGAACCTGAAGGCAGTTTAAACGATTTGACTAGATTTTGATATGGATGGTAGTTGAGTAGTGACTTTTTTCTTCTTGCTTGCTATCTTACTTGCTTGCTTGCTTCCTTTTTCCCTTTCTTAGGCTTTCTATTCCCTCTTGACCGGTAGGGTAGGTTGTCGGCTGGCGTTTCTGAAATAGATGCTATTACTGTTGGAGCTGTGCTTGTTCATATATACTTACACTACCATCACCGCTAATGAATCGAATTAGTATGAGGCCTAATGAGTAGATGGTGTAGCATACATAGTTCCGAAGAAGATTTCTCATGGCGCATATCCAGTATAGCAGCACTGCCGGTATTTATGCCAAGTAAGAAAATGAAGAGAAGGGTTTCGAATTAGATACTAGTAACTACTGTACATTGGTTCATGTGGAATATTGGACTATGGTACAAAAGAGAACGGACTCATTTACTGCGCACTTGCGAGAGGAGAGGGCCGCCCAGGAATTTATCCATAAGCAAAGCGGCAGCAACGCTGACGTTCAGACTGTCGACTCGAGCGGGATCGGCGTCGACGCCTAGCGGCGAGGCGAGCCTGGTGCCGGGAATGCTCACGATGGCGTCTGCGTGAGACTTGATATGGTGGGAGAGGCCGGTGCCCTCGCTGCCCAGCATGAGGACTGTCGGGGACTGAGCAAGCAGGTCCTGCTGCGAATCCGAGCCTGCACCGGAGGAGAGGGGGAGGAGGTCGACGGTGGCAGAGCCCTGCTGCGGGGCGTCAGCGGCGTAGAATTTCCAGCCCTGGGCGCGAGACTCTTGGATGAAGGCCACCTCGTTGGAGACGCGCAGCAGGGTCATGTTCTCGGCAGCGCCGGCGGACGCCTTGATCGTCACGGGGGAGAGGGGCGCGGAGTTTCGGCCAGCGAAGATCACCGCGTCGATGCCCAGATAGTATGCTGAGCGGATGATGGCGCCCACGTTGCCCGGGTCCACCACCCCGTCCAGCAGCAAGGCAAAGGGGTAGCGCGGGCGAGGCAGGGAAGAAGCAGACTGGGGCCGCACGATCGCGATCCGACTGTTCGTCCCGTTGACGGCGGCCTCCTCGCGCGACTGGGGGGCAAGCACGACTGAAAAATGACTCTCGTCCGTCGAGGGTACAGCCGCGAAGCTCCGTACGGGTTGGCAGGGTAAAGGGGAGGCCTCTAGCACGCAGCCGTTGTGCGGCCGGCCCGCGCTCATCTTATCCAGCAGCCGGTCCCAGCCTGCAAACACCATCTTCACGGGGATGTTCTTGGTGAGCGCCAGCTTCCGTAGAGCCACTTTGGCCGCGCCCAGCTCCTCGTCCGCAGCTTGGTATAGGTATAGCTTCCACAGTTTCCGGCGGCCGCACCGCAGCGCGGCTTCAATCGCACTCGCCCCGTAGATGAACTCCGACGCCGGGCTCGAGTAGGGGATGGATTCCGGCACTCGCACGTTCGTCCTGATGCGTTCCGGCATCGTGTCCGTGGCTCTATGATGCCTCGGAGCCTCTTTCGATGGCTTCTTGCGGTGAGCAGCCTCGGGGCTGGCCGTGGGGTTCTCTTTCCGGGCAGGCACGAAGCGGCCGCTTTTCACGAACTCGGCAGCGTCAAAGTCCACCTTCTTCGGCCATCTCTTCTCCCTCTCACTGCTCCGGCCCGTCTGAGGCCGGGGCTCACGCTTCGGCCGGTCCTCGTCCGCCGCAGACCTTCGTGACGGGCGAAATGACGGCCGCGGCTGTGATCGCCGAATACCACGGCTGATGGCGGAGGTCAGGGAGGCATACCGGACAGAATTCAGGGGATTAGAGCCCTTCTCGAGATGGGCAAGCAGCTGGCGAGACGGAAACAAGATGCTGGCTGCCATCTTTGCACCTAAGCAGTGAATAGAGATCAATAAATGCTCTCTCCAGTTAATTATCTCCTTCTTCTTTTTGCTGTGTTGATAATTTCTGCTGCGATAAGATAAGAGAACGGAACATCTATTCATCCGGGCGCGTTTTCCCGCGTCGCGACTTACTGCATCTGGACATTTTGGGAGGGCTGTCAGAGCACTACATGTAATCTCTCTAGCAGCTCTGTGTTACTCTGAGGAGGGGACGCCCTGATGGGTGCACTGTTTCATGCATATCTATGAGTTTTGGTGGCTTAGATCTTCCATTAGCCAGGCCTACTGCCAGTCTTTCTTTATCTCTTGGTGTATGGGGGGCCTGCCTGGTGGTGTTGAAGGGGGCGAGCACTGCGGTTTGCTTGCTTCTGCTTGCTTCCCAACTTCGAGCTGTGCTAAGGGAAGCTGCTCCGAGAGATTTCTGTTTGAATTAAAGGGGAAGGGGGCAGTTGGCCATGGATTCCGTCGGCCCTTATGGGTACGATCCCATGGCTCTCTCTGACGACGGAGACGCCCTGGTCGCAGAGCTCCTCAGCCAATTCAACGCTGGTATTGAGCAACAAGGGCATACTAACGCAGAAAGGGCTCAGAGTGTTGCTGTCAGTGGTTTGGTGAGCTCGGATCGACCCGTGGAGGTTCCCAGACAGAGCTTCGCCAACCACGCAGAGACTATGGAGGAGACACCTGCCGAAACAGAGCACTCACGGAATAAAATGGTGACGGTGGAGGTCCCGAAAATTGCAAATCCAGAAGACTACCATTTTCTACCCGGTCATTTTACTGTGCGACACGTCATTCGAGAGATAAGGACCCCGAGTGACGAAACGCTTTACCAAGTCAGGCTTGCGAGCGGGGAAGAAGAAACGGTATGTATAGCGACAAGCTAGCCCGGTAGATTATATCTGACCAATCTCTCTAATGTGTCTCCTCTACTAGGTCTCCCTCGCTTTCCTCACGACGCTTCATAATGGGCTAAGGGCACTCGAGAACTTCCAGAGCTCCAGTGATGAAATCGCTGGTACAGAGATATCGGGAGGCAGGAGGCTGCGCCGCAGAGTGAGTCGGCCTCAGCTGCAGCTGTTGGACGAGGAATCATCGTCAGATTCTCAGGGACCTCAGGCGAGAAATACGCGGCGTGTTGCTAGGAATACCAAACGAAACTCGATCTATCTCGATACCCTAAGCAGCGACGAGGATGGCGGGTCTATGTCTAGTGACAATGGGGATATTAAGTACGAGACGACAGCACCAAGAAGACGTGGCCTAAGGCAAAGAGTCGCACGACAGGCACAAAGACGCTCCCAGAGATACGCGATCTTAGTGCCTGACTCTGAGGAAGAGGAAAACATCGAGAGAAGGGCATCTCGTCATTCTAAAAGAAAGAGGAAATCTCTTCGACATAACTTGCGCGAGAGACTTGAAGACGAAATCTCTGAGAATGAGGCACAATCAAGCGAAAGATTTGTCGGAGCCAAGGAGGTCTTTCGGAAAATTCCAGTAGATGATACCTTCAGAACTCGCCACTGTGGTAGCTGCGAAGTGTGCTCCATCGCCGGCGATGACTATGTTAAAGGACCCTTAGTATTCTGTCAAGGATGTACGAGCGCCTACCACCAAGCCTGTCTCGGTCCGCGCACCACACGAGAGCATCTCGTCACAAAGATCGGGGATGAAACTTTCGTACTTCAATGCCGTCGATGCGTTGGTTCTGCGTGCAGCAAAGACCCCGTATGTCCCCATCAGGGCTATTGCACCGGGTGTAAGGAACCAGGGTCAATGGCCGAACCTCTGAGGGAACGTGTGACGGCGCGACAAGAGCAACAACTGCGCCAGAATAACGGTGGCAAAGATCCCATCACTGCAGTTGATATGGACCGCGTCAACAATCTGGAAAACATCCTCTTTCGATGTGGAACTTGCCACAGGGCCTTTCATTTTGAGCACCTGCCTCCAATGAGCGACAAGATGGATTCGCCGGAGAACTCTGCGGATCACCGATTCCAGGAATACTCACGTACCTGGCAGTGTCAAGACTGTTCCACTGCCCCTGGCGAGATTCAGGCTATGGTTGCGTGGCGGCCAGTTGACTGCCTCGAATATATCCCCCGGAACACTACCGCTGAATCGATGAAAGAAGATCGCAAGGAATACCTCATCAAATGGAAGACCAAATCTTACTTCCACACCACCTGGATGCCTGGTTCCTGGGTCTGGGGTATCGGAAGTGTGCATATGAGACGGGCTTTCTTCAGATCGCCAAAGAATCTGACTCCCCATATGACCACGGAAGAGGCTATCCCTGAGGAATTCCTCCGGGTCGACATTGTCTTTGATGTTCGCTACCTATCCGACAATGACGATGATGCCGACGACAGTAATGATGATGACGGCGATGAATTGCTCGAAGATACTCACTTGAGACATGCTAGTAAAGTGAAGGAGGCCTATGTCAAGTTCAAAGGCCTTCCGTACGAGGAGTCGGCTTGGGAGTCACCTCCTGATCCCTCCGACACCGAGCGATGGGCTGATTTCATGAAGGCGTATCAGGATTGGGTCGCCCGCGACCTTGTCCACGTTCCTAAGAAGGAGGCTCTCCAGAAACGTCTAACTGAAGCTCGAAGGAAAAATTTCAAGTCGGCCCTGGTCAAGGAATCTCAGCCGTCCATCATGACCGGCGGGACTATCATGGAGTACCAGAAGGACGGCCTAAACTGGCTGTATTACATGTGGTACAAGCAACAGAACGCGATCCTCGCTGACGAGATGGGCCTCGGCAAGACCATCCAAGTCATCGGTCTCCTGTCTACCCTGATCCAAGATCACGAGTGTTGGCCCTTTCTGGTGGTGGTTCCCAACTCAACATGCCCCAACTGGAGGCGTGAGATCAAGTCATGGGCACCCTCACTGCGTGTTGTGACATATTATGGGTCGGCTTACGCACGCCAGCTCGCCCAGGACCACGAATTGTTTGCCAACGGCACTCGCGATTTGCGGTGTCACATCGTGGTGACGTCGTACGAAACCATGATCGACCTGTCTTCGAGGAAGCTCTTATCCAGGATCCCGTGGGCAGGGCTGATCGTCGATGAGGGCCAGCGTCTGAAGAATGATAAAAGTCAGCTATACGAGTCACTCTCGAGGATGAAGTTCCCTTATAAGGTGCTCCTCACGGGGACCCCTCTACAGAACAACATTCGGGAATTACTCAACCTCCTCCAGTTCTGCGATCCCACCAAGGATGCGGAGACTCTCGAGCAAGAGTACGGGGCTCTTTCGAAGGAGAACATTACCGCGTTGCATGATATGATTAGACCGTTTTTCCTGCGCCGAACCAAGGCACAAGTGCTTACTTTCCTCCCCCCGATGGTTCAAGTCATTCTCCCGGTCAGCATGTCTATTCTGCAGAAACGTCTTTACAAGTCAATTCTGGCAAAAAACCCCGAACTCATCAAGGCCATCTTCCAACGACATGACGATCAGTTAAAACAGAATGAGCGGCAGAATCTCAATAACATCTTGATGCAGCTACGGAAGTGTTTATGCCATCCCTTTGTGTACAGCCAGGCGATTGAGGAACGCACAGCCAACACCAAGGAATCTCATAAGCACCTGGTTGAAGCATCGGGTAAACTTAAACTTCTTGAGCTGATGCTGCCCAAGCTTCACCAGCGCGGACATCGCGTTCTCATTTTTAGCCAGTTTCTGGACAACTTGGACATCGTTGAAGACTTTCTAGATGGTCTTGGCCTCATGCATCGCCGACTCGATGGGCGTATGAACTCGCTTGAGAAACAGAAGCAGATCGATGCATACAACGCAGAGGGGTCTCCCTACTTTGCTTTTCTCTTGTCAACGCGGTCCGGCGGAGTCGGCATCAACCTGGCCACTGCCGACACAGTCATCATCATGGACCCCGACTTTAACCCTCACCAAGACATGCAAGCGCTGTCTCGTGCGCATCGGATCGGACAAAAAAACAAGGTTCTGGTCTTCCAGTTGATGACTCGCGGTAGTGCCGAGGAGAAGATCATGCAGATTGGAAAGAAGAAGATGGTCCTCGATCATGTCCTGATCGAGCGCATGGACGCCGACGACGACGACGGGCAGGATTTGGAATCCATCCTTCGCCACGGCGCCCAAGCCCTTTTTGATGATGATGATTCGGGAGATGTAACCTATGATGCTGAATCCGTTGACAGACTGCTCGACAGGAGCCAGGCAGAGCAAGCCGCATCACCCGAGGGACCGGCAGACACCCAATTCAGCTTTGCTCGCGTGTGGGCCAATGATGACAACTCCTTTGAGGACCGACTGCAAGACCCAGATATGGATAGAGATACCCCGAACAGCACCGTGTGGGAGAAGATCCTGCAGGAGCGTGAGCTCGCGGCCGCAGAGGATGCTAAGCGACGCGCAGAGACTTTTGGCCGAGGTAAACGGAAGCGCATGACTATTGACTACAACATCCACGACCAGGGAGACGCGGTGGACGAGTCGCCCGTGAAGCCACGCCGGGAAGCCGACAGTGATGCCGAATTCCATTCAGACGGGGGGGCGCCCCAGTCCGAAACCGAGTCGGATGCACCAGAGCTAGACCCGGAAGACCTGTTGCGGTCACCGGCAAAGCCAAAAGGTATGTCTATAGTGATTCTGATTTCAGCTATACAAGACTAAGTCAATAAAACAATAACGAATAACAGTGCGTACGTTCCATCGTGTCGATCCTCTTCCGCTTCCACACCCCAAGCCACCCACCCCCATGTCCCTCGACGGCCACGTAGACCAACTCACCTGCCTGGCCTGCGGTGGCGATCATCCACCCGGCTCTTGCCTCCTGAGACTTGCAGGCGTGGAGCATTGCGGTCTTTGCGGCATTGCACACATGGGCCAGGGCCGAGCCTGCCCGCACCTCAAGGAAGACGTACAGGTGCAACGGATGCTGGAGGCGCTGAAGGAAAGTCCCGAGCCACGCGAGCTCGTCGAGAAGGCCAAGAAGTATCTTCAGGGAATACGCGGAGACCTCGCCCAGCGTAAGCGCAAGGAAGCCCTCAAGGCGAATCCCAGTGCGGTGGCGCCGCCTCTCACAACGCCTCGGCGTGGACGCCCGCCGCTCAAGAACAGAGAGCAGGCGAACATCAACACGACGAGAACGCCCACAGTTGATCTTACTGGACTATAGCCCCAAATCAAGGCTCAAGAATTCAATCTTACTCTTCGTTTTCTATCTGGTTGCAATCCTTTTCTTTTCTTAGTCATGGGGGTTGGTCGGTACACAGTTCAACTCTAAATGGGATGGATCTTCATTCTGGTGTCCATCAATGTTCTTCCTCTTTTTTGCTTTTTAATTCGCGTGGACTTGGGTTTGGTGAGGTCTCATGGGTCAGTTTGGTCAATTTACTATTCTATTCACTATTGTCAGAAAAGATCCTATGGATTAGAAGGGTACCTAAGGTAGTTAGTGAGTGGGTTTACAGTTCAACGACGTGATACTGAGTAAGACCATTGTAGAATGAGGCAAACACGTCTATACGTATATTCTTCAATAGCAACGACGAGGTAAAGAGGGCCCAAACTCGTCTTCTAGAAACCCCTATGGCCCAACCGAGGAGCATGGAGATCCGTCAGGACAGTGGTGGTTGTATCACTCACGGAATAAATCGTTGAACTCGACACTCGACGCGGTTTGTGCGAAGACGTGCGAGTTAAACGCGAGGGTGCTGGTGCTGGTGAAGTCAGTAAAATCGGCAGGGTTGGTGGATGCCGAGAATAACTGCGCAAAGGGCTCGAGGGAAATCACGTCCGCGAGGTCGTGGTAGACGTGGTTAGGCAGCCTCACTGCCGTCTCTTGGGCCAGGAGCAAAGACAGCACGCTGAGCAAGGCATGCTCCACCGGCGATTTATACGGTTCAGCCAGGCCCTTTATATATTGTATGTACTGGGAGAAAAGAGGGATGACGAATGGCGGGTCGCTGGCAGTCTCGGCGATCAAGACCTTCACTGCCTCGGTCAGATAGCTGACGTAGTATACTGGTGCATAACGCAGCCCATAGCAACGGTCGTAAACCGACACGAGGTGCAAGACTGCCACCGCCGCGTCCTTGGGCGTCGGCAGGGCTGCGTACGGAGGCATGACCGGGATCGAACGAAACAGGCTCAGATGCGCGACATAGTAAAGCAGCCTACTTGCGGAATATTTCGCACATCTTCAGTCAGCCTGAGAGGCGGAAACGAACGAGAAGGGAGTCTTTATATCGAAAGAACAAACCGAAGATTGAAGAAAGGAGGGCTGGCGTAAGCGCCTGGGCCCATCTCCACGGGTTGGGAAGCGGCCTTCCATTGGAGCAACCGCAACTGCAGCAGGCTGATCTGCTCCGCATTCCACCACAACTTGGGCAGATGCAGGGTCATTTGAATTTCGTCGATGATCTCGAACAGACTGAACAACTCTGCGGTATACGCGAGCCCTGTTGTCGATGCCGCCGACGGTGAGGGATGAAAAGAGGACCGCCCTTGCCAGTAGCTCTCAGCCGGCTTCCGTGGATGACAGCGAGGCCGCAGCCGAGGTAATCGACGCAGCATCAGGGCAACGAGGCTTCAGGAAGACAACAAAAAAAAAAAGTGAGCTACAAGATGGTCACAAGAAACATACTAGATGCCCGCGAGGCTGAATTTGTCGACGCACCGATCGGTGAGATACAACGCCCAGTAAGTGGCTCGACTGCGATCAGCGTTCGCATTGACTTCATGGCTCGCGTCCACCTCCCAGGCCAAGCTTATCGCCGTGAGAACCGCTGTGCCAAGACGGCTCCATGCGGTCTCGCTCTCGCCAGCGGCCAGATCTCGAGTGACCAGGATGATTGAGGCCTGGATCGTGGCGACAGGATCTAGCTCGCTGCCGCGCGAGTTGTTGTCTGCGGTCAGCAACCGGTCTGCTTCTTCCACCAAAAGAACCCTGAGTTCTTCCATATCAATGCCCGGGATGTTCGTCGTCTCAGTGTAGTCGTGGTACCAGCTGCCTATTGCCATGATCGCTTCTATGACAGGAGAAATCAGTAGTTCGCTGGTCCGGTTGTCTTCGGGGCCCGGGAGATCTGGCACCTCTTGGCCCGAGAAGATCGGTACATAGGGATGTTGCCACTCGAAATACAGGCCAACGAGGCGGCGCTTTAGTCGTGAGTCTTTTATCAGTGTGTTTCGCTCTGGAGTACTGCTCCCCCCAACGGCGACGGTGGTGTCGATGTGCTTGATGAGCTCTTCTACTGTCAGTCCGCTGCGGATCTGGCCTAGCAGAAAGGTGGCGGCGGTGTCGTCAGTGAATCTTAGACGGTGCAAGATGCGTTGCAGGTGACTGATCTCCTGCTGGGAGTCTCGCAGCTTCTCCTTGAGAATGCCTTTCCGCCGGTTGTCGGTCTCATAGGTGCACGAATCTCCGATATTCCTCGACACGCAGGTGGAACATGGCGTACAGCCGTCACACTAGATGGAACTGTCAACACAGGTTGTTTTCTGGCCACCCAGATAAGCAATAGAAAGTTTACCTTTACCTTGAGTTTCCGGCACGTGGCGCAGGCCAAAGACACGTTGGCCTTCCTCGCGGCACTGGGGGCAGCCTGGAATCTACTCTGGTCGTGGCTTTGTGCCGGCGGGCGAGGGAGGATCTCGCGAGAGTACCCAGGTCCCAGAGCACGACGATTGCCCTGAGTAGACATGTCTTGTACGTGTTGGTTCAGAAATTAGATGCGGCGGGGCTGGCCCACTGGATATGGCTACATCCAAGACGCAGCGAACTCGGTGGAATAGGGCAGAAAAGGGATCAGAAAGATGGTCACTCGAGTTTCAAAACACTTGCCTGTGCTTTGGTCCCTCTCTCCTTTTGGGTGAAGGCTTTGGACTCTAAACTAGGCAGATTGGCGCCATCGTGCGCCTCCTTTTTCCCGAGATCGAACGCAGAGGGGCTGCCATCAATCGCCAAGTGCACGACGGCGGCTTCCTTCTTCTGAGTCTCAAGGGAAGCCCCTTGACTGCCTCCCAGAGCGGGGACTTGATGTGGATGAGCTGAGCGGTCTTCGTTAGGATTGATTTGCGCGGAGATATTTTCCGTCAATTCCTGCTCCGAAGGTGCGGCTCTGCCTGGATTGAGAATGTCATGATGAATGACCGTTTATGACTATCAAATGGTTCTGCTATGCTCTCCTTGGATCCTCTAGGAGACCACCGGCAAGCTCAGCGTTCTCCCCAGTCACAGCACTGGTGACAGAGGCCATTGATGGTAAGAGACCCCTTCGAGAGGCGTTCAAGCAGCCCCATTCCATATTTTCTTCCTCATGATGCCACCGTTCCCTTGAAAACAAGGGAAGTCTATCCTTTGCGATTATCAACAGAATGGGGACGGCACTGGGACAGCAAGAATCCGGCAGAGAACACCGCGGCCAGCCATGCAGATACCGTGTCAAGTCGAAAGGCGAAAGATGGGATGCGTCACTTGCTGGTCGATCGATACCCTTGCTCTTTCCTTCAGCATTTATTGAGCTTTGCCGGCGCCAAGGAGAGAGGAGAAGGTTGAGAAGGTTGAACTGTGGGCAGGAAGGAAGCCTTGTATGTATCGTCACGTCAGCTAGCTCTCAACTATTATATTGCAACCGTCTCGCGCCTTGAAGACCACCTACCACATCATCTCTGACCATATTCCATAGTAGTTCGAGCTATAGTTCCCAAGCGGTCGATGAAAAGGGGGTAGACGCTGTCGTGCATGCTGCAGCCATCCGTGGGGTGGTGGCACTGCGAACAACCGCCAACGGGCGAACCTACAAAAGGGCAGGCAAACACCCCGACAGACGCAAACAACCACATGGAACCGCAGGGAACCGCAGGGAAAACGCCTTCAGATCGGCTTCAGATCGGAGGGCAGACTCTGCTGGGATTCGGAGCCCAGTCTGGGACCAGTGTCACGCGTCGTCGTCCTCCTCCTCTTTCTCTCGCTTGGCCTGGATTTCCAGCGCGTTTCGCACCGGCCATGGAAGCCCTCAACGCCGGGCCAGTCGAGTTACACGTTCATTCACCACCTGTTGGGGAGGACCAGTCACCGTCTGCTATATTTTCATCAGTGAATGGGGTTGTCTAGGGCCTCGTGGTGCTGTTTCCTGCTTCTCACTGGCCCTTTTATGCAGGTCTACAACTGAGAGGCTGCCCACACTCAGTCACTCTCATTTTCACTTCATCTTACTCTCACTTAGATTTTGGCTGCTCATTATCAGTACCAGCCCCCATCTTTCATAATTATAAAGTTGAAGCTGTTGCTCTCCTCCCATCTCTTCTTCTCTCCTCCTCACCTCTCGTACAACCTCTTGTGTCTGAATTGCCTCAGTATCGATTTCTCCTGTGCCTAGTCCATTTCCTATATCTAAACACCTTATCTTGTTCAACCTGAACAGAGAAACAGCGTCTACTTTGATATTGTCTCTTAGTTGACAAGATGGCCTCTCCCATCCGTCCTCAGTTCTTCTGCTCCCGCCCAAACGGCAGTCTTACTCCCCTCGTGGCTCTCGACGAGCTGCCCTCCTACGTCTCGATTCGCGGTGTTCCCCGTCTACTTTCTGCTGGAGATACCCAGGGAATGACCAGCCTTGGAGCTGTTACTTCTCGGGCTCAGTTTTACGTGGTGGATGGTGTTTCTGTGGACGCGAATCGTGGATCCAACAGCCCTTCTGGTCAGTTTTTCCCTCACCACTACTGTAGTCTTCATGGCCCACGACTTACCCTCACTATAGATGACAATGGTTTTTCTCAACAGCGCCTTGGTTACCAGGCTCTAGTTCAACAGAGTACCCCGCTCAATGTGGCTGCTCACAGTGGCCCAGGTGGTGGTTGGCTTACCCACGGGGCAAGCAACGGTGCGGTGTCTAGACAGGTAAGGAAATACACACACACAAATATCTGTCATGATCTTGGTTCACTGACAAGGCATCTTTTTATGTACAGAACCCCACCAAAAAGGAATACTGCTCTTATTGGATTCGTCATGGAGAGTGTGACTATCAGCAGCAAGGTGAGTAGTACCGACTATCAACACCAAGCCACAATCTCCTTACAAGACAGGGAAAAAATAACTAAAGAAATTAATTAGGCTGCCTTTACAAACACGAAATGCCAACTGACCTGGGTATGCTTGATAAGCTCGGTCTCCGTGATATTCCTCGTTGGTATCGTGAGAAGTTTGGCATGTCGAGTCTTCTCCCCGGTGGTGGACACCAGCATCCTCGCGGCAATACCAATACCCAGGCCCCTCCACAGCAGTGGAAAGACGAGGTCCAAGATCGCGGGGTTTACAAGCAACTGTCCTTCCCCTCCCGTCTGGGTATCACTGGCTGTGCCGAGTTCGGCCAGGAAGCTTTCAGCAACATCAACGGTGCTGTCGGACAGCAGAAGGTGGTCACTCCTTCCTTCACAGCGGCCCCTCAGCAACCTGTGACGGCTCCAGCACTGCTTCGGTCTGCCTTTGCGCCTGTCGGCGGCCACATCTCCAGGGAGCAGACCCCGTCTCACCACAATGGTGTGAAACCGTTCCTCAACGGACATAACAGTCACAGAAAGATTGACCTGCTCGCCTTCGATCCTATCACCGAATATGCCTCTCTGGATCGTATTGGTGGACACATGGGTGGACACATGACTGACTTGCCCTCGTCTCCCATCGAAATCAAACTCACTCCCGAGGAGGCAGACCGAGCCCAGCGTGAGGAACTCGTTCGGAACCTCCAGTCCCTTATGCCTGCTCCCCATCTCGGTGGAGGTAGCTCTGACTTTCTCCCCACCTCCTTTGACCACGCTGGCGCGCAGGGCCGTGGCAAGAGATATCCTACCAAGTCTCGTCGCCTGTACCAGCCTCGCTCTCCCACCGACACTGTCGTCCCGGGCAAGCTTCAGAGCCCTATTGGTGAAGTGCCTTACAAGACTAAGCCTGCCAATGCGGCTGCCTTTGCCAATACTCCTTCCACCAAGAATAGCCCCCCGATGGCCAGCCCGATTGGCGGCCCCGTTCTGGGAGGGCATTTCTCCTCCGACTCCCCCGGCCGTATGGTTTCACCGTCGGACTCGCACAGCACCTCCTCGTCTGCGGACTCGGCCAAGCTTGGCACCCACTTCGGCCACCGTGCCTTTGCTGGCCGGGCCAACAAGGTCCAAACCATGCCTTCTGTCATTGAACGCCGTGGAGTTGGTTCTTCCAACGACCTCATTGGCTTTGGTGCAGGACGTGGCAAGTAAAGCCTCGAGGCTGACCGGTGGCTCATGCATACGCTATGCAAACCACTGGCACTGCTTGTTGCGGGTACATTTCTGATAAATAACTAGCACTCTGTATACCTGCTCCGTCGAAAGGGGTAAGTAAGATGCAGAACCAAACGCGTGCAAGGACAACAGCATTGGTCTTATTCCGTTCCCTCTGCTCACTTCCTTGTTGGAGCCCTTTCGTTTCCTTGAATTTCATCCTCCGACAAGGATACTTGAGTTGGTTGGGCTACAAATTTGATACGAAAGACACCTATCCATGCCGTATCCTGCTGTCCTTGCAGTGTTCTTTTTTTTTACGTTTTGACCACTTTGTCTCTCTTAACTTCTACTTCCGGACGGTTATTTATTTGGCTTCGTTTTATGTTTCTATTTGATTTGATTTTATTTATCCTTTTGCCTCTGGCCTCCGGGTCAACAGGATCACCACGTTTGTATTATAGCACTGCAATGTCTTTTATATGTGTTATAGGAAACAGAAAAACAGGCGAAAAAAAAGCGGGGAGGAAGGTGAAAGGCGCAAGAAAGGGGAGGAAATGATGTTCAGGGAAAGGGATGGCTGTTTTTTTTTTTTTCCTTTAGTTCTCTTGTTTTTTCTGATTCTCTGTTGTTTTGTACTGGTGGTCTGAATTTTAGTTATTGGGCAGGCAAAGTAATAGGTTACCTATTCTAGCAATATTAATGCCGCTGTGGTTTTTTTTGTATTGGAACAGATATACAAGGTAAAGAAAGTTTGATGAAATTTAGTATAGTACACTGTAGAGTTTGACACTGGATCCGTCGTTCTTCAATCTTCTTATAGATTGGCCTGAAATGACTCTTGAACCCGAATATCACAGCCTCCTCGTCTTCTTTGCCTTTGCAGCAACGCGCACACCCACGCGCTCAGGCTCTTCGCTTGCGTTGGCGGAGCCGGGGGTCAGACTGGGGATGGTGTTGACGGCGTGGGCGACGACGGCGTTGCCGTCGACAATGTCATTGAGACGGTCTTGTTCGAGGGCGAGGCGCTCAGCGCGGCGAGCGGCGAGCTGTTTCTGGCGTTGCTCGGTCATGACCCACTCATCCGGGAAGCGCAGGTTGGTCTTGGGCCTGTGGTGGCGGGTGTCGAGCGGGATGTCGGCGAAGGCATCGCCATTCTTGGCCTCGTGGAGCAGCGAGCCGACCAGTTCGCCGAGATAACGCTTGTTCTGGGCGCGGTTGACGAACTTCTCGCACGACATGCGCACCGTGTCGGTCTGCGGGTTGTAGCGCGGTCCCACGAGTTTTAGGAAGGTCTGTCGCTGCGCCTCGGTCAGGTGGTCGGGCACCAGGTCCTTCGAGCACAGTTCCACGACCACCTTGGATTCGGCGGGGTGCTGTTCACCCATGTATGTGGTATAGCGGAAGCGCAGGAGGTGAGTCTTCGGGGGAAGGGTGAATGGCTCCGCTAAGCCTGTGGTCTCATTAGAAAACGATATTTCAGAAATTGTATTTCTTTGTTTTTAAAAAAAAGCATAGACGTACTGCTCAACGCAGGCATATCCCATGCCGCGATTCTCGCGTACTCGCGAATTTCACGGTGCACCTCCAGCTCCGCATGGGCCATGGATGTGATATCGTCGTCATGGAACTCATCGTCTGCGTCCTCGACTTGAGCGAACTCGTCCTCTTCCTCCTCCGCCCAGAAGCCATTGTTCCTCGGCAGACCGGCTTCATCGAACTTGATCACCGGCTGGCGCTCGACCAGCTTGTCGAGCTGCGCAAGCATCTGCTTCCGCTTGACGGGGTCGTTGAAGTCCTCCACCATCTTGCGGTTGTGGGCGTCAAACACCGCCCGGTCCTCCGGCGACATCATACTGTACATTGACCGATCCTCCTTACCGAAGTTCTCTGGCGAATATTCCGGCAGGTTGGGCAGCTTGTCCGGCAAGTTCGTCGGCCTGGAAGCGGGCACTGGAGGGTCTTCTGGCATTAGATTTGACGGCGAGGCCGAAAACCATCGCGCACGAGGGAAGCCGGCAGCCACATTTCGTCGTGCGGCATGCGTGAAGGTAAACGAGAACGCTGAGCGGCCTAGCGACCGGGCTGTGGTGGCCATCCTGCAGTTGTGAGTTGGGACTGGATCTTCCTTTCCTTCTCTTCGCAGGAAAATGCTCGGGACAACAAATTGCTGCGGCGAGGTCGACGGTGGCGCTAGACCCGATCGGGCGAGAGGCACGACGTCGGCGCCCGCAACTTCTCTTCTTGCTCGACGTCTTCTTCTCCCAACGCATCCTTTGGTTCGCAGCTAACATGCTTGCTGTCTTGATACAGCCAGTGCCGATCTCTTCATAAACCGGGCGTGCTGGACCGCCGCCAGTTATGACTTCCCCTGCCCCGATGAAGGTCTGCTTCGTGACCGTGGGAGCCACGGCCTCGTTTGAGCCGCTGGTATCTGCCGTGTTGGATGGCCGCTTTCTTGCTTCTCTCGGAGAACTCGGCTATACGAATCTTCTGGTTCAATATGGCAAAGACGGGCGGCCTATCTTTGACAGGTTTCTTCAAGACCGGGACTCGGAGGAGGCGGCGACCTCGCACAGCATCCAGGTGGATGGGTTTGACTTTAACCAGGCTGGTCTGGGACGCGAGATGCGTCTGGCCCAGGAGAATGCAGCAGAAGGTCGGCGGAGTGGTGCGATTATCAGCCATGCTGGTAGGAATCGAAGTTATCTGGCGTTTTGAAGAATGGATGCTTATCAAGAAAAACAAGGCTCGGGGAGTATTCTAGAGGCTCTACGTCTAGGAATCCCACTGGTCGTTGTACCTAATTCTTCCCTGAAAGACAATCACCAAGAGGAGCTTGCGCGGGAACTTCAGAAACAGGGATATGTTGTTGCGAGCCACTACGAGTATGGTTTCTTTTCCTTTTCCGTGCCGCTTGGCATTATCTCATTTCTCTCAGACAGCTACCCTCTGCAATCCGCCAGGCTGAGGACTTGCGCGCGCGTATGATGGCTTGGCCGCCGGTCGACAGCGTTCAAACGAAACGAAAGCAGCCTCTTGCCGGAGTCATGTCTGACGAACTGGGCTTTCTGGATTGATTTTTCGTAATCCCAGATATCCACATACGATGCTAGATCCATCTGCAGATTCTCTCTCATATAGCGAGCATTGAGATGATGCTCCGGTCTTGAATACATGAAGCTGGAGGCAGTGTGGATACACCTCGCCTTGAGAACGAGTATATAACCAGAGAGAGCGGTCTGCAATCTGGCATGACAAATTATAGAAATATTCTTATTACAGTCGAATGATAAAATCAATTAGAAAGTCTCCTTTTTTCAAATAGTTGAGGTGAAATGATAATTTATAGTTAGTTATACTGCGGCCAACGCTTGGTTCTACGGCCTCCGCGTGGCCCAAGCTCCTTGTTGACAAGACAAAGTTGATTGTCTCCTGGAACGCGCGAGACAGACCATCCCTTGAGATTCGACAACATCCACACGACACCGCGAACCATCCACCCGCCGGTCTCAATACTGAGATTACGATTGCCATCCGTTTCTGTCTGAATTTCTCCCGTCTCGCCGCCTCTCCTTAACGGGAGTCGTGTCTCCTGCGCGCCCTCCGCCCGCCAAACATGGCCGAGGCGACCCTCCACAATGTCCCCATTGTGATCGACAATGGCAGCGGTACGATTCGAGCCGGGTTTGCCGGCGAAGAGATCCCGTCGTGTTATTTCCCCTCCTTCGTTGGTCGGCCCAAACACCCGCGGGTGATGGCCGGGGGGCTGGAAGGGGACGTATTCATCGGACAGCGAGCACAGGAGCTGCGGGGGTTACTAAAGATCCGGTACCCGCTGGAACACGGGATTGTGACCGACTGGGATGATATGGAGAAGATCTGGCACTACGTGTACGAGAGCGAGCTGAAGACGCTGCCAGAGGAGCACCCTGTGCTGCTGACGGAGCCGCCGCTGAACCCACGCAAGAACCGCGACATCGCCGCGCAGATCATGTTCGAGACCTTCAACGTGCCGGCTCTGTACACGTCTATCCAGGCGGTACTGTCGTTGTACGCTTCCGGGCGGACCACGGGCGTGGTGCTGGACGCCGGGGACGGCGTCTCCCACGCGGTCCCCGTGTTCGAGGGCTTCGCAATACCGAACAGCATCCGGCGGATCGACGTTGCCGGCCGCGATGTGACGGAGCAGCTGCAGCTGCTTCTACGTAAAAACGGCCATGTCCTGCACACCAGCGCGGAGAAGGAAGTTGTACGCATGATCAAGGAGAAGGTCTGCTACGTCTCGTTAGATCCGAAGCGCGAGGAGAAGGACTGGCTGAACAGCTACCACAAATCGGAGGCGAAATCGATGGACTACGTCTTACCGGATGGACATAAGATCAAGGTATGGCAAAGCATTTAACCTTATATGAAAGAAGGGCACTATTTTCACACACACAACTCTTAGATCGGGCAAGAACGCTATCGAGCCCCCGAGATCCTCTTCGACCCGGAACTGATTGGCCTCGAGTACCCCGGTGTGCATCAGATTGTCCAGGACGCGATCACGCGCACGGATCTTGACCTGCGCAAATCCCTCTACCTGAACATTGTCCTCTCCGGGGGCTCAACGCTGTGCAAGAACTTCCCGGACCGATTAATGCGTGAGATCAAGCGGTTGGCAGTAGAGGATATGAAGATCCGGATCTCAGCGCCGGCAGAACGCAAATATACCACGTGGATTGGCGGTGGCATCCTCGCAGGACTGAGTACATTCAGAAAGGTAACCCCCATTTCCCCCCTTTCAATATCATTGGAACCAAGTGACAAAAGGTGTGCTAATTGTGTAGATGTGGGTTAGCGCAGACGAGTGGCACGAGGATCCAGAGATCATCCACCGCAAGTTTGCATAGATGTCCGTCTCCTAGAACAAGATAAATCAAACGAGACGAGCACCCTTCTCGTGTTACGGGATACCCCGATGCGAATCGAGAACCAGAAAGAACCAAGAAAACCCCATTAGAAAGAACCCCGTTAGCACCCGCCTCGGCTGGCGTGATAGATACCCTTGCCTCTTGCATCTGAAATTCGTACATACATCTCTGTACCTACATACCTTATGAACAACCAATTTATTCACTTGACATACTCGGGGTAGATCTACATGTATCATGTTCAAATGCTGATATTTGAATATCTATTGTTTGATTCTATTGTATACTACCATACGCAGTCCTTAGTCTACATACACTACAGTACAAAGAAAAATACTCGGCTAGTCTCGTTTATGCTCGGTGATGTCGTGCTTGTTTCGCTGGATGAGTCAAGTCTATATACTTCGTACCTAACCTATGTAGAGTATCCACCACAACAAGATCACGGAAACAACGCCTCACATCAGCCTCTCATGATGATGCCACCATCAGAGGAAGTGTAGAGGCGAGAGAAGCGCCGTTGTCGGGGGCCACTCTCACTATGGGAGCAAAGGTAGTATGAGAGGCTTAGAACAACCATAACTAGTTATATGCTTTGCCATATCCTTCATCATCTGTCTATAGGCTGTGCACACGTCTAGTCACCCTTTAATACAGATTATTGGCTCATCTAGGTATCTTAGTAGGTAGTTAGTTACCTAGTAAATATTGCTACACTTTATGTAATGAAGTAATACTAGTAATGATTATTTATTCAATAACTAGCGCAGTCTGCTTTGCGCAAAACTGCAGCCAGGTGGTGTAAATTTCCTCCCTAGTACACACCCTAGTCACAAGATAAGAATAGCCCTCTGGAGAGCAAGATGTAGCAAGCCAAGAGGCAAAGACAATGCGTCTGTTGGGGGATAGGGGGAGGGGGTATCAATAAGGCCGAATTCGACAGGCAATGAAATAGAGGCGGCGCGAGTAGAGTGTGCTGTGCTATGAAGTGGGTGATGTATCCCTTTCCGCTGAAGACTTCCAGGCGACTGTCTTGTGGACTCCTTTTTTTTTTACCGCTTAAAGGGGTAATGATATGGTATTAAAATAGACATTGTGAGAATGGAGAAGAGCGCAGAAAACACAAGAGGCTAAATATGACGTTGAAGAAGAAGAAGAAGAAGATGAAGAAGCAAGAACTTTTTTTGGTTTGGTGGGGGTGGTTCATCAAAGTCGTGATTTCGTCAAGGCGGATTCTCCGCATTATGTAGGAGGAGGGTAAGAAGAAGGCGAGCAAGAGCAAGGATGTGTTGTTCAAGTCATGCCACGCCCCGGAGCTTCCCCCAGCTCTTCTCAAAAGCGGACTTGGCCTTTTCGCGGGCACGGTCTGCGGTCGAGCCGGCGCTGCTGCCTGTGGCAGTGCTTCCTGCCGAGTGCTTGCGGCTGAGGCTGTAGTTGTCTCGGAAGCACATGTTTCCAGCACCGCCGCGGCCGACGTGATAGACGGGGGCGGCGCGACGCAGCTCCCGCTCGAGTTCCTCGTCGAAGCTGAAGATGGCGCGTTCGCTGCTGCTGTGGACATTCCCTGCCCCGCCGCGGCCAGATTTGTAGGTCTTGGGGACGTGCGAGTCCAGGCGAGTGAGAGAGGCTGGCCCGGTGGCCGTCTGCGAGTCGGTGGTGCGCGTGTTGGTCAAGCTGATGATATTGCCGGCACCACCACGGGAGGTATGCAGCGCTTGGCGAGCATTGTGAGGGATGGAAGGGTGCGGTTCGATCACACGGTAATTTGACGACATTTTGAGAGAGTGTGTGTATGTATTGGCTCAATCAACGATCTAGTTGTAGTCTTTCGAAACGAGAACGGCGCTGAGAAGTGTGCAAGCGAAGTGCAAGAGAAGAGGATAAATAGTAAGTAGGCAGCAGAAGAAAATTTCTGGTTGTTCTGGATCGTCTACCAAAAGAATCGTGGTGGCCCAGGAACCACGGCGGGGAAGCTTTATATAGCAGGTGGCCCGCTGAGACTTGGGACAGGCCCTGCCTCGCCCCGTCAAGACCAGCAGAACTATTGCACCATCGTCCAGAATTGCTCCTCCAGGAACCACCGGGAGGTGGATTCAACTGCCCCAAAGGGTCAGTCACAAGGGGGAACCTGCCTTGGTTGTAGAAGCGCGGTGGATTCTGCCTCTGGCGGGAGCGTCATCGTGCAAATTTTCAGGGCGCCCCTAAAGCAGCGCGGGAAACCGACGGGCTGCTCCAGCGCGGTGGGTGCCCCTGCGGTGGCCAGCTGGCGGTGGTGGCTCGAGGCTGTGTGGTGATTGGCTGGAGGCTCTCGCTGCCCACACCCAGCTCTGCCGGCCGCTTTAACGGGCTGGCCAGATCATCTGACATCCACGAGGCCACGCCGTACCGTGGCAACACGTAACAGAAACTGGCGCCGCAGCCAATCAGCAGCCGCGCCGCGGGCTGGTGCTTGGGTGAGGTGGTTTCCTGGGGGTAATGAAAACTGGCTGCTGGTCACGAGCGAGGAGTCGGGAGGACCACGCCTGCTGCGGCATTACGTCTTGAAACTCTGTTTGTACACCGCCGGCGGCAACGTCTGAAGTTGTCAGCCAGCAACTTGACCAGGTGTGACTGTATGCTATTATTACTCATAGAATTCTAGGAACCTTAACCTTGGAACGGAAAATGAGTCCTACTACAAAGTATACCTTACTACATAGAAATAAAATGACTACTTAGCTACTGTTAATTAAGGAGGTACAGAGTACTCCATACTGTACTAAATTTGTCTCTGACAAATGACTCAACAGTACTAGTCGTAAATCCACTGATCCGCAGGAATAATGAGTACCTGGCAAGATCACGCAATTATGAGATGATATATCCCTCAAAGAAGGTTCTACAATATGGACCATGAAGTCTCTCCTTTACCATCTACTCTCTACCTAACTATAGCATACCTAGGTAGGTACCTAAGGTAGTACATTCCCCTGACTTAGGTAGGTACTACATACATGACGGTGACAACCAGGAAAAATTTTTTTCTTTTCTCCCGAACCGAGCCCTCTAATTGGCTGGGACGAGTGGGCCGGTAATTTTCAATCGCCGTCGCTCCTTCCCCGGATTTTCTTGCCCCGCAAAAATTTTCAGGAACGCGTGACTTCTGCTCCAGAGGGGAAGCCGTGAAGACAGGGATTCCTCGGCACAAGTGAGATACCGTGACGGAGTAGGCAGGTGGCTTTAAACCTAGGTTCAAGTACTCAAAATGTCCATGATCTTGAAATATATGCCTAATCATTCTCCCTAACAATTTGACTCTATTTGTATAGGTGGAGTATGGAGTCCCCCCTAAGGAGTACCAGTGATCAGCACGCGCTGACTCATAAATAAAGAGAATATCCCTCACATCATCTACATCATCGTGGGATATTTTTATGCAGTAATTGACTAAACAGACGTCATTTGAACCATACTCTGACCAAGTTAGCTATTGCAGTCAAGGGACAAGTCATACACTCACTGCACTCTCTCTAGAATACTCCATACGCAGGGCGTTGACACAGTAAACACTCGTGGCTAAAACTATAGCCTTCAGGGCAGTCTCGCCGTTGCACTTTTCCCTGACGACTGGGACTAATACCGCCAAATCCCCCAGGCTTACCAATCTCGAATAAAAGAATCATCTAGTCCCCAGAGACGCGAGGCCAGGGTCCACCACGTGGAGCTCGCTGCCTCACTTTGTTCTCGGGAGTCCTCCACGAAGACTAGTTAGTAGTCACTACATAGTTCATACTAGTATATATTATATGGAACTATTCCGTACATTCTTGTATTGCATAGTTAAAAATAGACTATAATGAGATATTTGTACAGAATGGTTGAGATTAGCAAAAGGTAAGAATACGAGAACGAGAGAGAATCACTGTATGATGCAAGTTTATGCCTCAGGCAAGTAGATACCTTATGTAAGCGATGCTGAGGTAATCTATGCCTTAGGCATGTTTCTGCCTGAGGTTCTGGATAAGATATTAATGCCTCAGGCAAATAGATAAGAGCAATATACTGCCCATATCTACCGCCTTCCAATATCTTTCCGCGACGACGTCCGCAATCCAAGCAGGACCAATTCATCCTGCTGCCCATCGAATCTGGGTCTTTGAAACGCCTCGCGCCGACACTGCTTTCAATTCAATACACCTCCAAGACCTGGCCTAGCCGACCGTTCTAAAAAGAAAAAGAAAAGTCCTAGTCCATCCAGCTCCAAAGCGCGCTGAGCGCTTGCAGCTTCCTCTGCAACTCGTTCCCAACGCCCAGAAATTATCCAAGATGCCGAAATATAAGTCCCCCTTTCTTGGTTGTTTTTGTTGAACAATATAAACTAACTACCGTGCACTCTTCTGTAGGTCTTCTTGGTGTCTTCATTCTTCATTTGCGTTGACGCGATCCCGTTCGTGTAATCCTCGACCCGCGCAACTGACTGACCACAGGCGATTACTGCGATGTCTATCTGACGCACGACTCGATGAGCGTGCGCAAGGCGCACAATGCAGGGCGAAACCACTTAAGAAATGTGATTGAATACTATCAACGTACGATTTTCAGAAGAAAAAGAAGAAGAAGAAGAAGAAGAAGAAAAACGCCCAACTAACAAATCACAGAGATCGGTCAGGAGAAAGCACAGCTGGTCATCGACTCGATTACCTCGTCCTACGCTGCTGAAGGGCAGGCTGTGCCGAATCCAGCCATCCACGGTGCTCCAGGGTTCCCTCCGCCGTTCGGATTCCCAGGTAATATATATCTCCCCCATAAAACCATAAAAATTGTTCCATGCTAAATTTACACTTTTCTTCCCAGGTCGTCCTGGCCAACTGCCCCCTCCACCCTTCATGCCAGGCGGACAAGGTATTCCTCCTCCAGGAATGGTACCTCGTAAGTCAGACCTTCCACCTCGAGATCCCAATTCATAATTCCTAGCTTATATAACTAATGATCAAAAAGCCCCCGGAGGCCGTGGTCTCCCCTTCCCACCTCCCCCGTTCCCTCCCGCGGCTGGCGCCCCCGCGGCCGGCGGCCTCCCACCACCCCCATTTCCAAACATGGGCCCCCCAGGCAGCCAGGGGGCCTTCCCCCCGCCTCCGCCCGGCGGGTTCCCTCCCAACTTCCAGATCCCGCCGCCCGGCGCGCCAGGGTTCCCCCCTGTCCCCGGTGCGGGAGGGATGCCCGCTGGACCGCCTGGTTCCGAGGGGTTCGTGCCTGGTGGGCCTCCGGGTATGAATGATCGGAGGTAGACTTTTGTTTTTTTTTTTTTTTTCTTTTCTTCGTTTTTCGCTGTTCACTATGGAGGTTAGCAATAAAATGATACATGACTTTAAATTCTAGTATAAAACTTAAGTAATAGAGAGGGGATGGAGCTATGCTATACACTAAGACAGAAACTAGTCCTTATAGCAGAGTAAAGTCATCATTCAAACGTTTCTTGTATTCATAATCAATTGTTCTACCACTAAATATAGTCTATGTCTAGTCTTGCAGTCTTATTCATCAAGTTCAACGCTGAAATTACGTTGTATGTATGTATGTAGGTATCATCAAATGAGTGGTATATGCCTTGCAAAACAGATACAAAGAAGGGCTTCGCTTCATCAACTAGCATGCTGATAATCCCCTCGAAAAAAAAAAAAAATAGAAATAAACACTAATTACGCATGAGGGGTGGTTTTTCATAACGGTCATACAAATCGTTGCCCATCCTTCCCTATTTTCCCGAGGGAATAAAGGGCGGGACAGTGAGGAGTTCAGGTCGGCAGAGTGAGGTGTGGTAGAGAGAGATAAAAGAAGAAGAAAGAAAAAAGAAGATAAGGAGAAGAAAATCTAATAGTCATCATCGTAGGTCTTTTTGATGCTGCCCGGGCTGTTCGACATCAACGGACGGGGGCCCGTCGGCTTGCGGGTGGGCGAATACCGCGGTGAGGTACGCATGCCTGCGGAACTCTACATAATTAGCAACAAGACAGAAAAGAAAAAGTAAAACGAAAGAAAGGCCATACCCTAGAGGCAATAGAGGCGGCACGGTCCGCATAGCTACGGTCACCGTCGACGGACTGGCCCTTGGTTGAGCGTTCCGGAAAGAGCGGGCCGTCATCCTTGATCTTGGGAGGTCTCGGGGGAGCCGACGAGTGCGACTGGCGGCCCGAACGAGAGGTGGCATCGGAATAGCCTGCGTCGGAGATTGGGGAGAGACGTGCGCCGGTCCCGCCGCCGCCGCTGTACCGATTGTGGTGTTGGTACTGCTGAGGCAAGCTGGTGTTGGATCCCCACTGCTCGGAATGCGGGGAAATAGGCGAGTAGTCCTGTGCCTGGGACTCGAGCTGCGTCTGGTACCGTCCGGACGGGCCTTGTCGGGGCTGCGGGTGCTGCAGGTCCAGGCTGTCGCGGTGGGCGCGGTACTTGGGTGCGTCGGACAGCTGGGATGGCACGAGCGGGGAGGGAGGGCGATTCTCCTGCTGGTCGTCGACGGTATGGTTTGAGCGCAGCCGGTCATCGCCCTGCGGATCATAAAAGTCTGTCGCCTTGTACTGAGCGAGGTCGGAGCCGGAGCGCGACGCGTCAAACGAGGCTCGTTCCTTGCGACCAACCTGGTGCTGCTGGGCCGGCAGCGGCTGGAAACTCTGGCGGACAGTGTCGCCGGTCGACGAGGCCGTCGTGCGGGACCAGCGCGAGATCTTGGGGAAGAACGACGAGCTGCTCGATTTGTGCTTGCGGGCCTTGTCGGTGGTGGTGGCGGTGGTTTGAGGAGTCGTGTCGTTGCTCAACGCACCGCTAACCATGGGCACCCGCGGCGGAGTAGCGACGAGGGGCTGGTACTGCGGCATGGGCTGCTGTTCCCTCTGTTGCAGGTGAGGGCTCAGAAACTCGCCCCGTGCATCGAGGTCTAGGTCCTCGTCGGCCTCGGGCACGGTGCTCACGCGAGCAGCCTCCGTGTCCTTTCGTAGAGCAGCCCCACGAGGCTCGTAGATGGGACGTGACGAGTTGGACAGATAGCCGGATTGGTTGCCGGGGGAAGAAGTGCCGGCCTGACCCTCCGGCTCGTAGCCATCCTGGTCAACGCTGTTGGCCCGTTCGCCACGAGCCATGCCAAGATGATGGCTCTGGGTGGCGCGCAGGGCCTCGACCTCCTCGAGCAGCTGCTCCAGCATCTCCTCAATCTTGTTGATATCGTTGGACGACTTGAGAGTCAGCCCCTTGAGAGCCCGCTTGAAGATGTTCTTGCGCTTCTCGCGATCGTCGGCGGGCATCTGACGGTTGTTGTTGGAGGATCGCGATACGCTGAACGGCTGCGGGCGAGGGCCGCCGACCACCTTCTGCGTTCGTTCGTGCTGCTTGTCGCTCGCATCCATGAGCAATTCATCCTGCTGGGCGATGAACTTCTTCATCTCCTCGAACGAATTGCGCATCTCCGCCGCACTCCGTACCAGTGTCACCAGGATCTCAGTATCTCTTGCGTTCCGTTGAGCGTCACGGACAGTAAGCTAGAGGATTAGTAACCGTCAGAGAGGAAAAAAATGTGGGGGGGGGGGTTTCAAGATTGACTTACATGCTCCATGAGCGCGATGATATCCTGAGACTGAATCCGTTCAATACCCCTTCCAGTTGCACTATCGTACAATGGCGACGCAATGCCATGGGAGTAGCCACTCAGGTTCCTCTGATGTGAGGGCATAAAGGGATCATCCGCACCAGTCGGACTATCAAACAGGGCCACCGGGTTAGGGCCTGCATCCATGCCCTTCCCAGTAGGCTTGGGGGTGCTGATGCTGGGAGACAGCGGGTTGGCGGCGGAGACGTAGCCTTCATCCTTGGCTCCCAAGGGGGTACCGTACATGCGTCCGCTCATGTAGGGATCAGCAGGAGACTGCCCAAAGTAGTCTTTGGATTGCCCATATGCGTCTGCAGGGGCGGTGTGATAGTATTCTGGCGAGTAGTCCATGTGGTCACCCGCAGCAGCTCCCGCAGCGGCACCTGCAGCAGCAGCAGCAGCAGCAGCAGCAGCATCGGACAGGACTGCATGGTCTGCTTTGATAGGAGACGGATCGTTATACGACCAGTGATCATGACTCTCGTGTGGCATACTGCCAATCGGACCTTGGATGATGGAAGGATTGGTGTTGATCTCCGATTCAGAAGCTAGACTGTCTTCATATTCTTCCACCTCTTGATTCGGGCTCTCCGTTTCTTCACGATCATGAACGCCGGAGGAAATCATCGCCGTTGGATCGAGTCCCTCCTGGTCATCGAACGATTGCGCCACACTTTGAGGTGGAGAAGTCGCACCCATCCGACGGGGGAAGGACGTTTCGTCCAGGTGTGAGACATCCGAGACATCCTGGCGTTGCTTCAGTGGACTACCGCGCCGTGAGTCCACGGGCTCCCGAGCCAAGAGCGGGGTCCCCGTGGCCCTCGGGCTATTGCGATCACCTGAGTCCAGATTAGAGCGGTTGCCAGACTGCATGGACTTGTTGGAATCGAGCACAGATGGGTCAAGGATGGAAGCGACCGCCGATTCTACGGCCAGCGGGTGCACAAACTGCGGGTTTGCGTTCATCACGTCCGCCACTCGTTGAGCCTGTTGCGCCTTGGCCATGTAGTCAACTTCACTCTCATCTACCTTGGGGTCCAAGCTTGACTCCCCGATAAGGGAGCGGCGGTGGTAGTCATCTTCCTCTTCTGTATCTAGGTCCGAGTCCTCGTAGCCGAGTTCGGGACCAGTTTCATCGTGGTGTCTCAGGATGCCACTTCGACTCTCCAGACTGAGCTTCTCCGCTCGAATGGATCTCGCCAGATCGGTGCTCGGGGCAGACGAGAGGGAATCAATAGACAGCCGCGGCTCGAGCTCTCGTTCATGGACTGCGTGAGGATTTGTTTCGGTGCGGTCGCTGGCCACGCTCTGGACCGGGCTGAAGGCTCGTTCGTCCATCCCACCGGCCGTGTGGTCACCCATGTCATCGATCTCTTCATCATCATCATCATCATCGTGATGATGGTCCAGATGTCCACCTAGCAGGTTGGCCGCCGCGGCTGCGGCAATCTCATCGGCACCCAGGTTCTCTTCACTGCCTTGCCGGAAATCGCGGTGGGACCCACTGTGGATGGACAGGTTATGGCTCGACATATTGTTGTGACGGATACCCAGTTCGTACCGAGAATCCAGCGGGGTGCGAGTCGGGGTGCGGGAGGCGGGCGACAGAACTCGTAGGGGTTGGATAGGGGCAACATCGCGGTACTGGGGAAGCTCCTCTTCGTCGTCTTCATCCGCATCTTCCGCCGTATTTTGGGAAAGGATGGAGTCTCGTGTCATGTCGGATTCGATGGCACTTCGGAACGGCATAGGGGCGACATTGTGCTTCTCAAATACTAGCTCGGTCTCATTGATGCCGACGCCGCCGCCGCCGCCGCCGCTGCCACGATCGCTGCGTTGTCGGCGGCGACCACTACTGGCAGTGCTGCTGGCCAGACTGGATCTGGAGTCGTGATGTTTCAGGGCGGCCGCGGTCAGGGCTGAGCCCACACGGGCGGCGGCCTCTGCATCCCGCAGGCCCTTGCTCCTCTGTCGGCGGAGCTTGTCTTGCTCGGAAAGTTCGGGCTTGTTGGACCAGGTGACGAAGGCGGCCTTCTTACTGGATGTGACAGAGGAGGGGGCGAGTTCCGAGGCGTGATCAATCTTCTTGATGGAATCATTGGTCTCACCGTCGAGCGCGATGCCCTCGTCTTTGCTTCCCTTGTTCAGGACTAGCTTTGGCTTCATGACGTTCGGGGCACTGGCGTGTTTGGAGAGACGGCGACCCAGCTCATCGCGGGAGGTGGTGCTGGCGGAGGCTGATGAGGCGATCTCCCGCTCAAACTTGGAGGTGTTGGACATGACCTTCTGATCTTTCTTGAGCTCCTTGAGCTCGGGGAGAATCAGCCTCCGGATGGCGTCCTCGACGGTCTCCAGCAGTTTGGGATTATTGATGGAGGACTTGGAGGCGCCAGAACGGACGGAATACTGGTCGCCCAGAGAACGGTGGTTGGAGGAGACAGCGGAGCCGCTCAGCAGGCTGGACTCCGCGCTGGTGAGGTCCTCAGCGCCGCCACGAGGGCGCCGCCTGGCGACGTAGGAGGAGGAAGATTTCGGGCCGTCGACGTCCAGCAGGTCCGTGCGACTGGCAAGACTCCTCTCCGAAGAGCGCTGGTGCTTGCCCGCCCCCATCTCGTTGGGGGAATAGCTAAGCTTCTCGGCGACGCGGTGGGCGATCCGTTCGGTACTCAGGCTGCGGCTACGCTGGCGGGACGGGGTCTTGAGTAGGTCCTTGGACGATTCCTCACGTTCTATGCTCTGGCTGCGTTTGCGTCGAAGAAAGGAGGACGAGGCGGCATCCAGCATGCTATCCGCGGGCATAGACGAGATGTCCGAGGTGGCGGGGACGTAGCGCGAGGAGAGCTCGCTCGTGTGGTCCCGGTTGAGGAACTCGATCTCTACAGGATGGTGACCATCTTCGCCGGCGGAATTGGAGGAGCTGATACTCTGGTCGTCAGTGGCGCCCGTATCGGCACGGTTCTTGTGCTTAGATGGCGAACCGAGCGAAATGCGTCGGGTGAAGGCGGGCTTGCGGCCACTGCTGGACTCGGTGATCTGGATGCGGTCCTTCTTGTCACGCAGCTTCCTCGCCGACGACGGGGTGACGCGCACACGAACGCTGGGCCGCGAGCTGATCGAGGTAGAACCTTTCCCTCCTTCGAAGTACTCGATCAGGAGGGAGGTCTGCGAGTGGTGCGATGAGCGAGACAGCTTGGCGGGATCGTCCCGGTCCCGGTGTTTGCGTCGGGTCGGGATGGTGACTGGGGTCCCGTCGTCAGGGATCGAGTACGTGGACTTGTCTGTGCGGCGAGAAAGGTCAGTTGCGAGATCAGTGCCTGTCACGCTGCCGCCAGTGGTGGTGGTGGTGGTGGTGGTGATAGTTGTATCGACGAGCGACTCTGTGGGGGCAGGCAACATCGGTCTGCGAGTCTCGACCCCCATCGTGGACGAAGCGCGGCGAATTTTTTTTTTTCTCAGCCAGCCAGGAGCATTTCTCTGCCGGAGGAGCGTCTCAGAGATGACCTTCTCGCGATGGAAAACGATAGGGCAGTGCAGTCTTGGGAGGGGGGGGGGGTGTATTTATTGGGCGTTGAAGCGGGTTTGGTTTCAACACCGCCGGTGAGGGGGAGGGAGGACTGTGTGGGATAGCAGTGCAAAGTGAGAAAGTGTCCAGCGTACCAACGCAGAGGTTGTCAACACAACGATAAAACCAGTGAAACGGATTTCCCAGAAAGTAGCAGTCGAAGGGCCCAGGAGATGGATTGTATGGCTGGTTGTTGTTGTTTCGTGCTCCCAGAAAAACAAAACGAGGGTCCTCTCACTCACGACTGATAAGCCCCAGCACCGCAAGAATCGAAGTCGACAGGCCGGAAAAAACCACAGGAGAATATTGGCTCGTGTGCAAGGGACCAGCGGTTGCTGCAGGGCAAAAAGAAAGCAAAAATAATAAAGGAACAGAAGACAAGAAGGACGAGAGACACCACGGCCGCAGTGCAGGGAAGAAGAGGAGAAAATAAGAAGGCTGGACAGCGAGGAAAGAAGAGCTTCAGCCGCCCAACGCTTAGCGGCCACCGACAGCGGCTTCTTCCCCCCCAGCCATCGACCTTTTGCTGCTAACCAACTAGTAGTAACTACTCCGTACCGCACCAAGGGTTTTCGTGTGTGATTGCTGTTCGTGAGGATGGCCCACTGGGGATAATCGGCCAGCAGATCTATCACAAAGTTCCCAATGCAAGGTGGCAGGCTGCCGATCGATCGCCACGGGAGTTGGAGTACCTACGTGGGAGAGAGAGCCCAAAGAAAGACACTGTATCAGAGGATTCGGGAGTTGGATTGAAATAAGATGGGCTGGATGGAGGGTATGTATGCACTGTACTACTACAAGGTACGGACGGAGAATTCGTGCTGTGAGGCTTGAGCAAGGATTCGTTGCTGACGAAGGACGGTCTAGGGACAAGGATTCACGACAATGGACCTGTCGAGTACCTGAACGAATAATACGGACAAGTGAGGATAGTGAATAGGCTGTTAGTTATGGACAGTGAGGTATCATAATAGCTACCCTACCTGGGTAGTGTTACCGTCGACATTTGACAACGATTCAACTGGATATTATCCCCAGTTCAGGTCCCGCTGCGTCGCCAGGACGACATCTGTTGACGGCGTCGATTGGCCTGTGTGCCCACACCTGCCAGCTCATCACACTCACTCGGACAAATACGAGCGTGTCACGGCAAATCTGAGAGAGAGGGATGCCTGAGGTGTCACTGGCATTGAGCGGATCTTCTTCTGAGCAGGACAGGGCAGAGCAGAATTATGGAGAATCACGTCACTCAATGAACACTGAGTACGGAGTAGTATATAGTATGTAGTAAGTGAATTACTACAAGACTACCTCGATTGTCTAGAGTAGCACTAGATCAAGGTCGAATTTGAATGAAGAGGTCCATTGTTCAAATAACTATTGACTCTCGAATCGCTTCACTTCGCATCAGAAGGTTCGGACTGGGGATTTTTATATCGCTGCCTGTCTCACTTCGTCTGCTCCACCAGAACGAGTTAGTTATGGGAACTTCTGCCATCTGGAACGACTTCAAAGGAGCGAACAGCCGACGATCCACCACTTACAAGGTACCACTGCCAGTTGGTCCGGCCCAGTGGCCATTCCCCCCTCCCCCCCCCTCCCCTCAACCGTGGCTCGTCACGGTCCAGTCTGCGTTTCAAAAAGTCGATCTGTGTCCCCGTCGGGGGGCTGTGCACCTAGAAATTCAGGTCTGGAACTTTGGGCGGCGTCTGCCTCCGCGGGCATCCATCGTGAGGGTACGCCGTACTCCGTACCTGGTGGTGGCACTGTGGCAGCCCGCCTGCCTGGATCAACAGGTCTCATAACGTCACGCACATGTCGTACTTGCCTATACTTAGACCCTCCCCAAAGGTTAACTCTGCAACACTGCGGTCATGATGATTCCACCTGGGCGCCCGCAAACGGCCGGAGTTGCGCGGTCTGCAGCTGTCAGGAACAAGGTCTGATCCACCACCGTCGTAATCCGCTGCGTAGAAGAACCGCCCGTGGCCGCTTGCAGACTCAGTACAAAGAACATCGTAGCAGAACCTTGGACGATGGAGTAACCGGCCTGTCTTTTTTTCCTATTAGTTCTTAGTTATTGGCGTCTAGGGAAGAACCAGTTAGGTTTTTTTTTTTTTCTCCCTTCCTGCGCGCCTATTATTACTATACCTCAGTTATTTGCCTGCCATCAGACTCCAATCCCCTCCCCCTGTGGCTCTCTCCCGCCCCTCTCCATTCCTCGCCTCCTGGACGTCCGATCAGCCACACCTTTTTTCTCTCTCCTGGATTATCCATCTCTCTCTCGCTCTCTCTCGCGCTGCTCATCAGTGACAGATCGTCTCGTCTGTCTGTCTCTCCGTCTCTCATTACCACGTCACTTTCCTCTCGTTTTCGCCCGACTCCAACAAGCTACACTGCCGTGTCGCCTCTTCCGCTCGCTCTCCACCCCCGACCGACCGAGTCTCCTCGAACCTCGAACCTCGAATCCCTCAGCTCTCCCTCGCACCGTTCCGTCTATCGTGATATCTTCGTGTTCGCCTCTTCATCGGATCCCTTGAGTCGTTCGCCTCGGGCAGATTTGCAACATTCGGGTGGCCGGTTCTCTCAAATGACAGATTCAATGACGACCTGAACGTGCGACAAGTGAACAGGCACCCGTTAATTCTTCGGTATTCTTCGATCGACTGATCGCTTTCATATCGACAAATTATATATTTTTGGCCCTTTTCTTTTCTTTTTTTTTCCATCGATTGTCTCACTTCACCGGATCGGCCGTACTCTGGAGTACCGTCCTGTACCTTTACCACCACCATGGCCGTCATGCGATTAATATCCCTTTTGACCTGTCTACTCGTTGTGTGCCTGTCGCCGCTGGCGGCGGCCACGAAACTCATCGAGTCCAAATCGTTGAACCTGTGCATGGACAGTACCAATTTCACCGCTACCTACTTCAGCGTCACCTTCACACCGAACAACGACTCGTTGTCGTTCAGCTTCGACGGCGTCTCGGCCATCTCCGGGAATGTGACCGCCGAGCTGATTTTGACCGCCTATGGCTACCAGGTGATTAAGAAGACGCTGGACCCCTGTGAAATGGACCTGACGGGTCTCTGCCCGATGAACGCCGGCCAGATCGATGTGACGAACGCCGTCCTCGATGTCCCGTCCTCGGTGACCAAGGAGATCCCCAGCATCGCCTACACCGTGCCCGATCTCGACGCCTCCGTGCGCATCTACATCAACTCGTCCGACACGGGCGAGAGCATCGCCTGCGTCGAGGCCGATCTGTCCAACGGTAAGACCGTCTACCAGAAATCCGTCGCCTGGGTCACCGCCGTCATCGCCGGCTTGGGTCTGGCGGCGTCCGCCATCACGTCCGGCATGGGCCATTCCAACACCGCCGCACACGTCGCCGCCAACGCCTTGTCCCTCTTTGGCTTCATGCAGTCGCAGGCCATGATCGGCATGACCGCCATCCACATGCCGCCCATCGTCGAGTCTTGGACCCAGAACTTCCAGTGGAGCATGGGCATCATCCATGTCGATTTCATGCAGTCCATCTGCACCTGGTACCAGCGCGCCACCGGCGGCACCCCGTCCACCATCCTCTCCTCCCTCTCGACCACCTCCGTCGAGGTGCTGAAACGCCGCAAGCGGTCCTTTGAGCGCGCCATCGGCGAGGGCACCGTCCAAGTGGTCAAGCGCTACATCGACCGCCTGGCCACCCGCTCCGACAGCGGCACCGGCGTCGCCACCTCTGATAGCGTCGTCATCCGGGGCATCGAGCGCGTCAGCTTCCGCGCCTCGATCGAGGAGACCAACGCCTTCCTGACCGGCCTGATCTTCTTCGTCGTCTTCGTCGCCCTCGTCATCATCATCGTCGCCCTCGCCAAGGCCATCTGCGAAAGCCTCGCCAAGTCCGGCAAGCTCAAGGGGGACACCTTCCTCGACTTCCGGAACGGCTGGAAGATCGTGCTGCGCGGCATCCTCTTCCGCCTGACCCTCATCGGCTACCCGCAGATGTGCGTCCTCTGCCTGTGGGAACTCACCCGCCGCGACTCCGCCGCCGAGGTCGTCCTGGCCATCGTCATGTTCCTCTCCATGACGGGCGCCCTCACCTGGGCCTCCCTCAAGGTCATCCGCCTGGCCAACCGGTCCGTGGCCATGCACAAGAACCCGGCCTACATCCTCTACTCGGATCCCACCTGCCTGAACAAGTGGGGGTTCCTGTACGTGCAGTACCGCGCTACCGCCTACTACTTTGTCGTGCCCTTGCTGGGCTACATCCTGATCCGCGGGATGTTCATCGGCCTCAGCCAACAGGCGCCCGTCGTGCAGGCCGTGGCCCTCGTGGTCATCGAGGCCGGCATGCTCGTCGCCGTCAGCATCCTGCGCCCGTGGATGGACAAGAAGACCAACATCTACAACATCTCCATCGCCGCCGTCAACTTCATCAACGTCATCTTCCTCCTGGTCTTCTCGGGCGTCTTCAACCAGCCGGGTATCGTCACGGGCGTCATGGGTGTCGTCTTCTTCGTCTACAACGCCGTCTTCGCCCTCGTCCTGCTGGTCCTCGTGCTGATCGCCTCCATCTACGCCATCACCTCCAAGAACCCGGACACCCGCTACCAGCCCATGCGTGACGACCGCGGCTCCTTTATCAAGTCCCACGGTGGGCTGACCACGGAGCTCGACGCCCTGGGTGCCACCGCCCGCGGCGGGGACCTCAAGCCGAACCCCTTCGATGACGAGGACGGCGCCTCGTTCTCCAGTGGGAACGGCGCCAGCATCAACCGCTCCCACCACGACGCCGGCTCGCACAACATGAGCAACGCGTCCGTCCGTAACGCGCCCGTCTCCCCCGTGGATCCCTCCGTGCCCCTGTTCCCCAGCGACGCCTCGTCGCGGCGCGGGAACAACAACAACTCGCCGGCGGCGGGCTACGGCTACAACAGTGTCCCGGAGTATCAAGATTACTACGGGGGTCACTCACAGAGTGCCTCGCCCGCGCCGCGCGGGTACGACAACATGTCGGTGCGCACAGGGACGTCGCATTCATACAGAGCTCAAAACAACGCCAGTCCGTGGCAACGGGGAGCCGGTTATGAACATTAAACGATCTCTTCTTTTTTTTTTTTTTTTTTTTCTCTTTTTCCAAATCAACTTCATCTTTATTTAACTCTTGTTTTCTCTTTCATTACCCCGTTGCCGTTGGATGAAGGTACGGTCTATTATTTGCCCTGGGTATTCTTCTTCCTTTTTTTTTGACAACTGATATCTTTGATTCTCATGTTTGTAGTATGGGTTTGGGTAGGTCAAATCAAACATCGGGGCCCTCTGATCTTCTTGTGACATAAAAACCTCTGCCATCTGTCTCTTGTCTCACCTACCTCCCGTCCTTTTGGAAGGACCTCTTCATCACTTTTCCTTGTCATCACCACCATCACCACATCACCTGGCGTTCTAAAGCATGGAATTTAGAGCCGGTTCGCTCTGGCAGTATCTTGAATATCATCCCGCTGCATACCTTCTTTATAATGCTAGTCTCATGACTATACCGAGTAGTATACCTCCAGTGAGCATAATATAGACTAGAATGTTTTTTATAGCTTAAGCAGGCTTGTAGAAAAACGGTACATGGTGTTCCTACGATATAATATTGCCACGGCTGAACATACAAATGTAATATCTCATCTGGCCATGGCCAGACATACGCCATACGCCATAATCTATACTTAGGTGGGGTTAACCTTCCCCTCAACAGTCTATACTACATAAGTACACACTCTATACAGGAGAGACTTGGTTAACTATGCTCTAGACAATCATGGACCACACTGGGGAGGCTACAAGAATCCAAAACCTACAAGAATGTATTCACGCCGGACGTCCACCTCCCCGATCTGATATCCATCCACACCGTCCCGAAACTGGGCATCGGACAACGAGCATTCCTGTGTCGGTCAAGGCGGACAGATGAAAAGGGAAACACAGTCTCGGCCAATATCCTCTGGGACTGCATTACGTATCTCGACGAGGCGACCGTCGCGACTATTCGGGTGATTGAAGATACCCATGGGGCATTCGCCGGGCAGGATACGCGGGGAGACAGCAAGAGACGGGTTCTAGAGAGTGCAAAGATCATCGTCAAGGCGATGGGTTATCTGGACCATGCAGTTCATCCGGAGTGACCATTCTTGAGAGTTTTACCAAAAGTATAGTTACATCTCTGAAAACGCTCGCTGAACCACCTCTCCTATAGAGGTCCCCGCTGTAGCCAACCCACTGTAATCAAGCCCATCGCTGACCGGATATTTCCCCGGAAACGTTGAAGAGCTCCCGTATGCCTCTCCCTCGCCTGTAGCCATCGAGACATCCTTGCTGTCTTCTCTACCGAGTGAGCTGAACGCCGGTCTCGCTGGAATCAGATCCTTATAGTGTGCTAACATCGTGGCCTGCCCCATGGCCGCGCTGGTAGAGGCAGACCGCTGGTGGCCCGTCAAGGAATACGCCGACCCGCTGCTAGAGGGATACTGGAACACCAGCTGGCGTCGTACGGCGGTGGCAGCCTCTTCATCGATTGACCTGTTCGTAGTAGGGCAGCTAGACATGTCCGCCGACAAGGACGCACGGAGCGACATGTTCTCCAGCACGCTCGGTACGTGATTCCGCACCACCTGTCCCTGTCGGGTAGTGGTCTCTCGAAGCTGGAGACGGCCCGGTTGTCGCAGGGGTCCATCCGAGACATAGATTGCTGAGACCACTTCCGACGAGCCAGCCCCCATCCATTCAATAGCGGGAACCACCATCTCCGTTGGCAAGGAGCTGCAAGCATGCGATTGAGACCCGACCGTCACGGTCTGCCATATTTCCAGAATCCGTTGCTCCGTCCGGTCGATTGTTGCAGTCAATCTTCTACCTCTAGCACCCTGTCGAGTAGCCCAGACAGCCGTGATATGGAGGAGTTTCAGAAACAATAAATTGCCCACCAGCACCAAGGTCTGCTGTGCGCTGATGGCGAGGCGACGGTCCACAGCGCTGCTTCGTCTAGCGCTCATAGCGAATTAGCAATTGATCTGACACCAAGAAAGAGAAAAGACTCACCTCTGAGGAAATATTCCATCTTGTCTGGTCCGTTGGAAAGTGCACAAAGAGACAGGAACGACCGATATCAGTCGAATTGTACCGGAAAAGGAAGGAGATAAATACATCTCCCCACGTGGGGCGATCCTCGTCTGTCTTCCCACCTTAATCCGACAAGAGATAGACTCCCAACGTCAACCTTATTCATGTTTTCTGTCCACCCTCAAGCCCGGCTTTCTTTTGTTCGCACCATGTCGTCTCTCGATAGGTATCCCCTCCGGCAACGCAAGTTTGCGCCTCTCAATCCTGCTGTGAAAGAGTTGCCGAATGCACCGCGTCTGGCGGGGGTTGTGTTTGATGTGGACGGCACGCTGTGGTACGTCATAGTGCTATTCATTTGCAGCATGAAGCTTCTGAAGCGTCTAATTTCATTCACCTGCCACGAAGAAAAGGTCCCAAGGCTAATTCCTGACAGCTTACCGCAACATTACATGTTCTCCGAGATGCGGTAGGTGGGCTGGGTGTGCTGTTTATATAGCCTGTGTGTCAGTCCTTCTGATTTTCACGGGTTGCAGAGCGGCATTGGGAATCGACAAGTCAATCGATATCCTTCAGCATATTCGGGACCTCCCCACATCCCAGGAGCGTGAGGCAGCGGTTCAGAAGGTCCGGGATGTAGAACGAGAGGCGATGCTGAAGCAGGAACCGCAGCCCGGTCTCGTACGACTGATGGATTATCTGCAGTCGCGCAAACTGGAGCGAGCGCTCTGCACGCGCAACTTTGAGTATGCGAACCATGGATAAAAGAAAAAAAAAAAACAAAAAAACATGAAACCAAATATGGATTGTTTCAATACTGAGCCTTGGTTGACTACTGCAGGGCACCTGTCCAGCACCTTATCCGGAACCATCTACCAGGACACATCTTCCTCCCGATAATCACGCGGGATACGCCCAATGTACTCCCCAAGCCGGACCCGGCAGGGATACTCTATATTGCAGAAGAGTGGGGGCTCAAGAATAGGGCCGATAGCTTGATCATGGTGCATTGATGGAGTTCCTTTTTTCCCCGGTGTATCATTATTGACTCTTATCATAGGTTGGCGACAGTCTGGATGATATGACTGCCGGCCACACTGCCGGTGCCGCTACCGTCTTGCTCGCCAATGAGCGCAACGGCCATCTCAAGGAACACGAGCATACGGATCTCTGGATCGACCGTCTGGACGATCTAGTCGAGATTCTCGAGCGTGGGTTTGTTGGTAATGAGGTTGGAAAGAAGCCAGCATAGATAGTACCATATAGCAAGGTATAGTGTGTATAGCTCTACAATACTTTCAAGATAGGAAGCAAACCAAGCTGTTCATGAGATTCAAACATAGTCACTTCATGTACTTAGGTTTTAAAGTCTTATTGTACACGGTCATAATTCATCGAGGTTTTGCTTTTATGTTTCTCTTCTTCCTTTTCTTTTCTTCTTCTCCTCGCATCAATACCGGTATTTCTCCCATGCCTTCTTTGCAGCACTAGGCATGGGCCGGTAACCGTCTCCATTCCCACCGCCGCGTTTACCTCTCTGAGCCGATCCACCTCCACGACCACCTCTAGCCGGTCGGGAAGGCGGCGGCGGTTGCCAGCGATCCTTGCCTCGAGTTGATTGACCGCCGCCACGGACAGGCCGCGGATTAGGCGACAGAGAGCGCTGGCGAGTATGGTTGCCGAAGAACTCCTGCGGCTGGCGATCGCGGTAGGAGTCTTGCGGTGCGGGTGCGAGGTGTTTGCCTCTACCGATCCCGCTACTGATCCGGATGTTACTGTTGTTCCTGTTGTTGTTGTTGCCACCGCGCGGTGGGAACTGCTGCTGTTTGCGACGGTCTTGTTGATGTCGATTCCCTCCGCCGCCGCCGCCAATGACTAGATTGTCCTCGCTACCTGACGAAGCGGACCGTCGGTCTGTGGGATCCGCGCGGCCGCGGATTTTCATCCCGCGCCCAAAGCCGACGACGGAGTTGAGGTTTGTGATGGAGGTCGGATCGACGCCCTTGAGCGTCCACGAGGAGGAGAGGAGAGGTTTGGGCAGGGAGGGGCAGTCGCCGAGCAAGTGGCGGTTGCTCGTGCAATGCGAGCAGGAAACGGAGACCAGCACGGTATCCGGAGCAGCAGCAGCAGCGGCGGCAGTCACAGTGCGCTGCGGCAGCTTCCACATGAGATCGCAGTCGTGCTCGAGGTGCTCGGCCGATCCACACATGTCACAGGGGATTTCGCCCACGGGGGCCTTGAGCAAGGACTCACACTGCTCAACATCATGCCCCCGCGCGCGACATCGCTGGCATCTGCGCCATTGGGGGCAGAAGATGTCCTGGTGGTGGTTCCACGCACCGCAATGGACGCACTGGATTGGTTAGTACGTATTATTTTGCATTTAAACTGGACTTCGGTGTCTTCGGCACACATACCTCTTTGGAAGGACACACTTGGGCAAGGTGGCCCTCCTGGAAGCACTCGGTGCAGGCTACGGGGAGCCGGAGATCGATCTCGTTGATATTGCGATCGTAGAAGAAGAGCCTGGCGACCGTTTCCAGGTCGTCGCGCTCCAAATCGGAGAGCTCCACGGGTGCCACGGGGTAGCATTTCGAGAACATATCAAAGGCCTCCTTTTTAGACGGTCCCGCTCCATCTTTCACGCTCATTATCCGCGCCGTAGGGGTTGCTTCGGCATCATCGGCAGGGTTGTTGTCATCGTCTGTTATTGGGCGGGAGCCCAGATTCAGCATGATAGAGTCGTCGCCCTCTTCTTCCTCGGAGATCTCGCCAGAGTCTGAATCATCCGAGTCGTCAGAGAGATGCATTCGTTCGGACAAGTCCGGACTGTCGCTCTTCTCTGTGCCCCCTGGGTTGACCTTGGGCACCGCCTCGAACGGCGAGCTCGACCTGGAATCCGCTGCTGGCGCTGCTTTGGCGACCCGGCCGCCCAGTGTTATCCTTATTCCACGCTTGCTCCCCTTATTCCAGTTGATAGCCGGGGCGCTGCCGCCGACCGACGGTTTGGGTTGTTCAGGTGTGTCCGGGTCGTCTGAGCCGGAGCTGGACGTGTCGTCGTCTTCCGGCGCCTCCACGTCCAATATCGCAGCGGTAGAGCTGAAACTCGCGCCTTGGGGCACAAAATCCCTCACGTCTGAGCCCTGTTTGTTCCGCCGGCGCCTGCGACTCCGGTTGCTCTCCTGTGAACTGCGTCGCGATGAGGTCGCCGAGCCCGTCTTCGCGCGGGCGCGCTGCACACCGACCGACGCGGTGCGTGAATCTTGATCATCGCCTGGAGAGTCGGGCATTTTGCCGTCAACGCACACTTAAGCTCGTCCACAGTCCGCCAACGGGTGTTTCAGAGACTGGACAGTGTATTCGAACCGGTCGCTGCGATTCACGGGGGGGGGGATTTTCTGCTCGCCTGCAAAATTTACGGGCGGCATCAAGAACCAGAAGCGCTGTTCCAGGTATTTCCTTCACCTTTTCCTTCCTGTTTCTCCTCTATATTTTTGCGTCTCCCCTGCTCTCTGGCTTGAAAACGACTAGACTTTCCTCTATTCAGCAATGTGGGCTGGCGTAATACCTCGTAGCGTGTACTATTTATATTCAGCAGCTGTCCAGACTCCAGAGTCCAGACTCGTTAGCGACCCTTTAAGTGTATAGTACGGAGTATAGCCCCTTGACCAGCTGTACCACATCTTCCGGTCTCTTCAGTCTCTCACGCTCTCTTCAATTCTCGTCCAGAACAAACGCAAGAGCTGGAAGAAGCCTTCCTCTGCTTCTCCCCCTTTCAGCCCGCGTTGAACAGCTCTGCTCCCCCTCGGCACGTGCCGCAACGTATCCTTAGCAGTGTCCATTAGCACAGCCTGAGATTCCCACCAGATCCTCCTCTTCTTCTCCCCCCCCCTCTCAAATCGATTTTCTGCAGCAAGTCTCCCACCGTTTGGCGCTCCCTTTCTTCTCAACCGACCTATTTTTTGTCTCTCGCTATCTATAGACCTGTGTTATCCCCCCCCCCTTTTGCCACCTTCGTCTGTGTCCCAGACTCTCTGGCCCGTCCCCCGGTTCGGCTCCCGTGACCGAAGCCGACTACTGCCTGAAGAAAACCTCCAGACCCGGCCGCCTTTGAACTGTGGTCTTTCGACAAGCTCTTCGACCGCTCCTATCCCTTAGATTTTCCCAATTAGGTTTCCCACCGTGTCGGACAATACCGCCAAAGTGTCTTCCCTGCTGGTTCCGCGCGCCATCTCCTTCCCGCCGGAGGTTGACACGGGGTCACAGTCTCACCGGCTGTCCCCAAACTCCAGAATGGCCCAGAGCAAGGCCGGCAGGAGGCGGCGGTCGAGCAGTATTATCTACCAGGAGCCTCCGGAGTCGATCGAGCGGACAAGCGACCAGGCGGCCCTGCCCAATCTGAACGCCAACTGGGTCAATGCCAAGGGTGAGTGGTGTGAAGAAGAAAACAAGAAGCAGTCAAGCGGGGAGGGGCCCAAAAGATAGAACCGTGTCTGATTGATGTGTGAATAATAGGTGCCTGGACCATCCATTTCGTTTTAATCGGCTGCCTCAAGATCTTCTACGACATCATCCCTGGCGTTTCACAGGAGACCTCCTGGACTCTCACCAACATCAGCTACATGTTCGGCTCCTTCATCATGTTCCACTGGGTGCGGGGTATCCCATTCGAGTTCAACGCGGGCGCCTACGACAACCTCAATATGTGGGAACAGATTGACAATGGGGACCAGTATACGCCGGCCAAGAAGTTCCTGCTTTGCGTCCCCATCGTCTTGTTCCTCCTCAGCACCCACTACACCCACTACGACCTGACATACTTCACCATCAACTTCCTCGCCACGTTAGGCGTGGTTATTCCGAAGCTTCCTTTTGTACGTGATTCCTTGCTCCTGTTGCTTCTATCATCGCTTCCTGCTTGCTGACTCGTACAGTCTCACCGTCTGCGGATAGGACTCTTCTCCGACGAACCGGACGATTTATAATTCTCTCTCTCTCTCTCTCTCTTATTTGTAATCCATTTGGGTCTCTCCTACTGGCTTTTCCTCCCCCTCCCCCTTTTTCTTCTTTTTTCTTTGTTCAGCTTTCATCTTTTTCTCAACTGGGTTCACCTCTCCTTACTGGAATTGCGGCTATACAATGGAGCAAGTCGGTCGGTCCCTCATCCATTTCTTCTTCTCATTTTTAGGAAGGAAAAGCAAGTCGGCCGGAGGGCTGGATGGGTGGCAAGGTTTAGTGGGCTTTATTCCGTGACTCTGTCTGCATACTAGGGTATACAATGTCATCAAGCTTTAATTAGACATCATTTTCCACGCCGCTATATCTCGGCCATGGATTCAAGGGAGAATCTTCACCTGTAGCTAAAGGCGTTGATAATCATATATATAAGCAAGGAAATCATTCGGCAATAGTTAAGAGGCTCCTTACGGATGATGTCCTCTATACTCATCTCTACAACGACACTGCTATTTTGTTATTTCCAACAACTTCCCCCCAATAGGACCAATTCTATTACTACAACGCCTAGTGTATTTCTCAAAATAGAATCTCCGAAACAAAGACAATTGCTGTATTTTTGCATCCTGGCCACTACGATAAGCGAGCACGTGGTTCTCTATCGATAAGATCATAAGCATCGCGACAGGGTCGCGTCTTGGACTTCTTTGTTCGTTCGACCACCCCTCCTTCTCTGCGTCCTCAAGACGGAAGTCTTCTACAGTTCTTCGTCTGGTACAGCTCACACAACTCCTGTGGCCATGGGCAGCCACAGCGAGGTAGATGGACCTCTATACCGGCCAGCAAAGCCCATGCCCTTTGAACTAGTGCAGCACTGTGGGATCTATCTAGAGGAGAAGCTTTGTCGGTGTTCCCATTATTAAAAGGGGAAAAAAAAGACTCCGAGACTGACCGATTCTGACTGACTTTATCCTTTTCAATAATCAGATACCCAAGCCCTCAACCTCCTGACGCATATTCTGACCTCCGGCACTGTTGCGGGCAGTCCTGCCTTTGTGCCTACACCTGCCCTGCTGGCGGTGGCGGCCACGCTCGTTGTCTACCCGGGAACCACGAACCGGGCAAAGACTGCAGAAGAGAAAGAAGCAGCCAGCGCGGCGTTACGGCTCCTTCGGCTTACGAATACTTTAGTCGGGCCCCTTGCGGCTCGGTTCGACGCGGCTTTTTCCTTTACGCACTTCGAGACCTCGCGACAGGGCGCACGACGGCGGCAAGGGAACCAGGGGGCACGTCACAATGATGGGGACCATATGGAAACCCACAGAGAACACGGGATGCCGTTGAATTTCCACCTTGGCCAGTCGGGTTCTCTGTGGTCTCGTGCAGAGGACTTCTGGCATGCGGTGGGATGGGCATTCAACTGCTCCATCTTGCACCTGGACCGATGGGAGCGGTGGCGTCTCTGGCTACAGTTTATCTGTGAGGCACTTGAAGATGACTGGAGCGAACGCGTTAGACAGTCGGACGGGCAAGGGGACGAGGAGGAGACCGGCCAAGACGACGGCAATGCTAAAGACCAGCTATTGAGAGATAGTCTCATTTTCCGGTATCTTCTGTCCGAGAGTGGAGGCTATGGACGCAACCGCCGCATCATGAGAGCGATCTTCGCCAACGGAAGCCCGAGTGCGGTTGGCGAGTTCCGGCAGATTTTCAATAACGAACAGAAAGACCTCAAACCCGACAAAGACAATCACAAGAAGCGTGAGGGGGGGGTCAACATCGACCAGGACGAATATGGGGACTACATTACCCATGACGAGGCCGAGTCCGATGAAACCGAAGAGTCTGTCGCCCCCAGGCCGCGGACTAACAACCGACCGAAACGTGCGAGACGGGCCACGAAAGCTGCCGGCGCACAAAACACGGACCCGACTCACTCCTCCGACACAACGACGACGACGACGACGGCAGCTTCGATTGTGCACTCCGGGCTCTCTCTACTAGGCGGCTACGAGTCGTTGGTGCTGCGCCAGCGGCTCCTCCACCTACTGTCGACCGTGTCGGAGCGGTTCCCGAAGGAATTCGTCCCACTGGATGACCTGTACCATATGTTCGTCGAGAACATCCGGCATCAACCGTTTCCCATCTTCCAGGCGTTCGTCACCCCCGCCGTGCTACCCTACTTTTCGCCCGCGGCGCAGACCACGCTCTGCGAGTTTCTCCTCTTCCGCATGCGCGAGAGCTCCGCCCCCGACACAGACGAAGAATACCTCAGCCAGACGAAGCTGGAGGAATGCTTCCTCCCCTTCGCGGCCAACTCGCCCAGCATCGTCGAGAACGCCAAGGTGTCCGTCACCCTCGAATCGCTGCTGGTATTACTTGCCGAGAGCGAGATGCTGGACATCACGCCCTCCCTCCGCTCTGCAGTGCAGGCCGGGATCGTCGCACGCGCCGACAAGGCGCAGCTCGAGGTGCGCAAGAGCCACACAGATCGCCTGCTCGAGGATACCGAGTGGTGCTGGCTGCTTGAAAGTGGGGAGCGGCTGAACTTCTTGGTCGATGTGGCTCTCTTGCGAAGGAGAGAAACGTTGGGAGATCTTCCCGAACTACCTGATGCAGAATAATGCTTTCTGCATTCGTAGGAACCTGTCATGATGCTCATCCAGCAGCTATAATGACTTCGAGATGACTCAAAAACTCACATAGCACTTAACTAGTTATTCATGTCACGATAGTTTTAATGTATGATAATGATATATGCTACAGGATCGCATAATTTTATTTTTTCAATGCTCTGTCTATTCGAAATAGACTAGGGAATCAATAAAGTACCTAGGTAGCTAAGGTAAAGTAGACTGAAGAATGGGGAGTAGGCATATGAAACCGAATGGCAAATGCACGAGCGATGAATCAGGAAACAGGGCCAGCGAGTTTACGGAGGAGGCCGTGGCCCGATAATCTGTCGCCGGGCACCTCCAACGCCTAGACCAGGCCCGCCGCGGTTCTGGCTGTCACCACCCAGATAGCCGTACTGGTGGACGTCCCAGGCGCCCTGGCCGGGGGCTGTGCCCATCGAGCCGTCACGGAGGCCCTGGGCGGCCGCTTCGCTCGTCTGCTTCTGGTTCTCCTCCCATTCGCGCTGGCGCTCGCGCTCGCGCTCCATCTCGCGTTCCAGCAGGGACTTGGAGGCCCATCCGCCGGCTTGCGTCTTTTGCTGGGAGGCGATTCGGCGGCTGTTCTCTGCATCAATCTCCGCGGTGGACGAGTAGTCGGCCGGCCGGTGGCTGGTGACTGGGGCAGCCACGGGGGCCGGGTTGGAATCCAGGAACCGGTCAACACGATTCTTGTTGGCGTAGGCGGCCGGGTCGGGCAGCGGCCGGGATGAGCTGGAAGGGCCCATGTTGGCAGCCGGGGTGGGCTCGGGCAGGGGGCGCGGTGGCTTCGGAGGGGGACTCGATGTAGCGGTAGGCTCAGGAAGCGGACGGGGAGGTTTTGGCGGCGGAGCAGATCCCTCTTCCTCCAGACGGTGCTTCTGCCATTCCCCGCGAAGCAATTGACGTTCCTTCTCGAGTGATGAGAGGTCGTAGCTGGGCTTGGGAGGCACGGGTTGGGGCCGGGAGGTTGCGGGTTCCCGGCTCTGGGGGGAATCATCTTGATCTTCAGTCTGAACCCGCCCTTGTTCGTACTGGCGCTCGCGTTCTTTCGCGAGCTCCAGTTCGCGCTCCAGTTCCTTGATGCGGCGACTCTCAGCAGACTCGCTGGGAGACGCCCCGCCCTGGGTGGCCTGGTACTGGCTCAGGAATTGGCCGTTGAGGCGCGAGTCGCTGAGGCCCTTGCGACTCTGTCTTTCCCTCTCCATGCGGTCTTCGACGGCCTTCTCTTCGGCGGCCCGGCGCTGTTCGTCTTCCTCCCACTTGCGCTTCTCTTCGTCCCATCGTCTCCTCTCTGCTTCGGCTTCGCGACGCTCTTGCTCTCGCTGGCGAGATGTCTCCTCGTCCCACTTGCGCTGCTCTTCTTCCCGAGCCCGTTGCTCTTCCGCCTCGCGTTCTAATTGCTGCCGGCGGTTCTTTTCTTCCGCTTCCTGCTGCTGCTGGCGAAGTTGCTCCTCTTCCTCACGCCTGCGTTTCTCCTTCTCTGCCAAGCTCGGCACGGCAGGAGACGAGGCGGTGATCTGGCGGCGCGCACCGAAAGCGATTCCCTGGGTACCCTGGCTCGCACCGCCCATATAACCATACTGGTGGATATTCCACGCGGGCATAGTTTCATGCTCATCAGACCTTTTACTCCAGCTACTGATCGCGGGTTTAGGTGATCTGCCAGGACTTGGCCGGCCCGAAACGCTAGAATTCGACTCGCTTGCCGTGCTCACCACCCGGTTGCCGGTTGTGGGATACGCGCCCGAGCTAGATCCCGTCAAGTGAGGGCTGATAACACCACCCTTGCTCTTTGCGCCGAGAGAGCGAGGAAACTTGCTGGGCTGGAGCACATTGGCACGTCTGCTGAACGCAGAGACACATTGTAAGACCTGGGCGGGGTCCTTGGACTCGTAGAGATCCACCGTCAGGAAGACATCGTGCGGCGGTAAACTGATAGGCGGCATCTGGCAGGCTCGGAGGAAATGGGAGATGTTCTCCATCTGGACGAACGGCATTGAGGACTGTTTGTACTTGACCCCGGGGGAGACAGCCAGATTCACAAGCCTGCAATTCCACCACACACCCAGTCAGAACATCTCTTTCCACACATAGATATGGTTCCGGTCAGACATACCTGCAGAGAGCAACACCATCTTTCAACGCATCCAGTAGATCGCCGGCTGGCAGCTTCTCATGAAGCACCTCTTCAATCCACTCGCGGATCTCGGCGGCTGCCTGGGGTGTATACCGCGACAGGCGCATATTGCGCAGATCTTTGTCCAGCGACGACACAGACGCCATGGCTCAATAAACCACAATTCGCAAGCAGCGTAAGATGCACTTCAACTCAAGAAGATCGTCGTGGTGGTGAGAAATACCCCGCGTAAATAAATAACGTGGTGGTGGCGCGACCCCCTCAACAGAGAGCAAGCAGCACCGATACCTGCTAACAATTCAGGGAAACAGGAGATACTTCACCGTAGAAATCCCACACGCCCAAATTTAAAAACAGAAACAGAAAGGGGGGAGTGTGGTGTGTGTTCAGGAGAGGGGAGGAATGCGACTAGTTAACTTGGGCGTCAGTCAGTCACTTTCTCGCCCTGCGCCTCGCTCTCCACCCGCTGATGACGTCCTGTGGCTTTCTTGAATCTTCTCCCCCTTGCCGGACTTGTTTCTTCAGCCCTCTTTGCTGCCCGTCGACCTTCCACCCCCCGAACAAAACAGAAGAACGCAGTAGGAGCTGATCTCTGGTGTTGTTGTTCTGGAACCAAATGAGTCCGGTGAATAGCCTGTGGTTCAAGTGGAAAAGCCTTCGATTGCCGTGGCGAAAATCCTTCCTGGTTGGTAAGAGGAGGCTAGGCTGCCGTTTGGAGAATGTGATGGGAGGCTCACCCTCGCATGTACAGGCTCGGATCTCGCAGGAAACACATTCTGGGAGTTCAAAGATGCGCTGAACAGTCATCGGTTCCGACGCATCGTCAAGTTCGACCCCAAAACGCACTACGGGGACGTCAAGGTTTCCCGTGAGTTGGGCACTCCTAATTGTTTTTGTCTCGTCCTAGTGATAGTTACGGTTTGTGCTGATATTTTGTTTCCCCCTCTGGGGCGGTGGTGTAATAGCTCAGTGGCATCAATGGCTTCGATACGTTCGCAGAGACCCCCCGTCGATTGAGGAGCAGCAGCAGGATGTGCTCCGGCAGATACAGCTCAAGGAACTGGCTCGGTTAGCTGACGAACGGTGGGCGAGCAAGCCGTCCTTCCTCGATAAACCGCAAACGCCCCAGCCCACGCTGGCCACACGAGCTAGCGATGATACGTCGAGTCAGCTCCAGAAACAGCGGCCTGAAGAAGAGGCCTCGATAGCGAAGAACTTGGCCGATGGTCCGGTAAACGCCAAGGGCAAGAAATCCGTCGATAAAGACCCGTGGGCAGCTCGCCAGGGAGGCCCGAGCGAGAAATGGCAGCCAGAGGCATGGGTTCCTACCACAGGTCGAAAATGAATGGCCGTCGGCTCATTCACGGTCGGCTCTGTTGCGGTACTACCGGGCAGAAATCTGTTCGAGATGCTCGCATGATATTTCTTATATGGAAAGGATTCTCCTGGTGTCGGCTCTAAAGGCCATGCCATGACCTTGACCAGGGAGAACTGGTTTCGAATCGTCACACACCGAATATCTCGGGAAACACCACTGTATACTACTATCCGTGCTATGATCTACTGATATAACGTTCTTTCAGTATGAGCAGTTTCATTCCTTGTTCCTTTCCCGAGAAGACAATCTCGGAGATGTCGTATCTCGCTATAGTCATGGTTATAACAACGGGGATTAAAAGCCATTCGCCACATGGTGGAGATATAAGATATAGAATCTTCTCCCTGTTCAACCCTGCCACAAGTCATATTAATATATATATATGAATCATATGACGAAACTCTTTGAGACCTCACTCCATGTCAATTGCCAACTGCCAGGAGCACATCACTTCTTTGATATCCGTAACTAATCAGCAATGGTCTCCTCCCAACCGATTCTACAGGCCGAATCTAGACCTTACGGCTTCAAATCTCGATTGTTTGCCAACGCCAGGGATAATCCACACTTCCAAACCATGGCGTCCCTTGGAGTTCCACGGGACTGACAATAACAGCCACTAATACCTACCACTGAATAATCAGCTAGCCAGACAATACCTCTCTTCGCCCTCTCCGCTCTCTACCCTGTCTGTATGTAGTATTTGACTGATCCTGTAGGATCCTTCGCCCCGCACGAAACAAGGCAGATTGCTGTCATGCAGACCTTGGCCAATAACGACAAATTCATTTGAATCCTCAAGGTCCTTAACTGGAAGGGATGCACAGCCCCTGCGTCATTGACAGGTAAGCCACCTGCTCAGGGGGGGGGGGGCAGAATTGGTCATCATAAAGCATTCTACCATTTGGGATTGAATATCCTATCACCATCAATGATGAAGTAGATATATACAAGTACCTGGGAAGATTTCCGAGCCATACCTTGAGAGGCCTCCTCCAAAGAGAAGACTAGAACATTTGTTCTTGGGAATGCTAGGATCTAGACAGCTGAATATAAATAATTAAAGACAAGTCCAGTAGATAGCTTAGCAGGCGAAAGAAAACCAAAAGAACAAACCAGGATATATACAATCATCAATCGTCAAATCGCCTCACTTCAGGCTATTCTACTGGAGATGCTAAAGAGGAACAGGTAGCGGTGCTCTTTCGCCTGACCTTGTCAACCATGGCGGCGAGATAGCTATTGATAGCCTCGTCCCGGCACTGCGTGTGGCAGAACAGGGCGTTCTGCAGACTGAACGTTTCCTTGCGCAGGAAGTCGACGTTTAAGAGGAGTTCCTGATTTCGCGCCTGTTGTCTCACAAACTCCGTCTCCAGTTCCTGCGCCTGCTCTTTTTTCTTCTGGCGACACTTCCTCGCGGCGGAACGGTTGGCCGCACGGCACTTTTGCCTTTTCACCTTCGTCGGTAGACCGCTGTCGTCGCCGTCACCCTCGTCCTCAACGTAGTCTTCAGAGCCGATAGATCGTCTTTGCAGCCTCTGGCCAGGAGTCTTTTGTGTATAAGGTAAGATTTTCCGCTGATAGGGCCGACGGTGGTGGCTGTTATTACTACTATTGTTGTTGCTGTTGGCATTGTTGCTGTTGTTGGTATTGCTGTTGCTGCAACATGCTGTGTTAGAGGGTGCTTGAATGTAGACACTACTGTCTACCCCCGGAGAATAGTAACCATGATGACTGTCTTGCTTGGACGAGGCAGAAGAAGGCGAGCTGTATGGAGGCCCGTCAAAAGAGGGTCTGGCCCAGATGAGCGGGGTGGTTGCCAGCTCTCTAGAACGGGGGTCGACCGTAAAGCTCTGAGAGGTATCAAACGCAGGCCAGGCGCCCCAGGGGTGCGGAGCAGTCATGCAAGAACGGACATCGAGATCTTGCCGAGACCAGACAGAGGTGCGGTCAACGTAAGGATGGTAGGGATTGTGTATCCCGTTGTAGGCGTTGCAGGAGATGGGTGAATCTAGAGAAAGAGCAAAGCTGTTCATGACGTCTGAGGAGCACAAGAGGCAGAAGGAAAGAAGCCCAATTCCACGAAAGAAGCTACGTAGGTGGGAGAGTCGACCTCCCTATAACCGAGAAGAAACAGGATAGCACCCCCGGCCTCGAGCCGGCCTCGTAATCGTTCATGGCTAGGGTTCACGCATCAATCCCTTGGCCCATATTTAAGGACAAACAAAGCGACCTTCGTCAGCGCCGACCACTTAGAAGACCATGGACTGTGAGCTTTCTGACTACAACTAGCCATACGCGATACACCTTGGTCTGTGGGGAAGTTTTAAGAAGCAGATCCCTCCTTCGAATAAGAAGCAAGAGATGCAAGGCAGTTTATATGGATAGTCCTTCCGACAAATCATATCCGGCGATGACAGTAAAGATTCCTGCAAGCCTCCCGGTCTAGAACGGTGATAACAACGTCTCGATGAAGCGATCTGACCCGATCATAGGTCTGAGCACACGCGATCGAGCAAGAAAAAAAGCCAACCGGCGTTTTAGGTCGTAGTATAGATCCGGATGAGAAGACCGCACATGACTACTGATAGCCATCCCGATCGGCGGTACTCCGTACCTAAGAATGACCCGCACGGGAACATACCTGGTAAACAGATCTGGATATCCCGTTTTGTTCTTCGCACTCTGCAGGTTCACGGCGAGGCTGCTGGTATCATTGCCTGGCCTCCCCCCAATACATATCAGCACCTTGCACCTTGGCAACTCAAATCCTCGTACGGATAATGTGTCTGCATCCGCGTGGCCAATAAAGGAATTCTCCTGGGGCAAGACGAGTCTCAAACCTGATTACCTAGCATCCTCTTTCGGTCTATATACTCCGTTTGGACAGGGGAGTAGATCCAATAAAAGAATCTGATAGCGAGGTCGGGAAAGAGGTAGGAAGTAGATTCCGCGCCTTCACATAGGCTTACCAATGGCCTAGAGGCGTTGATCTGGGCATTTGGTACGAACAGCGTTGAAACGCCATACGTCAAAGGCCAACCCCACACAGGATGAAACCCCTCACCACGGTGTCGATCGTAAGTGTCAGACGGAATCCAGGTATACGTCAGCTCATCTTGACTGCACGTTCGGGATCTGCACAGGGGGACAGCACGGAGCATTGGTTACTTAACTAGTATATGTGACTTATTTGAATAGCCCTCCGCTGCGAAATCCATTCAGACCTACCCAACGTACGGAGTACTCCGTTCCTCCGTTCTATCCGACGCCACGTGCCTCCATGCAGCCGATCCAGATGTTGTTTCTTGAGGCCTGGTCTGGGCATCACTCGGTGGGAAAGCTCAAAAAAAAAAAAACGTTTGGATCGCAAAGAGAGAGTAGATGGCAGCCGGTACCCAGGTCTTTCAGGAGGTGGATGGCCGTGACGAAATGCAATATTGTGTGCTCAGACTGAGGAATCAGTCCAACTATCCGACATTCCCTGGTAACCAGCGGTATCCTCAGCCCTGCCAGGTGGTGTTGACTCTTGATTCTTGGGTGTTGTGCAAACCCCGAGGAGAAGGGAAGGGAAGGGACCTGAGGAGGGCTGTCACGTGGTGGTCTGCCCATGCCTGATCCAGGCAGGCAAACAGAACAGTACCTACTACCTCCTACTACCAGGTACTCTCTTGTTCTCGTTCGCTATGAACCGAATGGCCATGAGGCAAGGAAAGATATATTTATCGATCTTTGAGCAGAAAACTGCCTTCCCTAAACCTTCTTCGCCTACGCTCAGCTCACTGGTTGGCATTGATAGATAAGCTGTTTGCCCTGCTCAGCAACAGAACCCTTTCCCAGACGATCTGCCTCCTTCTCCTTTACTTGCAGGCGTGTATTGCACAAATGTCACTCAACAACTGACCGCCACCGTGCCAAAACAGGTTGATAGGGATCTTCTCTTCGGGAGAGACGACAAAACGTCCACTCTGCTCCGCTTCGCATCACGTATCATCTACTTGTCTATGAAATACCTGCTGTAAAATGCCGATCCGTGTCCCGATTATCAGGATTTCGTCATGGGTCTTGCGAAGCTTCTTCTCTCTGGATCGACAGACATGTCGTCACTGACGGTACCGATCAGGAACCCAGACGAGGCCTTGGTTTGGTGGCTTGGAGGCTGGAGCAACGGCTTGTCCACAGCGGGGATATATGTAGTAGTGACATGGGATATCATTATAACTTTATACCCGAAGATAATTGAGCTCAAATTCTCAAGTATTAATGATAAAGCGTACAGCGTATGTATTAAAATCTGTATACAAAACATGAAGAGCAGTCTGACATAGGTATAGTTAATATATTAGGTATTGATAAGCTAAGGGATGGGCTCTAACCGTCTAGACCTAGTGGCGTCTATTTCCTTCAACACGACCTGATATCAAAAAGAAAAAAAAAAAGAAAAAAAAGAAAAGAGAATGAAAATAAACCAAAAGAGCCGTCTCCATGGACCAACGCTTTCCTTCCTGAAAGAGACACCTGCAACACCTGGAGGCCAAACAACAGACAAAAAAGCCAAAGAGAAAGAAAAGCAAACCAACCAAACAATCAGGAGAGTGGGAATCAATGAGGAGAATGTACAATGAGTCAAGGGTGCATTAAATGTAAATCTTTTAGCAAAGCACAGCTTCTAGGGCCTCCACATCACCGCCGGCGTTCCGGACGGCGTTCAGTGCGGCCTCGCTGAGTTTGCGTCGTCTTTCCTTAGCCTCTTGCTCTCGCCGCGCCTTGGTCTTCGAGCTGCCACTCGGGGCGACTCCTGTCAGGATCTTCTTGCTATCATGGGCGGTGAAGTTGACAAACGAGACGGAGACCGCTTTATTGGCGCCCCTGGGGCTTCCGGATGGCCCTTTCACAGGCTTGGGCCCGCTGTTCGACTGCGCCGACAGCTTGCGGCTATGTGTCCGGCGGTGGTTCATCTTCATGTGGACGCTGTGTCCATTGGGTGACGTACTGCTCCGGGGAGAGGTGGAAGGTTGTCGTGAGGTGTGATGCGTCAGAGGGGTTGCGAATGGATTCGAGCTAGAGAACTTGTGATGCACGGCCGCCATCTGATCAAAGGAGCGGCCATCGGGGTTGGATGGAGTTGAATGTAGCGGAGTCGACGCAAAGGTCGAGTCGGGTGCGCTCGGCAGGTCAAAAGAGGGGTCGAACTGAATCATGAGCCCCCCTTGCAGCAGATCGTTCTGATGGGGGACGGCCTGGACAGGCCGTTGGGGCGTGGGGGATGCCGCCATCGATTGGTAGGGAGTCGGACGTTGTGTGACACGGGAAGACATGGGAGACCACCACGCCTGCGCATCGTGGCTGTGGAGATCGGCAGTGGTGAAAGGCAAACTCGAAGCCCCAAGGGCATCGGAATGCCATGAGGAGAGCGACGGATCCGAGGAATGCGAAGAGGGGAAGATCTCATCGGCAGAAGGTGGGCTGGAGGGAACCAAGGCAGAAGGATTAGCATGCCCTAAATACCTCTTCTGCTGCTGCCGTGCCAGAGCCCCGGCGGAGGGAGATGGCATCTCGACGGCAGGGGATGACATGAAGAGGGACGAATCGTATTGCGAGTTCAGGTCGGTATGTTGGCTGTCAGAAGGGTGGATATTGTTCTCTAGGGTCATCTGCGCAGCGTTGTCACTAGCAAGGTTCTCATGCTGGACGAGGATGTCAGACGGCGGTGGTGATAGAGGTAGATGCTCATCCGAGCTACGCAGGTTGAAGTTCTGAAACCGCTGCGCCCAAGCTTCAGGGTAAGCCATTCTACTCTGGTTTAGCTTCGAGGAGCGAATCAGGCTGGGAGAGAAACTCTGCTTCCGCAAGAGACCACGGCGATCATTCAGGTCGCGATGGCGGATGGTCTTGGGAGTCACAAGAGCACTCTTGGATACTCTCCGGCTGCTGGGGGTAGCCGGAGGAGTGGAGGGCGAAGTGGAAAACGGACGAGTGAAACTTTCCGTAGGAGGCTGAGAAGGTGCTTCAAGGCTGCTAAGGCTGATGTCTGAGATTGCGGCAGGGTGGATGGTTTCATGCAAGGAGAAGTTCCGCTGCTCGTCAGACAAGCCGGTCTCTTCCTGAAGACACCAGACAGCGCCTGTACGCCACGGCTGTGGTGACTGGACCTGGCGTTTGGGTGTGGAGACAAGGGGAGAAAGATCGCCACAGTCGGTTGACAGCGAGTCCAAGGCGAAGAGCTGTTCAAAATCGCCGGGAAACGAGAGATCTTTGTTTCCGTCAACCGCTGAAGAGTCCATATTGACGTACTGGTTAAATAAATCGTTGAACGAATGATCGAATGGTTGGGCGAACATCGTGATGGCTTTCCTTTCCGTTTGCGGCCGTCCGCGGCTAATATAGAGAGAGCGAAGAGTAGACCAAAGACCGGGAGAGGAGGGGCCCTCTGTAATCGATATGATTGGCGATAGGGCCTGATTTTGCGAGCACCTCGATCTCAAGAGACGAGAGGGAGTTTCTGGGTCGAGTGGATACGGAGAGAGTGTCCCGTCGATCCGGAATGGAGTATACACTGGATTTGAGGGATTGCTGTGTATGCACTGTTTGACTGTTTGTCAATCAAGTAAAACAATGCAGATGATGCAAAGAAAGCAAAGTAAACAAACAGATAGATGGCTGTATTTGAATGCTCTTGAGCAATCACCAGCCTCTGGGATTTCCACTCACATTCCTCATGCTCTAAAGATGGCAACGGAATGTGAAGCTGGGATGTTGGCCTACTTGACTGGCCCACTGCTGGCTTGTCATCCAATGAATCAACACCTTTGCCCAAGCCTCAACATGGCCAATCGAGCGGCTGAGTGACTCGAGGTGGCTGTCAGACCCTCCCTCCTCCAGTCTTTCGCCTGGGAGTCGTGAGCACTTGGTCCTGACTGGCCATCCGGTGGAATGCAACCTGGGCTACCCAGAGAGGCCAGCGGGTCTGGAAGTTGGGTGAAGTAGACCAATGGCAGAATGGCAGTTCGTGCTTGACTGTGGCTTCGACAGGCTAAGGCCGCCCAACGCCGCCTGGGGAACCTTGGAACCCCCCTTCTCCAGCGGATGGTCAAGAATACCCATACGATCTGATCTCAAGTGTATGCGTCATGACACTGCTAGTGTCAACCTCGGCAGACTCTAGGTAGGATCCTCCCCATCAATCAGCGAAACAAAGTTATTCTGGGTTAGCTAGGATCTGCAGTTCATGAACTCCAGTTCGTCTTTTCTGATCTCCCTAGTGGCCCATCTGGAATGTACCCCGGAATGCTAAGGCTGGGGGGGGGGGAATGCTACCGCCCACCACAGCAATGCTCTGATTGAACATTGACCTTTTGATCTGCTCTGATAAGTCTTTCCTCTGGACTCAATAAGTTTAGGATCTGCAGTTTGCCGAGCTGTCGACTGTCAGCTCACATTGCTGATGTATAGTGTACATTATAGTAGGATGTGAAATATGTCTTCATGGGGGACTTGCTGCATGCAAACATGGCCATGGCCCCAGGTACCATGCAGGGCACAGCGTGCTAGGGCCATCTCAAATGAGGCTTCTATTCGTGCGATGAACTTTCAAGGTTTGCCAGGGATGCATGGAAGGTGGTTTCTTTGTTCTCTGACCGATATGTAGCCGGCTCAAGACCTTGAATGAACCAATGATAAATGACACACATACCTCTTTTAACACCGGCGAGGCTGTGGCCATCGAGGTTTTGTTTCGTATAGGAGATCATGTTCTTTGACAGGAGATACGGGCAAACCTTCATCAGTAGCATCCTGGCAATGCTTACTAAATTTATCTCAACCAAAGGACTCTACCCCTGTGTTTTGGCAGTACTCCGTACTCAATTAGCAAATCGAAAAAGGCCTGAGACTGATCAGATCGTCTTTGAAGGGGAATGAGTAGTGGTAGCGGTAGCAGGCGCCGTGACATGCAAGCTGCAAGGGCCATCTTGCTTCCAGAAGTTATACGCATGGAAATTTCCAGAAGGCTGCGAGGCGTTTCCATTCAAATGTTCTAGTATCGAGAACAGTGATTCTAGTCTTCTCGTCAATCACCTGTGCAGAGAGAATCCTAGAGCAAGGCGCAGTAGAACTGTAGGCCAACTCCTATTCTTAGCAAGGTCAACAAAGGAAGAGAGCGCCTTCGCCCAGGATCTTCCATCTATTCCTGGATAAAGAATCGACAACCATGCCACAGTCGAAAAGTAGTCAATAGCCTTATCTTGTCTGTCTGTTGGTAGGCTTCTCTCTCCCCGGGCATTGCACTTGACCTCACACCACGACTGTCAGCTCTGGATGATTAGTAGTGTGTATACTCGCTGTCAGCGCCCAGAAGAATCTGTAGAGGCATGTCGTCACCGTCGAAATCCACTGTGCAGTCTTCATTTCGCATTGTTTGTTTATGCTGGATATCTTCATCACGGCTCCTTCCTGTTGTTTTGGTCCAGGACTCGGTCCTTCCTTCCCAGTCAAGGTCGGCACGGAACAACATGGTCCGAAGCGAGGGGCTAGCTGGGTCTCAAAGTAGCATAGTGCATGAGAGACCTTGCCCTAACTAAGTTAGTCATCCTCATACCGCGGTTGCATTCGGATTTCGGAGGCTTTTCGAGTGGCCCGCCTGGCCGAAAGTCACGGGACCCCTTCTGCCCCCGAAACAGGCGATGACGAAAAACTCCAGGCAGGGCTGCGTTCTTGCTAGAGCCTTCCACCCTCGTTGGAGAACAACGCTCCTCAAGTTGGTCTCCTGATCCGCATAGGACACGAGACTGTTGCATCACTTTGTCAAGGGGATTATATCATACCTCTGAAGCACTCTTGTTTGGAAGTGCCGGCTTTTTTCTTCTCATCACGATTCTTTTCTCCTCCCTCTTTGCCGCTTTAACCCCCCCCTCATCTCCACTACCCCCACGTCCTCGGTCATCCCTCTCTCGAGGGCATCTGCGAGATCAACATCGCTGCTCAGAGTCTCAGACCAGGCTGCAGACGATAAATCCGGCAGTGGCCGCATCATCTGTTCGAACGCTTACGTGTCCGGTCTTTCGCGTCGTACAACGCGTGCTGACACTATAAGAGCGCGAGTCACACGCATCTCAGAACTACAGTTTCTATTCCAACCGACCACTTTCGCCCTAAGGAGCCACCTATATGCATCACAAAGGCAGTGCACGTTTCGGAAAGACTGTTGAAATCGGACTATTGCCACATTACTCGGCAAAGAGCTGCTGCTGCGGAACCTGCCAGTGTATGGGCGACGAACCCAAGTCGAAGATTTCCTACGATATCCTGCAGAAAACTCGCACTATGGCTCTTAACCGCGGTCTGATCGGGAAGACCCCCGTCTGCTTTCCCTAAGTGGACTGTGTTTCACGACTACGCTTTCACAATGGACCTTTTTCTTCTTTGTCTTGGAGGCCTTGACGCCAGTCACTATTATCAACCTAAATACCGCTCCCGTACGGGATTCAGCAGTGGAAAACACACCTGCTGCAACTCTTTGTTAAATTGACTCTCGGTCTAAATCAGTACTTGAGAAAAAATAGAAACACCCTTCCGCCGGGTGGACGAGTGACCCGCTGTTGCCTTGCACTTTGGCCCTGATATTACGAAAGTTCCCACCAAATATAGGCCTCATACAAGCACGCGCTTGCAAACGCCACAATGATTGGTAACCACAGTGTCAAGAGAGACTCCTGGGAGTCACTATCTTCTGCCTTTTCCCACCTCGAGGTGTCCATCTCTCAGGACAGCTGCTATGGGTCCGATGACATCTCCGTCCTATCCGCCATACCCCCTACCTCTGTGACATCTGGCGAGATTCCTTCGCTCGACTACCGTCCCGGACCCCCGCTGCGCACTGCGCTCAAATCCATCTTGAAAAAGCCCTGTACGACGGTCGACGATGATTCCGACTTTGAATCAGGCTATGGATCAGAACTATCTGACAGTGAAGATGATATGGAGATTGTAAATGAAGGTACGTTTCACTCTAAACGAATTTTTGAGGTCCTCTAGGCATGTCAGCTAACTTTGCATCCAGATGACATCACTGATGAAGAAGATGATGAAGAAGATGAAGATGAAGAAGAAGATGACGATGATGACGATGGCGATCACGATTCCTATCATGACTCGGTCTGGGACGATGATGCCCCCGAATTGACAGAAGCTGGGCGAGGAAGTGATCTGTTCGATGATTCGTTTATCTGTTTTGAATCGATGGTTCGTTTTAACACGACCATCGAATACATCGATGCCGTCGACCCTCCCGACGAGGATGGAGGGTCTGATTCTCAGATCACCCTCCACGAGATGATGGAGCTGGCGCAGACCTTGAATGGCTCGCCCGGCCCGCTCGACGAGTTTGCGGTATCGCATTTCGCCGCTGATGGCGCGCACGCGGGCCACGAGGCCGCCTACCAGGCCATGCTCGACAGTCTCTCCGACCACGCGCGTGACGAGATCGATCTCGACCGGCGGCTCTTTGCCGCCTACGTGAACGGCATCAACGGCATTGCTGATTACGGCCAGCGGGCGCATCTGCACGCGCACGTCGCCGACCTACAGCGGGGTCGGGTCAAGTCTCCCTTCCTGGAGACCGACACGACGGTCGGGATCTACCTCGACCAGGTGCTGAACCATGTCATCGGGACGTTTCGGCACCTGGTGACGAGGCAGGAATTTGACGAGCTCCTGCAGCTGACTGGCGGCTGCCAAGCGCAAGCGCAAGCGCAAGGTCAGGCTCCGGCCTCGGACTGGAAGGAGGGCAGCGCGGGGCTCGCCCCCAAGAGATCGCTGCTTGGCAAGATTGAGCAGCTTCTTAGAGAACGGCTAGCGGGTGGGCTTGTGGAGGTGGGCGGGGACGAGATGGGATTCTTTGCAGGGGGGGTTGCCTACGCGCTGGAAGACCGCCATTACACATGGAGCGAATAAAAGTGATTATGTTATTATGAATTACGAAGTTGGCAGAATCCATTGAACTCATCACGAATTAGTTATAGTAATATGTACTAGTCGTGTAGTACAGAGTGTAAGTACATACTGTAGACTGTGGACTGGACTGAGTACTCCGTACTGTGTATCTGTAAAAGGAATCAATAGTACTACAGTAAATACTAGTCGATGCCCTCGGTAGATCAAGCATGACAAATTCCTGGACGGAGTATGTCTTGTGCGAGTCTGCGAGATCTACATGCGCTAGAGCCGAGTTGACGTACTCAGAGTACGGAGTAGTGGAAGGCTCAGGAGCAACTCTGTAGTATTGTATGTAATGATAGGTAAGAAGCATGGTTAATGATACTACCAGTTTTTATCAATTGTCTTCAGATTCTGTATAGAGATGCATGGTGTTCTTCATTAATAGTATGTTAGTATTGTTATCTATTTTCACCAGTTGGTGCCTAGATCCAAAGCGGTAAAAGTCGACAGAAAAGAAGAATAAACACTCATGCTCCCTTCTATCTCTCGATCTTATACCCGTATTCTCACAAATAACAGCTTGATATTACTATCTTCTGTCTTGATGTCATGACTATCTACCTTTCTTACTTGCCATCTAATGACTCTCGAACTTGTTGAGCTAGAAAGGTGACGAGGAACGCAGGCTAGGTACCTAGTAAGGTACACCTAGGTGTCGGTACACTATGCTTCAAACGACGACATGATTACACACAATATCTGACCTTGATGAAGGAGACATCCAATTTAATCAAGTAGACATATGGACTGTCATCTCTGTATCTGGTCGCGGAATATTAAAGACGCTTACTATAAGAATAGGTTATAGAGTACTAGGTACTCTGTATAATGCCAGGTCCTTCTATCGTATAGACCTTGCTCGTGGTAGAGGTGAATACTCCGCCCGTACCTGGTGTGGAGTATTTCAGTAGCCTCGGCAGTGAATAATAATAGAACACAATAATAATACAATGGTATTATTATTAAGAGATATTAGTATATGTACTATAGCCTCCTGGCACGGGGTATACGGAGTACGAAGCAGCTGAACAGGGATAAATCCTTGCAAACACTGGATGTTTTGCCTCTGCGACTGACTATCTAGCTGTTACCTACCTACTAGGTACCTAGTAGGTACCTAGGTAACTACTACCTAAGTACCTACCTAGTATTACTAGGTATTACTAGGTATTACTAGGTACCTAGGTACTACTTAATGATAGGTAAGTGTAGAACCAAAGTAAGTAGGACAGATGTATGGAGTAGACCGAGTCAAAAACTTAGGTACCTTAGTACCTGGTAACTAGGTGGTACCTAGTAGTTAACTACCTGGTAGATAGTGTTCTGCAACTGTAGGTATGGTAATATCAGGTACCGTACAATCTATAATACGGCCACGAGGACGATCAACACGATGAGCAGCGTAGGCCAATTATACGGAGGACCCGTAGAAGCAAGTATCTGTATCTGTACAATAGCTTAGGTACGGAGTACCTCGTAGTAATGTTCTTATAGAGGTACCTGATAAAGGTACCCAGTAATAGTTGTGTGGTAGTAACTATGTAGGAGAGATCTGGTTTGCTATGTAGAACAGATTAATTAATGCTGATCGATCTGATCCGTATTCAAGCTTAGCATCGATCGATATCCATCTCTTCAATACTACACTCGCTAACTCAATACTCTAGTCTCCTATTCCCCCTGAACCAGAAACGCCACCAGTGTTAAACTTTGGGACGGTCGTCGAACCAGTGGGAGGTGCGGAATAAGCCTGGGACGAGGTTATCCCTGAGTGACCCGTGGATCAGACCATTGAGTCAATATTATGAAGTAGATAGGAAATACTGGTAGAGAACAAAGAATATGAAAGATGAAAGAATTGATAAAAAGAATTAATAAGGTATTCGTCTCTCGTACTCTGTATACTAGAATAAAACCGTACATCGTTTCTACTCCATAATCCATCTCTGATCGTGGGCCGGCTGAAGACGCTATGATTATCGCCTCCGACAGACTCCACCTCTTCTCCTGAACCCATGGATGACCTCCAGGTCTGAATCTTCAGTCCAGCTTCTGCTTCTGATTCATCCATCTTGATCTCATTCTTTATTTGATTATTGGTTTTGTTGATTTGATTCCATTTTCTGAGCTTCTCTATCCCGTCGCTGGACAACATGTCCAACAATGAATGACTCCTAGGTACTGCTTGCTGCATATGTAGTACTCCGCTTCTTTATCCTCCTACTCGATCATAATTCTGTCAAAATAATACTGACAAGGCTATGCTGGACGACAGAATGAATGACAGTGCCTCGGTGGCCTCACTTCCTCTATTCATCTCGCTCTTTCACTCCATACCTGTCGCCTTCCTTAACCACTCACTTCCTTAACCACCACTATCCTTAATCATAATCACCACTCTGAATCCAGAAAGAAAAAAAAAACAAAAACAAAAACAAAAACAAAAACGATCATAAAATGCAGAGCGAAGGGCTTCCAGCCCCGGGCCCTCGCTCGCGCAGTGCCAGTCTGTCGAGCGACTCGCAGCTGCCCCGGGCCAAACTGCTGTCGCCGCCGCCGGTGATCCCCTCGCCCGCTTTTATCGCTCCCTCCGCCGCCTCGCAGATCCTCACCACCGAACTCGAACTCGACCTCGATCCCGCTCTGTTGCCCGCCGACGAGGCCGACTATGCCTCCGCCGAGGGCGCGCTCGTCAGCGCGCCCGCCCTGGCGTCGCTCAACGCCTTCCTCGACCACCTCCTCTTCAATATCCTGGCTGTCGCCCGCTCCACCCAGCTGACTTGTATACGCCCCGCCGTGGCAGAGGTCCTGAAACCACGCTTCGCCAAAGAGATCGTCGCCGCCGCCGACGAGGAGCTGGGCGAGTACATGGGTGGCGCCGAGGACGAGGAGCTCGACTTCCGGGGCGGCCAGGACCCTGGCGGCGAGTTCGATCTCATCCGCTCGTGGAAGCTGACCCGTCTGCGCTGCATGGTCTACACCCGTCTCGGTGACATGGAGGAGGACGACGAGGATGACTTCATCGTCCAGGAGGGCCTCGATGCCCCCGCCCACAGTGGTCCTCGTCGCTTCGCCAGCCATGTCGGCAACATCACCCCGGCCGCCGCCATCTTCCTCACCTCCATCATCGAACATATTGGCGAGCAGGCCCTGGTCTTGGCCGGGGAGACTGCCTGCTTGCGTGTCTCCAGGGCTGGTGCCGCCGCTGCCACTGCCGCCGCCTCTCCCTCCTCGGAGCGTGCCGCCCGACTCGTCGTCGAAGAGTCTGATATGGAGAAACTCGCCTTGAATCCCACCCTCGGCCGCCTCTGGCGTACCTGGCGGAAACGCGTCCGCGCCCCAACCATCTCCCGCGCCATTTCCAGGGAATTCATCCGTCTCCGCGGCCATTCCTATTCTCTCTCCACCTCCAGTCAGGATCCCCCCGTGCCTGCTCTCGTCTCCCCTGAACCCATCGCCCTGCCGGAGTCCGAGCATGACAGCCAGGAGACCGAGACTCCAGACGATTCGTCTGTAGTCGACCCGGGCTCCATCCCCCTGCCAGAGTCCGAACACGACGTACAGGAAATCGAGATTCCAGGATTCTCGGTCGACCCTGATGTGGAGAGTGATGGCGAGGGCGAGAGCGCAATCGTCGAAATGGTCACCATGCAGGCCGTCGTGGCGCACAAGGTGCGTCCGCGCAGTCTGATGGTCTTCTCGTCCGTTCCGTCTTCTCCTCAATCTACCTGCTCATCAGGCTCCTCCTCCTCCTCCTTGTCCACCTCGCCGACTGCTATCCGCACGCCGAAACCCGTCCGTCATGCCCGCTCGAGGTCCCTGCCCAGCTCTCCGCGGACCCTCGTCCCCGGGTCGCCTATCGTGGCGACAGAGACCCGTCGGGTTATGCCTCGCTCTCCGTCTGATGAACAGAGACCGCTCGAAACCATGTACGAGAATGATGAGCAGTCCGTGAAGCAACTGAGCGATACCCCTGATCTCAACGACAGGGAGACGGTGGATAAAGAGGAAGAAGAAGAAGAGGAAGAAGCAGGAGAACGATCAACTTTTTTGATAGACGATGAGGAAACAGCAGAGCAGCAGGAACCCTCCTCGTCTGCTGTACCGGACCATGTCGAGAATCCTGAACGTTCCCGCTCCCCACCCTTGAGTTATGGTCGGGAGGAGCAGGAGTCCGAGGTCATCGAGGGTCAAGGAATGGCAGAGAGACCAAGATTCATTGCCTCCGTCCCTCGGCCACCTAAAAGGAAACCGAGCAGGGACATCAGTACCACGCAAAAGGAGTTAAGATCGGCCAGTCCGTCGATCGCACCACAGCTGACTGGTACGACGGTGACCAGTCCGATTCCTCAGCCCCTGACGCAAGGAGCAGTAGAGCAATTATCTGTCGAGCAAGTATCCGTCGAGCAAGTATCTGTCGAGCAATTGACTGCTGAAGACGAGTCTATTGCCTCCACACAGAGACAAAGTGCTTCACCATCGGCGGCGTACGACAATGGCCTTGACAAAGATTTGCATCATCAATCCACCCTATCTGTCACGGAAACCGTCTCGTCGAAGCGCGACTCGGAATCAGCAGATAGCATCGGCGCCCCGCCTTCCATCTCCGATGCAAGTGATCGATCCTTCTACTCGTCGCGCACACGACCCCGGCCGACTGCTTCCATCATCACGACCACGACCCAGCAAAGCCTTGGCCGCTCGAGCCCTGCGGCATCCGTAGGCATCGACCGCGCTGCCGTCCAGCGCGTCTCCCCGCGCCCGTCCATCTCTGCAGTCTCTGTCCGTTCCAAGTCCCGCCGATCGGACAGCTTCAGCAGTTCCAAAGAGAGACGGCCTGTCACCTCGGGATCCACCCATTCCCAGGTATCCAACAAGCTCAAGGGATTGATCGGACGGCCGCCGCCGCTTGAGCCTGCCTCCCTGCGCCGGCGCAGTTCTTCTGACACCAGCCGGGCGTCGAGTGGCAGCCGCTACTCGGAAGACGACGACACCAACCTGGACAAGCTGATCAAAAGCAACGAAACCATTCTCTTCACTTTGACCCCGAAGACCATGCGGGAGATCGAGCACCCAGACTCTCCGCGCTGGCATGCTCAGAAGACGGCGCCACTGGATGATGAACTGCCGCGTCCCCGGACGTCGACCACCTCTGCTCGCGCAGCCGCCGCCGCCGCCGCCGCCGCCCCGGCCGTCCCAGCCGTCAATCATGGCCACGAGCCCCTAACGCCGCTGTCAGCGCCTCCGTACATGACCAAGTCCAAGTCCATCGATTCCGTCCGACACAAGACCTTCGAAACGGCCAGCATCGACTCGAGCACGTCGCGACGTGCTCGAGCCGGCCAGGCCCGCGAGGCACGACTTGTCGCGGAGTCGACCCGGGACTTTGCCGAATTCATCAAGATGACGGGGCCGATAGGTGGCCAAACCATGCCGCCGAAACCGATCATCCCACCCGCGCTGCCGTCGCCGGCGGCGAGTGCGATTAGCAGCTCACGAACCATGCCAGAGTTATCTTCGTCGTCGTCGCCGTCGTCGCCGCCGCCCAGCTCACTTGGCCGGCGGCCCAGTCTCCTATCCAAAGCCTCGAGTCGCTTCGCGAACGGGCCCAAGCTACAGGCCCGCGCCCCGGCCTCCGCGCACGGCGAGCAGACCTCAGATCTGATCGATTTCATCCGCGAAGGACCCCCCCCAACAGCCGGGGCGCGCCATATCCAGCGCACCATCGCTCCCTTCCGCGACCCCCTCGACTCGGATGACTTCTTCAGCACCGCCCACCGCACCACCACTCGCGGCTCGGTGGCCAGCAGTAGCAATAATAACCACAAGTCGATGGGTCTATCCACAGGGACAGCTTCCCCTCCTCCTACTACTACTGCTACTACTGCCCATGCCAGCGATTATCCGGCTCCCGTGCGCAAGCAACGTCGCGTACGTGATCCGTACGACATCGACTTTGACGACCTGGACGCAATGCTGGACGAAGAAGAGGCGCCGGTCAAGCCCAAAGCAAGACGAGAGGAGGAAAGCCTGCTGGATTTCCTGCGCAGCGCGACCCCACCCCCGGACTCGAACCAGCCACAACCCTTCCTGATGAACATGAACATGAGCATGTCCGCGGCCGGGACGACCGCCCGGAATAACCGGCTGATACACGGCCCCAGCCCTTCTTCACAGGAGCGGTTCCCCGGCTCGAAACCGTCCCGAACCTCTCTCCGCTCCCAGGCAGACAGCTACCATCATCACCAGGGTGGTCTCGCCGGCGCAGGTCCAGCAAACTATACCGCCAAGGTCGGGCTGGAGCGCAGTGGGCTCGGCGGCGCGGCGTCGTCGTCCCGCTCGACCGAGACCAGCGCCCTGGCCGATTTCCTACGCAACACGGGACCCCTGGAGCCTGTGCCGCGCCTATCCTCGTCGTCGTCGTCGCCTTCGCTGGCCTCGAGTGCGCGCAGGGATCTCGGCGGGTCCTTTTCGAAACTCTTCGGGCGGCGTAAGAAGCTGGAGGCATGATCTACTTTTTAATTCATTCACTTGGTTCCCCTGGTTCCCCTACTTCACTTGATGTCTCCCTTTCGGTAGCGTTCGAGCCTGACGATTGTATTCTTTTCCCTCACTCACTCCCTCCCTCCCTCCCTCCCTCTCTTTCTCTCTCTCTATCTCATTAATTACTTTGATGCCTATACCATGGCGGTTGTCTCTTGGTCTACTTGATCTACTTATGAAGTCTTTACTTACTTACTTTACTTGTAGTAGTAGTGTATTAGTGTGGTAGGTAGAGTAGAGTGCTAATCAGTATAAAGACACAAGTCGTAGTTACCATTTGAATTGTTCCCCCAATAGATGGGAAAGGAAACGGCGTTGCCCGCGGCCCCAAAGAGAGCAAAGGACATGATGAAGACGATGACGGAGGTGCCGCCGTCGAGCGCCGCGGAGACGAGATAGTTGTATTTGATGAAGAGGTTGGGGTGGTAGCGGCGCAGGTACCACTGCGAAGCGAACCCGAGGAGGAAGAACATCATCACGGACGAGTTGATGCCCACGCACAGATACGAGACGTAGTAGATCATCACCGAGGTGTTGACGTTGTTCATCCCCAGCGAGGGGAATTTCTTGTGGATCAACCAGAAGGGCAGCGGCGCGAAGAACCCCACGATGATCGCCAGGCTGCACCATTCGTACCGGCCTCCCACGGAGAACAGCTCGTGCGCGAGTCCTCCCCATGCGACAGACTGATCGTTAGAAGAAGAAGAAAGAGAGGAACTAGGTGTAAAGGGCTTACTAAAGTGTTGTATTGTTGGGGCTGTTGGCCGGACCAGATGTTGGTACCTTCAACTGAGAGGAGAATCTCTCGCTGATTGGTGACAATGCTGTTCATCATGATGTAGTTGAAGATGGCACCGACCAGCGTGCCGATCATCTGCATCGTGAAAGTCACACGAGGGGCCAGATGGCCGTATTGAGCCAGTTTGAGGTCGGTACATAGCAAAGCTCCTTGGGTTACGGAATTATACCCCTAAATTGGTCAGTCAGTGGCTTGGAACAGACTTGGAATTAAACACTGAACTCACGTAAAGACAGAAGTACATGTTTGCAACAGGATTGCCGGGCTGGATGTACCCTCCGATCAATTGAACTATGGGCTGGATGATGAAGGCAATGCCGGTCACCGCTTGCATGGCTCCAAAAATCAACAGGAACACCCATGCGACCAAACAAGACACCAGGAATCCCCACCACGGCAAAGTTGAGTCGCCCTTGTAGAGACAGATCAGGCCTATGACGACAGACAGCACCAGCACGAGAGAGTACCACCAGTTCGGAACGGGCTTGTACGACATCATCAGCTTGTAGTGCGGGTCATAGTTTTCCTCGTTGGGCTCGACCGTGGCCTCGGATTTCCAGAAGGTCAGATTCCAGTTCTTGGGGTTGAATTTCCGTTTCAGATTGCTTGGGTAAAACGCGCTTAGGGCAGCCTGCATGTCGTTCCAGTTCCACAGCAACATGTGGACAATTCCCGCCGAGATAGACATGTTGGACACCAGGATGTTGACGGCGTATGTTGCGGCAAACGACGGCAAGCCCACCAAGGCCAGGGCTTCTTTGTCGATGCGGTTGTCGGCTCCGATCACCAGCGTCTGGTTCCATTGCAGCTGATCCGCCATGGTTGCGTTCTCGCTGAAGAGCACCTGCGACAGGAACGGGAAGTTCTGGGCGTTCCAGATGTTGCCATAGTAGACTCCGCTGAAGACGACGATGCACAGAATGACGCCGACGCCCTGGCTGATGAGACTCTCCATCGGGTAATAGAGGGGCGAGTAGCCTCCGGAAATGTAATCCCAGTCGAAGCAGAAGGAAAAGAGGCCGAGCCCTTCGTTTCCACTGGCGCCGCCGAAGACGTTGGTGAACACGGCGCTTTTCTGGTTCGCCAGACAGAAGATGCTTACACCGGTCAGGATGGGCATGATCCATTCGGGCACGATCTCCCAGAGGAAGATGGCGGTGAAGACAAAGCCAAACACCTTGAGGGGCTTCCTAGTCTCGGCTCGAGGGCGATGCAACGTTTCTAGCATGTTGTTGACGGGGATGTTCGAGGGCCACAGCATGTTTTTCGGGTAGACCAGAGTTTTGCGCATCAGGCCGCCGAGACCGTAGCCCAGCATCTGCGAGGAGAAGAGCAAGAAGATGGACAGGGCGCCGTTGAGCTTGGCGTCGTAGTACAGCCGTTCCACGGCGAGAAGCTCGATGCCGAGCGCAGCGGTACTGGCGGAATTCGCCATGACGATGATCGCCAGATGCTCCTTGATATTGAACGGATGCGGGTTGAGCCATCTTCCAATCGCCCCCTTTCTGGGGATTACCATTGCCATACCCTCCCCCATGAGATATGCGATGACGGCCACGAAAACAGTCGACACCACCACGGTTTGCGGCTTGAAGTAGTAGATCGAAGAGATGGTACCGCCGAAAACTGCAAGACCAATACCTAGACGAGTCAATATCAATATTTTTTTTTTCTCTTTTTAATCGTCGTGGGGCCTACCTAAAAACCAAGTACGGAAGGTAAGCGAAGACAACGTAGGGTCATCTTGAAGATGCAGAGTGTGTGTCAAGATATCATCTTTATCCGCCGGATGATGGATCGATTCTTCTTCCTCCTCGCCCGACTCAAAGTTCCCTGCCTCGGTGCCGACATCCACGGGGGCCTTCTTCTCGTCGACTGGATAGTGGGAAGCGTCTTGGGAGTGTTCCTGAGACGAGACCTCGTCTTGCAGGGAAGGACTCATGGTGACAATAGAATAGTAATAATCTGCTTGCACCCCTGTTGACTGAGACAGACCTGCTGCTTCTGCTGCTGCTGCTGCTCCCCGCGAAGAAAAAAACCCACCACTATATATAAGGGGTCAATCGAAGGACCCTCCATCGTGGATATCATTACCCTGTCATGGGGGCACACTCCACTCGTCGATAGGTATCAACCCGAAGTCTTATCAACAGCCATTAGCAATTCAACTCCGGGGGCATCACTTGCCACCCCTGACACCGTCCACCCTAGCCAGTACCCTGTAGTACCCAGCACCCAGGCCCTAGGTAACTTCTACCTACCTGTAACTACCGGTTGTAACCCCACCCCAGGGAGGTGCGGTGCGCCGATGGGCCCCCGGTGGCGGACTGAATCGTAAACGTCGCAACGATCATCTTTCAAAGAGATGGTTTGGGGGGGGGTAGTAGGACTGGAGGTAGTATTCCGGAGCACGTATCTTGATCGAATCAAATCCCCATCGGTTCACTGCTTTTGATATGCTTCGAGCTCGCCGTACGATGGCCGACGCAACTCCGACGGGGGTCTTTTTTAGTGCAGAAGAAGTAAGAAAGTACTAGGGACGATGCTAGACCAGTTCTGCTTAGTGTACTTTGGGGGTGCCACTTGCTGGGGTATTTCTATATGGAGTATCTGTGCCACTTGACAGGGGGTTGCGCATATAAAAGTTAGAGCTTGCTTATATTTACTATTTACTACTATATATTTTCTTTATTGTAAGTGTCTACTTTGATAGTGGATGCTGATGCTGATGATGATGATGGATAGCCAGAGGTTCTGCCTTCCTATTCCAGTTAGTGCGATGGGATCCCTATTCCGTGGAGGCTTGAATAGTATTAAGATACTGCTAAATAATAGTTAGTACTAGTAGATAATACTAAGAGTACGAAATTCCTTCAGATTAGCGTACCTCAAGCGATTATCATTATAATAAATATTTAATAATTCTCTGCTCTCCACCATCGCGAATCTCGATCAGGAGAGAAAACAGTATGCCTACGCTTCCACTGCCCGCAGCATATTTCTTGTGTATAAAGCAGCCCGGCGTACTGGAGACAGTAATGGAAATAGAGATAACGGGCTGCCGTATAGCACCTTCCTCGGATGTAAGGGCGTCGGTTATAAACCGCCAAGGACAGACTTCTCCTGACGATCCCACGAGCTATCGATAACCCGGAGCTTGAAGTGATGGGTTTCTAGGCTCAGCCAGTAGTACGACAGCATGGGCACTTTTGGTCTTTCGGGGAGATCTGGTATAATGGCGTAGGAGGGTGATTCAGCTATGATGTCCAAAGCTAGAGCCATAGTCAGCCAGGAATAAAACACCATCACGAGCTAGGGAATCTGCGAATCCAAAGGGAATACCTACAAGCGAAGGAACTGCCTCGCCAGTGTCAATGTATACACTCTTCAACGGAGCAAATCATCGATCTATCTTGCGAGGAGAACAGCTCAGCTGGGCGGATATGCCCAAGGACAGCATCCATTGATGCTTGCCCATGCTTGTATGAGAATAAGTGGACACCAGTCATCACGGTATAGGAGACACAGTCCTGGAGAATTGGGCACCAGATATAACTACCTGTCAGTGTTGACAGAGAGTCTCGGGGCTCAGTAGGTTGAGAGTGTGTAAGAATACGTGTTGTTGGAGAGGACAAACGAGTAAGTGAATATCGGAGGTGAGTGAATATTAAATGGGGGGACGCTTCCATATCAACCCGAGGGCTGTCCTAAAAGTTCCCGCACACTCACATCACTACCCAGTTACCAGGACGGATTCTATCAGGCTGACAGAATCAGCATTCGACTTGGTGTCGTCGGATGGGGGATTGAATTTTGAATTGCCCTTTGTCTTCATCACGATCTCTCTTATCGAGTACCTCTTCTCTCTCCGGGAATACGCGCGTCTGCCCCTTCTCCTGCTGAACGCCTACAAGTACACCATTACGATGACCACAGGGGAACCCGGGAATAGGGTGTATTTTCTGAACTGGAAGAGAGATGTCCAATCGAGCCCTAGGATTCTAAAGACGTATCGAGATCAAGGGTTCCAAAGTTGGTGTGGAAGTATACCGAGAATTTATTAGACGAGACGGTACGATTATAAAAATCTTTCCTTCTCTAGACTATATATTCCTCCACGCTAATTCATTGGACCTGAAGTCAAGAACGTACTTCTAATTTCCGCTATGATCAGTCAGTGTCATCCTCGGGCCATTCTTCAAATTGCACCATCCATATCTCAGCTGCCAGCTCCTTCAGATCGTTGATGCCGAAAGAGATATCTCTCTTCATTGGTCCATCTGTGCCTCGAAGAAACAGATGCTTGAAGTCAATAGAGAGGGGATCTTGATTACTAGCGTGAATATCACTCTGACCAGCCTCCTGGGAGAGTACCGTTCTATACTCGCTTTCTTGAGCAGTTGAGCCCCCCTATTTTTAAAAAGTGATTTCCTTGCGTTGTTGATTAATCCCAACTGTGAGCACAATCTGCACATCCCCTTGTGATTCAGACTGCCACCACGCAACGTCACTGACCAATTTCTGATATGACTCGGAATCACCGACTTCAATCACCAGGGTAGGCCATTTCCTGGAGCGGCCTTTCGGTAGCTTCTTCGGCAAATAGGTTTTATCAGCTCTTTTCACTCGCTCATTCCCTTCAACATGAGCTGCTCCAAACAGGTAGAGCTGCTTATCCAAGCCGCCCATTCCATGAAGCCGATCAATCAACAGCAGCTGATCAAGTCGCTCGTGGGCAGTAGCGTAGGCACGACTCTCTATTTTGATAATGAGGACTTTGTCGCGGAAAAAGTAGGATTCAAACGGAAATATAGTATTATTGGCAAGCTCCTCTTTGAGGATCCGCTCCGTCACGTTGAAAAAGATGATGAATAGTCTTCGTGTGTGATCGGCTTCGAACAGTTCCAGTTCTTGATTCTGCATAGCAGTGAAGTGGTCGATGTTTTGGTACTCATATTTACTTGTAGTGGCCCTCGTGCCAAAAAGGCCGTCTCCACCTAGACTTGCCATTTGATTTCTTTCGTGGACAAAGTGGTGAGTTGAGAGAAATCCGAGAGAAATTTAGCTTGGGTTCTGGTTTGATTCACTAGAATCCCTCACTATGACGCGTAAATCTGTATACGAGTAAGAGGTACCAGTATTCATTGTCCACTTTAGAGGTTTTGATTGGTGAATAGGGTCTATCTGAATAGGTATTAATATTAATAGCTGGCTACTATGGTAACAAGCTGTTGAGTATAGTAAAAGTGAGAGATATGTTGAGTAAGTGTTTCCTGAGCAAAAAGATGCCTCCTCTGCACAAGTCCTCTCTTTCCCTGGCTTCTCTTCTAACAAATTTTCTTCTACCAGCTCCTCTTCCATCCATTCCACAGATATCTCCTGCTTCAGAGTGAGTTTTGCAAAAAAAATATACTCCTCTTCTCTATTAGTATCCTTATTTATATAACCACAGCTCCAGGCATGGCAGTCATTCTACCGAAGATTCAATACACCCTTTGAAGCTGGCTTGATGACCCTTCTTTAAGTTGCTGTCTTCCATGGGTTAACCCAGAATAGTAACATCACAGTGTCATAGCAGGAAGAACAGACAATCTCGGGCTCGACATCCGCTCCCAGTGGAAGGAAGACCTGACGAGGCGGGAGCAGGATGGCGGACACAGCAAACCTACACAAGACAGCGTTCAATGAGATCTACAGCACCAACTTCCTCACTTAAGGCTCCCATGGAAGTTCTAAAAAGCAACAGACCGTCACACTATCATCAACTGAAGCCGAATATGTTGCTCAATCGCAGGCCACCCAAGAACTCCTATGGATCCAGCTCCTGCTCAAAGAACTCGACGTGATTAATCCTCCTACATCTACCGTTTTCGCTGACAACCAGGGCGCCATAGCACTGTCGATTAACATACCTTTCTCCAGAAAACAGTCTAGCTACCGGCGTAGCCTTGCTTGATCCTCGCTGCATAGAGAGCAGACAGCATCTACATTATAAATTGATTACTTTCCATTCTGCAGCAATCTTTAGGCTGAATGCGTGGTTGTTAGCATCGTCGGGGCTCTCTGCCTTCCTGACAATGGATATTTACACTCTGAGCCTAGGGAATATTCATACTATCTAGCTGCTGTAGGATAATTCATATCTCCCGGCCTTCTCCAAATCTATTTCAGGCTTCTGCTCTTCTGCCTCTCCCACGCGGGCAACGCCCACTTGACCATATACTCGGACCTCAGGAGTTGGTCCGCTGTAGGACGTTCCGCAGGTTCAAACGCCATCATAGATCTAAGCAAGTCCTCCAACGCACGTAGTTCACCGCCTGCAACGTCCCATTCGCACGTCTGCTCTGTCTCGCCACGGCCCATGTCACAAAGGCGCTGAGGCAGACGCCGGAAGACGGGGGTGCTGATACGGCGGAAGTCAGCGACCCATGATCCATCCTCCTCGAAGAATTCGGAGCGGTTAGCCCAAGAGCTCCACCATCTCGAGGGCGGCTGACCCAGCGTATTGATCATCTCGGCGACAATGTCGTCTCAGTCCCAGGCAAATGTTTCAAAGAGTGGCCGCTCGCCCAGAACCTCGTACAAGGTGACGCCTAGGGTCCATATATCAGCTGCGGTGGGTTGGATGATGGGCTCGTTGAAAAGGTCTTCTGGGGGAGAGTAAAGGACTGGGGTGTGGAGAGTCGGTGAGGGCGTCTGTGACACAAGAAAGGACGTTCCGTAGTCCGAGATGATGATTTCTGGGTCATTCTGCTCGTTGGCAGGCATGTTCATAGCCATCGGATAGATGGCATGCGGCGGTGCGTGGGGTTCACTGGGCTTTCCGTCCAGTCGCTGAACAGGAACATCGATGGGTTCGCCGAAGCGTTGGTATATCTCAGCCGTGCTTAGTCTGTCAAAGTCTGGCATGCGTCAGAGAAAGTTGCGCAAATGGAGATCTGCCCTGCAATTAGTATGCGGGATCGGTAAATGGAGATAGATGTACGGCCTAGATTGTCCTCACCTCCGTGGCATACGCCATTTGCATGTAAATAGGACAATCCTAAAAGGAGCTGGGCAGCTGTAGATCTAGCAGCGTCCACTGGAAACATAAGGTCTGTGCTGTCCTCCTTGGACTTGGATATACTACTGCCAGCAGGCTCACCGACCAAGCACCGGTGATGTCCATTTGGACCATGAAACGAGAATTGGTCAAGTAGCGGTGGAATAAATCGCTTTCCAGGATGATCAATGTCGCTCTTCATCAGGTAATCAAGGATCTTCCCCTCACGGCTATCTGGCGATGCTCTCGCAGTCAGTATCTTCAGCGATACGTAGCGCCCGCGTTGCTGATCCCGGGCAAGCCAGATTGTTGAATATCCACCAAACCCAAGCTTGTGAACAATGGCGTAGCGGCCACTGCAGAAGGTGTCTCCGATGAGGGTTGGATGATACCCGCCGGGCACATACTCCTCGAGATATTCCACATCTGCCTCAGGGTGGTATATATCTTCCGTCACGGCATGCAGGCACCGAAATGAGTGTAGTGACGGAGAAACTCTGCACTGACGGCTGGTCTTTGATGTGAATGGAAATCGACATGAGAAGATATCCAGACTTTGCCGACGAAGTCTCGCGGGTTGGGAGAACGAGCGAGTGAGTCTCCAGCATAGGTTCATGTTCATGTTTATGTCTTTCAGAGAGGTCATCGAGCGACGACTGGCAGTACAGAAAGGCGGTCTGGCCAAAGCTCTTGATAGCCTCGTCTTTTAGTTAATAGACTTCTCAAGCTTAGCATCTGCATAGCCAACGTTGTATTCTCTACTACTTGATGAGCTGTAACCATGCGCTTCGGCAGATTATTACTATACCAGTTCGTGCCAAGGGATATGTGTGAAAAATGAAGAGATGTTCTGGCTGGCAAAGCTACTACACTGGATGGTACGCCTGATCTTGGAGCAACACAGATAGATGACATTGGACTCGGTGATATATACATATATATACGGATTCCAGCAGGTCTTCACAGCTCCTCTAACAATACGCCGAATCTCCAAGTCAAGCAGGATGGTACGCCTAATCTTCGAGCTACACATTCTAACACAAAAGATGTATGTACAACCTCGGGGATATATCCACTAAAGAAGGAGCGTGGAACACAGACTGACAAGGCAGGATATATAAATTAAAGCAGAGCGACGATTGCACCTAGAAGCTGCATTTACAATCGACAACAATATTCCTCATAACTCGCTACTCTCTCTTAATCAACAAAATGCGGTCTGCGGCCATCACTGTTGCCCTTCTGGCTAGTTCTCTACTGGCCGTGGCTGCCCCAACCTCTCCACCTGGAGGAAAGACAACGGGATGGTCCTGTCCCAATGGCTGGTTGGTCTGCGGAGTTAGTATATGATGACCTCTATTTCATCAGCAGAGCTCACTATATTTTCTATCAGGAGTGTAATGGGACCTCCTGCAGGGTTGGAGGTATCAACTAGTATGTTATCTAATTTCAACTTACTCCGTACTGGCTGGTGCATAACTATATGCTGACATGGCTGATGCAGTCACTGTGCTACTGGTTCAGTATGTCTTTCTCTTCACCTTATTAATATATAGAGCTTCTCTCTACAACATCTATACACTATAAGCTAATATCTGGTCCAGTGCACTGCTCAAAGCGGAGCAGGGGATGGTGCCATTTGCGGTGGAGATTCCCTTCTCGGCCCCTCCTATAATTGCCCTGGCAGATGAATAGAGAGATGGAAACAGTATGTCAATAAGCGAATACCATGGTTCGCTCCGCCATGCTCTCTTGACCACTGGTCTTATTCAACTCCTAGTCAAATGAATTGTCTAGCAACCTAAAACAAGGTTGATAGTACTATGAAGGAACCATCAGCTTATGTTGAATTCCAGTTAATTGGACTAGACATTGCAAAGCAAAGCTTAATAATACCGACTGCTTCTTCTTTTCTATATTAATACTTGTGCTTCGTGTATGATGATGTTGTTGAAACTTGATATGTTGATACTCTCCTTCCTGCGGAACATCGTTGATCCGCTGATCGCGCAGCGTGGCTTCACCTCAACTGTAAATAAAGATAAGGTAGTCTCTTACCTCCCGACTAGTTCCAGCCCAACCCTCCAAAAAAGAACACAATGTTCAACACACGTATCGTGGGGGCCTTCCTCCTATTGCTGCACCTGTGCACGGCGCTGAAGTTCGACCTCCCCGCCGTCTCCGGCAAGAACGAGCGATGCATCCGCAACTTCGTCTCCAACGGACAGCTCGTTGTCGTTACGGCCATTGTGTCAGGGAACAAGGGTGATGGACAGGTGGTGAATATGCATGTACGTTATCCATTAGAGGTGTAATATATATATGTTGATCATGCTGACGATGATGATTACAGATTAAAGATGCTCTCGGCAATGAACACGGCCATCCTAAGGATATCGTGGGGGAGACGCGCCAGGCTTTCACTTCGCCGGCGGATACGGCATTTGATGTCTGCTTTGAGAATCTGCTTGTTTCGAAGAGTACGTCATAATCGAATGAGAGAAGGGGGGGAGAGGAATGTGAATATGTTGTTTTGTTAACTTTTACAGGAGCAACGTCGAATCCCTCCCGCATGATCGAACTGGACGTCGATATCGGTGCCGACGCGCGCGACTGGTCGAGCGTGCAGGTGCAGGAGAAGCTCAAGCCCGTGGAGACGGACCTGCGACGCATGGAGGAGCTGGTTGCCGAGATCGTCAGCGAGATGGAATACCTGCGCGCACGCGAGCAGAAGCTGCGGGATACGAATGAGAGCACGAACGAGCGGGTCAAGTGGTTTGCCTTTGGCACTATGGGAATGCTCGTTGGTCTGGGAGCATGGCAGGTTGTCTACCTGCGGGCGTACTTTAGGTATGTTTACCTTGTTCCTTGATCTTGTTCTCTTCTGACTTTTACTAACTCTCATTCAGGTCTAAGCATCTTATCTAGTGTAGTCATCTATTGTTGGTTGAATGATACGTTAGACTGCCAGGCACACCCATTATGATAGCTACGTATACATAAGACTGTTACGAGTCATTCCATACTCCCTCGCCGGTCTCGGTATTCTCCCCCCGCTCCAACTGGTCATTGTCAGTGTAGGGCGTTGACTCGAGCGCACGCGGCCTGCTCTGCTCTGTCCGTTCTGTCCAGCTCTGCTGCCTCGTCCAGCTCGGATATCCGTATTCGAAGAAAAGCTTTTTTTTTTCAACAGCTTAGCAGAAGAACCAAGAAAATATCTATCCCGGAGGGACTTCTAATTCATACCTTAACCATCAGCGTAAACACAGCAGCAACAAACACCATCATGGCTGCACTCTGCTCCCTCTCCGTCCACGGCCCCAGACACGCCCGGTCGTATCCGAAGCGTACCTCGCACGCGTCGTCGCCGTGGCTGGCGTCCTTGAACGGCCAGGCCCGGTCATGGATACTTCGCAGCCCACAGCAGCGTAGCTGGTCTTGAATCTGCCTGATGGCTCCTGCATCCTTGTTGTGGAAGAATCTCTGCCATTGTGTTTCTAGCCGGCAGTTCAGGATCTCGCTGGGGAGCAGGTACGTCATGGCGAGTGTCCCGAGCACCCCGGGGAACAGAGTGAGTAGCTGGCTTAACGCATGGAAGAGAGGCTCGTAGCGGCTCTGGCGTGTTCGGGCGCGGAGAATGGCAACTCCCAACGTGAACAGGGGGAGGAAGGTGCCTAGCGCTGGGATGGAGGGAGAGAGCGGTAGCGAGAAACCGATGGATCGAGTCCAGGCGATCCTAAAGACGTTTTTTTTAGCTTGCTTTCTTCATCATCTCTCTTGTTCCCCTCATTTCCGCAGGAATGTGTACGCAGCAAGTATGGTTGAGATGAGTATCAGCTATTGAGTTGTTAGTTGGAATGGCTCTCGTTAACGGTCTCTGGAGCCTGGTTGACATACGAGAATGAGTACAGCGCCGTAGAGGAACGAGGTGTGTAGAATCATTGTCAAGGACGAGATATGGTTACTCAGAAAGAAAATATGAATTTATCTGATGATAGGGTTCTTTGCTGGATGATGAAGAAATGGAGAGAAGGTCTGAGGTCACTATTGTTACATAGCATGCGGGGTTATAACACATGCAGGTCTCAGCCTGATACACAAAAGTACTAATGGCGATTTCATCTAAATAGATCAGATTCTCCAAGTCCAGGTTGTATGGTCTGTAGAGATATAGGCATGAAAGAGCAATATACCTCCAATAATCCCATGAGACAGTAGTAAGTACTGGTGAGTTAGATACCTGGGCATATTTCTCTAACTATGGTCTACTAAAGGTACCTGCCTGCCTAATTAGTACTTTGGTGCAGATTTCCGTATTTTGGTAATAATACACACAATACCATACATACCAGTGAAATACCGCTGACAAGACAGCAAGGGGCTATGTCGATATCGAGATCTGACCTCTCTTCACCCCCCTATCTCTCTCTCCCAGTGCCACTGTGGACCATTCGAGGTAGCAAACGGCCAACTGCAGCAACCTGCGGTCATTGTCTATCATGTTTTCTCGCCATCGCCGAAGATCGTCGCGCTCTGGGCCAGCAAGATGCCACGCTTCTGTGTTCGCATCCGATTCCCTCGTGGCACACCCAAGGGCCCCAGAGGGGGGTGGCGTTGGAAGGTCTGGATGCAGTAAGTTCAAGCTTGTCGAGGCTTCTACGCATCCCGGAAGGGAAAATAGCTGACCACAGGAAAAAGCAGGCAGGCTCTTGGTGGCACTCCGGGCGATCAGGGCACAGACATAAATAAACGCGAACCCTTGACTTGTACACAGTATAAATGGCTGGTCCCATCTTGGAGGTGAACGTCTCTATCTCTTCTTGTTCTCTTCCCTCCCTCGCGATCTTGGCCTTGCTCTCCTTGCCAGTTGCATCGGCAATCCCTGCATCGTTCGTGGTGTTGTATGTTACACCGAGTGTCACGATGGACAAATCTCCCGAGGTCGAACCTCATGTCTCGGAATCGGTCATGTCGACGGATTCGCAGTCTCCAAGTTCTAGACGTTTGGAGAGGAATCTGCTATGGAAACTCGATGTGCGGATCATTCCGGCGCTCTGGGTCCTCTTTTTGGTCTCCTTTGTCGATCGCTCCAACCTGGGGTCGGTTGAGTTCTGCTTGCCTTGCCGGCTTTGAAATCTGCCTAACGCTCGTGTTTAGAAATGCAAAGATTGCAGGCATGCCCCAATCTCTTCACATGAAGGGAAATGACTACAACATTGCCGTCACCGTCTTCACCGTCTCATATGTGGCATTTGGACTGCCGGCCAACCTGCTCACCAAGAGATATGGTCCTAAGTTGCTCGTTATCTATATGGCGGCATGGAGTAGGCATCAAAATGCCATCCTGTTCTTGTCTTTGACGCTTACAAAATCTAGGCCTTTGTACTCTAGGACAAGGGCTGACCAAGACCGTCTCTGGTCTGATTGCATGCCGTTTCCTCATGGGTATGTAGCTACTATCTTGTCAAATCGACCTAGCTATATAACTGACTGGTAGGATAAATAGGACTCTTTGAGGCTGGCTTTGTGCCTGGTACGTCAAGGTCACTTGTCTGCATCATGGATCTAATTTGTATTTCCAAGGCTGCGCATATCTCATCGGTTGCTACTACAAAAGGGACGAGTTTCTTCGACGGTATGCGATCTTCTTCAGTGCAAACATGGCTGCTGGTGCATTCAACGGGGCAAGTTAATAAAACAGCCTTTGGAATCTTACGTGCTGGTCTAACTTTCGCTCCAGCTTTTCTCTAGCCTTTTGACGCGAATGGATGGTGTAGGCGGATATGAAGGTTGGCGGTGGTCAGTGTTTTCCCTCATTGCTCAAACTAGACACCAATGCTTATTGAACAGGTTGTTCATCATTGAGGCAATTATCACCATTGTCGTCAGCGCCGTCTGCTACTGGATCATCGTGCCGTTTCCCGAAGATGCGACCTTCCTAACCCCGGAACAGAAGGCATTGCTTTTGGCGCGTCTCGAAGAGGACGGCGGTGGTGTCCGCAACGATCGAATTAAGTTTCGTCGTATCTTACCAATGATTGTTGACTGGAAGATCTGGATCTGGTAGGATGATAATATATGTACCCAACCCCCTGCCAGTAACTCGACTGATACAGAATAAAAACCAGTGTTGTGGCATATATCGGCGCCGAGGAATCCGCAAGTTCACTTGTTGCTTTTCAGCCTTCGATTCTGAAAGATCTAGGATGGACCAGCACATCAGCGCAGGTGCATACGATCCCGGTGTATGCAACCTCGTTCATCCTGACGCTTGCTAGCGCCTGGCTTAGCGACCACCTGCGCCAACGCTACCCGTTTACGCTGTTCGGGTCGATCCTGATCACTCTCGGATGGAGCCTTGAACTAGCGCAAACCCTTTCTGCACGTATTCGGTACATGGGCATGTTCTTCGTCGCCTCGGGGGCCTTCATCATGATGTCGACCATTGTCGTTTGGCTATGCGTCAACCTGGACAAAGGCGTCAAACGCAGCGTCGCCATGGGCCTCCTCACCAGCTTTGGCAACTGCGGTGCCTTTGTTTCCGGCAACGTCTTCATTGCCGGCCAAGCACCCGGGTATCCCCTCGGCTTTGGTATTGGGGTCGCCTTTGGCGTCTTGGCCGGTGTCGCGGTGACCATTTACTACGCCTATCTCCGTTTGGAGAACCAGCGACGCGACCAGAAGAGCAGCCGGAGAAGCAAACGCGACGCGCGGGACGAGACGGATCGTCTTCAGGACTTGGGGGACGCACATCCCGAGTTTCGATTCCAGCTGTAGATACATGTAAATTATACGGGGTAGTTATAGTGAATTGCTTTGTATAAAGGAGTCCTATCCTGTAACTAGTACAGAGTAGTTAACTAATAACTAATATGGAGTGACTAGGTAGTAACTCTGAGGTGACCTCAACAGCAAGGGGGATCCGCTAATGAAGCATCACCGTCGATCATACAATACACTGCTACACATAATTACCAAAAAATGTTACTGTCGTGTACAATACAGGGCAGTAGCCAGTATCGAGCTTCTCTCTCCTATTGTATTGAGTTAACTAGGTAAGTACCTAGGTACTACTAATCTACTACTCATCATCACTCCAGCGTCTCCTGTAAGGAGGGAAGATGGGAGGCAATATACAGTTCAAAAAGGACCCCCGTAGGGCTTCGTACCTCTTTGAAATAATTATTTCAGTGGAGACTGACTCTGACTACTACTTGATTCTGCAGTGTAACCACACTGGAACTCGTGAATTGTGCTGCACCACCACGTAGTTCGTAGTTAGGGCATGAAGCGTGTGCCTTCGGAGGGGTGGAGGGCTAATGAGAATTGATCGATATTCTGCTCAAAGCTCTATCTTTGACTCTATCTTGATAGATCATACTTTAATAATATGATATGCATGATACCCTCTGTGTTATTGTGACTGAATGGTAGATCTTCTCATCCCTTGAAACCGTCCTGCTCCTTAGTTTATAGGGTATGTTGATTTTATACCCTCCCTGTCTGTACCTGCTGTCATCGCTTAATATCGGACCAGCAAACGCGGGATTCTATTATGCACCTCTACCAAGTACGTTGATTTAGTTAGTTGTTATTCGGTGATTTGTATTGTTCCAGTGTCCAGGCGTGTTTACCATACTCATTGCTTCAGTGATATGCTAAATCCACTTCCTTTGTCCTGTCAACTTTCATCCCTTTCGTCAGCTCGGTAGAGATACACTGCCGACTACAACAAGACGAATAAGATGGCCTCGGACACGACAGTGCCGAACAACGGACCCAAGTTCATTATTGTCACTGCGGTTTTGACTTCAGTCGCCAGCGTCCTGGTCGTGTACCGGCTCGTCTGGAAGGGCGCCTTCCGCAAAGGCATCGCGGCGGACGATGTCCTCGTCGGAATGTCCATGGTATGAGTTGAAGCCCTATGTAGCACATTCAGGAACTAGCCTTATAACATCGGTAGACTGTGCATCTTGTCAACACTATCGTGGGAGACCTCGGTGAGTCGTGTCTCTGCAAGTTCTGGGTCTCCTCTGACAAATGTCTTCTGCAGCTTGCTACTATGCCTTTGGTCGACATGCAAAAGATGTCGCCAAAACTGGAGGGAATCTGGTCCTGGGATACAAGGTTGGAGACACCCTTTCTTTCTGTCTCATAAATCCCTATCAAGCCCTGGACGGTCTTTTAACCGTTTTGCAGTATTTCTGGTTTTTTCAGATCTTATACAAGATCGTCTTGTGTCTGAACAAAATGTCCTTCCTGGTATTTTACCTGAGGATCTTCCCCACTAAGAAATTCCGACTACTCTGCTTCGCAACCATTGCTGTCGTTGCATCAGGCACGTTCGGCTTCATGATAGCAACCATTTTCCAGTGCGTTCCCGTCCAGGCCAACTGGCACCGGCACATAGCCAAGAAATGCGTCAACAACACCATCTTCCGCTGGTGCTGGGCTGGGTACAATACCCTCATGGACATGTGGGTATGTCTTATGCCCATGCCTCTGCTCGCAAGACTGCAGCTCGACACCGCGCGCAAGGTCGGCGTCATGGTCGTCTTCGGCCTGGGTCTCTTCGTCTGCGTCACCAGCATGATCCGTATGCGCTCGATGGAAACGAGCACCACCACAACTGACCCTACCTGGGGATCCTTCGACGCTCTCATGTGGAGCGCCATCGAGGCCAGCACGGGCATCATCTGCACCTGTCTCCCCTTCCTCAAGGGTCCCATCCAGAACGCTTTCCCCCGACTGTTTTCCTCCATCTCCCAGGCCTCCCGGAAGTCACGTAGTGGTGGGGCAACATACGGGATGGAAAAGATGGAGCCCAAGTCGACAGGACATTCTGGTTCAGCAAGTGGCACATTGTGGTCGATCGAGGGGGGCAACCCCAAGACAGAGCAGTGGACTCGAATCGAGAATGACGCTGCTAATCAGGAGGGGATCGGTCGAAATCAAATCCTGAAGAAAACCGACATCGAGATGCACAGCGACTATATATCCCAATAGAAGAGATAGAGAGAGGGAAACAGAAAGAAAATGACGATGAGCTTCAGGGAGGGCGTCTGTTCTTTGTTGCTGTCTCTTTTAGTTTAGCCTAGTAATCACGTGTTTTGTATGTAATCACCTTGTTTTACAATACGCATGGATCTCACAATACGACGTATAATACGCACTAGGTACCTGGTACCTTAAGGTATACATGGCCTGGGCCTCTTTGGGCAGGTTCTTTGTGTTTATTAGAGCAAAGGGCTCTTAGGTACCTAAGGTTTGAGGGAAGATAACCTATTCCTGCTTAAATACTTTCCAAGGAGCAGCCTGATCCTGGTATCTCTCCCATGCCCACGTCGAGTAATCCTACCTAGCTTGAAGTCTTCTGTCCTGGTGAGTGAGCAAGAACCTATCACGAGATACCTGAGATGAATTTGTTGCTTATGCTGGAGGGATCTAGAAGTAACTTTTTCGAGAATTGGTCTTATTGAACAGCAGCCATGGCAATGCCTGACAAAGTCGCCACGCCCGTCGCCGATGAGCCCTACCTTGTTGCGGACGCTTTTCTCGAGGCATTAGCAGAAGTATGAGACAAAGAAACCCCGTAATTGCTTTTCTCGAAAGAGCCACCTCTGACTCAAATTTGGTCCACAGAGCGGCGTTGATTACCTTTTCGCAGTCTTGGGATCAGATCATCCCAGTATCATTGAGGCTTATGTCCGAAGGCAGAATGTCCGGACCAAGCAGTTCCCTCGCATGATAATTTTCCAACATGAGGTACGGCTGTTGACACTGGACAAGAGCCCTCCAAGCAACTGTAGCAGCTAATGTGTGGCCTTTTCTTTGTCTGTCAAGTTTGCTGCAATTTCAGCTGCCGACGGCTATGCGAGATTGACTCACAAACCTGCCTGTGTAATCGCACACGTCGACGTTGGCACGGCGGCACTCGGCCAGGGCTTGCACAACGCCTCTAGTGGCCGAGCGCCCGTGGTGATTTTCGCCGGTGTGGCCCCTTCAACTCTCTACGGAGAAGCTGCTGGGTCTCGTTCCGAGCATGTGCAATGGTACCAGGACGTTCCGAATCAGGCGGCTCTCGTCGCGCCATATAGCCGTTACACGGCGGAAATCAAGTCAGCCGATAATGTCCAGACCATTGTCCATCGTGCTGTATTGATGGCTAGCACCGGTTCGCCCGGACCAGTGTACTTGACTGCTACGAGAGAGATCTTAGCCACAGCTATTGACGGCCCTAGGCCACGCCTGGCCCCCGTTCCCTCCTGCCAGTTAGGCGCATTGCCATCGATAGGAGTAAAGCTGATCGGAACCGCGCTCCTTGGAGCCACGGCTCCGCTGGTCATAACAGGTTACCTGGGACGGAATCATCAGGCAGTGCAAAGTCTTGTTGCGTTGGCCGACCTTGTCAAAGGGCTTAAGGTCTTCGACTCGGAACTGCGGGAAGTCAGCTTTCCGGCCGATCATCCGGCATGTGTAACCCGGAGTACCGGTGCAGCCAAGGCAGTGCAGACGGCCGATGTCATTCTGGTTCTTGACGCAGATGTTCCTTGGATTCCTACCAAGGTCAAGCCGTCTCCGGAAGCGCGTATATTTCATGTCGATCTCGACCCGAGGAAGGAACGGATGAATGTCTTCGATCTCGGAGCTGTCTTGACTTACCATGCGGACAGCGGAGCCGCTTTAGGTCAAATCTATGATTTCATTGCCAGCTCCGACCTCTTAGGTACCTTGACGACTGTATTTGACGAACGATGGGAGGAATTGAATCAATCCTATACTCAGGGAAAACAAACCATCCTTTCGCGTGCTGCAAAGTCCATCGAAAATCTAAACGCGCCATGTGATATTGACTACCTTTGCAGTATGATCCGAGCCATAGTTCCATCAGAGACTCTTTTCGTCACCGACTCTGTCACAAACCAGGCGGCCATGGCCGAGCAACTCCAGCTTACCAGACCTGGCTCCCACATAACCAAGGGAGGCAGTGGCTTAGGCTGGGCCGGAGGTGCTGCAATCGGCGCCAAACTGGCAGCAACGCTCTACGATCTTTCAGACCGCCCTCACGTTCGTCGCAAGCCATTGAATGATCCGTCGCCCGACCCATTCGTCTGCGTGGTCTGTGGAGATGGTAGCTTTGTTTTCTCGGCTCCAACTGCAGTATACTGGGCGAGCTATCGCTATAGCTCTCCGTTTCTAACAGTTATTCTCAACAATGGCGGCTGGCGGGCCACTAGACAGTGCATTGTAGACGTCCATCCTCGTGGCAATGCAAGCAAACTTTCAAATGCAGATTTGGGCATCTCGTTGGAAAATGATGGGCCGAACTACGGCGAGGTGGCTAGGGCGGCGGCCAACGGGCATCTGTGGACGAGAAAGGTAGAGCAGGCCTCGGCGTTGGAGGAAGCGCTCAGAGAGGCCGTGCGGGTGGTGACCGAAGAGAAGATCTCGGCTGTTCTGGACGTTATCATCAAATAGATCCGCAGCCGTCGACCGGGGCATAGACCGATAGGATATTATTTAGTCTGTTTGCAATCAAAATTGACTCTCTTCTGAATAAACGCTCGTGGAGTGTCGATGGACATCGTCAAATCATCGCTGGTGGTTGCTAATAATGCCCAGGCAAACAGTGCAAACACCGGGAAAATTATTATGATGTCAACTTCTTGCCTCAGGAGTCAACTGTCTCTTTCTTGCCCAGTTCCTTAGGTTTCTAGAGACAAGTCCTTTTAAAGGTACCATGTCTTCTCATCGCCTTTTCAGCAGCCTTTTGAGGCCTGCTACATCTCCAATCCAGCGCAGCATCATCGCCCGCTCCTTTGGCATGTCTGTTGCCCGCCCCAAACAGCACAATGACCGAGCTCCATCCACTGCTCCGGAATATCGTGACAAGCAGACTTCGAAGCCCCTGAACCAGGCTGTGTCCAACACTACCTCTACGATGACTGAAGGGTTCCCCAAGGTGGGCGATAAACCCGCGCCGCCCGAGTTTCTGAGCTCCGTCGACCCGAACTACAAGCCGGCGGACTCGTATCCGGGAAGAGTCGAGCATTTCACGGGAGGAAGACAACAACAAGGCACCCAGAAGCCCGAACTAGACGTTGGAGAGATGGAGGGTATTACCTTCAAGGTTGAGCCTCTGCGACGTCAGGGAGAGGACCCGTCTACAATGAGAGCTCGGTTGTTATGTTTGTGCCCAATATTTCTTTTTTTTTTCTAGTCCTCCAATGGCAGCCACACTACCTCGTGCATACCCGGTCTGACAGCTAAACTTGACACAGACCAAAGCCGTAAGCGGGGCATTCTGGAATCCGATCTTCTTCTCTCCACCTTTGCCGACGTTTACCTGGGCAAGATGACCCCCGAACAGCTTAATGAATACGACCGGTTCCTGGATGAGAACGATTGGGATATCTACTACTGGGCCACGCAGGATCCTCCGGTAGAGGGAACGGAAGAAAATGTTACTGCGAATGCGTATCCTGCGCAGGACACTCAGACTGAAACTTGGAAACAAACTGGTGCAAAGAGCGGCGAGTGGGTGCAGACTGTTGGTGCATTCAAGGCAGCATACCGGCCTGTTCCCTCCCGCTGGGCTGACTCCGAGGTTCTTACTCTTCTGAGACAACACGTTCGCGACAAGAGCGCTACCGGCTTCCACTCGGCTAAAAACAAGAAGACTGGTGGGAGTGGTCTTGGAAGAATGCCTGCTGTACAGATCTTTAACTCATAAAGACTCCTTGTTGCATCGCAAAAGCCCGTGTCCAGCATAGGGCTACATCATCAGCTTTTTATTTCTGGTCTGGGGGATCATGTATAACACTAGATACTTGTCGGCTTACAGATTGCACTCCCACGGGCAAGTGCGTTCCCATCTTTTATATTTAACGGCCATCGATGAGCATGGTGTATATTGTCTATTTTGGAAATATCAATGGCTTATCTTGCCTTGCTGAAAGTCACCTGGGCGCTGGATTCGCATGATTTGTGTCTTTGAAACATCTTGGATCCAACCCTCCAAGTATCTGGGCTAGGGGGGACTATATTTTGGGCCGGGCTTCATAACAATCGATCTGAATCCACGGGTCCTTTGGTTCACATCTGCTCGATCTTGGTATATATCGCCAGGAGGGGATTATTTTCAACCAAAAACAAGCTCTGCCATTTGACATTGAGTGGCTTCGATACCAATATCACGAGAAGAAAAAAAAAAAAAAAAAAAAAAAAAGAGAATCAACCCCATTCGAAACCTGGAGCCTTGCTTACCATAGATCAAACTAAATTCCCTTTTTCTTGGAAATGACTGACAATTAAAAGGTACCTAGCTACCCAATGCAATACTACGGAGACCTTTGTCATGCACACGGGAGATCTGAGCAGGGTTATTGCGTATTCGCACCTATGATCAGCCTCATCCAACCGTGGCTGGAAAAGTGTCAAGTGTGTAAAGATGACATCTTATCTCATCAAACCCTGAAAAGCCGCTCCTTGGTTACCGCCTAAAGGCCGATATAAAGGTTCTACAATCGATGGCTATCGTTACCCTTGCTCTTGCTATCCTGGGAGAGACGAGGCTGTCGGAAGTCTGCTGCGCCGGTTCGACATGAGAGCGGCAAAGGGGACTCAGCTACTTGCCGCCACCACTTTCAGAGCGCCGCAAGAGAAATAATTACCAACGGAAAATAACTCGAGTTCCCACCCGGTTCTGATTTGGTAAGGGTTGATGACCAAAGGCCTTGAGTGGTTTGCCGCCGCGAACGGGGAAAAGGGCGTCTTGTGACCAAAGGCCCTTGTCAGTGTTGATAGACCGTTCTTCTCATCCCTGTATCGCAGACGCAGGATGACAGATTTGTCTGAGAACCAAGCATGCCAATTTGCTGCTTGCACGACGACTGGACGTCGAAGAGCTTACTAGTTCAGAAGAGTACGGTGCTCGTTGCCTCAGACCCTCAGCCTCCAGGCAACGAGAGGCCAGCTCCGCCACTTCTTTCTCACCCTCCTTGGCCATGATTCCAGGGTTGTCGGAACCCATCCTGTCACCTTCCTTCTCTAAACGGTACTCTTGGTTTGCTTGTAAACCTTGTCCCTTGTCCATTAAACCGTACAAATCAGCACTGAAGATGAACGGCATAGATCCCTGTGAGCATATTTCATTTGTTTCTGTTGGAGCCCCTATTTGTGCAGGCAGGCTTCCTTCGTCCAGCCTGACCATTACATTTTCAACATTCTCCCGGCTAGGTGTCTTGCTGTCCAAGACAGCGGCGCGAATGATGAGACAAAGATTTTAGCTTGCAAGTGGCCGGTCAAGCAAGTCATATTGTCTGCCCCCCCCCCCCTCTTTTGGAAGAGACGTTTGGTGGTGTCATAAAGTCCTAAAACCACTTTGCACATCCTCAACTTGTCAGCATCGTTCTCGCAGATTGAGACCCCATTTATGCAATGCTTGTGTCTTTCCTTGGGAATCTGGCAATTCAGGATGTGGGAGACATGGCTTCTGGTTGTTACTAACGGTCAACCACAGCAAACGCTTCCTTGAGACTAACATCTTCTTTCCACGCTTCTGGCGGGTATATCGGGTCTTGGGCCGATGATGAGCGCCTGGTCAGTATACGCGATACGGAATAGAAGCATGCGGCTTCCTTAATAAATATCATTGACCAAATAGCCCGAGCGTTATCCCCAGTTAGCTTCTGAACTTGAGCAGGAGCTCGCCCATATGCACAGGGAGACCAGGGTAGCGGGACGGTCCCGCCATGACCCCATCCCGAACCAGACGATATGGCTCTTTATAACAATGGCCATGGGGGGTCGGAGAGGCAAGTGGTTTTCAAGTTCAACTGGGAAGAATAGACACCTTTCTTGGATCGTTCTAATTACTAAGGTTGTCACAGTCCGAGTGTTCGTCCTTCTCAGGAATGCTTCCGGTCTCCTGTTTTTGATCCCATTCAGACGGCCCATTCATCCCGGCAACAGAAGGGCCCCCTTCGCTCAGAGATAAACGTGGATATTGCGTTTCTTGCAGTCGGGTCCGTCCCTTGTCTCGATGCTACTAGGTCCCGACGAGAGTAGCAATGCCGCCCTTCTCATAGAACACCTGTCGAAGGAGCTTGGTCGACTGGAGTTGGTACGTAAAAGGTTATAAGAGAGCATATAGACTTTACATGAGTATTGCCTGGATATTTCCTCCTCGTAGTCAGTCATCGTAATGTCTAGATAGCGAGCGGCGCCAACTAGCCGACGACCGAAAAGCATGAGTCAGCAAAGTGACATGTCACGTGATATCAAAACTCGCTTAGTTCGGCAAGTCTTAGCCTGTTAGGGCTCCGCTCACACAAAAAGAGTTACGAAGGCGAGCGGTGCGGTTAGGGCTTAGGCGTGCTTTGCTCCTCCTCACGCCGTCGCTGGAATTTATCTCAGCCCCAGAGTCAACGACAACTGCTCCGCCCGCGTTCATCCTCCTCTCCTCTCGCGGTTCCTTCCATCGTCTCCAGACTCCGATCATGGCTGAGCAGCTGGTCCTTCGCGGAACCCTCGAGGGTCACAATGGCTGGGTTACCTGCCTGGCTACCTCTCTCGAGAAGTAAGAGCAAAAAAAAGACATCCTTGTTATGGCTTTTGCCGAGTCCCGGGTTGGACATTTGGGTGAAAATTTGGAATCTGACTGTTTGTCTTCGATGATTATAGCCCCAACATGCTGCTTTCTGGCAGTCGCGACAAGAACCTGATTATCTGGAACCTGACCCGTGACGAGCAATCCTACGGTTACCCCAAGCGCAGTCTCCAGGGCCACTCCCACATCGTCTCTGACTGTGTACGCCTCTCTCTCTCTCTCTTTTTCTCTCTCCATCTGTTTTTTTTTTTTTCTCCTCTGCTGCTAGAAGCATGGTTCGGATTGGATTTGGATCGGACAGTTTTGGCTGACCGCATATGTTGTAGGTCATCTCCTCTGACGGTGCTTACGCTCTGTCTGCCTCCTGGGACAAGTCTCTCCGCCTGTGGGAGCTTGCCACCGGCAACACCACCCGTACCTTTGTCGGCCACACCAGCGACGTCCTCTCCGTCTCTTTCTCTGCCGACAACCGCCAGATCGTGTCCGGCTCCCGTGACCGCACCATCAAGCTGTGGAACACCCTCGGTGACTGCAAGTTCACCATCACCGACAAGGGCCACACTGAGTGGGTTTCCTGCGTTCGCTTCAGCCCCAACCCCCAGAACCCTGTCATCGTCTCCGCTGGCTGGGACAAGCTCGTCAAGGTACGACACTTCTTTCCTCATCTCTCCTTGTTTCCAAATGATGTTTGCATATTTTACGTATTTGCTACTTCAGAGTCTTCCGAGACTATGAGACAATTTTCACCACATGCCTGATGGACAACTACAATCATTGTTGATTTTTTTTCAAAAAAACTTTTTCCTTTGGAATTACGACCTGGCGGGCTTTTGCTAACCATTGGAAAATTCAGGTTTGGGAGCTCGCTTCCTGCCGTCTCCAGACCGACCACATCGGTCACACCGGCTACATCAACGCCGTCACCATCTCCCCCGACGGGTCTCTCTGCGCCTCCGGTGGCAAGGACGGCACCACCATGCTCTGGGATCTTAACGAGTCCAAGCACCTCTACTCCCTCCACGCCGGTGATGAGATCCACGCCCTTGTCTTCTCTCCCAACCGCTACTGGCTGTGCGCCGCCACCAGCAGCAGCATCACCATCTTCGACCTCGAGAAGAAGAGCAAGGTTGATGAGCTCAAGCCCGAGTACATTGAGAAGGGCAAGAAGAGCCGCGAGCCCGAGTGTGTCTCCTTGGCCTGGAGCGCTGACGGCCAGACTCTCTTCGCTGGTTACACTGACAACAAGATTCGCGCCTGGGGTGTCATGTCGAGGGCATAGATGGGGTTAACGCGCGTCGGCGGAGGAGCACTGCAAAAGAAGATTTCCTAAAAATTCAAAAAAGAGGGCAGGCATTAGTTGGGATGTATGAGCCATGAGCAATGAAGCAACTTCGGGTCCGGACCGGCGCGTCTGGGCCGGGGGTTTTTTCTAAACATATCTTGATCTCGCTTACCCGGTTTGTCACACGAAATCGAATGTCTGGAATCTTTGAACAGGGACGACATGCGATGTTCTAATACCATTGTTAAAAGGCATCAAAAACTTTTTCCTACTTTTCAACCCGCTTCCCGTAGAAGGCCGGTCTTTTTTTTTGGCTTATATTTAAGTAGGAAGTATCTCTCGTAATGTGAAAAAGCTATAGCAGCCACTCACTTCTTTCAATGAATCTTGTCATAACTATCTACAGGCACACTTGACATGATTGCACTATTTATCTATTGTACATGAATTTTTATATTGAGAGGTGAGAATCTGAGCCGCAGTGGTATTTACTTCTTTGCCAGCCGCTTCAAAGCCGTATCAGCGATGGCCACGCCCTCCTCATACTCAAGACCCTGAGCGAGAGCCTTGGCCTCTTTGTAATACTTCTCTGCTTGATCGCGGTTGTTTTGCATTTCCGCGAGCTCGCCGAGATTGTAGGTAGCAGCAACGCAAGAGACATCGCAGTCCTGGTCTCTGGTGGGCGGCTGGATTTTCGCGGCGACGTCAATGGCCTTCTGTGCCCATTGCATAGCAGCACCGATGATCTCCTCGCGCGACGGGACGGGCTGCTGGAGGGTGCTGCTGCTTGAGGTGGAGGTGCTTGTGCCGGCCTTTCCGCTCTTCAGCCGTTGGGCTTGGCCAGCCATTGCGCTCGCCACGTCGTTGAGAAGCACTACCTGCTTGCAGGATGGCGAGTCACCTTCTTCCTTGTGGATCATGTCGAGAGCGCGAAGGTAGAGCGGCATGGCCAACTCGTGCCGCTCTTGCTTGGTGTAGGTCGTGGCGAGGTCGACGAAGGTGGTCGCAATCTCGCTGACGTTCATCCACATGTCGTTATCAGTTCTTGCACCGCCAACGGGAATACCGAGACTCTGTCGGTGTTTCATCTCCTTGAGGCACAGTTCGACTGCAGCCACTTGACATGCCTCTGCTTTCTTCTCGTCTTGGATGTAATCGCTTGCGTACAGTTCCGCCAGTTTGATATTCATTCCGACGACCTTCTTGAGCACCTTGTCGCGTTGGTGCTCTTCGAATTTCTCTAGCTCCTTCATCTTCTTTTGTTCTTCTAGAACTTCAGGATCCTCGGGTTCCGTGGCATCTTCCTTTTTCATCTCCACTTCCATGTCCTGGATAAGCTTCCTCATTCTCCCCTGTTCAATCCAGTCCAACGACTCCGCCTTGGTCCGCTCCAGCACATCGATTGCCGGCTGAACCAACCCAGCTTTCTCCAACATCATAGCGACCTGGAGTTTGATTCCGAGTATCTCGTCCGAGTATGGATGCATGCCCATTTCGAATGCGATCTGCAGTGCTTCCTTGTATGCCTTGAGCGCCTTGGCCGGACTCAGGTCGATCTCGGTGTAGTAAACGGCGGTTCTCAGCGCGTCGGCGACTGGAGGAGGGAACTTGTGGAATCGCGGCCGAACCTGAGTAAGTTCAACGTAGACAATATATGAAAACACTGCCGTTGCTCCGATGACCGACAGGATCGCCAAGGGTAACATGATGGGGTTTTTGCGCCAGATCCCTTTGGAGGCTTCCCGTAGGCCCAATTTCACCCGCTGGGTGAACGTGATTTGCCTCGTTTGCATGCGTGCATATCTAAAGGTCTGTGGTAGTCGAGACTGGCCGCCGAGTCTCGTTGTATTGAGTAGAGAAAGCGAGCGTGTGGTTACCAACCGAGATTGCAGGAGCCGAGGGGTGTGGGCGCAGACGCGCCGCGATGCGCCATGGAACATGATGGCTGAAAGAGATATAGCCCTGTCAGGTCCGGCAAGCAATGTGTATTCGAGAACCTTTAATCGGGATTCTTATCCGTGACGCAGAGCATCGTTGACAAGGACCGGAGAAACGAACTGCAAGGAACGATTTTCCCGCTCGCCTCCCGCCTGGCCCAAGCTTTGTATCTGTTGCTTATGACGTCGATCCAACACAGATTATTCAACTAAAGAAGATTCAACACATGGCAAGTCATGATATTTTGAGGATCATACTGTTGTTTTTCGGTGACTTTTCATATCTAGCAGCATGTGTGGACGGTATGCGCTGGGCGTCGTAGGTGTTGCTTACTCCGATGGAACCTCAGGATATATATACTGACTTTGATCTCCACAGCGGCTAGCGTTTATTCAACAGCGGCTCGAGGACCAAGGCATGCCAGTTGATGATGCAGCGGAAGATGAGGATGTAAGGGAGACGTATAATTTTGCTCCGGGAAATTATGGCGCTGTGTACCGTGCCGACGCTCCTGATCGCGGCTACGGCCACGATGAGGAAGATCAAGATTCAACCGGTGGACCCGAAACCTCTGAGAAACATGAAAAGGAAAAGGACCAGGCAGACCGGATCCAGAAATACAAGCTTCAGAGCATGCGATGGGGGCTCGTCCCGTTCTGGACTAAACGTCAGCCTGACTATGGCTCGTTGATGCGGACAATCAACTGCCGGGATGACTCGCTTGCTGAAGATCGTGGTATGTGGACATCGATGAAGAGACGCAAGCGGTGCATCGTAATTTGTCAAGGGTTCTACGAATGGCTCAAGAAGGGACCGGGGGGAAAGGAGAAAATACCCCATTTCATCAAGCGAAAGGACGGCGATTTGATGTGCTTTGCGGGTCTCTGGGATTGTGTTTCCTACGAAGGTATTTCTTACCTGGCCATGAACGGTTCCTTGTGCTTGGGCATGCTGACGTGGATAGGAGCCGATGAGAAGCTCTATACATACACAGTTATCACCACCTCTTCGAATCCTTACCTGAGATTCCTACATGATCGAATGCCGGTGATCCTTGAGCCCGGGAGTGAAGCGATGAAGATGTGGCTTGATCCCAAACGAACGACGTGGTCGAAGGAGCTCCAGTCGATCTTGAAGCCCTATGAGGGTGATCTGGAGTGCTACCAGGTTCCCAAAGAAGTCGGAAAGGTAGGCAACAACTCGCCCGACTTCATCGTCCCAATCGACAGTAAAGAGAACAAGAAAAACATCGCAAATTTCTTCGCAAATGCAGAGAAGCCGAAATTAGGGTCACCGGTGCAGTTGAAAGATAGGCAGGATCAAAAATTGACGGAGTTCAAAGTCACCCACGACAGAGACGAGCAGAGAACAACACAGGACACCGAATGGAGTGAGGACAACGCTCCAGCACCCGTTCCGGGAGTCAAAAGAGAGAGGCCAGTTGAAGAACCTGATGAGATCCTACCAGAAGAACCGAAGAAACATAAAACAGACACCGTTCCTTCATCGACGCAGGAGAAAGGACAGGAAGTTCCAAGGCCCCCGACTACTCTAGGGAGAAAGACAAGGAGCGCGACACGCAATAACACAATTCCAAAAGCTGTCAATAAAAAGCCCAATGCTGGGTCACAGAGGATCACGAATTTTTTCAAAAAATAGGGCCATATATGTTCAATTGAGTTTGCTGTATATTGAAAAAGGGGTTCACCAACCTCGATGATTCGACAAGTTGGCGAATCTTGGATTGAGAATTTCTGTTCATAGTGATTGTTTGAAACCTTTTCTGGTAAAATTTCTCATGGTTTTGGAATAGATGTTGGAATACATCCAGGCTGTAGGAATATAGGCACTTTAAAGTACAGTAATATACAATGAAGTATGGTAAACCTCCCGGGTTTGCCGTCAAGCTTCCTGTTCGCGCAATCTCTGAACCAACTTTTCTCTCAGAAAAGGACTCAAACCCAGTCTATTCAGTCATTAGTGGATGCGAGGCTTCATACTTTGTAGAGATACTTACATCCCGTTGTTGGTGACAATCCTGTAAGTGCCTGCCATAGGTTAGCAATGAATCGCGGGCACATCGTCTCGGATATGATCTTACCACTTGATTGATAATTGCCATTCCCATCCACAAATTGCCCCTTGCCGTCGACCTCTAGGCTACCAAATATATCTTCCGGCCTACCCCCAAGTCAGTCATGTTGCCATCGAGAGAACTCTCAGGGTTCCTACCATGCGATTCTCCCGTATTCTGGGGGCCGTCTGTTATCGGATATATGGATCCAGCCGCCCCTTCCTGCAGAGCCAACGCCCCCTTGACCACTTGCTCCGCTGCTCATATCATTCTCCCCCCGTCGTCTTCGCCTATGGTGACCTGCCATCAGGACTCCTCCAGATCCGAGATTTGCGCCAGACGTCGAGGCCATAACTTGGGCCTGTGAGATCGCATCGGGGTCCTCATGAGCATGTTTAGAAAGAACTTCTTGTAAGGTCTTCAGAAACGCGGGGTTCTCTTGGAAGGATTCGGGCGTGGGAGGGAGTCGCGTGGTAGAGCCGATGGCAAGATCGCGACTCGGTGGTTCGGTCGGTAGAAGAGATAGAATGTGGGAATTCCCCTGTATTATATCGCCATCGTTTTGAAAGACATACTATGTAAAACAACTCAGTTCCCGTATGAAACAGGTTATTCAAAAGACTCTAATGGGAGCACTGACTATATGCGGGTGGCCCTCTAAGCTGGACAGAGAGCGAATCTGACACCGCTTGATAGCCTGTGTCGCTTGACAGAGCGTAGACCGTGAGCAGAACATTCTGCGGACTTCTTTGACAGATTAATCGGTTGTCACTCGCCAGGTTCGAGCTCAAGTGTAAATGTCGAATCGTCAAAACATTTTGAGCCGCCAATCTAGGCTATGACGATGCAAGACAAACAATGCAAACTCATGTGACCGCCAATAAGATGCCGTCTGCGTCCGATGCTCTCACTCGAAAGTGTTTGTTGGCGGCAGGAGGGAAGAAAAGAAGCATTTAACGACCTGATTTCGGAAAATTCGGTATATCTCAAAGTCTACCTGTGTTCCGTCATGGCGAATTGACGTCTTCCGAACCTTTCACGCCGCGAGAGTCACATTTGCATGCTCTTTTGAGATAAAACTGTATGGCCGTTGAAAGGCACAGAGCGCTTGGCTTGGGCTGTGCCGACAGGGGTCTGTGGTCATCGTATATTTGGAACAGAAAGCAGAAGAAGAAGCAGCTGGAATCGATTTAGTGCTTTGTGTGTATATCTGCTTCTCGCGGGTCAATAGCACCAGCCATTCGACATGGCGACCCCGTCCTCCAAACAAAACCCAGGCGCGACTCCGACACACCTGACGTCTTCTCCACATCCATCTGCAGTGCCGATGGCGCGTCCCTTATCTTACAAGTCGCCGTCTACCAGGACCCCGTCCGCTTCAGGTCACGGACACAACGTTAATCACCCAGGCATCTCCTCGCATCAGTATGCGACACCTCTTGCAGCGGCTGTCGGGGTGGATGACCCGGTCACATTCAGCTCGCCGTCTGCGTTGCTAGCGTTGGGTGGTTATACTGGGATCAGCCCCTCTCCTGCTGCTCATGATGCGCTGGTTGGCGCAGCAATGAGCGAAAATGAGATTCAAGCGTTGAGCATGCAGGGAATCAAGCTAGGTGCTTCCAGAGACAACGAAGAAGAGCGCAGGAGGCATATCGAAGAGGTGGTCCAGCTTCTGCGCACCCGGGTCGCTGGAAGAGGTGTCTGTAGAGAGGGAATCGAACGACTCAGTCAGCTCGAAGGCCTTGAGTCGATCTGGCAGGAAGATAACCTCAACATTGCTGGGAACTTTGTCGACCTGGAAATCGAATTCCACCCGGGACAAGATACTGTCAAGGATGTCAGTCTTACATACGTCACTCTCGAGGCTACCGATGGTGAGCGGCGCGAGGAGGCGACAGCCGTGTTGAAAAGTGACCTGACTCAGTCACCTGAACAGCGAGAGCAAGGCGCGTGGAAGTCGCTGAACGGGTTCTATAAAAATCTGCAGTGGCTTGCCAAGCTGGATAGGCTTAGCCAGGAGGTCAACTGTTTTGAAGCCATTGAGGGCCTACACGCGAGCCTGAAACGGATCTGGGACGCGGAAGATAAACAATCGAGATGGGCAGGGACTTATGAACATCTTTGCAGCGGATGGATTGGTCGACCGTGCCTACACAAAGGGAAACGTGTCGGACTAGGGCTGGACTACTGGATATCACAACCCCGAGTTCTGGATGCGAAGCGGGCCAAGACCTCGACAGATGCCATGGTGATTGACCAACCACCAGACCGGGTCTCGAATGAACACAGTGACGATGAACAGAATCTGTGGAGCCTGAAAGTTGAATGCGAAGAAGGATATCCTTCTCTTCGCGTGTCGAGAGATTGGGTCGGTCCGGACGTGTTGACGACCACTCCAGATATATCTGAAGATTCGTCGTCCAACAGGACCCCCGATTCCGCTCTCCCGATGATTAACTGGGCCGATCCGCCGCCAACAGTGTCTTCGGCCAGCATGGGCCATCCCGATCCGATGAACAGTATGCTAGGACCTCATACCCCGAACCGCAGGTTTGTCGTCAAGCTGGAGCCTCCGCTAGATGTTCCGATATTGGCTGCCTCCGATATCTACAGGACACTCGGTATACAGCTACCGCAAGAGTTCAAGATGATCGCCTACGATGCGTTGCTGGTTCCTGCATGGCCGCCTCTCTCGCCAACCCACAATGGAACTAGTGTCAGTCGGGGTACGGGTGTATTATGCGTGCCCACATATAATGCACAAGGCGAGAAGATTGATAAGAGACACGCCTACACGTTCCAGAGCTTTGAAGCGGTGATTGGGCGGACAATCAGTGAACTCCCCTTTTCCCATCCGCGACAACTTGCGGATATCCTCCCGGTAAGAGAGCGTTTTACAGATGCTTTGGCTAGTGATGCGCGATGCTAAACCCATCTAGATACTACGGCAATATGCAGCGCTAAGCAGCATCGTTCGCCGGACTTTCACCTCTTCGCCGGATAGAAGGGAGCCGAACACCCAACCTTCCACCTCGGAAAGCGTATGCAAAGCACCGGAGTTTCCCGATCCCGAGGCCTTTGCAAGCGGCTCCGGAATAGTTATGCTCAGCAACGACGATCCCAATGAAGAAAGACTCGATTCGATTCTGGGTGGGGGGCAGCTGTCGAATGTGGCTTTCGGGCCTGTGGGCGATGACTCCCACCAGCGCCGGACCGATGTCAAAGTGGACGTCACGCTGCGGACGCAGCTGGGACAACCGCCCGTGCTTATGCTGCTCATCACGGCCAACAACGGTTCTGACAAAGCCACCCGATCTGAGAGGATCTCCATCAGTTTCGAGGTCGGTCTCAACGGCAGCATCTCGATCGTAGATTCTACCGGTCTATGGGGGGACGAGACGGGTACCTCCGTCGAGAGTTCCGACATGAAGACGGTCGACGAGAAGAAACAAGAAGCGTTGGAGGCAGAGAAAAAGATAGCGCGCGTACTGGAGACATCGCACGACCTGAGCGTGCTGGTAGAATGGGTTTTGTCTCGATCCTAGACGATCAATCCTAGGCGATTCGAGAATACCTTTCTACCATGTATAGAGTTGTTTTTAGAACATTCACATCCCTGCCATTAGTACATATTTTTTTTTTTAGGATTTCTGCCCATGAGTCTGATGTCCGGGGTAAACGAAGTAAACGTTCGGCAGTATATCGTCATACTCGTAAAACTTCTTCCATCTGGAAATCAATGCGGCAATTACTACATACCGTTCGCAGCCAAGGCAAGGCACTCTACGACAGTGGGCACAGATGATGCAATGCAGGAGCATGATAAAATACTAGTCAGAAACAAGACATCAATGAATAATAGTAATACCTGATTTCGAATTGATGCCATTCTTTCTCGTCATGTGAGGAGTTTGAGTACTGACTCCTGAGTACTCCATAGAATAAATAGTACTCGTACTACATGCTAAGGTACATACGGAAGGTAACTTACGATACTCCGTCTTCGGCTGTTCTGTATTGTAGATTACCAGGACACCAGAGGTACGGCGTAGGTACCTTTAGGTACCTACGTTAGTAAACCACCTGTTAGGTACCTAGGTGGTACCTACCTACCGACCAACCCGACCGACGGCTGTAAGGTACGGGCATCAATCTTCCCCCGCGAGACCCGCGGGATTCCAGGTGCAGTTGGGAATAATGGCAATCGCTATTCAACCGATTGGGCACGGGGACACGCTGACAATAAGCGGTTCTTTGTTTCGTCGGGCAAGGGTATTATCCAGGTAGCAAAAGCTCCTCAAAAAGCTGCTTGATCACCTTGATAGTTGATGCTGTCGATGATTCCAGTCAGGGTGGTTTGTCATATGTCCCAGTCAGGCCAATGAGGGGCGGCGATAAGAGACGAGGGCCTGGCGCCTTCGGTGGGTTCAAGTTGTTGCACTGTGGAAGATGCGGAGCAAGCAGCGATCATTTTTCTCTCGGCATGTCGGAGATGGAATGGCTGGGCTGGGGGGGGGGGAGCGATTTTCCATTGCATATCACGGCAATATTAGCCAGTAGGAGGGTTGGAAAATTGTGTTGGAACAATTGTGTTGTGAAACGGTCAAAAATAGGTATAAAAAAGAAGATTAAAATGTGTCTCTTACTATATGAATTGATGCCTGGGAAATGACATGTCAAGTATTGGATATATTGAGTATATAGTTTGCTGAATACAATATTCATGTTCATATTCATATTCAATATTTCAATAGATACTCAATAGAAGTAGGGAGTCTATTGTACTCCGTACGACGAGTCGAGCTAGTCAGCACTAGGCTAGAAGATTCTACTTTCGGCCTAGTACAGTATGCTTATATAATCCATGACGCTCTCGGCAGACCGAAATAGAATTGAGGCGGAGCATGCGGTGGATTCATGAAGAGTAATGACTTAAGTAATAGCAACGATGACTCCATTTACTATATCGTAGTAATTCCAACTAAAACTCTCGAGGTTACAGTTAGTGTACGATGTAAACGACTGTAGTAAGTACCTAGGTTACCGTTATACATAGCCACTCATCGACGCCAGGTTTCCTATATCTCCCGAGTCAGCATCACACCCAGAAGCTAAGTGGTCGCCACTCTGGAGAAATCCATCCAACGATCGTCTTCCCTGTCGCACCTGATGGTTTCATAGAAGCAACCTTGGAAAGGTTGAATGCTGTCTACCTTACACTGGTACTCCCCCGTAAGGACAGAACGGCTGATAACAGGGTAGGGGGGGGGGCCGGTCTCGGGGCTGGCGCGGTTCTCTCGCTTTTCCCACCGTACAAGGAAATACCTGTTCGTTTTGCCACGCCCCACAGGCCCCGTACCGCCCGTACGAGTTACATAACACCTTTGTACGAGGTGTGCTTTTTCAGCTGGAGCTCCAGGATGATGATTATCTTATGATGTTCAATGAATCGTTGATGCGCGAGATGAGATGTTCGGGGTCAGACGATCGCCGACAAAAGAAACAATGGTCAAGGCAAAGTCTACACCGGTGACAGATGCAGCTTCTCTGATCCACCCACGCGACATGGCGGGGTCTTCCAACTGATAGCAAATCAAGCCAGGGCAATTATCACTTCCTCCCAGCGATAAGTTGCAGGTACACCTTACCAGGAACAGGCAAAATGCGCCTTATATTGCCAATGAGAGGCACAGAGTAACCGTCTTACTCAACCCATCCCACGCCTGATAAACGACTTGGTCTAGACAGATAACCGCCCCCCCCCCTCCTCCGGCCCCTCTTCAATATCAGGATATCGCTCCTCTATCTACACCAGGAGATACCAGGAAGGAATAGGGCTGGAGTACAGAGTCACTCCGTCCAGGTGGTAGGAATCAATACCCTCCGACCCCTCATCGGATGGAAAGGGTCTTAGGACTACCCCTCCAACGCCATGGATGCTATCTACCACCACTGAGACGGCCACTTGTGGCCAGGATGTGTCGTTTTTTGATAATAGTTCTGAGCAATTGATAACAGTCTAATCGGCATGGCGCCGGCGAGGGCTCCCACCCTGGTCCCAACCCAAGGCTCTCTATGGTAGGAATCGGTTCATGTGCGTTTCTTGGCCGAGAAACAATAGACTATTAGGTAGTTACCTGCTTCCGGGGGGGTTGAGTTTCAAGCGACTACTACATACACAACTACTCCGTAGGTATACTCCGTACTCTAGTAGAGCAAGTACTATTGAAATAGTGCCCAGCTATTGTTGCCGAAATAAACGCGCTATCGGCGGGCAATCACAAAGTATAAATGACATATCTCATATATTACTTATTCTTGAAGCACAGAGTAGATCACTTAGTATGTATGTAGTATGTATGTAGTATGTATGTAGTATGTAGGTAACTAACTACTAGTTAACAATGTACTCCATAGTTAGTATGTCAAAATCGTGGAAAAGCTGTGTATGTGTATATAGAATACTGGATACATACATACATACATGTGGCGTAACACCGATACCAAACTTACCATACCATAGCTGGGCAGCCAAAAAATCCCTCCTACTGGTGGGAAAGCGGGCTTTTTTTTTGGGTGTCCCGCCTAGCAACCGACCCAGACACTGGAAAGTCCCTCTTTCGCCCCCAGAGTCTTTTAAAAGAAGATAATCCCTCTTTGCCCCCCCCACTATTCTTTCCCAGCCTATGACTCTTTTTATTAAACCTCCCCTCTCCCACTGATCGCACTTGATCTTCTGTTCATCTTGCTTTCGTTAGCTAGTTGATCAACCCTTATACACTCTCTCTTCCTCATTCTTGGATCGTTTCGTGACTTTCCTCGAGGATTGACGTTTGTTCGTGCTTTCTGCTTGTCAGAACACTCCCTTGAGAAAGAAAAAAAAAACCCCCCCCAAACCGTCTCTTTTTACGGTTCTTCATTTCACATATTTTATCATCATGGTACGTTCCAGTTTGACCCTCAGAGCAGGACAACCCAAGCTGTTTCTCAGCTTCGTTGGATCTTGTCTCGCTATTGGAATCTATACTGACTCACGATTTTCTCTCTACCAGGCCGAATCTACCACCATCTCCAACACGGAGAATGTGCGTGCCTTTCTTGATACTTGACATTTCCCTCAGCTGCTTGTCGGCATCGAGGAAAATTGTTCATACTGACCTTTGCGTGGCGGGGACAGCTCCTGAAGTACATGAGCCTTGACCAACGAGGCCATGTCCAGGCTGAATACATCTGGATTGACGCCATCGGTGGTGTCCGCACTAAGACCAAGGTAAGCCTTGCTTTTCTTCTTTTCCTCAAAGTACCTTTGGTATCCCTTGTACCTTTGTTGCCCGCTCGTTTGTGGGAATGTGTGTTATCTGTGCGCCTCTTTTTCCGATAAGCCCTGCAGCTACGGAAGGTGGCATGCATCATCACGTGACCACTCGTATATCCTATCTCCTCATGTGGTATCAACCAGTGCTAACTCTCCCCTCTTTCTTTCTCTCCCGCAGACCCTCTTCAAGGCTCCCACGTCAGTTGACGAGCTCCCTGAGTGGAACTTTGACGGTTCCTCGACCGGCCAGGCCCCCGGCGACAACTCGGACGTCTACCTTCGCCCTGTTGCCATCTTCCCGGATCCCTTCCGTCAGGGCGACAACATCCTTGTCCTTTGCGAGACCTGGGACTCCGATGGGTCCCCCAACAAGTACAACTACCGCCATGAGGCTGCCCGTTTAATGGAGACCCACGCCAAGGAGGGCTTCTGGTTCGGTCTGGAGCAGGAGTACACCCTTCTCGGCACGGATGGCTGGCCTTACGGCTGGCCCCGTGGTGGCTTCCCCGGTTCCCAGGGCCCTTACTACTGCGGTGTCGGCACCGGCAAGGTCTACTGCCGTGATATCGTCGAAGCTCACTACCGTGCCTGCCTGTACGCCGGTATCAAGATCTCTGGTATCAACGCTGAGGTGATGCCTTCCCAGTGGGAGTACCAGGTTGGTCCTTGCCAGGGTATTGAGAGTACGTCTTCATCCCCCTCCCCCTCAGATAATCGCCGTTATTTCGTGCTTGAAGAAGTTTCAGACTAATTGGTGCAGTGGGTGACCACCTCTGGCTGTCTCGTTATCTCCTCCACCGCGTGGCTGAGGAGTTCGGTGTCAAGATCTCTTTCGACCCCAAGCCCATCAAGGGTGACTGGAACGGAGCTGGTCTCCACACCAACGTCTCGACCAACGGCACCCGTGGTGACGGTGGCATGAAGGTCATCGAGGGCTACATGAAGAAGCTCGAGGCCCGCCACAACGAGCACATTGCCGTCTACGGTGAGGGCAACGAGGAGCGTCTGACCGGCCGTCACGAGACCGGCAGCATCGACAAGTTCAGCTACGGCGTCGCCGACCGTGGTGGCAGCATTCGTATTCCCCGCCAGGTCGCCAAGGACGGCAAGGGCTACTTCGAGGACCGCCGCCCGGCCTCCAACGCCTGCCCCTACCAGATCACTGGTATCATCGTTGAGACTGTATGTTTGAAACCCCCGGCCCCCACAACACAAAAAGAAATTAAGTGACCATTGCTAACCTAATTAGCTCTGCGGTGGCATCTAAATAAATACCCCTCTTTGGATGAAGAAACAAAATGCGGGAAACATTGGTTCTTAGCGCTCGTATACCCTCCGGCGTCGACTGAGAGTAGATTGAGAAACAAGAAGAAATATAAAAGGGAGCAAGGAAAGCAGCGTCTGGCAGTATCTATAGATTCGGTTGCCGCTCGTGACATCTACATGATCCTTTTCTTTTCTTTCTATTGTTATTCCCTATACAAACTTGTTACATGCCAGTGCTTGTCTTTGTCTTAATCCTTCCCTCTTTTTTGTTGTTTTCTCGCTCTCTCTGCTGCCGCTTGCTTTTTCCCCCTTGCTTAATATTATTATGCCCCCTTTGATGTCGGCTATGTGTTACGTACAGCATAGAGAAGTATTCGCTTTCGCTATGGTTAATCATTCTGGTTTTTTAAGTGGATTGGAGAGGAGAGATAACTTTCCCTTGAGTCGGCAGTCTATCTTTCTTGTTTTTATCTTGTTTGAAATCAGCTTGGGTTGATCCAGTATAGCTATAACCAAGAATACACTCATTTGAGTACAGCAGTTTTTTGTTGTATCATTATTATCTCAACTTGAATAAGGATCTACTTGAAAAATAATCTATTAAAACAACCCCTTTTCTATTCTGATTAGGCATTACTATTTTGTATCCAATCCAATCCACTCCAATCCAATCCAGGGATCTACTTTCTGAAGAACTTGGTCAGACTGGAGCCCAGTCCGTCCAGACCACGCTGGGTCTGTTCACGTCTCGCGGCGCCATCGACAAGGCCCGAGGGAGCAGCATCATTGTGATCGTCGTCGTTGTTGTTTGTGGAAGAGGAGCCCTTCTTCTCAGTGTAGTACATTGCGACCTGCATGATGATGGCGGCAACAATACTCGCGACAAGGATAGCGATCATGACGATGTTAGAGTTACGGTACTGCGCGCGACCCTTTGCGTCGGCATCGCTCTTCCACCCGGCATACAGCGCATAGGTAGTCACTATACTACCCAGATTTCCCCAGCCAGAGACCACCGCGGAGGCAACCGCGACGCCGACCTCGCCGTGGCGGGGTTGAAAGATCTCCGCGGTCCAGGTCATCACGATGGGGACGGTAGGGCCCAGACCGAAGCCGACGATGAGCAGGCCGCCGTAGCGGGGCCAGGGGTTGGAGTCCGTGCCGGCGTAGGTGGTTAGCAGGAGGCCGAGGATCTGGATGCACACTGGGATGGAGAAGAAGAGGGCCCGGTGGTTGTGGAAGCGATCCGAGAGGGGGGTTACCAGGAGGATGGCAATGAGGTCCATCTATAACGTTAGCAAGAGAAAAACACAGAAAGATGTAGATAGAACGTACAATCCAGATAGGTGCGAATAGTAAGCTGACGTCGATGCCGCTTAGAGAGGGATCGGCGGCTTCGATGATGACGTTGCCGTAGCTTTCCACGCCGATGCCCACGCCCACGACTCCGAAATACATGACTAGCAGGGGCCAGAGGCGCCAGTCGAGGAAGACGCGCAGGAGATCATAGTACGACCACTGCGGATAGTGATACACGCGTTTCAGGTCCTGGTAGTGGACCTCGGCGTCGCGTCCTGTAAGCACGGGAGCGCTGTGAGGCAGCCAGGAAAGAAATCTGTGAGAAGAAGAAGAAGAAGAAGAAGAAGAAGAAGACTTCTGCTGCTGCTCGTGCGGTGCCCTAGGCCGGTCCGGCAGCCACCACAGCAGGGCGAAGCCGACGATGAGAGTGATCAGGCCGTAAAGTAGGAACATCCACTGGAAGCCGACAAGGCCACCGTCGGTGTCCATCTTCTGGAAACCCGCGGACACCAGGCCCACGACGGCGGCAGAGACCTGCGCGGCGGTGAAGTACTGTCCGATGCGTTTGCCGATGCGCGACGGCGGGTAGAATAGGGTCAGGTAGTAGGTCATCCCGGGCCACATGCCTGCAATGACGACTCCGAGAAGAAGACGAAGGAGGCTATGGTTAAGAGTGAGTACAAGCGAGAGGAAGTGAGTAGAAATAAGAAGAAGAAAAACTATGTGATACATACTATAAACTCCAGGCGGCTTTCATGGCAGCCATGCAGCTGCCAATGATGCCCACACTGATGACGATGCGGCTCATCCACACGTGCGGGCTGATCTTTGTCATGACCAGGTTGGAGGGCACCTCGAAGACGACATAGCAGACGTAGAAGAGCGCGAGACCCGTGGAGATCTGGTGCTCGCTCAGATGCAGCACAGAGGCCAGATCGTGGCCGGAGCTCGTGTTCATCGTCTGCGCCAGCGACACGTTCGACCGCACGGCCGAGCAGAGGAAGTACAGCACCCAGAAAGCCGGGATGATACGACGGTCGATTTTCCTAGCCAATTAGCCTGCCTTTTCTTTCTTTTGTTCATTCATTCATTCTTACCCATAGATACGCTCAATCTCAGCCTGACTAGCCACCTCGCCGGTCTCGACATCGCTGCTCACATCTCTCACGGGGTTCTCTTGGACATTCTCGCCGAGATCCTTGCCTGGCTCCGAGGGGAGCTGCAAGTCCGACATTCCTTCTGTTATCTCACGGGGGGAGGAGAGAAGAAGAAAAGTCCGTCTCGTATCGTTTTTTTTTATCTTATCGGAGATCGTGGAGGGGGAATCGGGATTTATAACTAAGAAGGAATCTTCTTCCTTTTGCCGCACAACAATCTAACCGAGGCCAAACTCAACGTTCACCACCGTCCTTTATACCGTTTCGCGATCAAGCAGACCAAGAGTGATAGAATATCCTTTGGGCCGAGCCGGTGAGAGTTGAGAGTTCACCGGGCCGCCTGGTTTTTTTTTTTTTTCCCTTTAGTTTTTCCCTTCTTTTCTTCCTTCTGAGTCAGAGTCGATGATCGCCGTGAAAATGAGCGGAGAACGGAGGATGGCGGGGCCAACAGGACAGTCAAGGCACAGTCCTCAACAAATCGTCGCTGTTAGCTCTGCCTGCTAGCGGGGAAGAATTTAATACAGTTGAAAGTTTACTCTAACATAACTTAATCAGTAGAGGCATTCCCCTGGTTCTTCCGAATGACGTGAACCGGAGGTTGTGTTGGTTGGAACAGGGCATTTTGTTGAGTGGATGAACCAGCCCACTGCCTTCTGGGGGGCTGTCAAAACTTGATTAGGTAGTAGACAAGAGTCAAGAGGTGGGATCCCAACTGATGACAGTTCTCAATGGTAAATGATAAATGGGCTTGGTTGAAAGGATCGTCTGTAGATAACTCGTACGTAAACTCCCACGTACTCTGGAGTGCGAAACTTCAAGGCTACCGTCGGAGGCTCTTTGGAGATCCTCGGGCCGATATCGGTAATGCCGTTTGTTGTTTTTATGAAGTTGCTTTATAACACTACCAATGAATGACTACAGACAACATACCTACAACTCTATTTTATGGATGAGTGTAATCTTCGGTGCATTTCTCGGGAATACACATTGAACTACGAGTAGATATCTGCCAGAGCAAACGGGTATATAGGACAACCAAAAACAGACGGCATCGACACACTGGGGCAAGCAGCGATCATCGGAGCGCCCAGGTATCATAGAATAGTGAAAAAGGGAATGGTTGGGAAGGAAGGAAGAAAACATTTGATTCATTAACAGACCAACTGCAGACTAGTTCCAAAAGCCGGCTTTGGTTTGGCGAGTTCATCAGTTTGAGTCGGATGACTCGGCGCCCTTGGCTCCGCGCTCGAGATCAACGTGGGTGCTGGCCTGGTCATTGTGATGGACGGTTGTCGCCTTGTCGGAGAAGTGGCTGGCGCGGCGCAGGTGCTCCTCGGTCTCGTCGTAGTTGATCAACAGCTCGCCGTTCTTGCCGTAGCGACGAGGCTCGTCTCTCGCAATGCGCACCACGGTAAACACCGACTTGGTCTTGTGGAAGATGGCGTCCATCTCTTCCAGAGAGCGGTAGGCCGTTTCGGGGTAGAAGAAGTACACCACGGGGACAATGAACGCGTTGCTGAACAATTAAGTTAGTGCGAAGCTGAAAGATGAGAGGGGGCGCGGGGGAAAAAAAAAAGGACAAGCTTACATGACAGCGAAGATAATGTACGTCTTATAGCCAATCGTGTCGAAACCGACAGGGGTGATCATGACAACCAAGAAATTGAAGATCCAGTTCGCCGACGTGGACAAAGCATTGGCCGGAGCACGGATACGCAGGGGAACCTTGAGATGAGACAGTGATTAGCATAAACCTCGATTCATTATTGTAGAAGAGGGAAAGAGAAACTCACAATTTCGGCCGGATACAGCCAGGTCATTCCCAGCCAGCCCCAGGCAAAGAAAGTGTTGAAAACGAAGAGGAAGACGGCGGCGGCGATACCAGGACCTGACTGACCCGTGAAGCTGGTAGTGATGGCGAGAACCACCATGGAGAGGGACATGCCGACGGCACCAACCAGCATGAGAGGGCGACGGCCGACCTTTTCGGAGATCCAGATGGGGATGAGAGAGGCCAGGAAGTACTCGGTGCCGTTGCAGGCAGCGAGAATACGCGACATGGTGCCGCTCATGCCAATACTGTTCTCATAGATGGTGGCGGCATAGTAGGTGATCAGGTTGATACCCGAGATCTGCTGGAACATCTGGTTGACGTAGGCTAGGGCGACTCGGTGGAAGTGGCGGTTCTCATCCATGGTGAACAGGTCGGAGAAGCTGACGTCCTGGGCATCCAAGACGCTGTCCTTGATGGCGGTAAATTCGGTGTGGACGTAAGGGTCCTCGGCAGGCAGATCCAGGATGGCACACAGGACCTCGACAGCTTCCTCCTCGTGGCCCTTGAGAATCAACCAACGTGGTGACTCGGGCAGGGGCAGGACGAAGAACAAGATGATCAGGGCGAAGAAGATCTGGAAAGCGAGCGGGAACCGCCAGGCGACGGAGCTCGGATCGAGCCAGGAGAAGCCAAAGTCGAGCCAGTAACTGATCATGATACCGCATGTGATCAGGGAACCCTCCATCATGACAAGCTGACCGCGACGGTGCGACTTGGAACACTCGGACTGCCAGGTGGGCACGGTGGAGGTGTTCAGGCCGTTACCCAAACCGGTGATGACACGACCGACAATTAGGTGCGGCAGAGTGAACGCGCTGGCCTGCAGAGTCGCTCCGACCACCATGATGGCCGAACCAAGGAAGATAGTCTTGCGACGACCGAGATAGTTACCGACCCAGATACAGAGGACGGCACCGACGAAACAACCCAGGTTGTACGACGCAGTCATAACACCTGTTACACAACACACAAATTAGCCCCCCCCTGAATTTTGTTTTTTTTTCCCCTTCACTTCTCCCGGATTCCCCGATGCTAACCCACCTTGAACCGTAGAACGGAAGCTCTTTTCACTAGCTGTCAAACCGACCTCGCCAGCGGACGTGGTATTGATCTCCGGGAACTGATTCGCGAATGAGCTCAGAGTCAGAAGACTGCCCATTACACCTCTGCACACAGATATTGAGTTAATGTGATCCTGATGATATAGGGACGACGGGTTCTTCATCTTACTGGTCATATCCAAAAAGCCTGTCCACACAAATGTCAGTTTAAACGATCAATCGGTGAGAATTGGCGAGATCACCCGCCGCATTCCGTCGAGGGAGATTCTCACTCACAAGAAGTCAAGACCGGCAATAAACCCGATCATAACATTCAGCTTCGTGCCACGAAGCCCGTAGAACCGCGCCATGGTGACAGATTATTTCACTCTTGTTCTGTCTGTTGTCTGTCTGTCTTCTATCATAAGCACCCCTGGCCAACGAACCAAGGCAGCTCAAGTCAAGAAAAGGGAAGAAAGATGAGGAGAAGGAAAATCGACCAGCCCGGGGATAGGCAGCTGGTAAAGAATGGATGGTCTTGTCAGTTCCCATGGTGGCCGATGATCCATTTTAGTATTTTACTTTTCAATGATTTTTATTTTATTTTATTTTTTTCCCTGAAAAGAAAGATTCCCTGCTGGGATTTGCCGCAAGCGCATGGTAACATTGGAATTGAAAACGACTCCGCAGCATCAGATCCCTGCCCTGTGTGAGGCACGATTGAGGAAGTGAGCATCGTCAACCCCCGGATTGGGAGATGGTCTTTTCGACCCCATACTTGGGACTGGAGCCTCCACCTGGTGGCCTCCGCCCCACAAAGCTCCGCGCCGACACGAGTGGAAGAAGCCTTTGAGGATCGTGGTCCTGGTTTGACCACTATTTGATCGGCATGGGTGTGGTGGAGAAGTGGAAAAATCCGTGTTCAACAGTGTCCTCCCTGTGTCGTCATTTGCTGTAGGCACTAGCCTCGTTCTGGAGAACCCGAGCCATGTTTTTTTTGTTTGTAAAAGGGCAGAACAGAGATCCAGCAACCACGCGAGCGTTGCAGCCCTCTCCACGCCACCTGCCATTGTTCGCGTGGGACACGATTGGAGAGTGAGTCTGGGGAGGGGTTCTGACTCTGGAGACTCCGGATTTCTGCTGTCTCTGGGACCTCCAGTCAGGTACAACGCCACGCGAGGAACGAAGGGCAGATCAGGTAAAACTGGAGTATCTAGATACCTATGTAGCAACTACCGCCACTTAACAGTTAGCCCTGATTCAGCGAGTAATTCCAGATGGATGGAGGTACCCAGGAAGGAAGGTAGGTAGCCGATCCATGGGCAGGTCATGACATGCGTTGCGCGAGCCGGATGCCGCGTTGCCGTCGTTGGTTAGGGATGAGGAAAGAATAATCCTGAGACATCATTCTCGCTAGATGGAGATGCGAGGGCAATTGTTTGGGTTTCTCTTTCTCCCATTGGTTTGGCGTGGGGATTGTCGACATGGTGTAGCAGTGGGTGGATCGGACGGAGGGGACTTCGGTAAAAGATTTGGACTTGGTTACTGGTTTGAGTTGCTAGCCTGAGGCATGGTACATAGAGTGACAATTGTCAGAGTCTTGCCATACTAGTACATATAGTTAACCTATATCTTTTCTAAGGTTCTTACCACTTAATACTCTGTATAGGATTCTCTTTATGCAGGAAATATACTGAATCAGAATATGGTAATATTCAAATAGTCTGTGTGCACTGTGTAGTGTCTAGTAAATAACAAAATAATGAGTAACGAAGTATCTACTATCAAGGCAGGTACGGAGTACTCCGTACCTGCCTTTCTAAGTTTACTGCAAACAAGGAAAGAGCATTACGGGTGGCGCTTGCCGAACTGTGGCTCAATCGCCGTCTGATCAAGCCACTGACACCACAGGCTACAGGCACACTCAGGCCATGATCGACCCTAGTTATGTAGGAGTTACTACTCTGTATTTAGCTATGGGATGATAAGAACAAGAGTACTTGGATAGATAGTATGGAGTGTTTAGTTATACCTACTAGTTATATCTGTGATCTACATACCCAAATCTTATCTTCAACCTCATTATAAATTTCTACAGAGACCTACTGAACTACTACTAGTCAGTGATTGATAAGGCATTTCAGATATCTCCATACTGTATGTAACCTTGCCGGCCCTCCAAGTCAACTCGGCTTGGCCGAAATTCTACCTACTTACTACCTTACATAATGTAGTACGGAGTAGAGTGTGAAACGACGCCCGGCCCCAGTGCAGCCGGAACTGCCTAAAATGGAAGTTCCGTACTCCCCTTCCCTTGGGCCGTCTGGCAGCCAACTCCATGCTATGGAATATACAGGCAGGTACGGAGTACCGGTAAGGCACATCCATATGTAGGTAGTACTCCGTAGCTGAAGTAACTAAGCTACCCATCCCTTACAGGTGCAATTAGGCATTCCGCATGACTGCCGTCGCACAGCCTTACCATCTTCAACAATCAATTTTCTAGAAACTCTGCGCGTGTCTGATCTCCGGAAAACACAGTCAAAAAGCCACCAGCCGGATTGAAGGCCAGACTTACTTGATGGAGGTACTTGATTATTAGGTACTCGTGGCAGGCTGTCAGTGACTGTGACATTGTCAGGCTTCTCACGTGATATCGATATTCCTCGAACCTTGAAGCCGGAGAACGGCCGGGGCCACGGTAAAAGATCGTCTATTGTTGACCTTCCGAGTCTCTGCGGATAAGCTGTCACTGTGAACCCGATTCTGCGATTGGGTGCTAGGAGAGCCGATACTTGCAACCGGATGAAATAATTACCCCGAAATACTAACTATCGGTACTCGTACTAATCATTCGCCGATGAAGAGCCAGAAGTGGCTCTTCACTGCCTAGATACGTCATGCTACAGATAGAAGAAGAGGAATGACAGGTAACAAGACTAGACCAGTTGCTACTAATGGAGTCGCTATCACAGGAGACCTATCCAGAACAACAGGAGACAGTAAGTAGTTGATAAAAAAACCACACAGTCCGCCGAACGCGTCACATCTGCCAGAGACACAACCCCTTCACTCGCCGCTCCAGCAAGTCTCGGTGAATGCAATTCTCGCTACTTTCGCAAAACCCGGTATGTCGTCACTGTTTGTAAAGTAAAAAGAAAAAAAGAAACAGAAGCAAGTGGCCGTTTTTTTTTTTTTTTTTTGAAAGTTCCCTGTCCAATTCCCTGACTAGTGTGAACGGCGGATTGTGAGGTGCTGATAGACAACCCCTCCCCTTCCGAAGCCGATTCCAATATCAAGGAACAGGATGGAGAAAGAGGAAAAAAAGACGGCATTTCAACAGCGTGCAGAGTGGAGACGGACCAAATGATCAATGCGCATATGTATTTCGAACCCCTGACGTCAGGGAACCTATCCTGCCCCCACACCGTGAGATGCCGAAAAGCAACATCGCTGCGGGACAGAGCAGTAGACTGACACGCCAAGGATTCCTGAACACCACATGGATCAGGCCTGTAGTGCGACTCTATGCTGAGATGTGTCCCACTACCAGCCGGCGCCTGCAGACCAACCGCCGCCAGCGTCGGGAGACTCTTCTGGTTGCTGCTGATGGCCCGAATTAACGGGATTGTCGTCGCGACTGGTTGCCCAACCATCATTGCCGCCAGCAGGGGCGCCCGGGAAGTCGCCAGTGGGATCCTGGGCAGTGTTCTCTTCTGGAGCCTGAGGGCAACGTCTGATGGTGTGGCCCACTAGGTACGTTGTATCAGCATCTAATGGTTGATAGGAAAACAACAAACCCACACAGTGGATTGAACTTACTCTCGCCGCAATTGTTGCACTTGACCTTGGACCAATCCTTCTTTTTAGTGCAATCACGGCTGAAGTGGCCGACTATCAATTGAAAACAGTGTGTTAGCTCCACTGTTGATTCTTTCCAGGAGTCCAGGGCAGTCAGTGGCTAGGAGCTACTAGCCTTCCCTCCTTACCTTCATCGCAGTTACGGCAAGTCACAGTAGACAGATCGCGAGGCTGGTCGCAGTCCCGAGCAATGTGGTCCTCCGAGCTGATTTTTTTTTGGTCAGATATACTGCTTGCTCTTCCTATAACCAAGAGCTGTGTTTACTTACCCGCAGTTACGACAGGTCCGAGGTGCGCTGGCCTTAGGACAATCTTTGGCAAAGTGACCGGCTGGTTGAACGAGTTATAATGTGATATCTTGAAGTGTTTCATCTTGGGGAAAACTTACTTTCGTTGCATTTTCTGCACTCGATACCTTCCGCAGAACGTGGCTCAGTGCAGTCAGCAGCCTTATGACCTGGGTTTCTTTATAAAGGGTTAATGAACTTGGCCTAGACCAGTGGTGCAGTGATGAGGGATAACATGCCCGCAGTTGCGACAGGTGAAGTTTCCGGCACGACGTGGCTGAGTGCAGTCACGAACACGATGTCCGACCTCACTGCAATTGACACACTTGATCTCGACACGCTCGTAGTCACTCGCGCGCTCTTCCTTACAGAAGCGCATGGTATGGCCCATTTCTAGGTCAAGTCAGCATCCATGCTCTCATATTTATCTCTCAGATATGTCGACTTACCATTACAGTTAGAGCACTTAGGGATCTGGCGGTCATAAGGAATTCCGGCATTCTGAAGGCGTTCCATGTTCTCCTCGGTAGAGGCAGGCCAGCGTTCTCTGAGATTCGCGCGCTGTGGCTTGGGACTGAAGTAATATCCCACCACGTACTTACAGTCGAGTTTACCTTGGAGGTCGATCAAACTGAAAGTATCTTCAGGATTTTTCTCCTGCGGATTTGAGATTACTTTTCTGTATCTCAGTGGCAAATGGAAACTATCCTTACCAGTGCAACGATGTAAAACTTGAGGTTGTCTTCGCGCAGTTTTTTCTCCATGTCCAGAAAGGTAGCCAGGGGGGCCGCCTTGGAGTAGACCTTTACACCCTATTACGTTGTCAACAAGAGCCTCAAGGCTTCTCCCCCCCCTGAAGAGTTATGATTCCCTACCTCACGAAAGTCTGCAAGATCTCTCTCATTGCTTGCCTTGCGAATAATAGTCCAGGCTTCTTCGGGGAGCTTGTCAGGAATATTATTCAAGTCAAACTTGCGGTTCTGCTTGCAATCAATGGTCTTGTGGCCTTTCTCGCGTCAGAAAAATTTTGGTTCATGATATAGTTTCAGGCATGGATTCTTCAATCGATCTTTACCTTCAGTCCTGCAGTTCTTGCACACATCGGGAGGTCTCTCAGGACAGTCGACGGCAGGGTGGCCTTCCTGGTTGCAGATACGGCAAGGTCCTTTGAACACGCGAGGCTTGGTGCATTCGGCCTTGGTATGGCTATTCGGAAAGTAAATGTGAGAAACCCTCCACTAGGAAGTTTTCAAGATGATTGACTTACCCTTCTTCACCGCAGTTGAAGCAGGCCATGGGCTTACGAGGCTCAGGGCACTCACGAGCAAAGTGGCCCTCATTTCCACAGCTTCACAGAAATTGTCAGCATACAGACTCTCATACAAACTCTTTGACTTTGGTTACAATATATTACTTACTTGCGACATTTGTTATCATCGTCATTGTGGCCGTTGGAAGCCATTTTTTCGGGGTTTTGGCTGTTATCACCACCCCAACTGTCGGAAGCCTTGAAGCCTGGTTTGGAGTTCTCATCATTCCATCCTAGTTATTCTCGTCAGACGTATTGCATAGAAAGAACCTGGAAACAGTATTTTCCTTTCTTCCACAGAAAGGCCTGTCTCTGCTTACCACCGGCACCGGCAGATTCCTCTTTCCAACCACCGTTACCGGCAGTGCCCTCCTTCCAAGCAGGTTCAGCACCCCAGCTGGCTCCCCCGGCTCCTCCAGCCCCCCAGTCCGCCATGTTGGGCGTTTTTGACTCTATGGGTATCTGGAGAAGAGATCCGTTGCTAGGAGCAAAACAGCATTAGCCTCATAGTCTATGAACAACGACAAGCATACAGTTACGATACACATCTCCAAATTAACCCACAACAAACAGAGGCAACACTTCGAATGAAGGTATTGCAGCCACTCTTCGAGAGATGTGTATGGCACCGTGGACTTGACTCCAGAGTCATATCTAAGGGGAAACGAAAGGAGAGAACACACCTGGTTACGCTTTTCCCGCCTTTTTCTTTCAACTAGAGTCCTCTCTACTCGCGAATTTTTATGTCTTTTCGACAGACGAGCAAAAGAAGAAAGGGGTGAAGGAAAGAAAAAGACGCGTGGAGAGGGAGAGAAAAAAAATAGAAAAGTCAGAGAAGGGGGGGGTCACCTGAGGGAAAGCAGACGCAGACAACAGAGCAAACAGAGCCCACCAACACTCGACCTCTTTGGTTGCCTTTCCTTTTAACAGTCTAGGACACCGCGCAGGCCTATTTATTTCTTGCCCTTTGTCTTTTAGTTGCTGATTTTGCTTCTATCAGAGACTACGTCTCTACTTTTGACCACTGTCCATACAACGAGATGTGGGCTTCGTGGTGTTGAATAAACCCAGGTTTTTGAAGAATTATATGATCCCCCGGAAAGATCCAAGCTGACTTTAAACTCGCTTTTAAGGAGTCTGCCCTGAATTCGAATTGACTTTTACAGCTCTCTGAGCAGTCTAATCATCCGAGTAACCTGATTGTACCGTACGAGAAGCACAACCGAGCGATATCAATTATATCGAACACCAAATCTTGGTGTCATGGTCAAGAGCAATTATATTGGTAACAGCTGCATACATTCAAAAGGGCCATACAGTACCTAGGTAGCCCGAGTAAAAATTTGGGCCCGGAACTGTTACAATAACCCAAAGGCAGGCTTCAAATCCACGTCTTCTGCTTCGTCCCCGGCGGCGATTCCATTGTTTTTATCAACTCCTCCACCTTATCTCCAATTTGCGAACTGTTAGCAGTGATAGTGTTGTACTTATCATAGAATCCTTCTATTTTCCATCGTATCTCGGATACATAACCCGAGGTCAAGGTCTCTGTATCTTCAATCATTCTTTTGGTATGTGTTAATTTGCTTTTGATCTCCTGAATGATAGAGCCCTGCGTTTTAAATGTCGATGCCATGTGTGCATCTTTGTTCGTACATTCTGGGCAGGGAACTGGGCGTTCGCTCCCGGTTTGGAGCTGCTGCAACCGCACCTTTTTATAGTCCTGTTGCAGCTTGTCATGGGTATTCTTGAGTTTCAAAAGCTCGGCATCTTGCTCGCGTCTCGCATTAAGTGAGTCATTAAGGCGTTGATTGATGACTTGGATTCTTCTTTCCCACTCTTGGTCACGAAGTTTTATCTCTTCACCTTTCTTCTCCAACTCTCCGTCTTTCTTCTTCAGCTCTTCGTCTTTGCTATTCAACTGCTGGCGAAGGTTATGAATCTCTGCTTCTGATATCTTTAACTGCTCATCTGTCTTTTGTGCCAGCGTCTGCGCGTCAGTATACCGAAGCATTGCCTGAAGGCACGTGGTCATTGTTTTCGTAGCGAAGGCAATATCGTTCCGATCAAGTGCTGGCAATGGCTCAACCACAGACAACCCTCCAGTTGTTTTAGGAATGGAGCAGTTCGCTTGAGAATTACTCGAGACATTATCAGAGCTGTGATCTGTGGCTATTGGCAGGACGGTCTCTTTCTCCTGGGGTCTTTCTTTGGGGGTCTCTTTCGATTTGAGGTTCCGTAAGAAGGCTTCCCCGGGATTCAGTGTGACTACTGATGCCGGCTTGGTTGCGATACCTTCATTTGCCGTTGTCCGCGCGACTGGCTTTTGAAAAGAATTTGGTTCCACACGGTTACTATTCAGAGACTTGTGCTTTATTGGCGTCAGCGGCTTCCCATCATATTGGTCAAATGGAATAGACAAGATGGGACTTACGTTGCATCTCCCAGGTGAAACATTATGATCAATATCACTTCCCTCGCTGTCAGAAGGCTCATAGTTAGGGTCAAAAAGACTCTGCTCCAATCTTGCCAATTTCTTAGATCGTGATGGCGATGGAAGATCTGTAAGTGGCAGGCGTTTCCTTGGGCTTCTCATCATATTGCCAGTGCTAACAGGGTTTGTAATGGCACTGACAGCGATGGTAGTACTGCCAGCAGCAGCAGAAACAGCGGCGGAGTTACTCATCTAGATATTTATCAGAGGAAGCAGTGGGAGGCAAGATGTTTACAAACCAAGGATGGTACTTACCATTCTTCTTCTTTGGCTGATTTTCTTTGTGGACCAGGTTAACAAGTTGCAAAGATTATCTCCAAGGCAGTTATTGAAGCGAATTCTCTTACCGAATACTCCTTCGTGATGGCAGGGGTACTTCGATGTGGAAAATACCGCTGTCCACAGGGTTAGTTAAGGGCTCTCGACAAACGGGGATGCTCCTGCAAAAAAAAGCACCTACTTCACGAAACTGGGGCCAACGGAGTTGTCTGTTTTGCCTTCTCAGATTCCAGAGCTTTTCTCGTTCATCCTGAGACCAGGGTCCCCCTCTGGAATTTGTTTTCCTTTTCGTGATCTCAGACATGTGTATAAACGAGTGTGAGTATGAAGACATTTATAGCCTACTCCCTCAGAGATCAACAACCCCCCCACATAGATATCTATACGGGGAGCAAAGCCAAAAAAAAAAGCAAATCGCGGTGCAAGTCCCTCAAGCTGAGAAAAGGACCGGGGGGGATAAATTGGATGGCGCAGCACCTCACCTCGATCTGAACGCGTGCCTGTGGGATGCCGCAGTCCAAACCTGCTTTTGTCCAGGATTTGTCTGTCCAAGCGCTGAGAATACACACTTTATATGATTTATGACACATCCTCTGGCAAACTAGCCAAAATTACAGGCTGGTAATTTTGACTAAAACGTGTAAGTTAATCACAAACGGTCTTTTATGTTGGTTGTATGCAAGCTACCAATAATCTGTTTGTTGGCGAGTCAGACACCCAGTGGTCAAGCCTCCGCAACATTTCCAACAACCCAGGCTTTTTTTTAGTACTTCTCAGGGCTGTGTTCTCTAGAATACCATTCTTCTTTATTAGCTAACTAGATCTAACTCCTAATTTTTGTCCATTTCACCTCTAGAATGAAGGATATCGCAGGCCTGCAGTCAACCAGGACAGAAAAAGAATACAAAGCTGTTCATGGCTAAGACATTATTGCTTTTTTCACCTTTGGAAAAGGGGCAAGGCTGAAACTGCCTATATCTCCTCCAAGCAAGGTTGATTCGTTGCTGCAATCTACGGAGTAGTAAGTGTCCACTGTCCACTGTCCAGTGTCCACGAGACTGACGACGAAACCCCACGCCTTCTCTCATCATGGGCATCGAAAAATACGGCTACTGCCTGAATAAAGACGACTGAATTAGTGAAAAGAAGAAGGGGCTCAGGATAGAAATGCTAATCAACTGAGCCGGTATTATTGATCTGTGAAGCTAGAGCTAACACTCTAGTGTCATGCCAAAGAGACCATCTCGAATCGCGACAGGGAAACAAGACGGATCAGTTTGTTTCCAACACTGTTCTCGGACGTCAGCCGTCATCCAAAAGCAAATCCGAGTCCTTTTCTCTCTCGTTATTTGCCCAACACCACGGCTAGTTTTGGGGGTTTCTTTTGATAATAAACTGGTTTTAAGGCCGGGATGGACAAGCATTAAGGTCACCGGAGTAATCCATGTCTCTAGTATAGATGAGTATGGTTCCCTGGCTGAAGCCCCTGAGAGATTTCCGAACTGCAGTCGACATCAACTAACCTTTGATTGGATAGAATTATAGGACCCCAGACATAGATCCTTATAGTATACTATCATAAGAAAGAGGAGGCACAATGATAACTAAAAACTATAAGTCAATACGAATCACTGCCATACTGGGACTGTGAGTGACAAGAGCACCTACTTCAGTATTTGTGTGCCAGCTATCAGGGTGTCTCAAGTGAAAAGTCGTCGATATAAGAATGTGTGCTCAAGTGGCTCATGCCTTGCCACCCATTGAGTGTTCTGGTGGATCTGCTAGTATCTGGATCGTCAGGGTGTAAATATCTCTTTCGAAGGCGAACACACTCAGCCATCAGAGATATGGCAGCTTCGGCTTTCCCAAGAGATTTGGAGATGATTGCCATTTTGTGCATGCTTGTCAGAGTTTTATAATGCTCCAGCCCAAGGACCTGCTTCTGGGTCTCTAATAATTGTATATTCATTTCTTCTGCCTCCTCCCATTTCCCTTGGGACATTTGTGTGATAACCAGGTTGTGCATGCTTGTCAGAGTGTTGTCATGCTCTAGCCCTAGGATCTGCTTTTGGGCCTTTAATAATTGCAAACCTACCTCTTCTGCTTCCATCCATTGCGATTGATCTAGGGCTAGGTTCATTAGTTTACTCACGTTTCGCAGCGTTGCTGAATGTGTATCACCCAGTATTTTCCGCTCTAAGTCTATAGTGCGATGATAAAACAGTTCCGCTTCGTTGAATCTCAGATCACTTCTGAGACAATCTCCGATCAATTCGAGGAAATAAATAAATGTACTCCTCTTGCTGGTTTTGAAACTCATTGTCTCCTACTAGAAATAGTGCATGAGGTAAATACCGGCGCCATAGCTTTCGATTCTCGTTGCAAACGACATCCCGTAAAGCTTTCCATAAAAGCTGGGCTGTTTTCGATGTTTGCAGGCTAAATCTTTGATCTTGTCTCATCCAATTTCGAGTCGCAAGATGTACCAGTCGATGAAGATATAAGGAATGATCACTTGTCTGCTCGGTAATGAAGGAATAAGCTTTGAGGAGTCCCAGAGCATCAACTCTCTTTTTCTGAGATGGAGACTGTGGTAGTAGTGACTGTGGGATATCGCGCGGGTTGATGCAAGCCATAAATAACAAATGTTCAACAGCCAGTGCATTCAACTGCTGGATATGTTGAAATGAAATCAGCCAGGTACTCGCGACGGGATTCTGAATAGCTGCATATCGGCCTTCATCCTCGAAGTTTTCGCTCAAGAGCTCTATGACATCTGGCTCCTGTTCTTGTAGAAGTGCGATATAATCGGCCAGTCCTATATCATTCTCATTGATATATGCCGCCGCCTGTGTAATTGCCAACGGGAGATATGTCAGCTGGTCAAGAAGGTTGAGAGTTGTTTCGTAGCTGTCATAAATTAGGCTTGACTGAATGAGTGATCTCTTCAGCATATCCGCAGCAGTCCTTTGGTCTAGACTATGGACTGGTATCACATGTTGATTCACCAGTTTCACCGCGAGCTTTCGATTCCGTGAGGTGAAAAGAATACAGCCATTCTCGCTTTGGGGTATAAAGTACCGGAGTACTGAAGTGGTGGCATCGCCGCTGTCTCGGATCCACATACGGTAGTCATCCGCGTTGTCAAAGACAAGAAGCCACTTTCCAGCATGTTCTTTGCTGAGATAACCTTTGATTCGATCTTTGGCCTCTGCTGGCTTCACATCGTGCATCCCAAGAATTTGCGTCATGCTAGTGTAGGCTTGTTCAACGCTCTCGTCACTAGTACATGGAATCCAGAAAATTGAGCGCTCGGGATCTCGTTCTCGCATGCGGTAGGCCAGCTCCAGTGCTACTTGCGTCTTTCCAACTCCTCCTAATCCACATATAGCGACCTTACTCAATCCGTTTCCATCCTGTTGTTGGATCAATTGCTCGACCTTGGCTATCACGTCTTGACGGCCAACAAACCTTGGATTTCTTCCAAACGGGATCATCCAATGGCCTGCTCTCTTTGTATGATCTTGCATGCTCTCAGCTCTGTGGTGCTTAGGAACCAGGATTAAGAGAGCCTTTGCATAAGCAGCTGCAGTAAGAGCTGCATATCCTTGCCATTTTTTGTGCTTGTGTGAGTCGCAATAGTCACAAATGCCTCGAATCACGAGTGATGGAAGCTCATCCATAAGCCCGGCTGCTTCCATTTCAAAGCAAAGAATTCCAACTTCCTGAGCAATCGAATCGCGAAGCTTAGCATCCTTAATGACCTGATCACCCGAAGCAATCAGGCCCGGATGGATATAATGCTCACCAGCTGCCCGCGGGGCGCGATTCACAAGCTGCTTCTGATCGCACCCTGAACAATCAAGAGACCCTCCCTTGTGAAGATACGTCGGTTTAAATAGCCAGTCAGACTCTGGTCGGGAAAACTGCTCTCCCAATGCGTGGTTGCTCTGCAGAATGTCTGTCATAATTTTATTAACTGGGTTCTTCCCTGTCATGCAGTCGCTTTGCATCTGAGACACTGCCTTCAACAACACCGGTGGAGGTTTATTGAGTGAGCCAGTTCGTTGAAACTGACCGTCATAAAGTGCCTTGCCGTAGTCGTACTGAATAACACCAGTAGAGAGGCCTGTCGGTTGACTGACTACCACATCGCCAAGTCGAATATCAGCTGCGTTTCCGGGCACCCCTCCTCCAATGCCGACCATCAATCCAAAGCGAACACCCGGAAAGGTGGAGGTTATGTGAGATACCACCGTCGAAGCGGATATTGTGCCGTAGACGCCCGCTGGAAGGCAGGCCACGATCACATTGTGACCGCTGACGGTGCCGAGGGTGTAGATGTTGTGGTCAGTCGGTGGTTGGGGCAACGGATCGTGAATTTTATCGAGCATGGCCTTCGCAGCAGCCAGCTCCAACGGTAGGGCACATATCCAGGCGACCGTGTAGTCGCAGTGTGTGAGGGAAGCCATGTTTGTATGCTTGTTAGGAATTAGGAAATAATAATGAGGGCGGCTAGCGATCTCTTGGGTGCTGTATACACCCACCTAAGGAGAGAAAAGGTCAGGAGAATTGTGTTGCAATCTCTCAGTTTCAATACCAGTAGAGATCACCATCTATCAGATGGCCATAACTGTTAGAAGTGATACTCTTTCTGGTGCTCTTTTGCGTGTGTTGGGCGGACGATGGGGGAGGGGTAAGCGGCTACATATACCCAGTAGGAAGTCGCAAGGCTGCCAATCTCAGCTGCCAATCATTCACTTGAGACCAGATTTACCTGTCCACGTTGTGACATGGGTATTGATAATTGAAGCTCCATTTCATTAAACCTACAGTGATATCTTTCACAAGAATCTATTCGTCAGAGTATACCTGAATCTTAATGAAAAAAACAAGAGAGGACGAGTATTCATCCGAAGGAAATAAAATGGCCTAGGTTACCGAAAAAGCCTACCCAGCAGGCCTCCAGCAATGTTATTGATGAGACTTCCACCAAACGCCCGGTTGGCAAATGTTGAAGCCTGACCGAACCGATCACAGCGAGAGAATGCCACCGTATTGGTAATCGTCAGAACGAGGGCGATGGCTGTTGGATTGTAAGTCTTCCCTGTGAAGCAGAAAAAAGGAACTCCTGTATGGCAAAGAGAACCTACCGACTAGACTCAGCCAGATGACACTGCTCAGAGTCACAATGGCCAAAACAGCCAGTCCGATCCACAGCGCCGGAGTTGCATAGAGACTCAGCCAGAAGAACCTCTTATCTGTAGCATTGATGGTGCGAACGTTTGGATCCGACGACTCAAAGACCCAGTGCGAGTCACCCGTGGCAGTGTTGACCTCGTTCCACCATCGCAGACCGACTAACCGGCGGCCGGCGATGTTCTTGAGATAGTAAAAGTCCGCGGACAGGAGAAGCAGAGTGAGGATAAAGACGAGGACACTAGAAGCTGTTAGAGGGATGTCTTTCAAGTAGAGTAGACGTAGGTAGTTATAACGTTTCGGGGTACATACAAGTTCCGGATGAAGAGGACACCAAACAGATACATCAACAGTGCACCTATATCAGTCAGCTTCGTCTGCCCTCATTCCAACTTCCATACTAGTAGCTGATAAATGAAATATCTGCTTCCAAGACACGACTAACCAATGCGGAAGCCCAGGAAGAATAGCAGGGTGATCGGATGCGCACTGAGGCGCCAGTTCAGGTCACCCGCCTGATGCTGCTGGTCCATGGTCAAGACAATCGGAGAGAAGGAGCAGGCACAAAGTCGCCTAGAGCAGCAATAGCGACTAGCTTCCTGACCTGTTCGAATGGATTCTGTTATTCTTGAGCTGTGATAAGATGGAGATCGTAGATGAGACGAGACTCACGTGTTGCATACGCGTGGCAAGAAGAGGCGGTGGGACTAGGCAGAATATATCCAGATAGGCAGACCAAATCATCCTGCAACAGCTGTCGGCGGCATCAATACACGATGGATTGGAGAGAAACAGCTATAGGAATCGGGTGGAAATCCTCTCATGGTAAACTTTGATCCAACAAAAGCATAGTTTGCGAGGTACTGACAACACTGTAGACTCTAGAGCAACCGGCACATCCCCACCATGCCCTTGTTCTTAAGGTGGAGGTCCGAGGATCCTACTAGGACCTCACTTCCAACCAGCCTAGAGACTCAACAGTTGATACAATATCGGTCACCCGATGCGAGAGTGTGATATTCTCTTTGCCTTACCGATAAACATTTGACAATGGCCTCTCGGAACACCCTCCGCCGGGCCTTGCTTTACGGTACGTCAAGCTCTCCCCGCATTTCCGCTTATCGCGCCCACGAGCTGATCGTCCAGTGCCCGGCTCTTCGCAGCGGTTCCTCGACAAATCCCGCTCCCTGGTGGCCGACTGCGTTGCGTATGATCTGGAAGATAGTGTGACGCCGCACAAAAAGGCAGAGGCGCGGTCTCTGATCCGGAGAGCGCTCGACCAACCCGCTCCGGCAGGAATTCGAGAACGCGCAGTACGGATCAATTCTGTTGAGAGTGGATTGGCGCTGGGTGATCTTACGGAGGTGGTGAGTTTTTTTTTTTTTTTTGAATTTTTAAATCCGTATCTAGGGAGGTGCATAAGCTTATGGGTACAAGTTACAATCGCCCAACCTGACTACCCTCGTTGTTCCCAAAGTGAACTCGCCCTCGGACCTCACCTTCGTCACGGACGTGATATCACACACGCTGTCCCAGCAACAATCATCACGGGAAGACCGCGCACCCATCTCTATTTTAGCACTGATCGAGTCAGCCAAATCAATCACCAACCTCCGCGAGATCTGCGCCGCAACCCCGCTCCTACAAGGCCTCATCTTCGCCGCCGAAGACTTCGCCCTCGACCTAAGCCTCACGCGTACCCCGTCACTGACGGAATTCCTGTTCGCCCGCTCCGCAATCGCCACAGCCGCCCGCGCCGCCGAGCTGCCCTCGACGATCGACCTCGTCTGCACGGCGTATAAATCCGAGCGTGCCCTCGCAGGCCTGGAAGAAGAGTGCCGCGGGGGGAAACAGCTAGGCTTCAATGGGAAACAGTGCATCCATCCGTCACAGGTGGAAACCGCCCAGCGTATTTTCGGCCCAGATCCGGACGAGGTCGAATGGGCGGTGCGGGTCGTCGTTGCGGACGAGAAGGCTGCGGCTGCGGGGCGTGGCGCCTGGACGCTCGATGGTAAGATGATCGATGTCCCTGTTGCAGAGAAGGCGAGGGGGGTCGTCCGGCGAGCGGAGGAGTGCGGGTTTGACGTGTTCGCTGTACGAGAGAAGTGGAAGGGGGAGGAGCCAGAATAGTTGGACCCCTTTTTAATGTGAATATAATCAAAATGGTTTATGTACTGTTGTGCTAGTATTACTACTTCGCTATATATCTGCTCGATTAAGAGGATATCTGCAAAATGACAAAGCACGCTATGCTCGGGGCAAATATACTCAATCATCGCGCTTCAAAAGCTGGATCTTGCCCATGGTCAGAACTGGCACAGCAGTGGTTCCATCGTCGCTACCCTCGCCTGCAAAGCGATCAGTGCTGGTACTGGTACTATTGCTGCTGCCGCTGCCGCTAGCAGCCAGCTTCTTGTCGTAGCTTGCAGGGTCGATGCCGAGGATCCCACCGACGTATCCACCGCGCTCGCCAGGGACGCTGAACTCGCGGAACAGATACTTCCACTCATTCAGCCAGGCTTTGACGGCTTTACCGATCTTGTCCTTGCCGTTCTTCGAGTGATGGCCTGTGCCTGTGATAGCGTACACGACGCGCCGCCCGTCTGCAGCCCGTGCGTGTTGCAGTAGAATCTTCTCTAGGTACTCGATCGCTTCTTCCGGGTGCAGGCCATGTAGATCGACGTAGAGTTCCTCTGTTGCTTCGTCTAGCCCCGCACTGCGGAGGTGCTGGTTGCGCTCTTCGTACAGCTGCCGTGCCGCTTCTCGGTGGCATTTGCGCATCGCTTCGTTCTCGGCTTGCCCGCGTAGAGACAGCGCTTTGGCAGCGCGGGCATCGTTACGATTCCAGGCTTGTGCGGCACTAAATTCAGTTAGATTAATTATACTATCATGGAAGAGAACCGAAAAAAAAAGAAAAAAAAGGAGTACCTCTGCAGGAATTTGTTGCGCACCGTGCCATGACGGATAGCCTCGGTGCGATATTTGATGTACTGTCGGTTAGCCCGCGAGCCGGTTTCCAACCACGGAATATTCTTGGGTGCAGGAATAGACTGCGCTGCAACGCTGTGCTCACGGCCCTTGGGTGCGGAGTCTTTGCCGGCTCGCGAGGCTGGCCGTGTTTTGGAGGCACTCGGAGAAGGTGACATGCGGACCACATCCGCCAGCGAGGCCGGTGCATTCTCTTTGTTCAGGCTCTCCCGGCTGTGGTGTGCGCCGCGCTTTCCATGGTGTTTCTTGTTGCCGGCAGCACCTTTGGTGCCCACGGCGCCGAGTGTGGGAAAGGCGTCTGGGTCATCGACTGATGGCGCTGTCAGGGTAATATTGTTGTCACGATGTTGATGGCGACTCGCCGGACGCGAGTGCACGGTACCATTACGTCGGCTAGCGCTGCCCACATGTAGCCCAGAACTTCCATTTTTGCCGGGAACAAAGGTTGGGGTAGGATAGCGGCCGAGAAATTGACCTGAGGACCAGGGTTCGGCTGCCCCCGGTGCGGTGGTCTGCAGAGGCGGGAACGCATCCGACGTGGTATCGATCTGGAATGACGGTTGAGAAGATGACACGTCTGTCAGGCTGATGTTTGCGACCAGAGCGGAGGGATCATGTGAAAAGGGACAACCGTCGCCGGCAAGGCAGTTACCCATGATCCAGTACTTGCAGAGATGGTTGGTCAGATCGTGACTGAAGCGACAGTCAGCACGCAAACACTGGCCTGTGGACAGCCAGTATTTACACACGACGGGGCTGCGGTTGTGCACCGCGGGGGCCATTGTGGAGGCCTGATCGACGGCCATGGACTTGCCGACGACAATGCGGTGATGGTCTTGGGGATTGTGCGGGCTCAGATAAGAATCTGCCTCGCTGTCATTAGGCTGCGTGAGCGCAGCAATAGTGGCCCCGAGGTCATAGCTGTGGGCTTCGAGGGCGGTCTCGATTTCATCATTGGACCGCTTGTCCCCGAGGACGGTGCGTAGAATATCATGAGGACTCATGTCCGGAACGAATTCGGGAGCAGTAGCACTGAGCCCACCGATCGACGAGGTCGTACTGCGGGCATCGTCACCAACGAGCCAGTCGACGTTGCTGTCGCTGCCGAAATCGCCGTAGCCATAGTCGAAAACCTGGCTCTGGTCGGAGAACTCGTAGGCGTTCAGATTGGGCGAGTGTGGAATAGGGTGCGCCAGGGCTAGGCGTGGTGATGGGCGCGGCGAGGTAAACGGCGATGCCGTCGAGGACCGTGGTGGGCGAACGAGGCCGCCCCGCGACCCCGGCAGCCAGGAGGAGGAGGCCGGGCTAGTGCCTAGGTTAGAAGGGGGCGACAGCGGGGTGGCAGCGCGCGCCATCTGCCAGGGGGCCGGTGAAGAACGACGGATGACCGTATGTCGCGGGGGAGGCGGCGAGGAATCGGGTAGGGAGCGGTTTCGATGGCGCCAGAGGATATCCAGCACGGCGTTCTCGAGCGGGGGGCCCGACAGCGAGGTGTGGGAGCGCAGGACGTCCTCGACCTTTTCGACCTGCTCCTCATCGTCAAGGGTCTCATCCTGCAGAATCTGCAGACATTTTTCCAGAATCTCCTCGGACACCATGCTGGCGACTATATCTCGATGATGGTTATTCTGATTCTGGTCGAGCCGGCTCACAAACGAAGCGAAAGAGAGGGGAGGGGTAAACAAAGGGTCGGCGAGAAGACCAAGCGGATCGCAGAACAAACAAAACGGCGGCTAAGTGTCAGGCGAAAAAGCGCATGGTCTCGATGAATTGGATAAAGCGATATAGCAGAGCGATAGAAGAGGAGGAAATCAATCGACGTGTTCTAGACAGATGGTAGTTCTATTGTGTTCCAGGCGTTCGAAGCGTCAAACAGTGGCTCCCAGGCGGGCAAAAGGACTGGCCGCGTCCCCGATTACATCGCATCTGCAGCCATCAAGCAGGCAGATCGGCAATTTTCTTGACTTATTTCGGAGGGATAGTGAGGGAGTGTGTGTATGAGCTGAACAGTGCGTGTTTAACTAGCTGGTGTAGAAGTCGGAGCGTGAAAGAGTGAGGCGGCCTTGGGCTGACACAGGAGTCTAAGAAACAGTCAGTCAGTGACAATGCAGAAGGAGTTGGAGACAGAACTCCAACCAAGCAGACCAGACAGACCACAAAGAGAGATCCTCACGGGCAACGACTCGGCGCTGATAATGATGATCGAGATCCGTGTCCACTGTCTTCTTTGTCCTGGAGGAGGTGGGGAGCTGAACTTGGCACTGATCGATAAGGAGAGGCACGTCCAGGGTGTTTTGACTGACGCAACATGGTTAGCAGTTGGCGTAGATGTAGAAAGGGGGAGGTGCTTTAGTTAGTATTACTGTTTATTAGATGTAGTCCTCGTTTTACTCCGCGTACTCGCTAGGATCTCGATAAATTCGGGATTGTTGCTGTTGTGATGCTGCCTGAATCCACCGGGGCTTTTCTTAATGACGCTCGCCGGTCGAGCCGAAGTGACCATCTCATTCCCAACTTCTTTCTCGAGGACAGCAGAACGCCAGACAAGACCTGATAAGCCACGAGCTTTTATTCAATCTGTGTTTATTTCCCTAAGTGTATTCATACGGCAGACATTGAATATCGCTTTTGTGGTTTCTTCGGACTATGCCCTGTTACTCTTCGAGGGCCGACCGACGCCCTTTCTGATCGAGAGCCGCCTACATCAAGCTTCATACTGGGAGAAGAAACAAGAGTGAAGGGACAGGAAAGAAGAGAAGAGAAGAGAAGAGAAGAGAAGAAGAAGGGGCTCAAGAAGATAGCGGCTGCTGTTCATCCTACGTCGCCTTCAATTGATTTCTCGATACAATGCCCGCCGACTATGTCTCCACTGCGAGGGCGCTGTCCCTGCCCATGTCTCCAGAGCCTCACTTAGACTGGAACGAAAGACGGGCCTTGACACGACACAATTCGATCAATCTGACCCGTCGGGAGGCTGCGACGATGCGTGACCAGATCCTTACACAGGCAGCCAGCGTGTCGCGGCGACTCTCAAAAGCATGGAAGAAGATGAATCTTTGGCAGCGGGTCGGCGTGGTTGCGGCTGTTATTCTGGCCATGGGGTTGGGCATCGGATTCATGGTGTTCACCAGCCGGGTATTCAAATGGCTGGGTCCTGTCGCGGAGCGGTGGGAGAACTCGTTGGTGGCCTATCTGGTTCTATGGCTATGTGTTTTCTTGGTCTCGTTCCCGCCCTTGGTCGGCTGGTCAACCTTTGGCACTGTGGCAGGATTCATTTTTGGTGTATGGAAAGGGTGAGTCGTTCTGATCGTCAGATTACAGTACCCCTGAACTAACCAGCATGGTCGGGCAGGTGGCTTCTGTACGCCAGTGCAACGATCGTCGGGTCAACGTGCTCCTTTATCGTGTCGAGGACGGTCCTCTCGCAGTTTGTCAACCGTCTGATGGAGCGTGACAAGCGTTTCGCAGCCCTGTCGCTGACGCTCAAGTACGATGGCCTGAAGTTGCTGTGTATGATCCGCTTGTGTCCGTTGCCCTACTCGCTCTGCAACGGAGCCGTCTCGACCTTCCCGACGGTGCAGCCGCTGATGTACGGCCTGGCTACGGCCATCGTCTCTCCGAAGTTACTCATTCCGGCTTTCATTGGCAGCCGGGTACGTATACTATCGGATGAGGACGAGAAGATGAGCGGAGGCGCCAAGGCCGTCAACGTCATCAGCATCGTCGTAACGATTGCCATTGGAATTTTTACCGGTATATATATTTATAAAAGGTTTTTTTAAATCTCTCCCCTTTTCATGATTCGATATCCGTCTAATCAAATAGAACCCTGGCTCGGGCCAAAGAGCTCGAGGCGCAGGAACGAGCCACCATCCGGTCTTCGTTGCAAGCAGATCATGCTGCCCGTCGCCCCCATGCCGCATTCTCGGACGATCCGGATACCAACGCCGCGGCAACCACTCTCGCTCGTGACGAGGAAGAGCGCATCGGGTTTGGCCTGGATGATGACGACGAGGGTTACGATGACAACGTGGAACTTGTGCTCGAGGAGGACAACGAGGAGAGCCCGATAGATCAGCCCTACCACGACGACGACGACGCCGACGATGACGTCTTTCGTGACGGTGATGGCAGTGATTCGGAAACGTACGGACTGCATACTCGCAGCTAAAGGCCACTCGAATAGTTGTAATGTCTGAACGCAGAGCATGACAATAGAATGATAGATCACCCATGGGAAACTGTAGTTTAGCTTGTACCTGTATATGGCTGCAATTAGTCCGCCCTCCATCTCTGTTCTTCAATATCATAGTCCAAGTCTACTGATAATCTCCCTTCGTGGGTGTCGAGACGCCTCTTGTTCATCTTCGATATATTCGGTGCGGTCTCAGAAATACGCTAGGTGGTTCGACCTCCCGACAGCGTCAAGTCAAGCTTTTCCCTCTCACGACAAATTCCGCTCGCAGAGGATTTCCTGCGCTGTCTCTTTCTAAATCTTATCTTCCCCCCTTGTCTTCACCTTATCGCTCTCTATATTTGCCGTCGCTCTCTCGGATAGGGTTTTCTGTGGATGCCAAGGCAAGTCCGGCCCTGGACACACCCACCACCATCGCTGTCTCGAGTCCAGCGTGTACCTCTCTCTCTATCCAAGCAGAATGATCCGTTTCAGAAATCACGCTGACCGGTTGCCAGAGCCCCTGAAGCTCGCGATACGATAACAAAATCCTCACGTATCACCAGACGAAATACCCCGTTCTCTCATACTCCGTGCCGACGATCTGCTTCCCGTGGGCCCACCATGGCCGAAGCGTTGCATGGCTGATATTGACTGCCACGGTGAGAGGAAGACTGCAAGGCTATTGGTCTCCTGTTGTAGTGCTACTGTGAACTTCTGCTCTGCATGATACGCAGGTTCTGAATGTTATATCGGACATACCGACGTCCGATCGTTCTGCCGTGGAGCCGCCCCTTGCTATATTACCGAACCTAGAAGATGGAGGCGGCGTATTCGATTGACAAGGGCCTGCCGGATCCCCTGTCTCGTCAAACACTGTCGTTTGCATCGAGGACTCTCGCTCAGTTCAATGGTTCGGCGACTACTTTGTTAGATCAACCGCCGATATTCCCCAGAGTGCAACAGCATCAGCCGCCGCCGTTGGTGCCAGCCAATCCACTTCAGAGCGTACGTCCAGATACAAATGGCCCTTCCCAGCCAAAAGGTGGACTTGAAGGATTGCAGAATGGCCATGTGTCCCTCGAGACGAATGAGGATAGAGGTTCGGAGAGCACCGATCGACTGTCCCATGAGCTGGACTGGGATACCAACTACAGCACGCCTAACGAGTCGGCGACCTCAGTCTCCCTGGTCTCGTCCAGCATCCCGCAGCAGCACAACAAGTCTGCGTCGCCGGCTCCCGCATTACATGGCTCCCTGGCGTCGCGGCAGACTCCAACGGCAGCGGCTAGACGGCCCAGCAACAGCGCTGCCATCGCTACGACGACCACTTTAGACCTATCACGATACCGACCGCGGTCGTCGATTCCATCGAGGTTGTCGACTGGCATGTATGCCCATCAATGCATCATGGCGGCATACGCGTGTCGATTGAATCCATACGCTCTGCATAAGAAAGAGCAGGAAGCTCTGCAAGACCATCTGTGTCATCTTCATGTCACCGTCTACCTGAACATCCGAAACGGCATCCTCCGTCTCTGGACACGCAACCCTATGGTGAGTGTTTCCAGGGAGGAAGCTCTCGGCTGTTCCAAGGACTACCGTTGGATGAACCTCGCCTCCTTTGCCTTTGAGTGGCTGGTGCGCAATGGCTACATCAATTTTGGCTGCGTCGAGATCCCGCTTCCGCCCGTGCCCCCCAAGAAAGGCCGCCGCAGAGAAGGCCCCGTTATTGTCGTTATTGGGGCCGGTGTCGCGGGCCTCGGCTGTGCCAGGCAGCTGGAAGGTCTCTTTCGACATTATCGTGATTCCGATACCTCGCCGCGGGTCATCGTGCTCGAGGGTCGACGCCGACTCGGCGGCCGCATCTACTCGCATCCTTTACACAGTTTGAAGTCCGCAAACTTACCTAATACCCTCGTTCCTAAGGCTGAAATGGGCGCTCAGATCATTGTCGGCTTCGACCATGGAAACCCCCTCGATCAGATCGTTCGCGGCCAGCTGGGCTTGCCGTACCATCTGCTGCGTGATATTTCAACCATCTACGACACAGACGGCTCACCTGTGGATGAAGTCCAGGACGCCATGGACGAGAGACTTTACAATGATGTGCTTGACCGTTCGGGCGCCTATCGCCACAAAGCGCTGATCGTACCTACCGCCGAGGGTGATCGGAAGCTAATCGACGCTGGTCGTGACGTCGCTGTTGACGATGGCGTCACGGTCAGACAGTACGAAGAGGCACGGGCAGCAGGCACAATCGGTCTGTTGTTCCCCGCGAAGCGCGTGCGTCGTGGAGTTTCCCATAAGACAGCCGACCTGAAACCTACAAGGGTTCCCCCCCCTACCACTGTTGCCGATACAGAAGAGCCGCCTGCTGCATTTACGTGCCAGGCCATGGGGTGGAAACTAAACGATGGGATCACACCAACCGACTCAATTGACCTCGACTCGATAGCCAAGCAGTCCGTCCACCAAACCTTTGGGGCCGTGATGGACGAAGGGTTCAAGCAGTACCAGCGTCTGCTACCCCTGACCCCCAAGGATATGCGGCTGCTCAATTGGCATCTGGCCAATCTCGAATACGCCAACGCCGCCAATGTAGGCAAGCTCAGTCTGTCCGGCTGGGACCAGGATATGGGCAATGAGTTCGAGGGTGAGCATTCGCAGGTCATCGGCGGATACCAGCAGCTACCGTACGGGTTATGGTCGCTCCCGGAGAAACTTGACGTGCGCACAAACAAGATTGTGACCCAGATTAGCTATGACCCTACCTCGTCCGCCGGACGGCCAGCAGTTGTACACTGTGAAAATGGCGAGACTTTTGCCGCGGACAAAGTAATTCTTACGACATCGCTGGGCGTGCTAAAACGCCAAAAAATCAAGTTCCAACCTCCACTGCCAGCATGGAAGACCGGCGCCATCGACCGACTGGGCTTTGGTGTTATGAACAAGGTGATACTTGTCTTCGACAAACCGTTCTGGGACACCCAACGGGACATGTTTGGCCTACTACGCGAACCACCCAACAAGGACAGCATGATCCAAGAAGACTACGCGAAGAACCGTGGTCGATTCTATCTGTTCTGGAACTGCATTAAAACCACTGGGCTCCCCGTGCTCATTGCGCTGATGGCCGGCGACGCCGCGCATCAAGCCGAAACAATGCCCGACAGCAAAATCATCGTCGAAGTCACGGCGCAGCTGCGCAACATCTTCAAGCATGTCGCCGTGCCGGATCCGCTGGAGACTATAATCACGCGGTGGGCGTCCGATCGGTTCACGTGTGGAAGCTATTCCTTTGTCGCCGCCGAGGCCCTGCCGGGCGACTACGACCTGATGGCCCAGTCAATCGGGAACCTGCACTTCGCCGGCGAGGCCACCTGTGGTACACACCCGGCCACCGTGCACGGAGCATACCTGTCCGGCCTACGCGCGGCGTCGGAAGTGATGGAATCGATTCTGGGCCCGATCAAGCTTCCGACCCCGCTAGTCCTGGAGAAGGGAAAGACGTTTGAACCGCCCCCCGCGCCGACAGTTTCAACAGGCCAGAAACGAAAGGGGCCACCCTCTGCCGAAGCTTTGCTGGGCCCCGGTCTAGCACCAAGTGAACCTGCGCCAACACCCACCGACCCCCTCCGCGAAGCTTACGAAAAAGCCATCCAGGCCGCCATCCACGCAGAACTGGGCGCACCGGAGCCACGACCGGCCAAGACGGGACTGAACCCTTTCCTCCTCTATCAGAAGGACTACTGGCACAAATGTAAGGAGCAGAGCGACGAGGCCGCCCGGACCGCCACCAACAACCCCAACGCCCGGGCGGCGCGCGATGAGGTCCGCCACGCGCTCGGCCAGATGTGGCGCGCAGCCAGCGAGGCAGAGAAACAGCCGTACCTGGAGCAGATAGAGGTCAACCGGCAGACGGGCGCGGAGGTCGAGGCGCGCTGGAAGCAACGAACGGGCGAGTGGGAGAAGCGGGCGGCCGAGATACGTAGACGCTGGTGTGCCGACAATCCGTTCGAGAGGTGGACTGCTAGCTAGCCTTCCATGATCGAGTCTTAGGATACGATCTCACTTGCTATAACTACAACTCTCTTGTCTTGTCACCAGTAGTACTCATTAATAAAATCATATATTTTTATTCTAGTCTGTGTGGCATTCGATAGAAGCAATCTATGTGAATCTATGATTCTGTCTATCTCACTCTAAAAAAGAAAAATCATAATATTAACATGAGAGTGAAAGGGGGTAAAAATTGCGAGAGAGAGAGAAAAAAAAGAAAAAAAGGAAACGCTGATATCCGACCAAGGAATCTGGAAAATCAAAGAAGAGGGTTCGACTGGTACTCCGGGACTGCACCGGAAGCATCCTTGCCAGCCACGCCGTCCACCTCCTCAGCAGCAGGCTCGACGGTCGAGTTGCCGGCCGAGGGGGCTGGGGCGGAGGTTTCCTCCTCGCCGGACTCGGAGATGAATTTCTCAGCTTCGAGGGCAGCAACGCAGCCGGAGCCTAAGAGGATAGTCAGTACTTATTTTTGGAAATGAAGAGGGAAAAGAAAGGTGCGATTTGGCTTACCGGCACTGGTGATGGCTTGACGGTAGCGCTTATCCTGGACGTCACCGCAGGCAAAGACACCCTCAACGCTGGTGTAGCTGGTACCCGGCTTGGTGACGATATAGCCATCCTCGTCAAGCTGGATCTGGCCCTTGACGAGGGCGGTGGCCGGGTCGTGGCCGACGGCGTAGAAGAGGCCGTTGGCGTCGACAGTCTCCTCGGCGCCGGTGACGGTGTCCTTGACACGCAGGTGGGACATGAGCTTGTCACCGAGGACCTCGACGGCGACGGTGTTGAAGCGCACGGTGACCTTGGGGTGGGCAAGCACGCGGGTGGCCATGGCCTTGCTGGCGCGCAGCTGGTCGCGGCGCACCAGAACGGTGACATGGCTGCCGTACTTGGCGAGGAACATGGCCTCCTCGGCGGCCGAGTCACCGCCGCCAATCACGTACAGCGGCTTGTTGCGGAAGATGGGCACCGCGCCGTCGCAGACGGCGCAGGCGCTGATCCCGCTCTGCCAGAAGGCCTCCTCACCGGGCAGGTTCAGACGACGCGCGTTGGCGCCCGTCGCGATGATGACCGCGTCCGCCGTGCGCGCGGGGGCGTCCTCGGGCCCGTCGCTCCATTCCGTCCACAGCTTGAACGGCCGCTGCGACAGGTCTACCCGCGAGATGGTCTCGGTGATTACTTCGGTACCAAACCGCACGGACTGCTGGCGCATGTTCTCCATCAGCTTCGAGCCGTCGATCCCCTCAGGAAAGCCCGGGAAGTTCTCGATCTCCGTCGTCGTCGTGAGTTGCCCGCCCGCCGCGGTGCCGTTGGCCAACATTCCCTCGTACAGGACCGGTTTGAGCTCCGCACGAGACAGATAGATGGCGGCGGTGTGTGCCGCAGGGCCGGAGCCAATGACTAGAATTATAAGTATGCCATTTGGTCAATGTCTATTTGAGAAAAAGTCACACTCACTGACTACCTTGGAGTGTGTCATTCTGGATGCAAGAGGAGGAGAGGGAGACTGGTGGTGGAGAGTCGAAGCGGCAGCGGCAGTCAATCCGAGCGAGGATCGAAGCGAAGAAAGGGCGAACCGACGGAAAGTTGAGGAAAACACCTTGACGGATTTTGGGAAGGAGAGGGAGAAGAGAAAGACGTGATAAAAGCGAGATTAATACCAGACAATGGCCCTGGGCGGAGCAGAGGGCGAAGAGGGGCTGGTGGGGAACGGCGGACGAAGAGCAAGATAGAGAGGCAAAGGAACCAGGTCGAAACTGGGCCGGATGAATCAGCAGTAGCGACAGGACAGAGTGGATTGTTGGATTCTTATTGAACTCTTTCGTCGGCAACGTTGATCTGAGTGGATCGCAGGGGGTGATTCTTAATCATGGAGTTTTCTCGACCCGGTGGCCCTTCACTAATCGGAGACTGCAGCCTGTCGAGACCACGGTCACGTGCGCCCTGCTTAGAAAGCCGCCCTGGCCTCGACCGAGCACATTTTCAATCAGATAGGATTGAGTTATCGCTGATCAATAATAGTAATAATAATGATAAGTGGAGTATGTACTATGTAGTAAGATGATGGAACAGTCGTGGCATTCATCAATCATAAATCATAGCAGAGGCAGGCAGCAGTAGGGAAAAGAAGAAATAAAATACAGATGATGGACATTTCCAAAAGCATCATCATTCAGAAAGATCAATAATTCAAGTCGTATCGCATGAGACCATCAGACCACGCCAAACCATTTCTTCCGCGGTTTCTTCGTCTCGACGTCAATGTCTTCTGGCTCAGGGGAGTCGTCTCGAGCTCCCAGATATCGTTCGTACCCAGGCGGGTAGAGGCCATCGCCATCAACACCATCGTCGTCTTCGTTGTCAACTTCATCATCAACATCATCAACATCATCATCGTCGTCATCATCATCATGGTCATCATCTTCCTCGTCACTCGCGTTACCCTGTTCCAGATAGCTCTTGTCCGACTTTTTACGCACACCTAGCCATTTCCTCCACCCCTTGGTGATCTGGGTGGCTGGGGGATCATATTCATCGCCCGCGAACCGCAACACGGGAACCAGGAGCTTGTAGGGTGAAGTGATGCCCGAGGGATCCCGCGGATTAACCTCCAGATTCAGCGTGATGGCCAGCCCACCATGTAGGTCCACAAAGGCGCCTACGCCGTCGTCGCCTTGCTGAACCGCCTTCCGAGCCGCCTTCTGGCTAAGGTTCGTTGGGCGACGGTGAAATATCGTAGGCCGGGACTCGGCGTCAGCCGGCGGTTGAGAGAAATATCCCTCGGAATTGTTGACATCGGTCATGGGAAACGGCCCGTCCATACTCATCCGTCTTGTATTCAGACTGCCGTCGCTCGGGAAGAATTCCTTGGTCGGAGGACCACCGCCGCGCAGCGACAGGCGTCGCAGAAGGCCACCACCGCCACCCGAAGGCCGATCACTTCGAGTGAGAGATAGAGTTCTCTGTAGTTTGTTCGGTCGGGGTTCTATGACTGGTCGAGCCATTTCTGACTCAGGCGTTGGCAGAGCAGAGGTACCTATTTTTTTTTTTTTTTTTTTCAAATTAGACAAACACCAATGATAAAGGTCTACGTAGACTCTTCGACAAGATAACCCACCTGGCTGGTATTCTCTAATCGCACACCAGTTTCGCCTGGGTAGCAGGCGTTTGTTGTTGCGAGACTTTCCGTCCACATCATGGGTGAAGATCGGAATCATGTCCTCGTCCGTGTTGGAGTCCACGTGGTGCACTCGGTTGCGTCTGTTGAGCATATCAGAGATCATGTCCGTCTCCGGGAGATCGGCCATGGCGGAGGAGATAACGTTGGGCATGTATCGGTAATCACGGTCCTTGGGGATATTGAGGTTTGGGTTCGAGTAGAATTCACCGATGGCTGCGAGGTGTACGTCGCCACTATGTCTGTCAGTTTTTGATCATACAAGAAAACTCATCTTGCTTGTTGACGATCATACCTCAGTATAGTAACTCGTACAGATTTCTCTGCAGCAAGATCCTGGAGATCTTCAATCAACCAGGTCCGCTCCTCTTTGTGGTGTTTGGCTGTCCAGTGATCATCGGAGATTTCCACCTTGCCACCATGTCTGTTCAGAAGGCCACCGAACATGCCTGCCTTCCCTAGGGACTTGCGACTGTTCTGAAGGTTCTTGATCATCGCCTAGGAAAAGTTAGCAGTGTACCTGGTAGTTAGGCGTCTCAAAAAAAAAAAAAGAAGAAAGACATACCACTCGCGGATAAGCGATGGGAATACTTGAAAGCACGATGAGATGCTTCGTTTCACCCTTCACGATCTCACGATGACAACGGTCCCATATGAGATCGCAGGTTGCCTCGTTGAGAATTGAGGTGCTCTAAGAAAAATTCATTAGCATAAGTGTATCAGCTACGGTGGACGCCGCAATGCAATGCAATGCAGTTTCTCTTACAGTTCGTTCCGTCCGGCAGTCCAGTCCCAGGAATGTGACATCCTTGCCGAGTGACATGAACAGATTTCTGCTCTTCTCCCGAATATAAGGTCCCGACTGTGCTCCAAGGAGCCAGCTGCGTTCATGCGCTTCCGTCTCATCGATGACTGTGTGGTGCTGGAACAGCAGATAGTACTTGAAAGCAGTCTTCCCCAAACCAGCTATAACTGGGGTTCGCATAAACTGGTCCGAGTAGGAACCAAACCCTTGAATAATCTCGTGGTCATTCCACATATTGATCATGGGGATTTGAGAGTTTGCCAGGGAGAATAGTCCCTGCGAGAACCAAGTCGAGTAGCTGTCCATGTAGAAGCTTTCCACCTCGGCTCGGAAGTCGCCGGTGAACGGCGTACTGTATTTGTCTTCGGTATTCTTGATCCTGATCCATTCTTGGAAATGCGGTGATTCCGTTAGGATGCTATCGTTGGATATCTGGTCACCGCCTCCGATCATGACGTGGAAGGGACGAGTTTGATGCTCATTGAGGATATCTCGCCACAGAGGATCAGGGCCACAGACCTTGTCTGAAGCCGCAGATAAGCCGAACCCATTGCCAGAATAAAACGCAATGTTCATTGAGGTTCTGCGTGCAGGAACCCAGAAACCCATCGCCGGTCCCTGGTTGATTCGATAGGCGACGCGTTGCTGCTCAGAGCCCAGCTCCACTTCCACATTGAACCGCCAGAACGTCACGTCACGATCCACGTCCGCATGAAGGCGGAATCCCGGGATTTCCTTGTAAATGCCGGCGGTTTCGCCGTCGGCGGCATGGATCCGGCTCGCAGGGATGGTGCTCTGGGCACCATAGTCCAGAGCGGAGGGTGTCTGCTCATACAGTCCGTCCTCGTTCTCGATCAGCGACAAATCAACCCCTTCCTCCAGATCCTCGACCGGTTTGACGTAGAGTGGCCGGCCATCCCGGCCGAGCTTTATCATACCAGCTATCGGATCGACATACTCGGGGGCCAGTTGAGCGCCTTCATCCCCCAGCACCTCACTCGGGGGTGGAGGGAGTAGGTCCATCGGTTGGGAGAAAAGCCTTAGAACCGGGGGAGACTCGTAGCTAGAACGAGAGTCCTTGGTGACGATCAAGATCGTACCTCTCCACGTCTCCTTTTCAATAGGACCGCTTACCCCGTCGATCTTCTCGTATGCTATGCCCGTATAGCGAAGCAATGGACCACATTGTAAGAAAAGACGAGGCTGGAATTTCTTCTTGGCTTCCGGGGTCTTGGGCACTGGTTTTTGATAATTTGGCGGAAGGACGCGACTCTGTCTGCGGTCATTGCTGGTTCCGCCTTCCCACCACGCCTTGCTTCGATCGATATCGAGGTTTTGGAAATCGAAATCGGAGAGTTCCAGCTTAAGCACAGGCGCCCCCCTCCATTCGGAAAGCGGAGGAGGAGTCGGAGGTGGCATATCGAAGGAGACATTTGGCTTCTTCGGCTTTGCCTGTGTAATTGTTCCGCCGGTGTGATCGGACATCGTCATGGCGTCCCTCTCTCCGTCACCTACACTTGGGTCTTGGATTGATGCCTGGTTTGGCTCTTGGTTGATGAACGAATGGCCGAACGAATGGCCGAACGAATGGCTGAACGACGATGGGTTCTCAACAGCGATGGCTCCCTTCTGTTGGTAGACGCCCATCGATGGAGGATACGATTCCATCCTCTTAGAGGGATTATTATCGGTGACATTTATCCCCCTCTGCTGTAGGACACCGGTCATCGGAGGGTACGGCTCGATTCTCCTTGAAGGCTGCTGAGGTTGCTGAGGAAGTTGTCGTGACTGAATCGGTCGATCCTGGGGATATCTATTGTCGGCATAGTGCATGGGCCCTTCCGACGATCTCATGGTATCCGATCTTAAAGGAGGACCAGGCATGGGAGGACCACGCGGCTCATGCCCTGGGAAGGGGCCATTATTATCTCTAAGCGGACCTTGTCTCATGGGTGTGGGTTTGACAGGAGGTAGACTGGGTTGATCGCCAACTGTCATTCGTCTTCTCACACCAACATTGGGGTTCATACCCAGGCCCGGGGGGGGTTGACCAGCATATGGATCCTCTCTGTGTGATTGTATGGCAGGTTTTGAATACTCTGGATTCTGAGACTGAGCTCTGGTGTGGCCACGAGGTACTCTACCAGCAGGGGGGCCACCTGATGATGCAAAGTGTTCGTGATGAGGCTGCTGGTCGTCCGGAAGAGCAGCGGGTTTTGGTTCATCTTCTCTTGGGGCTTCGCGAGGCTGAGATTGCGCTGGCTCACTTTGATCAGTTTCGGGTTTGGCGAGCCGTTCCTTGAGCCTCATTTCGGCCTCTAGGGCACGGGCTCTTTTCTCTTCCTTGGTGAGGCCCGTCAATTTCACTTCGAGTTTTTGAAGCGGCGATCGATCATGAGCCCAGTCTCGACGCGACTCCTTAGTCGAACGCATGGTGCTGGAGCGACTCAGAGGTGATTCGTGGTTCACTGAACCCATGGGCGAAACCATTTCGTGGTTATCTCCTCCCGATGGGGCCTCATCAGGCATCGACAGATCTTGCCCGTCCTGAGGAATAGTACTCTCTGGGGGGGCCTGCACATCCTGAGAGGGAGCATTCGTCGGAAGTTGTGGCGGTTGTCCCCGATCATCTCTTGCCGAGCTTCTATGCTGGGTTTCCTGGGGAGGGGCATTTGGTAAAGGTTGTGGCGGCTGTCTGCGATCATCTCTTACCGAGCGTCTATGCCGAGGATCCTGAGGTTGAACGTTGGTCGGGGGGTTAGACTGTCTGTGGTCGTCTCTCGTAGAGCCCCGATACTGTACATTTCGAGGAAGAGCGCCCATTGGAGGATATGACTGTCTCATTTCTTCTCCAGGAAGGCTTCCATGGTATACGTCCGGAAGGAGAGCATTCTTCGGAGGGCGAGGCTGTCTGCGGTCGACCCTCGGAGCGCCTCCATACTGCATATTCTGAGGGCCGTTCATCGAAGGAGGGTTTGGCCGTGCGCGGTCATCCATCGCATAGCCTCCATACCACTGCTGGCCGTCCAAGGCTGGGTTCCAGTCGGACTGCATCTCCCTTGTTCTGGCTGAGAACGAGGGGCCTCCTCCGCGATGGCCCGGCACGGCCGGAGGGTTGTTTCGGTAGGACATTGCACGCACCCGGGCTGCGTCTGGGGCTGGTGGAATCATTCCGGCACCATCGACGTCTGGCGGACCTGGATAACGGGGTCTTCTGCCGTTCGGTGGTGGTCTATTCGCTCCATTCCGAGGCATTGCCTGAGGGGGCATCGAGTTGCCGTTAGGCGACGGCCTATAAGGCGCAGCAGTAGCCATCTGCATAGTTAGCTTATGGGCGTCTTTCTCAAAGAGGGGATATCGAAAGAGAAACAAAAAAAAAAGACGAATGGAGGGAGTAACGGTTAAGATACGCACCTTGGGTTGTTGGGTATCCAGCTGGGTCTTCAAGCAACAATTGATTAGAAACTTCTCGCTTGTTCTAATTGCAGTCGCCTTGATAATCAAGCACCGATCGCATCGACTGCGATAAAATTCGCATACCCAGCTCGACCGTTCGAAGCCAGAGCAAGACACCACAGCATGTACCTCGCCAGGCAACCGGCAGCGGTAGCTATACTGAGAGTACCGTCGACGGACTGCTCAAGAGGTCCAACAATGGCCGACAGACAAAGCAGATTGTCACTGCACTCTCAAAACCACCACAGGCGATGAGGAGAAGGTAAAAAAAAAAAAATGTCAACCGGTCCTGCGTTGCCGGCTTTGCATGGCTGTTGCATTATCCTGGTGGCTGGTGTTTCCCCCCCCCCAGCCGCGGGGCTTTTTTCGTCACTCTCTGCGTATGGCCTGCCCCTGCGACCGGGCAGGCAGCAAATGAATGATAAGACGGACAGGTCGATCGAGGCGCAAGGCCTGTTACAGAGAGCTGACAGGTCGAAATCATCCCGTTCGCCATCTGATCCCAGAGACAGAATCGTCGGTGCCTGGCTTGAGTCGTCCTAATGGTTGTTCACATCACCACTGCGAGATAAACAGACAGGCACACCGCCTGTACTCTGTATAGCATACACTGTACACTCGCCAGGGACAGGCACCCTCTGGCAACAGTTTTGGGGCATTGATCGAGATGGTCTAGACTATATGGAATGACGATAGGTGAGTCCTGGCCGGTGACGGTCTTCCAGTGTGAGGATTCAGTTCGTTCCACTGCTAACTGGTTGCTTCCTACGTGGGTATAACTAGTCATCTCGACGAGAATGAAGAGAAAAATTAATCGAAGCCTACTGCAACTTCAATAGACCCGGGGGATATATATCTGACTAATAATGCGACTTTTCAAGGGCCATGGCGATGCTGAAACGTGGTCTTTGTCGACAAACGGTCCTCTGGAGTAGTAGACACGGGCATAACATTGACTATTGCTGCGTAAAAACAGAAATGAGAGGATGCCGAGTGCAAAGTAGACGATGCTCAAAATGAGGATCAATTAAAATCCTCAATAGAAAGTATCTGGTGTCAGTAATCCAGATCTTTTCCTCCTTCATTGTTGCTGCGGATCCGCCACAGCCTGTCCTACCGTCAGGAGTGAAAGAGACAATTCACCTTAAAAGTCCCCTCGACCACCCCTACTGGACTCGCCCACTCTCCCTGTTGTTGTGTTTAATAATTCTTGTTGATTATTACCGTTTCTTATTCCTTTTTATGACATCCATAGAGCCGTCTCTGTAGCAGATCCTACGGTTCATGGCCCCCTCAATCGCGCTGTCCTGATCTCGCCGCTCCCGTTTGTTACGCCGTCCACCTGAAGAACATGCACTTCAGCGGCGTCACGGCCGCCCTGCTGGGCCTCAGCTGTGCGGCTTCGGCGACTCTTGACCGTCGGACCTACGAGACTCACGATTTCTTCGCACTACACCTCGACGACTCGACGCCGCCGGCCCAGGTCGCTCGGCTGCTGGGAGCCCGCCACGAGGGCCAGATCGGCCAGCTGCCGGGTCACCACAAATTTTCTTTACCCAGGAGTCAGACCTCGGAGCTGGATACATTATTAGAGGGCTTGAAGGCAAGGAGGAAACTTCGCAGGCGGTCCGGTGGGGATAATGGTGACGGCGAGGAGGTCGGCGATGGGCTAGACGGGGTCCTCTGGTCGCAGAAGCTGTCGTCCAGGCAGAGACTTGTGAAGAGAGAAGGGGGGGATCCCTCGAGTAAATACTCGCAGATTTCTCCTCGTGCGAATCGAGTGGAGGATGCGGCGGCGGTTGCAGCTCGCAAGCAGGCCGCCGAGTCTCTTGCCATCACGGACCCGATCTTCAACGAGCAATGGCATCTGTTCAATACGGCGGAGCTCGGTCATGATCTCAACGTCACGGGCCTCTGGCTGGAGGGAATTACGGGGAAAGGTGTGATCTCCGCGATTGTGGACGACGGTCTGGATATGTACAGCGACGACCTCAAGCCCAACTACTTCGCCGAGGGCTCCTGGGACTTCAACGACAAGACCGCGGAGCCCAAACCGCGTCTGTTCGACGACAAACACGGCACACGATGCTGCGGCGAGATCGCAGCCGCCCGGAATGACGTCTGCGGAGTTGGGGTGGCCTACGACAGCAAGATCTCCGGCATCCGTATTCTGTCTGCGCCTATCGACGATGCTGATGAGGCGGCGTCCATCAACTACGCGTATCACCACAACGATATCTATTCGTGCTCGTGGGGCCCACCCGACGACGGCAAGACGATGGACGCCCCCGGTGTTCTGATCCAACGGGCAATGGTGAATGGCGTGCAGAACGGGCGTCACGGCAAGGGCTCGATATACGTCTTTGCGGCGGGCAACGGCGCGAGCTCGGATGACAACTGCAACTTTGACGGCTACACGAACAGCATCTACAGCATCACAGTGGGTGCGATCGACCGGGAGGGCAAACATCCCAGCTACGCCGAGTCGTGCTCGGCGCAGATGGTGGTTGCGTACAGCAGCGGCTCGGGCGACGCAATCCATACCACCGATGTGGGCACCAACAAGTGCTACTCGGGCCACGGGGGTACGTCCGCGGCTGGTCCGCTGGCCGTCGGGGTAATGGCGCTTGCACTCAGCATTCGACCGGACCTTACCTGGCGCGACGCGCAGTACCTGTTCATGGAGTCGGCGGTGCCGGTCAACGAGGACGACGGCAGCTGGCAGGTCAAGAAGACCGGCCGCAAGTTCAGCCACGACTGGGGCTACGGCAAGGTGGACGCTTACACTCTTGTCCAGCTAGCTAAGACCTGGGAACTGGTCAAGCCCCAGGCGTGGTACCATTCCCCCTGGCTGCGCGTGCAGCACGCCATCCCCCAGGGCACCCAAGGCCTAGCCAGCTCGTTTGAGATCACAGCCGAGGCGTTGAAAAAGGCAAATGTTAAGCGACTCGAGCATGTCACCGTTACTATGAACGTCGAGCACACCCGTCGGGGGGATCTGAGCCTCGAGATGCGCAGCCCGGAGGGGATTGTCAGCTACCTTAGTACCACCAGAAGGCCAGACAACGAACGCGAGGGCTATGTCGATTGGACATTTATGTCGGTGGCTCATTGGTAGGTCTATTCTTCATCCCTTTCTTTATTGTTGTATGGATAAAACTAATCTAAGAAACAGGGGCGAGTCTGGCATCGGCAAATGGACGGTTATTATCAAGGACACGAATGTCAACGAACACAACGGCACCTTCACCGACTGGCAGATCACGTTGTGGGGAGAAGCCATTGAGGCTGACAACCAGCCACTACATCCCTTCCCTGATGAGCACGACCATGACCATGCCATCGAGGACGCCATCGTGGCGACCACCAGCATCGCGGCGGGCCCAACCAAGACCAATGAACCGAGCAAACCGACCGATCATATCGATCGGCCGGTCAACGCGAAGCCCACGCCGATTGAGGATGCGTCCAAGCCCGCCGTCACCACCGGCACGAGCAACAGCACCGACACCACTTCATTTGAACATTTCCTACCTTCCTTCCTCCCGACCTTTGGGGCATCGAAACGGACCCAGGCGTGGATCTACGCGTCGCTCGTCCTGATAATCGTCTTCTGCCTGGGCCTGGGTGTCTACTTCCAAATCCAACGCCGCAAGCGCATCCGCAACAACCCGCAGGATGACTACGAGTTCGAGATGATTCAGGACGAGGATGACCTGCAGGCGCTAACGGGCGGGCAGCCGGGCAGCGGTCGGACGCACCGCCGCGGCGGAGAGCTTTACAACGCCTTTGCGGGCGAGAGCGACGAGGAAGTCTTTAGCGACGACGAAGAAGGACCTTATCAAGATCGAGAGAGTGAGGATGGCCAGACGCATGAGAATGGGGAGCATCCACAAGGGCGATAGGGTATATATCTATCTCACATCTGAGCGCCTTGTCTTCCTGCCTGTCTGTTCTTCATTCACCACACCTTTATTATTATTATTATTATTATTCCTATTTACTCCATTGCATCGAAATAGTGTACATGACATACAACGAGAGCAATTAAATCCCGTCTTTCTGCTGCAGTAGGAGTTAATTCCTGGTGCCTGATTCTAGCGATGATTGCGACTCTGTCTGTGGCTTGGCGTCGATGACGCTCTCCCCGTCTCCTCCACCGCTTAACCACTTCCACTCCACCTTACCAGCCACTACAAATAATAATAGCATCGGGTCATCTCTGGCAGGGATAATACCATCTGGAGAAAGCGTTGGATATTCGCCTGTTCGGCTTTCTATTCTCATATCTTCCCCCGCTGTGATCCCACCTGACCTGTCCACTCCCCGTTCTCTCTGCCATAACGGCACACAACCCCTCCAATGGACGAACACGACGACTTCGACAGCGTCTCATGGAAACACGATCCAGAAAGCGATATCTCGCGCCCTACGACCGCCGACTCGGAGGCCCTAGACGCCCCGCACGACTTTCTTGAGCATGATGTCAATGGCAAGCGGCGAGTGAGCGCTGTCGGCGCGGCGGGGGACGACGACGACAATAGTGAGCCCCAGGCTGGACACCTGGCGGACGCGGTCGATCTGGCGGGTATTGGAGATGGAGAGTTACAGTGCAAGGTTGATTCACCGTTAAAGGAGAATGATGGCACGAAGGATGCGTATATTTCGTATCTTGTCTCGACGCATGTTAGTCCTACCTTACTACCTGCTGCTAGTCTGGCTTATGAGTATAGCTGATCTTTGTTTTTTTTTTTTTCCAAGACCGACTTCAAGTCCTTCCAGAAATCCGATTTTGCCGTCCGCCGACGATTCACCGACTTCTATTTCCTCTACAAAACGTTGTACCGCGAGTATCCGGCGTGCGCGGTGCCGCCGCTTCCGGATAAGCATAAGATGGAGTACGTGCGGGGGGACCGGTTTGGCAGCGAATTCACGACGCGGCGGGCGTGGTCGCTGCACCGGTTCCTGAAGCGGCTGTCGCTGCACCCTGTGCTGCGGCGAGCACCGTTGCTGGCGGTGTTTCTCGAGTCGCCGGACTGGAACGCCCACATGCGGCTGCGGACGTCGCGGACGTCGAACGGAGCCGCGGGAGATAACAGCACGGGCATCTTTGACAACTTCACAGACACGTTCGTCAACGCTTTCACGAAAATACACAAGCCGGATCAGCGGTTTATCGAGGTGCGCGAGAAGGCCGACAAGCTGGACGAGGACCTCACCCATGTGGAAAAGATCGTGGCCCGGGTTGCCCGGCGTGAGTCCGACCTGGAGACAGACTACAACGAGCTGGCGATGCAGTTCCGCAAGCTGGTCCCGCTCGAGCCAGACGTCGAGATGCCGCTGCAGATCTTTGCGGCCTCGGTAGAGGAGACGGCACGGGGCTTCAAGACGCTCCGCGACCACACGGACCAGAACTACCTGGGCTCGCTGCGCGACATGGAGGCCTACCTGACCTCGATCAAAACGCTGCTGAAGACGCGCGAACAGAAACAGCTCGACTTTGAAGCCCTGGTCGACTACCGCAACAAGGCTGTCGCGGAGCGCGACTCGCTGGCCGCCAATCCGGCCTCGTACTACGCCTCCAACCCGCTCACCTCCTCGCCCGCCTCTTTCATCCGCTCCAAGATGGAGGACATGCGCGGCGTCGACCACGAGCAGTCGCGGCGGGAGCGTGTCCGCAAGCTCGAGCTGCGCATCGACGAGCTCACCCGCGAGGTCGACTCGGCCAAGACCACTTCCGAGATGTTCGACGAGGAGGTTGTCCGCGAGGTCGCCGACTTTGAGCGCATCAAGGCCGTCGAGTTCCGCGACACCCTCGGCGACCTCGCGGACCGTCACATCGACTTTTACCAGGACATCTTGAATACCTGGGAGCGCTTCATTGCCGAAATGGACGAGACGGAACCAGATCTGACCAAATAGTTCTTTTTTTCTTCTTGTTTTCCCCCTGACGATACGGTTGCTTTAGGTGCATGAATATATGATAATCGCATACTTGAACATGTTTTTTTCCCCATGTAGTCAGATAATTAATACTAATGATCCATTCGCTCTCTACTGCGAGAAATCAACGCCCTACACCCCTACCAACTTTTATCCAAGGACCTAGAGTACGACCAGTGTCCTGTGTCCCCTCAAACTGCCTTGTTCTGGACACACTCGAAATCAGTCGGGCCAGGATCTCCCTTGGGAGAAAAGACAGCCGGATCTTCGGCGCGGGACTTGAGCCGTTCGTTACGCTCCTGTTCCAATCAGGATGGATATTATAAAAAAAAAAAAAAGAAGTTTCCGCTTCTGCTTCGATTCTGATACACACCTCCGCGTACACCTGGCTGGGAGTCTTTGCTTCACCCTTTCCATCCGTCAGCTCGAGGTACGCTTCATGGTCGTAGCCGATGGAGAGTCTCTTGGTAGCGAAATTGGAGCTGAGCTGTACTCCTGCCGTGCGGGGAGCTTCCGAAGACATCTTCAAAAGTCCACTTCTCCTCCCTTAGAATTAAAGACTGCAGATTCGACAGGGTGACAGATTGATAGACTAGAACAGATTTCAAGAAAAGAATGAGTGCCTTTTTTTTTTAGAAGCCCTGCCGGCCGAGTGACACAGATCTCGCAGACACGGACCAAGGTATATATTTAGTAGTGATATATGTGCAAGATCATCGATGTATACCGTGAGATATACGAAGTATGTGTGTATCACCTGTAGGGCCGTGAGGCTGCGGTGACTATCCAGTAGCCAGACCCGGACTGGAGCTGTCGCGCGCTCAAACCCGAACGGCTGGAAAGGGTGGGAAATCCAATGATCCAGTTCGAGCCGAGACATGCCTCCCGTCGATCAAACAATTACGGTGCAAGGTCGCCGCCACTTGGTCAAACCACCGGGTCGGCCGTTAGAACAACTCATTATTGTGGCCGGTGTACGCCCGTGGGAAACTGCATAGACCCAGGGGTTCCTCGGCGTGGTGGCTGAGTGTGCAGAACGCGTCAGGCTGCGCCTCGCGGCCAGCATAGGGGGTCCTACACCCGGAGCACGCCGTGAGCATTCAAGGGAAGCCATCGTGGTGGGTTATCAGTGTGATCGAGCTTCTGTCAGTCTATTATTGTCATTAGCAGGTCAAGATAACAGTCAGTACCAATCTCCCTCTCGGTTGCTCCGCATGTAGCACTCAATACACTGGGTAGTTGCCACTCGGGAGGACAGGGTGGTGTACTCTGCGATGCATTGCAGAGCACATACATGTAGAATCTAAGGAAAGAATAAGATCTAAGATCAGATCGAGAAGATGAAGGGTGAATCGTGAGGAGGAGGAGGTGGTGGTGGTCGAAACTGTGGGATGTCAGTCCAAGTTTGCTTTGTTTGCAGCGTCCTTCTTCGGCAACTCCAAACGACAATCATCAGCGAAGCTCTTCACGACCACAACCCCTCCAGGGTCCAGCTCAGCTACAGCTACAGCTACCATGTCTGCCTCTCGCTCCGCGCTTCGGCCGTACGTCTGCTCGTCGTGTCGACACGGCGTGCTCGCTCCTCGACGGAGGTTTAGCTCCAAGCCCGCTCAGAACCCGGAAATCTACGATGTCGTGTGTGTCGGCGGCGGACCGGCTGGCTTGGGGCTGCTGGCAGCTCTCCGTATGCCTTGATTGAATTGATCGATGAGTCGTGATATTGGTGTGCTGATTTTTGTTTTTGTCTAATAGGGGCTTCTCCGGTTACGTCGAAGCTGAAGGTTGCCCTCGTCGAGAGCCAGGATCTGGATAAAGCCCGATCGTGGGATCTGCCCACCCATGAATTTTCCAATCGGGTGAGCAGCCTTACGCCCTCGTCGGTCGCGTTCCTGCGGAGGATCGGGGCATTGGAGCTGCTGGATACAGACCGGGTGCAGGATTACCAGCAGATGCAGGTGTGGGATGGGGAAACAGGGTCCAAGATATCTTTCGACTGGGCAGAGGAGACGTCGCCGTTTGAGGATCCGCGGACGGTGGCAACGATGACGGAGAACGCCAATCTCGTGCGTGCGCTGCTATCACGTATCGAAGCTTCCGGTGATGAGAATCTCAAGATCTTTTCCAAGACCACCGTCTCGTCGATTGAGAATGGCTCGGATCATCCGGACGGCCCTGATCTGTCTGCCTGGCCAGTGTTGACGGTGGCGCCATCGGAGGCCTCTCCGGCGTCGACCTCTGAGCCCCCTGTCCGCATCGCAGCGCGGCTGCTCGTCGGGGCCGATGGCATCAACAGTCCTGTTCGATCCTTTGCCGACATTGCCACCGAGGGTTGGGACTACAATCGACACGGCGTTGTTGCGACCTTGGCTCTCTCGGACTCGGAGGCGCCCACGTTCCCGGCCGGGATGCGAACAGCGTTCCAGCGTTTCTTGCCTGCACTGGGAGGACCGATCGCTCTGTTGCCTCTGCCCAACAACCACGCCACGTTGGTGTGGTCTACCACGCCGGAGCATGCGGCGTATCTCAAGTCTCTCCCTCCGAACGCGTTCATTTCAATGGTCAATGCTGCATTCCGACTGTCCATGACGGATCTCAAGTACATGATGAAGATGAAGCGCGTGGGAGAAGAAGAAGAAGTCAACCAGCATGACGCCGAGTTGACCTGGCGGCTGCAGCATACCCCTCAACCGAACCATATCCCGCCAATGGTGACAGGCGTGCAGGAACGCAGCGTTGCGTCCTTCCCACTGCGCTTCCGCCACGCGTCCACATACATCTCCCCCCGGGTCGCGTTGATCGGCGATGCGGCGCATGTGATCCACCCGCTCGCGGGACAGGGCCTCAATTTAGGGCTGGGCGACGTTGCCTCGCTCTCCAATACCATCGAGTACGCCGTGACCCACGGGATGGACGTCGGCGACCTCCTCTCCCTCGAACGGTACTCGACGGAACGATGGGGAGCGAATGCCAAGGTGGGCGGCGTCTGCGATCTCCTCCACAAGCTGTACAACGTGCCTGGCCAGGGCCCTGTGGCGTGGGGACGCAGTCTCGGCCTGAATGTTATCGACCGGCTACCATTTGTCAAGGGCTTTCTCATGAGGCAAGCCGAGGGGGGCGCTTGAGTCGTTGTAGTCTATTGTATTATATTCTCTTATCTTATTCTCCTACCTCTCCACAAACCAACCTAAACTATATTCAATGAGACTATTAGGTCTCTCAGCTGTTTGTCTCTCTAAATTATATAAATACTGTCTAATGTACATAGTGTACAGTGAGATCTATAAGTGCCCGAGTGGGCTGTATCTCCGACTAAACAATCTACCAACTTCAGGCCCCCAAAAATAATAAGATCAAGTGATACTGGGATCTACAAGCTCCGTCCCACTCTCAATCCTTCCGATGCCAACTAATCAAAACCCTGTGTGACGCTGGCCCAGCCTTTTTGTTGGCATCACCAGAAGATAAAGAGCGAAGTCAGATCCATTGACCGATATCACCAGGCCTGGCTACAACCATAGTATATCCACCTGACGACTTTTATCCAACCATCTAACCATGGCAACGCCTCAAGAAAGACACCCGGAGTTTTTCCAGCCTGTAGGCAGCGAGTCGCCGAGGGGGAAGAAACGAACGGTTCCGATGGAATGTTTATGCCTGGGGTTCAGCCGGACCGGGACGGTTTGTAAGTCAGCCATTGTGAGAATATATATTCTTTACCTAGGGTTATTTTCTTCTGATTAGTTCCAGCGATGTGTAATGCGATGGAGACGCTCGGGCTGCGCTGCTGGCACTCGATGCAGCTGATGTCGACACGATTCGGGGAGATCGAGATGTGGCAGGAAGGCGTGGACCGGAAGTTCTTTGGCGCGGGGGGACAGCCGTTTGGACGCGAGGAGTTCGACCAGCTCCTGCACGACGTGTCTGCGGTGTCGACGGACACGCCGGCGCTGGCGTTTGCCGACGATCTGATCGCCGCGTACCCGGAGGCCAAGGTTGTGCTGGTGGAGCGGGAGATGGAGTCATGGTACGCGAGCTGGATGAACAGCGTGATCAAGAACACGTTCAACCCGATTGCGCCCCTGGCGCACCTGCTGGACCCGTTCTTCCTGTATCCGTTGGGCAAGGTGCACAAGACGACGTTGCAGGGGTGGGCGGGGATCTCGAGCGTGGAGGAGGCACGGGCGAAGAGCAGAACCAAGTATCGAGAACATTATGCGATGGTGCGTCGGATGACCCCCCCGCACCGTCTGCTGGAGTTCAACCTGGCCGAAGACGGATGGGAGCCGCTGTGTCGTTTTCTGGACAAACCTGTGCCCGACACGCCCTTCCCGCATCTCAACCGGCTGCAGTGGCTCGATGAGAAGGTGCAGTTGGGGCTCAAACGCAGCGCCAAGGGGTTGGCGATGAGGGGGGTGCTATATTTGGGACCTTTCTTTGTCGCTTGTCTTGCGTATTATTTGATAGCCAGATAGTAGATACTACCTAGGTATCTACCTGAGGTAGTCCTAGGTAACAAAGTCGTCTACTCTATAGACAACAGTATTAATGTTATTACTGTTAACTATTGATCTATTATATTCCTAGGTACTCCATGTCGTATACCAATACTAAACAAGCTACCTATAGTATAGCTATAATTAAAGTTACTACTAATTTAGCAGATGGCAATCTATTACTCTGTACCATACTACTATAGTACCTACCTACTCCGCAGTAGTAACTACCTAGTACTAAGGTATAGTATAGTTATTATACTATATATTACCGGCCGAAGGACTCGGACCCTGGTTGATCTAACGAGGGCACATGGCTCAGGCGCTAGAGCAATACGGTGTTAAATACCTGGCTTTGGTCTGGCAGCACGTTAGTTGGCTGGGATAGACTTGAGTGGCCCGTATTTGTATGCACTATTTATTAGTACTTATAACTATGTTATTACTAGTAATTAGATAGGTTCTAACTACCTGTTACTACCTGTCTCGTGCCTGTATGCAATGCAATGCACAGCCATCCAGACTAGTATTATTACTCCCCTTACTAGTGGTATGTAACTATTTCTCCGCAAAAGCGGAGTCTACTCCGTACTTAGTATAGGTACAATATGGAGACAGTCATTAGTCTCAGATGAATTAGTTGATTGGAGAAGTCTTTATTCTGTGTGCAGTATTAATCATTAATTATGGAGTATGTAGATCTTTTCCTTGATTTTGTGTGCTAATAATTTGGAGAGAAGAAGGCTACTGGTGGCACGTCCTCCGTATGGAGTAATATTCTAGGCGCACCCTTGCCCTCCACGTGGCTCGTGCTTGTATTGATGCCTGAGGCATATATCGGTATACCTTATGTATGTACCTAAGTATACAGAGTACCTTCCAGACTAAAACCGCACCCTAAATAGGTATATCTATAATATCATGGCGTTTATCCTGTGGTCATGGTGTCAGGATCCAAACCTTAGCATTACTGCATTGATCTGCCATGAGGGAATATACCTTAGTCCATTAAAATGACTCGAAAATCGTCCCTGCATGCACGTCGCCAATCATCAGACTACATGTAGTCTACAGTACTACATACATAAGTAGTTACACTATATGGCAATAGGAGAAGGACTTCGCCTATAGTCAGTACCCTACATATCCATGTCGTTAGGTATGTAGTGCACCTTGGTAGTAGAAGCACTGTCTACAACCCAACTCCACAGAGTGCATAATTCACTCACTCATAACGGTAGAACAATAAGCCAAATACTTGAGTCTCAAGGACAGAATCGGTAGAATGACAACAACATGATACCTAGTATTGCTTGGGGAGTCCTTCAGATAGGTTAGGTACCTAGGTATACTCCGTAGGTAGGGTCATAAATACAGCCTTACTGTATAATACCAGGAACAGTGCAATACACCGTGGGCGTATCATCTTGGTACTGACATGGAAAAGGTTGCGCCACTGAACCAGTTCCTCCCAGGTGGTGTCCAGGGCTAGGCGATTATATTATTAATTAATATTGTTAAAAATTCTTATACAGTATCTTTTTGTAGTATTTTTATCTCCTCAGTAGTACTATGTAGTATTATTTCTCGACCACTGACAGGCAGGATTCACTATGTCACAATACTAGCTCCTCCCCATAAATTACCGCGCACGTTTTGCCTCTGCGGAGGGGCTTCCAGTAGTTACCTGCAGTTACTAGGGGACTCGCGGCTCCAGGCCAGACAAGAGGGAACAAGAGGGCGAAGGAACTGGATGGATGAGGTCAGGTTGTCTCTTTAGTTGGTTACTACCACCTCTTGCCTGTTCTTCCATTAGTTATAGTTGATTATTAGTTATTGTCTTGGTAGTAGTAGTAGTAGTAGTAGTAGTAGTGCCCAGCCCCTCTCCTCTCCTCTCCTCTCCTCCTCTCTCCTCCTCTCTACTCTCCCTCCCTCTCTTTCTCTCTCTCTCTCTCTTTCTCTCTCTTTCGCTTCCCCTCGCCTCCCTTTCCCCTCTTCTTCTCTGACCGCCCTCTAATCCTTCGAGTCGGCTCCGTTACTCTGGCCCGCACCCTTCCGCCCGGGCGCCCCGTCATACAAAACTGCCCAGTACCGACCGAACCTACGAACTGCTGCTGCCTTGCTCGCTTTCCCCTCAACCTCCTCATATATTCGTCATCATATTATCTCAATTGCGAAGCGCTGTCGCTTTCAGTGTGGTCAGGAGATTGCGTGTCGTCATTCGCATTCCTCCTCCCTGCGCTTCGCCTCTCTCTCTCCCTAGACTCGGATCCTTCTTCTTCGCCTAAGAACGGTTGGGGAGCCGCTGACGGACAGGAAACCGTCATCCGACCAGCCGCATATAATCCGACCAACGGCCTGGTGACACTGAAATAAGTTGTGCGAGAATTTGCTCTACGTCTACAATCAACTTCCCTCGACCTTTCTGCCTGGTGGTTTTCTGTGCGACAGCCACAACCGAACGTGCCGGGAGCTTGGAGCTCTCGCAGGGCGCTGAACACGCAGATGAGGCGGATCGCGGCCTGCTAAGCCGAGTCTGTTTCGAGTCTGTCTGCTCACCATGGGGTCTTTGTTTAGATTCAGAAACAATGCGGTAGGTCTTTTCGGTGTGGAAATCAGATTCGTCTTGCTAATCGATCGCTCGTGAAGGGAACCGCAAGTCCCGCGGTCGGGACAACGCCGACCAAAAAAGAAGCACACCCACCGGTCGTGACTCCTCTTGAGAAACATTTGCAGGATATGGGCCCAATACGACAGGATGGCAGTGACAAGTTCTTTGGCATGGAAAATGTACGTCAACGACTTCTTGCTCTACTATACAAATCCCCATTCTCAAGGTGCTAATCTGATTGCGGGTAGTATGGAAATACATGGTAAGCATAACCTGGGCTCCATCGTGGCCAAGGGGGGCTGCTTTCAGCTGACTTGTTTCTGTGCTCTAGCTACTGTAACTCGATCCTTCAATGTCTCTACTACTCGATTCCCTTCCGAGAAGCTGTCATAAACTACCCGCGACGCACACCGATCGAAACTCTGGAGGCAGCGCTGGAGAAATCACTCAGGATTCAGGATCCCAACAATCCGATCGACCTGGAGGCTCAGGCGGCCGCAAAGCAGGCGAAGCAGCCCAACGGCCAGTCGTCCGCTCGCGGCGCCGGCGTGCCCCCGAACCAACCGCAAAAACCGGAAGATAAGGATTCCCCCGAGTACAAGAAGAAGGTCGCGTTACAAACACTACCTTTGCTCGAACCGAACAACAACGCCCCCAGCTATGGCATGTCGGAGTCGCTGTTCACCTCGTTAAAGGACCTCTTCGAGTCCGTGGTCGGCAGTCAGATCCGAATGGGTATCGTGCGGCCCCAGCAGTTCCTCGAGGTCCTCCGCCGCGAACACGAGATGTTCCGCACGGCGATGCATCAGGATGCGCACGAGTTTCTGAATCTCTTACTCAACGAAGTCGTCTCCAACGTCGAGGCCGAGGCGGCCAAGCTGGCCCTCCTCGACAAGGACGTGGCGCCCGGACAGAGCGCCGAGTCCCTGGACCAAGCCACGATCAGCACGGGTTCCAAAACCCCAAGCACCACTCGTTGGGTTCACGAATTGTTCGAGGGGACCCTGACCTCCGAAACCCAATGCCTGACGTGTGAAAACGTCTCGCAACGCGATGAGATCTTCCTTGATCTCTCGGTGGATCTGGAACAGCATTCCTCCGTCACTTCGTGTCTCCGCAAGTTCTCCGCAGAAGAGATGCTGTGCGAGCGGAACAAGTTTCACTGTGACAACTGCGGCGGCCTCCAGGAGGCCGAGAAGCGCATGAAGATCAAGCGTCTGCCTCGGGTGCTTGCCCTCCACCTGAAACGCTTCAAGTACACCGAAGACTTGCAAAGGCTGCAAAAGCTGTTCCACCGGGTGGTGTACCCTTACCACCTGCGGCTATTCAACACCACCGACGAAGCCGAGGACCCCGATCGGCTTTATGAATTATACGCCGTGGTGGTTCATATCGGCGGTGGGCCTTACCACGGTCACTACGTTGCCATCATCAAGACCGAGGACCGCGGCTGGCTGCTCTTTGACGATGAGATGGTCGAACCCGTGGACAAGAACTACGTCCGCAACTTCTTCGGCGACCGGCCAGGACTGGCCTGCGCCTACGTCCTGTTCTACCAGGAGACGACCCTGGAGGCGATGATGAAGGAGCAGGAACAAGAGGATCTCGCCTCGACCATGGCCTCCATGGACGTGAATGACCTGGCCTTCAAGCAGAACGGATTCTCACCCATGTCCCCCACCGGCTTGTCTCATTTCCATACCGCTTCGCAGATCCCTTCCCCGCACGAGGAAACCACCAGCCGCTATGGCCTCGTGCGTGCCCCGACCGCACCCCAGCTTACTCCACACCCAGAGCATCCGGAGGCCGAGCCGGAAGTACCACAATCGCCCGACGCGACGACAGTGCCTCCTCCTCTTCCTCCGCTCCCGATCTCCTCTCCCTCGCCACTCAGTCCGAAAAAGCAAGATGCGCACACCCGCAAGGAGCAAGTCCGAGAGGAGAAGGAACGCAAAGCGGCCGAAAAGGAGCGGAAGGCCGCTGAAAAGGAACGCGAGAAGAACGAGAAGCATCGCCGCAAGGAGCAGGAGGCGAAGCGCAGGGAAGACTTCAAGCGTGAAGAAGCTGAGATGAGGGCCGCCATCGAGGCCAGCAAGGCCAGCAAGGCTGAGGAAGATCGCCGCCACGACGACAACCCCCACAAGTTGGCTGGGGGGCTGAATCTTCTGAAACGTAGTAGCAAGAGCTTCAGCCACCGGATCGGTGGCAATCACCGCGAACGACGGATCTCTTCCACCGATCTACCGCCCATGGTGGCCCCTGCAGAGCAACAGACTGCGTCAACGGCCCCTGCTGCTGCCCCTGCTGTCCCTGCTGTCCCCGTTGTTCCCGATATACCTCCTGCAATCCCCGAATCCCGGCCAGCAAAGGATTCAGCGCCGATTCCTTCTTCCAAGGCAATCGCTCACGACGAGGATATGCTCAAGGACTCCAACGGCAAGCATGGCCACGGCAAATGGCGGAGCTTCAGCCTCCGCAAGAAGTCGTTCAGCATTCTCTCTTAAGAGGTCGGTCTGCAATCAGACCATACTCTCGGAGTCACCCTGTTTCTACTCATCTTTTCATTCGAGTCATTACTTTGACATACTGCACATAATCTCTCCGGTACATACTGATCGTCGTTTTTTTCTTTTTTTTTTTCGACATCCCTGTTTTAGTCACAAAATTATGGCTGTTTTCTGGGTCTCTTGCATCAAGGCTGGGTACCTGGACAGAGTCTCTTTTTTTTTCTTTCTATTATCCCTTCTTCTTTCTCTGTGTGAACATGATCCGACCCCCCATCTGCGTATATCCAATGTACCTATTTGCCCCTATGTGATATGTACTTGAAAAAAACAAAACCACCTGGGTCACAACTGGCGGGAACCGGCGTCGTTTTGAGATCTTTATATCATTTGCTTCTCCTATACTTTGCTATCTGTCTTGCTTTACTGTCTTGGTGTCTTGCTCGATGGATTGGCGGTGCAGATCTACTCATAGCAATCTGGCGCTCTGTTGTCGAAACCTGTATAGCAGATATTCATCTGAATTATAAACTTTCTACTATAGACGGAGTACTCTACTAGTTTTTTGTGTTTTTTTTTTTTTTTTTTTTTTTTTTTTTCTTTTGGGTCTACATATATATACCTAGGTGTAAGTATAAATTGGCTGATGTCATACTTCACATGGCTTTAGTGGAGCACTTTATGCCAGCTTGCAGTGGGAGCTCTGTTCACCACGATTGACACCGTGACGATGAGGAGCAGTAAGAGACAAGCCAACCCCAACGTCAATGATATGCTAATAGTCTGATTCCAGTACCCCTTCTTTTGGCCCTCACGGCCTTCCCCGCCCTCATCCTCCTCCACCTCCTCGCCGCCCCCTACACGAAAGTCGAGGAATCGTTCCACGTCCAAGCGACGCACGATATACTATCCTACGGGATCTCGGGGGGAAACACGCAAGCCTATCTTCGCGAACATTATGATCATTTTATATTCCCGGGCGCCGTGCCCCGGACGTTCGTGGGGGCTGTATTCCTTGCTCTCCTTGCGAAGCCCGTGATTTTCCTGACGGAGTTGGACCAACAAGTACTCGGTACGCCCTTGACCCAAAAAGACAATCCTTATGATCGCTTATGTTCTGATCTCTCTCTCTCAGTTCGTGGTATTTTAGGAATGTTCAATGCTGTCGCGTTGATGGTGTATGCGTCTGGCGTGCAAAGAGCGTACGGATATACCTCTGCGCTCTGGTACGTGGCTTTCCAGGCCAGTCAGTTCCATGTCCTCTTCTATGCGTCGAGGCCGTTGTCCAACATGTTTGCATTTGGATTGAGTGAGTTTCTTTTCTAGCTCGCCCCTTGAATCTAGAAAAAAAATTGCTAAGTTATAGCTACGCTTGCCCTGCGGTACCTTTTACCCGAACAGATACCCGCGGAAACCTACAAAACCCGCTGCCGGGCCTCACTTTTCCTCCTCACTGTCGCTGGGATCATCTTCCGCTCGGAGCTGGCTCTCCTCCTCGGTGCAGAGACGGTCGTGCTCTTCGCCACGGGCCGGATCAGTATCGCCCGCGAGATCATCCCCGCCGGGGCGCTAGGCCTGCTGGTGGGCTTGTCGACGACGGTGCTCGTGGACTCGTTCTTCTGGCAGCAGTATCCGTTATGGCCTGAGCTGGCAGCGTTCAAGTTCAATGTGCTTGCCGGCCAGGCGTCCGCGTGGGGCACGCACCCCTGGCACTTTTACTTCTCCAACGCCCTTCCGCGGCTCCTCTCCAACCCTGCGGCCATCTTTCTTGCCCTGCCCTGGGCCCTACTGCACCCTGCCATGCGGACATCCTCCCTGTTCACCGTATTGCCCTGTCTGGCCTTTGTCGCGCTGTACAGTCTCCAGCCGCACAAGGAGTGGCGGTTCATCGTCTACGTCGTCCCGCCGCTGACCTCCACCGCCGCCCGCGCCGCCGCCTACCTCTGGACCCGGCGCGGCAAGTCCATGCTCTACGCTCTTGTTTCCGCCGGGCTCGTCCTCTCCACGCTCGGTTCTCTCGCCCTCTCAACCCTTATCCTCTTGCCTTCCTCTGCGGCCAACTACCCGGGCGGACTCGCTCTACGCACTCTCCACGAATACGCCAACGCGAGCAAAGGCTTGGGAAACTCTCCTGCATCGGTATATCTAGGTAATCTTGCGTGTCAGACGGGCGTCACACGCTTCAACCAACTACCTACCTGGCGGTACGATAAGACGGAAGACGACACCCAGAAAGCGGAGGCCACCTTCTGGTCGCAATTCGACTACGCGCTGATCGAGCCGGGCGAGGAATCCCTCCTGCTCTCCGATACATCTAGTTGGCATCAAATCCGAACAATCGACGGGTTCGCGGGACTCAAGATCGTGAGGCCGGGAGAACCCGTTGCAGGAACGATAGAGAGCGGCGTCATCCGACGGTTGCTCGGAGAGGATGCCCTCAAAGCCTGGGAATCGGCTAGTGATGTCTTGCGGAGGGTGTTGAGGGGGTACTGGGTTGAACTACGGATGGAGCCGAGGATCAAAATCATGCAGAGATAGATAAATAGGAGCTGATTTAAATTCCATGTACAATATTTGATGTACATACAGTACAGTATAAACCTGAACTAAGGTACCTACCTACCTAGGTACTACCCTAGTACAGTTTGCTAGGTCAACCGTTCAAGTCGCCCCTCTAGATCTCGCACCCACGGCTCAACAAGCGCGACGTTATTCTTCAACGCGGCTTCACCTTGGTCCATCTTCTCCTCGACAACCCGTAGCCCTTCACGCCACTGCTCGATCTCCTTCCACATCTCCGCCTGGCGTTTCTCAAGACCCTCGAGTAGATCCGCCGCCTGCGCTGCCCCGGCATGCACTGCCCGCAGGGAGCGCAGCCGTTCCAGCACGCTCGGTAGCAGCGGGTGTAGCGACTGGATCGTTGGCAGGGTCGCGTACAGAGCTTGGATCTTGGCTGCTTGCTCGTCGCGCTGCGAGGCGGCGGGGTCTTGGCCTTCGCTGTTGTTATTGTTATTGTTAGTGGTGGTGGTGGTGTTGGCGTTATTGGCACCGCCGGCGCCGGCGCCAGGCGTCACTACTGACGAAGATGAAACGGACATGCCCTCTGACGTGAAGTCGATCGTGGCTGCCGCGATGCGTGCTGCCTGTGCTGCCTTGGCGGCGTCAACGGCTCGTCTACGCGCAGAGGCTAGAGAGTCTGCATCGGCAGTCAATTTGCGCACACGGCTGCTCAGGGATTCAAGGTGCGGGGTCGTGTATGTGGTTGACGGCGGCGCGGGCCCCATGGTCGGAACAGCCGAGGCGGGGGGGTTGGGCCCGATGAGAATGCTGGTGAGCGTGGAGAGGCGAGAGGTGAGGTGGTCGAGAGCGGGGAGGATGGGCTGTAGGGCCGGTTGCGAGCCACTGCCGCCGTCGGCGAGGAACGGATTGGAAGCGCTGGAGATGCCCATGGCGGCTTCGATCAGGGCGAGCCGGCCGTCGAAGGACGCAGCATGGCTTAGGACCCCCGGCGAAGAGGGGGACGTCTGTGAGGCTGTGTTTGAGTTCCCGTCCGGGCCGCTTGGCTTGCTTGCAGCCGCGGAATGGTCGTTCAGCGACCCCTTGGAGATCTGCTGGGACAACGTGGCGGCCGCAGAATAAGGGCCGGCCGTGTTCCTTGACGAAGCATGGAGGTTGTCCAGCGCACGGCTGAGCTCCATCACGCCGTCGCCCATGTCCTGGTCGTGTGCCTCTCCCTGGGTTTCTTTGCGCTGCGCTTCGGCTTGTCGCGTCACCAGCTCACTCTTCATTTCCTCCACCTCGCGGCGAAGGCGAGTGAGCTTCCTCTCGAAACTTTCATCCTCGCTGTCCGAAAGATCTCCCGCTTCTCTTTGTTGATCGCCGCGTCTCCGTCGACGGCCAGTCTTGCTCCTGTATGCTTTTCGCTTCGTGGCAATGCTATCGGAGAAGTTTACATCACGGGCATCGACCGTGGCACCAAGGAAATGAGCGCGTGCCTCATCTGCATTAACGCCATGTCGGTCGATGTCTGAGTGTGAACCAAGATCGTCGTCGGAATCCGAAGCGGTGCGCACAGTGGCTGTCTATCGGGGGGGTCAGAATGCTGGGCCATCACGGGACAATCTCCTCGGAATTAACAAACCGGCAAGGTCGAGACATCATCTGTAAGGTCTGGCGTTTCGTAAATATCAGGAGCAAGATCCTAAGCACACCAGAGTAAGCAGGAATCGCCCTCCAATCAGACAATCGACGCAGCAGCCATTGTCAACAAACACCGCAACTCACCAAGTCCGGAAGGCCAGCGTATTTCTTGTTGAACGCCATGGTTTCTATCGGAATCGCTTCTTTCAGAGTCTCTTCTAGCCCGCTAGATATCTGGAGACTCGTAAGCAAGTGGGAGAGAGCTTCAGGGCTCAGGGATATTTCCTGCTGGTGTCGGAGACGTGGTGGCAGAAGGCGGAGAAGCGCGTCGGCACGTGAAAGGGGGCATCTTTAAATTTTAGCTTCAGAAGCTCAAGTTGTCTTCCACCAGTTAACCATCTGATGCTTTTATCGAACAGGCATTCTGTATTCCCTGTGAGATACTCACAGCAATGAGTTAGGTATATTTCCTATTACCACTGTCTTGAAGGGCGAGTGGTGGTTTAGTTCCTGACTTGTCTGGCAGCCAAATAGGAGCATCGAGACACTCAAGATTGAATAGACTATCGAAAGCTTCAGCTAAATACATGACCTTGAGGCCATCTCTCGCAGACGAGAAATATTCATCTTGGAGTTGAGGTTCCAGTGAGCTCTGCTCTTATAAGCCAGACAATACTGCAGCTCCCATATCTTGATATGCCATGCAATTGATCGGCAAGATATCATATGCTCTAGATGTCTTATATCTCGAGGCTACCATAAGTTCAATATATATCAAGATCAAATATAAAATAAATCATCATTGGCGAACAGAAGAGAGGAGAAGAGAAGATATGGCGGGACATATGGAAGAATAGATAGATAATGTATACCTGATGCCCCTCATCGAGTGCAGACAACATCGACTCACCAAAACAAATGCCTCTCAACCTTTGTTTATTCCAAACCCAAGTCTAAACACTAGTACCAATCGTAGCTCTACTGCCAATATATGAATGAACACATGGATTCACATGGTTGGAGTCTACCGAGGTCAGAAAAATGCAATTGTCCTTCCTGGCAGCGCGCGGGGGGGCTTTGGGGGTCGCTCCAACTTGCTCGTGTTTACAGCGGGATTTATTTAAACTGAACCTACTCTACACTCTCTGTTATCCATAGTCACAACTCCCCGTGAATCCCTTTTCATACTGTAATATTGCACTCTGATCGTATAGCTAGCTATCTCTATTCCAGTCAACCATTTCCAGCAAAACCCAGCACATTATCGACGTCATGGCGGCCCCCGCGGATCGTACCATCCAGGACCTCAACGGAGACTGGGTTATGGTAAGTACTTCTTTTTTCTAGTATTATGTGTTTTCAAGTATCGTATTGAGGAGTAACGATATAATTCCCCCCAATTCAATTCTGAATATTGAATTCTATCGCTAACGATGATACCCCTCGCAGGACAAGTCTCTCTCCGACCCCTTCGAGCCTTGCCTGGCACTGGTAGGAACCCATACTCTAGTAGAATAACGATTTGTTAATGCTTTACCAGCAAGGGATTGGCTGGGTGACTCGCAAGGCCATTGGACTGGCTACTATTACACTGAAGATCCGGGAAGCCCCCAGTGCAGACGACAAGACCGTGTACCAGATCGACATCGATCAGATAGTCACGGGCGGCATCAAGGGCACCAGTGAGGCGCGCACCACCGACTGGCAGGAACGAGGTCACAAGGATCACATCTTCGGCTCGGTGGTAGGCCGGTCGCGGCTTCTGCGTGGCAGTCAAGGCGAGGACGGCAAGTTCCGACCCAACGTCCAGGTGCAAACAGAGCTAGGGGGTGACGGGGTCGATGAGGCGAAGATCCAGAAGTTCCTGAGGGGTGAGATCCTCTTGGACGGAAGCGAAGGCTCTGGCTTCCTCGCTGACGATGCTGGCGAGGATCTTGGCCAAGGCCAGGGTCTGTTTCTTCAAACCTGGGTGGTGAACCAGGATGCCGGCTGGACTGCGGAGCAGGTATGTGTTTTTTTTTTTTTTTTTTCCTTTTTCTTGTCGTTGCGCATAAACTTTTCAGCTAATTGGTAGGTCTGGGGTTTTGAAATTGTCAATGATCAACGCCATTACACCCGTCGTGTTGTCATCGTGAAGAATGGCAAGTATCAGCTGGCACGCCTTGTGTACAGCTATCAGGGGTCCCGGGAGGAGTAATTGGTAGTCTACTCGTTAAATAGACAGTATCCCATGAGAATGCAATTGCTATATTTTTTTTTTAGTACAGCGTAAGCAACGAATATCGATTCCTAGTAGTCATGCATATCAACAAGATTAAATATAAGACTTCTCAAACTGAGAGACAGAATCATTGTAACAGAACTATATTTTCTTCTTTTTTGCCCCCCCTTTTTAGAAAACTATGAATGAGTCGGCATAACGACATGGGCCTTGGTGCTAATAGCATCCTCACTGCGCCACAGACTGGTGACAGTCTTCTGTTGGGTGTAGAAGTGCAGGCCCGGTTTGCCGTAGAAGGTATTCGCGCCCCCACCGGCAATGCTCTTCTTGTTACCCGTGAAGGAGAACATGGGCAGAGGAACAGGAATGGGCACGTTGATGCCCAGCTGGCCTGCTTCGATGTCCTTCTGGAACCGGGCGGCGGTGGACCCGGAGCGGGTGAAGATGGCGGCGCCGTTGCCGTATTCGTTTGCGTTGATGAGATTGATTGCTTCGTCGAGGGTGTCCACGTTCAGACAGACGAGGACGGGGCCGAAGATTTCCTCCTTGTAGCATTTCATTTCGGGGGTGACGTTGGTTATGATGGTAGGACCGACCTAGAACGTAAAGGTACAAATCAGCCTTTTTTCTTTTTCTTTTTCTTTTTTTTTAAGAGGAGATAAAACTTACAAAGTTTCCATTAGGATACTTTTCAGGCTTGTAGCCACGTCCGTCGAGGAGGATGGTAGCGCCCTCGGCCTCTGCACTGGCGATGAGGTCCTCAATGCGTTTCTTGCTCTCCGGGCTGATCACGGGGCCGAGGTCGGCGCCCTCCTCGAAGCCACCGTTGACGTTCAGCTGTTTGGCGCGCTCGGCAATCTCGGGCAGCCAGTCCTTGGTCTCGCCGACCATGACGCAGGTGCTGAGGGCCATGCAGCGCTGACCGGCGGCGCCGAACGCGGCGCCGACGATGGCGTTCAGGGCGTGGTTCTTGTTGCAGTCGGGCAGGACGGCGGCGTGGTTCTTGGCCCCAAGGTTGGCCTGGACGCGTTTGCCGTTGGCAGAGCCGCGGGCGTAGATGTACTCGCCGGCGCGGTTGCTGCCGACGAAGCTGATGGCCTTGATGGCGGGCTCGTCAAGGATGAAGTCGACGGTGCGGGCGGCACCGTGAACGATGTTGATCACGCCCGGGGGGAACCCGGCCTCGCGGGCCAGCTCGGCCAGGATCATGGCGGCGCCGGGGTCCCGTTCCGAGGGCTTCAGGACGAGACAGTTGCCCGTTATGGTGGCGACGGGGATGCACCACAGCGGGATCATGGCGGGGAAGTTGAAGGGGCAGATGGCGGCGACGACACCCAAGGGTTCACGATAGCTGCGGGTCTCCATGTCCTTGGCGACCTCGAGCACCTCGCCGGGGATCTGGCTGGTGATGCCACACGCGGCCTCGGCGACCTGCAGGCCACGCAGGACGTCGCCACGGGCGTCGGCAAAGGTCTTGCCCTGCTCGAGGGTGATGGAGGCGGCCAGTCGGTCCCAGTGTTGGCGGATCAGGCTAACAAACTTGAACATGATCTGCTGGCGGGCCATGATGCTCGTTGCCCGCCAGGCGGGGAAGGCTCTTTCGGCGCTCTCGACGGCCGCCTTGAGCTCCGCGTCGGTGCTCTGCGGCACCCGGGTCACCAGGTTGTTGGTGGCGGGGTCGTGCAGGTCGATCCACGTCGTCGCCTGCGACGGCACAAACTCATTATTCAGGAAGTTGGTCGTGTCGACGGGGTCGGTGATGGCGTCGTGCGTCGTCGGGTACTCGGTGGCGGTCGACGCCGCCGAGGTCGTCGCGGGGCTCAGGTGGCGCGCCGTGGCGTGCAGCCTCCTCGAGGCAACCAGCGACGGCGATGAGCTCTTCTGCAACGGGGACATTCTCGATGCTGTTGACGAGGAGAGCGATCGTGAGACTGCCACGGTGGCGGATGCGTTGCTCAGACCCGTGCGGGGAGAGGCAACGCGGAGAGTGGGGAGAGAGCGGAGAGACCGACGGGCGGCCATGGTGAGATTGAGTGGAGGGGAGAGGGGAGAGGGGAGAGGGGGGGGTGATGAAGAAGTGAATAGGTGAATGGGTGAATAGGTGAATAGCTGGATAGATGAATAAAGAATCGGTGAAGGCGGTCCACGAGAGCAGCGGTCCTGGTCACCTGCAGGAGAGTAGGTTATATACGGCAGGGACAAGTCCGGGGATCCTTCCGGTCCTTCTTCTTCAGGAATGGGGCCGATAACGGCCGTTGATAACCACCTCGGCGCTGAGGGCCAATCAGGAGGGGAGGTCGCATAGAGTACAAAGTAGGGAGGTACATCCTCAGTAGCCTCTTACTGTAGTATAAGGTACTTACTATATGACTACCTAGGTACCAGGTAGTATATAGGTAGTAGTAGCGAGTCTTTGATATAACTACTATTTGCTGACTCGTAACTAAAATCCAATATGACTGCGGTCACTCGGGATATCTATTCTCTGTAGTAGTGAGGTGTTTGGTGGGGAGATTCAATATGGTCCTAGACTACACCGTCTCTTTGAATAGGCTAAATTAATAAGAGGAAATGAATGTCTTAGAATCTATCTACTATATATACTAAGATAGAGTACTAGAGTACATAGTACATAATAGTAAATAGGTGGTAACTAGTAATTCACAGGCAGCCCTGGAGAGCTAGAATAGGTGCCTCATATATCAGGTTCCTGCTCTCCAGGAATTTGGCGGTACGCTAAGCCTAGCTAGGTGGGTACCTAGGTACCTAGGTATCTAGGTAGTTATCTAAGGTATCTTACTAAGTAGTTACTTGCCAGGTACGATCTATGCTTGTTGATTCATTTGATAAGATAGTATACTCCGTACTTCCTTCTTGTCAACCATATTACTTAATTCTGCCTGCTACCAAGTATACTACATAAGGCTCTCTCATGAGTAGATACGACTACAGTATGAAAATAGTAAAGGTAAAAACAATAAACTAAAGCAATATGCTATGCTGTACTTTACAAGTCACGAGGCCCTCGGGTGGTAATGGGTGGATGGTTTTCATATCTCATAACAGGTGGCAACGCTCCCAGCAAGTCCTTTTGCCTTGGCCGGTTATGGATTGATGATGAGGGGTTACCCGGACGGAAGAGTGATTCAAATCCGCAGTATGATTATTTTTTTTCTTTCCTTTTTGTTTTTGTTCTTGTTTTGGGTGGGTTGCTTTGTCTCTTCCTCTACTGCGCAGAAGAGCGAGTGGACCGCTTGGTAGCAGAGCCCTTAGCCGTATCCGCAGCGGAGCTGACGGCCTCGGCAGTCTTCTCCTTGGCGGAGGTGGCAGCGGCCTTGCCCTTCTTGGCAGCCTCGGCGGGAGCGGCGGAGCTGGCGCTGATGGCGCCCACAATGACAAGGACCATGGTTAGGAGCAGGGCGCCCAGGCCGCCAGCAACTTCGGGGACAGTCTTGACCGCGTAAATGGGGTCCTGCTTGGCCAGGGTGACAAAGGTGTCGACCTTCTCGCGGACAAAGGTGATGGGATCCTCGCTGAAGGTGACGCCGGTGGGGGCAGCAGGCTCTTCCTTCTTCTTGGGCTTGCTGGCCTCCTCCTCGGCAAGTTCGACGGGGTGCTTGATGTCAAAGGTCTCCTGGCGAAGCTGTTCCGCATCCTCGATCGAGTGGCCGATGTAGATGTTGTCGAAGAGAATGTCGTTCTGCATAGTCCAGATCTCAAAGCCAATCTGTCATTCGTTAGCCTTGAAAAAAAAAAATTTTTTTTCATCTAGACAAGATATGAAGACTTACAGCGCCCATGGGCTCAAAGTTGGACGGGGTCTTGTCCTCAAAGTACTTGGGGTTGGCGATCTTACGAGGAGCCCAGACACCCTTGTAGGCGGGGTTGTCGACCAGAGGAGCCGACCACTTGCCCTTGTAGGCAGGGTTCTTCTTCATGGGAGGAGACCAGGGGCCACAGCCAGAAGCCTCTTGGCACTTGGGGTTGGGCACGGTGGGGGCGATCCAGTCACCATCCTCCTCGTCATCCCAGTCCTCGGGCTTCTCAGCCTCCGGGTCGGGGATGCTGGTGGGCTCATCGACGAGCCAGTCGCTGGGCTGGGTGGCCTCCTCGTCGACGATCTCAAAGGGAGCCTCCTCGTCCCAGTCCTCGGGCTTCTTGGCCTCCGGGTCGGCGATCTTGGCCTCGTCCACCCAGTCGGCGGGCTTGGAGTCCTTGGGGTCATCAATCTCCTTCTCCGGGTTGACGGCCGGGGTGAAGTCCTCAAGAAGAGAGCCCTCCTTGACGGACTCGCCATCGATGAGGATCTCGAAGGTCTGATCGGGCTTGACGATCAGGGTGTAGACCGAGGTGACCTTGGAGGTCCGGGCGGTGGGAGGGGCCTTCAGGTGCTTCTCCTCGTACTCGCCAGTCTTGGGGTTCTTGTGGCGGAAGATGAAGTGGACCTAGAATGATTGTTAGGATATAACGTCGAAACTGTATGAAGGCTTTGGCTTACCTTGTTGGTGCCACCGCACTTGTCAGGTCCGAACATGATGACGTAGGGAGTGGTGTTGGAAAACTCCTCCGCGTGGAGCTTCTTGTTCTCCTGGAGGAGCTTCATGTAGGCACCGCCACAGACCAGGGAGTCTGACCATTAGTATTTATGTACGATCTAGGGCGACTTAATGATTTGCGATCAGGGAAAAACTCACTCTGAGGCTTGACCTCGTACTGAACAACCAGAGTCTTCCCCTTGTTATCGATCTTCTTGGGGAACTTGGCGGAGATGGCGTGGTGGGCCGCGACGTCCTTGACGACGAGACCCTTGTCGCCCTCCATACCCTTCAGCACGGTAGGCTCCTCGACAGCCCAGGTGCCGACGTAAGCCCAGTCCTCCTCTGACTTGGAGTCCTCCTTCTTGGCGTGGGACGGGGTCCATCTGGACTCCCAGTCGTCAGTGAACTGTTCGAGGAAGGGAGCTTTGAGCGTGGTGGGCTAAGAAAGAATTTGAGGTTAGCAGCTGCCGCCATTGACAGGAGAGAAGATGCAGCAGAAGAAGAACAACAACAACGGATCCACATACTGTAAAGGTAGGCTTCTCCGCAACGGAGGTGGCGTCCACAGGCTGTTCAGCTTCCTCAGCGTGGGCATAGCCCATCAGCGTGGCTGACGAGACCAGCGCGGAGGTCAGCGCGGCGTTGATACGCATGACGACGGGTGGATAGATAGAGCGAGAGAGACAATCAGCAAGATCAATCGGTCCCGCAGGCGAGGAGCGAAGGTCAAGTCAAAACCAGTGGAGCGGCCAGCAGCACACGGAAGGAAAGAAAGGAAGGGGTGGAGAGAGGAAGTCTCGCGGGCGCGTTATAAGCGACGAGATGTTGGGGATGAGCCGAAGTTCCAAGGTGGCCTCTTCTATGGCAGGCCTGCCCAAACAGGCTAGACTATTCATGCTGACCAGCAATTTAATTGAATTAGTAGATTGCTATTGCTTGGCTATTATTCTCTAGATATATTCTACTACATATTTAGAATGGATTATTGCAATTAATTAATAGATATAGTAAATGTAATAATATATATAATATTAGTAGATTAATTCAATACTATAGAGTAGATTACTATAATCTATTTATGCCTCAGGCACCATAGCTTATGAAGTACCAGTTAGGTACCTTAGATTTGTACCTATTAATTCTATTATTTGAATATATGGCCTACCTAGGTACTACTGCTTAGAAAACCTACTTCCCCTACTTTCCCTGCCGGACGGAGGTAAATCCAGGGTAGACCAGTACAATGATTGTTCGTGTCGCCATGCTCTGTTCTTATTGGCTGCGGCGATTGCGACATCCCCGCGCAAAAAGAGTCAAAAGACTGAAGGTTCCCCTCAGTAGGTAGCATTGACTGACTGTCTAGAAAGCATCAGGAAACGTCAGACAGACATCCATCATGGCTCACCCAGACGCCTGTACAGACAAGTTTGACCATCTGGTCCAGTCGGAAGATCCAGAGCACCCCGCCAACCTGATCCCGGAGTTGTGCCGCAAGTTCTACAACTGGGGATGGGTGACAGGGACGGGAGGGGGTGTCAGTAGAAAGATTTCCTTCAACCAAAGCTGATTCTCTGCTCACATGGCTAGACCTCCATCCGCCGCGGCGAACACATCTTTATTGCCCCCTCGGGCGTTCAGAAGGAACTGATCAAACCAAGCAACATCTTCGTCCTCGAGTTTCCCACCCCGAAATACCCCCCTTCGGACCGCAAGTACATCCGCAAGCCGCTCAATCTCAACCCGTCCGCCTGTACACCCCTCTTCCTCGCTGCGTTCGAACGCGGGGCGGGCTGCTGTATCCACACCCACTCGCAATGGGCTGTGTTGGTCACTCTGCTGGTGGAGCGTGAGAAGGGGCCGGGCGCTTGCTTCGAGATCAGCAACATCGAACAGATCAAGGGTATCCCGCGCGGCAAGGGCAAGGGCATGATGGGCTTCTTCGACACCCTCCGCATCCCCATCATCGAGAACACTGCGTTTGAGGAGGATCTGACCGGCAGTCTGGAGAAGGCCATGGAGGAGTACCCGGATACCTGTGCTGTTCTAGTCAGGCGGCACGGAATGTATGCTCCCCCCTTTTTTTTCCCCTGCCATTACTTCTCCCGAGTAATCTAACCTCATAACAGCTATGTCTGGGGAGACGACGTCGCCAAGGCCAAGACGCAATGCGAGAGCTTGGACTACCTGTTTCAGCTGGCCGTGGAGATGCACAAGCTCGGCCTTCCCTGGGTCAAGGAGTGATTATCTTTGCAATGGTCGTATATTAGTACTGCCCACCTCTAGCAGTGAGTACATATGCATAGTAAAATATTTATAAAAAAAAGAATAAACGAACACCATCCCAAGAATTAAATTAAATGATTCTAGTACCGTATCTAGTATCTATTTAAAAAGCAAAAGTTGACCTCCTCGTGGTACATATCTTGTGGTGGGGAGCCGCCTAGACTTAAGCTAAAGTCGGTCCAGCGACAACCGGCGGGCATCTGTTCTCTCCAGCTTAATCCCCCCCAGAACAGACCCGCTGCCTGCGCTCTGGAACAGCCAAACAATCAATCCGAGGCTCATCAGATCTAGCGCTTGATATCGTTTCTCTCGCTCGAAGAGGCTTCCATTGTCCGGAGGATGGATTTGGACGCTGCAGACTCCCCGTGGGGCGGTAAGTACCTGCCCAGGCAGTCATGATGATGATGATGACGATGACGGCGATACACCCTCCCTTCAACGAAGCGTCTCTTACGCCTGGTTTTAGATGTTCCCTCACAGTCAAGTGCACCTCAAGCACCTTCGAAACCTGACAATGAAGATAATGGTACGTATCTGTCGCGTCCCCGATTGTTCCGATCCTTAAACCAACCCCCCCCTCCTCCTCCTCCTCCTCCTCCTCCTCGTCGTCTGACCTCCATCCTGTCGCAGAACAACCACCCTCGCAGCCGGCGAGCAGTTTGAATACCACCCGGTCGCCGCCGCGTCGCGGCCCACGAGTCAATCGTAAGATTAGCGCTCAGGTGACGAAGCTGGAAGCCGTCGATGATGCTGTTGACCCTCTCGGACCCCTCGGAGGCAGCGGCCCCTCATTGTTCACCGAGCAGGCCCCAATGCCCCCCCAGAAGGAGCCGGCTGTCGGTCCTAGCCCGACACATCTGGTCTCGCCGACGCCGCAGCAGCCCTTGTTTGGAGTGTCATCGGAGGCTGGCACTCTCGAGGAGGACGGATCCGGCTTAAAGGGTCCCCCCCCCGTCCAGCCTCCGGTAGACGCCGAGAGAGCGCCCAAGCGACAGTCGCAGCCTAGTATGAGCGTGGAACAGGCCGCGAAGCCTACATTCGACATCGAGGTCGGTGATCCGCACAAGGTGGGAGACCTGACAAGCAGTCACATTGTCTATCAGGTCCGAACAAAGGTAGTCTAAACCCACCTCGTTACTTTTCTTCTTACATATACTGACAGCTTAAGACTACATCCAAAGCATACCGAGTCCCCGAGTTTACTGTGAGCCGTCGCTACCGTGATTTCCTCTGGTTGTACAGCTCGCTGCACAACAACAACCCTGGTGTTGTCGTGCCGCCTCCGCCCGAGAAGCAGGCTGTCGGCCGGTTCGACACGAACTTTGTCGAGTCCCGACGTGCGGCACTGGAGCGCATGCTTAACAAAATCGCGGGGCATTCGGTCTTGCAGCATGATGCCGATCTCAAGATCTTCCTCGAAAGCGAGTCGTTCAACCTGGACGTCAAGAACAAGGAGAACAAAGAGCCCGACCTCGGCCAGAACAAGGGCATGCTTAGCTCTTTCGGCATCTCTGTTGGTGGCAGCAGTGGCAAGTTTGTAGAACATGATGATGTGAGTTTCCCCAAACCTCCGATACCAGATCATCTTCTCATGATGTAGTGGTTTCATGACCGGAAGATTTATATGGATGCGCTGGAGAACCAGCTGAAGGCCTTGATGAAATCGATTGATACGGTTGTTGCTCAAAGAAAGGGACTCTCCGAGGCTGCCGGCGACTTTTCCGCGTCGCTGCATGCATTGGCCGCGGTTGAACTTTCGCCCGCTCTGTCAGGCCCACTGGATGGACTGTCGGACATCCAGCTGCGCATCCGGGAACTGTACGAGCGACAGGCGCAACAGGACGTTCTCACGCTGGGGATCACGATCGACGAGTACATCCGGCTGATCGGCAGTGTCAAGACGGCATTCACCCAACGCCAAAAGGCGTTCCACAGCTGGCACGCGGCGGAGACGGACCTGCTGAAACGCAAGAGCACGCAGGACAAGCTTCTCCGCCAGGGCAAGTCGCAGCAAGACCGGCTGAACCAGGCCAACGCCGACGTGGCCGACGCGGAGCGCAGAGTGCACCAGGCCCGTCTGCTCTTCGACGACATGGGTCGTCTGATGCGCAGCGAGCTGCAGCGCTTCGAGCGGGAGAAGGTCGAGGATTTCAAATCGGGCGTCGAGACTTTCTTGGAGAGTGCCGTCGAAGCTCAGAAAGAGGTACCCCTTTTTTTCCTACCTTTTTTTTGTGTCATCATGCTAACCCCTCTAGTTGATTGAACTGTGGGAGACATTCCTCATGCATCTCGACGCCGACCAAGGCAGCCCGTTCTACGCCAACCAGGAGAATTCGCTGCCGGAGCCAGTAGAGAATGCGGGCGAGGGAGTCGAGGCAGCACAGGATTAGTTTGACGTTACCCTTACTGTATAAAACGCAATGCATGAAATAGTACTTGAACTATTTCCTGTAAGACTAGTTTACTGTAAGACGAGACTGTAAGAAGATAGTTACACTATTATACACGACAGATCTATCACTATTCCATCCCTCGCCTACTTCTTGCCGCCCTTCTTCTTGGTCCAAGTCGGGGGAGCCTCCTTCTTCTTCTCGATCATCCAGGAGCCATCCTCATTCTGACCAAACGAACTAATCAAGTCAAGGAGGTTATCATCTTCATCTTCCTCCTCGACCTGTTGCTGCTTCGCATCCATATCCTTTGCGTCCTTCTTCTCCGTAGCCTCAAGATCCACAACAGGGGTATTCGCATCGTAACTCCGTCCAAAGCGCGATCGGAAGGCAGCCAATCGCCCGGCCTCGTCGTCCTCGACGTTCATGAGCTTGCTGCTCGACGGATTCCAGAGGAGGGAGTTGCGTGTGTCCCGCGTGCACCGGTAGACGGGCAGCGGCGAGGTGGTGCGTTGCGTAAAGGCGCTTCCGTCGGAGAGCGTCACCAGCTGCGTGAACGTGTAGGGTCTTTTCGGGCGGCGGAGGAGCGTGGCATGTCGGCATTGCGAGCAGATGAATGTCGTCGACGTAGACGTAGACGTCGAGGTTAAAGTGGAAGTTGTTGAAGTAGTGGATGAGGCTCTGAGAGCCGCGCGGCGGAGAGAAATAGTGATTGCCATTTTCAATGAAGAAAGGTAGAATAGAAAGAAGGTAGAATTCTGGAAGTGAGCTCTGCAGAGTAGTGTAGTGTATGGTCTAGGTAGACTCGTAGTGTTGAAATTTGGCACCGCATTACATAAGCACCAAACCTAGGTAGTTAACTAATTACTTTGTACTACCTCCCGAATCATTATAACAAGACTAGAATGAAGCTCCTAGGTCTTCTTCCATCATGTAGGCCGCAAAGGGGTGAGTGGTCACTCTACCCCGAGGCCCTGATCCAACTAACGGTCCAGTCTCTACAAGAAAGCACTTTACAACTTCTTCAACCCCATCTTCACCTTCCTCTCTCTCCAACAGTGTCCGCCTCTTAATGCGCCATGTCCCCCACCCCGTCGCAATCATCACATCCACCGATCCGCGCAATGGATCTGATTCCCCGGCACGCGGAATGACCGTCTCCTCCTTCAACACGGTCTCCCTGTCCCCCTCCCCGATCATCTCGTTCAATGTGCGCCGCCCCTCGGAAACCCTGGCTGCTTTGCTTCTCTCAGACCGCTTTCTCGTCCATCTCCTCGCGCCTAACCTGCGCACTGCTGCTCTGGCCCGTGCGTTCTCGCGCGGAAATAATACTCGCACCGAGTTGGAGGACTTTGAGTTCACGCAATACCTTTCAGAAGAAGGAAAGGTCCCTTTGTCTCTTCCGCTTTTGAGGGAGAAAGAGGAACATGCGAAAGGATCGGATATCCCCTTCGTGCTGGAATGCAAGGTTCATCAGCAGGTCCAGGTCAACGATCATACAGTCGTCCTGGGGCAGGTCCTACATACACTCGGCCAGATAGCGGAGAGTCGGCGCAGTGAGGCGGATGAATTGTGTTTGACCTATGCCGATACCAGGTTCTGGCGTATGGGTGATCAAATAGACTAATTGTACAGTAACATTAAAAGAAACAACCTAGACATAGAAGTACTCTCAACTTTTATTCCTATCTATATAGACTGCCGGTGATAGACTGAACGAGGAGTGAAGAGACGAGGTGGGGGGGGGGGGAAAGGCAAAAGGCAAGAGAACAACAACTAGTTCCAGATGCTCTTGCTGTGGCCGCGCGCAGAAGTCGGACTCCCGCTACCACTGCCACTTCCACTCCCGCTGCCGCTGCCGCTGCCACTGCCACGACTCGCTGCCCGTTGGAAAGGACTGCTGCTCGACACGGGCCGGAACCCGGTGGCGAGGGGTGCATTGCTGTCGGAGCCGAAGCTGGTGCGTTTGGCGCCCACAATCCCGACCCCAAGACTATCGGATAGGTCCAACGTAAAAGGCAGTCGACTGCCGATATCCAGCAGAGGGTCCGGTCCAAACTGGCCGCTGTGAGCAGATCGATTCGAAAAGGACCGGTCACGGTACGCAAAGTCGGCAGAGCCAAAGTAGGAATTTGCGTTAGCAAAGGGCGAGGTAGGGAAGTTGCTGCTGCTGCTGCTGTTGTTTTGCAGCGACGAGGGCTGTTGGGCTGGACTACTCTGATGAGAGCTACCACTACCACCGACGGGAGAGGGTGCATTTTGCTGGCGAGGGCTTGACCTGAACATGGGGAAACTTAGCCCCAACAGCGATCGGGTCCCCGGAGCGGTGGACGTCAGATTGGCCATGGCGGCAGAAGAGGAGGTCACCGAGAGAGCAGAGGCATCTGCCAAAGGGTTGGTACCGGGAAGGTTGCCTTCCGGGGTAAGTGGACCGGAGTCGACCAGCATTTGTTGTTGTTGTTGTTGTTGTTGTTGTTGCTGCTGCTGCTGCACGGCCTGCTCGATCGCCGAGACCTGTTGCCACAGTTGGCTCGTACGCATCTGGTAGTCCTGAACGGATTGGGTAATGCTTGCGAACTGCTCGTTGAAATTGGCCTCGAGCTTGGCATGGTCCTGCTCCCGAGCAAACTGTTCAGCCGCTCGTCGTTCACGTTCGTTGAGGCCCTGGGCGTTGGCGGAGATGATCCGTTCGTACTGCTCGTTGACTCGAGTCCGGCGGGTCTGTAGGCGCTCTCGGCGTTGCACCACCGAGCTCAACTCCGACTCGAGCGAGGATACCTCGCGCGAGAGGGCTTGCCGGGCGACATCGAGATCTTCCTTGGCGGACTTGAGTAAGCCCAGCTCGTGCTCGTAGTTGGCCTTTTGTGCAGCCCACTCGTCCTGTTCTTCGTCGGGGATCTTTTCCAGGTGGTCCAATTGCACCTCCAGCACGGCGGTGGCTTCTTCGGTCTGTCGGATGTTACGTTCCAGTTGGAGGGATCGCTGTTTTTGCCGGTTCTCATCCGTGCCGCTGTGCAGACGGTTATTGAAGTTCTCCAGTTCCTTCCGGATCTTCGAGATGAGGAGCTTGTGATCATTTTTGGCTTTCTTCAATCGCGAGCGCTTCTCGTTAATCTTTGTCTCGGCATTGGCAATCGAGTTCTTGAGTGTTGTCGTCGGCGAGGAGGGTCGATAGGAAGGTTGCGGTGGGGTAGGGATGGAGGAAACGACTGATCACAATTAGCATTTGGTGTGTTCAAAAAAAAAAAAAGAAAAAAAAAAAAAACATACCCTGCTCGGCATCACTGGTGGCGGGCGTCTTGACACTCATGGAACAAATCTCTTCATCCGTATCCCTGCGCATAAAGGAACAGGTATACGCACAGTTCGGAGCGAGACCAGAGATCTCGCCGCGCCATCGGACTGCATTCAATCCCTTGGGCGCATCCTGGACCCGACAGATGGCTGCCGTGGCCCAGAGCGCGCCATTGACACAGACGTAAAAAGGTTCCACCTCGCCGGGACCGTCGACACTGTTGTCAACGTCACACGTTCCCAAGCCGGAATGATCATCGGGAGAGGAGGGATAAAAGGATTCGCCGGCAGCAAAATGGATGGAAGAGCTGTCCACGTTTGTGATCCAGATGAGGCGGTCGTCGAGGGAAACGCTGTGGAGGTCCTCTTCGTTCATGGGGGGCCCGCGGGCGGTCTTGGACATGGCTCGGGAATGTTCATACTCACGCATGACGGTGACTTTCAGGTTGGCGAGGGCGGCCCAGAAGGGTTGTCGATTGCGGACTTGATTAGCCTGGCGTCTGCGTTTTTTGGCCGAGGTCAAGCGGTCGCGGCCATCTTTCAGGGCCGAGGCTGTCAGGATCTGGCCGTCCGGGCCCATGAAGGAAGAAACGCTGGCGCCGGATTCAAAGGCGGAATCGACCTGGGTCTGGGAGCCGGCGGAAGCCTCGGTGTCGACGCGTTTGCTGCCGGAGCGGGCGGATGGGGTGGGGGAACGGTTCTTGGCCATGGAGCGGCGGGCCATGGCGGTGCCCGCCTGGGCGAGGATATGGACGGCCAGGACGCTGCGGAGCCAGCTGGGTTGGGTCTGCGGGGACGAGCGACGGAATTCGGGGGGCACGATTTGGGAGAAGTGGGAGAGGATGTCTGGGTTGACGATCTTGGCGGAGAGGAGCTGATCGACGAGAAAATCCTGGATGCCCTTGCTCCGCACGAGATGTAAGAGCAGCACGATCCCGACGCAGAGGGCGTTGACGCCACCGTTCTTGCCCGAGCCGCCGCCGCCCAGGGTGATGGCGACCTGCACGTGGGCGAGGTCGAGCGCAAAGTTCTGCGCCCAGGTCCACATGAACAGGCCCCAGAAGAGCAGACAGAAGCCGTCCATGGCCATCATGGTGCCCAGTGAAGGGGTTCCGGCGGGACCCTGAAAGATATCAAAGTTGGACGTCAGAGCGCCGGCAGTGGTACCGCTGGGAGGCAGGAAGGTCAGCGAGGCGAAGAGGAATTGCACGAGGGTCAGGACCATGGGCGGCAGCTGCAGCAGGAAGATCAGAATGGCGATGGTGTCGTACATCGGGCAGGAGCGGAGGATAGTCGAGACGAGTTGGATCGGATTGACGGGGTTACTGGTCGAACCCGACCTCTTCGCGGGGGAGACGGATTTGTCCGGACGACGGGAGGAAGAGGCCGAAGAGGCGGCGGCCTGACCCGAGACAGCGAAACCATTCTGCGACGAGATTGTGGATGAAGGGGGCGCCAGGGTAGCTTGAGAAGAAGGACCGTAGGACATGTCGGAAGCGGCGGGATCGGAGAGTAGACGAGCATTGGGAGGAGGAGTGTCCAGCTTCGAGGGGCCGGTAGCTGCCGCCGCAGAAGACGCGTCTTCGGCGGCGGCGGCGGCCAGGGCAGGCGATGGGAGGGCGGGGTCACTGGAGGAGCGCGAAGGCAGGTCGAGAGGCGAAGAAGAAGAAGAAGAAGAAGAAGTAGATGAGAGCGCGGAGCCGTTGGAGAGAGAAGGGGAAGGAGAAGAAGAAGAAGAAGAAGGGACCCCGTTCAGATGGCCGTTGGACTTCTGCTTGGCCAATTTCTTCGCCGTGGGAGCGAGGCCATTCTCACCGCGCTGACTGTGACTCTTCCTAGCCGGGGCCGATGAGCGTGGCATGGACGAGGGTGCCTGAAATCAGCCAGGTCCGAGTCCGCTTGGCAAAGAGACAGCCAAGGACTGGGACCAGGCACACGCAAGGGGAGGAGGGAGGGATTTCGAGGAAGGTCCAGGAGATGACGGGCCTGACGACACACTGCACAGAGTCCTCCAAGACAGGACGAAGGGGGATTGTTTAATTTTGATGAATTGTTTTTATTTTATTTTATTTTTCTTTTTTTTTTCCGTGCGTAGTGGTGAGAGAAATCGAAAGCGACGAGGAGGAAAGGGTGTGAGTCGAGACGAGGGAGACTTGAGAGAGAGATTGAGACTGAGACTGAGAGAGAGGGAGTGAGGAAAAGGCCGGAGGGATGGGGAGGGGGGGGATGCAACGAGGGAGGATCAACAAAGGAGAGATGACAGTCGGACTGGATAGAAAAGAAGGAGTTGGATGAGATGGACGAAGGGGGGGGGGGGGGGGGGAAGCCCGGGGGGGGGGGGGGGAAAGGATGGGATGAGGAAAGGAAAAGGAAGGGAAACTTTGGCGTTGATACAAGAAGGCGGAAAGAAGTTTGGCTTGTCGATCTCTGTGCCTGAGGCAGCATTTGGGTATACTAGGTAGTTACTACGGAGTACTAGGTACTAGGTAATACCTAGGAGTTATCAAATAATATTGTTTTATTATATTCTACTTTCTATTCTACTTTCTATTCTACTTTCTAATCTACTTTCTATCTACTTTCTATCTGCTTTCTATTTAATGATAGATTACTATTTATATACATGCAGACTTAACTGATACCTGCACCTATTCTCAACTTCACATCTCGACATATGCCTAACATATACCCGTACCTACTAGGTACCTGGTATACTCTGTAATCAGTCTTACAACTCCTGTATCGGATGCAGGATCCTGATATCATGACTGGCTCTGGATAGTCCAACTCACCGATGATCTGCGGGGTGTGCAGGACCTGGAGTGGATTATCTCACCTCTGACATGATAACTTGGTTACTTTATATCTACTGTTGACTATAGTTACTACTTATATACTATTTAGTAACCACCTACTTAGTACCTGTTATAGTTATAGTTACCAAATACCTCTGTCTAGACGGAGTCAACCGATGACTAATATCACGTGTCAGATCCAGCATTCTTCAGCAGGATCTGCAGTCTAACCCAGAATGGAAGTAGCTCCCTTAAAACTTGGCAGTCACGAGGTAATACTATATTACTAATTTACTATTACTAAGAGACTGGACAGTACTTAGACTATTGGTCTTAGTCTCTACCCAGACCTCAAAACTGAGTATGTCGAAAGCAATTCTTCTCCAGTGGCTTATACTAGTATACATGGCATTGCCATTCAACACTCCATAGCCATAAGGTACTAGTAGTCCCACGCATCCCAAGTATCTGTGTATTGATCCAAGATCATCGGCAGATACTCTGTTGACCATTGATCATGCCTATCAGCGGTAAGTTGTGCTTTACGGGCTTCCCAATAAGCAGGTAGCCAGCCAGACTGTTCCCAGTCAACAATAGCTAGAACATGATATGGTTGAGAGGAAGTAATAATAATATTACTGCGATGAAGGTCACCATGAGTGAACTTAATAGCACAGTTGTCAGGTAGTTCGTGTCGGAAAGGCTCAAGTGGTATTGAAGAAATGTAAACCAGTCATGGAAATCCTGGACAGTGTTGAACGGGCCGGCTTCAGACATATATTCTATATATGCAATACTCTATCATATAGAGGAGCTCGTGCAACGTTCCCTATATATATATATAAACTGAATTAGATATATGAGATAGAATTGATAGAATAGACTTGCCTATGAACTTCCCCAATGGGTCTTGCTTAAGATGGCGCAGATGGTCATAGGTCGTTCGGAGTTCATAGCATATCGCAATCCGACTGTCGTGTCCCAATTTATCCCATGCTTGCTCCAGAGTCTGCCCGTATATATATTCCATAAAAATATATCTCTCATCTCCATCTGTGCGCCACCCGTAAAACTTCAGAAATGGGAAAGTCACCCCCAAGAGACTGGCGGATCGCATGCAGTGACTGGGCCTCAGATATTTGTACAGCACTCCCCCATTTGACGAATAGGCCCATATCTTTAAATAGAACAGGTGGTGGTCTAACATAAGGTGCAGTTAGAGCTTTTCTGCAGTCTAGATTAACTCCTGCAAGATGCTGTAATTCAGCTTGCGCTCGTACTTCTTTCGGCGTAGGTAACTGAGTTCGCCGTTTGAAAAACGACGAATCCCTGATGTCGAAACTGGGCAAAGTGGGAATCATTGTTCTCAGCTGGACGCGATCTTGGAGCTTGCGCGCGGCATGTTCGAATAAGACTGCTCGTTTCTTTCTGTAGTTAAGGTAGCTAGCTAGCTTTTCATCGTTGAAGGAACAACCAACCTAGACTGTCTTTTATGGCGAATTGGTGGACTGTATGACGTGCTGGGTCGGCTATCGGAGGCAGTCGTTATCGTCTATGATACGTTGTATAAAGCAAAGCCGAGATGCGGGGATTGGACCGTATAGATCATTACTATATAGTTGTATTGCTATAGCTTCTTTCTCTTCTTTCTTTTCTTTTTTCTTTCGTAACAGTCAATTTCTCAATTTCTTTCCTTTTTTTTTTTTTTTTTTTTTTTCGTAAGTCAAGAGATCATCATGGCGCCGAATATCATCTTCATCATGGCGGACGACCACGCGTCCAAGTCGATCTCATGCTACGGGGCCGGGATCAACCACACGCCCAACATGGACCGGCTGGCGAACGAGGGGATGCGCTTCAACCACTGCTACGTGACCAACAGCATCTGTACGCCGTCACGGGCAGCCATCCTGACGGGCACGCACAACCACGTCAACGGGGTGTTGACGCTCAATTCGACCATCACGAGCCGGGGCCCCAACGTGGCGAAGCAGCTGCGCAGCGCGGGCGGATACCAAACAGCGATGATTGGGAAATGGCACCTGGGCGAGGGCAAGGCGCACGAGCCCACGGGCTTCGATTACTGGAGCGTGGTCCCCGGTCAGGGCGAGTACTTTGATCCGCAGTTCATCGAGCCCGAGGGGATCCATCGCGAGCTCGGATACGCGACCGACATCATCACGGACAAGAGCATCGATTGGATCCGGAAGCGAGACCCGGCCAGACCGTTCTTTCTCATGTGTCATCACAAGGCGCCGCATCGTAGCTGGGAGTACGACCCGAAGCACAAGGACCTGTACAAGGATCCCGTCCGGCTACCGGACACCTTCACCGACGACTACAAGAACCGCGCGCGCGCGGCCAAGGTGGCCAAGATGCGCGTCGCCGAGGACCTGACGTTTATGGATCTGGGACTGGTGCAGCCCGAGGGCGGCCTCGGGGTGGTGGGCGACAAGCTGCTCGATTCGTGGATGGTGTATGACCGTAAAGTACCCGCGCCAGAGGACGTGACGGGACTGCGGCTCATGGACAAGACGGACGGGAAAGTGTTCACCTTTGAGACGCCGGCGCAGCTGGCCGAGTTCAAATTCCAGCGGTACATGCAGCGGTACCTGCGGACGATCCAGAGCATCGACGACAACGTTGGCCGCTTGCTCGATTTCCTCGACGACGAGGGGCTGGCCGAGGACACCATCGTCATCTACACCTCTGACCAGGGCTTCTTCCTCGGCGAGCATGGCTGGTTCGACAAGCGGTTCATGTACGAGGAGAGCTTCCAGATGCCCTTCCTCGTCCGGTACCCGCGCGAGATCAAACCGGGCACCGTGTGCGACGACATCATCTGCAACGTCGACTTTGCGCCGACCTTCTTGGACTTTGCCGGCCTGCGCATCCCTACGTACATGCAGGGCGTGTCATTCCGCGCGCTGCTGCAGGGCCAGACGCCCGCAGACTGGCAGCAGATCGCCTATCATCGGTACTGGATGCACAATGACTGCATCCACGGGGCGTATGCGCACTACGGCGTGCGCGACCAGCGGTACAAGCTCATCTACTGGTACAACGAGGATCTGGGTATTGAGGGAGCGCGGCCGGGCGGCGAGGAGGAGGACAAGCAATGGGAGCTCTTTGATTGCGACGAGGACCCGCTGGAGCTCTTCAACTGCTATGATGACCCCAAGTATACCGATGTGGTGATCCGTATGACGCGTCTTCTTGAACAGAAGATGGGGGAGATTGGCGACGAGCCAGTCCATCCGAAAGTCTTGTAATTATAGGAAAAATACATAAATAATAAATTACGAATCCTTCATCAAGAATCGTTGTTCAGATAGCCCTGATATAAATGGCTATCGTCGACGAATTTCGCCTGATGGATCAGACTATGGATGGCAAGTCGACCATGGCGTTCTGTTGCCAGATTAGAGGAGGAGGAGGAGGAGGAGGAGGAGGACTGGGGCATGTCAGGGTCGACCGAGGGGTTATCCACGTCGTACAAGGCGACCAGTCGCTCCAGGTGTGAGACCATGTCGCGCGTGGGAGCCGAGGCCCCGAAAGAGACCTGTAGAAAGGAGAGAAAGGATTTCGCTCGACGTAGGGCCTCGTCGGCGCGGCAGCGGTTGTGGTAGCCTGGCGCCTGGAAGGTCGGCAAGAAGAGGACAAGTCGCGCGGCCTGAAAGGCACACACGGCTGCCCCGAGGGGCAAGACACGGTCGGAGCCAGCAGCGGAGGAGGACAAGCCGGCGAGAGCGGTGGCCATCCAGGCGCTGTGCTCATCGCACGTCTGGTGGGCGTGAGCGACGAGACTTGGCTCGAGGGCGTCAAGTACGACTTCTGGGGCAGCGTCGGCACAGCCACGGAGAAACAGGCGGTAGAGGTCGCAGTGGGCATGATGCCAGGCGAGATGGATGTCCAGATGGCGCACGAACCAGCGCTCACTAGGTGGTGGCAGTCGAGAACTGCCGGCGGCGGTCATGTCCGTCTGCAGCTGGGCCAGGGTATTCTGGAACTCGCCGACCACAGCATGTAGCTGGGGCCAAGGCTCTTCAACCAAGACAAGCTGACGAGTAAAACGCATGATGTCGCGGCGGGTGCGCGACAGAGACAGAATCAAGGCGAGCAGGCTTGGATGTGGCCACGTGGGATTACCGCTCGCCTTCCCCCGCGCAAAGACCTCCTCGGTGGATGGGAACTGCACGTAGATCGCGTCCAAGTGGATGGTATCGTAGCCGGGAAGGCCGGCGGAGAAGTGGCCATCGAGCAAGACGACCGTCCACAGGGCTCTTCGCCGCATCTCCTGGACGATCGGATCGAGGTCCGGCTGCTCATACGTCAGACGCAGGGCGGCAGCCATGCGACTGACAACGGCGATCATCATGAAGGCACGGGCGAAGTTCCCAACTTGGGCGTGATACTGGACAAGCAGCAGCAAGGCTTGCAGACGAAAGAACGATGGGGTGTCAAGATGGGCCCAGAGACGCTGCTCGGCGTGCTCGACGCAGCGGGTGCGTTCGTCGACAGCCAACGGGCTCGACCGGCAGAGCAGACCGGCGACGGCGGCCATGGCGAGCACCAGACTGGGTTCAATAATGGCCTCGGTGGCCACCATCCGGCGGACCGAGGCCTCGTGCAAGAAACTGTACGAGGGGAGGGGGTAGAGGTGAAGGAAGTAATGGTCAAGCAGGCTGAGCAAATCGACGCGAGTCAACGTCAACGACCTACCAGCGAGCTGCTTGATCGTCCTGTAAGAACCCCCCCCCGATACTGGAGGCGACTGGCGGGCTGGACGACGCTCCGGGTACCGACAGAGACGGCCCCTCTGGCGACAGGAACGGCAGTCTGGCGACTCGCCCGAGCACCGCTCCTTGTTATGCTGGCAGGCAACACAGGCTCGCACTCCACGGCGTCTCTCCGGCGGACGATCCTGGGTCTCATCGGCTGCTGTCTCGAAAGAGCAGCGGTGGTGCAGGCGCTCGCAGTTGGCGCAGCGGCCAGGGCGACGGTCACAGAGGACCTATTAGTCCGTTAGCACTTGGACACTCACTGAAAAGTCCGGATAACTCACCTTGCGAGAGCGACACTGCAGACAAGGCTTGACGAGGTGACGTCTGGGCATGATGTTGAGAAGGAGGGTTTGTTTGGGAAGGAGCGGGATCAAGACAGGATGGGTAGCCTAAGGCTGCTACTAGGTGGAAGCACAATATCAACATATTAATGATGACAATATATTTAAATATAAATATATGGAAAATTATAATAACGATAATAATATATACAATTATATCTTGGCTGCTTCAATAGTTGTCTAATGAAATATCACTGTATATTCAAAGTATAGCTAAGCAGTCCCCATATCCTCGACAGCATCCGGACGGTCCCAACTGTCGACCTCTAGACCACGCACCAGCCGCTCGATCTCAGCAGTGCGAGTGCACCATTCCTCGCGGGCTGCCAGCTGGGCATCCCACATGGCGCGGAACTGGCTCAGCATAAAAGGCGGGAGAGCGGCGGTCTTCCGACCGAGGCGGTAGTCGTAAGTGACGATATCCTCCTGACAACGGGCTGCAGGACGTTGGCGCGCCTCGGAGAGAATGACCACCTGGAATTCAAACGCCGGCTGTGCTGTTTCACACGGCTGGGCTAGTTTATGGTACACGGTGATTCTATCGGGGTACGTCATTGGCTAGATAGTCAGCGTACTGTCTAGAGAGCATGAAATCACATTCTCAATACTAGGGGAATACAAATTTGTAGTCAACCTTGATACTGCGCAGAATCAGGCCGACGGCGGTTGAACCGACGAGCTGGCGCCATTCCGAGGCGTGATCGGGGTCGAGGTGTGCGATGCGGCGCATCAAGTTGACGCGTGCACTTTCAGCGTAGCGGACGTAGGTGACATTATTGACGTGGCCTATTCGTTAGAATAAAAGTATATATATATATATATATATATATATATATGTGTATATATATCTTAGGGAAAGTAGTACCCTATCACTTAGCTTGATTCAAGTACGAGTCAATCGCATACCATCACATCCTATCACGTCAGAACAGTTACAGCAAGTGATATAGCAACGGTTACCATCTCCCCCCAAGTGACGTCCTGGGAAACAGCCGTGTCAACGAGGAAGCCTTCACTGCCGACCAGGAAGCCACGCCAGTCCCTGGCTAGGATGGCGAGCAGGGAGCCCGCGGCATGGATCTGCGGGGGGTTCAGGCCGAACATCAGACAGCGGCCGATGCGGCGTTTGATGGTCGTGAGCCATAAAGGGTTTGGAGAGGGGGAGGGAGGAGATACAGCCTGAGAGGCAGATCGAGTGGTAGTCTTGAGAGTCTGAACAGACAGACGAAGAGCTGTCTGAGACAGACCAAGGGAAGCCATGTTGTCACTCTCATGTCTGCCTCAGGTGTACTTTTATACTGACTACTAACTGACTATGGTTAGTTCATTGAATCATTACTAATACTTTGCCATTAATCTAGTATACTCTCTCTCTCTCTCTCTCTCTCTACTTACTATTAGTTTACTACTCTATAATGCTCCGCCACAAAGTCATCGCACTGTACAAAGGTAAGCCATATTAATATCTCAAGATCAATCAAATCACTGAACAAGGAGAACTCCTCCATCTCGGACGCGAGTACCCAGCAGGCCCGTCCTTCTTCCGTGCCCGCCTCCACGCCGCGTTCGCTGCAAACGCCCATCTACGCGATGAAGCGGAGATCCACCGAGCAATCCAAAAGGCAGAATATGTCAAGAGGGGTATTCTCACTCTACTTGGTCACTATAGTATGGCGTGTGCTGATTGACTTAGAAATTGAAGCATTGTGAGTCTCCTATATTTATATTACATCGCTAATGGAGTAGGTATTATCTGAAACGATACCGAACACTCAGGAAACGATATGGTCAATAGAATTATTTAACAACTGGGTATAACTAGCCAAAACTAGACGGATGATTTTCTTCCCCACCAGGCACTCACTTCCAAACATTCCCCCCCCGCCAACCCACCGCGATACAGCAGATCGGTCGTCATCGCCGCCCACCACCGGTCCCACTCGTCGCGGCTCTTGCCGCTGGCCTGCATGAGCATGGGTTCTAAGCCCTCGATCATCTGGAGGACGGTGAGGAGAGCGGTGCGTCGGATGGCGATTTGTTCGGGTGTTAGACTCAGCGGGGGAGGTTTTGGACGTGCTGTCGACTGTTGTGATTGTTGTGATTGTTGTGGTTGTGGTTGTGGTTGTTGATCACGCTCCCAACGCATCTCACTTAGAGGAATGGCGATGCGACGGTTCTCGACACGCTCAAAGGTGTCCACCTCGGCGGTAAAAGAAAGCCCGATGGTAGCGCAGGGCAGGGCGCTGAGTTTGCGCCGATCAAACGCCCGCTCAACCCAGGTGTTGTAGTCTCGCAGGTACGGGTTCTGCGCGTGCGTGAACGGGGTTGCGGCCGTGAAGGTGTACGTGGCGGTTGCGTCGGCGATCTCCTGCTCGCGCGAAGCCGTCCAGGAATGCGCGGGCGCCGGGTTGGGGAGCAGCGAGCGGAAAACCCAATCCGAGTCCCAGACCTCGAGGGTTCCCCCCGGTTGCAAGACGCGTAGGGGTTCACACAGTCCGTACGCCTGTTGCGCCGGGCTGGAGGGGATGGCGCCCGTGTCCTTGATGAAGACAAAGTCAAAGTAGCCGTCTGGAAATGGTAGGCGGGCCTTGCGCAGGTCGTGACGTTTGAACTGCCAGTGGACACCCCGCTTGCGCAGATCGGGCGCCGCGGCCACCAGGTCGATCCCCGTGAACTGGATGTTGGCGTGGCCCCGGCGGGCAAAGTAGTCGTGACACAGGCCCGACCAGACGCCGGAGCCGCAGGCGATCTCGAGCACGCGCCGCGGAGGGTGGTCGGCCAGGTGTGGACTGCAAAAGGGGGCGCCGAAGACGCGCAGCAGCATCAGCGAGCGCAGGATCTGCCGGTGCATCTCCGGCAGGTCGCAGGGCAGCGGGTACTGCTGCTGCCCGTCCTGGTCGCGCAGGTAGTCGCGGTCATTGAGGCGCACAAGCGGGTATGCGGGCAGGCTGCTGCTGTTGCCGCTGCTGTTGCCGCTGCTGCTGGCGGTGGAGGTCTCGGTCAGGCCGGTCGAGGTAAGCGACGACTGCGAGGCGGTTCCGAAGCCCGTCCCTGTCGAGCTGGTCGGCGACTGAAAGGTAGACCCGGAGGCAGAGGAGGAGGAGCCACCGGCCAGGGCGATGACAGCAGATGCCGACCCGGGGAGATCCATGGAGGGATTATCTCATCTGTTTTCCTGTATTTGATAAGAGATAGGGAGTACTGGGGGAGATTGTGGTATATACACTGATATGTTGTGTACTCACACGACACCTGAACCGGAGGAGCACATTATGCCAAAGTCAAGAGGGAAAAAGTAGGAATCCAAGTCTGTAGTTCACCACTAGTCAAGGCAAGGGAATTCTCAGATCGAAAGGCCTCCGGGTGGACACTGGACAGTGGACAGTGGACAGTGGACAGGAAATGCCCCCTGGACGGTTGGAACGCCCACTTAGTGGTGAGGTGGTGGCGGAAAACGCTGGGTCCGCCCGTGCTGGGCCCCGTTCTTTGGGTCTGGGCTTTGCTTGACATCATGACTTGAAATTAATCATCCGAAGTAATCATTCTGAATTCGTTCTAGCAAGTGGATGGATGATTGATAGCCAGAGAGCCGTGGTGGGAGGAGTGGTGAAGCACGGATCAGTGCCTGGTCCGATCAGGGGATGGAAAGACTTCGAGAAGAGAAGCATCTGTACGGTATTGGTACTGTTACGGTATTACCAGTCGTTCTACGGTGGTAATCCACTGAATCTGTATTGTAGCCTGAGCGCGAGAAGCTGCTGTTTTCAGTCTCAGTCTTATTAGGTAGAGGTACCTATGACTAAATAGTAAATAGTAGATAGTACCTGATAGTTATTACTAGCCTGTAGTACCTCCTAGTATAACTACAAGGTACCTACTATAATCTATAACTACTAGTATCACTACAGTCTACTATACTAGATACCTATGTACTATGTAGTATGATGTATGACAGCTGTCGGAGACTCGGAGAGTCCGAATCCTTGTATACACTACTATACTTGGCCAGTGGGTTGGACTAAGCCTCGTAATCGTCAATTTAATAACTGTTGCCGTCGGTAGGAATTCCCCGGGTGGATCGCTGTCTGTCTGAAACCATGCTATGAGTACTCTGTACTATTGACCTCTTTGTTTTCCTATTTAGTAAGATACCTTTATTACTCATATTGAGACTAAGATGGAACAGTATCTACTCCATATATAGGTATATATGGAGTAGATACTGTAGTTATACTATACTATACTACCTAATTACCAGGTAGTATACTATATAACTCTATAGAGACTGAGGACTAGTAACTAACAGTGAGTACTATATTTGACCTGTCAGTACTCTTTTAGGCACTACTAAATAATAACGGCGCAACGGCTAGCTCCCAGCGTTCTGGTCCTGGGAATCACTAGTTAAGGGGGACTTGTGAGTACAGAGTACGGAGTAATACGGAGTAATCCATGAAATTACTACATACTACTTAGTAGGTAATGCTAAGCTGTGTAGTATAATGTAATACCAAGTAGTTACCTCACTATTTGCCTAGTACCCAGCCAATACCTAGTATATATACCTCATCCTGAATAGTCTCAGACATGGCATAACAGCCTGGAAGTTGACAGACAGTTCACAGACAGTTGACAGACATTTAATTAGATAGTATTCTTTAGTTCTATACTATATGGTTATTATTATAGGACTCCTATCTAGTTTCAACTAGCGAATAGCAACACTATAACTACTAGTTAGTGGCAAGGTATAAGGATACTTCACTGTGGCACTGGATCCTTTGTAAGAGTGGCAAAGAAGGAAAATCTAGTACTACATAGAACTACATAGTACACACTGTATTAATATTTACAACCTCGTTTTTGATTTATATTTATTTATATTTTCCTTATGACTGCTAAGATGCTATGGCTAGTAGGTATACTACAAATTACTGATAGACTCCTAATATATAGCTATTGTCAGGACAATATTTAGTGATTATTACTTACCATAATAGACCTATCTTCTCTTCCTCTCCTTGATCAACAATTTTATAGAAAAAATAAATGTTGAATGAAGATAGAGAATACCAGCTCCTATAATGATTTCTGCCAAATCACGTTCTCGGGTCTTCCATCACGTGACACCGCTCTGACTCCCGCCCGAAGCAAACGACTTCGCAGCAGCAGATCGAGGACGCCAGCATCGCGATCCGCCCCCTCGAGCTGGATTCTATCGGCAATTGCATCTGAATCGTGGCCTGTGTACGCTGCCTGTTGTGCCCTCTCCGTGTCCCTGCGGCCTCGCCTCTTCTGACGCTCCAGACAGGGTTTTTCGCGCCAGATCGCCGTTCCCATCGCTTTCGCCGCCCGCCCTATCGTTCGCTCCCTCTCTCTCACTCTCACACACACTCTCTCTACCCAACTCCTTCACCCCACCACCACACCGGGGAAACACCAGCTGCTGCGAGAATCTTATTCCATCCATCCAGATTCCCGGGGTGCTTCCGCCTCAGGACCCCATGTTGAAGAGAAGGAGAGATCGTCGTCGTATCCGGGCCTCAACTCCTCTTTCTCTCCTCTCCGCCGCCGCACGGGGGTCGACGACTGCCTCTGTCCAACAGCAACACCCGCCGGTACCATACCTGCCTCGGTCTCGGCTGCCTCGTTAAATGGCCGATGGTACCTACAGGTTCCAGCAGCCTGGGGCCGGGCAATTCTACTTCCAACCGCAATCTCAACAGCACTCCCACCCGCGCCACCTCGTCCGCAACGGCACCAATTCGCCCACCGGTCGCCTCAAGTTCAATAGCGACACCCCCTCCCCGTCTCGCTCCCCGCCTCTCGGTGGTCAGGCTACCTCGCTCAATCCCTTCACCATGTACAGCCAGACCCATCAAGCTCAGCACGTCATGCTGAATGGTGGTCAGGCCCACCAGCGGTTCGGTATGCAGCTGCCCAAATTCCAATCCCAGAGTCACCACCCCCACCATGCGCAGCAACAACAGCAGCAGCAGCAACAACAACAACAACAGCAGCAGCAGCAGCATCAGCAGCAGCATCAGCAGCATCAGCAGCACCAGCAGCATCAACAGCAGCAACACCACCCTCATCATACGCAAGCCTCTCACGCCATCACCCACCAACACAACTTCTCCGGCGGCGCTCTTGCCAGCACCACCCCTCATTTCACCCCAAGCCACCTCCAGAATGGCGGGCCCACCACCCTTGACGACGAGATGGACGAATCGATGAACGAGCACTGGCAACTGCAGCTGCAGTTGGCTGCCGAGTCGAGGCAGGCTAGCTCCCCGCACTACTACGCTCGTTCCGTCGCCCAGCAGGCCAAGGGTATCCAGATCGCGCCCCTCCAGATCGCCGCCGACTCGCCGGAGAACGGCATCGACGGCCGCAATGGCTCCGCCAAGGTCAAGGACAGCAGCAGCAACGGTAGCAACAGTCGCCAAGGCTGGCATGCCCTCGACTTTGGTGGCCAGGGTCTGCGCGCCCTCTCCACCTCCCTGTTCAATTACGTCTTCCTGGAAAAACTCTACCTGAACCACAACAAGCTCAAGGCCCTCCCGCCCTCCATCGGCCAGCTACGCCGTCTGAGTCACCTGGATCTCTCCGGCAACGATCTCACCGAGCTGCCCGACGAGATCGGCATGCTCACCAGTCTCCGCAAGCTCTATCTCTTCGACAACAACCTCCGCACCCTTCCTTACGAGATGGGTTACCTGTATCAGCTGGAAACCCTGGGCATTGAAGGCAACCCGCTGAGCGATGTTCTCAAGACCCAGATCATGAAGGAGGGCACCAAAGCGTTAATCAGATACCTCCGAGAGGAGATGCCAGGTAAGTTTTTGAAATAGAGAGAGAGAGAGAGAGAGAGAGAGAGAGAGAAACTAACATATTAGTGCATCTCCCCCCTCCCGAACGAGATTGGATCATACTGGACGAAACGGCCAGCTCATCAAACTCTCCCACAGACAAGATCACCGTGCTCTCCTACAACATCCTCTGCGAGTCATCCGCGACGCCATCGCACTATGGCTACACACCGTCCCGCGTGCTGGCCTGGGAGTTCCGACGGGAGATGATCCTCAGTGAGATCCGGTCTCACAATGCAGACGTGGTCTGCATGCAGGAGGTGGACCAAGGCGGCTACAACGACTACTTCCGGGAGCAGCTGGCGTACAACGACTACAAGGGGGTGTACTGGCCTCGTGGGCGAGCCATGGGCATGCAGGAGGAGGACGCCAAAGCCGTGGACGGCTGTGCGACTTTCTTCAAGGGCAGCAAGTACATCCTGCTGGACAAGCAGCTGATCAACTTTGGGCAGACCGCGGTGCGGCGGCCGGATGCCAAGGGCCAAGACGACATCTACAACCGGCTGTGGCAGAAGGACCACATTGCGGTGGTGGTATTTTTGGAGAACCGGATGACGGGCTCGCGGTTCATCGTGGTGAACTCGCACCTCTACTGGGACCCGGCCTTCAAGGACGTCAAGCTGATCCAGACGGCCATCCTGATGGAGGAGATCACCAAGCTCTCCGAGACGTACGCCAAGTGGCCCGCGTGCACGGACAAGACGGCCTTCCGCTTCTCCGAGGCGGAGGACGGCACGGAGAACCAGAAGAAGAAGAAGCCGGCGACGCCCGTGGAGCCCGCCCCCTCGGTGGAGTACCCCAGCGGCGACCAGATCCCTCTCCTCATGTGCGGCGACTTCAACTCCTCGCCCGGCTCGGCGGCGTACAACCTGATCGCGCACGGCGGACTCAACGAGGACCATCCGGAGCTGGAGAACCGGCTGTACGGCAATCTCAGCCGGGTGGGCATGACGCACCCGTTCAAGCTCAAGTCGGCGTACAGCTCGATCGGCGAGCTGGGCTTCACCAACTACACGCCCGACTTCAAGGACATCCTGGACTACGTGTGGTTCACGTCCAACTCGCTGCACGTCACCGCCCTGCTCGGCGAGGTGGACAAGGACTACCTGCAACGGGTGCCCGGGTTCCCCAATTTTCATTTTCCCAGTGACCACATCGCATTACTTGCGGAGTTTTCAGTTAAAGGTAAAAAGGCAAAGGTTGTCGAGGTGGATTTTGGACCGCAGCGTAAATGATGGTTGTTGGGGGTGGTGGTGCATCTTCATTGAGGACCGGCCGGTGTTCTTCCTCTCTTCCTTTTCTCTTCCTTTTCATCTCTTCGCTTTTCCCTCATGTTCTTCTCGGATTGGTGGCGGTGAGGTGTTGCTCATGTATCTTCCTTTTTCTTTCCTTCCTCGCTCTGTCCGTCTCTCTTTATCTGTCTTGTGAGTTTATTGTTTCTTCGCCGCCGGCGTGGTGTCGATTGCTTGACTGCAAGTATGTTCTTGGAAAGTAAATGCAGCATGATTCATCGTACATTCTATTAATATTAGTATGTACTCCGTACCTGTAGGATTGAGTTTCAGATAGAGTGCGTCACATGCAAACTCTAGCATCCTAGGCATCATCTTATTCAAGTATTCTCCTAAGTATTCTCCTAAATATTCTACTAATTTATTCTACCAATTCAATATACTAGTCTCCAGCATGGCAACAGAAGAAGGCACCCTCCCTGTCCAAGCAGCGACTCTATACACCAAAACGTGGAAGGTAAGTGTATACTTCTGGATACTTCTGTACTATCCTAACGTCCAGACACAAGGAGAACCACGCGCCATCCTCGCCTTCATCCACGGCTTCAGCGATCACTGTAAGATGAGACTATAAATCAAGGGGGGTGACTTGGTGTGCTAATCCTCAGCCAACGCATATTACGATCTATTCCCCACCCTTGCCCGCCGAGGCATCCAAGTCCAATCTTTCGACCAGCGGTATCTCCATTGAATAGAAGAATATATATATATATATATATATATATATAACTCTTGCTGATATGAACAGAGGATGGGGTCGGTCCGTGAATAAACCACAAGAAAGGGGTCGAACGGGTCCCTCGGCTGTCGTGATGGGGGATATCCATTCCTTCCTACTCACAAGAAAAGAGGAGAAAGTTCCTCTCTTCTTGATGGGACATAGTATGGGAGGTGCAGAGGTGTTATATTATACCCTCCACCCGGAATCGCCTTTCACCAGCAAGGACTCCCCTATTCGAGGAGTGATGGCGTATTCGCCGTTGATTGCATTACACCCGTCTACCCGGCCGTCTGGACTGGTGGTCTCCCTGGGCAGGTTAGCAGGGAAGATAGCCCCCCGTTGGCAACGGCATTCGCCGCTCGATCCGCGGGCGATGTCTCGCGATGACCAGGTGTGTGCCGAGTGGGCTGCGGATGCGCTGTGTCATGATTACGGCACTTTGGAGGGGTTGGCCGGCATGCTGGATAGAGGGTTATGGTTGGAATCGCGTGCGAGTGCGAGTGCGAGTGCGAATACTGTACCCAGAAAGGAAGTGTTCAACTTCTGGTTTGGTCATGGAACTGACGACAAGGTCACGGATTACGAAGCTACTAGGCGGCTGGCTGCTGCGCTCGGCGAGGAGGGTCATGCCGTCACTTTCCAGTCGTATCGGGGCGGGTATCATAAGCTCCATGCTGATCTGGAGGCTGTCAGGACGCAGTTTGCGCAGGATATCGGGGATTGGATATTGGAGAGGGTTGACATGCCGGCTAGGACAGAGGACAGAACAGAGGATAGGGCCAAATTGTGATTCTATATTCTATTATAGTACAGTATAGTTAGTATAGTACATCAGTTACCTAGGCAGTCCGCCTCCAGATCCCAACAAACCCTCCGCCCACGACGCGTGCGCCGACCTTGGGCCTGCACACGAGCACCGTGTCTTCTTGCGAGCCCGGGGCATTTTGGACATCTTGATTGCTACTCCCAGACTGAGGTTCTTTTCCAGAGGCCGTCTCCAGAGGTGTCTCCAGAGCCGTCTCCGAGGCTGTCTCCGAGGCTGTCTCCAAGGACGGCTCCTCTACCCGCGACTTTCTCACGGCATGGCGCAAGTCCCACATGCGACCGCTGCTGATCCCCGTGCCAAGCTCGACCACTTTGTCCATGACGAGCGGCAGGCTTTGCCGCCGGATGAGGTCCATGCAGTCGCCGATCTGCGTCACGCTGGGCATGAACACGACGAGAAGTCCTCCCTGCTTCAGCACGGGGCAGACGTGCGGGAGACGCAGATGTGCCGATGGCATGTCTAGGATGGCATGCGAGAGGAAAGGTTCGAGGGGCCCAAAGTTGAACGCGCGGTCCTGCTGGCGGCGCGCCGTCTGCTCCGCGATCCAGCGCTCGACGTGGCCCACGTAGAAATCGACATTGCCGGCGTAGATGCCCCGGCGAAACCCGCGCACGATCTTCTCCGCGTGGGTAGAGTACTTTCCCGAGATGTCCACCGAGTGAATCACCGCATTACGCTGTGCACGCCAAGTGTTCCACTGCTCTTGCTGCTCCTGGCGCACGGCGTGCTGACCGTCTTCTGCACTCTCCGGTGTTTTCTCCTTTTCTGCTGCCGTCTCCTCCGGTTGGATCGGCCGGTCTCCCACGTACTGTACTTGCGAACCTGCCGGCACAGGCGGCGGGGATGGGTTCGCGGCTTGGATCGCGCGGGCCAGGTGGAGAGTCAGCGAGCCGTGCCCGGTGCCGGATTCCAGAATCTCCAGCGGCGGCTGCTGTGCGGCGTCGCCCTCTGCAGTTGCGGCAGGAGGGATGTGGATGTCAAGAAAAGAGACGATCAGATTGGCATCCGCCGGGTATATCTATCGAACCGGTTCAATTGAGTCGTCTAAACATCGGAACGAATAAGTAACGTACCGGCGTGACCAGGCGAGGAGTGAGGGTGATGTACTCTTCTAACGTAGGAAGACTGAGGCGGTACTCTGGACCTGTCACTCTTCAATTAGCATATACTTTTGAGTGCCAGATCTCTCTCTCTCTCTCTCTCTCTCTCTCTCTCTCACTCACTCTCTCACCTTTATGGGCTTGTACTGACTCTCGTACCTTCCTGCCAATAATCTGGTCATGGTATAGCTTCCCTTGCCGCAGATCTGTTTTTTGGCCTCTGGCCAACGGTTTTGTCAATGTCGGACTCTTGCCTTGAATAAACACTCGGTCGCCCTCTATAAAAACGTCCTGATCAGCTTCTGGTCTCCAATTCCCTGCTACAGAGCACAGCAGCTCACCTTGGAAGACGGAGAAATCCGTATTTATCGATCGGGGGAATCTGGCGAGCGTCCTCGGCGAAGAAAAAAGGCCTTGAACCTGCCGCGCCAGGCGCGAGAGGAAAGCCATCGCTGAAGTGTCAAGACTGACGTAGAAGATTGTGTTTTGTTGTGATAGATAAGAAGTAAAAAAAAAAAAGGTAGAATGGCAGAATAATCGGAGACTGAGTGGATTCTTGGCTGTCGGTGGATTCTGCCCTGGCTTCTTTCTTTCCCTTCCCCAGGCCCCGGTGAAAGGGGGGCAAAGGGGATTTGCCCCTCCTGACCTTGCAGATCGTGTCATTGTCATCTCGTCATCTCTCTTGCTGGTCTTCTTCTGTGTCTTTCCCTTCATCTGCGTTGACCGAAAGCGTTCTTCCTGGTCGATACACCAGCGACCTGTCGTTGATTGTCATTCCTGGTCAATTGGGCCTCTTGTTCTCTCCAGCTGGTCGAGATCCTTGTTATCGGAGTGGGTCTTTCTTCTCCAAGTAGAAGCCATTTCCGTATGACTATACGTTAATCATTCTATATCGAACAGAGAGAGAGAGAGAGAGAGAGAGAGAGAGATGGGGTCTACTACGCTGCCATATATGAAGACCAACCCCAAGATCATCTTCTTTACAGACTTTGACGGGACGATTACGCTTCAAGATAGTGAGTGTCTGACCCGAGAGTGAAAGCTTTGGTCTGCTGACGACGGTCTGTACAGGCAATGACTACATGGTAGGTCCCAGATCGTGTGTGAAAGGTTGAGTAAAGACTGACTGGTCTGTCTGTAGACGGATAACCTGGGCTATGGCGTTGAGAAGCGTCGGGCGGGCAACCTGGCTGTGCTGGAAGGCCGAATGAGCTTCCGGTACGGAAGTCGACACATGGACCCCGCTGGCATTTTTTCTTATGGCTGATTCCTTTTTCTCTCTCGCAGCGATTCTTTCAGTGACATGCTGGCCAGTGTGAAAACGCCGTTCAATGAGTGTATTCGCATCTTGCAGGAGAAGATGAAGCTCGACCCGCACTTTGTCGAGTTCTACTACTGGGCCAAGGAAAACAACGTTCCCATCGTGGTCCTTTCTTCGGGGATGGTCCCGGTGATTCAGTCCCTGTTCGAAACCTTGCTTGGTCACAAGATCGATAGCCACATGTACATTGTCGCCAACGAGGTGGAGAGTCGTGATGGCAAAGACATCAACACCGAGGGTGGTTGGCAGATCAAGTTCCACGACGAAAGGTGAGTGTAGTAGTAACCCGAATCTCCTGGCCAGGATTGAGAAGTATGTCCCTCCTATACTAACGAAACGTCATCTCTTCTTTCGTTGAAGCCACTTTGGTCATGACAAATCCCGCGAGATCAAGCCATATGCTGCCCTCCCGGATAATGAACGGCCGACGCTGCTGTACGCTGGCGATGGCGTCTCAGACCTGTCTGCCGCGGCAGAGACTGATCTCCTCTTTGCAAAGAAAGGCCATGGTATATCCTTATCTTTTTCTTATCCTGTAGACTCTCCCAATTCTGACGGGTGACAGATTTGGTCACATACTGCGAACGCGAAGGGATGCCATTCACCCTTTTCGAAACATGGGAATCCATCCTCGCCACAACCAAGGACATCGAGAGCGGCAAAGTGTCGATCAAGAAGGTTGCCCAGGAAGGCCTGGAATCCCTCCACAAAGGAAACTGAGACGCGCGATGTTTCCATGGCCTTGGCCAAGCCATGGGTTTTAGACTGGTAGCGACTCCAGCTGCCATTTCATCTGATTTATTCATTTCGGCACAAGCTAGAAGAGATTTACGATACACGCGAACCACCTCAACACAAGGAAACCGCAACTTGTCTTCACATCTTAGGCTGATCAACCGTATGTAGTATATCCGAGGCAAGGCATCTCGTAATCGTAATTTATACTCATGAAGATCGGACCTGTTCAGGGTTCAGCCAGGGGGCCCCGGCATGTGACCGCCTTCCCTCGACCCAGCAGTTCATGAGGATTAGATATTATTATTATTGATTCCCTCTTATTCATACAGCGACACGCAAAAACCAATATACTGACCTACGCATCGATATGGCCTCTTGAGTGGACCGGTGGTCTTCTCTCGTGGGTGTCCTTTCTTTGTCTGTTCCGCTACACCATGCTCCAGGGGCTATTGCTAGGGATCTCTGCGATGCAATAGCCTCACCGTATATTCTACCATTTTACTTCTCTCAACCCCTCCCGCGAAGGGTTGATTCCTATTATTTATTATGGCTCGTCGGCTAGTAAGGACTCGTTGATGGGACTTTTCTTTTTGCTTTTTCTCTCTCTGAAGGACTCCACTAACAAGGATGCTGTTGGAAAAAAAATCTAGGTCCGAACAGCCGTCCAGCTCGGGATTATCACGACTATCGTACTCCTCCTCGTGCTGCTGTTGGATAACCGGGTCAAGCTTCTGCCTGCCTCGATTCATGGCCACCTGCCGACACACTACCCCGGATACGTTGTGACGGATGTGACCATCGCCTCCTGTTCGTCGATCGGGCTGTTCTCCAAGTGTCGGCTCGACCCGGAGAGATGGACGCGGATCGAGAAGGACCTATACCTACGCACGGGCTGGACATCGAGCGCCTTCCTGCACGTCGAGCGAAAGAAGGAAGAAGAACTGCTACCGACGGACAAGGTCGTGGTGGATCTGAAGATTAGCCGGCTGGAGCCTACGCTGACTGACGAGACCAAAGCCGACACCGAGGTCTGGGAGCAGCGGCCGGGGGGCATCTGGTTAAAGCGGACGGCGCAGCGCCATGCGAGTGACTCGCAGTTGACCATCACCGCGGTGGATGTGCTTTTCGGCGCCGATGCGGTGGATCCACGTCTCAACTGGGAGGTCAAGGACCGGCCCCTGATGCTTGATAGCCGGACCGAGGAGCTCGAAACGCGCCTCACCATTCGGCGGGGGACGCCGCCGAAGAACAAGTTGCCCGTGCCCCGGATCAACGACAATGGTCGCTTCAAGATCATGCAGCTGGCGGATCTGCACCTGAGCACGGGGCTGGGCGCGTGTCGCGATGCTGTCCCCGCAGAGCTCAAGCCCGGGCAGAAATGCGACGCCGATCCGCGGACGCTGGACTTTGTCGAAAGACTACTGGATGAGGAGAAGCCCGACCTGGTCGTGCTGACGGGGGACCAGGTCAACGGCGAGACGGCCGCTGATGCGCAGACTGCGCTGTTCAAATCCGTCAAACTGCTGGTCGATCGACAGATCCCCTATGCGGCCATCTTCGGCAACCACGATGACGAAGGCGACCTCAAACGGGCCCAACAGATGGCCATCCTAGAAGAACTACCCTACTCCCTTTCAGTCGCCGGTCCCGAGGAGGTCGACGGGGTCGGGAACTACATTGTCGAAGTGCTGGGCCACGGCTCGACGACCCATTCGGCTTTGACGCTCTACCTCCTCGACACACACTCGTACTCACCGGATGAGCGCCAGTTCCGCGGCTACGACTGGCTCAAGCCCAGTCAGATCGGGTGGTTCACCAGCACCGCAGAGGGCTTGAAGAAGAAGCACCGCGAATACACACATATCCACATGAACATGGCCTTTATCCATATCCCGCTGCCCGAGTACCGCGAAACCAACAACTACTATCAAGGCAGCTGGACCGAGGCCCCCACGGCCCCGGGATTCAACTCGGGTTTCATGGATGCCCTGGAAAAGGAAGACATCCTCTTCGTGAGCTCTGGACAGTAAGACAGCTTTTCACTTGATATACGTTTTTGAATAGCCAGCTAATGTCACAGCGACCACGTCAACGACTACTGCATGCTCGACAAAGACGACAACGGCAAGCCCGCCCTATGGATGTGCTATGGCGGCGGCGTCGGGTTCGGAGGCTACGGCGGCTACGGAGGCTACGTGCGCCGCGTGCGCTTCTTCGATTTCGACATGGGCCCCGGCCGTGTGGTGACCTACAAACGGCTCGAACACGGCGACACCGAGGCGCGTATCGATGAGATGATGATCGTTGACGGCGGCGCGGTCAAAGCCCCGGTCGGCGTAGCCTAGTCAGCTTTTCTACTATCTACCCCCCCTTTTTTTTTCTAGCATGCTTGTTTTCGGCGCTCTGGTGTTTGGGTCTGTCCAGCAGTTCCATGTCTGCTGCTCATGCATACCGTATCATCCTCGTCCTCCCCCTTCGCATTCGTTGGTGTATTGTATATCGTCATTGACGATTCTGCTAGGAATCTTGCATTTAGTTTCAAATGTATATATATTGAATCGATTTCTTCTAGTCTATAAATTATGATATTAGTCGGTACTACCACCACTTTTCACAAATGACGCGCCTCTCATCAAGCCACTGTTCAAGCGAAGCTACGCAACCGTCCGTCATGGCCGGTGGTCCACAGACATAACAGACTGTATCCATGGCCCGGACGCTTCCCTCTCTACTCACCACCCTGCGGAGATCTGCCTCACTCACGCGGCGATGGTGGATGGTCAGATCAGATGAAGGGGATGACGCTGGAAGAGAACCCGCCGGGGTGTCAGTAAGAAACAGTTCGAGCGAGATATGGAGACGGTGCGATTCACGCTGGGAAGCGACGATTGCACGGAGCCGAGGGAGGAAGAGCAGCTGGTCTAGCGACGTGGAGGGGCCGAGACGGCTCGAGTAAAGGAAGTGGATGTCTCGATGGGCAGTGCTAGTATTGTTTAGATGGGAGAGGATGGATATCAGGGGGCTAGTAGTCAGTATATAGTACATATAGATATAGATCAAGTAGTACTATAGGGAGAACCCTACTTGATGCCAACCCCCCCAGCAACAAAGACCACATTCGTGATTTCGTTTGGATCAAGACCAGTGGGCGGCCAGACAAAGCTCCCCCCAACCCGGACGCTGAGGTGTTTGCCGAGAATCGCTTCCCGGGCCCGCCACAGCCATGCGGCGGGGGCACTCGCCGGCGAATGCTGGACGGCGAGTTCCACGTACGGTGGTCGGCCTTGGGGGTTGATCGGGGGGGGATCAGGTTCTTCTTCACAGGTTGGGTCGGTGGGGAGTCCTGGCGAGGGGAGAACCTGGGCATCGGCGGGTGTGGAGGTGATGGTGAACCCGCCAGCTTGCGGAATGGAAGGGATGTGGACGTCGAGCCATTGACCGGGGAGGAAGGTGAAGGGCTGAGAAGCGTCAAGTCAGATTAAGAGAACGTCGTAGTAGGATTCGGGAGGTCTACTTCTTCTGTTTCTTCCGGTTTGGTCTGTGTCTCCGAAGGGAACGCCAGTCGGAGCAGTCGGACGGTAGGGTTCACCTGCTCGATATGCCATATCTGTACGGTATATAGTCTGTTCTGTCGGGGCTCTGCAGCTGTACGCAGCTCGTGAGGGATCGAGTCCTCTCTTTGGGAGCTCATACCGGAGTGGTGGAGGTGGTGGAAGAGAGGAGCGGCAGTTCTCGACAATAAGCGGGGTCTCCTAAGTAGAAATAGATAGTGGTTCATTCAGGTTCATAATTTCTCGAGAGCTTTTCATCGAATTCTTATGATTGTGGTAGTTTAAGTGTAGAGTGTAGCTGTAGACTAGAGAGCAACAATGACGTCGCTAAACAACCACTTCTCGTCAGAACCTTATATTGCTTAATATTGATATTAATTAAATAATATATACTGCAAAATATATATTTTAGATAGTAAGAAAGGGTAATAATAATATCAACAGTACTAAAGTCATAATAATCACTGAATCCAGCCCCTCTACGGATACCTAAGCTCCTCTGCCACTGCCAGGGCTTCTTCGGCAATAAGGATACTACAATAACTACCTTGATATTTAATTATTACTAAACCACATAGTACATAACTGTCCTGGATATACGGAATAACACCAGCTTAACCAAGAATCAGATTGGTCCGCGGGTGTGACGGACGTGCGCCTCGCACTCGACTTCTGCCGCCTCATTGGCGACACGCCGACAACCGTCACATCTCCCCACGCCCGTCGACTCCCCCTCTGCACGCTGTGACTGGCGCTTGGAAGTCGACAAGCACTGGCTCAATGCACCGCGAGGAACTTCCAGCGCTTGCAGGCTTGACAAGATTCGATCTCGAGGGCCATGGCACCCCCACCACCGCTTCGCTTCTTCGGCAACCGGATGAAGATTGTTCTGGGTGGTCGCAGCAGCGGCATTCTGTGCTGCCATATCTACCCCGAGGGGCTCTGAGTTGGATTCTCTCGCTTGTGAAACAGCTTCTCTCGCTCGATGACAGAGCTCTATTGAACGTCCCGCCAGCCGGTCTGGCATTCGAAGAACAGCACTGCTGTGAGTGTGTGTGTTTACAGTTCAATCCAACAGCCGTCTCTAGGCGGCAGCAATAAAACGACGCTCCTGTTCAGATTTCGCTGGTTTTAACGGCGCGACGCGCAAATCGACGACCATGGGGTTCTTCAAACACTTTGCGAAGACTCATCGCCATTGGCGTCTATACCTGATCCTCATAGCGATCGAGCTGCCGTTGACAATCGTCCTCTTAACGCTCACGGGTATTGCATCGCATGGTCTATATCGGACCAAGCTCTGGCAGGCCGGTTATGATCTGGGTTTCAACAGTTCTCCGGACGAGGTCATCTACGCCTTGGCCAACTACCGATCCTATACCATTCCAGTCGTCTGGAGCTCATTGTGCGTTTTTATAGCTCTTTTTCCCTTTGTTTTCTTTCTTGCGAAAGATCATTGTAGGAAGTGAAACTGACAGTCCATCTAATACAGTCTCACAAACTTTAACCTCGTCATCGGTGTATTAAGCACCTTTCTGCTCATTGTCAAGTTCCCAGTACACGTCATGCGCCTCTTATACCCGCCGATCGCGGTGGCTATTCAGGGTTCATTGGTTGCTCTCTACATCGTTTCAGCCCGGTACCAGGCCGGAAGCGATATGACCGATTCAAGTCACCCTCAGCCGGGCCCCCCGTGGTATATAACCAAGAATTGCAACGTGGCGAAGGATGTCGCGATAAATTCGATTGTCGGATACTGCGAACAGGCCAAATCACTATTTGCAGTAACCATCATACTCCTGTATGTCCCCCCCCCCCCCTTTTTTTTTCCCCTCATATATCAGCAGGTGAGAACTTTGAGCTAATGTCGTTTGGCGGGAACCAGCACATTGTATTTCGTTGAGTTCTGCGTGTGCGTGCACTCATGCTTCCTGACCAAGGAGGAGAAGGAGTCACGCCGCGAGCAGCGGGAAGAAAAGCGCATGGAAAAAGAATTCGAGGAGATGATCTTGAAGTCTCCTGGCATGATCCCCATGACTCCCGCACCACGGACCGGCACATTTCCTTCCATGATGACGCCTCGCACCGGCAATTTCCCTCCCATGATGACGCCTGGCACAGGCAACTTCCCTCCCATGATGACGCCTCGCACAGGCACTTTTCCTCCCATGGTGACGCCTCGCACAGGCAATACAATGCCTCCCCTGGTGACGCCTCGGACTCTGGCATTCAACCGGCTCGACGGCATGCCATCAGGGCATCTGCCTCTCCGAGGGCCACCACCGAGCAATAACACCTCGACTCCATATTACCCTACGCAGCCGGACAGAGGCGACTCTTCCCACTCCCCCACGCCCGTCCAGATGTACTTCCCTCCTCCACCGAAAGCGGTTACGAAATGACATACCCGACGCTTGTATCACAAAGCAAAGAAGATTTTTTTTTTACATGGATACCCTCTTTCCTTTTTTCTCTCTCATTTTCTTAATTTTCATCTGGGTTAGAGCGACTATCATTTTACAGATTTAGTTTAATACTGGTTTCCTAGATTTTGCATGGGTTATCTTCTTGGCTATAAGGCAGCATGCTGCCTGCGCGTCCTTTGACTATTAGGATCAGGATCTTCTAGTCTACCGAGAGGAATGGGGGCTGTCTATAGCGTGGTATCAATATCAGCCCATTTTAAAGGCTCAATTCGCCATTAAATGGTTCAAGATGTGTTTTGAAGTGGCCTACATTTATTAAACAGCATTCTCACTGCTTATCCAAAATGTATAATAATGACCAGGGCGAAGCCATTTCGTGTCGGGTTTCAAAATCGTCAGGGCGTATGAGCCGTATGGCCATCCAAGGAGTCGTCTATGACAGGGGTAAGTGGCAATTTCGATAGCTTGCGAAGAAACTTTCGGTCTCAGAATGTGGCCTGATACAGTGATCTGTTATCGAATGGTATGAGCCGTTAGTTATCACACTTACCCGAGTCTTCGGGCGTCAACAAGGACCTGTTTTTGGATCCGAGGAAATGTGTATGCATAAAGCACACCTTTGACTCCAAAAAGCAGGAATCACAGGGCGAGGTTTATGGGAGGCCTCTTTGCTGCTGGACGACTATTCCACGCTTCAACCTGCTGCGACACTTTAATCATAAAAACGAGGACCCTAGCATGTTGTAGTTTTCGAACATCCAGCTCGTGGGCTCCGCGCTGGCAGGATTCAAGAAGGAATTTGATGTCTGATGTCTCTCTATGAGCAACGAGAAAGGGGAGATGTAGCGACCTATACAACACTTACCAATAAGTCCCAGTCTTCCATCATCTCATTGGCTGGGAATTCCAAAGACACCTTCTCAAGAAGCTCACCTGGTGAGGTGTCTTGAGCCTGATCCCGAGATACCATCCCCCGGAGTATCGGCAGACACTTCTCTTCAGCACCCTCGGCAGCTTTGACCAATAGCCCTGGAATCTCATTTTTCACGGTGCGTCGCATTAGGGCTTCGATCAGTGTGACAGCAACACACACAAAAAGATAGCCTTTGATATTGGTCTCTCCGACCTCGATGCATTGCAATGCCCAATCTTTAGCCTCGTATAGCACGGATAGCAGGTCTGGTCGTATAGGAACAGGGCTTAGACTATCGTCCTCTTGCAGCTGTGCCTTGAGGTCCATGGAGATAAGCATGGCAGATTTCATGGAGAGCAGTCGATAGAATCCATTCGCGCAGGTAGCCAGTCTGGCAAGATCTTTATGCAAAGGCAAGGGGGCCGTATTGCTGCGCGACTGGGTGGCCATGGCGCCTGTGCTTGGCTGCACTGTAAACCATACCTTGAGCGAAGAGTCAACTACAACCTTCCTGGTGTATGCATAAGCTGTCTCGTTCAATGACTGGCCGTAAAAAGGGGCGTGGAGAGTCGATACGTAGTGCTGTAGCATCAAGTCCATCACTTGTATCCCGAACCGAGACGGAGAAGAGGGATCCATGTTTGAATGATATGTGTGGATGACTCGGTACATGGCCTTGAAAGACGCCCTTAGCTGGGTATCGAGCCGGAGCGTTTGCTCGTATGAGCCTTGGCTCTCGAGGTCATTTAAGAATTTGACGATTGTTAAACGAACCGGAAGCGTCTCCCGGAAGGCTCTTGCAAAGGATACCTGAGTGAAAACGGTTTCTGGTCTAGGCGAAGGGTCCTCGGCAAGAAGCTGCTCGTCGTCGAAATTGCCAGGAGGTCTGGTATCAAAGTCTTCTAGGGTAATGAATGGGGGGCCTCCACAGGCAAGACTGAACTGGATATTTATTTCGAGAATGGTGTTCCAAAGCCTTCGGCGCATCTCGGCCGCGAAGTTTAAGCTCTCTGGCAGATGTATAGGATCCCGATGCAACCCCATAGACACAGCCGCTCTAAGGAGCGAGCCAGCTTCGATCCAGGTCAAATGTCCGCCTACGTTCACGGCTTCTCGAGAGAACAATAGAAGAATGCTTGTTTGCAGAGCCTGGATGTTGAGTCTTGCTTTGAACTCGGGTTGCGATACCCAGGTGTGAGCCTCGTATATCCAGTGAACAGCCGATGTCCGCAGAGAGAATGTGTCATCGTACGTAGTAGCTCCAATGGCAAAGACGAGTTTAAGTTGGACCAGAAATTCCATATCAGGTTCGGTTTCTGAGCGCCAGAGAGCCTCATAGTCACGTTTGAACGTCGGAAAATGCAGGACTCGATAGATAGTTTCACTTGTCCGGATATAGCAGTCGATGAGCTCGTCAGCAACGGCTCTAGGGGGTAGATTAACATTTGGCATTGTAGGCCATGGAGGAGCCCGCTGTTTTTTGATGACCCTTGCCAAGGACTTGCACTGTTGTATACCCGTCGAAGCCTTGGACTTGCCGTGTAGATTCTTCGCCGTCATTGCGAGAACATCTCGAAACTAGTAGATATTAGACTCCAGCTTATTTGGCTCCATATGATAGTATATAGAGCAAGATAAATAAGAAAAAAGTTCTACGTACGGCCGAGGCAATACCCTGGATCCAATGACTTCGGCCAAACAGGCGGGTTTTGTGCGCAACACCACTGATTATCGCATGAGGCTGACCACGGCTTTCACGCTGGATATGGAAGGTACCATATAACTCCGAGGCCATTGTATCTATGTTTGAGTTTGATACCGAGGCGGGAGACTGAGTGGACCCATGAGATAGAACCTGAGCCAGCTGGTCCTCGAGTTGTCGAATTCGGTTCTTCATGGATTCCGCGTCCTGGGCAGAAGGTTGGCTGGTAGCAGTTGATCCACTTGCTGAGCTGGTTATTAAAGAACTGGGCAGACTAATAGTAGGCACTGCCGACGCTCTGCTTGCACTGGAATCGTCGTTGATCCGTGACGGGGAAGCAGCTTTCCCAACGTCACGGGCGGGGACTGGTCTGATTCTTTGGCCATGGCTTAGAGAGGCACAGTTCTCATAGACGCAAGGACTCTTTCCGGACTTAATACAGTTGTTGCAAGGGTTCTCCCGATTGCATCGAATCTTCCGTCTCCTACAAAGAGAGCAGGAGCTGTTATCTCCCAATGTGGTCAGCGAAACAACAACGTCAAGGCGCGGAGTTAAGTACTGTACTGGTACTTGCAACGTACACGGGCGGCCTTCTGCGTCGACGCTCGGGATCCGTCATGGGAATGGATATTTTTAGAACGAAGGCACTCCAGAATTTGTGCTTCCTGCAATGTTCTTTCGTCGCAGCCTTCAATCAGTTGAGCCGCGGAAATAAGACAGTCGGCAATTGCGGTGTTGGTCCGTCCTGTCTGCCATTTACCGGCTCCGATCGCCGATTCCGCTCCTCCATACTCTATCTCCGTCTGTGTAGTTGAGGATTTCGTGATTTTTATATGTGATATATAACAATGGCACCAGGCTGCCTGATTCTGTTTAGAATGTGTCAATTACTCTCAGAGATCGAGCTGCTTTTGAGTAGGTTTGTCAATAATTTACTTCACCCCCACCAGAGTACACCATGTCGACTTCAGGAACGGACTCCCAAGCCATACAACAACAACAACAACAACACCAGGAACAGGATTTGAGTGACACCAGTGACCTTGATCTAGAGGTCAAGCCTGTCGATGCTTCTGATCTCGATGTAGCACCAGATGGCGGTTCGAAAGCGTGGCTTGTTGCAGCGGGCGCCTGGGCGGTTCTCTTCTCCTGCATGGGCTTCGCAAACTCGTTCGGCACATTCGAAGAGTACTATTTGGCGAATCAGTTACAGAATGAACCCGTAGACAACGTCTCCTGGATAGGGTCGTTGTCTACCTTCCTCCAATTTGCTGCAGGGATGGTCTCAGGGCCTTTATTTGATCGTTACGGCGCAAAGGTATGTCCCTCTTGCACTGGATAGTAGTGGTAGTATCGAGCCGATTTACTGACATAGTAGTAGGTTATACGGCCGGCGGCGATCTTGTATATCTTTGCTATAATGATGCTGAGCTTGTGCAAGCAGTATTGGCAGATCATGCTTGTGCAAGGTATTCTGATGGGCATCGCGATGGGCTTTCTCCAGGTGCCATCCATGGCAGCCGTGCCGCAGTACTTCGACAAGAAACGGGCGGCGGCCCTGGGAGTCGTTATATCCGGCTCATCTGTGGGCGGCATCGTCCTGCCCATCGCGCTGTCCAAGATGCTGAATGCCTCTTCTCTTGGGTTCGGATGGTCGGTGAGAGTCATTGGCTTTCTCCTACTGCCCTTTGTGGGATTTGCCTGCGTGACTGTCGAGGCCCGTCTGCCACCCCGGAAGTCCGACTTCCTCATCCCATCGGCCTTCAAGGAACCCAGATTCGTGCTGACAATCTCCGCGCTTTTCTTCGCTTTCTTCGGCATGTTCACCCCGTTCTTCTACATGCCAACCTACGCGGTGACACGGGGCATGGACGAGACCCTCGCAGGGTATCTGCCTTCGATCCTCAATGCCGTCTCCACGTTCGGTCGTATCATTCCGGGCGTGCTAGCAGACAAGTACGGTCGATACAATACCCTCGCCATCGGAACCGTCGCCAGTGGTATCATCATTTGCTGCATGGACTTGCCGAAAACTAACGCCGGGATTATCGTCTATGAGGCTATCTACGGCTTCGCGTCAGGTACCATCCTTTCCGGGGCGGCCGCGGCCTTCTCTACCTGTCCTCGAACTCCCCAGGAGTTCGGGACCTACATGGGGATGGGTTTCACTGTCAGCGCCTCTGCCGCTCTTGTCGGACCGCCGGTCAATGGCGTGCTTGTCGACACATATGGCGGCTACTCCCAGGTTTCCATCCTGAGTGGTGTCGTATGCATCTTCGGTGGCCTCATAGCATTCTACACCAAGACCACGAGCCCTCAAGGTCTCTGGGGGAATGTATAAACGTCGCATATAATCTCAGTCCTCATGTTTTGCCAGCCAGGTCAGTCTATAAATTATGGGCTGGCGGCGAGCCTCTTGTGAAAAGAGATAGATTCTTCAAGTCGATTAATCATTCTCCACTCCATTCTTCGAGATTTCGTTTCCTAGACAGACGTTGTACCTAGAATCCAAAATGAATATAGCACGATTGTTTTTCCCATTCTAGATTTTCATTACATAGGGGTATAGCGTTCGACTTGAACGTGAGACACACAATTTAATGATCCGTGAAACTCATCTCCCTTCCATTAGCCGGAAGCCCAATAACCAAACCCAAGAAGAAGATTCAAAAATTCTTGAAGAATTTTTCAAGAATGAAGAAGAGCGGTTTGATCCCCGAAGTATATATAGCACAAGGCGTGCATCTTAGAGACACCATAACAAAATATGTCCGGTTCAGAGGCATAGAGAAACATTAGCTGAACACTGAAGTAAAGGTAGAACATAACTATGGGGTATCTTTGGATTGTGAGACAAAAACTCAAGAAGTGAAAAGTAATATAGATAGAAAGGAAAAGATGGGTTCATCAGTTCTCTAGCTTGATCGGTGGCGCTTTTTCTCCTTTTTGGACCAGCGTACTATATTCATAGAGAAAGTGACGTTAGTCAAGTAGGTTCAAAAGAGAGGTATGGCTGAAGGGACAACTTACACCCGCAAGCGTTACAAAGAGTCTTGGGCCCCTTGGGGCCTTTCCGCCACTCGGGAGAGTCGTAGGTGCCACAGTCTGCACACATGTAGCCTGCCTTGACCTTTTTCCTACGGTTGTGCTCCTGGGAGCTGCGGTTATGCTGGTCGGAGGCTGTCGTGATATCGATGTCATACTGCACTAGGCGGCCGCGTCGGTCGCCTGTACTGAGACCCTGCGAGCGCTCGCCGTCTCCATAGCGGAGGCCAGTGATGACTTCGATGCCGTCGATGTGGGTAAACTCCTCTGCCGGGGGGGCCTTGTCCGCGACATTGTCGGTCGATGAAGAGTCAGAGTCCATGTCGTCTGCGCCGGGTTGAATCGCTACCAGATCTGATTGCGGCCCACTGATTTCGGTAGCGGCGCTACTGGAATGGATATTGGTATGCGAGAGCGTCGACTCGGACGAGGGAACGGAAGCGCGGCGTTGGCGGGCTGCTAGAGCTTGATGGTCTCCAGAATCTTGTCTCGAGAACAGACGGATCGCTTTGGCATCTTCCTCCTCTTCGCGTTTCAAATCAGCAATCCTCTGGCACAGGCGAATGTTCTCCATCTTGTGCTCCAGGAAAGAGTCCAGCAACTGCGATGTTTTGGTGGTATACGGCCGACATATCAAGAACACACCATCGCACCGTTTGCCTGTTTTCCCATTTCCTAGATCCACAGGCTGTCGCGCGATATGCGGGTGACCGTAAGCTTCCAGAATAGAGAATGCACTGCTGGGCTGACCGAACCGGAAATGGAGGCGCAACGGTCGCCCGGACGCAATGGCCTCCTCCAACTCGCGAGCGAACGTGGCCTTGTCGTGTTCGTGGAGAAATGACGAGATAAATTGGCCCGTGAGCTGCTCCACAGAATGCCCTGTGAGAAGCTTACACGATAAGGAAGAATAGGCGATCCGACCCTCGGCGTTCAGAATCAGTAACATGTCTTTCATCTCGTCCATGACGCGCTGGGTCCAGCTTGGCCCTTGACTGTAGTCGGAGTACCCCGTCGCATCGGCGCCATGGATCCCGAGGTTGGTGAGCGATCGTGAGATACCTTGGGTCTCCATCGCGATCAGATCGAGGCCGTCGGATCCCTGCGAAAAAAAGACGTCTCTGTGGCGATCTGAGTACAGCGGCGTAAATCTCGCTTTTTTGTCCCTTGAATAACGGCGACGACTCCCATGTCAATACTGAACTCACAAGCGCTCAAAGTCCCTGCTATAACCATGTAGTTAGCCTGTCTCATGTGCTGACGCTGGATTGTTTGGTTCAGAATGAGAAAGTTCATTTGTCTAACGCCTCCATAGTACTGAGTTGACTTAGTAAGGACACTTAGTACCTGGTGTTGTACCGCCGGGCCTGGCACGTGCTTTCGCGCCGCCTGCCCCGCGTCTTTCCGTCTTGGACGCGCAGCTGAGGCAAAGGAAGGCTCCAGGCAGCTGTGCTCGCTTTTGACATCGGGTTTTGACTCTGTTGTTGACCATCGGCTGGTTTTATTAGCTGGGGGTCACTCCTACTGTGGTTTCTATCATGTGAGGACAACTTCCGCCATCTTCTGATGTCGTATGACTGACGTTTCCAGGTGTAAGTAAGGCTGGGGAGCCCCGAATTTGCAGTGCCGATGAGGAGAGGTATCGTCAGCTAATATTGATCTCCGCGTTTCATTTCAGCTAAGATTGATAAACTCTCTATTCTTGGGTAAGCCGGTCGCCAGATTCTTGGGTTGTTGATCGAGAAACGATGCTAACTAACCGCTGCAATCTAGTGTCCGTTCGTTCGATAATACCCGAAGCGAGACCATCCAATTTAACACTCCTTTGACGCTGATTGTCGGATATAATGGATCGGGAAAGACAGTATGTTTCTAAAAATGGAAATGGAGGCTCGTTGAAGGATCGTTAAGGTCTAAACGGGTTCTAGACCATCATCGAATGCCTCAAATATGCCACAACCGGTGATCTTCCGCCCAACAGCAAGGGTGGAGCATTCATCCATGACCCTAAGGTGTGTGACTTTAGGCCTATCCTTAGGTGGACCGGAGTCAGTGGAGCTGACAGGATGTTTTTATATTAGCTTTGTGGAGAGAAAGAGGTTCTGGCTCAGGTGAAGCTGTCATTCAAGAGCACTTCCGGTGCAAAGATGGTCGCTACTCGAAGCCTACAACTTACAGTCAAGAAAACAACGCGGCAACAGAAGAGCTTGGAAGGACAACTGCTGATGGTAAAGGATGGCGAGAGAACAGCAATCTCGTCTCGCGTGGCGGAGCTAGATCAGATCATGCCTCAGTATCTGGGCGTCTCGCGAGCAGTCCTCGACTCGGTCATCTTCTGCCATCAGGATGAAAGTCTGTGGCCCATGAGCGAACCGTCAGTACTGAAAAAGAGGTTTGATGAGATCTTTGAGGCTATGAAGTACACAAAAGCTATCGACAATATTAAGGCACTGAGAAAGAAACAGAATGAGGAGCTTGCCAAATTCAAGATCATGGAGCAACATTCGAAGGAGGACAAGGCCAAGGCTGATCGGGCCGAGAAGAGATCGATCAAGCTGCAGGAAGAAATCGAAGCCTTACGGACCGAAACCCATCAGCTCTCCCAGGAAATGAGACGAGTTGCAGAGCTGGCTGACAAGGCTTGGAAAGAATCCGAGAGTTATTCACAAGTTCTCGGCGCCCTCGAGGGCAAGCGCATAGAGGCTAAGAGTGTTCAAACCACCATTGATAATCTGAAGAGGCACCTGGTCGAGTTAGACAACTCCGATGAGTGGCTGGAATCCACATTGGAACAGTTTGAGTCTCGCCAGGCCCAGTTTCAACAGCAGGAAGAATCCCAGAAAGAACGCTACATGGAGATCCGAGATCAGATTGAGGTGGCCCGACAAAGTCTTGGCTTGAAACAGGCAGAGCTTGGGAAGTATGAGAATGATAAAGCCCATTTTGAGCGACAAGTCGAAAGACGGAAAGTCATGGTTAAAGACATCGCGCGAAGCAACAACATCCGTGGTTTCGAGGACAACTTTGACCAGGCTGGCATCGATGAATTCATGCGGAAAATTCGCTGGCTCCTCACGGACCAGAACCAGGCTCTGGACCGAGCGCGAAAGGCCGCTCAGTCTGAGCTGCGTGAAATACAAGGAACTCTGAATGAAATCGGACAACGCAAATCGGCGCTGCAGGAGGGTAAGAGCCTGGCAAAGAGAGAAATGGCCAAGAACGATAGAGAGGCATCAGCGTATCAAAGCAAGCTGAATGAGATTAGCGTTGATGAAGGTGTTGAGTCTGCTCTTGAATCGAACATCGAAGATATCCAGTCGCGCTTAAGTCAAGCTAAGGATCGTGCTCACGCCGCATGTTGGGACAAAGAAATTCAAGATATTAATAGCCAGATCCGAGATCTTGAGGATAATAGCACAGAGCTGAATACTGAACTTATCGAGTCAACGAAGAAAGCTGGTGATTTGGCGCGCTTGGATCACCTCAAAAAGGAACTCAAGGATCGTGAACGCAGTCTAGAAACGATGTCGGGAGCACATGGAGAGCGGATATCAAAGCTAATCCGCTCTGACTGGCGGCCAGCAACTTTAGAGCAAGAGTTTCAGCAGGTTCTTGATGATGAGTCTAGGCAGGTTACCAAAGCTGAACGAGAGCGAGATGCCATTTCCCGAGATCTGGAGCATGTGGAAGTCAGACTCAAAAACATCAAGAACAATCTAAAACAGCGGGAAAAGGAACTCGTCGACTGCAAGAACGAAATTAGAGACGCAGTTGAAGATGAACCTTCGCAATACCTTGAGATTGTTAAGCAGAGGCAAATACAACTTGACATGGCCAAGAAGGATGCTGATATTTATGCGGGAATGGGCGAATATCTAAGCAGGTGTCTCGAAGCAGCGAACCAGAGCAAAGTTTGCAGAACGTGCGCGCGGCCCTTCAGGACGGAGTCAGAATTTCAAACATTCAAGAACAAGCTGGAAGGTTTAGTAAAGAAGGCTGCCAACGATGCGCAAGATGAAACACTACAACAACTTGGAGAGGATCTCGAGGATGCTCGAGCAGCAAGCACCGCGTACGATACTTGGGTCCGCTTGTCAGAGACAGATATCCCGGCTTTGGAAGAAGAAGAACAGCAGTGTGAAGCTCACCGGGATGATCTTTTGAGCCAGCTTGAAAACCACGATAATGTTGTCAACGAGAGAACAGAAAAAAAGAGGGATGTTGAGAGTCTCTCAAGAACAGTCAATACCATTGTGCGTTATGACATGGATATTAAGACTATCAAATCTCAGATCGATGAGTTGGTTTCAAAGCAGCAAGATGCCACATCTATTCGCACACTAGAAGATATCCAAGACGAAATTTCTGGTATCGGCGAGAAAATCCGGACTCTAAAGAGGAACCTCTCAAAGGTCACAAGTGATAAGGAAGAAACGCGCACTGAAATCAACAAACTCGAGCTGCAGTTAAGAGATGTCAGAAGTTCTCTTGAAAATACTCGGTTTCAGTTGGAAAAGAAGGCCAGCCTACTCGCTCGCATCGAAGAATACCGCAATCTCAATCTTCAACAACGCGAAAGCATTGAGAAAGCAGAGAAAGACATTGAAGGTCTTACTCCCGAGCTTCTCAAAGCCCAAGCTCAGTATGATGACATCAGTCACCGGGCTGAAACACGAGAGAGGGGACTGCTGCATGAGATAACCAATTTAACGGACAATCTGCATCAACTAGATCTTGCCAATGCTGATATTAACTCGTACATCGAACGGGGTGGTCCGAGTCAGCTAGAAAAGGTTCAGCATGACCTCCAGGTCATCGAAGATGAGATTGGTGAGCTCGAGACGGAGCAAGGCGAGATCACACGCGAGATCAACAAAATTTCTACTCAACTCAAAGATAGCGAGAATACAAAGCGGCAGTATTCTGATAATTTGACATATCGCCAGGCAACTCGAACGCTTGACAAGGTTCTGGGAGAAATCGAAGAGCTTGAGACACAAAATGCTGAAGTTGACCGCAGCCGTTTCAAGGAGGAATCGGAACGGCGCACTCGAGAGCACAACGCACTCGCGGCAAAACAATCAAGCAAGATGGGCGAAATGAAGTCGAAAGACGACCAGCTCATGCAACTTCTAGCAGACTGGAATACCGATTACAAAGATGCAGCGTCCAATTACAAGGAGTCGCACATCAAGGTTGAAACGACCAAGGCTGCAGTGGAGGACCTCGCTCGATATGGAGGAGCACTTGACAAAGCCATCATGAAATACCACGGTCTGAAGATGGAGGAAATCAATGCTATCATTGGCGAACTCTGGCAAAAGACATATCGAGGCACAGACGTGGATACGATCCTCATCCGATCTGATAACGAGAACGCCAAGGGAAACAGGTCGTACAACTACCGCGTCTGCATGGTGAAGCAGGGGGCGGAAATGGACATGCGTGGAAGATGCAGTGCAGGCCAGAAGGTCCTCGCCAGTATCATTATTCGCCTGGCTCTCGCAGAATGCTTCGGCGTTAACTGTGGGTTGATCGCACTCGACGAACCGACCACAAACCTTGACCGCGATAACATCCGCTCGCTCGCCGAGGCGCTGCATGATATCATCCGGGCTCGGCAGCAGCAAGCGAATTTCCAGCTCATTGTCATTACGCACGATGAAGAGTTCTTGCGCCATATGCAGTGTGGTGACTTTAGCGACTATTACTACAGAGTCTCGCGGAATGAGAGACAAAAGTCAATCATTGAGAGGCAGTCGATTGCAGAAGTATGTTAACATGACCTAGCCCCATTTACATGATCTCTCCATACTAATAATATAAAGGTGATGTGATGTGGTTTGAACTTGCTTCATACCTACCTAACTATAGGTACTAACTTCAATTGTCAATTTACTGATTAGCGCTCTTCCAAAATTATTAGCAACTGCTGAGGGCTTATGGATATTTGTTAATTACTGGCAGGTTGCAAGTAGATGCTACGGCCTGGGATCATCATTGATACAAGTAAATACGTAATGGTGGATGATGGGACTTCTTCATGGCGTTGGTACAAGTTCATAGAAAAGACAGTACTTTCTGTATTGCACCGAGACGGCTCTCGTTCTAGAGCCCAGAAAGTTGATCCAGTTATTCCTAGTCTATCTTCCTGTATCTTCTTCCAGCCCTTCTTCAGCTTCCCCCTCAATTAACGGGACGAATCGGAAATCCACAAAGCTGACATTATCTCCCAGGGGCTGTCCAGCTGGCGGCCGGGACCTAATGCTCGCGCCACCGGCACTACTGCCGTCTAGCTCGATCATGAACTGAAGACTTAAGACTCCTTGTCGGTCACCGCGGATGCTGACCTTGTTAGCCACAGCCATAGCGCGCATCGCTTTCCGGATCAGCGCGAAGCGGTAGTGTTCTATAATCCGAGGGCCTCGGGAAGACGGCGGGCTGACGAGAAAAGTCTCCGTTACCGTCGGAGCAAGCTTTGATCTTTTCGCTCGTGCTCTGCTGCTACCATCTTCGGCCAGGACCTTATGATGTGTCTCTGCTGTAGACGATGCACTCTGTTTGTGCTGCTGGTCTACGGAAAACTCCACAGTAGATTCGCTAAATGGGCCCCCCGTCCCGGACAAGGCGAAGAAGGGCTTATGGGTTGCCGAGGCGGAGATCTTCAGCGCGGTGGGATTAGTGGCATCGAGTTCCGTAATTGCATTGTGTAGCCAGGCCGAGCGCATGATGATCTTCATAATGATGGCATTTCGCTGTAAGGGGATATCGATCTCGCCCTCTTCGGGCTCGTAGGTAGTTAAATCACACGTGGTTTTGACTCCTGCCTCATTAAGAGTGACGCTGAGAGATGACCCAGTCTGGAGATACTGCAGGGTACACGAGTGATCGAGAAGAAGAGAGGGAGCGGTGAACGCATTCGAAGACGAATGATTGGATGTTTGCATCGGCGCGCTTCTCGACGAGTTAACCGCGGATGAGTCGTTGATACTGAAGATTTTCAAGGTTTCCAGGAGAGCAGAGAGTGAGATGACAAAGCAAGGGTACAACTCGCTCTCCGGAGAGTCATCGCTCTCTCCAGGAAGCTGTTGAGATGTGTCGTCCTCTTTGTTTGGCGGGTTGAAGGTGTAATTGCTGAAAAGTGCTTTGTCCAGGAATGCAAGCCCTTGGATGACACGGGCCTCCTCCACAGAAAATCGAATCCCGTCAGGTGTGATCTGAACGGTAGCTCGATGGGAAAATCCAATGCACTGGAGAAGTGTATAGAGATGATGAACATTGCTCGAGACGGCAGAAAATATGGGCTCCATTGTGACGACTCGGCCAAAATAATGACGCGGATGATCGGAAGGTTTAAGGTGAAGTATAAGACGGTCAAACACTTATGCTTTCAAGATTAAAGGGCCCGAGAAGCTCTTGAAAGAGGTTTGTGGGAACTTTGGTTGTTGTTCTAATGTACAAGGCCCTTGATAGTCCAGCTAATGGTACATGTACACACCCAGCGCAGATGGGGACAATTGGAATAAACGTGCTGCTCAGACGTACACTCCAACAGCACAGATCATGTAGACAGCTCCGAAACTATAGATAATTTCTCGTTAGCTTTTTTTGGTTTCTTCGGGCTGAGTATGTTTATTACCCAAAGGCCAGCGACGCGGGGATGCCGAAGGACGCGATGCTCGTAAAGGAACGATCTGGCGCAAGAGCGTTTAGCTGATAATCCCAATAGTACAACACTCAGGCAATACATACTTAAACCAAATAGACCGGTGAAAATAAGAGCTGTAAAGGAGATGTCAGTCATGTCTCCTCTACGGGGCTGATTGCAATGGGCTTTTACCAGCGAAAAGCAAGGTGAAGCCAACGAAGAATTGGCTATTCTTGGAGATAATGGGAGAGTAGGGATGAGCGGAGGCTGCCTCCCAGACTTCGTTCAACGACATGAGGAGATATGCGCAGAGTAGGTTAAGATAATAATCAATTGGCAGCGGGCTTCAAGTCCATTCAAGGTTGTCTTAAGCACTGAGCAGTCGCAAGTGGCGTCAAGCTGTCCTCTTGTTGATTGCCCAAAACGGGCTGCGGATCAACTTAACTCCGATGGCCCGTGAGTCCCCACATTCAACAGGTATCCAGCTTAGTCATCTGTTACAACGCGGAGATAGCCCGACTCAGCGCAGCAGGACGACGTGCCTGTCACTGCGAGAGCATCTGGACATCACAGGCCTGTCAGTTACACCGCATCATGGCTCCAATGCTGACAGAAAGTGGGCTTCCCAGGTCGGCGGGACTGAGATGAGTTTTAACTGACTTCAAAACCAGGTATGAAGCGGAAAGCTTCCGAAGAAGTAGCCTCCCCCGACTCGCAGCAACAAAGCAAGAAGGCCCGCACAGACTCTCCAGAGAGAGGGCCGAAGGTTTGTCTGGCTAGATAATACCATTATTGTGGAAGATGTTGACTCTTAGATAGGAAGAAGATGAAGACAACGATAAGAATGCCCTCCGAATCGTTCCTTTCCCCGAAAAGGTGAGCTTATTCGCGACGTAATGCGAGGGGTTTTACGGTGGTAGTAACCATGTGATATCAATACAGCCGGCGGTACTAGAAGAACGCCACGGAGATATCGAGTTTCGAGTCGTCAACAATGATGGATCGCATGATAGTTTTGTTGTGCTCACCGGACTCAAGTGCATCTTCCAGAAGCAACTACCGAAGATGCCCAAAGACTACATCGCGCGCCTGGTATATGACCGATCGCACCTTTCCATGGCGATTGTCAAGCATCCGCTGGAGGTAGTGGGGTATGTTTTGCATGGAATACAGCATCACGCTCTCTGCTGATGTTCACCTAGCGGGATCACTTATCGGCCATTCAACGGTCGCCGATTCGCGGAGATCGTCTTCTGCGCCATCTCTTCAGACCAGCAGGTCAAAGGATATGGAGCACATCTCATGTCCCATCTGAAGGTAGGTTGTTGCAACATAATCATAGTCTGTGTTGTCTGACACACGATGCAGGACTACGTGAAAGCAACGTCGCCCATCATGCATTTCTTGACCTACGCCGATAACTACGCCATTGGATATTTCAAGAAACAAGGGTTCACCAAAGAAATCACTCTGGACAAGTCTATCTGGATGGGTTACATCAAGGACTACGAGGGAGGTACAATCATGCAGTGTACGATGCTTCCCAAGATTCGGTACCTCGAAGCTGGCCGCATGCTTCTCAAGCAAAAGGAGGCTGTCCACGCCAAGATTCGCGCGTTCAGTAGATCACATATCATCCATCCACCTCTCAAGGAGTGGAAGAATGGCCCTTGTAAGGTCGATCCGCTAACCATTCCGGCGATCAAAGAATCTGGGTGGTCTCCCGACATGGATGAGCTAGCTCGGCAGCCACGCCACGGGCCGAATTACAACCAACTCCTACATCTCCTGAATGATATGCAGAATCACAGCGCTGCCTGGCCGTTTACTCAGCCCGTGAATCGTGACGAGGTCCCTGACTACTATGAAGTCATCCTGGAGCCGATGGATCTGTCGACCATGGAGGAGAAGCACGAGAAAGACATGTACCCGACGCCGCAGGAGTTCATCAAGGACGCCATGCTTATCTTCGACAACTGCCGGCGATACAACAACGAAAGCACACCTTATGCCAAGAGCGCCAACAAGCTCGAAAAATTCATGTGGCAGCAGATCAGAAATATCCCCGAGTGGTCGGTATGTAGCTTCGTCCGATTTCCTTGTCGCTGCGCTCTTCATGACCCTGGCTGACTGTCAAACAGCATCTCGCCGAAGGACACTGATCCCTTTTCGACCCAGCATTTTGGATAGAGGAGTTCCGGCTCGGTGGCGTTTTTGCTGTCTTATTGCTTGTTGTGTTTTTTACGGAGAATACCCAATGATGAGTGGAGCGTTGTCATTTCTGACCCCTTATTGATTCAACGCATTCGTGTAAATGATTAGCCTTGACAATATAAATGATGCCAATCATCGCATCCAAGAATTTCCCTGGACAAGCCCAAGCCCCCTTTAGCGGTAGTGTTTTAACCTTCGGGACAGGACGTGACGGGTGGAGAGCGCAATTTCGGAACAACGTAGGCGCGTCCCGTGCCTGAACGGGCAAAGCAATAATAGTCGGTGGCTCAGAATCAATCATGATTAAATGCTGTCCCGCCAGCCTCTCGTTGTCCTCGATCAGTCCTCCTTTGTGTCTGCCTCCTCTGCCTTCATGGACCGGTCATTGAGCTAGCGGTTTTATCCTCGTCACTATCGCAGTCTTTTGCGCAACTACTGGCTGTTCAAAAGCGTGCTTCACCCTCAGGAGCGCCCTTCACGGGGGCCCCTGTTGCGGAATCATTCTTCCACCGTACGATCGTTCATTGCCAGTGTGCCTCGACATCGTCAAATTCCCTGGATAAGCTTCTGAACCGCTAAACAGACGTATACTTTGTTGTCTACCACCCACGTCATTTGTCTCGGCTCCAAGTCGACGACTATCCATTCGTTCCCCCTATTCCGACCCCTCTTTTTCGAAGCCCAGTTCTCCACCGTCCAAGTTGGTGTTAAGCACATTTGAAAGCGAAGCGTGAATACAACAACGAAGAATCCACTATTTGACCGTGGACAAGATGGCGTTCGACTCTTTCTCGGATATCGAGCAGCGCAATCGCTTGCCAACCCTCTTTGAGGTCCTCAGCCGTCGAACTCTGGCTCCAGTCGATCTTTTCTCCTTCTACATCTACATGCGAGACCAGCAGCGCTCTGTGGATTATCTGGATTTCTGGTAGGCTTTCTCCGAATCTTGCGGGTGTTTGTTGTCAGCAATTTTTGACCCAAATATTCAGGCTCGATGTCTCTCAACATATGTCCTTATGTCGCCATTATGTCCGAGAGCTGCGCCGATCGGTTTTAGTAGCAACACCGGATCTCGAGAAGTCGGGAAGCAAACGTTCCTCGACGGTCCTCGATAACCTGGAGAATTTGGGGGATATTCCGCTAGTCGAGGCCGGCCCGTCGGGCATGCGCGGTGGGATACGTGATGCAGAAGAGAGAGAAGCGGATCAGCGATTGTCTGCCTTCCTTCGCTCAGATGGGCGCCCGGCTGGACACTCCCCTCAAAGCAGCCTTGGATCCCAGTCTGCTGCCCGAATCCCTTCCAATGAACGTCCTTCCGGGCGCAGCCTGTCGACGCCTGAGATGGCGCACGACTCGAATTCCCCAGGCCATACCGTTGCGCGGCCTGATATCCGTGCCAGCGCGGAAAAGATCTTGTACACGTTCTTACTTCCAGGGTCCGAGCGGGAGGTCGTACTACCGGAAGAATTGGTTGTACCAGTAATTCAAATGATCGAAGAAGAGGGCCGAGATGACCCGGAGGTCTTTGACCAGGTCAAGGATTACGTTTTTCAGGCCATGGAACGGGACGCCTTCCCAGGGTTCTTGCAGGCAAAGGCTCTGGGCAACCTTGTTCCATTGAGCGTTCTTGCACGCTTAGCCTTTGCACTAATCAGTTTCGGAGGCGGGTTCTGGGGTGCTTTCTACGTCGTACTCAGAGACAAACCAAGGCATATTCGCTGCTGGGTACGCATTCTCTTAATTGCTTTCTCTGTGTATGAATTCTCATTGACTATTGCAGGTGATTCTACCTTTCGTCATCGCCTCGTACTTCCTCACATCTTATCAATACAAGATCGACCCTGTCATGGCGTTTCTGGGCTATAGCGAATACACCTTTATGAACTGGGCCCCAATCCGCGAACCATACGTCCGGAAGCTGCTCAACAAGAGAGCAACAGCGACTGCCCTTACCGCTTTCTTCGTCGCTGCCGCCTTGAGCATCCTGTTCATCCTCGTCCCCGGCACGATGCTCTGAGACTTTCGACTCTGTCACTTACTCGGTGTTGGCCGTTTGATCGCAAATAATCACATAATGTCTTCCTTTGGCGTCATGGCGCAATGCTACTTTGGGCTCATCTCATGTGCATAGATGGGAATTGGTGACGTCCGCCTCGTTCCTTTGTTCTCCTTCTCTTCTTCATAACTCTTTTTCTTTCCACCTATTCAAGCCCTGCGTACTGGATGCGCGTTGCATGGACATTGATTTTGATTCAATCATTTTTTCTCTTTTCCCATTTCCCATTTCCAGGGATCAGCACAGACTCGATACTTATTTCCTACCCTACCATTTGGCAATTCCAGCTTGTATTCCCCATCTCTCTCCTGGGGCTTTGAGTTGATTAATTCCTACTCTTGTCGAAGCCCGAGCTATCCAATCTTCTCTACACTCGATTTTCTTATGTTTTTACTTTATCCTTGTTTTTCCAATACCCATTGATCGACTGTCTGTTTTGTGCAGTTCTGATATCCACCCGACTTGATTGGGATCTTGTCCTTAGCGGTTATCTAATGTCTCAATGTATTCATTATGTATCTTTTAGTCATGGCTTGTAGCTCGCAGAGTACGACGGCCTTTTCGTATGCTGTATGTCATTTTAATCATTTTTTGGGATTCTAGTATCTGGTGTCATGACGGTCATTACTTTGCCCGCCCCACTCCTTTCTTAAGCAAGGATAGATCCATTCAAACAACAATGCAATGCAATACATTATTGATTCGTTAAATCATGATTTCTTCCCCAAGACTCGCTTCGCATGCCGGGCGGAACTGGGGCCGGCTCTGGCGGCGCCCGCGCCCTCATCGATGTCCATCCGCGAGGGGAGGATGATCTGGTCTGCAACACCCTCGGCCCCGTCATCCCAGTACCCGTCGTCATCCTGGTCGTCGTCGGCAGTGAACTCGCGTTTATTGTTACTGTTTCCGGCGGGGTGTGGCCCTCCTTTCCTCTGGGCCAGGGGGACACCACCACCACCACCACCACCCTCGGAGGACGAAGAGGCAAGGGCCTTTTCGAGCTGTTGCGCGCGGGCGCGCTCGTCGGCCTGTCGTTTCTGCGCTTTGGCGGTGATGGATTTGATCTCGGCTTCCACGTCGCGGATAACGTCGTTGCAGCGGGTTTCCCAGTGGGCGAGCACGGAGATCATGGTCGGGAGGGAGTGCACGTTGACGTCGCGCAGGGGTGCAACGGCAGTGACGTTGACGGTTGGCGGGGTGGATGCGGGGGAGAGCCGCGCGGTGATCAGGGAGGAGTAGATGGCGGTTGTGACAAGAGTTTCCAGCTCAGACCGGTCGGTGATAGACAGCGCAGCCATCAGTGAGCTGTAGCTGAGCGTCTTAAGGGTGGCGGAGAGAGTCAGGAGCGAAAGTAGCCGGAGCTTCAGCGTTTGTTGCTGGTTGAGCTGGGGGAGGTTAGGTGTTGCTGCATCATTACCCCCAACCGTCAGTCGATCTCGGTCAGATAAAGCTCTTGAAAAAGAAGAAGAACACACATTGATACTCCTGCCACGTTCCCCAGGCAAAGATCTCCAGTAGTCTCAGGTATCCACGGAACTCATCGGGCGTGTCTGGCGAGTTCAGTGACTGGATGGTAGGCGTCTCCAGGAGCTCAGCGAAGACGTATGTATGTGGACTGGACGTTGCATTTGTAATGATATTGGCAACAAATCGTGGAGAGGTCGCGCTATTTGCATTGGCGAGATGGACGAACGGCTGGAGGGCCTCCAACGCCCGCGAGTGCACCTGGTCCATATCTGAGGTCCGGATGTCGTCTCTCGCAGGCTTCACTGTAGGCGGGGGAGCAGTAGTACCACGATCTCTAGTGATGTCGTGTCAGGGCTAGCTTTACAGTTCAGAGTAAAAGTATATGTATTCACAAAATCAATTGATATTCAACACAAGGATCGAAAATCTGACTCGCTTTCAGCTCCGAAGAAAAGAATCGCATTGCTCATCATCTCGCTCAGTCTCTCAGTGATGATGTCCACAGCCAGTGCTGGCCGGCAGTATTCACACCGCCCTAGAGCGGGCCTTAACCGGTCTACTTGGTGTCATGTCTCTTCCCTCCTCCATCAACCTCCAGGCAGTTTTTCAACTTGTTTGAAAAAAAGAAGGCTTTCTCGCCCGATGAAGGGTGAATATTCCAGGGGCAACAACTATAATACTTCCAGGCTGGCTCAAACATGATCAAAGCTAAGCAATATCCTATTATTTTGATCTACACTAATACGTAGTCCTACTACGTACTCTACGGAGTATATCCACTGACAAATCTACTAAAATCAACATGTCGTTATTTTATGTATAAGCTTATGTCTTGCTGCAGACAACGTGAGGATTGGGAGCTTGTTTTATAAGCATGGGCACTTGATATCTGGAGTATAGAGTACACGGACTTCAAAAGGACACTCTGTACAGGCTATAATGATCTATCCCTTGGTCCTGACAGCAGATCGATACGGAGGAACTAACCAATAAGTACTCCATACAACCCATACAACCCATACACTAGCCAGTTAGTTGGTTGGCTAGCTGGTTAGTTTGCTGCAGAACCCGTCTCATATCACTTCTCTATCTCTGCAGCTAGTTAAGATATCATTCAACCTCCGAAAGATCCTTGAACTTATGAGGGGCAAGTGGCTGGCTGGGTTGGAAAATAATAAGCACAATCAAGGCTATACCAACAATCTGATCGATCAACGAAGCCACTTTGTACTGCGTACTGCGTATGTTGGTCAGACCCTGTGTAAGAATTATTATTAGTTTTCCCATACTCCATACCGCAAGGAGGCTGGCGAGGCGTGCCGTTGGTGAAACTGCTCGCTCAGCCGCTGATTAATTACCAAGTCCGGAACCTGCATCCGCTCTCGTCGCCTTCGCAATCTCACAGCGCCGGCCTGCGTCTCCCTGGCAAGATGCATTTAACCCTGCCATTCCGTCAGTTTTCCTTCCATATTCCTCAATTATAAGAATCCTTCTTGGGCTCCACGCTGTCATCTGGTCGGATCCGCCTCAACCGAAGACACCCCACTCCGCGGACGCTCCGTTATCTGATTGTTCTCTCCAGTCGCAGAACAAAGGATCCAGCCTTAAAATTGAGACCAAGAAAAAGAAGAAAAAAATCCCCCATGATACAGAAACGTACCCTTCTACTCATTTGACAGAAAAAATTCTGCAAGCGCTGCGGCAAAGACAGGGCGCGCGATGATGTCGTCGTCGTCGTCGTCGGCATTCCCTCTGCCGGCGCCTGCCGGAAATCAGTCCCGGTCGGCTGCATCCACGGTAACTACAACACTCAAGGTGGATGGAATGACTTGCGGAGCGTGTACTTCGGCTGTTGAAGGTGCGTTTCAAGGGATAGAAGGCGCGCAGGATGTCTCGGTAAGCCTGGTGCTCGGGAGAGTTGTCGTTCGCCATGAGCCTGCCCTGCTGGCCCCAGAGAGAATCGCGGGGCTCATCGAAGATCGCGGATTCGACGCAACGGTGCTGGAGACACACGCATCAGCAAGCAACGCGGATAAAACGGGGATCAATGAGAATGGAGGGCCCCGATTTTCGACCACTACCTTGTCGATCGAGGGTATGACGTGTGGTGCGTGCACTGCAGCCGTCGAAGGAGGCCTGACCGGTGTCGACGGGGTTCGATCGGTAGAAATCTCGCTACTTTCCGAGAGAGCAATGGTTGAACACGATGAGGCGATTATCACCCCGAAACAAATTGCAGACATCATTGAGGATCGTGGATTCGGTGCTGAAGTGCTGGAGACAACTAGAGATACTCAGGGACGGCGAGATTTGACATCGAGATCCCAGCCGACCGTCACCACTGTTTCGATAGACGGTATGACGTGTGGAGCTTGTACGTCGAGTGTTCAGAATGCCTTCAAGGATGTCGACGGTTTGATTCAGTTCAACATCAGCTTACTCGCCGAGCGGGCGATCATCGTCCACGACCCAAAAGTGCTAGAGCCAAAGCAGATCGTCACATTGATCGAGGATGCAGGCTTTGACGCCACCGTTGTTTCCTCGCAGCCGCAGACAATAGCGTCGACATCGGTCTCTAACGCTACTCTGAACTTACATGGCTTACGGGATGCGTCCTCTGCAACTACCTTGGAGACGTCCCTTCGTCAGAAGCCTGGCGTTTTGTCAGCATCGATAACCATGAGGACGTCAAAACTCACTGTCTCATTCGATCCATCGATCATCGGAATCCGTCACATTGTGGATGCCATTGAGGCTGATGGGTACAATGCCTTATTATCCGAAGCAGATGACAACAATGCTCAACTTGAGTCTCTCGCCAAAACCAAGGAAATCCAGCAATGGAAACGTGACTTTTTCTTTTGCTTTTCCTTTGCAATCCCTGTCTTTGTGATCAGCATGGCCCTTCCCATGTGCCTCCCGCGTTTCGACTTTGGCCAATGGAAGATATTTCCTGGCTTGTACCTAGGGGACCTGATCTGCCTGTTGCTCACAATCCCGGTCCAGTTTGGTATTGGAAAACGTTTTTATGTCAGCAGCTATAAGTCTTTAAAACACCGGTCACCAACGATGGATGTCCTGGTCATGATAGGCACCTCTACCGCTTTCTTCTACAGTTGTTTCACCATGATTGTCGCGATTCTCTGCCAGCCTCATGATCGGCCAAGCATCGTCTTCGACACAAGTACAATGCTCATCACGTTCATCACCTTGGGTCGTTGGTTGGAGAACAGAGCCAAAGGCCAGACCTCTGCCGCTCTTTCTCGGCTCATGTCATTGACCCCATCTATGACGACGATTTATGAGGATCCCATCGCTGCAGAGAAACTAGCGGATGACTGGGAGAAACAGACAGAGAGTGAAGGATCTATCGGACAAAGGCTGATTCCTACCGAGCTCATCGAGATAGGAGACATCGTCATTTTACGACCAGGCGACAAGGTCTCAGCAGATGGTATTGTCATCCGTGGAGAAAGCTACGTGGACGAAAGCATGATCACTGGCGAGGCACTTCCAATCCATAAAGGCAAGGGCAGCATGGTCATTGCAGGGACGGTGAATGGGGCGGGGACGATCGATCTAAAAGTGACGCGAGCCGGTAAAGACACACAATTGAGCCAAATCGTGAAGCTGGTCCAAAATGCGCAAACCAGCCGTGCCCCGATCCAACGCATGGCCGACGTGGCGGCTGGCTATTTTGTCCCCGCCATCATCAGCTTGGGAGCCATCACCTTCTTCGGCTGGATGGTGCTAAGCCACGCCTTGCCTCACCCTCCCAAAATATTCATGTCCGAAAGCAGCGGCGGTAAAGTGATGGTCTGTCTGAAGCTCTGTATCTCAGTCATTGTCTTTGCATGTCCTTGTGCTTTGGGTCTCAGCACACCTACCGCCGTTATGGTTGGTACCGGTGTAGGCGCTGAACATGGCATCCTCGTCAAAGGCGGCGCCGTCCTCGAGGCTGCTACGAAGGTCAACCATATTGTTTTCGACAAGACCGGGACCCTCACTTCGGGGAAGATGAGCGTGGCGGATGCCAGGCTAGAGCCCCAATGGGAAACGAATGATTGGCGTCGTCGACTATGGTGGCTTATTGTTGGACTGGCGGAGATGAACAGCGAACACCCCGTTGGTCGGGCTATTGTAACCGCAGCGAAGAACGAAACAGGCCATGCTGCAGAGGATGCGTTGCCTGGAAGTCTGGGAGACTTCGAGGCCCATGTCGGGAAAGGTATTTCCGCGGTCGTGGAGCCGGTCTCAAGCGCCGAGCGTGTGCGGTATCGAGTGCTCGTCGGAAACACCACGTTTTTGCGATCCAAAGACATTCCAGTCCCTGAGTCCGCAGACGCCGATTCTTCGCAAGCCACCACTGCCGAAGAAGGGCGCGCGTCTGCTTCTTCTTCCAAGGCTATTGACTCCCGCGCGGGTCTGACGGTGATCCACATGGCAGTCGACGGCCAGTATGCCGGTTCCATCTCGCTGCGCGACACCGTCAAGACCACCGCCGTGGCCGCCGTGGCCGCCCTGCATCGGATGGGCATCACAACCTCTCTCGTAACCGGCGATACCTATTCCACGGCGGTGGCCACCGCCAAAGCCGTAGGGATCCCCATCTCGGCAGTGCATGCCTCGGCCTCTCCGTCCGATAAACAGGCCATCGTTGCCGCCCTCCAGGAAGAAGGCGGCTACCGCGTCGCCATGGTCGGGGACGGGATCAATGACTCGCCGGCCCTAGTCACCGCATCCGTGGGCATCGCCCTGGCCTCGGGGACGGATGTCGCGGTGGAGGCGGCCGATATTGTCCTCATGCGCCCGGATGACCTGCTCTCCGTGCCCGCCAGCCTGTCTCTTTCGCGCTCCGTGTTCAACCGTATCAAGATGAACCTGGTATGGGCCTGTCTGTACAACGTCATTGGCTTACCCTTCGCCATGGGCGTCTTCCTCCCCTTCGGAGGTTTCATGCTCCCGCCCATGGCCGCCGGTGCTGCCATGGCGGCGTCGAGCGTCTCCGTCGTGGTGAGCAGCTTGCTTCTTAAATTCTGGAACCGGCCTCGCTGGATGACCGTCGAACAATTGGAGAAGGAGGCGGAAATGGGAATCCGCCGCCGGAAGGGCAGCTGGTGGAGAAACACTACGTCGGCGGCTGGCTATAATGACCAGGCTTCCTCGATCACCACCGTCATCAAGGGCGCCGCCGTTACGGTCTTGTCGTGGATCCCAGGGAGAGGATCGGCTTCCGCGAGGGCGGATGATGGATATGTTCCGCTACAGACAGTAGAACCGGCTGTCTGACCTCTGTTTTTTTGTTTTTGGGTTTACCTATCCATTATGTTTTTCTCTTATACCCTCTTTCGCGTTTTGCAGACCTTTTGTCGATTCAATCCCCAGTTATACATAATTGCTCAGCAAGCATGAGGCATGAATAATAGCATTTATCATAAATATAACAAAAGTGATGGTCAAAATTAACTTGGGTTTTTTTGATGTCAATTCAAAATAAATACTGTCAGCTCTTGGCTAGTCATTAATCATGAATCCCCTCTAAAGGCGCCAACTCCCATCTCATTTCTCTAGATTCACCTTCTCAACAGGATGCTTCGTCGGCTTGTTTGCCATGGTCAGTCGATTCCATCAAAGAGTCCTGCTCAGTTGCCTTGATGTCATCGTCACCCAAGACGATATCCCCGTCTCCATCGACGGCGATGCCCTTGGTCGAGATAGCATCTGTCTCCGTCCCGTCCTGGTCCATTTGTTGTTCATTCGAGGCCCCGGCGCCCGACGCCTTGTCGTCAGCATCTGCAAGTGTCATCTCAACACCCTTGCCATCTTGCAGACCCATGTCCTCCACCCCGACCACCCGGGGACCGCGGGCATGGGGAGCCTCATCGGATTCAGCATCGGCCAGACCAGATGAGGAAATATTGATAGCTTCGACCGCATTGTCGGCGACAGTGGTAGAAGATTGTGGTTCGAGCGAATTAAGATCAAGTTCTTGGTTATTCTCGGTAGAGGTATCCAGCGCTGTGAATTTAGCTAGACAAAATCAGTCCGTATCTGGAAATTTGAAACAGAGAACATGTCAAGGCGAGACTTACTCTCGCCTGAGAGAACTGCATCTGCATCCTCCGCTGATACGTTGCTCAGCCAGGGAATCGGTGTCAAGAGGGCGCCGCCCAACGACTCGTCGCTTCCCAGATTATGATCGCTCATCATGAACCCGCTACTTGTCCCGCCGTTCAAGAGCCCGTTCGGCTGCTCGGCTCTTGACTGTACTTGAAGGGGGAAGATGTCTGCACCGCTGGTGACGGAAACGACCCGGTCGACCGCTCGCAGGTAGGCAGGAAGGGTGCGATAATGGGCATTTGGTCGAAGGATGAGCTCTGCTAGTCTTTGGATGGTGTGCGGAGGTTTCAAGTCGAATACCGTCCGCAGGGTTATCTTAATATGGTCTAGCAGCGATACTAGTTGAGGGGCAAGAGAAGAGTCGTTGGAAGCAGCAACGAACGATTGAGGCTGTGAGTCGGGCACGCGTTCACTGGACGGCAAGAGGGTAGATGCCGGAGGGTTTGTCTGTCCCGGTGTTGCCTGCAAGTCTATCGGGGATGTGTTTTCCTTATTGCTGCTGTTTGGCGGGCCGGAAGGGTCTTGCGACTGCAGCGGAGCGATAGACGATGGCAGCAGTCGGTTCGAGGGCACTTCATACGGAATCCTTGGCCGAGGAAACACATTGTAGACAATCTACATCGTTTTTTTGATTCAGTGTAAGAACTCAGGGATTTCGATCCACACATAAGAGGGATTGACGCACATCTTCTAGCCGCTCAACCACAGGCTCAACCATGGCAGGCCATTTCTCACTGGAAACGTCGTTAGCGCACGCCTACACGCACCGCAGCAACCCGCAACATACTAGTCCATTGCGTTTCCTTGGGCTACCGCCTCTAGAATTGACTCATCTAGCATTGCCAGAGCTTTATCAGTTGGGTGGAACACCTCGTTGGGGAAGAAACCAGAGGACGTCTGCTCAACACGCGGGCACAAGAGCTCCAAAGCTCCCGACCAGGAACGTACCTAGAGACATGGCGCCGGCACCTTCGAACAACAGCGAGAACTCTCAACACGAATTGCTTGCTGGCTTCGACACGCGACTGCCCTCTCTTGTGATCGTCAGCGTCGGTTTGGCGCGCGGGGAGCAGCTACGGCTCTCCCGTTGGCGGCTGCTTCTGAGTGGTGGACGGCGGCTGTGATATTGCTGTCACGTGATGATACGGCGATCTCTTTTTTTGGCTTTTTTTATCGGGATTTTGGGGCTCCACCAAGAAAGAGGATTGGGGGAGGGGCAGCGAAAGAGTCATCAGTCTTCCCTCGCCTGTCTTCTCGCCGTCTCTCGCCGTCTCCCTGTGGATTTCCTTACAGCTTCTCTCCACTCTTCTCGATCCGCTTACTACACAGACGTATACGCTCGCACACGATGTGGAACTCGCGACGAGTGGGAATCCTCGGCGGCGGCCAGCTGGGTCGCATGCTGGTGGAGTCGGCGAATCGATTGAACATCCAGGTCAACATTTTGGATGCTGAGAATGCTCCGGCGAAGCAGATCAGTGCCCACGACGGCCATGTCGAGGGCTCGTTCAAGGAACCAGACGCGGTGCGGCAACTTGCGAAGACGTGTGACGTTGTCACGGCCGAGATCGAACATGTCGACACCTATGCCCTCGAGGAAATCGCGTCCGAGGTCCGGGTTGAGCCCAGCTGGCAAGCGATCCGAATCATTCAGAACAAGTTCAACCAGAAGGAGCATTTGTCCAAGTATGGGATCCCCATGGCGGAGCATCGCGAGTTGGTCAAGAACACTCCCGAAGAATTGGCTGCTGTCGCCGACCAGCTGGGATATCCCCTGATGCTGAAGTCCAAGACAATGGCGTACGATGGTCGGGGTAAGGGACATGCCTTGTTCTAGGTCTATTTTCTTTTTTTTTTCGCCCGGACTAACAGAGTGCGAAAGGAAATTATCGTGTGAACAGCAAGGAAGATATTCCTGCTGCGTTGGAGGCGCTGAAGGATCGACCTTTATACGCGGAGAAATGGGCATACTTCAAGATGGTAACCTCATCTTAGTGTCTTTGTGATAGGTTGCCGATTTTCTAACGTCCCCTGTCTATTTAGGAGCTGGCAGTTATGGTTGTTAAGACCAAGGACGACGTTCTCTCTTATCCTACCGTCGAGACCGTCCAGGAGGACTCAATCTGCAAATTGGTCTATGCCCCCGCCAGAAACGTCCCCGAGGCGATCAACCAAAAGGCCCAGGAACTGGCCCGCCAGGCCGTGGCGGCCTTTGACGGCAAGGGTGTTTTCGGTGTCGAGATGTTCCTTCTCGAAGACGACAGCCTGATTCTCTGCGAGATCGCCAGCAGAATCCATAACTCTGGCCATTACACCATCGAAGGCTGCCCGCTCTCCCAGTTCGATACCCATATCCGCGCCATCCTTGACCTCCCCATCCCTCCCAAAAGCCTCGAGCTCCGTCAGCCCTCTATCATGCTAAACATAATCGGCGGGGCCACCCCGGACTCGCACTTGAAGGCCGCTGAGCACGCTCTTTCGATCCCCAACGCGAGCATTCATCTCTACAGCAAAGGTGCGGCCAAGCCCGGCCGCAAAATGGGTCACATCACTGTGACCGCACCGACCATGCACGAGGCCGAAACGATGATTCAACCACTGATCGACGTCGTTGATGACATCCGCGCTCAGCGTACCGACATTAAGACCCAGCCGCAGAAATCGGGCCCCTCGAAGCCTGCCCCGACCGTCGGAGTCATCATGGGATCCGACAGCGATCTCAAAACCCTGGTCCCCGGGTTGAAGCTCCTGCGCGACTACTTTGGCATCGAACCCGAGGTGGACATCACCTCCGCCCACCGCACCCCTAACTACATGGCCGAATACGCCGCCAGCGCTGCGTCCCGCGGCATCAAGGTCATCATCGCCGCCGCCGGTGGTGCGGCGCATCTCCCCGGCATGGCCGCTGCGCACACTGCACTGCCCGTGATCGGTGTCCCCGTCAAGGGCAGTGCCTTGGACGGAGTGGACAGCCTGTACAGTATCGTTCAGATGCCTAGAGGTATGCTTTCTCACTTCAACCCGTTTCCTCTCACTAGACTAGGAAAAGCCCGATCTAATAACGTCTCTCTTCCTCTCTGCAGGTGTTCCCGTCGCTACGGTAGGAATCAACAACAGCGTCAACGCGGCCCTTCTTGCCGCCCGCATTCTGGGTGCTTTTGAACCCGCTATCCAGAGAAAGGTGGAAGCGTACGCTGAGAGCGCCCGCGTGGAGAACCTCAACCTCAAGGGGATCAAGATGCGGGAGCTTGGATGGGAAAAATACTTTGAGCAGATGTGAGAGTCACATTGTATCTTGGAAGTTTAGATTATCTAGAATTATATAAAAATTTTTAACGCCGATATGTTTTGACTTTATACTCAACACACACTTACAGGATTAATAGCTATAAACAATTACTATGTACTAGAAGAATTGATTTTAATCAAAACAAAAGTTATATATATCGATTGTTATTACCCAGTAAACAAGCACAACGGACGCATTATAAATAGTAATAACCTTTAATAATACAAATCATATAGAAGAAAAAAAAGGAAAAAAGGAAAAATCCAAATAGGTAGTCCCGATCATAAGACTTGGGAAACCATCGTACTGCAATCACCCATGGTATCGTGCTCGTGGAACTAGATATTCTGGGGATTGAAAGGCTGGGGGTTGAGAGAGCCAGTGACTGTGGCCGCCCCGTCGAGGCCGCCAACCTTTCCATGCACACCGTTCGCGCTGCCATTCTCAAAGGCATGTTCGACTTCGTCCGAGAATCCGCGAGAGGGATATCCACCATAACCGCCGGCGCCGCCATTGACCACCTGCTGACCGTAAGGGTGGGTAGCCACTCCGCCGTTGGAGACAACTCCGCCGTTGGAAACAAGTCCGCCGTTGGAAACAAGTCCGCCGTTGGGAACAGCAGACCCATTGGCAGGACGGTCTCGCAACCTGCCCTCGGCGGTGGCGTGCGGCTTGCGGGTGACGGCTGGCTGTTTCGGGATATCCTTCGAGGTCGACGCGCTGCCGATGCTGAAAATGGGGGAGGACCAGCGCTCGCCCTTCTTCGCGATCTCAGAGTACTCGGTGGCCTTGTTGGAGATGCCGCCGGGTAGCTTGATGTCGGGGAACATGGAGTCGGCGTGAGTGGCGGCGAACTGGATTTTGGTGTCGCGCTGGGCCACGGCTTCGGCCTTCTTCTTCCTCTCAGTCAACTTGGCGCGGGTTGCGTCGGCGTACCGCGAGTAGATGTTGGGCGCATTCTCGGGATCGTTGCGAGCAGCCTCGGCGGCGCGCTGGGATTCGGTATGGATCTCATACATGAAGGCATCTCCCTTGTTGAACGCTTCGCGGACCTGCTTCTCGAGCACCTTCTGCAAGATAGGGCGGACGATCTTGAAGAGCATCGGCTTGAACAAGGTGAATAGAATCTTATGCTTGGACTTGCGAAGCTTGATATCCATGTTCGAAATCTTCACATTCACCTTGTCGATCTTCATGAAATGCTGGCTATCGCTCTTCTGCGCCGAAGATGCGGCAATCTTGCAGCTGAAACCCTCACCACCGAGGAAGATATCCATCACACCAGTATCGGTCAAAGATGGGAACCCCTGTTTCTTCTTGATGTAGTAGCTAACATCTAGATACCGTGCTGTTAGCCTACCAACCCGGACTGGAGAAAAATCGATTCAACAAGGACAAATCTTACCTCTAAGATCAGCTTGAATACCAGACAACGAGATCATGATCTGGATAGCGTTATTAGCCACTCAACATAACTTGGATAGACTACCAAGCAAAACTTACCTTGTGGTCATTCTTGTTGCTGATCTTCTTCCGGCCCCAACGGAAGTAGTTGTCGCTTCCAAATTCCATGACGTTGGGCATCAGGTTGTCACTCTCAATAACAAGGTTTTCAACCACCTGCGAAAAAGATGATTAAACCATGAAACGCTTCAAAAGAAAAAAGGCTCAAAAAGGCACTTACCACATCAGCCATGGGGTCCGAAACCTCAATACGAGGGATCGGAACATAGCGAACATTTTCAAAAATGGCCGGCAGGATGACGTCCCTGATATCAACAAGGAGGTGCTTCTTAAAAGCGGGCTTTCCATCCGCATCTTTACCGAGATCAAGGAAGAGTCTCTGAACAGCATCCCCGAATGCCCTGTTCTGGGGATCCTGGTTGAACTGGTCCGCAAGGAATTTGATCTCATCCAGAATATGATCTGTATGGCCCCTGTAGCGTTCGCGCAGCAAGAAGCGACCATTGTCGTACAGCTGGTTCCATTCTGTGTTTGCTTCTTCCTTGAGGATGAACCCTTGCTCCTGGAGGCATTTCCTATATATTATCAGCACGAGGGGCAGTAATTCACATTGCTCTTCTTAATTTTCATACCTGATATAGGAATCGAGGTGTCTGAACCAAGACTTTAGCTCAGGGTCCTGGTCCGCATCTTTATAGATGTTGTTTAGTGAGTCGAAGAAGTCGTCCATGGATGTACCGTTTGCAAATCGCTCGATCAAAATCTAGAAAGGTGCTTTGTTAACATCGACCCAGGCTAGAAAAATGGGGGTTTGAGTCGCAAGAACGTACGCGAAGGTTTGTCTCTGCCTGCTGGACTGGGCCCCCAGCCCTCACGTCTTTCACCGCACCAGAACCTTGGCTTGCATAGTCCTTGGTGTGGCCAGCGTACTTCTCAGCAAGCTCGAGCAGGGTCTCAATAGCTTGTTGGTCTATCAAAGGCAAAGAATCCGAGTTAGCGTCAAAATGCGAGCAAGATTTATAGAAATTCAGAACATACAGTCGGCATGGCTCTGACACTCCAGCACCATCTTCTTCAAGCGCCAAATGACCTGGTCACGGCGCTCCTGGGGCATCTTCTGCGATAGGTAGTTCTTGGTTCGATCCGCAAGCTCGCGAGTGCGATTCTTCGTTTCCTCGGGCACATTTTCCGATGTCGTTTCTTTGAGGTTCTGATATCCCGCAACGGCTCCGCCGCGGAAATCAATGTCAGATGCCGAGGTAGGTTGCTGGCCTCCAGTCGAAGCTTGGGCAGCTTTGTTCGCAGCTGCCTGCAATTCCTCGCGACTCTGAATGCATATTAGATCAATGGTTCTACTAGACCACGATGTTGGAAGGCTTATCATACCGCCGGCTTATTCTCATTTGCGCGGTTTTTGAATCGAGCCTTCAACTCATCTTTGGAAAGATTTGGCTTCTCGTGCCAAACATTTTCCTCTGCTGGCTGATCGACCTGCGCAAGTTGCTCCTCTGATGGACGGACTCTATCGGCAGCCTTCTGCGAGGCGTCACCGGCAATGTCGCGGATCAAGATGGTGGCATCACTGACTATGATCGCCAGAAATGTTAGATTGAGGAATGAAAAAAAAAAAGTACAGGAACTTAGTTTATGGGCCACTCACGCAGCTTCCGGAATTCGCCATTCGTAATCAGAAGGTTACCGAGAGTCTTGAGGCCTTCCATGGCACGGGTGCCATCCTGTTGAGCAGATTCCTTTTCAATGGGCACATTTGGCCTCTCGGCATCCCCAGAGGTTATACTTTGAGTGCTGTAGATAAAGTCCTGGAGTATTTCGTCATGGTTCTTGCTGAGCATGAGCTTCTTTGCCTGTTCAATGACATCCCGAAGATCTTTGACTAAATGCTGGCCTTCTTCCGAGAGATCCTTCGAAGGCGAGGAAAGAGCTCTGGAATTCAAGGCACTGTTCAAAGCGACATCACATTGCTTGTTCTGTACGGGCGCCGTTAGAGCCATCATCCTCAAGCCATCTTCATTGATAAGGCTAGCCGGGGCCCAGGGCTCAAACCTACCGATGGAAGCTTGCCATTTTTAAAACCTATCAAATTAGCAAGTGATTCATTGAGAGGAACAGTTAGGTAGTACTAACCTTGATAGATTCCATACAGCTGCAGCTTTTGATTGATATCCTACAGTCCCCAGGCTGATCAGCAACAGAAACCGTGAGGGGGGGAGAGAAAGAACTGTCAAGCCATTGCTGGGTAGAGGATTCAGCAGGCATACCTTCTCCTTCTGCTTGGAGTCCGTTGGACGGTTGACGGCCTTGGACGACATGATGGAGTCGTTGGATTGGAAATTATGTCAAACAATCGATGTCCGATCAAGACTCTGTTCTCTTGAGAGCTTTGCCGGCCAAGAGACAATGTGGACACTCAATGCGGGGGAAAGGAGATCACCAATATAATAAATAAGAATTAATTTTGTCAGGTGGTCACGACAGTAAGGGGGTATCTCAGGAATGCAATGCAGGGGCAGGTAAGCTGTCCTGTCTTCTCAACGTGTGTCGGAACGTTCTGAGAAGGGGTTACAACAAGGTATGAATATCAAAGTAAATAATGGTCTTGTTGAAACTGCTTTACCTTTTTGTCTTCCTGAAAATGATGAAGAAACAGGGAAGAAGAGACTGGGCAAGCAGCAGCTGTTGTCTTCCATCCGCAGGCGGTTGACGTCACGATGTCGTGCCAGCAAGGAACAACGGCATAACAACACAGCACCACGATTAAGGTATCATTCCGAATCCAGTTTCTGGGAAAGTGTGGTTCCTTGAGTGTAAGGGCTGTTCGCAGGATGGCCATTACCCGAACAGCCAACCTAGTAGGTTCGAGAGGAGCGATCTATGAGCTCATCAGAGCCAAGAATCCCGCTGATTGAATGGCTGGGAAAGCTTAGTCCTCTCAGGCCCGGTGGCTTTTCCGACTCATTGTGTAACTCGCGGGCCTTTTTTTTTTCGACACTGAGACACCCAAGAGGGTTGTTACTCGTGTGGCGCGTGTCCAAGTTTTCCCGCAGTAGTTGATCGCTGGCGGTGTTCCCTTGGCATTGCCTGTTCTGGCCCGGGATCTTCAAGACTGGAGATCAACCCGATCAACCACATCAGGTTGACGTCAAGACGTCGATTGTGATGGCGATCATAAACTACTCCGGGGTCCAGACATGCGCACACCATGTTCGCTTTGGCCCACAATTCGGATATCCCCATGTTGCTTTTTTCTTCTGTCGTTTGAGTTGAGTAGAGTCCTACACGTGCGGGCGCTCAAGTCGTGTACTTGTACTCTGTTCCAAGCATGAAGTCTGGAGAATGCACCCGGGTTGATCCATTCTCCCATTTCATCCAATATACACACATTTTTTACACATTATGCCGTGGCATTCTGTCAAGGCATCACTGCAAATCGGTTCGATTGTTTTTTCAAAGACAAAAAAAGCACCAAAAATTATGTGGACACCAATGTCTATTCGAATAAGCTCCTCGGTCGGGTACCGTGCCTGAGATCAAAGCGCTATTTCGCGGTCAGGAAGGCAGGTACCATGATGTTCCAGGTATTAGGTTATGGCTTTGCGTCTGTCTCAGCCTCTCTCTGATGGGCACAGACAACGCCTCAAATTCAGTCAAGGGCTCGTGGATGTCCCATTTTCTAATGCCATATTCAAGGAGGTCTCGGATGTAATCCAGACATCGAATTGAGCGACCAACACAATCGATACGGTCTTCGGGGGCGAGGTAAGGAGGGGCTGGGGCACCTGAAGGTACCGGGGGAGGGACTGGTACCGACCGGCTTAGAAGCAAGTTGAAAGCCTGGTCTAGGCTCTGGACGAATAGCCGTCCGACTTGATGTGCTCGCTGGATATCAGTGTAGGAGAGGAACGGGAAGCTCCGCGGGTTCTCCAAGGCCTGGTGGAGTTGACTGATGTAGTCAATGCAATGCGCGAAAAGTAAGACCCTATTGTAGTCACAAATTGTTGGGTATCCGTGACTCGGCGAGAGTATGATGATGGTGGTGTATAGGGATTCTAGCCGATACAATAGAGAGAAATGGTGGGAAGCACTGCTCAGACAGGAATCCAACCATTCCCGAACCATGGCGCACCAAGACCAAGTCGAAGACAGGGGCTGCGGCAGCGGTTCGCGGCCACTGTATTGCATTGTGTAGTATGCAGCTGAAAGAATTCGGCGGATCTTGATAATGTGGGATGCAGGCGCAAGGTTATGCAGCAATAAAATGCTCTGCTCTTCTATGGGCCGGTTCGATGGCGCGTAATCATTAGGCAAAGCGACACTGACAGAGTCATCTGAGAAGGAAAAGGCTCTCCCCAAAGCGACACTTATGGCCCTGCATAAAATCAAGTGAGCATCCTGCGTAAATGAGGCAATCAAAATTCAAAAGGTAGAAGACGGGGTCCCAACCTTTCCAGGCAGTAGATAGAGTGAAATACACGACGACGGATGCTGAGACGATGAGAGTCTGTTTCAACCTCTGCTGGCGGATCTTGATGGAGACCCAAATCGACCATTACTCTGACAGTCATTCCGATGAGGTACCACGAGCGAAAGTGCTTCGGGTCAACCACCGCATATTGCACAAGCAACAGGAGCGCTTGAATCCCAGCCACGGACCCAGGCCGAAGAACATCTTCTGCATATTGCAGGGCCGCTGATACAAGTGAAAGCGCTCTGCGATGGTCCTCATCATCGTATTGGTGCGAGAGGGAGGCAGAAGAAATGGCCAGGACTAGGTATAGAAACCAGTGATCGAGAGGCTTGGCAAATCGGCCTCCAGACTGATACACACTGTCGACAGACGTCCAGAATTTCGTTTCGATGAAGAAGGGCATACAGACAAAGATGTGATCGAAATAGTATTGGAGCAGACGCAACGCTTCATGGCGCGGGGGAAGAGTATGCGGCGAGGGTTTGGGAAGCGGAACAGCAACCGAAAACGTGAGAAGCAGATTTGCAAACGAGGTGCTGGATTCGATTCCATGGAAGTCTCGTGAAGTCGCATTGACCGATCTAAGGATATGAGGTCCGTCAGTCAACCGTTTCGACCACGACACGCGCAGACGAAGATCTTGACGAACAGGAAACCAAAGTCCCCGACCAGATCATCAATGTCGGAGACTTCTTTCTGGTGGGCTTTGGCAACGGAACCCGCTGATGAGATCGAGGTGATGGAGCTCTCTCGGATCGCGCCCGTTCTTTGCTGGCAGCGTATCTGGGCGATCTGCTTCTGCAACCTTTCACAGTAGCCCTCCAAGGACGCGACGTAGCTCCTCTCCTTCCCTTTGGCGAACTCATCGGTAGCCCCCGAGCACGTCCTTGCCTTTCCGACCTTTTCGCATGCTGAACAGGCCGGCAGCTTCCCGTCGCATTTGATCTTCGCTGTCCGGCATCTTGAGCAAGCCGCTACTGGTCGGCTGACCTTGAGCAGCGGATTATCCAGAAATGAGGCGGTAGCGGACATCCTAGTCTCTCTCTCTCACATTATCTACCAAGGCAGGTCAGCTTTGCCAGCATCTGTAACGCCTCAAAGACCGAACAAGTCCTCGGCATTCTTGTCTCTTTGTCTTCTTGCCTTCCTGCATTCTTGCCCGAGTCCGCCAAGAAGTCTGACTCGCGAAGGGGGTTCAGATGCACCCCACTAGGCAAAGTATCCCTCATACTAGTTTCCTAGGAATCCAAGCGGTCTTACGTACTTTTCTTCAAGTAAAAAAATATATATATCCAGTCGTGTCCTTCCTTGAGCCGGTGAGCATGTAGGGAGTGGGGGTCAAGACCTGTCGACGGTTCGATCTTTGAGATAAAGGAACCATGGCAATAGTTAGCCACCAAAGTTTCCGTAGTTGATAATAATGAATAATGAACAGCCACAAAGAACTCCTACAGCAAAACAGTCGCACAGCCAGCCAGGGTACGCGAAGCCCAGCGTCGGCCGAAAGGCGGGGAAACGAAACTCGCCTGCCAGTACGGACGGGACGGAGTAAGGTATGGAGTACGAACTAACTAACCAGCTATCGGTAGTTATGTAGTATGTATCCGTGGGACTCCGTAGGACTCAAGAGATCCCTGGAGAAGAATTGGCTGGCGGTTGGCTGACTCGATCACAAATCGCATTCCTATGCGTGTCAGTTATTCAATCGCCGTCTGCCAGCCTTGGACTGTAGGGGCCCTAGGGAGCACTCCACACATACCGATAGATAAGCAATAATAATTCAGGGGAGGTCCACAAAAGGACTGGAAAGGCCTCCTCCCTGACGAAATAATAGAATATTTGAGCTCGATTCTCCAGCAGGGAGAGAAACACACGGAACGTTGGCTGATCCAGGCCAGAGCCAGAACTGTCCGAAGAATTGTAAGAAAAAAGAAAGAGGCGTAGTTAATAGAATTACGCCGGTGATCGTTTCGCGACACAGTCCCGTCCAATTTTATTTTAATCACCCACAGACATCATACTACAACTCGATACCCCACGCTCGAATCGCCCTCCCTCACGATCGCTTGCTGACTCGGGAGCAGCAAGTGGTGAGTAGTGGTGAGTCTACCAGGCTGACAGACCCTAGGGAGTTGTCGGAAGATCCTGTACGACGTACATACAGCCCCTCCCCCTCTACAGTGAGTATCTACCAACTACTCCGTGACTATTTCCGAACCCTCGTTTCTAACCGTCCATTCCTCTCCAGTGGTGGGCCGTGCAGATCCCATCCTTTTTCTCCACCCGGGTCTCTCTTCCTCGCTCTGCTCAAAGCGCGACACGCTCGCTCCCTGCCGCCAGGGCCACCAAACAGCAGCCTCTTTGTGCATGGCGCCGACCGTTCACACGCGTGGTCTAGACCATCGGCGATAAATTTCGAGCGTCTTCCCTTCCCTGCCGTCGAGGACCCCGAGTTGCTCTGCTCTCTTTCGGCCGATCGATCACATGAGGTGGGGTGTGAATAATTGGATAACTGTTTGAAGGAGCAGAAGGATCATGTCGACCGATTGTATGATCAACCTATCAATGCATGCCTCTGCGATCCTTGACTGTGAGAAGATCTGGCCTGTGTGAATTGGGCGAGAGGTTATTTCCTGTCGACCAGCGCTTGAGGCCGTGATGGCAGCAGAATCTCTTCGGCGGTCCTCTGTTGTTGGCGATCCGCTGGAATCGTTGCAAGACGTTCCGGATGGTAGGATCGCTCACACGTTGACTGCCTGTACACGATGCAGACAGGTATGATTTTACTATCTTTTCTTTTTTTTTCTTAAAAAAAAAATAATAAATCAATGAATAAAATAAGAGGTCCCGTCGGGCAGCCTTACTGACTCGTTTCAACGCTCCACAGCGCAAATCGAGATGTGATCCTGGAATCCCCCGCTGTGCACCCTGCGAACGAAGCAACGCCAAATGCGTCTACTATGATTCTACTCGGAACTGCACAGTCTCCCGAACATATATTGTTTCCCTTCGAGAAAAGGCCCGCCGGTTGGAGAAAGAGCTGGAAGAGGCAGAGAAGGGAATCCAGCATGCTGCCGACGCAGAGCTCATGGTTCGTGGTGCGGGCCGGATCCGCTTCAGTGTGAATGATGAGCCTCGCTATCTTGGTCCGTCGAGCGGCATTGCCATGACACGGTTGGTCATGGAGATGGCCAAATTGAATACCGACTCCAAAAGTATCAAAGAGGTGGTTCCCGAGTCTACGGCATATGAAATCAAAGAAGCCTTCGAGCAGGAGAGCTCCAAGCCTACGTCCAAGGTCTACCCGATGATCAGCTCAATCCCACAGTCGACGCTTCCGCCGCGGAATCTAACGAACCGTCTCATCGATATATTTGTGGTTAAAGGTACGAACTGATTTCGCTCAACTCTACCCACTGGGTGTTCGGCTTCTCGTTGACTGATATGCTTGCGATGCAGCCCAGGCAATGCTCCCAACTCTCCACGAGCCGTCGTTCCGAGGGGATGTGGAGGAGGTGTTTAACGGCTCTGAAGATCCGTGTCAGAATTTCCAACTTCGCATGGTCATCGCCATCAGCATGCAGAAACTGAGCAGCGAATATGCGGGGCTGGCAGATAGCTACTATCTCGCTGCCCTGCCCTATTTAGAGGCTTCCCTCCGACGGAAGGACCTGAGGGCTTTGCAATGCCTAGTCCTTATCGCGCAATACTCGATGCTGACCCCGACAAGAACCGCCGCCTACTGGGTTGTGGGGACTGCTATCAAATTGTGTCAGGACCTGCAGTTGACTGAGGAATCCACCATTACTAAATCACTCACTGGTGAGACATTAAATCCCTTGGAGATTGATATGCGAAGGAGACTCTTTTGGATCGTGACCGGCATGGAGTTTGGACTTTCACATAGTCTCGGTCGACCTTGTTCTCTATCTGTCAGCTGTGACCATATGGACGTGGGCTACTTCGAACTGGTCGATGATAAGTTCATTACCGCAGACGGAGTTGTTCCGGGTAGCAAACCAATTTTGGGCAAATGTATCGCTATACATTTTCTCAAGATGCGCTTGCTGCAAGCAGAGATCAGGCGGATGCTTTATCTGAATAAGCGTGAAACCCCGGTGGATGATCAAGATCCTTGGTTTGCTCAAATGCTAGCCAAACTAGATCACTGGGTTGCCTCTTGCCCCAAGAATGATGGAGGAAGTGGCTTGAGTGAGCAGTGGTAAGACAACCCCCGACTCGTCTCATTCGCGTCTCTCTACTTATTGCAGGAGTTTTTGACCGATACGTCTTCTAGGTTCTATGGTAGGAAAAACACAATGATCGTTCTTCTCTATCGGCCTTCTCCACAAGTGCCCCAGCCCTCGGTCCATGCGGCAGAGAAATGCTACGAAGCGTCTGTGTACAATGTTGCAATGCAACGAGAGCAAATCAGGGCTGGTTCGGTTGACATCAGCTGGATCTTCACCCAGACCATGTTCATGGCCTTGAATACGATATTGTGGTCTCTTTCATACCCTGAGATTCGAAAAGAACACCCCCTTGATGAAGTGCAGGATTATCTCAATGTAGCAGTTGAGGTGATCGCATATACAGCTGACAGGTGGCCTGGAGTTGAATCCGCTGTGCGCCTCTATACAAATCTCATCGCCGCCTGCCTTCGGGCCTACGGTAGCGATGAATCCTACGTTGTCCATTCACCCTCAAATTATCCCACCCCGTCCTCTTCTCAAGATTTGACGACCCCGCCAGCCATGTCGAGCCCTTCGAGTACCACCACGACATCATTCTTCTCACAGAACCATCATACCGGGAATCTGCCGGTTCATGAAAGCAATGACATTAAACCAGTAAACCCTCCTACCGGATCGGCCCTTTTCTTCCAACAACCCTTGATACCCGGGTCTGTCTCCAGCAAACCCTCGGAGCCCAAACATTATCCATCATGGGATTCGCAATGTTCCTCCCAAGCACATCCACCTCCCTCACTCCCCTCCCATACCACCCAGCCGTACAGCGCAGGTGTTGTCAGCTTTCAAGATGAGTTGATCGACCCGAACACACCCTATAATGCATTCCCTTCCGTTGTGCCTGGTTTGCAGGGCTGGGATCCCAATTTTTCTCTTGCTTCCACAACATCAAGCCACCTTGCCTATGTCGACGCTATGGTCGATCCGATGGGATGGATGGGCTCAATTGGGGACCAGTACTCACAGTACTTCCATGAGCCTTATCCTGTGCCTTCGTGGCGTGGCCGGACACTCAGCCAACAGGAACAGATCGAGCTGATGGCATCGCTGGAGGACAACCTCCCTGATGTCTCCTCTCAGCTGGTGAGGGAGTCGGCTACTTTCTACCAAAGATGATAGCAACCCTTTTTAATATACCTTCATATTAGCTTAATGAACGAATGCCATCGTTTTTTTTTCCCTTCAGGAATACGTCCGTTGCACATCTTGTACTATGAGATTCGTTACATTCAGCATAGATACCATTCCATAAAGACAGGCTAATTGTTTTTCCACAACGGAGACTGGGGGGGGGGGGTTCGCTTACTAAATTCATAACGTTCCATAATCTCCAGTTTTTTAAAACAACTCTCGATCACTAGCTTCTGGAAGCTATGTCTTTTGAAGTCTCTTCAAAGGAGAACAAAGAACATGGCAAAGGACAAGGAGAGATCATAAGAGCGTCCGGTACGGAGTACTGAATACAGTACCAATTCAAACACGCCTGATACACGAGATCTTGCGCACTTTTTCCTGTAACGCGCCTGTAATACCTTACCATAACCAGTCAAACCGGTAATTTGATTATGTAATGATCGGTACCTAAAGAGGGACGCCTCGAGCGCGCAGATCACGTGCAGCTCGTCTTTTGCCGTCATCCGGCATCTCAGAACGTCAGTTCTTCAGGGTAAAGGATCAAAGGGCATCGCTCTTCACCACGGCCGTCCATCCCCCAACGCTGCCCCCTTGAGTCGAACGTTATCGAGACGAGTGCTCTCTGTCTGGACAGCGACCGCTCATTGGTATGCATGACCACTAGAAGGCTCGCGGAACCTCCTCCTCGCCCCGTTTGAGCGAAGCCTTCGCCCGGCGTCCTCCTTCCCCCCTCCCCCCCCCAAGCCTCCCAGCCCTTGGTGAGAGCAATCGCGATCCGGCCTTTGTGCTATCGCCGCGGTGTTTGGCCTGCCTCCCAGGCTCTAGACGCTGCCGACGACTGTCTCGTCTGACGTTCTCTCTGGCTCTCCGCCCATGTCTAATTCCGTCGCCTCGACATCCTACCGAGTCGGACCTCCTTCGCCCCCATCGCCCCCCGCCGGGTCGCTCAAAGAGCAGCACTCCCATCCTCCTCCTTTCCCACTTCTTGCCATCGAAGAGATCCCCCAGACTCCGACATCCCCTCCGTTGATGTCGGTCAGCGCTGAAAACTATGCCTCCAACATCACATCTTCCCAAACATCTCCCAGCCAGACGACGGCACAACCTACAAACTTCTCCTCTCCTCCATCGTCAGCCCCGATGTCGACCCAGACTTCACAACAGCCGACAATGATGACTGTGACAAATTCTTTCCCCACCCCTGCCAGCAGCGTGAGCGGTCACGGCATGGGTGCGACCGCGGCCGATGATCTCGATCACTCGGAAAACTCTTTTCCTTCTTCAGACCCTCAAAGCTTGAGGTCGGCAGCGCCAACAATACACGAACACAGACGGACCGACCACGATCGACACTGGACGGATGCGCAGCAGGCCGCAGTCGGTGTCCGTGATTTCGCGAATTCTGGCGGTCGGGAAGACCTGCCGAAGGATGGGGACGCCATGGATGTTGATAAGGATACTACTAATCCAAATGATTCAGATCTTGCCTCGTTACAAAAGGACTTCACATCAGCTTTCCATCTGTGCAAAAGCTGTAAGGCCACCCTCAAAAAAAAAATAAAAGGCACATCAACGCATATTTTGCGTTTGTTGTTGCAGCTGCCGAGTTGAATTGATTGTGTTAACACTATGCCTTTAACCAAATGACAGCTTATACCGCTACCGGCCCGAATCCATCATTAGATCTCATCTCGCTCTACGGGCTCGGCCCCGTGGCCAACTCGGTTGCCAGAATCGATGCAGTCACCGGAGAGAAGATCAATCGGCTCCGTAAGTCTTACGAAGGCAAGCTAAAGGGTCTGGGACTCGCGGGACGGAACAAGCCGGTCAAACTCGAATCGGGAGCTTCGGGTGGACTTCGACAACTTATGATGTGGCCTGAGGAGGAATGGCAAAACCAGCAGGTTTATGGGAAGCAGATCAAAGTCGCGGACATGGACACGGCGTTATACAACTTGCAGATGAAGGCCATGAAAATGGAGCCGGGCCCCGTACCGAATAGTGATTACTGGGAGGATATATTGGGTCACGAGAAGCCATCAAAGCAGACCGGCACCCCTGCAGTCGCTACTGTCACCTCGGCCGCAGATGGCAAGAAACCCACCGGGTCAATTGGCACACCTCGACCTAATATTGCGGCGAACGGCACCCCCCATCCTGCGGAACTGGAGCGCAGCCGGCCGAGTCGCGGACGCAAGAGGCATTATGATGACAATAGCTTTGCAGGTTATGGCGAAGGCTACGCTGATGACGATGACGACGGTGCTTTTTACTCTAACGGGGAGGGAATAGGCAAGAAGAAGCGGAAGAAGGTATGGCGACCTTTTTTTTTTTTTTCTTACTCTTGTTCTTCTTATCTCGCACTTTGGCTGTTCCTGACATTCTTATTCCACAAAGGATCATGTTTCAAAAGTGTCCACTCCCATCCCTGAACGAGGAGGCAGCTACGGAGTCGGCATGTTCGGCATCGGAGCTCGATAACGAAATAATTTTTCTCTTAAATACAGAACGACTTTCATGGGAAAGGGAGAGGAAAGAGATCCAGAAAGAGAGAGAGAGAGAGGGAGAGAGAGGCGGGAAAAAAAAGGGCCTTTCTTTCTCATCTGCATGTCTCAGGGATTGGGAATGGCCACCGAGACTCCCGCCCGTCTCGATATTTCTTCGCCTTGTTTCATCGTACATTTTCCAGTTTCTCTTTTTTCTTTTCCCTTTCCTTTTTGCATTACGGTGCTGGATATACCCGGCTTCTATTTGATTTGGACGGCGTTTCGGAGGGAAAGCAACAAACTCATCATGGATTGATCTCGCAGAGACCGGCTTTTCTTTTCTTCCATTTCTTTCTTTTCTTCCCACCCCCACGCTGTAATGTTTTCCAGTCTTCCCCTTGTCTTCTTGGTTTGTGTTTTACTCGTTGTCTTCACCTGTCGCTGGCGGACGTGTTTACCTTCTCATCCATAAAACAGGTGGTCTTGTGTTTTACGAATCATCCATGAAGTGAATAGACAGTTATTGAGTCTTCTTTAGTAGTTGGTAGTTACGGACTCGGTTGAAGTAAGGTTATCAGAGCCGACATCGGCCAATCCTGTCATTGATAATTAATTCACCCCGCGATACTGGATAGTACAGAGTATTAATAAGGACTGGACCACATTTCACTCTGTATCTACAATTTACTCATATCATACTTGTACTGTATACTGTCTGCATACTGTCTGTATACTGAGGACTGGATACTGGATATTAACAATGTCGTTTGAAAAAACCCTCTCCCTAATCGACAACGCCCATAAGCAAGACCCAACAATCACGACCCTCCCATCAGGCGAACAGATTCCTTACGAACTCCACTACGCCAACAAGATGACCAGCTATCTATACAAACATACGCAGTCCCCCTCTGAACGGCTACAGCTCGCCGTACGGGCACAGCATCTCCGCCGGTGGGAGGTTCCCCGCTCGACATACCCGGCCGGGAAGATAGGGTATTACTCGTGGCGCACGTTTTTGGCGAAACGCCAGGCAGAGATGGTGGTCGCGATGTGTCGGGAGGGCGGATACACCGACGAAGAAGCCGGGGAGGTGGGCGCTCTAGTGCGTAAGGAAGGGTTGAAGAAGAGAGCCACGACTGCGACTGATGCGGATCAAAGCCTGGGTGATGAAACGCAGGTTCTCGAGGATGTAGCCTGTTTGGTGTTTCTGGATGATCAGTTCGAAGGGTTCGAGAAAGGGTACGAGGAGGAAAAGGTCATTTCGATCCTGCAGAAGACTTGGGCCAAGATGTCGCAGAGGGGTCATGAATTGGCGTTGCAGATTGACATGTCGGATAGAGCGAAGGGGTTGGTTGAGAGGGCATTACAAGGATAATAGTACAGATTACAGTTTACAAGTTTATAGAAATATCGTAAGGTTTGTTGTCGTAACTCATTATCATTATTATTATATGTACTATGTCCGATCAATCAGCTGGACCAGACCTATTGCTGCCCCCGCCGCGATACCACCAACCAGACACATCTGTAGACCGCCGTTGATGCCGGCAACAACATTGCCGGAGCCCCTCCAGCCGCGCACGATGCAGGTCTTGGTGTATCCGAAGGCGAAGAGGGTGACGCCCATGACGCCGATGCTCCAGTACAGCGCGACGATGACCTGGTGGGCGATGAAGTAGGGGATCAGCGGGATGAAGCCGCCGACGAAGTAGCCCAGAGCGAGCGTGATGGCCGACATCCACGCCTGGTTACAGTCTGGCTCGGTCTCCTTGTGGTGGAAGGCGACCAGGAAATCCCGCAGCTGGCTGGGTGATGAGTGGAGGGAGTTGTTGATGTCCGAGATGACCTCTTCCGTGAGCCCGTAGGCGGAGAACGTGTCATGGACGATGGATGCAGTTTCGGCCGGGGAGTTTCGGATCATCTCTTGAGTCTCTCGGACGGTAGCTTCATACGATTCACTGTGAACAGTCAGCAAGATCAAGCAAACAAAGAAAAATATAAGGGGAAGATATAATAGGAAAACGTACGCTTCACTTTTGGCCCCGACGTAACCGCCTAGGCCCATGGAAATTGCACCGGCAGCAAGTTCGGCAAGACCACCCAAGACAACTACTTTGGTGTCTCCAAGCGCCGACAGACCGGCACTGAGGGCAAAGGGGACCGTCAGACCATCAGACAGGCCGAGAATGGCATCCGAGACGATGCGCGGGTTGATGCGAGACCGCGAGCTGCTGGTGCTAGAGGCGTCTTCTTCTTGGTCGTCGTCATTATATTGGGGTCTGTTGCCGAATGTGTCGTATGATCTGGTCCCCTGAGCTTCCAGGTCCTCTGACACGGTATCTGATGAATCGTCGTAGCGGGACAGTAACCGTTTGCCTATAGCTATCAGTTAGCTTGCTTTGCTTCTATACATAAAGATAGTGTCCATACCCGATAGTTTCTGCTGGTCCTCGCGAGGAAAGAATTTTTGCTTCAAGAACAAGAGAGCCATGTTTTGATAATTCTCAAAAAAAAATAGCTATATTTAAGAAAATAGGTGGTTGTGGCGGCTGACGTCAGTTGTCAGAAGTAACTAGATATAGTAGATAAATATAACCCGTAATTATAGGCAGGTCAAAATGGAATAGATCAATCTGGAAGATCTCCGATCAGTAGACAACTATGAAGCCTTCTCTCGAGCTCCATGACGCACCCCTTCACCCTTTATATTTGGCTTTCGACCAGCTTCTGTAAGCAGAGGAGAAAAAAAAAAACAAAGCATTCCACATCCAGAAAGACCGAGACTTGCTCAGCAAGGCAGCCAATCAGCGAGATGCTAATTGTCAGCGCCGGGGATCGTTTCCAAGACGAGACCCTCATGGACTGTCCCAAGGGTCGTCCAGCCCGTGCTGGCGAGGGAATCATCTGCTTGGTGATTGGATCATCATATTCGGTCTTACCATTGCAAACATCCTGACTGGATGGGATGGAAGTCCATGCCTTTTCCCCTATGTACGCCATGCGGGTCTCGCGCGCTTGCGTTGCCATTGCCAAGCAGTCGCTGTCTTCGGAGAACGGTGCAGTTTTCGGACTGGATGCTCTCCGTCTCGTTCGGACATAGCAAAACACGTTGTTCTGGTGTGTTCTGGATGGGATGCGGCGGAGTTAGTGAAAATCCCGAGAGGCAAAAGGTCGGGGGTCGTCGCGGGGTTATAAGACGTTCGACTTAGCGTCGGTAAATTGAGGCGATTATTAATCGTGGTATTGTTTGGAGAGACGTATTATGTGCTATATAGGTAGGTATATATCATCTGACTATATCATATTGCAATTTGCCACTAATTATTGTCAACAGATGCTATGCCATATAGTAGATCACACCACTGTTTTGATAGCAACTGATCTATAGCTGCCAATGCTTGATCCCTCCAATAACGTGGTTGGTCTCTATTTCAAAATTGATATTCAATAAACTGCATATTAACTACATAAACCCGTGGCATATATCAGTAGGCAAAACGCTTATTTCCATGATATATTACATGAATGGTCAATCAATAGCAACAGTCGATGCTGGAGATTGCCAAAGAATGGAAACCAAGTATACACGAATGCATCAACTAGCCATTTACAGAGCAATGGCAAGTCCAAGGATACCAGCGGCACCGGCAAGGCCGAGAGCAACGGCACCGGTGGCAGCAGGAGCACCGCCAGTAGAGGTGGCACCCGCGGATGCAGAGCTGCCGCTGCTGCCGCTGCTGCTACCGCTAGCGGTGCTACCAGAGGTAGTACCACTGGCAGTGCCGGTGGCAGTAGCCGTCGCGGCAGTGTTCGAAGCGGCACTGGTAGATGCAGCACCAGCAGTACCAGTCAACTCGGCCTCAATCTCCTCGTACATGCTGGTCAGATAGCTCTTCACATCGGCCGGAAGGCTCTGGTACCAGCCAGGTACGGATCCATCGGCGACCTCGCTCGCCAAAGCCGCAATACCGGAGGAGTTGTCAAGCTCTGCAATCACGGAGGCGGGAATGGCGGTCTCCAGGACATCGAGGATGGAGGAGGGGGGAACAGGGATGCTAATGTCAGCGGCTTCAGTGGCAGCGGCACTAGAAAGATCAGTTCTCGATTCTTGGTCCCACACACACATCCCCTCCCTTCTCAAAAAAGACACATCTCTATACATACCCACTAGCATCGGTGGTGTCCCTCTTCTGAAGTTCAGGCGCAGCCAGCGCAGAGGCGGCCGAGAGGAGAAGAAGCGACAGAGTCTTGTAGTTCATTGTGACGATAGAGACCGTGAGAGTATTGGTGATTATATAAAGAAGGGGTGATTATTATTAAAGCGTGATAAAAGGTTGAATGGGATAAAAACAGCGAAGAAGGGAGAAGAAGGGAACAATATAAGACGAGGAAAAAGGGTGAGAGGCAAGGCCAAAGTCAAGGTATGCCCGGTGTTACCCCAGCCTGTCCGGCGCCCAGGAGGGGAAAGTCACTCATGCCACCTCCATCCAGCGACGATTGACCTAGGCAGTTAGGAGTAAGTGATGCGTCGGGAAAGCGAAAGGGGCAGAATACAGTTTTAGCCAGGCCGGATGATTGGTAAGATGCCTACAATCTGTATTTTCAGGATGAGGGGGCGGTAATATACTAATCTACTAATATAGCTACTAACTACCTCTTATCGGCTTCAGCCCTCTGATTTTTCGATCCTTCATCCCGCTGACATCAATAGAGTTCCCTCCAACAGCCCTATCACATGGAGTAGGACTGCCAGAGAGGAATAGATCTCGCTCTTGTACACCTCCTTCATCAAGACCCCCAGGAATTAATACAGAGACTATAGGTGAACCTTGTATGCCTGGCAATACGAGCTCCGGGGTTCATCAATGGGTCAATCATAGTGGGGTTCAGGGTCTCAGCCTCCAGGGCTTCTCTTGTAATCTACCTGGGTTAATGAGATTGGTTCGTTAGTAGCCAACAGTAACCACCAGTAACTAGTTAGTTGGTACTTGTCTTACTTGGGTAAGTAATTTGCATCTGGAACCTTGCTATAAACTTAGTACTCCTTGCGGAGTCTTTCGATACAGAGTCTCACTCAGGTTGTCCAGACTCTAGAGTAATACCTTTACTTCTTCCGCATAGAAAAGCAAAATAATAGGTTTAATATATCATATCTTCCACTCAGCCTCTCTAGGACTGCCCTAGAAGTGATCGTGAGGCACGCCACAGGAGAAAAAGTACGAACTAAACTATCCAAGACCCACTCTGTATAGACCATAAGGCGCGCGAATTAGAGAAGGGGGCTTGGCAGATATCTCGCCTGCCGCTGATTCGAATGTCTAGAATTCCTGTCAGCCTTTGAGGTGACTTGGTAATTCATACCTAGTAGGTACTAGAGTACGGAGTACGGAGTGGTAAATAGTTGGTATTTGGGGACCATATTACCTCGACATGATATTTTCACAAGTGTAAAGAAAATTAATTGTATAGTCAAAGATTGAACAGATATTCATCTAAGACACTATGGCCGAGTGGTCTAAGGCGGCAGATTAGAAATCTGTTCTCTTCGGAGGCGTAGGTTCGAGTCCTACTGGTGTCGTATCTTCTTTTTTGGCAATTTTCTTTGTTTTAGCATCGTGGGTCCCGTCGTGGGTAGGGAAGATATCTCTTTCTTAGGTAATCCAGTGTCCAGCACTGGGAGCCAATCAGATGCAAGATATCTCAGCAACTCGAGCATATAATTCATTTTAATGATAACTTGTCGCCTTCGGGCATTTGGTCAATTTGAAACGATACAGAGAAGATTAGCATGGCCCCTGCACTAAGGATGACACGCTCAATCAAAGAGAAGCTACCAGTTTTTTTTTAATTCCTTACCCTCCTCGATTTCAAGGTACGAGATACAGCCAACACATGCAAGAAGGAACTGTCACGCGTTCGAAACGGAGAGCTTTCCTTTTTTTTTTTTTTTCTTTCTCTCTTTTGCTGCTTTTTATTATATGAAGAGCTACTAGGTACGCTCTGCAACATGTACTATACAAATATACAGTCCTCCAACAAGAAATAATCAGAGACAGGCTTTCTATGCCCCTCCCTCACGCTTGGCGTACTCCTCTTCCATCCGCTCCTCGTACAGCCGGTCCGCCTCTTCCTTGCTCAGCGCCCGCTCGCTCTCCGCGTTCTCCAGCAAATCCGCATTCTGGCCCGCAGAGTACCCCGGTGCAGTCACTGTGCCGCCTGTGCCTGTGCCGAGACGGCGCTCGCTGCTGTTCAGGTCACCGATCGAGGCGACCGCGTCGACGGAGGCGTATCCTGCTGATCCGGTAGGGCGGGGTGCGCTGTTACGATCGTTACCGATGGAGTGAGGCATGTTCGTAGTCCAGGATTCGGGTGAGAAGATTGTTTTAGATAATTTCTTGCGTTTAAAAAAGCTGGTTGGGATTGTATAAATTTGGATCTCTTGTGAGGTGTAGCTGGACGAGGTGGGATATGTTGATTAAGTAGAGTCAGATCAGCTTCGCCACAGTGGCGATTACGTCACACGCTATACAGCTTAGCTACAATCTTCGATAGTGGCTGTGCTTCGATGTTGTTTCTAACAGAGAGCTCTGATACATACTTGTTCATGCAGTGTCGTTAGGAAGTATTTACTGGTTTAACAGATTTTTATCTTGGGGAGGCACGAAAATGGGAAGAAATGTACCTAAAACCCAGGCAGGTATGAAGTTCTTCCTCTCCGTTTTCAGCAAGATCATAATCTATCGCAGAGAGAATCCATGAGGTGTGCGTAGGTTCTGAGGGACGACAGAGAATGGCTGACATTCGCTGTATTCAACTGAGTACGAAATAGTTTCCTTTGCATATAACAGTTATTTGCGCAGCTTTATCATTCCGACCTGAGCTAAGCTCTGAGACGGACGGCATTCAAGGAAAAGAACCATGAGGCTTGAAGTAGGAGTATAATATTCAAGACATAACTATTAGCAAAGTGCAAAGTACTGCTCAAGTGTGTAGATGCAGCCTTGCTCTAGGTACTGTGACTAAACAGCTGCAAAGAAATGAAAGTTACAGAGTACTTAGCGCAACGTACTCATAGTTTGGACTAGCCTGAGATGAGCTACACGAACTATCACACCTTTGGTGTTAACACCTGTCCACTAAGTACAACACACCTAGGTACTTTACTACATATGCAACTTCCATAGATAGATTCCCTTCTCCAACCTCGAGCCACTGGCCCAAGTATTGATGAAAAGAAAGATATATCCAACAGTGAATCAACACAGTTGAAAAGTGCCAAAGAATACGCCTGTCAATGACCCGAAAGCCGTTGAACAAACTGTTCCGCCGCGCTGTGCAATGCAGGGACCAATCTGTGGTGGACCGCCTTCTTGAGCGCAGCCACCCAAACAAGGTAAGTATGAAGAAAGAAAAGAAAAAAGAGTCCGAAAGTTGGGCGGGAGAGGGAGATATTTATACTTACGGGTGGGGAAGCCATAATGGCGCTAGTGGGTAAGCGAGCCTTGGGGGATTGTTGGGCTTAGCCTGTTTAGGCTGATGGTTACATCCAATCATGCAAGGTACAGTGAAGTACAATACGGTAACTAACTATGTACTCCGTACCTACTAAGGTACCTAGATAGAAACCAGATTAGATACCTTACCTAGGTACCTAGGTAGTAACTATACCCTAATATACCTTATGTGCAGAATTTGCTAGGTACAGAGGAAGATACAATTATTATCATAGTCTGTAGTATATAGAGAGGCAAGTCCCAATGCTACCTTAGGCATCTAAGAAGATACCTAGCTGCAAAGGTGATATGGAACCAATCGATGCCTAGTAGAGAACAGGAATAGGAGGCGCATTTTCCTTACTCTCCTATGTCTTAGCTCTACCCTGTTCCCAATAGGTCGCTGCTTTGACCCCTTACGGATAGAGATGATTCAGGGTATATAATTATATCTACTCATTTACTGAGTAAGCCACGATGATTCCTGACTTAAAATAAGCCTTCCCGCGTTGACATATATTTGCTGAATACCGCTGATAATGAGCGGAAAGAAAATCCACACGTCGCATTCAAGGACTGTGGTATTATTGCATTACTACTCGGCACTAAGAGCAAGACAAGCATCAACAGCCAATCCGACCCTGACATGCTGTTAGACAGATCAAATAGAGAGCTAAGGACCCGCATTCACTTACCTTCCCTCTTTCATCTTCACCACGTCGTCAATGACGTCTCGATCAAGATTGGGAAACATGTTGGACAACGTTTCGACGACATCCTTGTGCTCTGCCCGCTGGATCCTTCGTGCTTCGGCCTCCTCGGCACTGGCCTGGCGCGCAGCCGCGTCTTGCGCGTCAAGCACTTTTGTAAGTTGTTTCTGCGCCGTGTTCCGCGGCTGCTGCTGTTCCGAGCGCGACTCCTCTCCGCTGTTGCGCGGAGGCTGGTACATATTGGGAGACAGACGCGGCGGCACCCCGGGCTGTGGAGTTGGGACCGGATGCGTGGCTCGGTCTGAGCCTGCCTCGGGTTCGTCGGAGAACATACGGCCAATAGTGGACAGGGGTTTTTGGATGGTGCGCAGCAGTCCGGCGACTGGAGCGTTCTCCTCGTCTCCAGACTGGGATCCTTCCTTTCTCGCCGTCGTGGAACGGGAGCCGTCGGTCGAAGCCCGTGGCGAATGTACAATAGGTTTCTGCTCGCGCGATTCGGCCTCACGGTTGCGTTCTGCAATCGCAGATACAGCCGCCTCGACGTTCCGTTCAAATTCTTCGTCACTGACCGTTAAGCTTGTGCGATCGAGAGTCTCAATAAATTGAATCACCCCAGACTGGCAAGAGAGTTTAGCGGTTAATTCCATCCGGGAAGAGAAGCCATGCATAGTTCACTTACCAGTGATGAAAGGTAGTAGCCCGCTTCCCCGCCCAGCTTGTCCTGGTTGCGGAATCGAAGAATATACTGAATGTTAGAGACCATATGCTCTGGATTTGCGTGGAGGACCGTGTAGATCAAAAGGGGAACAAAAGAATCCGCGGACGTATCCGCAGACTTGGAGTTTCTCAGGAGACCTTGACAACATGTTGTTAGCACTGGGTAGTTCATTGCGCACAAGGCCTAAGACAAGAAGGAAACTCACCAAAAATGACTTTGCAGCAATTCAGGATGCAAATTACTTTATCCCGAGGCGCCCGGTACCCATTGATCTTGAGAAGCTCTGAAACTCTCGTCAGGAGAGTCGCCTTTTTTTTTTTTCATGGAAATTAATCATGAACTTACCCTGCTGTGCTAGACTGAGAAACCGACGCCCATGCGAGCTCACCGGGGGAATATCCAAGTGCTCTTCTTTCACCCAGCTGTAGATTCTGATCTTTTGGGCGAGCACATCGTCGCGCTCGATATCCTCCTGGTGCTGCCCTCGTCTCCAAGGACCGTGAAGCCTCTCCAATTCCTTCCGCTTGCTCTTACTGGAGCTTCGGGGGATAGTGGGTGGTGGTGGAATAGCCGGGGAAAATGTCTGGGAGTACAGTCTATTCATTACGAGCTTCTCCATTCCTTCCTTGGCGTTATCGAATTCACTATCCGAGACCTCCCTCCAGACCTCACACTGAGCCATCTTATTTGTGATAAAGGCTAGGAAGTCGCTGATGATCTTGACCTGCTCGTGGACCATCCACTGCCGTTTGCCAAACTCTGTCAGAAAGGACCGCAAGAACTTGGCTACCGGATCGGCTGTCCGATGGCGCAATTGTTCTAGGAAACGGTGGAAGTCAAAGGGCTGGTCAGGCTCCGGTTCCGGTGGCGGGGGGATGGTAGAAGTGGATGAGCGTCTCGAAGGTCGAGTCCGAGTAGGCTCCTTCTCTGACAGGCGGTGTTTCGGCAGTGGCTGCGGGACTGATGCAGGCTGCATCTCGGACAAGGGAGACGGTGTATCTGGTCCTCTATCACTGGTGGTAGCGACAGGAGAGACCGTAGCTTTGACTCTGGTAGGATCAAGGCTCGACTTGCGTGGTGGGAAGTGACTCGGGCCTACGAGAAATTGTTCTGCCAACTCAAGTCGCGGGGACATAATATCCTCAATATCCTCTTTCCCACTACTGTGCACCGGATCGGCAAACTGATCCATGATGCTCTGTATTTCCGATTGCGACCCATCGTCCTGATCATGTGGACCGTTCTGCTCCGCCGTATTCGTCCCCTCGTCTCCGCCTTCAGGGACATTCGGCAACTCTTTCTCGTTCCAATCGGCGGAGGATTTGACAGAGGCTTGTATTGGGAGAGAGCGTTTCGAGGTTGTAGTAGTGTAAAGCTCATCTTTCTCTGGGGGTGGAGGAGGTATCGGTTCGGACTGGTCAGCAGCAACCGAGAGCTCGTTCAGCCGTTCCGATAGTGATTCCGACTTTGAGGGTTGCTGCTCTGCACTTGGTGAGCCCATAGAAGATGGGGTATCGTCTGATCCCGCCCCTTCTTCAGGAGCGACTGGTGATCCATCTATAGCGGCCGGTAGTGCGGGGGTCTCAGGCGCCCGAGTTGTTGCGGTATCGAGACCCGTGGAGGATTCTTGTGTGTTCTCCTTGGAATTCTCAACACTAAGAGCTTCCACGGATCCATCTGTCTCCTCCCTCAGAACATCGGGAGCCGGGTTTTCAGGGGTCGTCATGGTCTCTCTGATAAGGCGGCATCAACAAGCGCCGCCGAGGGGGGGCAAGACAAAAAGCGGGAGGGCGATCAAAAGTGTAAAGAAGCGGGAAGGGAGACGTGGAACATCCTGTGACGGGCGAAGATGGAAACAAGATAAAAACGCTCCGTAGAGCAGACACGAAATCGCCGGAAAATCAGCTTGTCAGCAGAACTAACCAGCTCCTCGACAAGTGGCCATCTGGTGTTGCGTTGCAAGTAGCTGCCAAAGGCATCACTATCCGGGATTATTGTTGCGCCGAGATCCGGCCCGCCGCGTTTGTTTTCTTCGGGCTTCACTTCGCATTTCGCTCGACGACGCAGAGCTCTGAAGCTGCCATGTGTGGCATCTTCTTCTCGCTGAGCACAGCAAGGTCGGTGCTTCCCACAGATGAGACATGTGCTCTGCTCCGGAAACGGGGCCCGGATAGCTACCGAGCTCATGAGGTCCAGCTAGACGTCACTGCCCAGTCAGGGCAGACGGCGTGCTACCATCTCGTGTTTATCTCAACCGTGCTCTCCCTGAGAGGCGATCATGTATATTCACAGCCGCTTGTTGATTCTGCCAACGGGTCTGTTTTGTGCTGGAACGGAGAGGCGTGGAAGGTAGCAGGGGAACCCGTTCGTGGCAATGATACCGAACTCATTTTCCAGTTGCTTCTGGAGGCAGCGAAGCCTCTTACTACTGACTCTAGGACTACGAGACAGCGAATAGCAGCTGTTGTCGGCAGCATATCAGGGCCATTCTCTTTTGTATTCTATGATGCACTCAGTTCAAGTGTATTCTTCAGCCGGGACAGCTTAGGGCGAAGGTCCCTGCTTTGTGGCTCAGATGGCGCGCAGAATATGAGGATTTGCAGTATTTGCGATGGTACTGCTTCAATGAACTTCGAGGAGGTGGATACGGATGGTGTGCATATCCTCGATCTTGCGGTCCAGCAACACAGTTCTGGTTCTAGTCAAACACCTTGGCACACCACCACCATCAAGTGGAGTAACGAGATACCTACAGGCCCAGAGTTTATTGTACGTTATAGCCGCTGGTATCAGACTTCCAAGGTAATGCTGACCATTGCGGCCTAGAGAAATCCCATTCCTAGAATGAACAAGACTATTCCGCAAGGTGACCCGCTCCCACTTAGCATCGAGTCTCCGTGTGTTAGAGACCTCGAAGAAAACCTCCGCCAGTCGCTCGCTATTAGGATTCACGATATTCCGGAGCCGCCAAGACCAATTGAGCACGGTAGCGACGTGAAAGTCGCAGTCTTGTTTTCTGGAGGCCTTGACTGCACTGTTCTTGCCCGATTGTGTCACGACATGCTTCCCAGCAATGAAACTATTGATTTACTCAACGTTGCCTTTGAGAACCCGCGGGTTGCAGCAGGAGCAGCAGTAGCAGCGGCCGGTAAGAAAACCAGCAGCGACTCTCTGACATCGGTGTACGAAAGTTGCCCCGACCGGATCACGGGACGCGCAGCGTTTTCCGAACTCCAACATGTCTGCCCTGACCGGAACTGGCGGTTTGTGGCCATCGACGTTCCATACAGCGAGACCATCGCGCACCGTGAGACGGTGAAGCGGCTCATGCGGCCACACAACACAGAGATGGACCTATCGATTGCATGTGCCCTGTACTTTGCCTCACGGGGCGAAGGATTCTCCACAGATCACATCAACAGCGACAACAACAACAAACAGCCAGCCCATTCCACGAAGCCGTACACTACTCCCGTACGGGTGCTCCTCTCTGGCCTGGGCGCCGACGAGTTGTTTGCCGGGTACGCCCGCCACGGGATGGCGTTCACACGGAGCGGGTTCGCCGGTCTGATCGAGGAGATCGACCTAGACGTCGGGCGACTGGGGAAACGCAATCTCGGGCGCGACGACCGCGTCATCTCGCACTGGGGGCGAGAAGTGCGGTTCCCGTATCTGGACGAGGAATTTGTCGCGTGGGTGGTGCGCGCTCCTGTCTGGGAGAAGTGCGGGTTCGGCATGCAGCCAGCGATTGAGGCAGATGCAGCCGGCCCGCCGATCGACCCGGAAAAGAAAGCATTGCGGCTTGTTGCGCTCCGGCTGGGCCTCAACAAGGTCGCTAGAGAGAAAAAACGGGCGATCCAGTTCGGGGCCCGAACGGCCAAGATGGAGCGTGGGCGGACAAAAGGGACAGACTCGTTGAGTTAAGAAAAAAAAAAAAAAAAGGAATATCAGCAGTGATGACAATCGAATCAGATACTTCTGAGCCAGTCCATCTATCTATCTACCTGATCTTTCCATGACAGACAGAGCATCCCTGAAATCACTCCCTTCAAGAAATGGTGAGCGTGCAGAGGTGGCATTGTCTATGGAAGTCGAGATGAAGATGGACTGTATGAAGTTTTAAAGGCAAGTCTGAGCTGATCGCATTGCATAGAATACTAGTATAAGTGATAGAAGTATTACACTACTACTACCAAGTCATATGGTGAAGCTGATAATGAAGCATTAATCTGGTGTACATTAATAGCCACGAGTCAATCCCGAAGGAGACATCAGAACCGGCCCAAAATAACATAACACAATGTCATGGCGAGACTGTTCAAAGAACTCGCGAGGCGTAATTGGAATAGATACCCGAAAATGAGTATAAGAATGTGAGAATAGAAAAAAAAAAGCATAATAAAAACACAGCAATCATTAGAAATGAAATGACAGGCTGAAGGAAACTTTTTAACGTCGGGTCGCCAGGGTTTTTTTATCAGTTCCGCGGTTGAAGATAGGAACTGATTTGGATGGGTGTGACATGGTGACCGACTTTTGATGGCTCGAGCCCCTTGACCAACCGCTAGAGCGCCGCTCGTAAACATTTTTTTCTTTGTCTTGGAGATCCAGAACAGAACATGATATCAAGGCAATATTTGAAAAACAAAAATAGAAAGAAACATGTAATGACTTTTGTTGCGTTTGAGGGTTTTTTTTTTTTTTAATTTTTCTCTTTTTCGCTTATGCCTTACTCTGAGCGAGGGCCTTCCAATATTGCTCACGACGCTGCGATTCTTCGAGAGACTTTTCAAGTTCGGCGATGCGACGCTCCATCTCATCCTGACGCTCCAGCTTGCGGGCACGCGACTTGCGGGCGGCCTCGGTGTTGCGAGCCCGCTTGACAGCCACGGGGTCGGCGTTATTGACCTTGATAGGAGGCAGAGGCTTGCGCTGGCGAGCGTTCATGGTCGAGTGCTTGGTGACGCGACCGGGCCCGGGCGAAGGAGCTGGAGAGGTGGAGGACCGGATGATGGGAGAAGAAGGAGGAGGCATCGCGACGGGCGCCTTGGGCTGCTGCTCTTGCTGGGCAGCCATGGCAGTGACCAATTCCAGGGCAGTTGCATCGAATGCATCACTGACCGGGAAGAGCGACTCCCACTCCTCGTGACCCGAGGCCAGCTCCAGGTCCGAAGCGAACATGGGAGAGGTATCCTGGCTGAAGTAGCCGGGGGACTCGAAGGAGGGGGTGCTCAGGTCAGTGAAGGAAGTGGACGGAGGCGCCGAAGAATCCATGAAGAGATCCTTGGGGGACACGGTGCCCGATGGCATGGGAGCCATGGGGTCAATGCCCGGCAGGTTCTGAGTAGAAAGCATGGTGGGTTCGGTATTCTCGAAATCGTCTCCGAAGTGGTTGGAGAGATCGAAGAAGTCTATAGACTTGTTAGAGACGCCTAAGCAATATAGGAGGTAGAGAGAGAGAGAGAGAAAAAAAAAGAAGGCATACCTTGAGCAAAATTAGGAGTGGACATGTTCCGATGATGTAAAGCAAGGTTCTGGATCTGGGGAGGGACTCCCGAAATGTTGTTGAAGAGAGGCACCGGGGGACGGGAAGGATGCGGAGAACGCGAAGGCGCCGAGGCGGCGTAGAGACGCTGGACGTGCTTGCGACCGGGGAGAGTAGACCGATAAGAGGGAGACAGCGAAAGACCGGTAGACTGGGTGAGGCGCCTGGTCGAGGGGGCCAATACTTGAGCCGGAGAGCCTGCAAACTGCTGCTGGAGATGACGCTGCAGAGCTAGCGAGTGGCGTCTGCTGGAAGAAGAAGATTGGGGGACCAGGAAAGGATGACGGAACGCAGGAGAAGGTCTATGGGCAGATGCTGGAGGAGCACGCGAGTCCCTGGGGCGAAGCTGTGGACGAGGGGACGGCACAGGCGGATAAAGCACAAAGTCCTCGTGAGGAGATGTCTTGTTGCTGTCGTTGTTGTTCTTGTTGCTGTTGATCGAATTCTGAGCCGAAGGCTGCGGGGCAAGGGGCGTGGGAAGCCATGATTGCTGGTGGTTATCCGTGGTGAACGACGTGACGTCGAACGGGAGAATGGTGTTCGGGGAAGAACTTGAGCGACGCGAAGCGATGCTAAAGTTCAGAGGTCCTGGGACAGGAGACTCTGGTAAAGGGTGTTGAGAAGGGGAAGGGTGAAGCAACAAAGACCGAGGGGGATCTATGGTGTCTGTCTCGAGTGAGAAAGACAAATCGTGTCCGGGGGGGGAGCTTAAAAAGCCTCCATAATGACGCTGAGATAACAATAATTCTTTAGATGGTTGTGATGGAATGGTTGATAATTTGTTCTAAAAGAAAAATGGATAGGAAGAAAAGGAGGAGAGGAGAAGGGCAGCGCGGGAGGGGGGGGGGGAAATTCAGGCCGTCTTAAGGATGAGCCGGAGAAGGTCTGTGTGTGGCCCCGAAGCGAGCCTCGACCAATCGCGGCGCATGGCCCGTTCACACACCGCACTAGCCTCTTCGGGGCTGGCCGTTCGCGCGTGTGAGTCACAGCTCACGCGGGGCGCCGATTGGATGCCTGCCTCAGCCCCAGGCACTTCCTTTTTGACTCCCCGACAACCTATGAATACGGAGTATAGAGAATAAGATAGAGAATAAAATAGAGAATAAAATAGAGAATAAAATAGAGAATAAAATAGAGAATAAAATAGAGAATAAAATAGAGAATGTATACCAGTATCTGAATTATAATCAACAGTATAAGACAAACCTCTTATTAACTACGTACTTCGTACCTAGCAGTATCTAGGTAATACTATGTACCGCAGTGGACTTCCCTACATGTGCCCTGTCAGAAAGATCCAGGTTCGCTGCCGCACCATTCCCCTTGCAGTCTAGCGTGACCAAAGGGCGCAAAAGCCTAAGGCAAAGTAATCCACCGGTTTTTCCGAGGCAGACTTTTTGGCACGGAAACGTGGACTTCCGATGCTGATAAATCTGAGACTTGAGCATATTGCTCCTGACGAATAATGATAATAATAATAATAACAATCATCATAATAATCATAATAATAGATAATAAATGTATGTGAACTCCTTATAACCAACCACTACTGTACCCCAGCCCTGGACTCATGGAGTAGACCCATACTGCAGGAATGGATCGGCAACTGCATAACAAGTATGATGCACATTGCACATTGCACAGTAGTCCTGTGGGAATATCAACAAGCTTGCAGCTGCCTGGGTCGCCGGTGTCAACTAGCGCTGAACTTTAGTAGTAGTACGACGTTAGGGACTCCATCGTGTCCATACCTCCTGTACAGACTGTACGAGTCCATACGAGTCGGACTCGGAGTCGGAGTCGATACTCCGAGGGCCCTACTACATCCACTACCTCCTACCCAAAAAAAAAAAAATCAATACTAACATACAGAAACAATTGTAACGCAGAACTATTAGATATTACCTACGGAGGACGTGCCATACACAAACTCGGCTATCGCCAAGCGCCAGAGGAGACACTGACGGCAGCCACGTAAGCCAAGACACATGTGCTAGTCAAGACAACAAGATGATCGCACTCGGAGACAGGGTGGAGAGTCCCCCTGTGAAACCGTCAAACAAAATCACCCTTCCTCCCGACAGGGTATCAAAAAGAAAAAGGAAGAAAAGGAGATGGAAACACAAAAGGATAGAGGTCAGCAAAATCTTTGACAAAGCAGCAGGTGGTATCAATCTAGTTCCCAACAGTCGTAAAAGAATGGATTGCGGCTGTAGGAGCCGCACGAGGACATCATGCCAGAGCCGCCAAAGTGTCAATAATGGGTATATCGGGTAAGCAGCATTAGTTAGGGGGGGTGGGGTATCGTTGGCATACCGTCTGGCAAGAATTCTGGACATGCAGAACACAGGATAAACAGGATACCAAAAAAAAAGACAGAACATCAACAACAACAACAACAAAAAAAAGCAAGACAAGGGAAAGTGTCAAGAACAGAAAACAGAATCAAAAGAAAAAATACATATTATGCGGGGAAAGGATGGGCGGGTAGTGGGCTGGTATTTTTTTTTCGGGGGTTTTTTTCGGTTTTTCTTATCGCTTTTGTTTGCTCTTGACTGTGTCAGAGTTATATCCAGTTGAAAGAGTAGTTGTAATCCGTCACCGGGTATTATTGCTGGTCCCACCATCTTTCAAACTGGACGACACACGCCTGATGGCGAGTTTGTTCATGCGGCGGCCTGGACGGGAGTGGAAGCGGAGGCAACGTTCACGGGCTCGACGGGCTCGGCAGCCTCGGCAGCGGGGGCGGCGGTCTCAGTGGTCTCAGCGGGCTTGGGAGTCTCCTCTGCAGCGGTCTCCGGGGCATCCTTGGAGATCGGCTCAGGCTTGGTCTCGGTCTCAGCGGTGGCAGTCTCCTTCTTCTCGCCAAGCTTGACGGCCTTGCTGGGCATGCGGAAGATGCCACCAAGCTTGTTCGACTTGTGCTTGGTCTCGCCGTCGGTGGCCTCGTTGTCGGAGGTCTCACCCTTCTTCTCCTTCTTGATACCGAGGTTTCCGAAGAAAGAAGTGCGGCGCTTGTCCTTGGGGGCGGGAGAAGTGGCGGCCGCAGCGGGGGCCTCGGCGGGAGCGGCCTCGGCGGGGGTTTCAGCAGCCTCAGCGGTGGCGGCAGCAGTCTCGGCGGGGGCGGTCACGCTCTCGGGCTCAATGGGGGCGACAGCGGCTTCCTCGACGGGGTTCTCCAGCTGAGGAGCGGTGCTGGAGACAGCAGCGGGCTCGGCGGGGGCCGTGGCCTCCTTCTCCGACTTCTCGTGGGATGGGCTGGTGACCTTCTGGAAGAAGTTTCCGAAGATGGAGGCACGCTTCTTCTGAGCCACGGGGGTCTCGGCCTTCTTCTCTTCCTTCTCGGCAGTCTCAACGGCAGGAACAGCAACAGGGGTTTCTATCTACATGTTAGCCAAAAGAGAAAAGCAAAAAACCTCTCATTGTGATGTGTGAACTTACCCTCAGCAGCAACCGCAGGAACAGCAGGAACCTCGGCGACGGGCGCGGCCTCAGTAGGGATTTCAGCGACAGGCTCAACAGCCTTGGCCTCCTCGGGCTTCTCCTCCTTCTTCTCGGCCTCTTCCTTCTTGCCGAGGAAAGAGCCGAAGATGCTGGCTCTCTTGCGAGACTGGGAGCGGCTCTTGGCGGGGGCCTTCTCCTTTTCCTCAGCAACGGGAGCGGGAGCGGGAGCGGCGGCGGCGGCGGCAACGGGGGCGGTCTCCTCCTCCTTCTTGTCCTCAGCCTTCTTCTGGACAGGCTCGGCAACAACAGGCTTGGCTATATGACATGATTAGAAGGGGTTATTTTTTACTACCTTGGTTTATAGTATGTCATTGCGGGAGGGGGAAAACTCACTCAGCTTCTCAAGTTCAGCCTTGTAGCCCTCGCTACCGGTGATGGTTTCCTTCTCGGCCTGGGCCTCGGCAGACTTGGCCTCGAGCGCGGCATACCAGCTGTCGCGCTCGGCAGCGCTGCTGGCCTGGAAAGTGTGCTTGTGACCGCTGATCTTGAAGAGGAGCTCGTTGTGGCCCTCCTTGGCAAGGTCGGAGATCTCGGCGAGGTTGAAGATGCCGGCGGGGGTAGCCTTGTCCTCGGAGCGCTTGGTCACGAAGAGCAGACCCTTTCCGGTCTGGCTGGCCCAGGCGGCGATCGGGCAAGCAACGGCAGCCTTCTCGCTCTGGAGGAAAGCAGCCAGGTTCTTGGGCTCCACAGCCTCATCCTGGAAGTAAAGGTAGCGCTTAGTGAAACGAAGACCCCTGTAATCTAGTTAGTTTTTTTTTTTTTCTTCTCCTCAAATAATCAACGACGCCGGCGCGTTAACCGAAAAAAAAAAAGAATCCACCACTTACTTGACAAGACCAGGGCCCTTGTATCCCAGAACGCCATCCGTAGCGGGAGTGACTTCCTTGGCCTCCTCCTCCTTCTTGGCCTCCTCCTTGGACTCTTCCTTGGGGGCCTCAGCGGGAGTCTCGGTGACCTCAGCAGGAGCCTCAGCAGTGGTCTCTGCTGGGGTCTCAACAGGCGCCTCAGTGGCCGGCTCAGCAGCAGGAGCAGACTCAACAGGAGTCTCCACGGCGGGAGCAGCGACAGGAGTCTCTTCGACAGGCTTCTGAACGTCAGACATGGTGTATGTGGTTGTAATTACTAAATGATTAAGCTTTCGCAAAGCTGGTTGTATGTGGTGTAGAGGGTTGCTGTTCCCTTTCTTTAAAAATTTTTTTTTCCTTTATACCTCAGTTAGAGAGAGGGGACGGAGGGAGGGAGGGAGGGGGGGGTATCAGGTGATCAAGCAGATTATTTGAGGAGGGTATCTCAACAAGCAAGCAATCAAAACAAAAAGAGGAGCCTCGAGCACACGGCACGGATAATCAGCTCTGGGGGGGGGGGGGGGGGGGGAACAAAAAAAAGAGGAAAGAGAAAGGGTAGCAGCTGCAGCTGGCAGAGGGTAGTGGGATGGAGCTAGACGGGAAGAAGAAGAAGAAGAAGAGGAAGAAGAGGGAAGAAGAGGGAGCAGAGGGAGCAGAGAAAAAAGGAAGAAAAAGAAGGAGGGGAGGGGGGGGGGGAAAAAAGAAGGGCCAGGGCAGATGGGATGGGCGCACAGGACCCAACGGCTCGAATAGGCAAGGAGCTGCAGGCGCTAGGCTTGAGTCTAAACGGGCTGGAGCTCCAGTGGGTTAGTCATCAATCAGGGGTTATTGAGTTACTACGGAGTACATACCTAGTAGTTTGTATAGAGATTTATTAGAGGACTAACTAATATATTAGAAAGTCCTTATTTAATCTACTACATACTACATACTACATACTACATACTGGCTCTGATAATAATTAAAATATGAATCAAAAAAGGAGGATCCCGTTGACTCAATTCCGACGCGACTGATCCGCTCCAGAGTACAACGGCCTCAGCCGCCCCGTCTCTCCTTTTTTCTCGACGGATCTCTGATAAAGCAAACTAACTTTCGGTATAACTACAGAGTATACTACCTAGGTAGTAAGTATGTACGGAGTACCTAAGTAAAGGGTCTGCTCCTATCGCACAGAGTAAAAGTCTACTGTGGTAGGTATGTAGGAGGAAGTAGTTACCTAGAACCTAGGTAAGGTAGTATCTTGTCACCCTAGGTAGGTACCTAGGTACCTCCCGAAGGTACTTAGGTACTTACTACGGTACTCCGTGCCTACGGTCAGCTGCACAGGCCCACCGCCACTGTCCAAGCAGCAGATAAAGTGTCGTGTGCGTCTTCCATGACACATACACAGTCACACCGTCCTTGGCTGATCCTGGACCGTGTGTCTCATTCGCCATACTTCATGGTCCTGTCGTACTTCCTGCCAGTCTGGATGAGTTGATAAGCGCCGGTCTCGTCACAACCATCGTATGAGCGTTGAGGTTCCAACTAATTATTATCCATTGTTTCATCTCGCTCCACTGCTAGTATACGGAGTATAGAGTAAGAACTGAGAACATTATAGAAATATTATATTCTATTTATATTCAATTATTTTTATATTATTATTATATTATTATCATTATTATCATTATTATTATTAGTGTTGCAGAGCTGCGCTCTGCAAATCATTACACCTAGGTACTACCTATCTCCTTTTCCTTCCTGTTTTTCTTTATTTGTTTGCCCAACCCCAAATCCAGTCTAGCTCCGTCCAGGGTGTCCTCCAGTGGATCAGCCACGGTTTCAGCGGCCAGTGGCTGGCCAGCCCTACGTCCAAGTGTGTCTCGTACCATGGTTACCTACTAGTTACCACCTACTAGTTATTTAGTATCTACCTACTAGGTACTAACTACTAGGTAGAGCAGTATGTAGTATGTAGTATATAGTATGTAGTATAGAGTATGTAGTATGTAGTATGTAGTATTTAATTAGTACTAACTAGTAGTTAAGTAGTACTGTACACTATAATACTAAATTTTAATACTATGATATAAATTGTAGTACTACTGCCGATCGATGGCAACGCCATTATCGTAGAATCCTGCGGACCAATTAGTGGCACGACTAGCCTCCGGTGATCGCCATATCCTGCCGACAGACAGAGTAGGTATTGTTTACGGAGTACGAGCATGAACCTTGGCTAAACTAGTACCTCTTATTTTAATGGTTTAACTAATCGTAACTAATAAATAGTACGGAGTACAGAGTACAGAGTACTTGAGACAAACCTCAGAACTCATAAACCCATTAATAGGTAACTCATAATTGAGACAATATAACTGACTACTAGGTATCTAATAATTATCTCTCTTCACTTCTTAAGGTACTATGTAGTTACTAGGTAAGTAGTACTAACTAGTAGTGCCATAAACACATGACTAAAGACGTCCCATGACTCCCACATGGCGTAGAGGTAATGACGTCATTAGACAGTACAGTACAGTCTGTATACTGCAGAGCATATTTGCATAGACTTTGCAGATACTTTATAGACATGGTCTAGACTATGGTATTTTACAGTAGTACTATCACATGAAGACAACAGAACAGACATATACTATGCCAGTCAAGTAATAAGTGAGAATAGTGCACTACCTAGGTATTTTGGCGGGGAGGGTGATCTGGCTGATGGGTCTTTATGCGTCTTGCTGATGATCTGTCTGCAGGAAACAGAGGATATACTAGTATAGTATTAGCACTACATAATAGACATAACTGATATATATCTATAGTTTATAGTCTATGGACACTAGTCTAACTGTACTGTCACTGGATTTTATATTTATCAAAATACATAGCTTGTTAGCTATCTCGACTCCCCTCGATCAACAACGCATACCTAGCCAGTTAGTAAAACACACCTGAAAGACAGATAAAAGTATAGAGAAGACTCACGACGTGATGCTTTCCATGCGCTCGCTCGTCAACTTCAAACTGACGGTCAACAATTCCCGCGCAATGAGCGGCTCCGCCTCGCGCAGAGCCTCCCATTGCGCCGCCCCCAGCGCCCAAACATGACAGTCCTGCTCTGCTTTCACGGTGGCGGTCCGCCGCGTCGCGCTGAAGAAAGGGAGCTCGCCGCACGGGCCCCCCGCGACGATGCGTTCAAAGTATCGCCCCTGCGGCGTGTCGTACTCGGCGCGCAGCATCCCGGATTCGAGAAGGTAGAACGCTTGCGGCACCTCGCCCTCATGGTACAGCACGGTACCCGACGGAAAGGTCTGTTGCGTGAGATACGCGCAGAGCGGGAACCAGAAGTCTTCGTTGCGCGTCGTCAGGCCTTGGAAGGTTTGCAGCAGTAAGGGCAACGGTTGCCGCATCGCCGACCATGCCGGCGGGATGGTCACCGCGGCGGTGTCGGCGTCGCGGAGGGTCGTCGTCGCGACCTGCTGCAGGTACCGGCGGCGTGGCGAGCTGACCAGGAAGTCTGCAGTAGAGATCTGAGCAGCAGCAGCAGCAGCAGCAGCAGCAGAAGAAGAAGAAGAAGAGGGATGGACGGGGACTTGAACGGTTGTAGTGGTGCTAGGGCGCCCGTCTTTTAAGAAAGTCTCCCGACGACTGTAGAATACCTTCAGGTACTCGTTCTCGCAGAACTCGAGGGCCGAGTTGAGATCCTCAAAAATATCCACCACGCCGTGGCTCGGATGGATCAGCCCGACGTTCTGCAGGCTGCGGCCGACTTCCCCTCCGACGTCCAGCCCGGAAATGGCGACCTGCACGTTGCGTTTGCGAAGGATCCGATTGATGCGGGTGAACGCCTCGGCGGCAGAGAAGTCAATGCCGTATACATGGGAGAAGTCGAGGATCAGAAAGCGAATGGGCCGCTTGTCGAACGCCTCCTCCTCGATCAAGCCACGCATCGTCGTTTCCACTTTGACAATCGTTCCGAAGAAGAGATAGCCCGCCAGTTTGAGGACGAGGGTTTGCTGGCCCGCCTCGTTCAGATACTGCTGCTGGATAGGCGGCCGCCGCACCGTCGAGCGTGCGATCTGCCCGGAATACGTCGCCCGGATGGCCGGCTTTTGTGATGTCTGCACCACGAAATTCACACACGCGAGAATGATCCCAACCACGATCCCGACTACAAAGTCCCACGCGCCCATCGTCACCACAATGATAACCACTGTCAAATACTCCAGCCGGTGCAACTTCCCCCAGGTATCCACCAAAGCCTCCTCCATCAACTCGATCCCCAGCATGAAAATGAGAGCCCCGACCACCATGACTGGAATGAACCCCACGATGGCCGGGCCCATGACGAGAATACCAGCCGTAGCACCCGCGAGCATGATCCCGGCCAATCGAGAGTTTCCACCGCTGTCAATGAACAAAAGGCTGTTGGTGTAGACTAGGTAATTCTATCCAGAATCAGTAAACTAAAGCTTCTCTCTTTTTTTTTTTTTTTTTTTTTTTTTTTTGTAACGGGTCAAGATACCTGAATACTGCCCGCAAAGCCCGACAAGGCATTTGTCACACCGTGGGCGATGAGCTCCCGATCTACACTCAGATTATCCTCACCGGTCGAGATACCCAAGGCGGGAACATTGATGGGGACGTGCAGGACGCCGAAAAAGGTGAGGGCAAACATGGCGGGGACGGTGTCGAGCAAAGCCTGCCAGTCGACGACAGAGAAATCGTACAGGGTGTAAAAATGATACCAGGGATTGGAGGAGGACGGGGCGGCAAACACCCAACCGCTCTCGCGCAGCGTATCCATGGGGATCTTGGCGACGAATTTGACGCAGAAGAAGACGACGGCGACGGCGATGAAATACAGGCCGACGAGGAAGTTCGAATGCACGAAGCGTTTGAGGACGAGAAGGCCGACCGCCAGGCCCAGGGGGATGGTCCAGAGCGGAAAGGTGTCGAGTGCAAACAGCCTCTGCACGGTCGGCAGCGTGTACTCTAGCGAACCGGGTAGGCGAGCGGAGACTTCGATGCCCGTTGCGATGAGGAACCAGCCGACGCCGCCGATGCATCCGATCAAGATGTGCCGGGGGAAGAAGCCGATGAGCGAGCCCAGCCGGCAGGTGCCCATCAAGAAGAAGACCAGGCCCGTCAGGACGGAACTGGCTGAGAAGGCGAGGATGGTGGTCGCCAGCACGGCGCGCGGGTTGTCCTCGCCCACCGTGGCCAAGATGGTGAAGGCCATCTTGTGGAAGAAGGGAACCACCTCGATCATCTCACTGCCGATGCCGCCCTTGAAGATAGACCCGCCGCAGGAGAAGACCAGCTGCGAGATCACACAGCTCACGTAGAACATGGAGATGCCGTCCGACCCGAGGTCGGCAAAGAGCGGCTCCCCGATCGGGAACAGGATCATCCCGTAGGAAAGAGCGTCGAGGACATTGAGGAGGAGGCCGAGGAGGACGGCGGGTACAAGGCTGATGGGGTACATCACCCCGTGCTGCCATATGCTGCGTCTGTCCCAGGCTTTGGGATTGGACACGAGGCGCGCGCACGTAGCAACTTTCATGAGAGTGGTAGGGGTTTTCCTTTTGTGCGAGGGGGCCTGGCATTCAACATCATCCTCAGCTGTAAGCCCATAGTTACGCGAGGTATCTGCTGAATGGACCGCCTTCTTCGGCAGGAGTAGCGTCTGTTCGTTAACCTCCTCTCCCCTCTCTCCTACCGCCTCTTCTTCTGCTTCTTCTTCTGAAGGAAGCACATGTGCCTCAGAGCCTGGATCATATGAACCGTGTTTCTGGACCTCCGCATTGAGGGACTCATCTGAGGGCTTGCGGATCATCTCTGTCAACGCCGAGGTCCCCGTCAACGGACCCGTCAGCGATTCAGCACCGGTGGCACCCGCGATTGGCCACGGCTCCGAGCTTTCCCCCGCGTCAGATACCTTGCCGATTGACTGCTGGTCTGGGCGAAAGATATCCAGGCGCGGCGGAAGAGGACCGGCAGAAACGGGGGACGCTTTGCCGTTCAGCGAGAGAGCAAAGGAGGCGAGTTCGGCGGTTTGTTCCCGGAGGCCTTGAGAGGAGTATTGCGCTATATCTGAGTGTGTTAGAAAAAATAGAAACTAGAACATTGGGTATAGCTTTCGAATGTGAGGCTTCCGTACCAGGGGACTGGCGGAATGAGCCGTGAAAATACGATCGCCCGGGTGTTCTCCAACTCGAGCCGCCAAAGGTAGCAACCGGTTCAACTCTCGATGAGGTGTCGATATTCGACTGCTCCTCCACCGGGAGATCAGGACTGCTTGTGATATCTTCTGCATCGTGGCCGGTACTGGTGAATGAAGCACGATGGCGCCATCGACTGGGGGGATGGGAGTCACTTCCACCGCGAGGGCTCAGGATGCCCATCGCAAGGGAGGAGAACAATGACGTTTCTCTCCCTCTCTCTTTTTGTTTTCTTTTTTAGCGGTTTGCCGTTCTGCGAGGACTCTCACCGGCCACACTCAGCGACAGTAGGGGGACATGTCAGAAGATGCCGGGAGGTTGTTGCGGTCCTGGAAGGAGGAAGTGGGCAAGCTTTGGTTATCGCGGCTTGACTAACAGCTCTGATAAGAGCTTGTTCGATAACAGGATAAGAGGGCATTATAATGATTGGGATGAATCGTGAGGTGGAATAGATGGGAGAGAAAATAGAGATGTGTATAAAATTGAGTGTTGAGAGTAGGTTGAGTGTAGATTGAGTATGCAGTCCTTCTACCAGGTATCTACCTAGGTATTTGGTAGTACAGAGTATGTAGTACGGAGAAGCAAGCATGAATAAAATAATAATAATATCAAGTAATAGAAATACAGTCCTGTGCGTATCCACTCTACGGCGTCAAATCGTAACATATCATAAGGTATCATCAAGTCAATCGTTCCAAGAATCCCTGCGCAATCAATCTCTCGACATCCCCTTGTCGGACGTAGAGCTGACTATTTTTCGTCAAATTGATTACCCTATGCTGTTAGTAGTGTAGAAAAAAGCAAAAACAGAGAGAGAGAGAGAGAGAGAGAGAGAGAGATACCCGTATTCCGTCTGAATCTCGCCCGCATCTTTCAACACCCTGACGTCGATAAAGAGATCTCTCGGTGGTTCCAGGGTACCCGTGAGATCCACGTCGGTCCATTGCCCTTTATACGCGGCGAGCATATCGCTGTACTGCCTGAAATACTCTTCCTCGTCTGGACTTAGGGAGCTATGGTTTCCAGAAGACCCAGAAGTATTGCCGCTGTCTTTTGTAGAGGCTTCCGGAATCAACTGTTCCAAAACATCCACGCCCGTCCAGCACATCTCCTCGAGTTTCTCCGTCCGAACCCGATGGTAAGCCAGTAAACACCGTTTATTGCGTCGCATACACAGATGGTCGACGAGCAGGGCACACGCGACCGCCGGGTCTGTCGAGGGGTTGAACGTCCCCTCGAAGGGGGTCAGGAGGCGGGCGACGTCACGGTCGAGATCGCGCACTTCGCGCGTCACCCCGCGCACCATTTCCGTTTGGTAGGGGGGGAGATGGGACAGGGCTTGTGTGCGTTTCGCATGTTGGACCTGTCTCCGGCAGACGGATTAGCAAATGCGTGTACTTCTTTCAGTTGGGCGGGGCAGACCAGTTTGTTGCCGAGTTCGCCGTACATTGTAGTATACGTAGTACGCAGTACGCAGTACGCAGTATTGTTAGTAGAGATGTACAGAATAGATAATAGGAAGAAGGATAGAAGAAGAAGGATAGAAGAAAGAATAGAGTACTCTGGTGGAGAATTTGGTTGCGGACGATAACGGGCCGACAGACATAACTCCGAGATACTTAGCACAAGACGACTGACTACATTACAATACAACTCTGCCTGTCTAAATGACTGGAAGTGATTCCGAAATCTATGCGGGAAAGACTGAACGGTAATGGTACATGAGGAACAGCAGAAAAAAATCAGATAGCCACCCAGGGGTACTCGAGCCGTGCCTCATCCAAGATCCGAACCATGAAAGATAAATCAAAAAAGAACAACAGACGTCCACCCAAGAAAAGAAGAGAGACCTATCCAAAGGAAACAGACCGTATCCGACCCTCCGAAGCACAAAAAGATCCGACAGCAAGCGTTCCACGCGGACGCCCCAACTCCATCTTCTCTCAGAAAGTAGAGTGAAAGAGAAGACTGAAAGAAAAGAAAAAAAAAAAAAAAATATGGATATGAGGGGAAAGAGGTGACAAAGAATTGCAGAGGGGGAGATTGCCAAGATTATCGAATCGATTACCACCGGGGAATGCAGGCATTGGAGCATACAACCCATGCAGGAAGAAAAGAGAAGAAAGGAAAAGAGAATCCGCCAGTTCGTCACTCCGTTCAACATAAAAAAAAAAAGAAACCAAAAATGGTGAGATGATGAGATGATCACATTGGTCCCAACGCCTGCGCTGCATACCAAGTGTTATATTCACGGCTTTGATCGACCATGCCTGGAGCGACAACGTCCCAGGTCTCGTTCGTGGTCGGTAGACCGTGCTGATATGAAGGATCCAGGGTGAACTCCAGACCAGCTCCGTTGGCCAGAGTGGCCATGATGGGCTGGTAGGAGGTGCCCGGCAGTTCCTCGCGCTGCCACACGCCTGGATGGGCGGAGTGGTGGTGGTGGTGATGGTGGTGGTTGTGGTGGTGATGGTAGAGAGGCTCGCCGACAGCATGATCTGGCGGGCTGTCGAATTTGTGCAGTAGCTGGGGATCCAGCTGGCCGTCGTCGGAGTAGGCCGGCGTGTGGACCGTGGAGTGCGGCTGGATCAGATCCCAGTGGGTGCCGCCGGGCAAGCCCGCCAGTGCAGAGGAGGTTCCGTACAGATCAGGCTGGGCCGACGCAGCAGCGACCGTCTTGAGCGGGTCGTCGTCCACCCCCCCGACGGGCGTGGGGGCCATGATGCCCGGGTGAAGGGACTGTTGGAAGTAGTGTGCTTCCTGTGGGGGGGACATGATGCCCGGGGCGGTGGCGGAGGGCCCGTTAATCATCCAGGACGGCGGGTCAAAGGTGCTGAGAGGTACGATCCCGTCATGGAATTCCGACGGGGTGGAGGCGCGACTGGTCAGGGGAGTGTCCGCCTCGGAATTCCGGAGAGGCTCACTTTTGATCGATGGGGGTCCGCCTTTATTGTTGTTGTTGTTGTTGTTGTTGTTGTTGTTGTTGTTGCGCGAGGTGGCAGAGGCGGACTTCCTCGAGTCAGAACCTTTATCATCGTCGGCTTTCCGGGGCGAGAACTTGTACTCGGGATAGGCTAGGGCATGCCGGTCGCGTTCGAGCTTGGCCAGCGTCTCGTACTTGGTCTTGATATGCTCCTGTTCATTCTTCCAGCTGCGGCCGGCGCACGAAGAGACCAGCTGGTGATTCTTCAGGTTCAAATACTCCTTCGCGCGGTCCTGGTACGCCTGGCGGTACAGGATGAAGGAGTTCATGGGCCGCGGGACCTTGCCTTCCTTTTGCATCGACTCTTGGCGCCGCTCCTCGAGGGGCCGCAACACAAACGCCTCCATGTCTCGTACGGGGATGTCCGATCCCTCGGTCAAGATACTCAGTGGAGTATCCGTTGGTTGCTTTGGTTCCGAGGCTAATTGTCTCTTCGGCTTCGCTTTCGGTTTCGAACTCTCGTCGTTGACTTGACGCCGTCGCACCTTTGTCCGTCGGAGCACCCGCGCATTTTTGGAAACCTCCTTCTTACGTCGGATGTGTTCCAACGCAGGAAATGCTGCAAGCCCAGCAAGAGTAGTAGGATCGTAGCCACTCCCTTCTTCGAATGACGTGTCCAGCGCGATCTCTTCGGGGATTATCTATACCTCACGGTTAGACTCCTCCGCCTCTTCTTCTTCTTCTTCTCTCTCTCTCTCTCTGTCAAAAAAAGCACCGGGGACCAAAAATTTACTTACTGGTTGCTGATGAAACAAACCGGATGTATAATCTTCGTTGGACGTATAGTACGGATGAGAGCTATATGCCTAGTAGGGTGTGTGAGAAAGGTTCTCCGTGGCTTCCCCTGATCCTAGAGAGAGAGAGAGAGAGAGAAATAAACTCACATAAGAATGCGATATCTGGCTATCAAAAGGCACAGCGTGCGTATTCCCGTCAGTGTGCATCCCTGAAAGTGGCAGGCTCTTCCCGCTGTGAGGATGGGAGACAAGTGGATAAGACCCTTCGGACCCAGGCTCGCTGTCGTCTGTCGACTGAGGAGGAGATGGTGGTTGGCCGGGGATGAATCTTGCTAAAGACATCGCCGAGACCTGGAGGGATCGTCCAATCGCACCGACCGGATGATGAGATATGAATGGATGGCTGGCGGCTCACTGGAGGCGGTGGGTGCGAGATGCGATCCTCAGACGTAATCAAAAGCGCCCGGGGAGGAGAGGAGCAAAAAAAAAAAAAAAAGAGGCGCCCTTTTTTCTCTCTCTCTCTCTCTGTCGGGGATTATTACCGAAGCGAGGAAGCGACACAGAACCGCCTTGTAACAGAATCTTAGAGGAAGGGCAGCGTCAGGAAGGAAACGGTTTCGGGAGCGAAATGGGCAGCCTCTCCCGAGAGAGATTCTGCATTTGATGGATGATGACCTTCCCAACGACGAATTGGCGACACAATAAGAAACCCCCGGGGAGAAGGGCGGCGGAGACGGGCGGCTTGA